TTCATTCATCACGAATGCTTCGGAACTAAAGACTTCACTTGCTTTAATTATATATACATATCTTACATGGGAATCAAATATGGATTGATGATCATTGCGCGAACTCTACGGATCGATGGGATATCGGATAAAGAATGGGCTTCTCACAGGTGCCGTGCAGTGCAGTATACATTGGTGTTGAATTTGTTGGTGGCAAGTTGGTGGCAATTGGATATACTACAGCGGCATTAGTATTCTTCAAATCTGAGTAATATTTCTGCTGCATTAACCTCTTTATCCATACACTACCTTCATTCCGTCCTACCTTCCTTTCCAAGTGTTACTTAACTGATACCAACATGATGGTAATTGGTGACATAATTCTTCACATCATCTCGCTTTTCATTCTGCCTTCGGTGGTTGGATTTCAAGCTACTGGAACTTTAATAGAATAGAAGTTACGCCAGCAAAGTACTTGAATGGATAATTCTCTTTCCGTTTTAAGGTGAAACCAATGTATCGGTTTCGGATAGGGCCATAATGCTAGGTATCCCAATGAGATACTATGTAATTTGCCAGTATAAAACACCAACTTTTTTTTCTCGTGCCGTGTTCGGAACATGAATATGAAAACTGAGATCAAGGTTCGGGTCTAATGGGGAGAGAGTCATGGTTGTCTGCATTCATGTTAAGATATGTTCCCGGCCATGGTGCAATTTTGATATTCTAGAATCAACTTAGCTCATTCCGACTTTGCGAAATGAGCTAGTTGATACCGAAATCAAAAAAAATTGAGGATATTCACAAATGCACTAAAGTTTATATAAAAATAACACAGTTAATGTATTAGTCCATTGGGAAAGACTACAATATAAATCTCAATGGAGCCCGGTCCTCACTTTAACCTCAGAATCTTTACATGGTTCAATTCCTTGTAAACTTTAATTTATTTCTTGAATTAGTATAATGAGGTACGAGAAAAATCTATGAATGAGCTAGCTCATTTATCAGAACAGGATGTACTGGGTTAGTTTATTCCAAAATCAAGCTTAGGTGGTGTCTGGGAGCAAAAAATATGCTAACATATTTAATATCTGTAATATTCAATTTTAGTATTCAATTCTTTATTATCTTTTTGGTAGGATAATATATTAACATTTGATTATATTAAAGTAGGTTTAGAATTTAGTTATTAGATAGATTCAGAAAATTTAAGATTATATTGAGTTATATTATTAATAAAAAAGTGAATTAAAAGATTTTAATGAGATCATTTTTTTTTCAATATTTAATATTTAATATATTTAATATATTTAATATATTTAATATATTTAATATATTTAATATATTTAATATATTTAATATATAATTAAAAATGATTAATAGTATTTAAATATCATTATTTGATATTCAAATAATAACTTTTGTCAAATATTTTTTATATCAATATTCAAATGCTAGCATTTGAATAATATATACACTGGTATATTTTTTGCTCCCAAAAAGGCCCTTATTAGTGAATGAGCTAGGTTATTGACCAATGGGGTAATTTGATTCAGAATGAGAATATTACGCAATGACTTGTAATAAATGATATTCTAGAGATCCACTCGAGACAGAAAATATCTACTTCTCTTGATGTCCAGTATCCTCCACTATTATTTTTGCTACTTTATACTCCGCTCTCATTTTCGGGTGTTTCTTAATATCATAGATTTTTTTTTTCAAGTTCGCACCTTGTCTTTAGTTTTAAACACTAAAAGTGGTTGGCGCTTGCTGCTTCAGGGTTTCACGCACTTAAGCCCTTGTTCTAATCACACTAGAGTACAGTACCAAAATTCTATTGTGACACAAAGAAATTGAGGTCGGGCCTCCAATATGACGAAATTTGATGGTTTATGATATCGGGAGGCTTGGGCAAAGACGAATGTGATTATTTTTCGATTAGCGCAGGTTTCCATACCGCAAATGGATGGGACGATCTGGAACCACCATTCTCTCGAAAATTGCGCATCTAACCGCGCCGAAACCACGAAATCCTCACTTGGCTTGACCTCTTCTTCGTTAGATTATCAATTTAAATCAAGTCTTACGCAGATCTCTTTGTGAATCTTCAAGTGAGTCGGCATCGACATCCGGTTGACCTGGTGATCCTAGTCGCGTCCCACATCTGTATTATCCTATTTCAGTGTTGCCGTGTCTGATTATGGTATTAGCTCAAGAGTTTGGGAAGTACCAACAATCCTGTAACCTTAGGCACTTGGCCGCTGATCACTGTCGACTTGTCGAGGCAGTTGGCTTATGACTATTATGATTTACTCTGACAATAAACGGTTACTTCCCCGAGTAGCTAGCATGCACTATTAAAAAAGTTTTGATCCGATCCACATGGGATCACCAAAGTACAAAAAGTTTGCAGCTGCAATGCCTTCATTGATTTTGTTAGCCAAAGTCTATTCCCGATCTTCTGTCATGGACTCAGCATCTATTATCACGACTAACGATACTCAAGAAGTTTGAATGGACTGACCTTTACTTGAGATGTGATACTTAAATACCGCAAAAATGAAACAGGTAAAGGTACTTTAAGGGATGCTCATTGTATGGATTAGCCGAATTAGAATGCAACCTTGATAGAAAAGTTAAGGTTCTTTGATACAGCAAATGAAATTTTCAAGTTTTTGTTGAACTTTAACGGATCTTCGTTGGCGGGGGGAAGGCCGGGCTTGTCATTAATTCACCGTAAGTTGCTTGGGCAACCTACAATAATACTAGGGGAGAATTGGTCTCATGTTTTCAAGCAAAAACTCTGCTTCCTGGCAGGATCGTCGGGATGCACGGGGGTAGTATGTGTAGCCAGAGTTTTTGCAGTCTTGAAACTTAACGAATCGTTGATATATACTGTCTATGAGACAAGAAGCGGGGCAGCATCAACATGCACAGTAAATTTTATTACATGATTACGCTGAAAAGTGCTCAATTTGGGACACTTGATTGTCGGCTGCTGCTCATTCTCCCGGAGCGTCAAGATTATACTCCTACTTTTCTCCATCATATCCATTTTTGTCATTATCCGTAAGAACGTGCCAATTCAGCATAGTCCATTGTAAAGCATTTTTTCCTGCTGTAGAATATCAACATATGCAATAAATCCACAAGAGAACCAGCGTATAGATTTCGTTGGCAGTGCCTCGAAATACGAACTGTTGACATGTTTTTACTCTTTCTGCCATGCCTAAAATTTCAAATTTTCGTACTGCACTATGTTACACTGTGTCTACTGCCATGCCAATTATTCTCTGCTATGTCATCCGTCGGGTCAGTTATGACTCTTGAATCTGCTGCCCTTCTACTGTCGCACATTCCATCTTCCTGAATTACCTCCAAAGCTTGTATTGCATAGTTACGAGGACTGGATATAGACAATTCGGCGTGAGAGAACGGATGCTTTGTTTCCACGGGCTTGCCGTAGAGTAATGTCTCCAACCTGTAGCGTGGGCGTGTCTCTGTGAATAGAGGATGCGACGGTACATTCCACCACTTTCGTATTCCTCCATGCATGTGTAGATCAATCAGGGTGCTTGGCGGAAGAAATACTGCCATTGGAAGGATTCCTTTGTAATAGTTGCTTTATGCTTCCATCGTCTAGATAAACTGTGGTCTTCGGAGCTGTGTTGAAGATATTTAGAGTCGTGCCTGCTATGAATGATGTACCATGTGCCTAGAGAGAAGACTTGTCAACAATTGCTCCGTTTCTAAAATCTCACAAGAAAGATCTTCGTTTTGATCCCAATATACTCGAAGAGATAGATTCAATCAGCTTGGGAACGAGATCGTAGAGTGTAATTGTTTCTCGTTATTCTGATTCGAGTTCTGGTTAATGCTCATCATGCAATTTGGCAAACCTATCCCCATTTAACAATTCAGCGGAGGAATAGTCGCAGATTGACATGCGTTCAAAGCCTGACCTGCATTCGCCTTCGCGAATTCTGTCAAGCCATTAGCAGTCGTCTTAAGTGGTTTGGACTGACTTTTCGAGATATTTGGAAGGATCGCGCGGAGAATACTGGCATGGTCGTAAATATCATCGGAGAAATAGAGAATTGCAGTGACTGTCAATTGAAAGTAAAACAGTAATTGACTATGCGGTTGATCCACGAAGTCCCGTTTCTACTGATGAGTAAAGTTCTTCAAAGCCGTTGATCCTGCCTAAAATGATGCAGTCTTGATACTTAACATAGTACCTCATGTAAATAGATCTTTTGATAGTTTCTAATTTCCCAAAACTGGTGGCGTTATAACCTAAAAGATAAGGAAGAGACTTTGAGCAAAGAAATGAACTGGGTTACTCTTTCCCTCAGCTTAGCTGTGAAAATATCAATCATGGTGAAGATCTTCAAAACTCAGTACGGGTGTTCACATTCTGCTTCAATTCCCTTCGATAAGATTCGTCTATCGTATTGACCTAGATTTTTTTAACTCCTGAATTTTCATATAAGCGAAAGGGGTGTCTCAGATTTTATACTTGGTAATCCAACCCAATACTCCACCTCAATTCAGTGACAAAACGGCCAGGAGGGGAAAGATTAGTTACAACTGAATCAACAGACTTCCAGTTCTCCTTAGGATAACATCTCATCTCAGAAAATATGTTGGTTGGCAGTCCTGGATTGTGCGTACTATTTACTCGAATTTATGGTGATATACTATAATTATGCGCCACTCTTTTTGCTAACATAAAAAATGTCTCGTCTTAATAGAGAAGGAATAGAAACTAAAAGATTCATAGATGACAAGATACTTCAGACAATAATTTCATTCTTGAAGATGTTTACGAATGTTCCACACCAGAAGGTCACCCCTCATGTAGGTGCTATGTCATTTCGCATACTTCTGTGCCGCAATTCACGTATTGTTGCCTAAAGAAGATCCCCACCACTACTTATTTTCATTTCTCATGCAAAATTCTATATCCATTTATAATCATCACCGAATAGTTTCAACTGATACAAGTATACACCATGGTCTCGGAGATGAGCTCGGATGAATTCGAGATGGTTGATTCTGCCGACATTTCTAAGCAAATGCTTGCGGATGAAAAGCCAGACCTCGCGTCGATTAAGGCATGGTTGAATCCTACAGACTATTTAGCTTCATCCAGCGAGTTCAATCGCCATTTCTCATCCAAATCCCCTGAAACAGACGAATGGATTAGAAAGACCTCACAATTTAATCGATGGCATTCATCTGTTGATCATGGGTCTATCTGGATTGAGGCAGTGCCGGGTGCGGGGAAGAGTGTCCTTGCAGCCTAGAGGAGGAACTCGTGAAACGAGACATATCGGTATTTGTTCAACAGCGCGTGATGGAGTTCGAAATGGATGGAATTGATGAGAGTATGCAAATTTTCATCGAGAAGACTGTTTGCGAGCGCTCACAAGGCCTTTTCTTGTACGCTCGCCTCATGCTTGATGAAATTGGGCATTCAACCAAAGAAAAAAACTACAAGGAGGCTTCAATACGAGAAATGATTACCGATTGCCCGCAGGCCTTGAGGAGATGTGTATAATAGGCTGCATTTGAATCATGCATCACTTACAAACATCCATCAAGGTATTCAAGTCATTATTCTACAACTGGTTACTCAATCGGCACGACCCATGCGCCTTATCGAAATTGGCAAAGCTATTGAAGACAATCCCCACGTCATAAGAAGTGGCAAAGACAGCAAAGATATTGTCAGGTCTAGTTGTGGTCCAGTTTTAGAAATCATGGAAGATGGAGTTGTTCAAATTTTGCACCATTCTTTCACAGAATTTCTTTTGGGCGTTGGCCGCACTACATCTACCACGTCAGACTTCCCCCAATTTCCTTTCATCGATCCTAAAAATGCTCATCGAGAGATCGCTATTACTTGTATCAGCCAGCTTCAAGGAGTTGCATTTTCTGCAGACTCCATGTTAGATGATACAGATTATGGTGGAAGTACATAGAATAGAGTCTGATTGATTGATTGAAAAAGGAGGGTAGGGTAACTAACAACAGTTGGAAGTGAAGTATTTGCAGATAACATTTAACACGTTTGTAGTTGGGAGCCCCAAGACCTGTAGCGGGTCGTTCCATGCAACAAGAGTTTGACTTTTGTCAATTATTCATCCAGTACCCACTTTTGGAGTATGCTGCGACGGAATGGACTTATCATGCCAAGAGACATGAATATGAAGATCCAAGTTTCTACGAGAAACTGGAAGAATTTTGTAATCATGAAAACCGGGCATTCAAAGCTTGGTGCACATTGGTCGGCAAATCGAGATATTCTACCGGTATGAATGATTTTTGGCGACATTCCGATTCATCTATGGCATCAGAAAAAGTGTCCCAACTTCACATAGCTTCTGGTTTCGGGCTGGTCTGCTGGACACAAAGATTACTAGAAAAAAGTGCGGATCTCGACATCCTCGACGGCCCAGAGAATACAGCTTTTTTTGGGCTGCTAAAGGCGGTCACGTCGAAGTTATTAAAAATTATTAGATGTTGGTGCGGCGCCAAATATTGATGGATATGATGGGTTGAAGCCGCTTCATGTTGCAGCTTCGAACAACCATGCAGGAGTGGTTAAGCTCCTGCTTAGAGCTGGTACGTTAATCCCCATGATTGCACGCCATCAATGTGATTCAATGAAAAGCTTGGATATTTTAAATCATTTTTGGATGAGCAACTCCATCATGAACACCAATTCACATTCCAATGTTTAGAGCTCGTAACTGACCTCCCGCAGGCGTCTCCCCTCTCACACCTAAAACGAAGGACGTCAATATGGGCAGAAGTTGTAAGAAATTACGATAAAATGTTGCTAATCATCCATTGATGTTCGCTAGTGATTCTGGAAATTTAGAAACAGTGATAGAGATGATACCATACTGCGAGACGAAAGATCTTGAACGCTCTCTCTTGCAATCAGCTTATCATGGACATCATGCTCTAGTATCTAGTCTTCTGGAAAGGAAGGATGTTTCTCCCAATGCAAAAGCACCCTTAGGGAATGGCGACATGAGCAAAATAGGAGGACAAACTGCACTCATGGTAGCGACAAGTTCCCTTGAACTAAGATCTGTAAAGGTATTACTTGAAAATGGGGCGATTGCGAGTCTGACAGGTACATCTAAGAAGGATGTTCCAGCTCCTCCAACCAAACGTCGCGTTAATCTATTCAAGTTGGAAGGCAGAACCCCGCTCCACAATCTCGCTATTGCTGCGGCAAGAGAAGAAGATCAAGCTGCTGCGAAGGAAATCTTGGATATGCTCCTATTAGCGGGCGCGGATTTTGAGGCCCGAGATGATAATGGCGACACTCCTCTCCTACTCGCAGTGGTGACTGTCCCACTTGCAGCGGTGTATGGTAGTAGCAAATTTTGTCAAAACTCCATGGAACTTTTGCTCTCGGCTAGTGCTAATCCAGTAAGGACCATTTTTTCTTGTACTCCTGCATTTTGATCTTCTATTTCAATGTATAATATCTAATTTTCGAGCACATCTCGAACTTTGATCATCTGCGCCAAATCAATTACTGACTATATCCATCATAGTGTGCTATGAGCTCCAGCGGTGAAACGTTACTCCGCCGGGCTTGTGGAGCTTTGTCATCGACTAAAATTGCCAAAAAAAAATTTAGCCTTCGGAGCAAATCCTAATCAAGCTCGAATTTCAAGTAGGTTAACGCCTTTACATTGGTACGTCGAAGTGGTTCTTCTTCTCCTTTTGCCCTTGATGCAATACGTGCTTTGATCTTCGATTACCCTCTGATTATTCATGCATAATCTTAACAATGCGAGCTTTTATTCCATAGTTTCGTCCCGCATTTGTCATTCGATCACTTGCTTTTGTGATTCGGAGATTTATGAATGAAGATATTCCTTAGAGAGCCCCTGCAGTGTTTGATTTGAGGCTGATATTTCACTTAGTGCAACGGATAATTATAACATGCACAAACCAATCGAGCATATCGAATTACTTGTCAGCCATGGCGCTGATATTAACACTCAAGATACCAAAGGAAATACTCCACTACATCGTGCTGGTAGATCTCGCTCAATAGGGATAGATAGGCGGATTACTGCCCTTTTGAGTTTTTAGGCTAATCTCAATACCCGAAACAAGCTTGGCGAGACTTGTTTACACGACACAAATCAAGATATTGATGTGATCAAGTCCATAATCGACGCCGGGATAGATTTAGAGATACGTGACATGGGAGGCATGACAGCCTTGCTTAGAGCCGTTACTAAAATAACGGGTACGAATGTGAAAACGATAGAAACGCTTTTAAAGCATTCGAGAAAGGCTTCTATCTCTGCCCGAGCATGGCCGCAAGGAAAAACAGCATTGCATTTAGCTTGTCACAAAAAGAACTCTGTCGAGATTCTCGAATTACTCATGAAATATGGCGCTGACCTCACTTTGACAGACAGTATGAATGGCAATAGTCTGTTACGCGAAGTCGCAGGATTGTTCGACGGAGGTTCTGGAAATGTCGCTCTGATTGAGTATCGGCAACAAACCGCTGTTCACATCATGGGACCAGTCAAAAGCTACAGTGGGTCATCGAGAAATATAACCAACAGAGGGACTTTCATCTCTATCATTCTTCGGCTCTGGCCCGACTTTGATGTTAATATGAAAGACATAGAAGGTTACACGCCCTTTCATTATGCATGTGCTACCTCTGAATCATCGGCTTTTGTTTTGGTAAAGGCCGGCGCAGACTTAGACGTTAAAACTTTCAATGGGCACACTCCTCTTCATTGCGCTGCTCGCAGACGTCAATGTGGTATTATATCAATGCTACTCAGCCAGGCTCAAAATTCAGGTTCGACAATTGACCTTAATGCTCGAGATTCCAAGGGAATGACACCTCTTCATTATGCCTGCATATCAGGCAGGTCCGAATCTGTCAGTATCCTAATTTCAGCTGGTGCTCATATCGAGAAGAAAAGCAAGAAAGGTGCCACTCCATGAGTCGCATGTGGTAAATACCCCGAGGGAAAGAAAATCTGGGAATTGTTACAGAAAAACAGTTCTATTGAGCTCAATATACGCGATCCCTTTAGAGTTCCCTCGAGCCTCTCTTGGTACAATATGCGGCCTCTCCGGGATGAGATAACACAGCATAACACATGTCGTATTGGGATCATTGCAAAGATATTACTAAATGCTGGAGCCAGTACTGAAAGTGCATTGTCTTTAGCACTCAATGCAAAATGTATCGAACTGATACATGCCATAAGGGAAAAGGAATCTACGAAAAGCAAGACATTTGCCGAAATTCAACTTATGGCGCCAATAGAAAATGTTGCAAAAGCGCTGGATGAATGCATGGACACAGATATTAATCTCATGTAACAGATCCCAGAATTAGATGAGATTACAATGGATCACATGGTAGCGAGAGGCTTTGATTTCACAAAGGAGGTTATATATAATTACGTTTGCTTAGGGCCTCCAATTGTTAGACTCGCATACTATGGAATGACCGAAGTTATGAACAAGATACTCTCCAGCGTATGTCCATTCTTTTCGTTGCTTACGTCTTTACACTCCCTACCCCTAAATCGGTCACTAACGCTGTTCCCTTTCGTTTAATTATTCACCGACTTCGGTTATTCCTTCAAGTAGAGAAAAAATCTCGAGTTCTGAGGTTCTCCATAGCCCATTTTCCGATTTCGTTCTACACTTATTACTTCAAAAAACTATTATTTTCATTCCCTCGCCTATCCTTGGTTTCCCCCAAAGCCTACTCATCGTATCCTCAAGTCGGAAGTGAATTAAAATGTCTCAATTGAAATACTAATAAACTTTAAAGGCAAAACTATTCGATGATCCCAAATTTACCGGCGCGATTGCAGATAGCCGGCCATTTAAATTTGATGGATGGAGAGGCATTCGACCACTTCTACAAGTGGCCTGTCAGCGGCCGATCTGGAATATGGATATGGTCAAACTCTTAGTTGAAGAAGGACATGTGGATGTGAATGCTCATCAGGTAATTGAGGAGAGTAAGAATGGTACAAAGACTGAAAATGAAGTCCAAGGAACTGCAGCTCTTCATATATTGGCAGAGGGGAATTTTTGGTGGCAGATAGAGGCTATTAGATACTTGGGTGAACATGGTATGTTTCGTTTACTTGCATTCATCTGGCACCTTTGGATGCTGAATATTATGGTTTCAATATCCTGGCATGCCACGGTGTGCTAATGTGAAAGCATTGGATTTGGTACCTACAGTCGTTCTCATCACAAGCATCAGCTAAAACTGAAAGGAAGGAAAACTTGCAGTAAAATGCTAATGTGACCTCAGGTGCCGAAGTAGATATTTTGGACGAGAATGGTCGGACTTCTTTAGAAATTGCCAGTACATACAGTGAACACGGTTCAAAAATCGGAAGGAAATTTTTCCGACCTCAATGCTGTGAGGCTCTACTAAAATTGGGAGCTAACCCTAATAAAACCAATCGAGAAGGCCTCACAGCTCTCAACAAGGCCCGTTCTGACAAAGATACCGTACAAATTCTTCTCAAATATGGCGCAGATGTCAATACGGGAACGAAAAGTGTATTCGCAACAGCAATTGAAAGCGGAGATATAGAAATGCTTCAGCTTTATCTCCAAAACGGAGCTGATCCTAATGGTCCAGATCATTCGACAGATTCTAGTTTCCGAGCTCAACATGAGACGGTTAATGTAGCCAGAGAATATCCCATTGTAATGGCAGCGCTACTAAACGATTATAAGGACTATTCTGCATCCACAACGGCAGAGATGGTAAATTTACTACTAGATCATGGTGCCAGAGTCGATTTACCCATTGACCAGCAGCGAACTGTCTTGCACTACCTATTCGCAAATGCAACATCGGCATCGCTTCGTCCTTTCTTCGAAATATCAGGAATCTATATGAACAGTAAGGATCAGTCCGGCCGGACTGTACTCCTATCCGCCCTTTTGAATCCCAATTCAAGAGAAATGGAGGTACATCCTGTACGATCTGGCCGCCATCAAGTCAAATCAGGATACGTGAGCCCCTACGTACACCTTATTAAATCAAGAACTCACGGCCCATCGCTCGACTATCTGGCAGTGGATAATGAAGGACGCCACATAATATTCTACTTGCTCCCAAATGGACCACCGGAACCGCGTCCTTATTCCTCCCCATCCCCGGTGTCGCTCTCTCATCGCCCAAAAGGATAATGAGGTTATTCTCCTCTCCAACGTGCTTTATCTTCTCGCGGATTTTCTTCATTCATATCCCTCAATGAATTTATTGATATTTTCTTAAACGAAGGAGGTGCCGATCCTCTGGAGCCTGATCCCAAATCTGATACGGCATTACATCATCTATCACGCAAACTCCCCTCTATGCCGCCGGATCGTCATCTCCCATCTATGAACCGATTTATCGCTTTAGGTGGTTCCATAAATGCACGAAATGATATGGGCATGACACCGTTACTAGCATATCTTCAGGTCCGGGGAGATCAGTCTAACCTTCCATGGTTTAAAGAGCATGGTGCAGATTTCAAGATCAAGAACAATGAAGGAGAAGGAGCGCTACATATTGTTGCCAAGAGAAAAGCTGGCAAGTCACAACTCTTAATCTAGAGAAGAGCGGATGGGGAAGAAGATTCCACTGCCCAATTATTTGAGGTGTTGGCTAAGGAGTACGGTTGCGAGGTTTTGGATGAAGATGAGAAGGGGAGGACGGCGTTGGACATCGCGGCTGCAGTCGGCAATAAGCAGATTTTAGAGCTGCTTCAGAGGAAAAGATAAGGCATTCAGATCTCAGTACCGCACTCGTGCTTAAACATTTATCTTTAATCGTTCGATTCTCGACCTAGACCCTTCGTGTATCTCTCGAATTGTCTAAACAAGTTGCTAACCTCAAATGGATTGTCATTGAACATTAAGCCATGCTTTGGATATAAAACGTGATGCCTTTGAGAAACCTAAAATTTACTATTCTCATGTCCAATTCCGCACCAAGGATCAAAATGCGAAAAGGGTGAAACTGCGCGGTTGAACTTCAGATGTTGTCTAGAACGGATAAAACGCTGACTAATCACGGTAAAACTTAGGAGAAATCTAATCTGCTTTCCCTTTTTCTCATTTGCTTGCATAATTGACAACATCTAGATCACAACCTCTTCCCCTCTTTCTCTTCAAAGCTATCTAAGGAAGCCATTTGTGCTGAACCCGCTTACAGTCATCTACAGCGGTCTACGGAAATTTGAGCCCCATTCACACGATGCGACGAAAACATCAAAATGTGGAGAAGTTGCATCTCTAGCCAACATAGGGGTCGAGAAGATTCCACGAAATGGCCATGCATGATGCATCGGTGGGTGGTAAATACCTCAATTCGCCAAACCGGGCGACTGTTTTCCCTTCGCTGAAATAATCGCTACATGATCGCTCCTTAATAACCGCGCGGATCATTCGTTACCAATCAACAACTCAAGGCTACTGGACGTGCAATGTAACGGTTGCAATCTGCCAGTTGGCCGCTGCTGCTGTCCCGTTGTTCCCTCATTTAGCCTTTCATCATGTACGGACTTCCAAATATATGCCCTGGCAACATCAGCATTTGACGCGTCTTCTTTCCTTCCTTCTCTTATCGGCAGTTGTGTCTAGGTTAACCAGGACCCACAAAAAAGTCGGAAACTATTTTTACCCCTGAGATCCTACACTACAATCTATTTTCCACTTCACGCTTCTGTTCTGCTCTCCATTCGTCATATACCCTATATGCGATCGCATTATGACCCCTATGAATTAGGCCGAAAAAAATGAAGCGGTCAAACAGGACATACATGCACCCCAAGCCCCCAACATAGCAAATTCTGGAGTTCTCCATTTTCACCCCGCTGCATATACTTTTCATTTCGACAATGACATAATTTTTCAGCGAAAGCAAGGATGTCTCCATCTAAATTTTCCCCCCAAATTCATGCTTTTAACTTTTCCCTCTCGCTTGCACAAGGTTTTCCAATCCGAATGCTTGAATAAGCCAAGTGAGCTTGACGATTCCGCGCTGAAACATCAGCGCAGTTCCACAAAACGACCGAACGGCCAATTTTCTCGCTAGCCCCGAGGATGTACCGCTCAAGGAATAACCCCATGTTTGCGGGTGGCTGAAATGCCTTTGCCAGCAGCCTCGCGCTGCAGCGGTGCCACTGATGTGTTGCCCGCTTTTATAAGGTTCACGTATCGGAAGTGACGTGATAATCGCTGCCCGAATAGTAAATCCGGAGAGGCGTACCAAGATATTTTTTAGGTACATTCTTGGTCACGTTGTTGGGAAGGGGGATGATCTTGCGTACCTGGCTTGGATCCTGATTAGTTTTCGATTCCACGTTTCATACCCCACGAGTCATTGCCGATTCTCTCCACATGGCTGCCGTGGGTGGTTTTATAAAGAGTTGATTATTCCCTTGTTGGTAAGGAATGTTTTTCATATCTTTTTTCATTATTGGATGATTCTCTTTTTATACTGGATTTGACTCTTCATCACTGCATGTGAATACACACTCTTTGCACAGACGTAAAAAAAAATATGGCACCTTATTTTGGTATGAGGGGAGGATGGCTCACATTCTGGGTCACTGTTGCTTGTGCAACGGATATGACTTTGTTCGGTTATGATCAAGGTGTTTTTGGTATGCCTATCCATCCCCTTCATTTTGAACTTTTCTAACCGAGTCTAGGTGGTGTTATTGTAACCGAAGATTTCCTCAATACACTCAATCTCAACGGCAAGACCGCTCTAGTTGGAACAATCACCGCTCTATACGATATTGGTTGTTTCGTAGGAGCCATTGCCGCCGTGGCTTTTGGTGAGAGACTCGGTCGTAAGAAGACCATTCTCTGGGGAACAACAATCATGACCATTGGAGCAATTCTCCAAATCGTCTCATTCAATGTCCCAACAATGATCGTAGGTAGAATCGTAGCTGGTATCGGTAATGGCATGAACACATCCACAGCCCCAGTCTGGCAATCCGAAACCTCCAAAGCGAGTCTGCGAGGTAAACTCGTCGTCATCGAAATGATTCTCAACATTGCTGGATTCTCCCTCAGTAACTGGGTCACATATGGATTTTCCTTCCTTAGCGGTCCCGTGACCTGGAGATTCCCACTCGCCTTCCAATTGATCTTCATTATAATCCTCTACGTTACCGTTCCATGGCTCCCAGAATCTCCACGTTGGTTAATCGCGCATGGAAGAATTGACGAAGGTCGTCAAATCATTGCTGACCTCGAGGATATCGATCTTCAAGATGACCGCGTAACCAATGATGTAAATGACATCATCTACGCCGTCGAATACGAAGAAGCACATGGAGTTTCCTGGTTTGATCTTCTTCGTGGCCGAACTGGAGAAGCTGGAACATCAACTATACGTCGTCTCGTTCTAGGATGCGGAACCCAAGCCATGCAACAACTAAGTGGTATCAACGTCACATCCTACTATCTCCCTACTGTCTTGATCTCCTCGGTCGGTCTCTCAAACACCCTCGCAAGACTTCTCGCTGCTTGCAATAGTGTATCCTACCTTGCTGCCTCACTCCTCGCCATTCCCAACGTTGAGCGCTGGGGAAGAAGAAATCTCATGATGTATGCAGCGGCCGGTCAAGCAGTCTGTTACCTTTTGATTACCATTCTGCTCCGCTTCAACGAATTAGAAGGGTATGCCCATCAAAAAGAAGTCGCTTCAGCCTCCGTCGCATTTTTCTTTGTGTATTACCTCTTCTTCGGTTTTGGCTGGCAAGGTGTCCCATGGCTTTACCCTACCGAAATCAACTCTCTCTCTATGCGTACCAAAGGTGCAGCACTCGGTACAGCCACCAATTGGATCTTTAATTTCATGGTTGTAGAAATCACACCTATTGGAATCGAGTCATTGAGATGGAAATTCTACATCATCTGGACGATTTTCAATGCGTCATTTGTACCGATTGTTTATTTCTTCTATCCGGAAACGAGCGATAGAACATTGGAGGATATTGATAGACTGTTCAGAGAAAATGGAAGTGTATTCGTATTCAAGGATGCAGATGCGATTAGCAGGAAGAGACCAGCTCGATACTTCGAGGCGGAGGACAGAAACGCGAGGAAGATATTGGGGAACAAGAAAGATGAGGTTGGATTTGGAGGCGCGCTGGCGGAACATGATGAAGTGGTTGAGTATTAGGGTATGGGGTTTAAAAGGAGGGTGTCTCCTGTGGACAGATATTAGGATTGGAGTTTTCTGGTTGGTTATTATGAGTTTATGTGTGCATGAGAATAAGCATGAGCATGAATATGGAGTTGGGATGGATCAATAGCATCATGAGCATTTCTTGGCAGAATATGACAGGAATTTATGAATAGAACAAAATTTAGGAAATGAACCATGAGTAAGCTTCCAAAGTATGAGTACGCAAAAGAAAAAACCTCGTGGATGTATAATTTTTACGAATTGACCATACACCAAAGAAAATTTACCAACAAATTGCATCTCGTTGCATGATCAGGGAACTCAGCACAGATCCCAGCATGAAATTCAAATTAAGGAGTTTCGGTAGTTGCGATATCTTTGGCATTGACATTTATATTTGAGCTATCTCCTCAAATCGTGGTTAGTAAGAGTTCTGGAAACTTCTAATCGTACACTTTATCGAAAAATAACCGTAACCTTATTTTCAACCCTCAATTATAAATAATTCATCAAAATTCGAATTTTCAATATTTTCTATTCAAACTCAAAATGATTGTCAAAATTCAAGATGAAAATGATAATTATGAATTTCATCAAAATTGGAATACCTCTCATAGAACTAAAGTCTTTCAAATTAAAAGGGATAGAAAATCGTAATCTTGAATCGAACAAAATTTGGATATACCTCGAAATACCATAAGAGGTATTATTAAATTGAATTCATTTAGAATTATTCATAAAAAGAAGATATATTGATCCTTTATAATAACAATTAAAGAGATTCAACGAATTATAAAGAAATTGACAAAAGATTGAAGGAAAAGGAAAATGATTTTTGAACAAATGAAATATATATTAAAAATTAAAACTTCGATATATACTATTCGATATAAATTATATTAATATAATTATAAACATTGTATAACTTATTCTAGATTATTTATCTTTAAGAAACAAACAAAAAAGAGATTGGATTTTGTATATACATATCGTTGGTAAGGGATAACCAATGTAATTTTCGAAAAGTCTAAAGAGGATGATTAAAGGAAGATTATATAATCAAACGAAAACATTTTCGAGGTTGGAAAATGTAATAGGATATAGGTAATTCGTAGGATTGAAAAAAAAAGATATAGGAATTATATCAAATCAATATATAGATCAAAAAGAACCTTTGTAATAATATAAAAAACTTTTGATTGGAATTATAAATCTTTATTAATCTTTTTAAAAAAGAATCTTGATAATAAAAGGATAAATTCAATAATATATCGGGATCAGATCCTTATTTCTATTGTATTCTCTTTATTTGATGAATTAGGATCTGAATATATATTCATAAAAAATAATACAAAGATTCATTTAAAGTATACTAAACTAATTCGATTAAAATATAGTATTAGAGGTTTTCAATAACCTTCTTTTTCTCTAAATCTCAATCCAATTGAGAAGGTATAATATTGAATAAAGAAGGAATTAAAAAAACTATTATTTATATCTACTTTTATTAAGGAATTGAAAAGGAAACTCAAAAGGTTGTAGAAGATATTTGATCCCTTAAATTTCAGGTTATATATTAAAAGATTGACCTATAAATTAGAAAATATAATTGAAATAAAAGGATTAATTATTATTCATTAATATATTATCAGATTTTCAATAAAAAATATTATAATATTGATTTAATATTAAATTTTCAAAAGTGTAGGTGAAATTTAAAGGGGGTGCGGTGAGTAATGACCAGAACTCTTACCTTGTATGTTTGAGAGTATTCCTCAATGCGCATTGGAATTTTTTAGGGACAATTCTCATTTCGAGTCTGCCATTTATTAAGTTCTTGTCTTTGAGATTATTACAAAGATGTATGAAAATATTTCAAATATCCCAGCTTGATTTGAACAACGCAAAAAGGACTCGGGTATATTGTACCAAGTCTTAGATGATATCGTATAATTTGAAAGAGGCCAGGCGCCATCGCAGAAGTTCAGATGGTCAAGCTAAACACTATAAAGCTTGTTTTATGAGAAGTGAACTCTCGATGCTTCTCGCTGCAGACGATAAAAAGGATGAAAAAAGCTGTCCATATTTTATTTCATTTCACTTCGCTTGGATAATGAAGACAAATGTCAAATGTACTTTTGTATAGAGTGGATCTTCAGCTACTTAAACTATTTGGCCGAGGGTAATATGTAAACATGGGCCGATAGGATGCTGGAAATGATTGTTCGAGACATGTTCGAAGATCAGGAATTTATCATCAAATGTCTATCCGATCAAACATCCACGATGTAACAAAATCCATTCGGGCATCAGACTCAGTTTTGAGAGCCTAGAGATCTCTCTTCTTGATCGTTTGAGCATCGACAGCGCGATATGAAAGGGCACGCTTATGCGCAGCCATGTCAAATTTGGGGACCTGCCCAGCAAGAACTGCGCGGTGATATTCCCAGAGAGTGGAATGACCTGGCTTCAACCAATATTCTGCTATCATCACCATCTCTATTGGAGCATACTTTGTCACGAACCAGTGCCAGTATACAAGAAATGCATGTGCATCTTGAAGTATTTGACGACCTATTATTGGATTCTCTCTGAAATTTTCAGGGTCCCGCGGCATCACAATGAAGATATGTTTGTCGGATCCGATGACATATTTAAGCTCGACATCCAATAGTGTGCCTGTCTCGGCCATGCTTTCATGGCCAAAGACAGAGCGGATTTCGTATGGGATACATCGTTCGTTAAAATCGAAGGCATAAGTGCACATAGCCTCTTCGTTCCCTGGTGAAAGTAGACCGCTTATAGCAGGTTGTATATTTCCATCCAAGGGGATGGATGCTTGAAGGACAGGAGGTTCGGCAATTCCATTCAGATTCGTAGATGGTTCAGGAGAAGCTTGGGTCGAGCTACTCGCAGCGGCATTCGTCATCGCAGGCACAATTTCCGGGGTAGAATCCGAGACATCTGTTGCAGCAGTTTCAAATCCTCGACCAAACTTCCCATCATCCCCTACTATGCATTAACACGATGCCATTTCAATCTCACCATCAGACAACCAAAACTTACAAAAACTCTCATATACCAACTTCTCGACCGCCTCCAACTTCTGCGTTTCGTTTTTTTCCTTTGCAATCTCATCAATCGTCTTTTTCACACTTCTGTAAAGTCTTCTGAAATGTTCTAGATTGATGTTCTCGTCGTCCATTGCTCGGACGAGCATTTCGCCTTTGATTGATTCGTAGGGCTCCATCTCTAGCTTTGAATGTGTTGCTGTGTATGGTGTTGTATATTCGCGGTCTAATTCCAAGTTTTAGTCGGAGAATCCCAGAGTGGTGAGGGAACCCGCAGCGGAAGTATGACTACAAGGCTAAACATTAAACGACATACGGTTTGTGGTTTTAGATGGAAACCTGGAGGTAAAATTATGTGAATATGTATCAGAGGTAGATATTTCTATACTATCCACTATGCAAAGGGGAGATGAAAGTAAGTGAAGATGAAAGTAAAAGAAAATGAATACTAGGCACCTATCAGTCAATGATATTTTACCCCGCAGCTCTTTCCTCACATCCCCACATTCTAGAAAAGGTCAATAGATCGATAGCCTTACCACAGATCCGGAAACGAATTGATTACCTCCTAGGTAGGCAATACCTTGATATCCAAACTCTGCTATTATGAACTATTCCCTTTGGCTCCCCTCCTACTCTACCTCTACCTCTACCTCACCCCTCCCTGGCCCCATCCAAACTACCTAGATAGACATTAATATAAAATACAAAGTAATTGTTACTGTTACTGTTATCAACTGACCATGAACGAAACAAATGACGCCGGCAGCAGCCAGCCAGCCAGCCAGCCTATGATGGAAATAAGAATAACATATAAAAACCAAAATAGCTGGAAAGAAAGAAACGGCTGAGGGTAAAAGAGGAGGGAGTACTAGAGTACTTGAATAAACGAAAACTGGATATGAGATTAGTCTTAATAGGTAGTCTACCAGATAGTCTATTGGATATGAGACTACCCAGTCTTAGTAGGTAGGTAGGTAGTCAACTAGATGATCGACTTGTATAAGTTTTACTTACTTACTTACTAGCTGTGTAGGCAATGAATCATGATACTCGAGTAACACATCCATCATCTATAACATCACATCACATCACATCACACCAAACCCAGAACAATATCCCCACCCTTTGTAAGCTATTTGTAAGATCTTATAAATATCGAAATAATTAATACAAAGCATACCATACCTACCAGATACTTCCCTCATAAAGCCGCGGCCCTCAAGAGTCAAGACGAGAAGAGAAGAGAAGAGAAGTATCTCCCAAAGCCACTCTTCAAACCATAGGTAATTAATACGAATATTAAACAACTCCTCTTAATTAATTATTCCATCCTATCTACCCTACCCTAACTCAGCAACGGATAAAACTAAGAAAATTCACATGTTCATCCAAAAACTCCTTGTTACATGCAGAGATAACGTTACGAGTAGCTTTCACTCTTGTGTTTCCGTGTATGATATCAATAATCAATAACCTCTTTTAAATATATCAATGTCAGTATGAATAATTGTATAGTCTTAAAGAGCTGGTCACCACTATCATCTATGCATCCTGAATTCAGGCTACTTACAGCATTCTAGAAAGATAGTTTAGCGTTTCATGTACAGTTATTGTTCTACCTAGTATTGATCTACTAGTCAGTAGGCAAAAGCCATACTGGTATGATATCATCAATAAATAGTGAATCATCGACCAACTACTTTCAAGTACAAGAAACTCAAGAACTAAAATAAGTCTTCCAAATGTTTTTCCCATTTTCGTTTGGCATTTGGGTAAGATTCGCCTGTGAGAAGGCAGGGTTGGAAGTATTGAGACAGCTGAAGTGTCTTCTGCAGCGGAGGAGAATGATTTCATTCAGAGTTCCGGGGATTTTGTAGGGTGTTAGATATCCGTGTTTTCCAAGTCCTTATTGACTGGAAGAGGTAGTGTTATAGCCTGAAGGAAAGTCAAGGTCAGGATGAGCCAATGGTATGTTTGAATGTTAAAGAAAAGGAGTAAAACAATGAAAGACCAAGGAGGTATGTACTAGCTGAGTGGTTCGATTATTCCAAGCTCGGTACAACAATCGCGGCTCACATTGAAGGACCAGGAAAGGTCTAGACCAAGCATACCAGATGGTACATTTAATTTTCCTGACAGCTGAATGATAATGAGTAGGGATTTTCATTTTCATCTTGCAGGTGTCGTACGATATGCCATCACAAAATGAGTGATTGCACAGGTCAATCCGACATGCATTTGCATTGTTCAAGTGGAGGGACCCAAGTTGCTTTATACCACCAACTCGAATCAAGAAACTACCATACCTATTTCACCATGAGGCATGGATGAACTGCACGGCATTTACACTTCCTTGTTAACAAAAGTCCGAACTTTGTAATTATGGATGAAATTGATAAGATAGACTCTTGCAGAGAGATGACTATAACTCAAATTAATTTGAATGAGGGCAAGAGAATGGTAGTCCTGATATTAGGGATGTTCGACCCTGGTAGGTTGATAGCTGAGAGAGATACCTGTTTCATGAGAACCTGAGAAAGTTGATGTTGATGCTGATGATAATGTTCAACAACAGTAGTAAAGCTTGACGACCTGAAATAAAATGAAAGAATGAGGCAACACAGACTATTTATCTTCAGCTTGTCAGGGATTAGTCCACCAGACAGTAGATCATTGACAAATTATAGGCTAAGAAAGCTTCAACATGGAACTAATGCAAGATGCCGATGACACGATCTGGAACGGTGTTGCATGAAGATGCGGTACTCCACATCTTGCATATGTTGAGTGATCACCTGAGTGAATACATATCTCCGAATGGCAATGGGATAGATATAAAATCTGAACGATTTCGGAAGAGGTAAACGAGATTGTAGGATGGGGTCCGCATTTCCCTGAGAATAGATGGCAAAAGCTTCAATGGCATGCTTACGATTGTATGAAGGTTGTACCAAGTAGCCACCATCGATGCATAGAAGCGCGAGCATATGCAGATAGATGTAAGAAAAGGGATAGTTTGGTTGGAATTGTTTTCCGGTCATGTAAAGTAGGGGTCTGTTTGTCGCACAGAGATATCGTGGCCGTCTCTATGCCTTGGAGTAAGATCTGGTGGGATGTTATGATCTCGTCCGATCGGAATGGTAGGGAAGTATAAAAGTGGCAAGATGGATCATATGTCGGTAGGTGCGAGTAGATAAGATAGAGTTGAATGTGAGGAGACGGATGCGGTACAGTTATAATTCATGGAACGGATATCGGATGTAAAAGATATCTTGATATGCAGTGCGCACCTGGTATCTACTAGGCAGATGGGCAGATTTGCAGACAGGTGCTTGATGCAGTGCAAGGAGGCAGGGAGGTGGATTGATGGGCGAGAGAGAGTGAAGGTTGGTGTAATGTAAACAGAATGGACATAATTAGAAGCGAGTGAAGGTTGATGTGGAATAATATATGGCCAAGGAAATGCAGCATAGTAGGTAAGATCAAGGTGCAGTAACCTTGGAAGAGGGGTTTGAAACAGCATGCAAAGGAAAAAAGCATTCAGCATTCAGGTATTTTGGTTGGTCTAGACAGGACTACACTACTTGCGCCACCAAAAAACTAAGATCGAGCTTGACCGAATTGAGTAACCCTCGCTCCTGGAAACGATGAATAAAGCGGGGCGATACTCACACTACCACCATAGTTTCGAGCCATCGTCTTTTTACCAGTAAACACACCAAACCTCAAATCGATCGTCGGACTGGGAGAGAAGCGCAACTTTGCAGATTACTCAGGGATTCCTACGATTTAAGTGGCAGAAAGGTCAGAAAAGGTCAGAAACGGTGAGAAACGGTGAGAAAAGGTGAGAAAAGGTGAGAAAGGCAGGAAGTGGAAAGAAGTCATGAATAACGACTATAGCCTTATGATTCTTTACTACGATTCCTCTCTCCATCATGAGAGAAGGAATGATTGGACCAATTGGAGATGCTCCCACTCTAAGGTACGACATCCTCAGATCCATCATCCATCATCCACCATCCACCATCCACCAGATCCATCAATCACGATAGTCCGTCAGTACCAGCGCTGAGTACATATCGATGGTTCAGCAACGTACAGATATATATGGGTCAACACGACACAGCATCAGCTTCAATATAAAATTGACACCAAACACCACATCAACTTCTTTCCCATTTGCACTTGGCCCGTCTAACTATCAAAAGAGTCAAAAATCAATCGAATCGAGTCAGGATCAATTGATCAAATGAATAGCTGGTGTTAGGTACTTCAGTTAACTTGAAGAAATACTCAACCTTTTTCTTCCCTCACTTCTTTCACTACTTTCCCTTCTTTTTTACTTTTCTTCCCCTTCCCTTACTGATATCTGTCTACACCTTTTATTGTGTGGATTGGAAGCTATTATTCATCCATTACTTCATTTTTCCATTCATTCCAAATCATCCACGCGTTGATTGAGCTTTCATCTCTCTCATCTTCCTTAACGTCCAATCAAAACTCATATTCCGACTCGGTTGAGGCATCTTCTCCATACTAGTTTTCCCATATTTCTTCTCCCCCATCCAACTTTCAATTCATTACACTACTATTCCCTACATATATCTACTGGTACTATACGCGATTCCACCTGGGCAATACTACTAGTCTTCTACTATCTTTTATACTTTCGTCCGTCGATATTCAAATCCATCAAAAAATCCACTTCTGCCCTAAATCTGCTGCAAGACATAGTTCCGACGGTTGATTTGTTCTCGAGTCAGTCTTGTGGGGTGAATCTTTCTAATCTCATACTACCGGATACTCTCCCCGAATCTTTCCATGATTCGCTTCTGTTCTCGTACAAAATTGGTTGCCAATTTGATCCCCCCCTCCATCTCCATCTCTCTCGAACAAAGGCATCAATCAATTGCCACAATTGCAAAGATGTCAGATTCTAAGATCTTGATTTATCTCATGCGTCGGGACCTACGAGTGGCCGATAACCCAGTCCTCCATTCTCTCATTCATAACAAGGATCATGGTTTTACCCATCTTCTCCCACTCTATGTTTTTGCCGCACAACAAATCGAGGTCTCAGGATTTATTCCTGAGGATGGAGGCAAGAGTCCCTATCCCGAGGCTAGAAGTCAAATCGGCTCGTTCTGGAGATGTGGTCCTCACAGAGCGAAGTTTTTGGCGCAAAGTGTTTGGGATTTGAAAGATGGTTTTGAGAAGATTGGGAGTGGATTGTCCATCCGGGTGGGAATGGTTGACGAAGTAGTGAAAGGATTAATCGAAAGTTTTGAAGAACCAGCCGGCAGCAAGGTTTCTGCAGTGTGGATGACTTCCGAAGAGGGAGTCGAGGAAAAGCGAGAAGAGCGCTCAACGAAGAACATTTGCGATAAGGCAGGCGTTGACTTCAAATTGTGGCAAGATGAGAAATATTTTATCGATGAGTACGTTCTTACATTCATTTCGATCCCCTGAGATGTACTGACTTCAATACAGTCGAGATCTTCCATTCGAAGACCCAAAAGACCTCTCCGACATCTACACGACTTATCGCAAAAGTGTTGAACCCCTTCGCGAAGCGCCACGCCCAGCTTTACCAAAGCCAGAAAAGAATTCGTTGCCACCTTTCCCTACCGATGTCCCACCCCAGCATTCTCCATTCGTGATTCCAACAAAGTATGAGGAGATAGAGGCAGCGCTTCTCAAGCTAATCAATGCGCAACCCCTAGCCAAAAATCCACCCAAGTGCCCCGAGAATGCCCTCTCGGTACATCCTTTTACAGGTGGTGAATCTCATGCGCAAGAACGACTCGAACACTTAATCACTTCTGGCTCAATCACTGGTTATAAATCCAGTCGCAATGGTCTTATGGGTACCGATTTCTCCACAAAACTTTCAGCATACCTCGCTCTTGGTTCAATCACTTCGCGTCAAATCCATGCCTCAATGTCTGTCTTCGAAGACGGATCCGCTTCCGATGATAGGTACAAAGACCTAAAGGGGTATGGAAAAGGCGAAAATGAAGGCACATACGCTGTACGATTTGAGCTTCTCTGGAGAGACTATATGCGTCTCTGCACTCGTAAATTTGGGCCCCAGCTCTTCCGTTTGGGTGGATTCAAAGCTGAGGAAAATGCACATTTAAAATGGAGCAGGCTAGATTCGCCAAAAGATGGTTTCTCAAAAGAGCAGATTCAAGAAATTGTTGAAAGATTTCTAAACGGTACAACTGGAATGGGGTTCATTGATGCTTCGCAGAGGGAAATCTATCATACGGGATATACAAGCAACCGCGCACGCCAAAATGTCGCTTCGTTTCTCTCTAAACATCTCTATATTGATTGGAGAGTCGGCGCAGAATGGTACGAGTGTATGCTGGTTGATTACGATGTCAGCTCAAATTGGGGTAATTGGCAATATGTCGCAGGAGTGGGCAACGACCCTCGAGGTAACGACCGTATCTTCAATCCTGTCAAACAAGCTTTCGACTACGATCCGAAGGCTGAATATGTTCTCGCTTGGGTTGATGAATTACGAGGCGTAGATGAGTTAGGTCAAATTTTCCAGGCTTGGACTATTAATGATGAAGAGAGAAAAGAAGAGTTGGGTATTGCCGATACGGATATGGTTAAAAACCCATTGAAGAGAATTGATTTCAAGGTCAATAGAGGTAGGGGTGGGGGAGTTGGAGGTGGAAGAGGTGGCGGTAGAGGTAGACCCCCTTATCGACCACATAGTGGAGATAGATGGACGGGTAGAAGACCTAGTTCTCAAGATCAAGGACGAGGCGGTTGGTATGGTGGAAGAGGTGATCGAGGCTACCAAACCCGAGGATATCAAGGGAGAGGATATAGAGGCAGAGGTGACCGGGGAAGAGAGATGAGAACGGGCATGATGGATAAGGAGAGAGATGCTACTGCAGATAACGAGTAAGCAAACGTTTCAATTTATGGCTTACGTTTTACGATTGCGCAACGGGACACGAGACCGATACGAAGACGAATGCACGAAGACATAAACATGATAATGTAATGGGGAAATTATTGAACTGGCAGCAGTAATTATGGTTTGGAACTCTGGCAAATCGGAACGGTGATGGTGGCTTATATCCTGGGATGGTGGGAACGGGTAGGATGGGAATATCTGCATTTTTGACTTTCATTATGTTGTGGTAAGATGAGAATTCACAGAATGACTGGTTTGGAGGGATAATGGGAGGGCTGGGATCACCGGTGGACGTATATAAACTTGCAAGCAATTGAAATAGATAATATTGATTTCGGTTCGAACTTTTGCTCTTTAATTTTCCATGATAGATGGCATAATGAAATAAATAAAATAAATAAATAAATAAATAGAAGTCAACAATATTATCTCTTCTCTTTAATGATATCAATCTTGCCTATGAGTATTTTAATAGAAGAGTATAATAATAATAATATTATCTTTTTTATTTTGTTATTATCACTCAATTATCATTATTTAAATCATCCTCACTATAGTATCATTCCCAGGGGCCTGCGCGCCCCGGACCTGTGACATTTTGAGAAAGTCTAATATAAATTTAAATATTTTATACATATTTAGGTGCAGGCAGAATATCGGCTTTGACTTTTAATATTTTATTATTATAATCATTATTATTTTTTTATAATAAGATTTATCTCTCTTATTTATATGACCTCCAACAATTATACTTAAGATAAGAACAATGTTTATACATTCCTAAAAGAGCATTTGTTTTATTGGAGGTTATGAGCTTGATGGGAAACATTTCAGAGTGCATCATTGCCATAACCTTCTCGGAATCTCACGTTCTAGTATGCCAATATTATTTCTATCTCTTTTGAGAACTCTACTAATAGGCAATAAAGGCTACTGACAGTTCTGAGCCCCACACCTTTATACATGATGCTAAACGATTCATCCTTTACAACAGAACAGGAATTGAACAAGCTCCTCTTCAGATATATTGCTCAGCTCTTCTAGAGGAAAGTGTTACTCGAAAAACATTTGTAAAGAGCTATCTCTAGTTGGGTTCATAAAATATCAAGGACGCGATCAAATTGGAGCGCTGAGCTTCAAACACTCGAGGGTCATTCGCATTGGGTTTCGTCGGTGGCCTTTTCGCCCGATGACAAGATGGTAGCTTCAGGCTCTGACGATGAAACGATCTGGCTCTGGGATGCAGCGACGGGCAAGGTACAATACTACAGCACTTGCTCGAAGACCATTTGAATCTGGTTACGCCGGAGCATCTTCCGCCTTTTGGTCTATACCTTCCTTATCTATAGAACAATTGGATAGTTGAAACAAGAGGTAGAGAAATGCGAAATATTCTTTTTGGCTACCTTCTGAGTATGGACCATCTTGCATAGCTGTTTCCAGAGGATCTATAGTTATAGGGTCTTCATCTAGGAGGATTTTCTTTCTCAAACTTGAGCATGAGAGTCATGTATGATATACATAAAAACAAGCTTCAGTATATCTATAAAGTAAATGAATGATATTTAAAGCTAAGGGAAGATATAGAAGTTAAATGAATTTCCAATCTTTAATGACGTGTTACAAGGTCACGTCATTGTAACACCAGGGGCATCGAGTGTTACGAAACGAGTACCCAGAAGATAGACATCCCCAGAAGATAGACATTTCGCTACAATCTCCACATATCCTACTTTCCAGCACCATCAATTGAAGCCTGTAGCTGTCTGGAATACTCATCAAGACTGACTTGATCGGGTTCGCTAATGTACGCGGCCTCGCGGAAGTTGTTCACTATATTGAAAAGTTGGTCAGCTGTTGTAAAAAAGAAAACACATGGTAGGAGGGGAGGAATAGAGGTGTTCAAGACGTACCCTCAACCTTAAGGTCATTCCATGCGCCGAGGATAGCATCCTGTGAGATTTGCTGCAATTCTGGCAAATCGGTTTCTTCAGAGTTCTCGGCTACAGCATCCTTGACTGCTCCGAGTTCCGCAGCGATGTTGTTCCAAGCTCCCCTCATTTCATCAATGGTAGTGATGGCTGGGCCAATCAGTGCGATCAAAGAAGTCAAATCTTTCTAAACAGACAAGAGAGTTTAGTAAATGAAAAAAAAAAAGAACGGTTGATGGAGATTTCATAATTACATCCATAAGTTTGAGACCAGCCACCAGCATGTTGTCAGCAGCAAGTTCATCCTTCTCATTCTGAAGAATTGTCTTCAAGGCATCAACTTTTGCCTTCATTACGACTGCTCTCTCTATGTAAACACCAAGAACCACTGCTGCACAAATGGTACCGATTGGAAATCTGTACGGTTATTTAATTAGATAAGGGATTTTTGAATGACAGAGGGAGTTCTATAAGAGGTAATAGAACTTACACGGAGGCATAAGTGACGGTTGTTGCAGCAATTATAATGTCTAGTACTCGTTCGTCATTGTCCTTTTGGATGATGTCTAGAATAGATTGAGACTCACCTTGCTCATATTCATCTTGTTCTTCCGTTATTTCCGTGGTTTTGCTGGCGATAGCAGTCGTGAGTGTATCAATATCTCCACCTTCCGCAGTTAGTTTGTCAGTAATAGTTTTGTCTTTTTCCTTGAGAGCCTTTTGATCACTCCTGAGCTGCTCTTCGAATTCCAATAAAGATGTTTTAACATTTGCAGCATCTGTCTGAAGCTTGGTAATTCCAGCAACTTGCCTGTCAACGAGAGCATTGATTACTTTTCGCTTGTTGGTGATGAGCGTTTGGTCTTGATCGGCGAGGTCTTTGCCCAACTCTTCAAAAAGGATTCCTCCATCTCTAAGTATGTTTGCATAGTATGAGCCGGCTGCTGTACCGCCCGCTTTCTGCGCGAGGGTGTATGTAGAATTGGCCAAGTCAACGATGGTTGGGTAAGTGTCTCTTTTGAAGACTACACAATGATCTTTGCACTTTGGACTGTTAGTGGTCTTGAATTCGAATGTTAAATTATACTTACAGTAGCGTGAACTAATAGAAGGGGGTCAATATATTCCTTTAGACGATTGTAATCGTCTGTTTGAATGTTTGTGTGGTTCATATATTCCTCTTTGGTTGTAGAAAGAAAGGCTCCAGTCCACTATGAGATTTAAATCAGTATTCTCTTGTAAAGTAAAGACAAAATTCACAAAACATCATTCCTATTTCCCAAGGATGTATATTGGGAGTCAAGCAAAGCACAATATGAGAGTCAAGATAGACTTACAACATATCTGAGGAGTTTCTGGACCTCTAGATGAGTCAATAAAGAATGGCCATTTTCATCGGTAAGACCATCTGGTTTGAGGGTAATAGGGGTAGTAGGCATGATGCTTAAGTTTGTAATAGGATTTCTGACTAGTGTTTGAATAAGGGAGGGTTGTGGACTTGCAATTTCGTAGTTAAAATGCTTAAAAAACTGGGGGGTTGTTCTCCTTTCTAGTCAAGTTACTCCCCAGCCTTCACACACCAAACACATTTCAATTTGCAACATTTTATTTGCGTTTATCACTCATCTGCTGTGTCCAATGCAAAAACTGGCTTTTTCAAGTCTGAAAGTGGCAGAATAAAACGGAATTCAGCCGAGGGGAAGTTTGTACATGGAATTGCGTGAGGAGAACTCAATGGCAAATACTGGTATCCTATGATTTTTGTTATTCTCAAATGAATTCGAAATTGGATGCATATCAATAGTTTCACATGCAGATGGATAGTTTGGTATGGTTTGTTGCATGGACCTAGACTCCTCTGTCTTAGAAGTGAGGGGAAAACCTCAATGAAAAAAGACTCTTTTATTATTGGGGTGATAGGCTGAATGAAAAGGAAACCCAGCTAGTCACAACAGGAGTTGTGTTGGAAGGAAAGAAAATTGATGAGGAAGATATCGTGGGAGGTAGTACGGTGTCACGATCGCAATGTTTACTACCGAAGTATGAAGAGATAAGATTATCTATCTATCTTTCGTATCATCCCTTTATCCTTCAATCAGATGCTCAAGTTTAGATCTGCAACCCAATTGTTTATCAATAATGCTTATCTGTCTGCTACTCAAGTTACGTTACTACTTTTTCTTTTTAATCACAAGTAATTATGATCGCAATATTTAATCAAATCTAATAGTCAAAGTTACATTATAAAGGTTGTGAAACAATTCAATATAGGAATCCAAGTAAAATAAATTCGTTTTAGTCATAAGTCTACTTACTATTAGGCTACGCAAAAATAACCCGCGGGTTGCAGATATCCATAGGTAATCTATACCGCGGAGTGGGTTATAAATCTACAATCCATTCTGCGGATTATCTATTAGGATTTTAAAACAATCTGTATTGTATAGATTATTTGCAGATTATTTATAAATAATCTATTAATTTATAATAATTAATATAAAAATTAATATAAAAGTTAATATAAAAAAATATAAGAATAACTTTAAAAATTTAAACAAATATCATTTACAAATGATCTATAAATAACTTATAAATAATCTGTAAATAATTTGTAAATTATTTGCGGATATTCATTTATTTGTGGATTGATGGACTATTTACGAATTTATAGATATCCACAAATAATCCACAAATTATTTGCGGTTTACCTATTCAAATTCTTCAGTTATCTGCTCCGCAAATGGATCATCCACGGGTTACCCTCCAAAAGCAATAATCCGCCCCGTGGGGCACCGTTTCGCAGCCTACTTACTACCCCTCTTTCTCTTTTCGGCCACCCCCTCTTTTCAGCCAACCCCTCTTTTTAGCCAACCTTTCTTTTCGATCACTTTCTCTTTTCGATCACTTTCTCTCTTCGACCACCCCCTCTTTTCGGCCAACGTCTCTTTTCAGCCAACGTCTCTTTTCGATAACCAGCTCTTTTCAGCCAACCCCTCTTTTCAACCAATCTTTCTTTTCGGTTATTTTTTTTGTATTTATTAATAATTTAGTGATAAACGAATGAATATAATACAATTATATTAGAATATTATAAGAAATTAAAAATAAAAAACTATATATATAAAAGAATTAAATTAGTTTTTGTTTTTGAAAAAAGATTGTTTAAAAAATCATTTTGTAATCAAAATCTTTATAATATTATATAATAAACGAATTTATAATATATTATTATATATATATATTAATTTATTTTTTATAAAATAAATAAAAATTAATAAAAATATAATTTTAATTTTAATATAAAAACTAAAGATATATATTTATATATTTTAATTTTATTAATTAAAAAAAATAAAGAACTACTTTTGAAATATAAAATAAATATATTTTTTTTAAATAATTTATTACCAATTTAAAATTATTATATATATAATTTAAGTTTAATTTCTTTTCAATTTATATAAATTAAAATTAATAAAGTTTTAAAATATAAACAAATTGTTATTATTATTATATTTATTTCATTTTTTAAAAAAATAAATTGTCCAATTAATTAAAATATAGATATTTAGAAAAAACCTAAAATTTATTTTTAATTATTTTTATTAAAAAGTTATTTAAGATTTTAATAAATTTCATATAAATTAAAAATTTTAATAAAATCAATTTTAAAAAATTTAAATTTTTCAAAATTTATTTATAATTATAGAATAAATATATAGTTCAAATTTTATTAAATTATATTCATTGATTATAAAATTATTAATAAATGAAAATGTCGGTACATCATGTGATCAACCTCGAAAGGGAGGACGTAGATAGCCCGTACCCCTTTCAATATAAATAGGTCCCTCTCCTTTAGATAGATAGTTGTGAGATTTCCTAATAAGTTATTAAATCACTTAATAATATTAGCCGAACCAATGATTGGATGATCACGTGATATATTAATAATATTCATAAATTTTATTATTATATGAAAATTCGATTATAATTCATATTGTGAGAAAGTTAAAATTATAAGTCAAATATATAAAGGTTTTAACTAGTTAATTATATAACCTTTTGTAATTAGATATAAAAGAAGAACCTTTTGCTTCTTCTTTTCACAATAATCAACCTTTTATATATATACATTTGAATCTATATAATATCAACCCCAAAATCATTGTGAACCCCGTTTTACCTATAAGTGATATATTACAATATAATCTAATTCAGCTTTCTCTTCCAATTCCCTCCTCACAGCATGCTATCGGGACGCACGTATCTCGACTTACCACTTTTACAATATCAGATTGATTTATAAAAGAATAGAATGAAATAAAAGTATATGAAATTTCTTATTTATCAGATTTAATATTATTGATTATTATTTCTTTTTATTATATAAAATGATTCTATAAGATTCGATTCAAATTAATCTTATTATTAATCATAGAATATACTAGAATTTCATTAAATATTATAAATACAAAGGTTTTCTTTAAAGAATCCTTTGAAATAACAAGACAGAAAAAGAAATAAAAATCTCTACTCTATTATTCTGACTTCAATTTATAATTATATTCGACTTTACCTTATTGAGCTTAAATACAACTAAGTCTTCCACTATTAGTATAAATAATAATAATATTATTATTATAATCATTATTATTTATCGATTAACCTCCGAGAATAGTAATCATCCATGAACAAATACAAGAAGATAATACTATGCACTGCATTCGTATCACCGAAGTGATACCAACAGAAAATCATCATTTTTGATATAAAAGAATGATCGAAAAGAGAGTTACTAGACTTGATTGAAATATTAATCGAATATTTTACCCAGGTGCCTAGTCAAAGATAAAGTGGGGGTCTCAGTAAAATAAATTTCTTCTAGTCACAAGTAATGATAATCGAAATATTCGGATAGTCAAAGTTACATTATAAAGGTTTGTGGAATAGTTTAATATTGGGGTCCAGGTAAAGTGAGTTATCTTGAGTACGGTTGTAAATGTATTCATGTAACGCATCATTCAAACCAAGGAAAAGTGTTGTGCTCCCTTATAGAAGTGATTAATAGAAGCTGTATGTAAAAATAATGGAAGTTCCGTCCTGAAAGTTTTGAATAATTCAAATCGAGAGCTCACAACTAAGATTATCTAGGCCAGGTCTATCAAAATGAGTTCCAACAACAATGTTCCCACCAACCCTGAAGGGTGGAAACAGTATTCAGAATCAGACTCTCTGCCCACCCTACCTCAGAAATCAAGTGTGGGAGTTAACGGATTCAAAGTGAGTTTTCAAGGACGGTAGATGTTAAAGTTGCTAATAAGTTGCAGTATGTTAAGCGAGACATATATGTTGATGTCCCAACTGTGCTTGCATCTGCTGCGAGTGCTAGGCAAATCAGTATATACGCAGATGTCCTTGCATTCCCTTCACCAAACATTAACATCGCGGTTCCAAAGTTTGGAATTATCAAGTTTATCACCCGGGTCGTATCAGCAAGTGGACCTCTTCTCATTACTCTTAGCCCAGCGGCCAATGAACAATCTGCTTTCCTCATTTATGGTTCAACCTTTGACCAACCAATCTCATTCAAAGTCGGCTCCGATCCCCCAGTCTCCCTTAATCTTTCTCCAGATTTAGGGAACCTCGGAGCAAAGATTATTCTCAATAACGGTGTGGCGACTCTTACCTACTTGAGTAGATACGTCGACCTTTCAATATCCGACGTTGAGTTCAACAAATGCTTATCGACTCAAATTCGTATTGCCTCGATTCTATTCTGGCTGAAACCAGCAATTGCATTATCTTTGGCTTCTCATGTAGCTAGAGCAACTGCTTCGTCGTTGACAGGCGCTCTTCTCAACCTTCAGGCGCATGCTTTGGGACAACAAATTTCGGCATCAGCTCTGACTGGGCCCAACATGAATTACGCGCCGAGTTTGTCACTTGGGCTATATAAGATAGTCCTTGATAATGCTATAGCAACAACCCTTGCTTTTGAAACCCAGTACAATCGTTTCTCGGATCGCCAAGCTCAAATTGCGGACCAAAAGTTGGCATGGAAAGCCATGCTTGACCGAGAAAATGATGCTGTCACTGTCCAACAAACTCTCGTCAGCAATGCTTTAGCCAGATGGGATAGCGCAACGGATATCTTGAACAACGCGGAAAACACTATGCAATTTCATCAAATTGTACTTAAAGAGAAAGAGATACTTTTCTCGTCAGGGATCGAACAATGGAAATTCCGCCAGATTGAGAAAGCAATTTTTGACGTATTCAAAGCCGTCATTGGTATGTCTGATGTTACCTTCTTCAACCATTTCGTGGACGTGAAAAGCTTACTAAAACTTTTACCAGGATTTTCAATCGCCATTGGTGAGTTGGCTATTGGAAACCCCACAGGCGCGGCTGCCGCACCAGCTGCGGCTGCTTCAGCAGTTACAACTATTGCCAAAGCCGCAAGTGCAACGAATGCATTGATTAAGCCCGACACACTCAAGGCTCTCAAGGGTGGCACCGAGGCAATTTTCAAGTTATGGGATAGTACAAATGCCATAGTGACTGAAGTCCGAGCACAATCTACTCGTGTGCCTTCAAGCATCAATTTGAACCCGGCAGGAGGGGACGTGTCGGGCGACGATAAGGGCAGTGCTGATTTGACATCTATCGTAAGTCTCGCAGCATGGGACGATTGGATGTTACAGGCAGATTCGCAACTCAGCTTCGCCATCGCGCAGAACATTGGAGGTGCCAGCGCGTACCAGCTTGAATTGCGTCGACATGCAATAGATGGGAAACTTCTCACACAGGCACGAGCCCAATCCGTCAAGCTTGGTAAATGCTCCACTAATTGACTCTTGAAAAGACAATTGCTAACTATACCGTGTGTTTTAGGCCAGGAGTACCTTCAATTATGGCTACAATTGCATGCTACGCAAACCAATGCAGCTCGTCTCCAACAGCTCTTCGATACGTATCAGGACGAAGAAGATATTGCTCTCGAAGCACAAAGCTATTTTTATGACAGAGTTTTGATGCTTCGTACTAGTATTATGATCTACATGAGAGATGCTGTGTGGGCATACAAATACTACACGCTTAATGACAGCTCGATTACATTGGATCCCCTTAAATCCATATTGGAATATCAACAAGACTCGAATATGATTGTACAGGAAGTCACTATAAGCAAAGAAAGATACTCGAGTGATGTTACAAGTGAGTCAAAGTACCCAACTCGTGGAGACTTCAAACTTATTTGCGTTAATTTAGCTTTTATTCCTACCACTTTGACAACTGATGTAAGTGAACATCACAGAATTTGCAACGAAAATTTGCTGATTGATTTTTGCTTGCAGCTACCACTGGACTATGCAACCATTGTTGTGACCGCTCTCCAGTCACCCTCCAATTCCGTCGTCATCACGCTCTCGCCGGAAATCTTGAATAATGATCCCAGCTCACAGAATCTTCCACCAATCACCGGACCCTTCACTGATGGTTCTATGTTCCGCGTCTCTGGTATGCGCGCGTTTCTCCTTGGCGCCGTACCCCATACATACACAAATAATACAGCTCTTGTGCGGCTCACCATCTCCACATCCGGCGTATATGCCGATGTGAAGGACAATACTGTATATGGCTTTACAATAAAACCCCTCAATCGACCTTTCGAGTATCTTATGGCGCGTGACGGTACAGCTAGTCTCCCACCAATCAAGGATTCGATTATCAAAAGTCAGGATTATGTCGATCCTACCCCATTTGCGCAGTGGACGGTGAAGATACTTAATCCACAGGACTTTGATTTGACGGGCTTGACGGGCTTGAAGTTGTATTGGGAGGGTAGTGCACATTTTAATGCTCATTAGGTCAATCCTCCAATAAGTTGTGAATATCAGTGATGAAATTCTGATATGGATTTGTCCCTCCAACTATTTTCCCTACTCTAGTACCATTTCAATACTATCTGTTATCCAATACTATACCTCTAACTTACTGAGGATATGTAACTACGGCATGTACATGAACATAACTATCTAGCTTGTAGCTGCAGTCTTGTTTCTCACTTCGAAAATTTGATTGGGGAATTTCCTCTGTTGTTTTATCTAGATGTATACAATCTTCAGTATCGGCGTACAAAACATCAAAAGAAGCACATACACTGCATATCAAGCCTAAATGTCAGGCCAACTGATTCCTCATCATGCGCCTCGAAAATGCGAACTTTCTCGTCATCATGGATCAATTTTACCGCTGAGATAGCGCATCTTGGTTACAGTTACGAATTTCCGCAGAAATGGGTAACCTTTTATTGGTATACACAATACATATCAAGCATCGTGAAGTGTGCATTTCTGATCTATTCTTTCCAGCTTACACCAAGTTAATAGCCATTTGATCATGCAGAACAAAATGATTAATCTTTTATTGGGATACACATAATAAGTGCCATGAATGATGCATTCTTCTCAGTTTAGCCAAATGGTAGGCGGTTGAGGCTGGCGGAGGTTATTTGGTAGAAGAGATGAATAAGTGGATGAATAGATAGCTGGCTAAGTTGGCTTTGATCATGCGGAAAAGGATGATTAATCTTTCATTGGGATACATACATGTATCAAGTCCTATGAATAATATTAATGCATCGGTTAATGTCAACTTCGACCTGCCGTTTCAAACAAGGGCTAATACGTATACGATATGCGTGTAGCTCAGAGTGTTAAAGTTCCCCGCTTTATGATCAACTTGCATGAGGTGGCTATCTTGTTGTATGTCGAAATCCCAGTGAAATTTTGGGTCTCATGGAAGATCAGGAGACTGTTAGTCTACGCCAAATCAGAGGTGTTCACCCCTCTGCCGTGCTGCAGAATAAATTCGCGCATTCACTTCTCTCGAATTTAAGTGTGACTATCCACGTTTGTTGCGATGCGGAGTTTTCCTACAAAGTGTAATCATCGACAGAGTAACATAGTTTGCGATGTGCATATATTATCCCAATGCTACAATGCCTGCGTTTTGTTACAGCAGATGTACGACATAGTGGGGGAACATACCTAAGTCTGTCCACAAAAGCTAATTTCTATTATTAATGCGTTGCTCTTATAAACAGGCATCTGCTTCAATCATCTTGACAAAATACAAAGAACAAAATAAACATTTTTCTTCCTTGCTCTTCATCACCATTATGAGCCATTTAACTTTGAAACCAGGTGGTCTTTTAGACGACCAAAACCGGTACTGGTACCAAAGGTTTCCGATTGATCACCTGGAACATTACAAGAGGATGTTTCCAGGACTCCCATTCGACTTTGTGAGCTATCTGAGCTTGAATAATGGTTGGAAGTATTTCCCTCGAGGCTTTAATAATTACAATCCCCCACAATCAGCTAACGCCATATTCGCAAATTTCAAGCAGGTATTATCAGTCTACTCGGTACTGTCTTCTCCTTGAAGCTAACTCATATATTTCAGCTAGCAACCATTAAAGGGAATATTGATGTGCTTCTCACCGTTCAAATCAGAGCTGTTTCACTGGCTGACCATCTGAGCAAAAAAGCGCGTTTACGATTTGAATAGACAGCTAAAGGGGATCTTTCGTACCTATGCTACTGAGGCACGTGGAAAATATGGTATACCACTTATCATTACTGAGATCTGTCAAACCCGAGCCATGCTGACTGACATCTCTTCTCGCCTTCCTCAGACACTGTTTTAGATATTATAGCCAAAATCGGTGCGGAAATTTCGGATGATGCGCCCCTGAACGCCTCAGATCTTGAAACCCTTCGTGGAATTGTTCAAGCACGTAGTGATCTTAGTACCAGCATGAAAACCATCGTTTCTGCCATTATCAACTTGCTTCACGGAATCAAGAATGATTTAGAAACAGCCATAAATAATATCAACGCGGACCTTTTGGCATTGAACAAGGTACTTGTGTTTAGTCCTGCTGAGCAGGATAAGATTGATGAAGGTCCAACACCCGATAACATCTGGGGATTTGGCGAAAAATTCGCCCTAGTAGATACATACTTCGTCGTAAGTGGATTCTCTCTACATTTGTTTGATCGCGAAATACTAAAGTTTTCCAAGATTAATGTAAATGACGCCGTCACAAGAGCTCAAGATGCAATCACCTTCGACATATCCCCCGCAATCACTATGATGGAAACAGAATTTAGTAAGTCGTCCCAATATACTTCCGAGCAACGGCCCAGAATTTCAGTGCTTACAAGTAATTAGGCAACTGGGATGCTATCAGCCATGATTTGGCTACTGTTCTACAGGATGTCGAAAATGAAAAAAACGACAAAATTGCGGAGTTAGAATTGCTGGACAATGATGCCATCCTTGAAGCGTGGCAAAATCTTGGTGATATAGGTATGTCCAGCGTCGGCACCATCGTGCATTGGTCAACCAGCTATCCGTACTAATGTTGTACTGTGAATATAGTCGTTCAAGACTCCGAGCTTGATTATTAGTATGGGGTGAACGTAGGATAAAATCGGGGTTAAAACTTCAGTTTCTTATTGGGTCTTCATCGGATTCAATTGCTTCATTCACTACTTGTTAAGCTGGACAGTTATGCACTTTAAACTGAAGCAGATAAATTGAATCCCTCTAAATGCTTAGTGATTCTAGAACTTGAGTTTATTCGAAATTATGTATATGGTATAGCCATTTTATACTACTCATCAAACCTTGCTTTTGTTTTGGATCGAACGTTTCGGAGTGGCGTTCACGTGTGGATCATTCTGAATAGCGAATATCAGCATGCAGACATGACCACCTTCTGGCAGCTTGATATGATCACTGGGGTTCTAAGACTCTTTCATAATGCGGAGCATAGACGGAACACTAGGGCTGAATCTTTGACACTCCCTAAAAAGGCTATCCATCTTGAATGATTTCCAATATGAGAAACTTTTAGGGCCAGTTTGGGTATCATTTTTTAACGTAATCTGATACAGAATCCGTATTTTCAATAACCTCTAGATTCCATAAATTGATCGATTTTAAATGATTTGATTGTCGGCTTGCCGACACCATAACCTTGCCGTACGCGAGGTTTACCTGGTGGGTGATATAAAATGAGAAACTCGCTTAAGTGACTCGCGATCCTGAACATCTGATTGGTCTAAAATACCCCGGTAAATAATCTAACAAAAAGCTTGGCATAAGCCTTACAACCTCAGGCAAATCTGACTTACAACTTTTTTCAACTCTATTGAAATCATTTAACTGTGAAATCATTCAACTCGACTCTATTAAAATCATTCAACTCTATTCATTCAATTCAACTCATTCAACTTATAATAATAATATTTATAATAATGATATTTAATTTTCAATTTCAAAAACAAGCTGATATTCTACCTGCACCCTAATTTATATATTCAATATTTCAATTTATTATAAACTTTTTAAAACTTAAATTTTTACTAGACTTTTGTAACGATCGTGTCGAGGCAGCGGCTGCCTGAGGTTTCGTATGGTTGGTAGTTGTAGGTTAAGGCTATTAATCACTGGTTATCCACTTGAAAGTGAATTCGTTACTAGATCAATTGGAATGTAGGTAAACTAATTGATAACTAAGTTGAACACGAAGCTCCTAAACTATGAAACTATTCTGACTATATACTAATGAATGGAAAGGAGCTTCGTGAAGCTTTAGAGCTCCAAAAAGCTTCTGGAGCTCTAGAAGCTTTCCAAGCTCCTAGGGCTCCTCATCACGTAATTGATCCTGAGGCCTTTCCTTTCCTGAAACACTTGTCCCAGGAACTTTCCTCTAGGAACCACTGGCCTAGGATACGATATCCTCTAGGATGATTTGTCCTACTACAGAAAAGAGACGTGTTTTAGACGATAGGGGTGTAGATTGAAGAATAGAACTGACAGGGTATTTATACCCGGATCAGCACTAGATCTAAGCTAAACTAGCGTACATGTGACCTGATAAAATTACTCTTGTTACAACTACAACCGATTAGCTAGGACACTTGCCCTATTCTAATATAGTTGCCTAGGACACTTATCCTAGGAATCCTAGGTTCCTATTCGTAAACGATTAGGCCCCTTGAAAGCAACAGTTAAATCACAATCCCCTTGTAATCGGCATATAAATCACCGACATCAATAATACTACTATAATCTAATCCGTGAATCGTGACAACTTTCTCAAAAAGCCAGGGGTCCGGGGGGCGCAGGCCCCTGGTATTTAGTATTATATTTAGAATTTATTTAATTTTAAATAACAATATTATATAAATTAAAATTTTTATATGACTTAATATTAATATTTTATTAGGTTAAATTTATATTTAAAGAATTTCTATACTCAATATTAATTAATAAATTAAGAATCTTAAAGTTTATTTTTGTTTATTAAAATTAATAAATTAAATCTTGATAATATATATCTATCTATTTATAAATAGTTTAATGATTTTATCACGGAAAAATGACACCACTCTTACGAATGGTTAATTGGGTTATATATAGAATATTCCTATGACAGATGTATATTAAGATTACTCCGTATATCATGACGAATTAGTGAGGCAATACTGTTACGAGGGATGCGATCTAGATCACGTGGAAGTGGCCTGGATCCTCGAATGGTTTATAACTAGGCGTCAAGCAGGGGCTTTAAATAATATCAATAGTTGCAATTCGTAACTAATAGTAGAGTATACTAAATGATTGATCTTGAGCACGAAGCTCTACAAAAGGAATCCTTTCCTAGCTATATAGACCTTCGTATCAATTGGATCATAAGGATCTAGTGGATCTAGGATACGATTCTCTAGATCCCCTAGATCCCTATGATCCATCACGTGACTGGGATCAGACTATATGTCCGAGCTTGCTGAGAGTGGGGAGACTACATGAGTCGATTACCATACAAATTTGTATACAAATTGCCTTGCTTTTCGGTGGAACCTAAGCTCATGTGGACAGGTTGACTGTTACCCTGTAACAAATACTTAGGCGAGGAAGCAAAGGGGCAATCTGTTCTACTACGATTTTAAGATTCACATCTATAACATTTTAACACCTTATATGCAGAATAAATATCTTTGGATCTCCACACACTACTGAATATACCATTTATCCATGCATATAATTCCTCCCATCAATCCAATCGTCTCTTCACCGGCTCCCAAAAAAGACCAACTCAAGCACACTATCATTATCCAAACCCAATTTAATCATACCCCAATCAACCCAGAATGAAATACCGTACACTTGATACAGTACAAAAATGCTATGTAAAAAAGAGAATTCTGCGAAACAAAACGCCTAACCGGTATATCACTCTGATCGCCAATCCAACCCTGATATACCATACCACTCCTCATGAACCATGTTTACAAAAGAAAAGTCCTAGTTGTGGCTTTGTTTCGTTATTATGACCGCCACTTGATTGACAACTTTTGTCACATGCCCTCCTTCATCCCGGATAAATCCAACTTGAATACCAAAAGTAAGTCGAAATCAAATTATCTTGAACGCCCCCCAGCAGCACCTGCATATCTATTCTTGATCAAAAATGGGCTTGGCATTTCATCCCTATCAGGGTTCCACACCGTTGGTTCCATATCACCAATACTTGATCTACTACCCCTCAATCTTCCTTCAACCTTCTCCTTCTCCACCATTCTCACTCCGAATGATCTTCCCTTTCCATTAGGACTCATTTCGATTGGTCTTCCGCCTGCACGAGCTTGGGCTAATTCGACGAGAGTTCGTCCGACCATTGTTGCAACTCCTGTCTTTGTATTGTTCTTAATCGCCTGTTTGTGTAGGTCTGCTTCCGATCCTAACTTCTTCGTCAAACTTGGCTTTCGTGTTGGACTTGCTGCCATATCATTGCTTGATAGATTCGTCATGCTGGGAATCTTCGAAAGTCTCTTAGTTACTGGACTTTGCGGTTCTTTCTTGCTGAACAGTCCACTTGGTTGTCTTAAGTCAATGTTAGGATTCTTTGATGCTGGCAAATTTACTTGAGTATTTAATTTTTGCAACGGTACTGTACGCTGCGAGATGAGGTGCGGCCTCGTAGCACCTTTGACAAACAGATTGGCTTTAGATTTTGGTCGTGTAGGTGAGGGTACTGGAAGATCATCCTCATCATCAGAATCGGAATCTAGAAGAAGAGGTTGTAAGCGGATCTCAGCGTTTGCGTTTGCAGCGGCGAAGATGTTTCTATTGGTTCCAGGAGCTTTCGTAGTATTATTCCGACGTGGAGAAAGTGACAAGGAGGCAATAGAAATTGGTGAAGGATCGGCCATTTCGATATCCATTGGAGTTCCGTGCCCATTGAACATTGTTTGTGCTCGAGAAAATGGTGTTCGGGTAGATTTCTTTAATGGTTTGCTGGGCTCCGGTGACATTGTGTGATCGGTGAAGTCTGTAGTCGTTGAATAGTCATCGCCCGTGCTACCAACAGATGATCTTGAGTAGTCCGTAAAATTCTGCGACGAACTTAACTCTCTTGCGGTAAGAGAGCTTGAGCCAGAATCATCGTCTGTACTCGATGATCGAGAGCTGTTAGCTGATCTTTGTAATTCTTCTTCAACTCGAACGCGGACCTCTTCCTCGAATTGTTTCTGCAGATTTTCCACTTCTATTTGTACTAAACGATTGATCTCCAATTGTGCTTTTACCTCCCATTCTCTACGTAATGATGAATCAATCTCTGCCCGCATAGCAGCCTTTTGGGCCTCAAGCTTTTCTGCCCTCTCTTCAAGCTCCTTGAATTGTTTAGCTGCCATTTCTTCTTTCGTTCTCAAAAGTCTGCCGAGCTCTACAACTTCTTTTTCTTTCCTCATCAGCTTTACGACCGGAAGGTTGAGTAATGTGACCGTGTCGACTCGTCGATCGGGGTTGACTCTGAGGCAGTCTTTGATAACGGATGCAAGTTCTGGCGAATAAATACTTGGTATTGGTGTGACTTTACCCTCTTTGATCTTTTGCACCAGCTGGAAATGTGATTTTGCGTTGAAGGGGACTTCCCGTGTACAAAGCTCGTACATGATGCATCCTAAAGACCAAATATCTGACTTCAATGTATATCTTTCGGCGGCACAGATCTCCGGGGACATGTAGAATGGAGTTCCAACATATGTAGAAGCGAAATCGTGAGATTCCATTAATTTTGAAAGACCAAAATCACCGAGCTTTACCGAATTACCTTCACCAAGAAAGACTGGAAATGTTAGCAGGATTCAGAACAATTTATAGATAAGGACTCACTGTTCTCCGGTTTCAAGTCCCGATGTAAAATCATGACACCAGGCGCTGGCTTTTGTGGTTTGGCGGTATTTCCCAATCCCATAACATTACTTCCTACTTCTGGCGGATCGACTCCATAATGACATCTGTACAAGGCCGAAACCAATTGTGCAAATATACTCCAAACGAAACCTTCTTCGGCATATTTGTTCCTTGCTTGTAAATCCTTGATTATTTTGCCAAGATCTCCATTTCCACAATATTCCATGTATAGATGAAGGTCTTGACTGGACTTCAGATGCTCTCGGTGATAATACCCAACAATGTTTGGGTGCTTAAGTGAAGAAAGAATGGCGAATTCGGCTTGTAATTGTTCTCGCTCTTTTTGTGACATCCGCATATAGTTGATCTCTTTCCGACATAAGATTTCTCCATTATTCTTTCTTCGCACCTTTCGAATGATACCAAACGAACCATGTCCTACACAATCAAGAGATTATATTAGCTTTGCTTCACTCAATCACAGTCGGCGCAACGGAGGAACAAAAACATTGGATGTGAACCACCTCAGTATTTTCAGTTTTTGAAGACTTACCTATCTTCTCCAAAACTTCATACTTGCTTTCCTCTGACATGATTCCGGAAGTATTATATTCAAGAAAGAGAGAGAATTTGCATTTATCTAAGAAAAGAAAACAATTGACATTAGTATTTGCTGTTTGGTGATTTTTTGTCGTTTAATTTGAAGGGTTGATGAAAATGATGAATTTCTTTCGAGGAAGTTGATTAATGTTTTAATGTTTACTTTAGCTGTCCGAGCTGTTGCTGAGCCAACGATTCCCGCCTGCAGCCAAACTACTTTCAGTCACCTGTCAGTTACATTAGTGGGATCTAGCATACCATACCATAAAGGCGGTGAGAATTAGCAAAATGTTTTTAAATCCGAACCTTATCACCTTATCCTAAATCTTTTATCGATAAGCCAACTTCCATTTGTGACCTTGCCACAATTTATATCCTCATCTGTCATTACGCCATATTCATCGTTATTCACTCTTCGCTCTTCATTGTTCATTGTTCATCGTTTATTGCTCATTGCTATACGTTTTGCTTGCTATATATAAGACCCTCCTTATACATATTCTACATAATGGTAAAACGAAAAGATGAGCTGGAAATTCAACTTAAGGATGAACATCAATTGATTAAAGAGGGTCAGTTGAAAGACGATAGTCCTCTCGACACCAGTCCTGAATTTCAAGAGCTTTGCCTAGCTAGTCGACTAGGGGATGTCAAGAGATGTCAGCAAGCAATTAATACTCCTGGAATCAATATTAATGCTAGGGATTTGTTTGATTATACACCATTGATCTTGGTACGGCAAATAGTATCCCCATACGTTTTCTCGCTGACAAACTCAAGGCAAGTCTTTGCGGACATTATGATGTTGTTGAGCTACTCCTTGAAGCCGGAGCTCTCTGTGAACGAGATACATTTCAAGGAGAGAGATGTTTATACAATGCATTGAACGATCGAATTCGAAACCTTCTGTTAAAGTACGAATATTCGAAATCTAGAGATCCATTACAACCATTCGCTTCTCATATCACCTCTCTTCTTTCCAGACAGACACCTGACACTTCGGATATTACAATCACTGCCGGATCAGAATCATGGAATTTACACAAGATGATACTTTCTGCGAGGTCACTATATTTCCAAGGAAAGCTTTCTACAGACTCGGAGACAACTTCGTGGAAATTTCCCTCATCAATACCAATAGAATCTTTCCAGGCTACTTTTCGTCACTTATACATGGGAGAAGTATCTTCGGATCTTGGCCTTAAATACAATAGTTCTGTGAACGAGGTGGATGTTTTCAAGGGGATTGAAAAGCTCGGCAAGCAGTTCCAAATGGATATGGATTCATTATGGGAAGGGCCTTTAAGTGGACGTGATCAGAGGAGGGCTAGACAGAGGCGTCAGGATGAAGTTTCAAGAGGAAGGGACCAGATGGAGTACTGGTATCGAGAAAATGTTTTGAAGCATAAGATACATATCGACAGCGTGAAGGCTAAGGATGTAAAGTGGACTAAGGATAATTCCATCTTTGCGGACGTCCTGTTGCAGGCAGATGAAGATTTAGTAGCGGAGGAAGCTTTGAACTCTAGACCAGAAACGCCAATACGTAACACAAGTGGTATACCTGTGGGTCCCTCAAGCTCATTATCATGCGCCACATCAACTAGCCAACCTCGAAAATCAATGCTCTACCCAGCCCACCGAGCCATGCTTATTCGGTCAGAATACTTCCAGACCATGTTTAGTTCCGCCTTCTTAGAAGCTCAACCTAGTGAATATTTGCATGTCATATCGGTGGATTGCTCCCCTGCTGTCCTAGAGCTTCTTCTCGACTACTTCTATACCGACAACGTTGATATCCCACTTGATCTTGCGCTGGATGTTCTTTTCACAGCTGATACGTTTTTTATCGAGAGACTCAAAACCAAAGCTGCGGTAGTAATCAGTACTCTTGGGATGGGTACGGGTACGCTAGCAGATCCTACACATAAGACTCCTGAATCAAATGTGGAGCTCATCAACCCTTTTGATGTTATGAGAGCTGCATGGTTGACGAGAGTTCAAAAACTAGAAGAAACTTGTGCTAAATACTTGGCATATAATTTGGAATATTACATTGACGACCCGGAATTTGAGGAGGTGATTAAAGAGAGTGCAGCTAGAATTGAAAAGAGACAGGAGACTGACACTATTGAGTTACTTGACGAGTATGCTTTCCCATCACTTCTTTACCCACATTAGCAAATATAAAAACTGACATGCATCTAGTATTCGCTTCTATCTCTCCGAAAGATTCCGACTTCGATTTGAAGACTCAGGCCTAGAAGAAATGATGGGTGAAGACGTGGATGAGAACGGGCATGAAGCTCCTGCTCTTGAATCAACGATGAATGGACAGATCAGAACTCTCAATGGCGAGATTGCCGGTGATGAGTTCGCCGCAGATGCGATGAACTACCAGACATTACTTGGAAAGATAGATACCTTGTTAGAACGATTGAACTTGGATGCTTAGGCTACGTTAGATTTTAAGTATCATATCATTATTTGTATGGATGATAGAAAAACATATACATATATCTATCTATTCTCGTCCCATACCTACTCAATATTTACCTCGTATCCTATCAGATCCGTTTTGTCATCACATATATTGTCTCTTCTTCAATTCCTTGAACTTTTTGATTTTGGAGATGGGCAGATAATTGATACTCTGAATTCCGACACAAATGAAAGCTGGATCTTGTTAATGGCAGAGAAATTGGCGTCTCATATATGAAATAGCAGATTGACAGTCATTAGGTAAGAAAATATGCAGAAGTCTGCGCAAAATCAACGCAGACTAACTTTTGCCAGGAAAAATATGTTCAGTAAGTATCAGGAGGAAAAGAGGAGTTGTGATTTCGTTCTCTCGGATAGATTACAAGGTTCCGGAGTATTTGCCCGTATGCAAGAAACGAGAAGAGATATTCCGGCATCGGTAAATGAACGAGTAAATTGGAATTTGTGGCTCTTCATCGTATACTAGAGAATTGCAGAAAGGTTTGATAAATTTGTCTTTACGTTGATAGCAGTGGGTAACTCACTGACGGGTAACTCAATTAGTTCGCGGAGATGATCCTGGAATGCTTTTCGCGAGAGAGAGAAAAAGGGGTGTTTTTGATCTAAGATCTTACCTATATGACGTTATACTATGCTATGTCATTAGCGGGTTAGGATTCTTGGCTCGTGTGGTTTGCGTCGTTGCTAGTTAGTGAGACTTCTCTAAGTCCTGCAGGAGGTTGGCTTGCTTTGAGTATATCCCAAACGACCTTGAAATTCTCTACTCGGACTGAAAATTTAGCACAAACATCGCCAATTAACGACCACTCTAATACTCTTCGCTTGCAGCTCCATTTACCTTGCTAGGCGTTGAGGTTTGTCGGTTTTCTGAACCCGGCGCGAGGAGTTGTTCAAGTATTTGTGGAATTTAACGTTTGAAGAGCTTCGTTGAAACTCCATGAGATTGTCTATCGACTACGTTTGATGTAAGGTCCAGCACCAAGGTGCAGACATTTTGACTGATGTGATCTTGGTGTTCATTGGCGAACAAATGCTCACCCCTCCATCCATCACTATAATTTTAACGAGGTCTAGCCAGTGGTCAAAGCGCACCTACCCCACCCTATACGACCCTGCCACTATTGATACGCCACTCTGACTGTCATCGTCGGAATCATCGAGTTGCAAAATCGTATTCGAAAGTATGGGTGCTGACTCATAACTAACGATGACTTAATTCCAAACGCCATCAGCTTTTAGGAGCAGTGTTCCTCCTATAAATAGTGAGGGACGAGGAAGGAAGTCATCAATAATATACTTCAAAGAGGAATCAATGGCACAATACCCAGCTCAATCTGAGCGACTTTGGCTAGAGCCATTGTCCGCAGATAAACATCTTGATGATTATCACGAAATGCTGTCTGATCCGCGAGTTGAATCATGGACGTGAGATGGGCCATTCCAATTCCTGCCAATTCTACCACCTCTCGATCTAAAGCCATTGCTAACTCCCAATCAATGTAGAAGACCAACTGAATCTATCGCCGAGAGCAAAGCATTCATGATCGCAAGAATACCAAGTCCTGAAAAGCCATGGATTGAAAATTATGCCATTTTACTGCGTCCGAAATCATCTTCCTCGGTTGACGAGAAGCCCAAATTAATCGGCGCAATTGGAATGATAAGATTCGAAGCTGGACATGGCGCTGAGGTTGGTTACGGTCTACATGCTTCATATCATGGCAAAGGATATGCTACTGAAGCTATGGAATTGTTCTTGGGGCTTTACTGGAGCAAAGAGAGTATGTGCTTACAACGCCTGTCATGGTTGTCTTGATTTTCTAACTGGAATACAGGAGAAGGAGACTGGAACACATTGGTTGCGGCTATAAATCCTGAGAATATTGCCAGTCAGAGGGTAGTAGAGAAGGTAGGTTTCAAAGGAGGGGACTTCCAGGATGAGGAATACGAATTGTGGACGAAAGGGGGAAAGGAGAAGAAACGCGTCAGGCATAGGGAATGGTTATTGTCCAGACCGGTATGATGGCCGTTACCATCGGAATGTAATGATTTATGGACTTGTTCTCAATTTTCAATAGTCATAACTAGTTCCATATACAAAAGTGCATTATCGGAATATTTTTACACACAACTTTTATACTGTTCTCTACTCATCAGTGTGTGTACCTGCCACTTAGCCATGTCGGCATGGCATTTAAACTGAGCCAGCTAACCATACCTATGCATTGTTCTTCATCAACAGACGGGACTCATTAGGCTAGTGCTATTTCCAACCGAATATCTATATTATTTACCTGCTCATCCAATATAGACTGAGTAATCTCACTCCAAATTCTTCTCCTCTCAGTACCTAAGCATGCCACTCCCCACACAGTGAATTCCAACCATCTACTACTTGAACATATCAATCAAGAACAATAACTTTCTAACTAACATGAATTTCTCCCAAGTATCAGATTACCAACTGTTCGCACATACACGAGAGTAAGGCGAAGAAGTAGAAATTATGATAACGCACAGTGGGAATTGGACGCCGGAAATACTTTCCATCCTTCCTTTTCTTTGGTCGTCATTCGTATTGAGTGCTCGATATTTAGAATATACACACGAGGTTGGGTCTTACTTGGTTTCCGCAAGTTGGGGAGGCTATTCTGCGAGATGAGAGAAGTGTCTCAGATGAAAATGATTGGTAGCATCGTCGAACGTGGGATATAAAATCAACCTACATCATGGGGTGACTCACATGGCGGAAACTTTGGTTCTTTGAGGAAAATTTCTGGACTATTGAGGATTTGCAATCTTGGTCTTAGATGTTGCGGCGGAACGATACGGGGAAATTACTGGTGTGGATAAGGGCACAAGAGCTTACTCAAGTAGAAAAGAATTCCACATCACAAGTTGTCATAGCTTATACTCGGGATTAAAGAACGGGCAACCACTACATGGGATCATTGGTTTCAATCGTTATCAGAGACGGAAAGATGGTATTCAATGCATGTGTATAGATCGTCCCGCTTATACAATGTACAAAAACGATTTCATAATTTAAAGGTTTCGATACTCAAAAGGTTCCTTAGTAACAGTGAAGCATCTATGCACTTCCCGCAGCTCCATACTCAGCCAAAGCTTTCGCCATGACTCCGATCCCTTTCGAATCCAGCTTGGGCATTGCAACTTGATAATCATAAACAAAAGTGACATCGCTATCTTCCGTTTCGAATAGCTTCATATCAATAATTTCACATAGTTGTTTCACTATCTTGTTGATCAATGGTTCAAGGTGTAGAACATTGCGTTTGCTGAAAAAGGGGCTCAATGCTGCACGTCGCTTTTTGTGGAAGTCGTAGCGAGCTGTCGTTCCCGCACCTCCTGCACTCTAAGTGTTCGCAGCTGATATTCATATTTGTTTCTAGGCGAGGCCAATAGAGGATAGACTGCATCTAGAAAACCAACGTCCTAAATATGAAGCTTGTGGGTGTGATTCGTACGATAAGACTTTAATATATTTTGGTATCAGAAGTGATCTATATACAGTTCACCAGTGGGTGCACGGACTCACAGTCCGGCCTGTAAGTAAACCACAAAATCAGACCAAAATTCAATTAAAATTCAAATCTTCGAAGAAAATATCTTAAATTGAAAATTTAGAATCAGAAGCATAAGATATTTTATATCTCAAAAATGATTGTATCATTATCAAAATTGAAAGTTTTACAAGCTAATTTATCTTTCCTTATTAAAATATTTGATGGGGAAAGGTAAGATTATATTTTTTATTATCAAAATCATATTCTTTTTGGATAATCTTTTAATATGTTATATTTTGATGCTTGATCATTCTTATTTTCAAATTTCAATCAAAAGTATTATGAATTTAAATTTTAATTCAATTTTTAAATAGCCGATTTTGGGTGTGATTTGTGGTTTATTTGAAGGTCGGACCGCGAGTCCGTGCACCCACTAGTGGTTTTCCTAATTTACCATATTTTTATAAAGTTCTTGATTTTTGAAGACATATTGGCCTAAATGAACGACTTCATAGTAGAACTCATACCACCATGTAAGTGCTGCAAGTTTTGGGCCGGCAATATTAGCTAGGGAATGAAAATATAACGACGAATAGCTCCACCAATAGTTAACACCAACGACGAGACTACTATTGTCTCGATAACTTGGATGAACGTCATGTGGTATCTGCCGCTTTGAATCCAAAATCTAGCTGATCATGATATTCCCAAATTTTGTGAGAAAACAGATATTTTGATGACACAGATGGAATCAAAGACGGTCTATGTAAATAGATAATCGCGGACGAAGTAGAAATGTAACGATGAAGAGAGGGTTGATGCATATTTCTATCTCGAGCTCTTTCCATGTAATATTTCAACCAACTGCTGGAGAACCAAAACCGCTCAAGCATGTTATCAAGATTGAATAACCAATCAAACAGCGGAAAACCTTAACCTCAGTGACCATTTGCTGGTTTGACTTCATTGCCTCTGAGTCTTCAAGATAAGCTGTAGAACTTCATGCCTTGTATATAAGGCATAAAATAATGGACCGAGGCACTTTGAATTTGAAGCTTCCAAAGTTGTGTTGGAGCTCTTGAAAGACGAGATTGATCATTCACAATGGCTTCCCGGCTGCCAATTCAAGCATGCCGTTCCCACCAGAGCATCTTTCGACAGCTACCACAGTCCTCATCAAGATGTCGACAATCGCTTCAATCACAATTTCTCCCAAAATGGTCGATGCGATCATATTCAACTCCCCCGCAACCCATCAACCATAATCCTAACGCTACTCCCGAATCAGCATCTCCATCACCACCTCAACACCGCGATTTACGGTCTCAGTTTTCTTCTCAGCCAATTTCGCTGCCATCCCCGCCTTCATCGCCTAAACAAAAACGGTCACTCCGTCCCACGATCTATGCATCCCTCTTCCTCCTTATCGGACTAACAGCCGGACAATATGTCTCGCTTGTCCTATCACCTCCTGCACTCCCCGAGCCATCTTCTCCTCCCGACGAACTCATGACCTCTTGGTTGCACGCGCAAGCTTCAAAAATTCCACTTGTACAATCACTCACGGAAGACCCTATTTGGCAATCATGGGATGCATACTCCACATTCACACCCGAAGAACGACCCCATCGACTTACCACTGGTCCATTGGGAGGATCTCGATCGATAGGAGGTTATCAGAGAGTATTCTATAATTCTACCACGGGAGAGTTTATTTCAGTTGTATATTTGGGAGGAGCGACAGGAGGCTGGCCTGGTGTTGTGCATGGAGGGTTAATAGCGACGATTATGGATGAGTCGTTGGGGAGATGCGCGATTAGACAATTGGCTGCAGGAACAGGGGTTACTGCTCAATTGACGATGCAATATCTGAAACCAAGTGTTACTAACGCATTTTATGTGGTGAGGTGTATGCCCATTTTAGGAGAGGAAGGAGGCGGCGAGAGAAAGAGGTGGGTGGAGGGACGTTTAGAGACATTAGAAGGGAGAGTTTGTGTGGAGGCGAAGGGATTGTTTGTTGCACCTAAGAACTATAAAACGAGGATTATTACGGGAGGTTTTTGAGAGATCATAGAGTGTGGAATGTAGAATGTTTAGATGGCATGCAAAGTGTTCATAAGTTTCGAGCACATAGAGTCGAGATGACTACATCTAAACTAATACAAGCTATCTAGACAAACTAAAAGGTTAAATTTCCTGATAAATTATTCTCAAATCTCTCTCTCAAATATGGTGGAACGGTTGATACTCGACGCTGCGAGTGCTGTGGCCGTCATAGAAACTCCACTCATTTTAGTCCAAACTCCTGCTCTCAATATTTACAGGATTTGCGAATTTCAAACGGACTGAGTGCTTCAAATACCACAATGCAAGGGGCACTTCATCATTTAAAAACACTGAACTTCTCAAATAAGCTAAGCCTTTCAAGCAAGTCGAACTTTCGCTGTTAGTCTTACAATTACATCCATCAATATGCCTTTCGCATCCCACTGAGAAGGAGGGCATTTGCTCTGTTAAAACATCAAAATGACGTTAATCAAAACAAGACTATCAATGTCAGTCAGTGCATGAAGGCTCATCTCCTTATCTCTCTCATTTTCTCTGCTGCTCCAATCCCAACAAACTCCTATATAAAAAGTACACACTCCCCAGAAAATCAATGCAAGTCTATATAAACGCCTTTCTTTTCCTATTAACTATCTATAATTATGGTACTCTTGGTATCTGAATCTAGTTTTGACAATGAAGGGCAGTTTCTGGCGAGGATGCTAGCAAAGTGAATTAAATTACTGTTAGTCTGCATAAACTTAGCTCTTTACTCTTCATGCCCTATGCTGGCTAATTATTTTTTGGTCTATGGGCTTCCAGCTACATATTCTTCGGATCTGGCTTCTAGGAAGCTGTTTCTGTGTTTTATGATTTTAGGGCTGTGGTTTTAACCCTTCTTCTGAGCTGGAGCGGGAATATTTCTTTCCGACCTTCTTTACATCCCTCGGGGCATAGGAAATCTTGAATTCCTCACTATTTTGGAAGGGATGCCCGGAGTTAACAAGTTGTTATTTACATATAATGCAGTCCCTACCTTTGAAATTGCGCCCAAATCAAAAGCTTCCCAGCTTCTATGGTGGAGCGCAACCAACCTCAAAGGATCAAGCATGCCTATGCCAGTGGGGCTATCGTGCGCTATTTTTCCATGTTTGGACATAGATTATACATAATTTACTTCTAGCCCTAAGTTTCTCAATGTCAATATAATACATCCAATTCCTTAGCGAGAGGTAGCTGTGGCCAGGATCATTTTCAGGTCTTTCTGTGATTACCCAAAATACTTGTGACTGTTTGACGATTGAATCAACAACAATTCGGAGGCTATCTCTCCTCATTTATCATCAGAACTTTAAGTCATACATTTTGGACATCTCTTTAGGTTTATAATCAAGGCCGGTGGTAAGCTATTCAGGGAATTGAAAACATATATTTCAATTGCTGTAATGTATCAGGTCCAACTTTAGGAGAAAGCCTATCCAAGAAAAAGCCATCATTTGACGGGAGAAGGCATTTTAGAGAAGATTTTTGTTATGGATTTGGCTTTTTGTCTTATGGGTGAGGATATAGTAGAATGAATGGATAACCACAATTTAAAGGGTGAAAAGCCATGCCATCTAAAATTCTAAACACAGGAATAACTCGACCAACTATATCATCTACCATCAACCCCATAATTAGACAGTTCTACCCGCACGTACGCAAGGGCTCAGAGTGAGCTAGCTAGCTATCTTAGAGCACGAAATCACCTATTAAGACGGGGGTACAACGCCTTAGGAATTCCTCAATATATATATATATATATAAATTCAAAATTCCAAGGACCGAAAACAAATGGAAGAGCAACTCTGAACACAGGAAGATGACGAATTCATCAACTCCAATCATTTCCTTTCCTGAAATCGAAATCGAATATATTGGATAATTAGAGTAAAAGAACGAAGTCTATGAAGCCTTGTTGAATAGTTCTAGAACATTACATTTGCGAAGGTTGTTTTTTTTGTTTTGTAGGATTAGAGATGGTAGAGACACTAGAGAGTTGAGAAATCGAATCTCGATAGCAGGAAAATGTACGGGGGATTTATGTTACGAGTTCTTAACCTACAGGGAAGGAGCAGGAGGGTTATATAGACGAGGATGAGGATGAGGATGAGGATGAGGATGAGGATGAGGATGAGGATGAGGATGAGGATGAGGATGAGGATGAGGATGAGGATGAGGATGAGGATGAGGATGAGGATGAGGATTTGGATGTGGATGCGGATGTGGGGGAGTTGTTAACCTATATATAGAACCAGGTGAACAAGACGAGTTGTTTGTAACGGGCAAGGAAAATGTAAAAATTTGGTCTTTTGTCTTCCATGGTCTTGTAAATAATAAATATGTGTGTGGCTGTGAAATTTTCACGAAGTCAAAAGCTAGTTGTTTTATTTTCTGGATAGTGCTGGATGTATTGGTGAGGATTATAATGTTAGTGAGCACTCTTGGTATATATTCCGCTGTGTACGTGCTATGCTATATATTGTGTTTGATGCTCGTTCTTGCAATTCCGTGGACCTGCGCGGCTTAGAGCTTGACATAACTGGAAACATTAGAGATGATCCAACTGGGGATTCCGGCAAATGTCATGGCCGGCCCAAAAGCATTCATCCCACAACCGTTCTCCCAATCTACAAATTACTTTGCTCCCTCCAACGCTCCAAAGATACTCGCCAAGCTCGAATCGGAAGCCACTCCCGGTGGCAAGTTCGTATTCCCATTCGCATTACCGGTGCCTTTTGGTTTGTTTCCCCTTGTCCCAGTAGGTTTTGCTTTCCCTGTGCTATTTCCACTAGATGCACCATTAAGTGCTCCGATTAGCGCGGTCAAACCATCTGTTCCATTTTTGTTGCCACCATTCCCAGTCCGCGCTCCAGCGGCTTGTTGTGGTTGGCTGTTGGTGCCTCCTCCGACGTTTATGCCACTTTCACCACCGACGCTTGTGGATCCATTTGGTTTCTTGGTTATGCCGGCCTCGCCGCCCAGATTGGTGGATCCATCGGCTCCGACTTGATGGTTGTTAGTATCATGTTGCATACAATATGAGGCGGAGAGTAGACTTACCAGTGATGCCGGATTCCCGTTGGACGGCTGGGCTGGGACGCGAAGAGATGCTTGTAATCAAGAGTGATAGGAAGATAGTAGATAACTTCATAATTGTGAATTATAATGCTGAGTAGATAAGAATAGCAAGAAAAGAACTTTACGTCAACCAAGTCAATTGGCGAAAATGTGTTCTAAAAACCTTAATATTAAATGAATATAACGATAGAAATTGAAATGAGCCAGTCATCCACAACGCAGATGAAGAGGAAAAAAAAGATAATCAAGAACGGACGCAAGAGATAGAGCCTGGGAAAAGCTACATTAATCATATATCAAACCCCAAATCTAAAAACAAACCATCGACAACTTACAACTTACAACCCAAGCCATCATTCTCCGGCTCAAAAATTTCCCGATCTAGACTCCCAACCAACTCGCAAAAAAATCCCAACTCTACCACTTGGCAGATGCGGACTCGTTTGACAGGACTCTAGAACATTTCGAATTCATGATTGATCTGCAGATGATATTTTGGGTTTGGTGGCTTGCCAAGATGTTGTTTCGAATATGAAGTTGTTGTCGATCAGGTTCAGCCAAGATCTAGAGAGCACGTGATTTTATGCGATAAATTCGGGAATTTGTCCATTTTCATGTTAGTAGCTTGGTTTCAGACATAGCATAGGACGCGTGGGTTGCAGGTATAGAGTCTGAAACTTGGAGGTGTAGTATAGATGACTAAGGGAAGGTGCGCTAGATGGCCCTTCTCTTTTTAGTTCACCAGGTTCCCCCTCACTTAGCATCTCTTGGATAAGGACTTTGCTCCCCTCATAAAACTCCGCAGATCCGGGTTATGTCATCAATATCATCAATCACCTATCATGATTATTTGATTTTAATTGATTATAGCAACGTAATAGCCATTTGTTAGTTTACTCAAATGTAGAATTGGATCATGTGACGTTTGCCAGGCAGAATCATTGATCAGTGAATGGCGCCGTGAAACAATTGTAAGTCTTACTATTTTAGCACTTCGTATTAGTATAGTCCTAGTTTCAGGCATACTTGAGACATTGGGACAACGACATGCCAGCCTTCATTCTCGATTATAGTTGATATATAACCTGTTATTGTCACTGGCACATATAAATTGAACAACTTGTTCCTATATTGCTAAAAGAAGACAGCCGTGAAAGCAGTCGAGATGACAGAGTTCCGCGATTCGTTACTTTGTATCATTGCAAATTAACTCGAAGCGATTAGAAGATATGTACATATTAATTTCTCTAAGGTAACTAAGGTGATATACAAGAAGTGGATCTTTACAACGTCAACATAAACCGTCTCTTGAACTCATAGCAGGCATCTTCCTGTATGAGTTGCTCTATTTCATCAATATCTAGAAACCCAACTTGCTAATGATTCTACAAGAAGCAAGTTCAGCAATGGACTCGTAGAGGAAAGCTGGGTTAGAAGTGGTTGGTGCTGGGCTGAGGGAACCATCGACGACGAAAAGGTTCTGGGTGCCGATGACAAGAGCGTTGTTATCAGTGCAAAGACCGAGACTGCAGGAACCACCCCAGTCTAAAAGATGTCAGTACGAGGAAACTTATAACATAGAATTTAGGAGTAGATGAAAGAATAATACTTACGGTTGTTGCCGACCTTGCCGGTCTGGTTGACAAATGAGGTGTAGAAGGACAAGTCGTGAGTACCAGCTGGGCTGGTGACGTTCAAACCAGGGTATGCGTTGGCGGCATCGACGAACTTCTTCAATGCGGTTGCGTAGAGCTCGATATCCAAAGAATTGGTCAACCATGGGCCGACACCCTCACCGAATACCAAGTTGCCGTCTTTGCCAAGGGCGACACTGCCACGGCTGAGAAGACCTTCGTTCAAGTTAAATTGGCAGGTGAAGCTACCGTTGACAGCTGTTGGTCTGGAGCAGATAGTTTGAGCGGTCATGGATTTGGTAGCATCGTTGGGGTATGGGACGTTGATCCAACCAGTGAGCTCACGGCCGTTGGCTGCGAGAGGACCAGTGCGACGGTAGTAGAGATCATCGGCATCGGCCTTGATGACGTTGGTGCCGGTGAGAACGCCGGACAAGCTGTAGAAAGGAATTTCGGAGCTGTTCTTGTATTGGAAAGTGATACTCATTTGTGGGTTGTCGTGGACTTTAATATTGGGGGTTAGTAATTGCTCATTCAAAAAAGACTGCTGGGGGAAAGTGGATCCAAGCATTTTGAGCAGGGGAAAGAGAGCGGATTGTACTCACGGTTGGCACCAACACCGTTGTTGATGATCCAGTCCTTCTTTTGGTATTGAGTGAAGTTGATGCTGGCAGCAGTTGTCAATTGAGCTTCTGGTCCGATACCAGATGCAAACAAGAGAGATGGGGTGTTCCAGGCACCAGCAGAAAGAACAACGTTCTTGGCTGTGATGACTGTACCGTTGACTTCAACACCGGTAATCTTTGAGCCAGTTCGAACAACACTGGTCACTGGGCTGTGCATCTTGAGGGTGAAGTTCTTAAGTTTCTTAGCACCTTGGAGGTAACCAAGAAGTGGTCCTCCTCTTTGGCCTCCGACAGCAGCGAAGACATCACGACCATAGGTGTTGTACTTAGAATCAACATCTGTTGTGGTATTAACCTCCTTGATTCCAATGGATTCGAACACTGAACCCATCAAATCGTAGACTTGGTCGTAGTAGTGCTATAATCATATTAGCATGTCTCCTCAACTTTGACTTAACATCAGGCATGATATACCTTCTTGTCCGCCGACCAGGTGGGGGTAAAGGGGATACGGTCTGCGACTCTCTGGATAGCGTCTTGGAAATCATCTCCTGTCCATCCAGTGAAGTTTTTGAATGTGTTGTCAAGGTAGTGCCTGGGAGGCCACCATTGTTGTGCAGCATTGACACTGGTTCCACCTCCGAGCATACATGGTGCCAAACTAGCGACATTGCTGCAGTAATAACTGCTGGCAATTGGATCGGTACCTGGGTAGTTGACTAGATAGTACATCATAGTGTCGTGACGCGTCAAGTTGTTGCCTGGGTATGCCTTGGCAGCCCAGTCTGGGATCTCCCTGTTTCCGTCGACGTACAACATCGGTCCACCATGCTCAAGGAGAAGGGTCTTCATTCCAGCCTCAGCGAATTTGGTAGATGCAACTGCAAGATGAGTAATTAGCAAATGCCGGACAAGGAAACATTCCGAAGGCAAAGGTAGGACGAAACGTCATGTTGAAATCGAAAGATTCACAAAACAGTAGCGTTTGAGGCAAAGGAATGAGAGGAATGAGTGAAATGATCAAGCTTACCCAAACCACCGGCACCACCACCAACTACAATGATATCACTGTCAAGTTATCAGCTATGACCTCCAAGGTAAACTTTCGTCTCTTTTTCAAGGACACATTCGGATGAATGATGGATTTAACGCACTATTGTGGTGTTGCTGTATGATACGAACGAGCATCATTGGTAGGAACTGCTTCTGCAGTCAAAGAAAGAGAGGCGAGCAGCAAAAGCTGTGTCTTTGAAAGGTTCAACATCTTGATTGAGAAAAGAATGAATTAGAGATGATCTTGTTGTCGAAAAGTAAAATGTCAAGAACTCAGTCTTCTTATATATCAATCAGGAACTTCCATCCCACTATTGCTTTCATAATCATGCATATACCCCCATGGAGCCGTTGATATTTCTAATCGGACTTTATCAGAATCAAACCCTCAATTTACCCTCTTAATTTGCTTCATCTACTAGCTTCATCGCATCTCTGGCATTGCCGGGACCATGTGCTTCGGCGCCATTGCGGAAACATAGCTCGTTGAAAAATACGAGTTCATCGGATTGGCCCTTGGCAATGCGGAGCGTCCACCATAAAGGGATGCCACTAGCTATCCCGTAGAATGTAAAAATGGGCTTCCAAAGTGGCTTCTACAAAATACCCCTGAATGACAAAGCTTGGTTGATTGAAAGGCCCTAGAATAGCATTTTGAAAGATCCCTTGTTTGAAGAGATAATTTAGAAATAACTTTAGTATATTTAAAGTTTTGTGGAAACGGTTACTAGTAGATAGAAATGCTATATGTTTTGATGTGATCCCTAATATGAATATCATAATGATGTTTGTTAAACTTGTAGCAGTAGAATTAAAAAAATATTATTCAATGTCTAAAGGAATCCCATAATCTGATTGATTGATAAGGATGAGATCGAGTTAAGCGATGCAGCCCATTTCAGCATTCTAGGAGACATCTCCACTACAGGTACAGCATATCATACTGCAATTGTGATTAGTCGAACCATTCGAGATTGAGCCCTATTATTGAGTGCTTGCATCCCAGTAAGTTAACATTTGAAGAGCAATAAATCTAGTAGGATCCTACTTTGATCCAATTAGAATCGAGAATAATCTAAACGTGATATATACTAAACTATTAAGGGCTATCTGCTTCAATTAGAAACAATCTGAACTCGGAACTCTGAACTCAAACTGAACTCAAATTGAGAGTTTGTGGTGGTATGATAGCATTAACACCTACCCTAGAACTTTCTCTCAGACCTTCCCTGGTGCCCTATCCCCTGGAATTCCAGAATTCCAGAATTCCAGAACTCCAGAACTCCAGCAGTTGCTTGACAGAGAGCTTACTAATCACTCAGATCGCCAGAATGTCTCATTTAGAATGGGAATTTTACAACGCTTTAATTTCTAAAAGTTTATTTTGATAGATCAAGCCTTATCGTTCAGGGAATATCCTAAAGACCCCCGTCAACACAAGCATTTCTGGCATTCTAGGGGGAAATCACATCATGAAATAATCCACCAATAGAATCTGCAGAGTCGATGGATAACAGCTGGATTAAGCAAGTCGATAAAGAATCCACGGGCACGTACCTGAAGATGGCAGCTACGAGATGAAAACCTGGGTCTTCGAGCATGGGGGCTGCATATCTACTACCAGTACTACCTACTTACTTTGTCGCAGCAGCACGAGTACCAGGTTGCCCAAAAAGCATGGAACATCCGACGCTAGTGGAGCTACGGAGTAAGTTATTCCATCCCTAGTTCGTCTAACGGTACATGGAGCTTTCCGGAATTTTATACTTCCACGCCGTGCCGGTACCAGTCCAGTCTTCTTCACCTTGGTCTTGGTCTCCGTCTTTATGTAACCTTGTCGGAAGGAAGCATGGAGCAGCAAAGATCAATATTGTTCCACGACTACAACACTCGGGATCGACCAATCACATGCGCGCGGGAGATCAACATCTACCGTTGCGGTTAGGAACCACCTACCGTGAGAATCATCTACCGTGGGAAGCCGATTATTCTGTAGCGGTGCGCTGCACAATGGCATGTTTATCTAATTAAACCTTATCATTACCCCTGACTGCAACCTTAAACTTACCACCACATTGGCTTTTAGCAGCGGTTTGGAACCACAAATTCTGTGATTATGTAGTCTGACAAAGGATTTGTCAACTTACTTAATACCAAATTGGTATCCGTTATGTGGCTAGTCCTTGTTCCTTCACGTCCACTACATTTTCGACATGTGATATTTCCATGTTGACAAAACCACCGTCCCAATATCATCTAAGCTTATCATGTATGCAATTTTGCTCCTGAACATGCATGGGGATTCTTCAGCGGGAAGAACTGAAAAGAATCTTTAAAACCGCACACACACAATGCACCGGTGAGTTTGCAGGATATGGACCCTGAGTGCTGGTGCTGTGTGGAGACATTCAGGAGAAAAAAAAAACGGTGCACCGAACCTTCGCCGAATTTTAAATGTGGATTCCAAAAACTTAACAGTGCCGGCGGTGCGGTGCAAGTGCTAATCTCGCCGTCCAGAAGGTTAAACTGTTCAAATGTCTCTGAATGTGGTTGTCGAGGCTGTCTACCTAACCTTGCACGAGTGCTGCTCAGTAGTATCGTCATCCCAATCTCGAAGGACCCGAGACATTCCTTCGGCGACTTGGATGGACATCGGTATTGTTAAAACTCGGTGAACTGATGTGGGCTATCAAAAACATTGGATGTTTTTTTGCGGTATGTATTTTTTGTATGATCTAGTGGAGGATGTATGGTTCCAAGAAAACTGGAGCAGAATTGGAGCAAAATTGGAGCAGAATTGGAGCAAAATTTGAAGTGAGGTGGATATTTCTTATGGGTAAGGTAAGTTCTCCATCTGAGGTATATAGGTACCTCAGTTCACCGCGTTTTGACAGTATCCGACGACGGCGGTATTTCGTTCCATGTACAGAGTAAATGCGACGACCTTCTCAAATGAGTTATATGTGCTATTATTACTGTCTTAGTTCTGCCCTGAAACCTAGTCCAAATTTATCACCCCTCCTATCACTCCGCTCCTCAAATACCCGATTTCTCCATTAAAATACCGTGAAGTTCTTCATGTCTAGCAAGTCCCAAGGAACAAACACCAAGCAACAGCCTCAATGAACCAGTCCAACAAATACCAACTCCGTAGCCATATACTCCAACTGCCCAAATGCCACTGTAAACGATAATCATGGATATCTCTACCAAAATTCTCTACAGTCCCGTCTATGCCCCGGCATGCCATACTGCCACGGAACCAAACAATAATAGCAAAACTCATAACCACATTTAGCATTCCCTGAACCTGCGAAAAAAGTTAGACTACAACTGCACAAGCATACACATTGTAATAGACCCACGAAACAAGAATGATAACTCACCACCACGACTCACACATTTAATATGCGCACAACCGCCCTTTTTCTGTATCGGCGCAGAACACCTCGGACAAGCGACCGATATCTTCCGAACCTCCTCTCGAGATTTTTCCTCTTCTCCACGATGTCTCTTTGTCGAATCGTCGTATTCAGCGCATGTTAAACTTTCATGCCAGGGAACTTGGTGCTGTACACATGTTGCCTCCTTGCAGCTTATACAGATCATTCTCGCATTATCTCCCTCGTGGATTTGACCCGAGCCGCATTTCGGCGCCAAGCACCAGTTAAAATTTGATTGTGATCGAGAATAATTTTTGAGAGCCAGCTCACAATATCTAGGGATTTTATTAGCGAGATTATTATCTTGAGGGATTTTTTAAAATATAAAGGAATCTGGCTGGCTGTCTTACTTTGTAAACATGCTCTTCGTGCAATATAATTGTATAAACCATGTTTCTAAATCCTGCGAGCAGATTGGACATTTAAGGATATGATTCCCTTCGTTCATGGGGAAACTCATACTCTGTCGTAGACAAGACAAACATATATCTGTGAGGTGATCACATTGAGCCATTGTTCTTTCAGGGGTATTGGGTTCCAGAGGCTGTTCCTTGAGAGATTCCGAACATACTTTGCACTTCCGATATGGCTTTCGCTCACTTGTCGCTGTTTCTTTTTGGTTGGTAGGTCTTCTTCTATATTCTGTGGGAGCCTCTCGGGGAGCCTGTAGAGGATAATCAGGAAAGATAACATTAAATAAGATTGTAAAGAGGCAAAGCATCAATACTATCATAACAACTAAAGCCTGCTCAATAGCTTCATTCATGTTTTCGAAACCTGAGTTCATTTTGTAATTATTGCCTTGGTAGAAAACTTTGTGTTTTCTTTTACTTTTTGAATGGAACGAGCATGACTTATATACATAAGGTTAAAGAACTTGTACAGGCTAGTGATCCAAAAGTGAATATATGAATATACTAGAGCTAGCACTTTTGACGAGATAAAAATCCATAATGAGTATTTTGCAGTGAATTATTCGAAGTGAATATCTAGACGATTTCAACCTGGACACACCAGGATGAACATTTTGATCATGGTATCCTTCAAACGCCATCCAAAACGCCCCGAGAAGGACAAAGGAAATCTATGGGATTGCGCAATGGGCCAGACATAATGATTTAGAAGAATAGAGTTGGCACTTCATGAAGGCACATACCGCGAGAAGAAACCAATTATTGAGCTTGGTTGCATCATCTCATATAAAAGCACTTTAATTAAATATCAACATAAAGACATTTAGAACTCATCTGATTGTACATTCCTTGGTCTGAACGCCAAATCATGATAGCCAACCTCATTTCTCATTTTCAGCATTATAAATTTTACAATATGTTTTGGAAAATACTCCAGATTTCCTCCATAATAACCTCAAGCAAGATACGAAAAACTCTCTTCCTTTCTCAAACTACTTGGTTTCTTCTTCAAATTCCAATCCCCACTTCTGACTTGTTCGACTCGTTTTGCCAATGTAGAAGGGTTCCTTCCTAATCCACCGGGAGGAATGCTGATATTTTCCCACTCGTCTTTTTCCTCCACAGGTGCCTCCCACTCTTCAACATCCTCCTTCTCGGTAAGTTGTTTCTTTCGCTCTAATGCTCGCATAAATTCGATCATGACACCAAAACTTTCTATTAGGCCCATACTGGCTTTATCTGCACAATCGCAATCACAGCCACCGGGACACTCGTTATTACCAGTAGATCGATATTCGATTAAACAATGCTGATGTGTTGCGCAGCCGCATGATAAACATGGTAAATATACGGCACTGATGGGCTCAGTGCATATTGTACAACGAAGCTGGCGCTGAACAGTCTTACAGCGATCACAACGTCCAGCAGCACCACCGATAGAACTGGAGTGGAGAGCATCCAGACGCGCTTCGTGCTTGAGACAGTAACCCGCAATTTCTAGACCCTGATCGGTTGATGAGGAGTGCTGATCCCTCTTCCCTAAAACAATTTGAGATGGAGATGATGCTTCGTGGATTACAGTATGGCTATCGTTAGATATTATTGAAGCGGCAAATGACTTATTATCTGCAATATCTAGTTCGGAAGTTTGGCTCCGTATTCCATTAAACTTCAAAATTTCCAATCTAGCCAGTGGGAATCCCCAACAATAAAGCAGTTCAGCGTAGGCTTGACGATAGCTCATGTGACGGGCCGTGTGGCTACTGTCCAACAGCGATGTACCCATACAACCTTCGTCATCAAACGCATTTTCATTTTCTAATGTCAACTTGATTCCCACGCAGACACTTGGTTTTAGCTCATCCATTGTACTTTCATCATCTGAAAAAGCTAGTTGCTCCGTGCCCACTTGTTCTTTCACGCTACCAAGGACTGTTGTATTTCCCCATGTGATAGCACTAGGAGCTAAGCTTAACATATGTTCAACTGGGCTAGGCCTTTTCCGACTCGGAGGCGGATTCGGTGGCGAAGATGATGCGGCAATAGAAAATGGTCGCGAAAAGTTTGCGGCAAAACTTGAGGCTAGACTTGAATTCCCACGGCGGAAGGTTCTCGGATTATCTGGAGAAGTGGAAAGACTTTGAGTATTTTGGGAAAGATGTTCTGAGCTTCCCCTGTTTGACCGTAAGGGGGGAGTATCACCGCACGAGTACGACGCTGAGGCAGGATCACTGCCCCAGGCACCAGTGGAAGATCCCATTGATCCATATATTCCAGAAGGTGTGTTTGCTATTTTTGGAGTTGACACAGCAGAATCCATCGAAGTTTTTTGATACATGCTCCAAGCCGCCACATTGTTTGGAAAGTAATTAACTGAAAACGCAGGTGTTTTCATAGAAAGAGGTGTTTGCGGCTGCCTTATGCCAACTTCGGCATGTCCAGCATGTGATGGTGCCGCCGAAGCAATTGGTTCACTAAACACACAGGATAGCATCGCTAGCATTTGTACATCACAGAGCTCCTCAAAGTGCGCGAAGAGGTCTGCAATCAATTGCTTGGCAAGGGGGCTGCTTCCCCATTTGACCCTGCCTCGTCTACAGCGTTTATCATGCGAAACATCGATACCGCTATCCGAGCCGCTGTCACGACGATGTCTCTTTGCCATGCCTTCAGCTATGACTAGAACAGACTCACGACGTTGACTTTGTTCGAGCACTTCAAGCGGAATGTCATTATGTAATAGCATAGCAGCATATCTCCATACATCGGCTAACTTACTGTGTCCGTGTTTTTCGGCAATACTCGCATTATTCTCACAAAGATATGGGCCATTACCAAAAATGGTGTATTCCTCTGCTAGGTAAACCTTCGCAGGAAGGATATCACTTACATCGCATAATGAAATAATGTTTTTGGGCTTTACAGGTCGTACCCTGCTGAGACCAGTTCCGGTGGCTGTGTTGGTTCCCGTACCAGTTCCCGTGCCACCTGACCTTTGTGACATTATAGTTGGCGATCCTCTCAAAGGGAATCGACGATTCGATCGACGCCAGTAGTCAGTCATCGCAGGATATCGAGTGATGCGAAATTGTGATGAATCTGTATCGCTGCTGGTCGACGAATCATATTCGTCTGACACTTCAGAATCAGCCTTACTATCTTCAGTCATTGATGTAGCCTTGATGCGTGGTTGGGGTGAGCTGTTATTTGCCAATCGACCAAAGGTATCAAAATTAGGTTCACCCCTCGGTCGAGCATTCCTAGAATCGGTGATCTTCTCTAACAAGGACTTCACTTTATCTTCTTTTGGCGGAAAGAAGCAAACAAGCTTGCCATTCCTTGCAAAGCGAGCACCGCAAAGTCTGGGTAGTGGTACGTTGACATTTCGTGGTATACTGATCAATGTTTCCGCCGTTGCACTGGAATCCAGTTCCTGAGACATCATTGCGGACGCGCCTGGAGGGATATCGTTATCCTCCTCGTCGCTTGAGCTTTCATCGGCAAGGCCATCCAAATCATCGTCTAGATCATCTATATCATGAAAAAATATGGTACTCGTTTCAAGATCAACCTCTCCAAGGAGATAACAAAGAGCCGCTTCAAGGCAACCTTGCTTGCGACTTACAAAGCTTGCCGCGATTTGTTGCACTTCTTTTCTCAGCTTATTAAATGTCTCATCAGACATAAGGGACGTTTTGCCAAGTGTGAATGTGGGAGCTTTGCTTTCCGGGTACTGGTCTGGGAATGAGATAGTTATCTTGATATAAATTGGGGTGCTATCTTCGCCCCATGGCCCGTTCATGGAGACAATGGCCGTCCTCTTGTCCATATCGACATCATCAAATGTAATCTTTGGAAGCTGCTCATTGATGCGAATAATTTCATCATGTAAGGTTTCCGGTTCATCCCAATCGCCATCTTCCTCAAATTCTGGACTAAGCAAAGACAGTCTTCTCGACATTGATCGCTTCCGGCGCATGGATCCGTTTTCGGGTTTTGAGAACTTTATACCACTCATCCAACCAATTTGGGATTGGTTCAGGTCTTCTTGCTTGGCTGTTTTTTCCTTGCCTCTCATAGCAGGGGCGCGAATTGTAGTGTGAGTACGCGTACTATGAGGCAAGGACATTTTTTTTATTCCAGCACCCAATGCACTCAACTTCATACCAGAACTATTAGGTCGAGGACCTGTAATTGTGGCGGTTTTCTTATCGCTTGCAGATGTTTCTGTGGTACGGAACGTCTTGTAAATTGATCCTTTACGTGTGAGGTTGAGCTTTCCGTGGACTTTTGCCCCTTTCACAAAGCCAACGCCTTCAAGTGTATCAGGGTCTACATGTTGCATTTTTAACTGATTATCCTCGCCCCAGGTAACGAGTTGAAACTCTCTATCATCTTCTCCTTCATCTGTGATGCTTCCACGACTCCTCCAAAGAAACTCTTTGACTTTAGAATTCCCGTGTCCTGGAAAGGTAATGACTGCTTCCGTAACGGTATCAGTAGAATTATCACCTGTAATGCGCCGATCATAGAGATGGAGGTCCCCAGGAGTGTCCTGAGGCATAGCTAGAATTCCGCAGCCAAATGGCGTGTGTCGAGCTCTCCAAACAGGGAATCCGGTATGTATAGTGCGCTCGGGAACATCAGATTCGTTTTCATAATCCCAAAATTTGATTGTTCTATCCAATGAGCAAGTAACTAAGCTTGAGGCACGGGTACGATTCCAATCAACACCATATATTTTTGATTCATGTGCATTAATGGACCTTAATGGGACAGCGCCTTTTCTATCATCCCAAATCCGTAACCATCTATCATGGGATGAAGCTAAGATGTGCTGATCTTGACGGCTCCATTTGACCTGCGTTGCACCAGCAAACCAATCACAAAAGCTAAGAGCGGGTTGTCGTGGTCTTCGCAGGTCCCAACAATGTACATATCCGTCAACAGCACATGTTGCCAGCATATCTGGATGATGTGCTGAGAAATTGATGTCGGTGATAGCTCTTGTATGCCCATGTAATGTATGCTCAATTGCACCATGGGAGGCGTCCTCCTGCATATTTAAATTCCACACGAGAGCCTTTTGATTAGCAGTGCTAACCACCCAGTAGTCGCGAACTGCGAAAGGGCACCATTGAACATCGGCCACAAGCCATGGCAGGCCATGTCGAAGATGTCGTGGGGGGTTGAGAGGAGAATCGAGGTCAATTATGTCTAAGCCGTCAGTTCTGCGAAAAGAAAAGGAATTAGCATATCACACCAATTGTGAATTCCGAAGTACTCACGATGCTAGAGCGACATCTCGGCCAGAAGGGGATATCGTAGCTGATCCAACTTTCCGGTCTACATGTATAGACACATCTGCATCAAATGTAGTGCTATCAAATGCTGACCTAATGGTCTTCCCCTTTCTCGACTCTTCCATCTTCTTTCAATACTAAAGTTTTCGCATTCTGGAAATCAAAATATTACTTCGAAAGGGAGATTGCTACAAGGCGAATACTGTTGATGTTTGAGGTGTGTAAGATTAAAAAAAGGCTATCTAAACAGACCAGGGGTACTCTACAATCTTTGAAGAACCGCATTGATAAGATACGATATCAAAATTAAAAGGGCATGAGGCTGGGCGCAACGGCTGGCTTCGTCCACAATGAGGCAATGAGGCGATGAGGCAATGATATCGAAAGTTTAAAGCTTCCGGATGGTACCACCAGTGTACCTAGGTATTATGCTACTAGTGTCTAAAACGAGACGGCAGTTGCCGTTCAGCCTTCCTTGCCTTAGCTTCCCTCAATTTACGGACCCGTACATCGTACATAGCGTTGGAAACCTTCTAAGGCTCTCCCCGCCGCTCTCTCTCTCTCCCAACTATTAAAAATCCAAGAGAAAGAAGAATATCACGGCGGCTTTTTGCTTCGAAACATCAGTAAAATTTCAAACCGCTAATTCACTCAATTGTACAACGCTCGTAGTTCTACAGACCTTTCGTTTTCGCTAGTTCTACTACCCACCGGAACAATCTCCCTTGATAGAGTACCCCACTACCCGAATTGAACGATAGGTACTTCTCAGGTTATCTTATCAACATCACGAGTACGAAAAAAACTACCTTTATTGGTGTTTTGTAGCCTTGGACTCGATAACTGCACCATAAGAACGATTTAAGAAGTGCAAGTTGAGTTTAGACAAGCAGAACAACATGGCTTTACCAAAGCGGATCATCAAGGAGACGGAGAGGTTGATGAAAGAACCGTCAGTATATCTTTCTTTGGCGTTGGATCATACTCTAGCTAACAAATATATAAAGTGTTCCCGGCATCAGCGCAGTACCCCACGAGGACAACCTAAGATATTTCGACGTATCAATACATGGTCCCTCCTCCTCCCCGTACGAAGGTTAGTCCTATTTCCGAACCACTTTACCAAAGTTCACAGACTTATGCGGATTTACAGGCGGTATTTTCAAACTCGAATTGTTTTTACCTGACGACTACCCAATGACTCCTCCCAAAATTAGATTCCTCACCAAAATCTATCATCCAAATATCGACAAGCTTGGCCGAATCTGTTTAGACGTTCTCAAGGGTATGTGATTTTATTTCGTGCCCCTTAACCTCACTCCAGATGCAGTAGACTGATCTCGACTCAAATAGGCAACTGGTCTCCTGCACTCCAGATTCGAACAATCCTCCTCTCGATCCAAGCTCTCCTCGGTGCTCCTAACCCTGATGATCCTTTAGCTCCAGACGTGGCAAAGAGATGGAAGGAGGATGAGCCAGCAGCGATCGCGACTGCTAAAGAATGGACAAGAACACATGCTATGACTTAAATCTGATCTAGCCTTACAGTACTGGACGGATATACATGAATTATGGTTAGACGAAAGAAATGCGAGGGGTTTTTCGGTATAGAAAACCGTTTTGCTTCGCAAAATAGCGTGGATACTGCGCTGGAAAGATTTTGTTTTTTTTGGTAGAGAGAAACATCTCAAAATGTTGCGGGAAGCCTATTGTGATTTTATTAGCATAACTGACTTATTTCCAACCAACAAATCCGGACCTTTTCCCCTGTACTGCGGCTCCGTTCCACGTTATTTTACGGCTCGTTGGTCGAGTTGCGATTCGCAACGTAGGAGATGGGGTCTCAATATCATTTTTGCATGTTTGGGTTTTGAGACTGTAGCGAAGTTTTTCTCTAGTGGGAAATATGAGACATCAAAATCCTTATGACATTGGACCACAAACTGTGGTGTTTCTAGACCTCTCTAGTCTCGCATGTCTCTCTGACTAGTGTCAGCTTCCTATATATCGAGAATGCTTCATCTTTCCGGCAGAAATAATATCCTATTACATTGTGATACATGATGAATTTTAAGCCGTATATGATTTCGCAAAAAAGCCTCACATAAGTCACCACAACCAGGAGATGATGGGACGTCCAATCGACGCGTATAATGAAAGAATACTGCTCTAAATATTTGTGTTTAAGGTGGTTTGCTTTCGCGGCCGAGCCAACACAAAACCAACCACTAGACTCATTAGGTTTATCCAAGGACAACTTATCGATGTGCTATCCGCAACTAGTCCTTTGAAGGTTTAGACTAACGGCTAAATACCTCGGTGCCAGAGGTTGGAGCAATGAATGGAACTAACTTGCCACACCCGGTATAGCAGTATCATAATTGAAAGAAGTTTGAATTGGCAAACAGTGTCAGAAGATCTTACCTTGGTATTGGGTTGTTTTTGCAATACAAGACACTTAGGATGACCTAGAGAATCTCTTGCGCACCAAATTTAATATTAAAGACAACGACATGCACCAATCGCTTGAAAAAGCGATGTATGTAAGTAATACCTGAAAGGGGAAATTGGTCGCTTTAATGCCACAGCTTCGAGGAGATGAAATGGGAAAGTGGTACAAGAAATACAAGCTGTACGCTATTATATAACTCCCCTGTTGATGGACGATGTAGGCAAGTACAAGTAAGGCGACTCACAGGTCGAGAGATTCGTTGCAACATTTGAGCACTCAAGAAACCACTCAATATTCAATAAACCTCTCTCCGGCAATGTGTTTGTAAACGGGAATCTCCATCGTCTCTAGGTTTCCCCATGTTCCCTATCCTCGGCCGAAATCCCATCTTGGACCGTAGGTTTTTTTATTACAGGAGCATCCATTCCGCTGACCTATCTTGATGTGGTAGTAGGCATATAAACTAAATAGGTATTTCAAATTAAATAATGTGGTTTTACAACAAAATCTACAACGCATCTGCAACATATTAGCCGCATATATTTTCCCTACTAGATGCCACCTTTTTTAAATGAAAAAGCCTATTTACCGCACAAAGGTAGGTGGTCATTGGGATCCTCCTGCAATTAGTGCTATTTTCAACCCCACTTCAGGCCCACATGGCAGTCCTTACCCCGCGTTACTCCATATTTCGACCGAGGAACAACAACCTATCAACCTACCATCACACCATGGGCAGATAGCTATCTCCTTTTCAGTCTTTCTTCCGCGACCCAAAGCTAATTCAATGCTTTTAGGACTCGAGACTATTAAAAATAAGAAGAAAGTAAAATAGAATTTCCTGCAGATTGGTTAGACAAAGTCAGGAGACTCGACGGATTTCACAGCCAAAACGCCAATTCCCCGCACTACACTTTTCTCGTCAAGTCGCCATTAGGTTGGTTCGCACCTTCGCACCTTCGCACCTTCGCTCCTTCGCTCCTTTTAAGGTGTCTTCTCCGGAATGTAACTCCTCCCAAACTTCAGTCTCGTAGATCAGATGGATGATGATGCGTGGCTCCGGGGAAGTCTCCTGTCTATTGGTCGGTAAGGTTAGAGAAGTTCTCTGCCCCCTTCTTAGATAACGAGGCGCCTTAACCTTGTCGATACCAGGTCCGAAATTCTGGGGTTTTAAACAACAAATCTTACTTGAGGTTACCCCGCATAATGCGACGGTGCTGTCCCGCTGTCCCAACAATGTGGGAAAATGTAAATTTTTGGAGAGAGGTTATAGGGCATGAACTTTAAAAGGCACATGAACGCAGGATTGTTCAATGGGATGTAAGATTGCAAACTTTCTTTCTGGGATTTCGTGGGAGGCGTATCTATGTGCGTTTTAAATATTATTATAAGATCTGGACGCAATTCGTACCTATAGACTCTAGGATGGCTTTTACGACAGTGGGAAGTTCCTTAGCTTTTCCCCCTCAACTTTCTCAGGCGACGCTAAGTCCAAAGCCCAGCAAAATCCTATTAAACACCTCGGAGGATGGCTGAAGAGGAAAGGTCTCAATTCGCAATTGTCAAATGAAGTTGAGAGAAACAGCCTCCGGATGCGCCAATACGGTACCGATCAAATGAGGATCTCTTCGAGATGGGGTAAATCCATTGTTCCTCGCACCGCTTACCTATCTGGGGTCTCAGAATCATACTTTAGCAAGGATGATATGTAATAATAGTGACGCACCTGACGAACCATTTGATCCTGCATCGGAATATATGGGGATTTGCATGGCTTTTCGAATAAGAAGACGATTGTCCCCAACGCTTTCTGTTCCAGCGTTCCAGTGTTCCAGGCTTTTACCGTTGCTTCACTACAAAAGCATTATTATTTTGCTGTACGCTGGCAGTCTCAATACCTCTCTCCATTATCTTCACCCGAATAACATGGACCGAGAAGAATTGACTCCTCCGAATCACTCGGACAATTCAATGTCAGGCTCAATGGATAAAGAATCCGGTCCGGCTGGGACTGGTACTGTAGACCACGTGGAGATCGGTCGTACTGGTTCAGGAGTTCCAGGAAATACACATTACTACGAGAAGGATGAATTACAAACATATGCGAACGAGGAAGATCATAGCCATGAACCACCGGTAGGCATTGAAATATATATTTGAGAATTCTTAGCTGAAATGTGCTCAATAGATGACCATGAATCGATTGATGTCCTTGGTAGCAATGGCTTTCTTATGGACAGGCTCACAAATACCAGTATATCTTTTTGGTGCGCTATTCTGTTCCATTGAGAGTACTATTGATCTAACGAAGTATCTAGGAGGTATACCACCATATATTTATAGAGATTTGGGGGGATCAGATAGGTGGACTTGGTTTGTGTTGGCAAATCTACTTGCTTTGGCAGCAGTGTGCCCATTCGTAGGAGCTTTGTCGGATCTGTTTGGAAGGCGGTATATTGCCATGTTTGGTGCAGGCTTGATTGTCATTGGAATGATTATTTGTTCCACGGCACAATCTATGAACGTCTTTATCGGTAAGCTTATTTCGTACTACTGATGTCTTCACACATACTAATTTATTACAAGGCGGTATGGCTATTGCTGGTGCTGGCGCTGGAGTAAACGAATTAACAGCACTTGCTGCAACGTCCGAACTTGCGCCAACCGCGAAGCGAGGGAAATATGTGGCCGTACTAATCTTCACCATTCTTCCATTCTGTCCATCTGTTCTCTGGGCTCAATTGATCTCATCACATTCGAACTGGAGATATGTAGGACTGTTTTGTGGTCTTTGGGCATTTGTTGGACTAGTCATGACCACGATATTTTACTTTCCACCTCCTCGAGTAAACTCAAATGGTCTCTCACGAAAAGAGGTTATCTCTCAAATCGACTTTGTCGGTGGGTTCCTCTCGATTGCTGGTTTGATTCTTTTTGTTGCTGGTCTTCTGTGGGGTGGATATCAGGTAAGTAATCTTATTACCAGTCTATCTTAAACTACTCACTAACAAAATCTAGTATCCGTGGGGATCTGCGCATGTACTTGCCCCGCTTATCCTTGGTGGTATATTCATCATTGCCTTCTGTTTCTGGGAAGTATATGGCGCCAAAAATCCCATGTTTCCCTCGCGACTCCGAAAAGAACCCCGTATCTTAGCTCTCACCCTCGTCATCACCTTTATCTCGGGTGCGAACTTCTTCTCTGTTTTGCTCTTTTGGCCCACACAAGCATTCAATGTTTACGGACATGATCCAGTTGGTGTCGGAATTCGAGGTCTTCCTATCGGCTTTACCATTCTCATCGGCGCTTGCATTGTTCTTTGGCTCTTGTCGGCCTTCCGTGGAGGCATCCGCATGCTCATGGTTATCTCATCCTGCATGATGACTGCAGGGTGCGGTGCCCTTGCCGCTGCGGACCGCAATAATATTAACACTGTGTATGGTATCCTCGTCATAGCGGGCCTTGGAATTGGTGGCATTGTCGGTACGTAATCAGACTTCACTCTTCTTAACATCCAATTCTGTTCCCTGACCCCCCAGCACCCCTGCTGTTTTTCCTCACATGCACCCCTTTTACTTTCTAAAGATTCCTCGGTCTTCTGAGTAAAGTAAAATTACTGACTTCCCGATGTAATTCAGTCCCCGCCTCAATCATCACAACCATCATCTGTCCCGACGACCTAATCGCCACAATCGCAGCACTCACCCTCGCCATCCGAGTAGTCGGTGGAGCCATCGGCTACACAACCTACTACAACGTCTTCCTCAACAAATTCGTGCCCGAACTATCCTCCCGAATCGGACTCGCCTGCTTTAAAAATGGCATCGTCGACATAAAAACCATCACGCATATTGCGACTTTGACGAGCGAAAGTCTCCTAGATGATATCTTACCGCTTGTCAATAACAATGTTACGATTTGGAATGAGGTTGTGCTTGCAGGTCAAGAGGCTTATGCTGCTGCTTATCCGTGGGTTTATTATGTTAGTATTGCTTTTGGGGCGGTTTCTATTTTGGCTAGTTTTGGCTTGGGGGATATTAGTAAGTATATGGATGATCATGTTGCGGTTGTTCTTCATTGATTTTCTTTTTTTTTCTCCTTTTTTTTGGGTTGATGTGGAGGAGAGGTACTTGGGCTTGGTTGAATGGATGGGGAAGAGTTGGGTGAATGGTGGGTGTGTTAGGTTTTAGATTAGATGGTGAGGTTGTTGATGAATATATCGATGTGGTATTTGGTATTGGATAGATTTATATTTATATATAGATCTATATATACCATGAAAGAATTGTTCTAATACTGTTTAATATATATTATAAATTATAAACTATAAACTGTTTAATTCATCTTGGGGGTTTTTTCTTATTCCTCTCCTCAGTGGTAAGTACTTGAGTACAGTAGATTTGATTTATCAATCAAATAACTAGGTTTATAATCTCATTATATTTTTATTTAACAGGTTAAAAAAAAGAATATTGTAATCATTTTATCTTTTAACTTTGGTTTTATTGATTATTTTTGTTATATTATATTATATTATATTTATATTAATAATTATATTATATCAACGATTATATTCATATTGTAAAAGTGGTAGGTCGAGTGTAACGATCTGGTTGAGGCAGCGGCTGCCTCAGGATTCGTATGGTTGGTAGTTGTAGGTTAAGGCTAATAATCACTGATTATCCACTCGAAGGTGAATACGTTACTAGATCAATTGGAATGTAGGTAAACTAATTGATAACTAAGTTGAGCACGAAGCTCCTAAACTATGAAACTATTCTGACTATATACTAATCCATTTCGGGAGCCTCCAGGAGCGTAGGCTCCTGGAGGCTCCATCACGTGACTAGGATCAGACCATATGTCCGAGCGTGCTGAAGGTGGGGAGACCATATGAAGCGGTTGCCATACAAATTCGTATACAAGTTGCTTTGCTTTTCAAGGAGGTCCAAGCTCATAAGGACAGGTTGACTGTTGCCTCGTGACACTCTATAAAATGATTTCGTGACATCGAGATACGTACATCCCGATAGCACATTGTAAGGAGGGAATTGAAAGAGAAAGCTGAATTAGATCATATTATAACATGTCACTTATAGAGAAAACGGGATTCATAATGGTTTTGAGATTGATACTATATAGATTCAAATATATATATATAAAAGGTTGATTATTATAAAAAGAAAAAACAAAAGCTCTTTTTTTATATCTAATTACAAAAGATTATATAATTGATCGATTAAAAATCTCTATATATTTGGCTTATAATTCCAACTTTCTTACAATATCAACAATCATACCACATCTATATCTATATTTATATCCATCCATATCATATCATATCATATCCACCCACCCACCCATCCAACTCCCCCCTTCCAACAAAACCCCAAGAACAAACAACCAACCAACCACAACATATCCTCAAGTAAAAATAACTAATAAAATATAGGATATACAAATCTCTCTCTCCCTCTTCTTTTCCCTCACTTTGTTTCTTTTCCCTTGCTTCATATCTCTATTTTAACATCTCATTAATATTTAATAATTCTTTATATTTATTTATTTAATAAATCAATTAATTAATTTTATTTCAGCGCAACCTGAGCTATAGCTATATAGATATGTGGAGATGGGATGTGGGGGTTTATTATATTCTTAGATTTTTGGTTTTGGTTTTAGTTTTAGTGGGAGAAAGGAGGGGGGAAAGGAGGGGAAGAGAAAGAGGGGGAATGGGGATGGGGATGAAAATGAATAGGAAGCTTGAAATACTTACTTGAGGTAGACATAGTTGATGGATTGTGAAATTTAAGATGAATTTAGGGTTTATGTTTGGATGATAAGTTTTTGTGGCATTTTGGGTGTTTGATTTTTCAGAGGTTTGGGTTTGTTGGTATTGAGTGCTTTTAATAGATAGAAAGTGCGAAGAAGTAGTCTAGTTAACACTTTATCTGCACTTGAGATGTGGAAGGAAAGGATTTTCGTTTCGGGATCATGAGGTGAAGGGCATATTGAATTTTTTATAGAAAAGTATTTGCAGATACCATTTTATGTTGCCTTTACCTATCTGTCCTAGTCCTTGTGCGTAGACTTTATAGACTTTAATTTGCGATCTGATGATCCCAACTATTACTTCTGAACTTTCTACTTTCTACATCCCATGTATCATATAAAAACTCCTCGATCATCCCACAAAATACTTGTACAAAACAACATCATACCTCAAAAACCCACCACTCTTCATCCTAACACCCAACAACAGCCTCCTAAATTTCTCCTGCTCAACCACAACACCACCCACATGACCACCAATATAAGAACCGCGCATAGATTTCCAATCCCTGTAAACCTCTAATTGATCTCTACTAAAGCATCTCAGCTCTTCATTCAACAACTCTGTCGACAGATCCGAGCCTTTTCCATGAATATCATTAATACCATCCAGAACTACCAAGAATCGCATTCCTAATTCCTTATGCGCAAATCCCCTTTCGATCATAGGGTTGAAATAATCCTCGCCCTTCTGCCGACTTGAGAAATGATGCCACATGTGTGGAAAAGAGACGATGCACTTAACTTTTACCCAGCCAGGGCACACGTCAACTTCTTCGGGTGAAGTAATATGTGTAGCTTTAAACCATGACGCGGTATGTTTCCCCGGTTCTTGGAATGAGAAAATTGGTTTGGATCGACCGGTGGGATCATCTAGTCCTGTGGTTAGGAAGTGCAAATTCTCGGCATGTTTTGATTCTGGGGTGATATGTATCGATAGCGAGGAGATTTGTGGAAGGATGTCTAGACAGAATTTGCGGAAACATATCTTCTCGATTGGTGCCTTGCTCAGAGCATCTCTATAGGTAGCTGGGATACTGTGTTTTCTTGCATCGAGATGTCGGAATAGAGGTTTGGGGATGGCAGAAGGCCTGGAAGAGTCAATCCAAAGATACGCCTAGTGGATGGTCAGTATGGATATGTAAATAAATTCATGGGATCTAATGAAATGCATGAGACTTACGGATGATGGAATCTGGCCAAGTTTGAGAAACGACCGATAAAAACACGTGGTGTTATAGCCCAAGTCCGAAATCAACCTTGACGTTGTACGAGCCAAGTCTTCCTGTGAAAGCCCATCTTGGGAATTTACGAGTTGCATCCATTTTGTCTGAATTGACTTGATATCTTCGCCAATCTTAACGTAGAACATCAATTGAGCCAGCGCACCATTGTACAACGAAGGTAGACATTCCTTCGCCGCTTGAAACGCGTATCTAGCAATCAACGTTCTTCGACCGTGTTGTCCGAGGTCGCCTCGCACTTTGATAGCGGCTGCAGCATTCTTTAGCCACACAATCCACGGTCTGTATAACTTGGAATGAGGTAACACATCTTTGGTAAGATACATGTGTGTCCGAGCGATGGTCCTCTCATCATTATCTGCAATGATTCTCTCTAGAATTTTGGCGAGATCGTCTGATCGCGTGGGCCCATAGTACCGTCGACTTTTACCGAGAATATTGACGTCCATATGGCCGTAAGGATCATGTTTGCCATATTTTCGTGCAGAGTAATATGCTGACCATTGGCCGACAGTCTCGAGGTGACTTCGAAACGCTTCTCCGAGTGGACGCCCTTCAAATAATTCCCTCACATTTGCCACGGCTTGTCTGTAATAATCTGGGACGATATCTTCCGCTGGCCATACCAATGGTACCAGAGTCGCATCGTCGGAAAGATAGCAAAGATTGCCGAAATCTCTGATGAAGTTCTCGCAGATTGCGCAGGATATCATGCGACGTTTGTTGGGTAGGCCGCGGGAAAACATCTCGTAGATGATATTCATCCCAAAGTCCTTACCTGCTGGATCCGATTGTTTAATATCCGCGTGGAAAATGGGTCCTTTTCTGTTTCTTTCGTTCTGCGAGGCGGTCAGCTGCATGGCGGCAACTAGAGGTTGGATTGCACGTTCATCTCCGCTCAGATCGGAGATGTGATATCCATCTGGAAGGTCTACGATCTCGAAAAATTCATCCATTTTGGCACGATCTGTTGTTGGAACTTGTGTGTTTTTCTTGGGTTTCATGTAGTCCGAAGGCACTTAAATATCTGTATTGTTGAAGGTCAACTGCAGTACAGCCAGCAGAATGCATGCCGTAGAAAGTTGCTGAGGGCTCTGCCATATCTATAACCCTCCAGCCACATACGAATAGATCACATCGCTAACTCGAATGTATACTATACCTAGACAGTTCACAAAACTCTCAATGCTCCTTTTGGGACCAATTACACAATGATCCCTCCACATTTGGATACCCAATTTGCAGTGCGTGTGATTTTAGGTATGCGATGTGTTTCGTACTTCAGTTTTCACTTCCGTACCAGATACACTGAACAGCTTTCGATATTTACCATTTCACCTTTCATGAATCATTAAGCATACGCATACACTTGTATTTAGCTTTAAGATGAGCCATTGAGACTGCGATACATAGCACCAGACATCGTTTTGCAACCTCAGAGCTAGCCTTTTGCTGCCATCGTACGGAACATCATTGAAGTATACAGCACCCCAGCGGGTAAAATAACTATCATTGTCATGTATATGAGTCTCATATTCTCATACATCTCTTTCTTTGCTGCCTATGACCAAGGCCCTCGGAAGGTGGTAAGTCATCGCCGATGTCATGAACCTCCATAAGCACTTGCACGTGGATGGAACGTGACCTACCTCAATAAAATACCCCGATCAAGGAACTACGACCAAAAATAGCAACATGCTCCTTTCTCTGCTTATCAAGATTTGAGTATTCTCGTCGTGATCGGTTTGAGCACCCATGAAAGATCAATCGCCAATGCTGTTCCACGTGTGACCCATATTATTTTAAGTGGAGTGCCGGATGGAACGGAATCTAATCTCACCTAAATGGGATTTGTGATATCTCCTGCATCTAAAGCATCACTAATAATAAAAAGTCTCTCTTCATTAGTGGTTTAATACCACCAATGTGCTGTCGTCCTTCGGAACCTCGCTCTTATGAAGCGAAAACATTGACAACGGCAAAAGTGGCAAAAGTGGCAAACGGACGATATATTTTATGTAACTTCCGAATGCAATTAAAGCGATGTGCCAAGGTCCAAATAAGAAAGATTGTTTACAAACTCATCCTGTTGGTACAGGGATTTTGACCAGATACGGCGTCAACCCCCCTCGGTTGAAAGCTTGAAGCATGGCAAGCAAACATTCCCGGCGCTTATAAGGTTATTGAGGCATGTCTCCTTCTTGGCAGACAAATTATTTTGATACCGAGGAAATGACTTCAATGTACGGCAACCATGTCTGCTTTGTCAGTACATCCGTTGCCAAAGTAGAAGACTGACTTGTCTTCATTGCTTTTTATGGCACTACTAAGTAGCTGATTTGAATGGCGAGATCGAACAATTGCTGGGTTCGTGGTTCTTTTGAGAGCATACCGCCGACTTTTTGGAGTAATCATGAAGAGGCCCACATATGATGTGATCCGAGCCTCACAACTCATTTTGAAAATCTCGAGAAGCGCTTCAAGTGATCTTTCATGTGGGCCTCTTAAAATTGACGGGTATCAAGGATATCACGGTCATTCGCCCTTTACATTGTGTCCTTGCTTTCGAGTCTGTGATTTCACGAATGCATACTCTCTTTCTTTCTTCAGAAAGTTCACCAGTACCCCGTATAGAGCTGCAACTTGCGTAATGACCTGATGTCTGGACACAGTGAATTGGAGGTTGTCAATCAGCCTTTTGAATATTATGGCCCACAGCAGCATGGCAATTTGAGCCACCAAACGAATGAGGATGGTCGCCCATATTATCAGGAAAATACCAAGTTCATAGGACTGCCGGTATTCCCTGCTGAACTACCGTTCGAAAACTCTATACCTACCCCAATTGCATCATCGCACAGGACATCATCAAATCTATCAGACCGACAGTTCAGCAATATCTCTGAAGCTCCCTCCTCTCCGACACTACACTGTGCACCTTTGATCAAACAGCCTGTATCAACAGAGAAGGAGACGGTGGAAAGTGTAGAGGGTACGCAGAAAGAAAGGAGACCGTGGAAATGGTACATATTAGGAGGTCTCATCACGCTGGTTATAATTATAGCCGCTGTGGTTGGGGGAATAGTTGTATCTAAGAAGAAGAAAACATCGAATGTGAATGATGTATCGGGTGGAGTCCCTTCTTCAAATATCTCATCACCGACGAGCTCCGCCTCGAACAATTCACCCACGTCTACATATACAGCATCTTCAGTGAGCTCTACTATTGCTCCATTCCAGAGAAACGTCGCCGCAATCTCCTACACATCCAACAATGTCAATAACTCTAGAGTGTATTATCAAGACAATCAAGGCCATATACTAGAATCACATAACAATGCGTCGAGCGAGATTTGGTCGACGAGTCAGATTGTAACCGCTAAAAATGGTTCATCATTTGCTGCGGCTGTGACGATGCCAGCTAACAATTTTGTACGATGCCCTCACAACCCTGCCCCCACAACAGGTTCTTTCGGAGCCACGCGGCTGCTAATTTAGAACATAGGAAATCACTGTGTTATACTCCGATTCGGACAATCTGCTTCACGATATTATATATGATGTCGCATCAGATTCATGGAATGAAGGAACCTTGTCCTCTGAGAACTACATAATCTCTGAGAATTCAAACATAGCGGTGATGTACTGGCAGTGCCTTTTATGCACCAACACAACCATCATCTCTTTCCAAGATATCAACAACAAGATACAGGTCGGAAACTTAACCAACACTGGTTGGGTTTTGACCCAAATAAATGTTGATGTTGTAGATAATACTGGCCTTGCGTTGCAACCATTCTACCGCCTCAACCAAGCACATCAGATAAACTTGTACTATCAACAACCGAATAGTAACATGGCCATCTCAGCCTGGGAATACACCAGTGTGTTTTACTTTGGATAGTTTTCTATGGTTATATGCTAACGAAGTTTTGCAGCTCAAAATTGGTTACTAAATGCAGCAACGTACTACTCCCTAACATTCGGCGTGCCAATTGCCGCATCAGCATCTTACACTAGTGTCATCTGGACGGGGAACGTAAAAACGGGCTTCGAAACCTGGGGAGAAACCCTCACATTATCGCATCTTGGCGTTAAATCCAACACGTACATGGGAGCTCATAATGACTGGGAAGCAATGGGTATCCACCCTTCGGCAATGTCAAACTCCACACAAAATCCCAAAGTATTTAAATCGATAGCGGCCACGGCGACTGGGGCTGCCTTTGCCGTGGTGGCCATCGATGGAAAACCAGATGTGATAGAAGCATATCAGGTTGAGGATGATACGATAAATTGGAGTACGGCCGGAACCGTCGATATTGGCACGACATGGGGGTCAATGAAATGAAATTAAATGAAATAAATATAATAAGATCTTAACATTACATGTGTTTTATAGAATTATAGAAAAACTTTGCAACATTACATAGGTACGGAGTAGATCAAATGTGAAGCTTCAATAATGTCCATTTCTTTTCTTCAGCCATATTTGTCTTCTCTTCGTGTTACACGTTACATTACACTACATTCATTCATTCTTCATTCAAAGAAGTTGTTTGCAACCTTCCAGCGTCATTGACGTCATAATTAGTGAATTTTCCATATTGCTCACAAGCATTGCATATGCAGGAGCTGCATGATGCTTCTGCAGTCACGCTCTAAAGCGGTTGATTCAGGGTCGTTTCGGGGGTATTTTAAAGACATTTTTTTTTAGAATGTTTTTGTTTATCATTTTTTCGCGTGAAGTTATTCAAAGTTTATTATATGGACCTTGATTAATTATTCTGAAAATAAAAATAAAATAAAAAAAGCAAAATAAAAATAGTATATTTTCATTCTCCATCATTGAAAATAAAGGGCTATGTTAATCAGAAGCAAAGGGGAAGGAAGAAGCAATTTATTAATCAAAATAGACAGAGTAAATCATAAAAATGTTTGAGAGTTTGAAGAACACGATACCTTTTTGACGAAGTCTTCCTTACTGCATTGACTACCGGTATGTCATTTGTCATTTATTATGGCCCTATACTCTTTCGTCCTTACTCTTGCCATTAAAAACACACCCATTACCACAACCTCACAACCTCCCTTAATGATTGGGCACAATAGATCCTCTTTTCGTCCTACAACCTAAACACTCAGGTCCATGCCACCTACCGTTTGCAGAATCTTACACTCGCTCTTGTGACCTTTACTGTTCCAACCTTCTGTCTGGCATTCCTGTATTTTGTGGTCAACTCATCCAAACTTTGGAAACTACTCTCTTCAGATTTGGAACCTACCTTTCCACAGTACCAAACTTCACTACAACCCTTACATCTTGAGAGTTCCTCTTCACTGCCTCTTCTCTCACACGATTGACATGTCACCCGGTTCCCTCGGCTGTTTTCTTCGATGTTTTCTGAAGCGTCAAGAAACCTCTTACTTATTCCTAGTAGTCTTTCCAAGGATGCCGGGATAATCTGTCCTCCTCCATCAGTCCCTGAATCGAATCTGCATAGAATACCAAAAAAATAACTCACAGCAAGATCATCCCACGCGCACCTGATATATCCCTGTTTTCCCTCCCGGACCCCGTGTCTCCTCGGATTCGGCACCACAACCGTATGCCCTTTCTTTAATTTCTTGATATCAAACTCATCCCCACCTCTACTCCCATTTCCGTTTCCAGTCACACTCCCCTCCAATTGCGCAGGCGTTAATGGCGCCTCGAGAATAACCGTTAGTGCAAATGACACGCTAGCCGAATCTGTGCAAATAAAAGTAGGAGTTGTGGAGAGTGTCATGTTTTGGGATATTGTTGCTAAAAGATATGTTTGTCGGGGGGTTCCGGGTGATGCTTCAACGGTAGGTGCAGTGCGTGAGGGATCGACGGTGGGGTTTAGAGGACAGGTGGAGAAGGTTAGGAAGGCGGGGGACAGGAGGTTGGGGAAGTTTGGAGACATGTCGACAGGAAGATTTGATTGTTAGGAAGTGATTATCGAGTCGACGTGGTGAAATGCCGAGTTTGGATGTGAGGATTGAAGGTTTTGATTGATTGATCGGTGACAGCGAGATGAGTCGTAGACAATTTTGAGATGAAACATCACCCGAAACGTGGTGATGAAGGGGTTCGGCGACCAGGTATCTTGATAAGCAACCGCATGCTGATCCTCCTTAAGCACTTACTTGAGGATCTTCTACAGATGCCGAAGTTAATCAAGGATAAGGATATCAAGGATATAAAAAAAACTTGGACGAATAGCATACTCTAGCACACTCTATCAAGGATGGTTTGACAAACCATTCGTTTTCACGTGTTAATCACGTGTGACACACCCAAATCGCTTATTATCAATTGGAGTGGATGAATTTTGGATGGAAATGCAAAGCAAGCTAAATTCAGCAAGTTGAGTTGTTCAATGTAACGAGGAGTGGTAGATCCCTCCCCATTTACGACCGGGCGGGAAACATTCTCTCCACCTTACTAATAATATGACCACTCATCATTCCATCACGGAGACTCACCGGTAAATCACCAATTTTTGCGGTGGAGCTGCGGATCGAGTCAGTCGTCATACATGCATATCCATGATAATGACAATTTACGACCCAGTTCTGATATTTGAGATTCAATTCCACTCACGTTTGTTTCTACTCTCTCCAGAAAGTTGTTTCTAAGAAACTAAAAGAAAAAAGGAAAACCATCAATATGTCTGTCGATGAAATTACCTCTCCCCGAAGCGGGATCCCTCCTATCCTCAAATGCCCATTCGAGATTAGGTTGATGATTTACCGACACTTGATCCCTTCAATTGATCCTTCGGCCGACTTTAACTGGACTTCGGCTTGGGATCCGAATCGCCCAAAATCTCGTTGCGAAGAACATAAACTCTACTCACCGCCTATACTTCACACAAATCAAATGATCTATCGAGAAGTCTTGAACGAACTCTATTGTTTCCTACCTTATCGGACATCGATCAGCAACTATGGTATCCGATTCTTGGGCTACACATTCATCAAACCACCGCCAGCTTTCCAGTATGTCCACACTCTGGACCTCACGATTCAAATCAACAGCTATTCTCATGCAAAGATTGCGAATATCTTAAAATCCTGCGTGGAGACAACCTGTGCAAATGGACAATTACGTCGGCTCCAAATTGGTCTCTCGTTTAGCTTGCAATTTTTTCAAACAAATAGGGGGAGTCCGAAGGAACTATGCAAAATGTTGGAGAAGAACCTCTACCCGTTAAGGAGGAACCTTCGTCGCCTAAATCAATTCGTCATCAGAAGATTGACCGAGAAAGATATTTCGAGTTCCAATCGAAATATTTCGAGTTCGTTTGTGGTAGAACGAGAGGAATTCTTGGATACTGTTCAAGGGTTCATGAACCAGTTGGCGAGAGAAGTCATGGGTCGCTGCAATTCCTAGCTGAAGCAATCAACTACGAGTACGGTTCGTGTGTTCCGCTTCGGTCATGGAATGCACCCTGTCGACTATTTCGAAAGATATTCCTTCCCTATTTCGCATGGGCATGGCAAATATCTACTGGTGCATACAACTATGGATGAGAAATCTGAGACGTCCAAAATTAGATCGCGTTCTTACATCTTAACACGAACCTTATTCTCAGTCGAATCCTAGAATATGTATTAGGATGAATGGCGTCAGACATTACACCAAAAATGTACATGGCCTCATTCTTCGATACGTACACTTCCCATCACCAAAGGTTATCTATCCCAATCCTTCTTTGAGATAGGCATTCTCCTGGTGACCAGGGACCGTCTCATCCTATTCTCAGAGATATCGAACACGGAAAATAGGTCATGGGTATCTGGTCTATCAAGACACCACCTTGAAGACCAAGAAGAGATGAAATGTTTCGAAAAAGTCCGAGAGCGAACAAAGGGTTTCGAGTCTCGATGAAAATGATGATGAATGCGGGGGTTCATGTATTAGTTCAAGCAATGTTTGAGCACAAAATTTCTTCAGAGAGAACTCAGATAAAATTGAATAGATAGAAAGATGTGATGTATTTTAGGATATCTACATGTTAGCCCTATCATAGATTATAGTGGAAGTTTTGCATCACAAATTGAACTTTCAACCAAACACCGTGTTCAACAATGCACGCACGTGATAAAATTGAAACAAACATCGAAGCTCCGGGCACGGTCGAAGGCTAATAAAGGTAACTTACAAAAGACGAACCACCTCATACTCTGTACATAAGGTTACGAGCTTCAGAGGGATCAAATAATGCAAATGCTTTTCCATGGGCATACACCATATATGTCGTGCAAGCTGGTAATTGTCCCACCATTAGAATCTGTACACGAAGTACATAACCTATGCGGAAAAACCAGCTTTAAATCCCATCGGCTCAGCGCGCCCGGTGTTTCTCATGAGACGACAATCCTCATCCTCATGATCATGTCAAACCATAGCCACGTTTACGCGCTTTTGGATGTTGGGCACCTCTGGGGATGAATTATATCGCATTATTAATAGTTTATGTAGGTCACAGCGGGGTTTTATAAGAAGCACAATGATACTCGTGGGATAATAGGATGCATATTCGTCCGTGAAGGAAGGTTGTAATAACATCCCATTTGTTCTAGCGTTTGGAATTTTTCAATATGCAGGAGTGCATCTGGGCTGTGTGGTATGTTTGCGTGGTGCGGGGGACCCCTCGTGGACGGAAGGATCCCATGCGCTGGCAGTGTTAGTACATAAAGTCTGTGGTATCCCGTAAATTGGCGATGGCTTCCTTATTTTTCAGTTGTTGTCTGTCGTATCTAGGGCATGATGCGTTTTTTTGTTCATATATGCGTTGGCATTTTACTGTCATGTGCCGATGGTCTGTTTACCCACCTCGAAATACTTTTTATTGTCTTTTGACTGATCGTCCTATAGCGTCGAAAATATCGAAAGTGATAAATCGTGGATATAATAGCACGAACTATAATGGCACGAATAACGGCACGGCATCCGGTAATATTCTGAGAATTGTAAGCCTCATGTTCATCCAACATTCACCTGATGCACATCTGTATCTGTTCAACAATTCCTTGCTAGGATTTCTCGCCTTCTACCTATTTATAACCCCTCCAACCATTACAATACTAACTATCACAGCAACCACTTGGCAACTCGATAACTTTTGGCTACTTGTCTACTGATGGAAATGGCTATCGTCTCGGTCTCCTTGATCTACTCACTTCAGCTGGAAACACGGTCCAATATGTTGGGTCCGTTCGAGCGGGCAACATGAGCGATAATTTTAACGAAGGACATCCGGGAGCTGTCATCTCCCAAATCGCCGAATATGCAAAGCTATCAATCTCTGACGATCCCAATCTCGTTCTGTTGATGGCTGGTACGAATGACATGAACGACTTACTGAATGTTACTACCGCTCCAGATCGACTAAGCGCACTCATCGATGAAATTACTTCTTCGGTTCCAAACGTGACTGTAATAGTTGCTCAAGTCACCCCAGCTGCAAATACGACCGTAGAGAACGCGATGGTTACGTTCAATTCCATGATACCCGGCATTGTAGCATCTAAAGTTAGCGCTGGGCAAAAAGTATCCACAGTCAACATGATGGACTATGTTACTGTGAATGACCTAGCAGATGGACTTCACCCGACCGATCATGGATATCAGCAGATGGCCAAAGCGTGGTTCGCGGGCATTCAAGAGGTTCAGAAGAAAGGATGGATAGATCCTCCGATTTCCACCCCCAACATTACCAATGTGATCGACTCTACTATTATTTCTAACAATGCTATCAATGCTACTATTGCTGTCACCCCGCCCGTTCGGACTGCACTATCAACTAGCACGAGTTCTAGCACAACTTCTAGTAGCAGCAGCACCTCTTCTAAATCAGCTTCTGAGCGGCAGTTCATCATTCCTGCTATAGGCACCATATCTCTTCCCGCTTTGCTTGGATACTTTCTGTACGCCTGAATACATTGAATGATTACTTTGAGGATGAAGGAGATTACAATGCACAGGGTAGATTTAAAAGGGCAATAGCCAGTGATAGATTGGGTGTCGAGATAAGTCTCAAGGAAATATGAACAGTGCACATAACGACGCTTCAAATTCTTCCCGAATTCCCACAAAGGAACTGCTAGGCCCAGCTGCGAAGTTATCATTTCGTATAGCCATATTCATCGAACATAGACTCTGACATATCTCGAAAGCCGGTCATTCAGGGATATCATATACGCGGCAAACCTGTTGAATTCAGTTTGAGATATTTCCGACATAAGGTCTTTTCTGTACAGACGAGTATTTAATTTATCGATAATTATTTTTTCTCTTGGTTTGCTTGATTGACTGGAGGAATCTTTTGAATCGTGTAACTGATTAATGGATCGTCATTTAAGAAGCACGGCTTAGATTGATATGTATCCGCAACAGCTGCATCGGGGTTCTTCTCGCTAATTGTTGCTCGGATTCCACGATATATGTATACCCATCGAGAAATAATTAAATTTTATGCCAATGTTTCGTGCAACCTTTCATTCGGCTCCCTTTCTATTTCTTTTATTGCATGCGTTTGGAACCTTCTGTATAGCGGCTCCTCGGATCCCTCATCTTCGTTTCCTAATGCATCCTCAATGATCCATATACTAACTATGCTGTCGTGAGTTCAGCCATTCACATTGCATTCTCAACGTCTCTCCGGCAATCCCAATTCGATTTCAGACCCCCTTCATTCAATTCTATCATCATATTTTCTTCAAAAACATGAGTTAACGTCGCTTCTCCAGCCCAATCAGGCAATTTCCTATACATGAGGCCCACCCTCTCCCCAAAAGCATTCTTAAGATGAAGATAGAGTTCTCCGGAAAAAGGTCTCTTTTCAACCTCTGGTGTCAGCGTTCCTCTTATCAATTGGTCCAGAACTTCACTCAGATGACTATCAATAGGATCTATCTTCAGAAATTCCTCGTGGCTCTTCTGTAGACTAAGTTTAAGGATATTGTCCAAAACGACGCCGGTACGAGCCAACTCATATACAACAGCAGCCACCCACCAAACCTCGGTCTTTAGTTTAACAGGCTGAGGCCCCCAACCCTCATCTTGTGACGAGGGCGGATCATATTCTGGATCAGGGATATGGCCACCTAGAGGCTCGGTAAATGAGGTTCCAAAATCTCCAATCTTTACGTGTGGATATCCACCTTCTTTATCTGGTCCCCATTGCAAAAATACATTTTCGGATCGAAGATCGTCGTGAAAAATGGCTTCGCGGCCTAAATTTTCCGGCTTTGTATTGTAATCTGGATGTTCATTGTGAAGAAATGCTATGCTGCTAATCATTTCATAAAAAACTTGCCAGATGAACAGCTCCGGTGGTTTGATTCTTCGAGTCCGAAAGTTTTTCGATAGGATACTGAGGTTACCGGCATCGCAATATTCGAAAAAGAGCCCCATGGCAAATTCTTCATCACCATATCCTGGTTTGTATTGAACGAAGGCCTCGAGATTGCAGATGTGAGGATGACCACTTCTAATATATCGGAGAAAGATTCTGGTTTCCTCATTTCTCTTAGCACGAAGACTTAATCTCTCCACTGAGTGAGAGGAGCTTTTAGAGGCGTCACTGCTAGCTGTCAGAGGCGGCTCAAGAGCCCCTTGAGGAAGAGTATCTGAACGGTCGAACTTTGTGACATTTAACAGGAGCTTCAAGGCATAATGTTTGTTTGTTTCTGTATTCATGGCCAATAAAACGTCACCCCATGCACCAGACCCAAGGTAACCCTTGAACTTGTGATTTTCGAAAGTTAGGCCGGGATCGTCTCTCCATTTATTGCGACGAATAATTATTTCTTTTTGGCGAATGGCTTTAATAAAGCGAATAGCAGATACCTCTGCTGCCCGAGCCTTCTTTTCCATAGTTTTGACATTGTGCTTCTCTGTTGATTTCATTTAGCGTACCTGGCCTAAGCACAAGAAAATTATTTTTCGAAGGATCTGAGATCACCGAGGTATCAGAGAGAATTGGGGTTTGACTATGACACCGTAATGAAATTCTCTTTGTCTGGAGATTGTGGCTTGATGGGGAGGAGGGCCGCAGTGATACGATGAAAGACAATAACAAGGTCGATACCTTTTAATACAATATGGACACCCTACCCGCAGGCCGCGCCATAGCCTTATAGGCATTAGAACTTTTTGCAAGAGTGCGACATCGCGCTTCTGTCAACGCGGCGGCAGAGGATAATTTGAATGACAGTGGAGAGCACGAATAAAATAATGAGCTGGTATCCGGACTTAGCGAAAATCTCATCAAGGTAACCATCATTGATGACTATTTTGAGCTGCTGCGCAAACTACATCCGCATTCATCTTCTGTTCCGTGTATTGGAAAGTCGCTAATTTATCCTGGAATTATTAAAGATTTTTTTTTAGAGGCTGAAGACTTTCAACATTGAACGTCCCTTCAGTAGTCGAGAAAAGAGAAAGATAATATGTTTAGACAAAACAAGCACCTTTGAATGACCTAAATATTTATGGCGGACCGGCAGTTATATTTGCTGCCTACCAAGCTGCCGATTTGAAAATCCTTGCCCAGATTATTTGATCGTTTGTTTTGTGTTCCTTCATTTCCCCATTTCTTCATCCAGCGCCACGCTATGAGTGTTACCAGTAAGGAGCACAATAGCACTGCTATACTGTATGGAGTTCTAGGATTGACTTCATCTAGTCACTTTTTATCCCCGATTGGCGGGATTCTACTGTTGAGATAGTATTCCAGGTCCTCGATCTCTAAAACATCGGCGGAATGCTGCAGACCACTATATTATTGTTAACATGGAACATCAACCACAAAACTCGCTAGGATAGACTTACGGGTACATATTTAATTGGACTTCAAAGCCTTCCTCGCGGAGAACCTCAGCGGTCTTAACACCCCATTCTGGTCTAACAACAGGATCGCTGTCTCCATGAGCCATCCAAATCTTGGTCTCCTTGTTGACGCCTCCTTCTGCCCCCAAGAATTCTTTGAGTTTGTTGTGTAATAGCAAATAAGAGCTCAAACCAAAGATCCCCCCGAGTTTTGATGGACATGTAATTCCGGAAAATATCGCCATGGCGCCTCCTTGGGAGAAACCGCCGAGGACAATGCGATTGGATGGGATCTTGCTATCTTCTATTTCGGATTTGATGAGTGAGTGGAAGTACGCTTGGGATCGTCGGATTCCGGTTTCATCTTGCTCGGCTTGGAGGTCACTGAAGGTTGTCTTTAGTGCTTGAGGTTAGCGATATTTTTTATGTGTACCTAACAAAGTAGATACTATTTGGATGAGTAGACGAACGGTACCGTTGCGTGGACTTACAATATCATACCACCCCGGCATGGACATCCCAAAGTTCTGAAAGATTTATTAGCATCAGTATTCTATTTGAAGATTATTTTTGGTTATGATAAGATCTTACAACTGTGATGGGGATGGCTGGCGCATTTGGAAAAATGAATTTAACCTCTTGAAACTTTTGACGACGACGCCAATTCTCTGCGAGTGAAACCCATCCAGCACCACTGTCGCCAAGGCCGTGAGACATAATGATAGTTGCAGTATGCTTGGTGACTGCCGGGATAGTGAGAGCTGATGGAGGAGGCATTTTATGGACTGCAGTGGTGGCAGATATTTTGTTGGACGTATTTGATAGGTTTGAGGGTTGCAGATAGATTTTAGATCTTTTAAAATCTGCAGAAGTGCTGAAAGGAAAGGTTGACGTTGGTTGAAATTGTTTGTGTTTCCCTTTCCACTGCGCAAATAGATAAGGTTAGAAAGGAAGTTCAAGCAGAAGCTCTCTTCTTTCTCCCCCGCCTTGTCGCGCTACAGTGAATCCCTGCATCTTTCTTATCAAGGATGATTGAGTATTATCTTTCAAGTACTCGGTGCTATCTTGTTTTATTATTTGTTTTGTCATCACCCCATAACTTCTGCACCCATCATATCAATCATATCATATCATGTTATGATGTTGATAATGCTTTGATCTATCGAATGTGTTCTACCGTATCGTCTCATAGTTTTGCACACCTCTTAAACATTTTGAAAGAGCCTGAGTCCCCAACCATTCATTTAACCCATAGCCATGGCTCCAACAACACCTCGAAACCAATCCCCCTCACAACGTCCGCTCCCTGGATCCCCAACTTACTCATATGCTTCTACGCTTCCTCTTGCGTCCACATTTTCCCTTGCGCTTCCTCCTCCGCCAGCCCCCCATCCTCCACACGCTGTCCTCACGAAAGCTGATCTTGAACTCTCCCAAATCGCCTATTCGGAACTCATTAGCACCGCCAAAAGTTACCGACTAGCGCTCGCAGAGCTAAGCTCATCTGCATCAGCTTTTGGCAGCGCCTTAGAAGCATGTGCACGATTAAAAGAAGCACGATCCGAAGGCTTGGCTCCACCTGGTGGTAGTCTCAGCAATAGTTTTACGGCGAAAGGAAATTGTACTGGAGATAATCTGATGTCTGCTAGTGGAGTACATCAGTTGATAGCGAACCATCAGCAAATACTTTCAGAATGTGTGTACAGATCATTTGAGGTGCCTTTACTGCATGAATTAGACAATTGGGGTCGGCATATAGAGGAAGAGGAGGTCTCATATCGGAAGGAAGTCAAGATTAAGAGCAAAGAGATTCAGAAGATGGAGAAGGAGGGAATGAGATTACACAAGCAGAGAAAAAGAGATGTGCGAGGATTCAGGGGGCATCTGGTGGAATTGACTACAAGACTTGACGGCCTTACAACACTCCACGGTGAACATTCAAGAGTCTTGTTGAGAGACTGTCAAGATGTCAGCACCAAGGTTGTCGAAGCTAGTTCCTCTCTCGTTCGCGCAGAAGTGGAAATTTTTGAAGCCCTCGCACGAAAAGGTTGGACGGGAGGTGGCCTCGAGGATTTACTTGAACATGGACAAGATCTCTTCTCCTCGGAACCTCCCATTGCGAACACAGATTCCAGTGGTAGCCCATCCAAGATTTTCAGCATTCTTCCACAAAAATCTATCCTTGTGGATGCCACACATCCCGCTCCAGATACACCCCACAAAAAGATAAATCACAAACGGAGTGACAGTCTTCTTGTTGATAACAACCATTATCATTCTCTAGCTGCAGTCGCAGAACGTGATATAGATGGCGGATCAGTATTTTCTGAACGAGATACGAGGATTCCGAATCGTTCCAGAGCTGTAAGGCCCTTCAGCCCAGAGCTAGTCGGAAGAAGTCTTGATCCACTAGAATTGCCTCCACCAAGTCATATTCCCAGCCAGAATCCATCTCCTAGTGAAGAGTACGTCGAAAGATCAAGATTTGAGGCCTTAGGCTCCGTCACACCTAAGATATTCAAGGGCCAAACTATCTTAGATTCAGAGGTACCCTCAACGATTTCTTCACCGGAAATATTCGCAGAAACGGAGACGGAAAGGGACACAGAAACAGACGCAGTGACAGCAACAAGCACCAAAACAGAGATGGACCAAGAGACCAGCAGTCTACATTCGGAGGGAACAATCCGCGGAGACGAGCAGCCAATCCCACCTCCCCAACACGAGTTTGAACAGGACGAAGAGAGAAGCGAGCAAGGATGGGTTGATAGATTTTATGTTTAAATGATTAGCACGTGGATTATGAACTCGAGCGTACTAATACCCCCATCTAGATCATTTTTTGTTTTGTTTTGTTTCCGTCTCTTTCCAGCATGCGTATATAGGTGTTTGGGGTATTTACTTTGAGTTCTGGTTCTGGGTTCTGGGTTTCGGCTTCTGGGATGGAGTTATATAAAATTATGTGATGTACGAGACGATTTGGAGGTGTGCTGACACGTTCAACGAGAATAGAGTAGAGTACAGTAGAGAGTTTCATGTGTGATGTTTCATGTTTGATGATAAATAGAATGACCAAATAAATTTTCATGCTATATTCGTTCGCTAGGAGGAAGTCTTGCGCCATAACTCCTTTTTTCAATCACCCGTGCATCCGCACCTAATTGGTTGGTCATTAATTACATTTCTTTGCCATGTACGCTCTTCGTGTGTAGTTTCTCGTTTTTGCACAATCTCGGGTATAGTCTCGTAGCTTTTCCAATCAATCGAGCTCCTATATGTCGTGGTCCAAAATGCCACTGCCTCTACGATTTATTTTCCTCCTTTCTACAAGGAAAGGGGCTTTAGTCATCTTTTTCTCCCCCTACAACTCCGAAAATCCCTAGGTATGTGTCGAACCAGTAGATCATCCTCCAGTAAAGACTTGCTTTCGCAAAATCAAACTCGCCCGTCTCTGTCCTTGGCACCGTGTCCCCTATGATATCCGCACTAAACCAATTTAATAATGGAATGTTGGAGAAAACTTGCTGCGTGTATGATTTCTGAGGGAGTAAGGCTTGATCGGCGGGAAGGAGCTGCAGGCGTTTGGCGGTGGGAATTTTGCGACAGTAAAGGGAGGCCGCCTCGGGGGCAGCAGGACCTGCAGAAGAAGGCCGTTGTTGAAATGCGAGCGTACCACCTGTGACTGTAGATGTTGTTAAAGTAGTGGTGTCGATAGTATGACTGGTGGCCTGAGAGCCTTCTGGAGACTGGTCGCGATCCTCGAAGTGTACGCTTCGACCAACTTGCGACATTTCGGGAGTAGTCCAGGAGCCGGGGAGACCCGATTGTTGAAGCGGGCGTTCGGCGCCAGGAAGTAAAGCTCCGGGATTGAAACGGTGTTTGTTAGCATTAGAACGGGATGATCGCGTCGATGGTACAGTAGAAATTCCTGGTTCATCTTGTGCCGGTGGTGCACCACGATACAGTTCTGCGGTGACATAGTGACCAAGCACTGGCTGCGGAGAAGCTTCCATAGCTAATTCTGCTGCCTCCGCTGACTCGAACGTAATCTTAATCCAATGCTTCCCACCAGCATACTTCAAAGCCTTCGCTTTTTCTTCTTTGGTCAATGGACGTCGTCGCAGAACAACGGGATCTCGAAGGTCTGTTTTGTATCTACGTTGATCCAGAGGGGCATCGCGAGGATAATCTTCGCAAATGTGACCGGCGATTCTTTCATATTCAGCAATAGCGGCCCATTGATGTTCTGGCGTGAAACCTCGTAGTATAACTTCTGTAGGCTCCTGGTGTACAAATCTCGAAGATGAGCCGCCATTGCCGTCAATTGCTGCCAAGGCATTGTTATCCCGCAGATTGCTTTGCGATAATGAAGGTTGTATTGAGGATTTGCGCTGTCCTGATTCTGTTGTAGCCGCAGCTCTTCTTGCGAAAGTGGCAGCGAAAATTGCATCTGCAGCTGCCAAGGTCGGGTCCTCCTTTTTCAAAGCTGGCGTGCCAGTTCTTGATCGAGATCGTCTTGTCGATTTACCAAAGGATCCTGTCTCCGGGACTGTTCTTCGAATTCTTGCCATGCCTGGATTCCCCTCATTTCTACTCGAATCAGATTGATAGCCCTCCATTGTGTGGACTTGAAAAGCTTACCCAGGGAATAGCATCGCATAAGGTCTTTTGACACCATCGTCGCCTACATAACACTCGTCTTCTGGAACATTATGTAATATTAAAGGCGGCATTGTGAATTCTAAAGTAAGGGAGAAGAATGTAAATGTCTCAAATTGAGGTGGTCGTTTCTGGAATTCGTGAGGAGGTTTACAGCCGTGTTCTCAAAATCTTTAAGATTCTACTCTAGGATCTACAGTAATAATGAGTCTCACAGACAACTCTACGCGACAAATCAAGAAGTGTTCGTTGCTATGGGCAGAAGACAAAATTTAGAAATGGCAGGGATCAAGGATTTACTAAGGATTTCTGCTGTACGTGCGCGGAGGGGACAGCCGCATACGGTCAAAGCAATGAAAGGTTAACGTCATTCAAGCTTTCAAAGCTTCAAGATTTCAACGACGATGAATAAGATTTCTAATTGATATTAACCATAACCACAGCCCGACAAAAGCAATCAAAAATCACAATGTTTCGATTTGTAAGTACAAGTAGATGCTTTTACTTCTTGATTATGGAATAGATTAAATGTAACTGACATGGTCGGTATACAGCACAAAACTCTTGATGTTATTACTCTCTTCCACAAGGCAAGCTCCCCAGCTTCGTTGAGAGTTTACACTCTTTTGAAGCGGGCATCTGCCAATGCTGCTGCATTCGCGACGGAAGATCAAGCTAGCGATCTCGCTGCCAATATCACACCACAAAGAGACGAGTTTGAACTGGAAATCACCGAATCTGCACCAACCCCAGATCAACTTAGGAGCATTCTCGAATTTATGGGCCCATCAAAGATTGGCAGCATTGTTACGGGTGCAAAGGATGAAGCAGATGCTGTAAGGAAGATCAAATCCAATGAAGATAGTTTCCAAAGACCGCTGGTATGTTTCTTGCCATAGATGGGATACTGTGGAATGAAGCCTCGACTAATGATTTATAGACTGTGGATTGGAGCAATGGAAGAGCAGTGGCTGGAGACAATGAATCTGAGATATTGAAGATGCTCAATGCTCTACCCAAAAACTAGTCCTTGCACCGTTGCACTGTACACCATTTCAAAAGTTCCCAATACCAATTTGATTTGTCTAGTTTCATCGATTATTCAAAACCATCTCAAATAATAATTGTGATATGTTGGAATGGATGGATGATTGATTAATAAATGAACAAGGCTGAGTATAGATCACCCATGACGATGCCATACAGAGTGAAAAGGGTTTGGAGGTAAGAAAATGAAATAACAAGCTCAAAATCATTAACGTGAAAAACTGTCCCCTTGGTGCTCATTCATTATCCCAGTTGCATTTTCATTAAATACAGTTAAAAACAAAACGATGGTTTCATATAATCCCTTGCACTCCCTCTCAGACCTCAAAGTCGGTAAAGCAGAAGACGAAACGATAAATCCAAGAGATTTCATAATGTGTGAGTCAATTCATTTTCCTGCTTCCCTCCATCCAAGTTGAACGGATAGCATAAAAGGAGAGCTCGAAGTATGCTGATGCTGGCGCCGTTGATAACCAATACAAAGGACGGAAAATTAAAAAAAATGTTAATTTCCACTTCATTTCACTTCACTTCACTTGACTTTACTTTACCTTACTGTACTTTAGTCACTTTGCAACAGACTTGTACTCATGTCGACTACCTAACTGTTTGTTAGGTTAGAAAGTGAATTGGTACGGCTCCAGTTCTTGTTGAGGTACTCTTAGCCTCTCCCACAATAACTATCTTTTTTTTACTGGCCCTCCTCTTTCCTCCTTCCTTCCTCCTCCCTCCTTCCTACTTCTGCCCTCCTACCTTCTATCTTCTGCCTTCTGCCTTCCTACCTTCCTACCTTCCTACCTTCCAGTTATCTTCCATCCTCCTATTCTTCCCAGCTTCTCCCCTCTTTTGAAATTTTCCAACCAAAACCCCTTGTTTTCTATTTCTTTCTTTTTAAAGACAAGATCTGCATTGTCACAATCAATCCTATCTATTGCATTTTATTGTAGCATCAAACGGGTGATTTATTGTCGCTGCTGATCTTCCCTAGAGCTACGTTGCTGTTGCTGGCAATAGCACAAAACATCTCAAGGAGCATCAGCAATTTAACAATAATTCTACATCTTTTTCTACCCAGGCCAGTACCTCGCGAGTTCAGGATCGAAGAAAAAAAATAATTTCAAGGGAAACCAATCAAGCCCTAATCTCGACTTTCAAACACAGATCGAAAACTTATTCACAACAATTCCGTGAAAATGAGTCGTCCACCCCCATTTTACCCGGTCATCCCGATAAATATGGCACAGCACAATTATCAACAACAAGTCGACCCGGGAAATCCTATCGTGGCCGGGCAGACTTCCCAAGCACCGCAATCCACCGCGAATGATCCTACAAGATGGCAGGTCCAAAACCATGCTAGTGCGCCTGCATGGATCTCTACTCTGGGTGGCCGCTTCCCAAAACGTGAACCTGTTGCAAATGTGAGAGCCACCCGTATTTTGCATAGCAACATCAAGGCCGACATCAATGTCAAAGCTGCAAGCCTGAGACAATTATATCCAGGACTGATTCGCTATGTCAAAAAACCCACCGGTTGGGACGACCTTTACCATCTTTGGGACGCAGCCGACATACAAATGGAGAGTCCAGAATTTCTCTACTATGTTATGCATCAGCTTGGCGAGGAAAATGAGCAGCTAGACCGTGAATGTGAACTTGCGAAGCACCATGAGATCGATGAATACGTTCAAGCATGGGTTACAAATAAGAGGGAATTGGTTTTAAGCTGTGCCGCTGGTGGCATGTACGAGCTTTTCTGCTCGGATCCTTCCGAAGATGACGACTTTTCTCCAGAATTAAAGCTAATCCTTAACAAGACTCTGGAAGTCCATCGCTTGCGTTTGTTACGTGACGCATCTGGTAACGCCGTTAATGCCACAGTTCATAACTCACTACAACCGAATAGCGTGCCTCAAATGGTCAGATCTGTTTCCGACAATAGAAATCGTCCTGAACAAGACCAAATCGTCGGACCAACAATTTCCATTGTGACCGGAAGTCAGTCCATTACCGCGCAGCCAGGGGATGTAAAAACAGAATCGCATTTTCTTCCTTTGACGCAAGCTCAATCCACGCCTAGCTTTCATGGTGGCAGGGATCTTAGCATGCCGTTAAATTTGCAGATTCAAAATCAACCGGCATCTACAAAGCAAGAAGAAAACATGGGTCTTACCTCAGTTGTTCCGCATCAACCACAGACACACAATCACGTTATAGAGGCTCAGCGTGGAATAGTCAAGGCCTTCAACGCTTTGACTGACATCAATCTCGCAGCTGGACTCGATCTTGCAACTGGCCTCAACGCTTCATCTGCTCCTAGTGTTTCACCAGCTCGTCACAACAGTTATCGTAACGACAATACGTTTCGCAACAGACCTAGACCTCGTGAAGATTCGATTGGAACTCATAGAAATAGAAGAAATCAGTGGATGAGCCCCCATGGAACTCATCAGAACAAGTTTATCCATCAAACGCCGCACAACCGTCAACAAAGTACTTCCGGTAGTATGAGAGGAAGCCCCTCACGGGTTCTTCAGGTCGAACCTATTTACATCCGTAATCTCGAGCATTCTTCTAGCCTCGTTAGTGATATTCCGAATCAGCGCATGGGCAATGGCGATTTCGTTGGTTCTCATACGGAGCTTCCTAGCGATGTCCAAATGACTTTTCCACATTCCAAGATCAATCAACATCTCGATTTGGGTGAAATGGAAGGAGACCCAAAACTCTTTAAAACAGATACTTTCTGTGTGTATACCTACGATATTTCCGCACCAAGAAACTCTTTCGGCCGAACTCTGTACTTGAAAGGTCCGGATTTGAAAATGTTTCACACTAATCATTTGAAGAACCTAATGTCCACAGTTGGGAATGTTGTGTCAATCAAATACTTGTTCAAGTCCTACGACAACGGTCCGGTCTTTGTAACGTGGGTTTGTACAATATCTTCAGAAATGCAAAAAAGCTAATGTGGTGGTAGATTTGATGCCGATGTTTTGGCCATGGCGATTGAAAAGTTTAATGGCTACAGGTTGCCAGACGGACGTTTACTTACAGCAGGATACCCACACGAAAATTCGCGAGATCGTTCGGGCAGTAACTCCAGTTACAATAGTTATCATGGAGACAATCACAATCGCTACGTGTCAGCTGCTGGGTCAGACAATAGAGCCTATTCGAGGAGAAATTCAATATCACAACATCGTCCATCGAGATCCCAAAGCGGTCAAATCCCATTTCGGTATTTTAGTGGCAATCATATGATTTCAGGTAATGTTAGCGAGCCTTTGTCACATTTAAACTCTCCTACTCGACCATACCCCGCACCATATGTACCAGTTGCCCAGCAACAGTCACCGGGACATGCACTAGGTGCAGTAATATCGGAAGTTGTGCAGCATGAAAGAGGAATTGCACATCTTCAACAACAAATGCCTCTCGCCATCATGAACAGTAGAACAAATGTTGCCGGCGGTTCTCATCATCGAACATTTGGTGGAGCTCAGGCAGAATCACATCATGTTAATACGAATTCTGGAGAGGGTCCCGCCCTGCCAAATCCGTCCAATCTTCCTGGCAATAGAAAGGAGAATTCTCCAATCAAGCAAGTGTAAGGCGCTACAGAAATTTATATCCGTTAATTCACAAGTTGCTAACAATCAATAAGATTTGATGAAAATACACAGTTTACACCTACCAGGGAACACAGGAAAGCATCAAAATTCACACAAATCACGTGCGTTATAAAGCTGGGTTGAGAGCCACGAATTGTTACATACTAACATATCGATAGATATAACAGTACGACCCCAGTTACAACTCCTGCTGCGACCCCCGCGAAACCATTATCTCAGACTCAACTGAAAAATCCAACAGTAGAAGTTGTCTCACTAGAGGCCTTCACTAATGAAGTGGCAACAACTCCAAAAACAAGTCAATTATCCACCAATGAAATCACAGCAGAACCAGAGTCTCTGAGTACGGAGATCATCAAAGAGATAGCCGCAGCGGCTCCAGAATCTCCAGGCCATGTTGAAAAATTCTCATCAAATTTGTCGAGCGAACAAGTCGCCACAGAAGCCGCGGAACAGTTGTCCCTAGCAAAGACAAAGAATTCAAAGAAGAACAAGAAGCAATTCAAATCCAACAGCAAGGTCGATATCGACGAGGAAAACAACATTGTTCGCTCGACTCGTGCTATTCCTTCACCGGCCGAGTCAGAAAGCACAAATCCTTCACTAGTTGGCGGAGACATATTATTCAGTGGAGACTCGACCAGAAAGCCAAGTGTTTCTTCAATGGATTCAATATCTAACAATTTTTTAACGAAAATCATTTCTAAATCACAGATCATTAGTGACAAAGCCGAAAATACAGATGAGAAGGAAAGAACTTCCGGAAAGGCCCTAGACAATGAATTGATATTGGCCGCCAGTGTCGCTCTAACCCTATCTAACGGAACTACTGCCAATTCCAGCCACCAGAGATTGAAGACTGACGGTTCTACGAATGATTCTCTTGATAAGAGTCGTTCAGTATCTGTCAAGGATCTCAAGAAACAGCCCCATTCGAACAATTCAGATAACTGCGATTCTCCAAAAACTGCTACAGGACCTGTTATCAAGACCGAGCTAAAGAAAGCCAAGTTTCACGGGAAAAACCCCCAAGACGGTGGCGCCAGATCTTCCGAGCAGCAGGAACAACCAAAGACGGATTCGAACAACAAGAAGAAGCGTGACTTGCCCGAAGCCAGCCAGGAGATGAAAAGGTCTTCAGTTTTAGTTGTCTCCAACGACTCATCTGAATGGCCATCCTTAGCCCCTTCAAAGTCCCCACCTTCGAGCATTGCTAATGGAAAGCCCCCTAAATCGATCGCTCTACCAGCCTCGACTATCCTCAAAACTAAAGAAGTAATAAAGCCAGCATTGCCACTTAAGCCAATTAAGCCGCTGCATCGACCATCGTAAGAATCTCGAGTCTGATTTCCATACGCCATGCGAGCTGATGCCGTGTAGGGATGATAAACTAGGGGGCATTGTTTGGCCGTTCGTAAGGAGATGCAAACGAAAGGTTCTATCGGAAAGTACTGGTGGATGATCAACACAGCATCTTCTTTAGTCGGCATATCTTTTGAACATTTGTATTCACCGGTATTCGCGAATGATATATATCACTAGAAGAAGTTGGGGAAGTTATGCGGAAGATATCCATAGTATGATCGTTCCACATCAAGAACAGAGATACACGACGAGTCAGTAACTACTGCCATCATGCTAATGTGCTTTTTAATATGCTTGCTCAGTCCCTTTGCTTTGAAGTCTCCCCTTTACTCGTATTCTGGCTGTTGTGCGTTCATCTTTGAAAATATTCTAAATGCCCAGTTCAGAATGCCATTGTAAATTTTTTTATTATCATTTATTATCCTTCATCCCTGGAGATAGAGTCCAAAGGCTCATAAATCTTTTGAGCATCTCTCATCCACCACAAATTTAAGGTTGTCTGCCCGAGTATTAGCACACTTAGGCAGTGAAGTTGTAGAAATTTGACACGGGGAGTCGTCATGAAAGTACAGGACCATAGACTCACATACGAGAACGAAGCTTTGCACGCAACATAAGTTAGAATATTAAATAATATACGTGAGGCATAGTATGGGTATCTTCATAGTGTATCTACATTGCCTGGCTTTAGTTTTACGTTTAGTTGGTCTGTTTTCTTTCTTTTCCGTAACACTTGTGCAAAGGACACTCGTGGATGGACTGTATCTTCGCTAATATTCTACAGGACTCTACTTAATACCGCATTCTCCATCACTCCATGGATTCGCTCAATATTGGACTTTCTATTTGATGCTAGACTTTCAATGATTAGTGGATACCTAGTATTTCTATTGCAGTTAGATGTAAGTTACTGGACTGGTGACAAATGAGGGGCTATAGTCTCATAAGTTGTATACATAACCACCTTATTTACTACGGAATATTCATTATTCACTTTCAAAATCTATCTTACGGCCACTAGTCTCACCCTCCACCCAAACTCAAAAATTATTTAAGTGTTATCCATATCATCCGTATCACACAACTTACTCTCTACAATATCACTTCCTCACACATCGAAGTTTTTTCCATATTACAAATTAGTTTCAGTTGCCATCGATCACCATGGCAGGTGATAACACAGATGGAGATGATCCACAGTCATTCCTCGGCCGCGGGTTACCTGAGTATTCTAAGCTGATAATGCATAGTATTCTGAAGTTTGTAGGGGAAAAAAGATGCGCCACGTACAACAAAAGCCAGCTAATGCGCCGGCTACATGAAGCTCAGAATGCCGGGCGTATATCCACGGCACAGCGAACAGCCATTAAAACTTGGTTAGCAGGAGGGTCGACTGATCATATCAGCGACCATTACACTCCACCAAATGGACAATTTGCACAGCCACAAGCATCTCGAGTTACCAAGAAAAGAAAGAGAACTCCAAAGGCATGCAAGCGGACTAAAAATTCTGCGTTTGAACATGAAGAGTCCTTGACGCCAGCACCGGAGCTCAGAGAATGCTCTATATGTGCCGAAGAAGTCAACTTGGCTGACTTCCCACATCAAATTTCATCTGGCTGCATGCATGATCCAACTTGCTGCCGTACATGCCTTTCCCGATCTATTGGTGTGCAGATTGAAAGCAAACCATGGGATCAGATTACATGTCTTGAATGTCCTGCCCTTTTATCTTTCGATAACGTAAAGTCCTTCGCCTCAGAGGCTGACTTTATCACGTATGTACATATCTCATCCCGCTATTCTTGTTATTGTTGCTAATATCTGAAATAGATACGACCGAAACGTGCTCTTATACTGCATTCGTAGTGATCCCAATTTTACGAATTGCCTTGGTCCAGGGTGCGGTGGCGGCCAAGTTCATGAAGACGGCGATGATCAGCCCATAATGACATGTGGGGATTGTAGTTTCAAAACATGCTTCACTCACAAAATGCCTTGGCACACCGGCCTCACATGTGATCAATACAATACCCGGGAAAGAGAGAAACTGCAACAAGAAGAAGCAAGTCAGAAACTCATGGAGAAGGCTACGAAGAAGTGCCCAAAATGTCAGGTTCGCATCGAAAAGAACAAAGGCTGTGATCATATGACTTGTGAGATATTATTTAGCCCTTCGAACTTTCAATATTTGGCATGGCTAATGATGACTAGGTCGATTTTGCAAGCATGAATTCTGCTGGATGTGCTTTGCAGATTACAAGTTAATTCGCTCAAGGGACAATTCTGCACATACACCAACTTGTACATACTATGCGGGAGTTCCTCTACGACATCAAACTAATTATCTTGCCTGGCTGGGACCTCCTGCCAGAGTGGACCACTTTATGGCAAGAGCTCGAGCCCTCCCCTCAGGCTGAGTCGGGGTTGGATTACAAGATGACCCTCTATTTCCAGCTATTTCCAGATGACCAGCTATTTCTTTGAAGAAGATTGTTCTCGTTGATTTATGGAAGATTTCACTCGCATTGCCGATCTCCCATTGCGTAATAACCACGCTACTCAATTACTCGAAATAAACAACAATGGATATAATAAGCAGGATGAATGGCCCCGATACTTCTCAACAGATAATATCTACAATTCCGCATAGGCAGGACTTGGCTACTAGCTAAGCTCTGGTTACTAATATTTCACTGGGAGGCTCTAGGCTTGCGAAACGATGATGTCATGGTAGCTAAGATAGTGCATGATACCCGGGATATGGAAAGCACAGGATATTATATGATTGGGTGAACAGGAAAATAGGTTTTATGGTGCGCCGAAAAGCTATTGGGATATTTATATAGCATTATTAGTTCACTCGTATCTTTTTTCGATTTTCATGATCTGATCTTCTGCAAATTTCAAAATGTTTCATAATTAATCCTTTCTTTTCTTTTCTTTTATTGTACTCGAGTTCATATGTTTTGCTTATTTATTACATACTGCAGGCTGCTTGCTGCATTATGAATAAATAAGAATACTTTGATGTTCAAACCAGCTTTGGAATATTGAATTTATGAGTAGGTAGTGGGTAGGTAAGTAAGTACCTAGATAAGGTAGATTAGATGAAGTTCGTGGCTCAGATTCACTAATATATATCTAATGTGTATTCGGGAGAGTGAATTGGAGTGAAGGTACGTTAGTTCTTTTAGTCTTAGGACTTGGCTAAGTTTTGGCCTTGTGTTACGAGTGTTTGGCTCGGGCTTGGGCTTTCTGCTTTTAACTTTTAACCTTGAGTTTCAGGTTGAATGGATGGTGGAGAATATTTATTTCGTCTTTATTTGTTGTTTTATAAGAAGATTTCAAGGTTGAGAGCAAGGATGGCAAGTTGTATATTCGTGAAGGGAAGTACCCGGACATGACGAGTGACCTGGACGTATTTCATGATTTTTCTGAAAATCTGGGTCAAGGGATAAGGAGGCTGTGTTGATTTTATTGGATGTTTTTTGATGCTATTACTTGGATGAATGGTACGACTGAACGGTTTTCCAATGGTGAACAAACATCTATTTCGGTGGATGGAAAGACGAGGAAAGTGGTTACAAAATAGGAACCCTGAAAAACATCGAGGAGATTTTATTTTGAATGCCCAAATACTGTCTTGAAAGTCACTCTTCAAAGTAATAGAGGCGTATACATTCTCGATATCTCTGGCGCTCAATACGGATACTATGACCTGCAACACCCTGGTCCCAATATATCGATAACCGAGTTTCTAAAATCAACAATTGCTATCCGTTTAATTTGGCACGTCATAGTCTCAAATATCATGGATAAATGTGGTACCAAACCTTACGGCTTCCACTATTCAGATGAATCAACTTTCAAGACTGTTCTCGCCCCTTGAAAATATGAATGGAGGAATAGGAATGGGAATGGCATTTCATGAGAGAAGCAAAATTCTTGAGATTGCCGCTAGAAGAATTTCAAAAACAACTAGAAAGTGCAAGTGCAATCTGTAGTTGAAGATGTTTTGATTGGGTTTCGGAATATGTTAGTGAGAAGGCGAGGAAAACTCGTGGGAAGCCTGGTGCTTACTCCACGGCTGTTTTTACCCCTGGAGAGTTCGAGAGCGCTGTGAAGAATATGGGGAAGTTCTTGCCGTGAACGTTTCAGAGGAGAAAAGCTCAATTCTCGAGGATGGATGGGATGGTATCTGCATTAATCGTTGAGGATAAATGCGGTTATGGGGTCACAATTTTACGGAGCGTTTGCTATTTTCTCAGACCATTTTCAGTGCATGTTTTTTCGTAAAGAGGTTCAACTGTGAGAAAGTAGGTAAGTGAGTCTTGAAATTAGGTGGTTTTTAATTTATACATCACTTGTCTCTGTCCCGGCATATAGTCAACTAGTAGTTAGTGATGTGCAATAGATCGAATTTCTCGGTAGAAGCTTACCGTCGAATTCAGACAATCAAAGCACCATGGAGGCACTTAGTATAGTTACTATGTATGATGATGTCATTCCTTGGGTAGTAGAATACTTTACACGAGCAGCTATGCGGAAGCATTGAGCTATGAGTACTTGGATAGATTAGTATGTAAGACTATATAAGTAGTCTCGTCCACATCTCAAGCCATACAAAATGTGTAAGGCTATTTCAGTAATATGATTGAAAAGAAAGTTGAAGGTGGGAGTTGGGGTACGGGATATTAAGAAGGCTGGAGGTTATGATTATTTTTTGAGTAGTGCTATCCTCGAAAAAAAAACTTAGAGGGAGCAATGCGGATTTACCCCTTTTGTGTACTCTGTTTTTGGAGAAAAGCCGTTAGTCGGAAATAGCAAACTTTCGCTTGGAACGGTTGTACATGCTATGTATCACGTGTGAGCGGTCAACTCGGGGGACCCGCTTGTGGATCACATCCCACTTTAGGATGTGATGCTTTCCCGGCTAGCTTCTTGGTCAACATTCATACCATCTAATACATGCGCATATCATTGCTCTTCGTACCATAGCTTGCTTATTCGTCATCATGGTATGTAAAAACTGAGTGTTTCTCAATTTTCTGCTAATCAAGTATGAACTCAGGCCAAACCACTTTCAGATGAAGAAATTGCTATTTTCAAAGAAGCGTTCGATGCATACGTACGTGTCTATACCAGCGATGAGTTAGTGATTTTGGGAATTAGATGCTAATATTATCAACAGGACACGGATAAAGGTGGTAAGTTGTTTGAAGCGACGTATTGTGGTACTTTGAGCTAATCACTATTCCAGGTAACATTACGGTAGAGGAATTCGGCCATGTGATGAAAGAGGCTGGAAAAGATATAAGTGAGGAAGAACTTGCACAGATCATAAAAGAAGTTGACATCGATGGTGATGGTACCATAAATTTCGACGGTGCTTATGACCTCATGAAGTTTTTACATTATGGAGTGACATTTACTAAACGAATTTAGAGTTCATTGCAATGATGACCGGCCGAACGAGACAAAAGAAGGAATATCTTAAGCTCAATGAGGATGATTTGCGGGCAGAGTCTGCACCAATTCCTGTAGCAAGTGAAGAAGATGTCAACTTCCGAGAAAGTTTTGAAGAAGATCCAGAAGAAGAGTGGAAATCTGCATGGAAGGAATTTGATCCTTCCCTCAATGGTTCCATTACTGCGGCGCAATTGAGACAGCTCTTTGGAAATTTAGGAGAGTCTATAACTGATTCGGAGATAGATAATGATATAATGAATTCGGTTGACGCGGATGATAAGATTAGTTGTAAGCATTCCACAATTCTACACGCCGATGTGCTCCTAGTGGGAGGGAGAATTACTGACCTTGCATTAGATAGGGAATTTGTAGAGTTTATGAACGAAAGATCCTCGGCGGAGATGGATATTTTCAACAGTTATTAGGAAGGCAGGACAATGATACTTTTTGATGCATACCCTTCCCGTGTGAGAACACGGACAGGCCGATGGATGATTGGATTTCTAGACTTTAATGTCTTCCATGTGGGAAAGAAGCAGCGATCTATATGTCGGATGCTCTGCTTCATGTACCTGTTGAATTCATTTGCAACCAAGTAAAAACTTTCTTTTTGGGTAGCCATTGTTCGTGTCGTGGGATTCGCTTTAGATGACCAGCAATGTGAAATTAGCATGGCATGGAAAGAACTTTGATTTCCGAGTTGGTACTCATGTTTTTGAAGTGGGTTACTGTAATCACATTGGCTCGTTTTATCATTGAGTAAGGTAGTTGTCCTGTCTTGGAGTTTTCTCAAAGGGCCTACTGGCATCGGCTACATGCGTAATACTGAGATAGTGCCACTATCAAGTCTTCAGCATTGAGAATAATACAAGGATGAATTTGGCAATCTTATTTATATGATGCAACTACTAAGTGGTAACTAAAGAAGTACTTTTTCCAACTTGAACATCTTGAATGTTTCGCTGCATGTTACTACTTCATTTCGTTATTCCAAAGCGATGCAAATTTTGGATACCGTGTCGCGGCAAGATCAACTGGCCAAGCAGCTGTTCTCTGTTTTCTCGGATCGGGATCAGGACTTGTTACATTTGAAATTTCCAAGCTTGTCACGTTTTTTTGAATGAATGAGCACCATGCTGTTGATATTCAAATCCAGAAGGTCATGTATGCTCAGAAAATTTCTCATGTGATGTAGTGCCTAATCCAATACTTGAACTAATGTTTGCCAGTAGTCTTTAGAACATGATATATTGCTCTCAAGAGCACAGCATGCGCCTGAGCTCCAATAATTGCTCACGGGCTTGATGAGACTATATGAAACGTCAATTGGGCAATCATAGTCTGGATTTTAGCCTTCTTATTGTTTTAATGACTTACACATGAGATACTCCGAATCCCTTCTAGGTTCATATAAAGGATATATAGAACCAAGACAGAGTCAAAATGACCATCAATTTATAGTTTAAATCTAATTTGAAATATCTAATAACCCAAGTCCGTACCTTGAAAAAGAATCTACCATAGTGGAAATTATCGGCATGATGAACGAGTATGATATAGGGATTTCGTTACAAAGTGGCTCCATGCAATGTAAGGCTCCTTAGGTTACCAAGTACGCCAGCGGGGTCTTACTAGCTTAATATGCAGGCTTTTTACATGCTGCACACTCTGGGATATGCGAGATTCAAATCACATGGTACTATAAAAACGCCCCGCTGGGCTGAGCATTCATCACATTTCAACTCTTTCACCAACACAGTTAATAAACCCCAATATTCTCCAAGTAATCAAAAGCCGCACGCCGAACCTCTCAAGCATGCCAAGGGAAGAGCCTCCGCATCAAAGCCTTGAGGCGTTTTTCATTAATGTATCGATCGCTGCAATTGATTGACTGTAATGGCATTCTTGCTTGCTATTTAGAGGACGATCTAGAATCTTGTGTGAATGTTTTGGTGGTGAAGCGTTAATTGGGTGAAACTGTAAAACTTTGGGCAGACTGACTGGGGCTTCCCGATACTTTATTTTATGTGTTCCGTTGCAGAATGGGGCTGTGAATAAATAATCTAAGGAACCAATACACGGCGACGAATGGAATGGTGTGATGCCAACATCTGTTACGATAGAGCATAGCCTGATGATTTGGATATCTAGGTGTGCCTGATATTACATGGAGAATACGCTGAATGATGCAACAAAATCTTTGTCAACACAGATGTGCTACTTTGTGACTTAGCTTGACGTAGGATTCCGATCTACTCAACAATCCGTCAATTTCCAGGCCATCCTCTTGGTTTGAATTTAAAACAGCCTTATCATTGAAATTACTTATCTGAATATCCTGTTCAACGAATGTGTTGTTAAGTATGCCGCGGAAAATGATTGTTTGAGCATCTAAATCCAATAAACACCATTCATGCTTCGAATAGATACAACAACACGAAAAACCTACTGGAATCGGAGACCAAAAGTTCTTCATAGTGATTCAATTTATATGGAAATCAAAATCCAGACTGCTTCTTGTCAGAGGAGACAAAAGGTGAGGCTATCGGGACACCTAATATGCTGAGTACTGCATTGAGTCACCGAGTAACATACGATCGAACCAGATTATGTCAAATGGCGGTCTACTTTGTGCACAAGTGTTCATACAGCAATTGAGACTCCAAACTCTTGTCCTCCATTGATAAACTACATTGAGCTCAGGATCAAGTTTTCATGTAGAGTCACAAAATCTATTGGCTGAGGATGGAGCTCGAGACGACATCCACCAGCTTGGAATACTTTCTCCTGATCTTAAACTGCCATGACACTATCCTAACCATCATTATATAACACCGGTATTCGGCCTAACCTTCAAAGTTTCAGCGAAGACTGTTTGTTCGACATCATCAAAATACCAGCTCAACTGCTCGGTATCAACCCGATTCCCACAACACTTGCATGACAATTGTGACTCGACAACCAACCTTGATATCAAGGTATAATATACCATATAGCAATCCATTTTGGACCAAGCCATGGGATATTTCATCGAATCGGCTACCTTGGAAGGGTGAATAAGTCTACGTGTGTATGAATTTTTGTCTAACCTACATCGATATCATGAAGTTCCTGGGTTCGTGTCGCGTCAAGAGGCCACGTGACAATCATCAGCAGCGCATTCCTAAAGCAGTACGTACTATACTGCAACTACACCACAAAGTAACTCACAACACAGCAGAATCATCATCATCAACCAAATTGTCGCCGAACATCTTGAAAATAAAACAAGCCAAAGCCGCCTATATACAGAGAGAAAAGTCAGGCTACTCGACGAGAACCTCATAACCACCAAAAGCAAACTTACCCCAAGATCCCAAATGGCCGCCGGCAATTTCTCACCCTAGCACTAGTTCCAGCGCTATCCAAACATTAGTATAGTATATCACGAACATCTTCATTCCATTTACCTAGGACTAGGTTCCAGCGCCTAGCATTATAGTGATTCGGATTAGATAACTTCGTTTAATGTCATATACTCCCATTACCCGGACTTCCACTTCCACTTCCACCTCCCCGGACCAAGCCCATCAAATAAAAGCCCACCAAATCTCGCATCTCACCAGCTTATCACGTGCACTACACCGTCTAGAATGCCTCTATCCAAAAAAAACATTCATGACTTATAACAAGCCTCTAATTCCCTCATAACGAGTTCCTCAAAATTACTACAACCCTTCTACGAACAAGAAGGAATTCTAACCTATCGTCTTTTGATCCTGATCCTAATCCTAATCCTAGCCCCGGCACTACTAAGCTACTTCTACTTCTCCTAAGCTAGAGACTGCAGATGAATCATAGAGGAATGCAGGATATTTGATTGAGTGATTATCAGCTGGGGTTTGAGAATTGAGTTTGAGAATTGAGTATGACCGGCAAAAGTAAAGAGGCGAGGAGAAATTGGGGGATTGCTAAATGTATGGATGGATGAGATATCCACTAGTACTACAAGTTGATCTTTCTGCATTTGATGATTGGGTTTGTGAAGAGAAAAATGAACCCTCATAGAACAATGGTAGTGAGGTAGTCACATCCACGATTTCACCCCATTTGCGCATTATCCGAAGCATGTAGTTATTCTGGTTTGGAAATAAATGCACTAGCAAAATTTCTTGTATTCATCTAGTTCATCTAATTCACCTATCTAAACGAACTTGCTGTCTTTGCTCACATACAAGTCAACATACTCATCGACTGCCATTGCCTCAAGTCTTTTGGCGTCATTACCGAGGTCAACCAACTCCTTGACCTTAGCCTCACTGTAATGTGGTCCCAAATGTCTCTTGTATTTGGCCAAAATTTCTGGCTTGGCTTCTTCTCTTCTCAATCTGTGACCCAATGGCGCATCTACAACAATCTCTTCCAGAACCTGTCCATCGTTCAATGTGACGGTCAATGCGTTTGGAATGGTTCGCATGTTCTCATTGTGGTAATCCTTGGTAAATTGTGGGTCTTCGACACAGGTAATCTTTTGTCGGAGTGATTCAACCAAAGGAGAAGTGGCAGCCTCCCCTCCATCGGTATAGTCTGTGGCCTCAAGACGGCCGAAAACGAGCATAACTGCAGCCATATATTGGATGCAATGATCGCGATCAGCAAAGTTATCCATAGGCTTGAATTGTTTGTCGATGATACGAATGCAAGCTTCGTGTGTTCGACAGGTGATCTCCTTAATATCAGCGGCAGACTTTCCTTGGTCTACCAACTGTTGACGAATACGCTTTGCGGCTTCAATCGCGGTTTGGGAGTGGAACTCGGCTGAAAATGATTAGATGAGATACTAGCATGGGAATTTGACACATACCTGGATAAGAAACCTTGAACAAAACGTTCTCCATAACATAGCTACCATATGGTCGCTGAAATTCGAATTTATTTCCCTTGAAGAGAACATCGTAGAAGCCCCATACTGGAGCGGACAAAACAGTAGGAACCCCAGGCTCACCCTTCATAACCTTCAAGACCAAGTTGACGGCACGCTGGCAAGCATCACCAGCAGCCCATGACTTTCTCGACATGGTGTTTGGAGAATGTCTGTATGTCCTTAAACTCTGTCCATCAACCCAAGCTTGCGAAACTGCATCTGCAGTTTGCTTCTCGCTCAAACCTAACATTTTGGAAACGACAGCGGCACTAGCAACCTTGACAAGTACAACATGGTCCAAACCGACTTTGTTATATGAGTTCAAAAGCGCCAGACAACCTTGAATCTCATGTGCCTTAATCATAGCTTCCAAAACCTCTTTGATAGTTATAATCTTGCCATTGCCGAGATTTCCTCCAGCTCTGTTTGTTCGAGAGATCCAGTCTGCAACCGCGAGAATTGCTCCTAAGTTGTCGGAAGGATGACCCCATTCTGCGGCCAACCAGCAATCATTATAATCGAGCCATCTAATCATAGCACCGATATTGAAAGCACCATTGACCGGGTCGAGCTGAAATGGAGTACCAGGAACCTTTGTGCCATTGGGAACGATAGTCCCTTCAACAATTGGACCTAATAACTTTGTACATTCTTTAAATCGTAAACCTTCGAGACCGCATCCCAGAGTATCGAGGAAAACAAATCGAGCTGTGTCGAACTGACAAAATTAATTAGCAGGGTAAACAATGTTATTTTGTATAAAGCTCACGGCAAGATCTGAGTTAACTGGGGTATTGTGAACATAGCTGGCGATGTCCTTAATCTCAGGATCGTACTCTCGAGCTTGGGGTGGTGGCGGGGCCCCAGATTGTAAAGGAGACATGGTGGAGAATTGTTTGAAGGATGATGGTGTTCTTGCTGAAGCTCCGAAGTTTGCTCGAGTTTTCAATGAGACTGGGAATCTGAGGTTTCGCGATTGGGCTGGGAATCGGAAAGTTCTGGATGCAGTACGAACACTACGATTAATTGTCGACATTGTTCTCTTTTGTCTTCGATCAATGAGGACAATCTGACTTTTCACATCGACAGATCAAAAAGCAAAAAGAATGTTGTTTGGAATTTAGTAAGATTTAAGTTGGGATCGCTTTTACAGTGAGTGATAGGTAGTGGGTGGGCATTAACGGCATTCCCACTTTGCGGAGTACATATTTATTCTTTACCACCTTCCCACCGATCAACCCCTCCAATTGCCTCGGCTAATAGCGGTTCAAGACGGCATCGGCGACAGGCACAGGTGGATAAACTTATACGGATTAGATAAAAATTTGGTAAATAGCATAGGTAGGACAAAAGGGAAACAAAACTGTGTTTATGCAGATTCGAAATTTTTATATATTTCGTAGGTTACAGGATTTCTCGTTCTGTTTCCAATTGTCAAATTAGCACCAAGTAACCTAGTTCGCCAAGCCCAGTATGTTTGCGAGCAGACGACTACTACGTGAAGTACCACTCAAAAGATATATAAAATCCGATGATATATATGCACACAAACTGATGGAAAGAGAATTCAACAATCAGTACATCAAACTTCCTGCTATCCTTTCCAAACTACCTATTTAAAGAATCCGCTAAGAGCTCGCATTGGTAACCTTTCAGTGTGATCTCTTTTCTTCCTGGCATTGAGAGATTGCCCATCAGGTTCTAGATATATATCCCCCCATCGGACTGCAAGATCGAGGAGTCAGTAACTGCTATTTTGAAGGCAAGATGCTTAAAAGAAAGAAAGAAAACATGAGAAGAAAAGCTGCGTTAAGAGACCAAAGGGATATATATGGTAAGAATCGAAAATAGGGATTGGATTAGGACGCATACTCAACAATTGTTCTCCAAAATTTATATTCCGTAACGGTCTAATAGTGACACGCAACTTTCCTGCCCAAACTTCCGAGCGAGCTTCAACGTTTGCAGTTTTATTCGTGCCTGCGTTGATCAGTCTGATCCATCCTCCTTTATGGCCGGTGATAAGTGTTGCGATGGGATCTGTATTGGTATCAATTGGCTTCTCGGTTATAACATCTGGGTCGACATCTAAAACTTTTCCATTCTTGTCAACGAATGGAGGAGCATGGAAGTCAACAGAGGAATTATAATGACACTTAAAGTCAGCCTCGGCTCCCAGCGGGATGAATTCTCCAAGCACTTCCCCAATGATGTGTTCTTTGTGGAGTTTCTGCAAAGCCCTAATTCCAAGATAAAGTTGTTTGGATGTGGTGCTGGATGTGTACTCTTTAATTTCTACGAGGATTTTATCGAAGACACTTAATGTTGTGCATTGACAGATTTCCTCTTCTCCTGCTGCTTCCAACGGCCCTGTCCGAAGACCACAAGCGACACACGCAGGATAATTCTTACCCCATTCTCGACATGGATGTTGGATATCCGCAGGTGGGTATTCCCAGGTAGGCGGCCAGCTCGATGGTGGAGCATAGTTTTTGAAATTTTCCCGGTTGTATACATTCTCTTTCAGGTTTTGGAATCGACGGGAAATCACGCGCTCATGTACAGTCCCATAGATTTCTTTATGGGGTTTATCTTCTTCGAATTTGCTGAATGGAAGTGTATGGAATTCCTGGCGCACTGACTCGAAGTCACCGGAAAGGGGTGTGAATAAACAGGGCAGAAGTCTTCCATCCGATGCGAGATACACTTCGTAAGGGTCTCTTATTGAAGGATCCAGTTGGATATTTTCATTCGCAATCTTTGCACCTTTTGCTATTTTTTGACCTGTTCGACGGTAAACCATCATGTATGGAATACGCCGGGCGATAGCAAAGGCTCTGATGCTGACATGTTCCAGTCGGAGCTTAATTTCAAATTCTCTCCATCTACCTATAAGTGAAAATTCCTCATCGTTGCTTCGAGCTTCAGACCCATCAGGCCGTTCTCCATATCTCAATGCATTGCGGAAACTCTCTGATAGCATGAGGACGGCAGCACTGTCAAGGCCAATTCCATATCCAGTGCCATTCACAACCTCTGATGGGTTCGAGGCTAATGTTAAAAATCGCTGCCATGACTTATGATGAGGCTGGCCAGAAATCTCGGCATAAGGGTCATAAGTCTCAGAATTAATGAGCGTGGGTGCAAAAATGGTTTTGGAGGTCTACATAAATCCTCTCAAATAATTCCACGGCAAGCCTTTTGTTCGCTTCTCGTGCGATATCTGCATTCACCGGTTGTGATGGAGACTTTTGGAGTTGTCTTTGCCGAACTTCTAGAAATTCCAGTCTTCTCTGTGCAGCTTGGGCCGCAGTGTCATCATCGTGCTTTCTCTTCCATCTACGATGGACTTCCACATACGCCGTGTTTTGTTGCTCTGCTGCCTCTTTCACACCTATCGCAAATGTGTTCTTCAAATCTTTGATTCTTTGCTCCTCCCAAAGCCTCTTACGCTCCTTATGAGCGGATCTAGCTAAGGGGTCCAATGATGCCACTCTTTGTTCCTCGAATTCAATCACTTTCTTTTCGCCCTTCGCTCTCGCTAATCTCTCAGCGGGTGTGAGCTCGCTGGAACGTCGCCTGGACCGTCTCCGCCGAGATGAAGATCTGGAGCGAGAAGGAGGACGGGGACCTGAGTCAAGTGGTGGCGCAATTTCGTCCCGCTTCGTGGCAAACTTTCCCCATGTTGGCCATTCAAACCAATCAGACATTAGGATTCGATTGCGACTTGAAATTTCTGGGTAGTTTATAGAACTGAAAATGTAAAATGTTGTGAGGGCACAAATGAAGCTATTGCAGTTATCGCATCCTACTCTTCCGTGGAAACATATAATAAATCCAAATTCTTTGTGCTCTATTGAATCCATATTATACAATGAAAGAGAGTCCCCGCATGCGGTCACAATAAGTTTCGAGAATAAACAAAGGAAGAAATAGATTTCATTATTTTATTATAACCCACAAGAGTATGAAAGACTTGGTGTTTACGCCGTGAACGGCTTCATCTCTCTCTTGAAGGGCTCGATGAGCGAAAATCTCCTGATTCTAGGTTCAGGGATTTCAAGACAAAAGACAAATGGTTCTATTCCAGACATGTATTGGTAGAGAACTGCAAGAATTCCTAAGAACTAGATAGTTGATAGTGGGAATGATGATTATGTGTGGGTAGAACCCAGCTTCGAAAGTTTACATTTGGCATATCACACGTGATATTGCTATCACGTTGATTTGGGAAACGGTTCTAGGCAGCTGAACGGCACTCAATCGTGTCTTTCGACCCATGAAAGTGTACTGTCGAGAAATCTCTGATGCAAGAAGTAACCAAATCATTAATGTGCACAGTTACTTGAAGCTGCAGTCTTTGCAAGAAAATCTTGTAATCTCACAGGAGTATTAAACCTCTTTTTTACTAGCCGTTTGTCGACGAAGCAGGGTGTTCTCAAACTCTAGATGTATAATTGACAATAAAAAGGAAGCCGGTCCTAGTATAGAAAAGCAACGTATTGAAAAGAGTTGACGGATTGGAACTTACCAAAGAGGATGTAAAGCCGACCAGCAGCTCCATATATGACTCAAAATATGCTGGCCAGGAAGCCGGGCGCGGGTGTTTGTTAAAGTTGAATGGGTTGCAAATATTGAATGTGATGGTTTGCATGGGGGATTGACTACTATTAGCACCAGTGAAGGAGCTCTTTCAAATGTTTGACCGTCTATAGCAAGATAGAATTCATATGGATGAGATACGGACGGCACATCTCCTGATAATCATAGATACCCCATAGACGCTGCTGAAGTGCTTTCATTATAGTACTCATGATACCTATCGTTTCGACCGAGAGCAAACACGTGTAAACTACCAGATAGTGGTCCTAGAAAATCTAGAAGTTGGCTTCAGTCTTTGCTAGTATAGTTCTCAAACGAGACTCAGAATGGAACAGAAAGCATAGAGATAACGAGATTCTCGCGACTTACCGAACTAATCCGCCAATTGATACCTTTTTTGAAGAATGGTTGGCTATTCCAACCATGCAAAAAATGGTTGATTGCGCAGCCAGAATTTTGGGTAACTGCATCCTTGGTTCAGCTCGAAGTAAATATGTTTAATGGTTTGGGCCACCAGGTGGGCAGGAGTTTTATAAGAAACCTGCATCGATGCACCACTTCGCCAGGACATTGACGGTGAGATGATCAAGTAAACACGAGGCCAGCCTCAATTAGAAAGCGATTGAAACGGGAGAAATAAGTGGTGAACATAGACTTGAAGCTGTTGAGCATAATGTCATTGTGTTTGGCAATAGTCACATCGCAATGCGCCTTGTGCTGTTTAATGAAGGAAAATCCAACAAAGGTCAGCAAAAGGGCAACCATTAACAATCGGATCTTAAGAAAGGAAGTCAATTTTTTCTTCAGCTGGAACGAAGAAAGCACTTGCTGTCACAGAGACTACTGGGCATTCTTATTATCCTGGGATTAATATAGCATCGGGAGGGTCAGAATTTGCGAGGACAAGATGAAAGGGTGAGATAATTTTCTGTCTTTAACTCTCGCTTATCGAGCTCAAACGCCTTCGTAGCTGCTGTATATGCCTGCACAAATATCCTAAATGCCATATTTCCTATAAAGTACACCAGACCCTTACCAAAACGCCATCCTGCCCTTAAAATGTTATGCTCAACATGTACACTGACGTTTACTCTTCTTCACTTTCATCACTCTCATCTCCTTGTTGATCCATCATCAGCTCTTTTTCCATTTCCGCTTGAAGATCCGCCTCCAGATCTGCCTCCAGATCCATTGCCTCTTCATCGCTAATCGCTCCAGGATTGTTGACTGGGCTCGGCAGTTTCAAATGATCCACATCCTGGTTCGGTTCATAGATTCCATCATGGTCCGCATCCTCGTCTTCATCGCTGATCTCCTCGCTTGGCTCCCTTTGAAAGATTGGAGCTCTGTACTCATACTGTTGTTGCGAGCTCTGTCCGTCTGGGTATTCAACTGTGAAACCGTCGTCCGATTCTTCTTCTGGTTCGGGGCTTGGCTCCCGTGGCGGTGGTTTCTTCTTAGCCTTCTCTGCCTTCCCGCGGGGGGCGGGTTTTGCTTTTGTTGTCGTCGTAGATTTTGGTTTGGGGGCTTTCTTTTGTGGTACTTTAAGTTGAGGCTCCTCTGTAACAGCCTTGGTTGGTGGTTCTAATTGTTCGTATTGTGATTGCAGTTGAGCGGCGTCATCCGTCCACGGTGCGCTTGTCAGATTCATATCAAATGTGGAATCAATGCGATCCAAAACCAAGACCTTTCTGACGGGATCAAAAGTAAGTATGAATTGTCCCTCTCCGGAGGACCTGGCCCCGGCATATGTATAGTCATCATTATTATCGGAGAAAGAAAGGTCGTAATCTGAAGACGTGGGATTAGAAGAGGGTTTTAATTGTGCTGAGTTCGCAGAGGCGCCGGCAGTTGGGTCAGGTTTGTGGTTGTCTAACAATTGTCAGCGAATCGTCATCTGCTGCCGGCCCAGCAGAACCTACACCGTATAGCGGTATATACATTATTGGAAGTTTTTCCAAGTAGGGCATCGCTGAGAACGATGGGGTATTTCCCTGGCTTGTCCCAATCTATTGCCGCAGACATGGTCGGTTTTCAATGTAGGAAACTAGCCTCTTTGAAAAGTTGGTACAAAAATAAAAGATGATGAAAGGGTCAATAATAAATAAGTCGAATTGTGGTACAGATTGTAAATGGAAGCAATGAATACGTTGTGAATAATAGCAATATCGGATCAAAGTGTATGAGCAATGATTGACAAAATGATGGAAGGGAAGTGAGAGTGGAGTTGAAGGCTTGCAGGTACGTGCCATGATTTATTAGGTAAGGTTAATGAATGAAACGTACGGAGGTGAAGGGTTAAGTGGAGTGGAGTACAAAGTGCGGTACTCCCGTACTCCGTAATCTTGGGGGAAAACTTCCGTAACCTTATGGACTCACATACTCCGTACTAATCTTACAAATTCTTTTCAATACGTGTCTATCGACATCTTCAGAGTCATCTAGCAGGTCACGGTATTAGGTCACAATATTTAGCTAAGTCAGTCGTAAGTCTGAGATTGAGATATACATTGATATACATTCCCACCTGGGCACAATTCTCAATATCCAAAATAGATTCCGAAGATAACCGCATCTCAGGTAACCAGGTACATACATAACTTAGCATTCGTGTCCAGCGTGTCCAGTCTTTTTCTTGCCCCGCACATCTTTATACCTTGCGACCTCGAATTTACCCTATCACAAATGGATATCGTCTCAAACTGCATTGCATATGAACGTTGTGATGATCTGAAGGCGGGCTTTTCGTCATCATGAAGCTTCCTACTTAACGAGGAGCCCCAAGACATGGAAGGGTGCTCTTCTTGTCTCATCCTCATGCAGTTTTGTAATGTAGACTTGATCTTTTGTCGCATTTCACATAATCATCTTCTGGATCCCAAGTTCGAGCTTGTTCTTTTCTATTCTCAACATGGCACCAAACAGTTCTCAGTTTGGCGCAGAAGGCACTACTTCGTTGAATATATCTGCGGACGGCTATGAGATACCTGATATTACCTTTCGTGATCCTAAGAACCGGCATCTTAAGGTTCTCACAATTGGTGCAGGTTTTTCGGGGATCATGATGGCTTACTATATTCAAAAGCAATGCCAGAAGTAAGGTTTCCAGTGCAGAACATCTAGTTACCCAAAAAATCAGGGCTAATTCATGTAGTGTTGAGCATGTGATTTATGAAAAGAATCCTGACATCGGTGGTACATGGTATGAAAACAGATATCCAGGCGCTGCCTGCGATATCCCTTCACATGCGTACACATTTCCTTTCGCTCTCAACCCTGACTGGCCAAAATACGCCAGCGGAGCTCTAGATATCTGGAATTATCTGGACAAGGTTTGCGATACTTTCGACCTTAGAAAATACATGACCTTCAACACTGAGATAATCGGTTGTTCTTGGGATGAGGAGACTGGAAAATGGTTTGTCAAGATGAAGCAAACATCAGAATCCGGCGAGAAGGAATTTGAGGAGACGTGCGACCTATTACTGCATGCAACAGGAATATTGAATAATTTTAAGTGGCCAGACATTAAGGGAATCCAAGACTTTAAAGGCAAAGTCATTCGTACGTTAACTGTCACTCCCTTCATTTATTAAATGATCACTTATAGGAGACAGATACTGCTAGATGGCCAAATGACTATCAACAAAAACAATGGAAGAATGAGTCTGTAGCAATCATTGGTTCCGGGTCTTCTTCCATTCAGACATTGCCTGCCATGCAACCTCATGTTAAACACATTGATGTTTATGTACGTACACCTATCTGGTTCACCTCGGTTGCCGGAAACGACGGGCGAGGGAAAGAGTACACTTTGGAGCAACGCGAGAAGTTCAAAAATGATTTGCCCGCGCTTGTTGAGCATGCAAAATATTTAGAAAACCAGATAAATAATCTTTGGGGTATGTTTTTCAAGGACAGCGAGGCCCAGAAGGAAGTCCGAAAATTTTTTGCTGCCCGAATGGAAGAGTTTATCAAGGACAAAAGACTCCTTAATGGCTTTACTCCAAAATTTTCTGTTGGATGTCGGAGGATGACCCCTGGTAAGAATTCAGTGCCACCGCAGGTGCTATCGCGCTAATGGTATAGGTGATTCTTATATAACTGCAATACAAGAGCCAAATGTAGATGTTCATTTTTCTGCAGTTGAGGAGATTACGCAAGACTCGGTTATCGACAGTGAAGGTGAGGAGCGTAAGGTGGATACAGTAATTTGTGCCACGGGCTTCGACGTCTCATATCGCCCACGCTTCCAAATAATAGGTCAGAATGGAGTTGATCTTCGAGAAAAGTGGAAAATAGTTCCCGAATCATACCTAGGTTAGTCGAATAAATTCCACCCTCCTGGATCACAGAAGCAGAAGCTAACCGGTTCATAGGTATTACGGTGCCGGAGATACCTAACTTCATTACTTTCATTGGACCAACGTGGCCTATATCGAATGGGTCTGTTTTGGGACCTCTTGGCGGGGTAGCAAACTATGCTATAAAATTCATTAAGAAGATGCAGAACGAGTTTATCAAGTCTATCGCTCCAAAGCAAGATATGACGGATCTCTTCAATGCTCATACACAAGAATTAATGAAGCAATTGGTTTGGACGTCAGGCTCAGGATGTCGTTCCTGGTATAAAAGTACAGCCTCATGTCTATATGTTAATCCCCAGTTACTAACTCGGAGAAGATCACGAAACGGGACGCGTGAATGCAATTTGGCCTGGTAGTTCTCTGCATTATATGCAGGTGATTGAAAACCCAAGGTACGAAGATTACAATATAACTTACCAGAATAAACATAACCCGTAAGTTATCCTGATGCTTTTCTACGCCTCAACGTGCTAGATCGTTACTAACATAGATATAGATGGGCGTACCTTGGACTCGGCTTCACCATCGAGAATCGTACAGAGGGTGCTGACGTATCACCCTACATCAACGAAGAAGCTATTGACCCAAAATGGTTGGAAGTCATGAAAGCTGAAGCACCTGGAGCAGACCGTGATGTTCATGGATAGTTGTGTAAAATGAAGGTATATAAATACGTTTCACTATTCAACACTGTTGTTCGTGTTTCATTTTTATAATAAGGAAGCTAGTACCACCGGTACAATACAGAACGAAACACTGTTCAAAGTTAATGCTGACTACTTAGCTTCTGATGAATAGTGAGGAGTGGTATTCGCTTAGCTTGTGGATTTCCAACGAGGAGCTTCAATTGAGGTTTTTTAAGGGTCATTGTTCTTTCTATCGACAAATACGTAGTATTAAATCCAATCTCTCGTTTTGATAACCAGTCAACATTAGACCAATGAATTCTTCTCTACATAAAATCATTGAGAGGTTTAAATCTGAGTCCCAACATCACACCATGACATTGAAATCTCGCTACCTTACCATTTTTTATGCCGCAGAATCTTCTCTGCTCTATCTTAAACTAGGACCTTCTGCACTTGCACTTCTAGACTAGGTAGCTGTATTGAATCGAACAGATAATAGCTCTTTCAAGATAACAGTGTTAATAGCTCGATGTGGGCAGCACATTACATCGCTTCCCTTCCCCTTATTGTGGGAACAAAGCATGAATATCGTCGGATTTTTCTCCGTGATATTCGTCGTACTTTCGTGGACACTGCATGTCGGCAAATTCTTTCTTCACGTTGGTTACCTGCATTGGGTCACTATCAGATTAGAACTCAACTGCGGTGGAGAAGTCGAACTTGAGAAGTTGAGATTTGCAAAGCGAGGGGAATATAGTCATATCAGAGCTTGAGGAATGCGCCTGATCTGGAAAGAGAGGTGTGCCGGAAGGTTTATGGAAACATGGCTGAGAATTTGGCTGAAGATTTCAGATAGACTGCTATAGGTTAGTGATGCCAGGGCAGAATATGGAGATAAATATATCATGAAGACATAGGGCCGAGTGTGGATAAATGAAACCGCACTATATGATAATTGTGCAAGGCATTCAAGAAGGCTTTTCGCCAGGGATACTCAAGAATTTACAATGGCCATTTTTCATCCCTAACCATTTCCTTCTTCGCATCCTCCCATTTCTGCTCATCAAACTCATAGTATGCTTCCTGATCTGGAGGTCCATCACCAATCCTTCTCAAAACCACAATATCTTCCAACTTCGCCGCTTTCATCAAACCTCGAAACGGCGCATTGATAGAATATGTCTCGAGCGTAATTTTTCCACATTCTAATTCATAAAACCCATATTCAACCACCGCACACAAAGTTTCCAACGCATATCCTTTTCTCGCAAACCGGTAATCGATCAACACCCCAATATCACCAACCAGAATATATTTACCCGTACCATTATCAGATCCTTCCACTGGGAAAGAATTAAATCCCGTCATACCAATCAGAAAACCATCATCAACTCTCAAATTTTCTATATCGCTAATTCTAGGTATTTCCTCACTGCGCTCCTTGAGAATAACCACAAGCCAAGCATTTCTCCCCGCGGCTGTTGATATCTTTTGTGCCTCGAGTCGCTGGGCCTGTACTTCGGTTGATAGATCGGGATCTACGACTCCGCCAAAAGGGCTATTTTGAGGATCATTCCGCACAATTGTGAATGGACGCGCATCGGAAGGAAGTGCACTGCGGAGGATGAGTCGTGGAGTGGTGAAGTTGTGTGATGGACGGGCCCAATGAGGAGGTCGGGTTGTAGATTTTTGGGACATTATTTAGTGGTTGTTGGCACGCAATTTGACGGTCTTTATATGAACCATGCCGTACCTAGATTTTTGGTAGTTAAATGAAGTTTGTATACCATTCTCTTGTATTACTATGGGTGCACGTGTGAGTCACATTATTCTCACAATGGCTGGCCAGTTGAGGTTAATCGCGAAAGTAAGCCATGCATCAATCACCCCGCAAATCCCACCTATGATGGTTAATCTTACATTTTTGTAACGACACCAATTCATACTTCATCCTCTGAATTCTATTTCTATTTCTATTTCTATTTCAGTGTTTGACCGAAGGAAGTTTTCAAACCCGGTTTTAGTGATATAGCAATTTTATCCTTAACCACGAGTAAAGAAGATTTCTCTACATCGCTATCACCATCATTTGTAACGTTCCATTCTGTTGAAACCGACATTTATTCCTCGTCACGACGCTAATTGATCGATAGCTTACATTAATCACTGGAAGAGCCGTATTGAGTTCAACAAAGTTATCACATTAATGATATCAGCATGACATCTTCCTTCTCAACAGAAGTTTATACGTCAATAGTCAATATTGGCACAGACTCTTACCTCCTTGGAGCAGGCTTGCCCACCGATATTGAAATTAGTTCTAGCGGAAGCTTGGAGCCAGTAACCATTATCTCTGTTACTGATGATGATGATGCCATTACCCCATCATGGTTAAACTCCAAATACGAAGAGTTTTCCGAGCTAGACGATGTATGGTGTCATGCCTTTGCTCGCAATGTTTTTGCTCAAAAGAAGCCTGGAGTCTTGAGTCTAGCTGCTGGCTCTGGTACACCGCAAGCTCAGAGACACAAGACTTCCAGATATCAAGGAGGACCTCTTACTACTGGACCTTATATTCTGAGTGGCTCGAAGATTCATCGAGTCTATAAATTATACCAGGATCCGCTAAGTGCATTTGTCTGTGGTGTCATACCCACTTCCCTAGGCAGTAATCGGTATGAAATGCGATAGCCTTGAGTTTAAGTCTCAATGCTAAGACTCTTTAACAGCTACCAGAGAATACCCACGAATTATATTCCCGTCCCATCTCGACTATACTCACCATTACCATCTGATCTTCAACCGCTCTCAGGTAAACGTATAGCGGTGAAAGATATCTTTGATCTCGAAGGTGTCAAAACTACCGTCTGTAGTAAGGCCTACGAAGCTCTTCAAGATCTCGCAAAAAAGACAGCTCCATCAATACAAAAGCTGATTGATCAAGGAGCTGTAATTATCGGAAAGGTAAAGACGACTCCCTTTTCATCTGGAGTGGGCCCTAGAGATTGGGTAGATTATCAAGCACCGTTCAATCCTCGAGGATGTGGATACCTTGACGCAAACTGTAGTAGCGCAGGAAGTGGAGCTGCACTTGCTGGATACGAGTGGTTGGATTTTACTATTGGGTCGGATAGTGAGTATCATATTCTACGATGCATGTATCGAATTGACCGGTGTTATAGCACTCGGGAGTATGGTAGGCCCCGCTGCGGATAACGGTCTCTTTGGAATTAGGCCAACTCATGGCCGTATCTCCTGCGAAGGTGTTGTTCCAGTATCATCGTAAGGAGTCTTTTTTGAATGTGAAGGGACCTCGAGCTAATGATCTAGATATCTCGACACTCCTGGTATTTTCAGCCGGGACATAACAGAGTTCAGTGCCGCCACAAAATCATGGTTCGGTTCCTCTAATCTACAAGCTTTCTTAGCGGTAACAATCCCACTAATATTGTTAACCCTGTATCTACTTATAACTTATGATCAATAGATGCCAACAAAACTAACCAGTCTTTCGGAGAGATACGCCGACTTTTCGCCAGAGGTAAAAGGGGTAATGGAGCATTTCATACAAGATTTTGAGAAAGCCACCCAACTGCATCGCACTACAACCACCATGGAAAAGTTATGGGCATCACATGCACCTGTAAGCTCGTCTGGAAAGAACTTGTTGGAGACTTTTGGATCAGTAAGTTTGATTGATACACAAAACAAAACCAAAACCCCATGTGCAATAGTCCGGGCTGCAGACCAATTCAACTTTGTCAAACTTGAATATTTGAAGGCGATTCACTTATTCTGGTAAAATCATTTTTTTGATCAACTGAAGATCGAAAGAAATTCAACGATTAGAGTGATTTCAATGTCAAAATTTCTCTGCCGTTAGACTGCGGTCCGGACTATTAAATCCACAGACTAAATCGTAATGTTCCCATCTAATCCAAGTAGACCTTAGCACACATCCAGCTATACGATCACTACAACAACACCATCTCATTTCGCGAAGATTACCGGAAAAAATTCAACACAGAGCCATATGCCGAGCCATTACTCCGCTACAAATGGTAAGAGTACTCTAGCTCTTCATCTGCGACACCGATATCGACATCAACATTTTATACTAACGCATATAAAGGAGTCTCGGCGCGAAAATCACCCATGAACAATATACCAGAGCATTAAAAGAGAAAGAAATCTTCGCCACCTTCATCAAAGATCATATCTTTAGCAATGGCGGAGTAATGCTATTACCCTTTGGATTCCCAGACGTGTTTTATCGTGATGAATACTCCGGGTTTGTGCCCACATATCAGCTAGTGATCGTGAACTCATCACCTAGCACATGCTAACATTAAATAGTTCCGTCGAAGAATATGGCCCACAATGGCAAGGGTTTAATCTTTTTATTGCTGCATTCTCAGCACTGGGTGGCGGACCGGCGGTGTCAATTCCTGGTATTTTTTCTCTCTGCTCTATATGTTTTGATATGTGCTGTGCTATGCTGTGCAGTGCTAATAGAATCCGTGTAGTGGGACAGCGACTTTACGATTCGAAAGTGACGGGCGTGAAGGAGTATCAACCGGTTGGCTTGATGTTGTTAGGTGCTCCGGGTAAGATGACACAGTCATGAATCCAAGGGAGATAGCTAATAGGTCTAGGGACGGATGAATATCTGATTGAATTGGTGAAACATGTGCTTGTGACTTCTGGTCGACCGCTGAGTGTCAAGACTGGAAAAGTGGCATTTTGAGATTCGGTACTAAGGATACATACATATGATAGGTCATTGATCCGCTGGAATACCCTAGGTATGCAGGCTTAAACTACTTTAAGTGGACTGCCCGCAGCCGTGGTATAGATCATGGATCCCGGAAATCTATATCCTTTATGGAAATTCGTCCAGCTTCGCACTCTTCAAACCTCGTTCTTCCAATCCGACTTATAAATCCTCCAGAATCAAAGGTTCCACATTATCAAAATAGCTCATGTCAAGATTTGAAAAGTCCATATTACTAAAATTGATATCCATGCCGTTTTGTAAAAGAGAAGAATCAAAGTAATCTGTTGTGTTTTCCCCTTTATCAATGCCATACCCCAGAGGCGAGTTAGCGGCTTTACTTTCCGCTTCGCTAGTTTCTCCTCGGTTAACTGGTAGACAAGGCAGGTCCTCCAAGTTCGAGGCGGGGGTTTTAGTGATATAGTTGGTGGTTAGTAGAGGGGGTATATCCGTGATGGCGTTATGTACAGAGTTTAACTGATCATTGTACTCCGGACATGTAGCTTCTATATCCAGGGCCGCGACATCCAATCTTGAGTCCAGATTGATTTGGGATGGTAGTGGTTGGAAAAAGCGTGGCTCTTGAGTTGAATAGGTTTCTCCCGATTCGTTACTTGTAAACTGACACCCCATCGCTACCATCTGTGAGGGGGAAGTTGGAAGTACCGGCTCGTAAGAGCCAGAGTATAGACTTGCTTCGCTTCCATCATTTGTCCCTAGAGGGATCGAGGAAGATCTGTAGCTGGCAAAAACTCGATCTTGGGCATTGCAAATTATTTCTAGTAGTTTGTGCTTTAGCTGCTTTTCCAAGCTGTTGATGGTTTCTTCTAATTCAGCTTTGACGATTCGGGGGAGCTCTTGGCGACAGTATTCTTCGTAGTCTGTAAGTTGTTGAGCATTCAGAGATTGCATAAAGTCTTCTTGAACTTCTTCGAAATCTAATTTCAGTTAGCTATTGCCGGAGATATGTTCCGAATTTAGGAGAAAAAACTTTGGCTTACAAGGATCTGGTATGACATCTGTAGAGAATATTGTTCGATACATCTCTTTCCATCTATCTTCTTCAGATTGACTACGATGTGTCTTTTTCTTACTCCTCAGCTTCTCCATAATCTCATTGGTGATGCCGTCGTCCTGGACATCTTTAGATAGTTCGCAGGCCTCCGCTTGTTTGAGATGATCATTAACCTCTTGCTGATCGCTGAAGAGCCGTTTGCATCGTTGACATTGGAATATACGATGATGTCGATAGAGATGTCCCCTATGCTATTGTCAGAAACATTTACCTCAAAAAGAACAAAGTTATTGTACTTTACGCGAGCTACACTATCCAAAGGGGTCAGAGCACAAGAACGCCAGTTCTGAATGCAGTATTTTTTGGCATCGTGTTTACGATACGGGCAAGCAAACTTTTTTGCATCATCAAGGATGCGAGATCGCGTTGAGAGATTCCTGGGTCTCTTTGGATTTCTCTCTTTTTTTCCTTCATTATCCGAGTCATCACCTTTGCCCATCCTCTTTCTCATCTTGCTTCGGCCTTCGTCTTTATGAGTCTCTAAGCCCAGTTCAGGAGAGGTAGTAGTGGGTGAGTCAGTCTTTGATGTTGGGGTTGTATTCTGCTCAGCTGTAGAACTTTTCCTTGAACCATTGCATTTTCTGATATGCGTGTTTTGTATTATACCTTTTTCGATTCTCAATGATTGTAAGTATATGTTTCGTGGTATAAACAACCTCAGCGCCCAAACATACCTGATTGTTTCTTCTCTCCTATTGAAATACTCCCAGAATTCCAACATGATGGAATCGATTAATTCATATTTCAACTTAAAAAAGAACGGGTGCGTATCAAAACCTGGAGCCTGATTTTCTGTCGTTGAAGCATTGGATTTGGTAGAAATCTCCGTCTTAGCAGTGTGCCCTTCGCGGTCAGATTCATCATCTTCCAAGTCTGTATCATCATCTGAGGACCACGGGGAGCAAGAATTTGAAAGAGGTGAGGAATCTTGTACTTTTGTCTGTTTGCAGGAAGGTTCAAGTTTCGGACTTGAAGGATTAATGAGTCTCAGATCGCATGAAACAGCCGTTTCCTCCATGGCGGATGGCTTAGTATCGTCATTTCGTGGCCCGGATACACTTTCTTGGGGTAGATTCCCGAGTACCGCATCCGCTGATGTAAATAAATTTGGCAAAGAACTCTGCTTATAGCTAGTGCGGAACTTAAGTGTAGGACACCGGTATCCGTAGATAGATCCGGGCTTGCTATCGAGGTTCCTAACATCGGCGATCAATGAGGGTGAGCAAAGCGATTTTTCCTTGATGTTAACATTCTCTTCATAAGAGTAAGAATTATGACTATCGCGATTCTTGGAGGTCGGAGGCCAAACGTCCCAATTCGAGTTTGAATGCTTGTCAGACGCATTTCCTCTTTCGCTTTGGCGATGTGGGAGGTTGGAACAGCTGCCAGAGTGTCGCCCATTGCACCCGTGATCCGAGCATTCAGGCCCAGGATGGCATAGTACTCGGGTGTTATGATCAGGTTGGTCTGGTGAAATGAAGATTTGATTATCGTTAAAATCATCGCTGAATTTGTCCATTCTGACCTTAGAGCCACCAAATGAGGAGCTCGTTGTCAAGGAAAAATCCTTGTGCAGTTTCTCTGCCGGAAAAAGGCCATGATCCTCATTGATACCAGCAGTCTTGGCTTGGAAAGAGAGGTCTACTAAATGACCTAATTTCACCGAGTCTTCAAATTTTTCTGAACCGTAGAAAAGTGTTGAACCGATAGGGAATCCTAATTCGTTAGAGTCTCTTGAGTCGTTAGAGGGTGTTGAAAAGACGGTGATTGCTGATCCATTCGATTTAGAGTTTTCTGACTCCGAAGAGAGTCCTGGGTTGAAGGAGAGTCCTGAGTCGTTGGGGATTGCTGAATTGACGGAGTATTTCGAGTTGTAAAGGAGTCCTGGGTAGCCGGGGAGTCCTAAGTCGTTGAAGGTCTTTAAGTCGTTGAAGATCTTTTGGTCGTCGGAGAGTCCTGAGTCGTTGGGGATTGCTGAATTGACGGAGTATTTCGAGTTGTAAAGGAGTCCTGGGTAGCCGGGGAGTCCTAAGTCGTTGAAGGTCTTTAAGTCGTTGAAGATCTTTTGGTCGTCGGAGAGTCCTGAGTCGTTGGGGATTGCTGAATTGACGGAGTATTTCGAGTTGTAAAGGAGTCCTGGGAAATCGGAGAGTCCTGAGTCGTTGAAGAATTCTGAGAATCCGCCAACTCCTGCGAGCGAGTAAACTTCTGCTTGCAAGTCATATGCACTAGAAATAGGTGATAATGGTACTTCTGGATCCTCCGAAAAGAATGGTGCTTCCATTGACGATTTTTGGAAACGCTGCTCCCAGTGATAATGAAAAAGCAGCTATCGATGCTGGAATTCCAGCTTTATATTAGTGATTTATATAACATCAAGTGTGTAGCTTGGCCTTGTAAGGAATGAGTTTTGAGGTTTGCTGTCATGCATATGAGGCTGAATTGGCAAGGATTAACGCGCAGCTGCGCAATTCTTTCCTGTTTCTGGCGCCGACCAGTTGTTAATAATTTGAAGTGCAATAAGATTCTCGCGAGCTTTGCAAAAGCAGAATACCTTCATTTAGGTTGCTGTATATATAAAAGGTTGTAAAGATGGCGGTGGAACTCTACAAATTCGTCTCGACACTATTCAAATCTTATATAGAAACCGTCAGGTTTTGATGTCCTTGAGCCACGACCAAAACGCCACCATGACCACCACAGCCACGGCCAATGTTACAATCCAGCACTCTCCAGAGAAAAGGTACATATGCATCAAATACCCGTTTCATCCGCTTACATGCTAACTAAGTCTATAGTGCGGAGAAAAAAGCCCAAGCATCTTTGACACTGGACAAATATCTCTACGCCGCTCCTCCAAACATGATCGAACGGCTCAGTCAAGGAGTCACGACTTCGAAGAAGGAATTCCGAGCTCAAGTCAAAAAGTCAATCGTGGCTTTTGATGAGGCTTTCGAAGAGAAGAAGTGATGCATGAGACATCTTGCAAAAAGTGCTTTCACGATCTCCTCGATGATCGCTGAAGATAGGACATCTGTTAGAGTTTTGATTGGATTGTTGAGAGAAAGCTTGAAGATGGTTCTCAAGGCTGTGGATAACGTTATATACTTTTTACGCCGGATTTTGAATGATGTATTCAAAAGTTTGTTGGTTGGTTGAATAATTCTCTACAAAGATTTTTTGTGTTGAGAAGATTCATTGCTCCATACGGAGGATTTGGTGCGCGGTTCGAGGAGGGACGTGACTATATAGACTTTTACCAAACTCTTAGTATATAAAAGGTCTATAATTTTATTTTATGAATTATCCAACGTGAAGCAATATTGATCAAATTTGTAAGAAATAATATATAATGAATTTCATATGATTTTTATCTAACCGTATAAAATTATAAAATCTAAATAACTTTTTTGAAGCCTAATGAAACATTAATTTTCAAAAGTCGATCAGAAAGGTTGTGTCACGGATCTCGTATAAGCACAATCACGTGATTCCAATTGATCGACAATTCCTATCGGTGAGCTGGTAGGCTGTGCACTTAAGTTTCGATTTACCCTTTTTAGTATGGGATTATGGTCACCTTAATAACCGATGTGCGCAACCGTGCAGCTACCGTATAGGTATTTTGTATATATATATGGGTGCTCCCTACGAGCCACAGCTTTTCAGTTGTAGATTTTAAGGAATTGTAACGATCTGGTCGAGGCAGCGGCTGCCTGAGGTTCGTATGGTTGGTAGTTGTGGTTAAGGCTATTAATCATTGGTTATTCATTTGAAAGTGAATTTGTTATTAGATCAAGTAGAATATAGGTAAACTAATTGATAATTAAGTTAAGAACGAAGTTCCTAAATTATGAAACTATTCTGATTATATATTAATGAATGGAAAGGAGTTTCGTGAAGCTCAAAAACTCCAAAAAGCTTTTGGAGCTCTAAGAGCTTTCAAAGCTCCTAGAGCTCCTCATCACGTGATTGGTCCTGAGGCCTTTCCTTTCCTAGAACATTTGTCCCAGGAGCTTCCCTCTAGGAATTATTACTTTAGGATACGATATCCTTTAGGGTGATTGTTCTATTACAATCGATTAGCTAGGACACTTGTCCTATTCTAATATGATGGCTCAGGATACTTATCTTAAGAATTCTGGGTTTCTATTCGTAAATGATTAAGCCCCTTGAAAACAACGGTTAAATCACACCCCCCCCGGTAATCGGTATCTAAATCACCGACATCAATAATACTACTATAATCTAAACCGTGAATCGTGACAGGAATATAATTGACCCTGTTTATTCAGCTCTTATTGAGCTCTTGTACGTCACAGGTTGAATTATAAGTATATTATAATACTAATAAAACCTATAGTCACATCCTGTTTCGAGGCAGGAGGATGATCTGCGCGGTCTGTACCCGTGCTATTATAAGATTAATACTTTAAAAGTAATAAATTATATTAAATCTTATATAATCCTTTATAATATCATTTCAGGGCGCTATGTCTTTTATAAATATAATAAATCTAATCTTTTTTATTACAAAAATATATAAATATATAAGTCTTATATAGACTAGAACTTTTTTTTAAAATATATATATATAATTAGATTTTCTTTATTATCAATATCATCAACACTATCAAATCAAATTTAGACTCTCTTAATAGTAAAGACAAGCAAACAGACAGACAGACATTTTCTCAAGATCCAGGAAACCCCAGTTTTAGTTTCCCATCTATATACAAATAAACGAATGACCTTCATCCCAGCGATTACTAACACCAGTAAACAGTTACAATTTCCCACTTTTTATATAGCCAGCCACTCGAATTATATAAGAAACGAAAATCATTAAGAGAAGGTCATATGAATTATATCTAAGAAGTAGCTAGCTAGCTCAATATGTAACACCGTGGAGAACCTTGTAAGTTGTAAATTTTAAATTAGTAGTACGCCCCTGAACAAGTGATGAAAGCTGCTGAAAATGAAATCACCACGAGAATGTCATTAGGGCAGGATTCAAAGCCAGTGGTAAAAGCAAATGGCTAGTCGTAACTGTAGCCATGGGTAAAATAGCGACGAAATCCTGAATGCGCCAATCGTATGGGATGAAAGAAGCCGTAGCCAGAACGATCATGCTAATTATACCCAAGAGAGAGAAGATCATGGAGTACTTGAAACTCTTCAGAACCTTTGGGACTTCGATGAAAAAGTTACTAAACTCGGCTTCTTTTGATGTTGCACCCCAGGTCATGTCGATTTCGAGCATGTGCGCAAGTAGTGCTTGTGAAACATGAAGTGAAAGGCCACCGAGGAAAATTGCCAACATAAGTGTCCACTTGAAGTTCTCGTAGAGTGCATACCCAAGGCTTCGTTCGCCAATTCTGTATCGCATGACTGCCAAGGCAATGTTTCCGAGACCGTTAAACACAATTACGATGGAAAACCAGACTTTCCAAGAATCGACATAGTACTTGTCAAGGTATCCATTGTACCATCCGATAGCGAAGTAGTTTGCGGTGGTCAAGATCCAGGCAGCCCCAATGGCGTAGTAAGTACCAATGTAGGAGATAATTGTTACCTTAGAGGTGAATGGAATGTTGGAACGTAAAAATCTTCGGAAGAGAGGAGTAAATGGACCTTTGTAGAACCACATACGAAGTGGGTGAAAGAGTAGCTCGTTGCAACCATATGCATACTTCTCCCATCTGGCAAGTTCATCGTAAACAGTCAGAGACACTCCCTCCTTAAATCCTTCACCAGCCCATGCGGCCAACCGAATAACGTATCCATTAACTTGAAGACGGAGGGACATATCGAAATCTTCAGACACATGAGATTCCGACCAGAACTTTTCATATCCATCCTCATCTTCATATGAAACCTGCTGAATGGCTGACCAACGCAAAATAGCATTATGTCCAACAAAAGGAGCAACATCGCCATTGGAAACAGTATATCGAATAGCAGTATAAATTAAGTTCGTGAAGAATGTGATGCCATTTTCGAAATAAGTATTAACAACCTGCATAACTCCAGACGAGAATTGCATGATGCCGACCTCCGGTGACTGTTCCATTTCAGAACAAGCATCTAGTAAACAGTCCTCTGGAACACGAGTATCCGAATCAACTGAAATACGTCAGAGGAGCCACTTGAAATAAGTTGGATGCACTTACTCAACAAGATATAGTCACCAATTCGAATATTTCCGTCAGCCCATGCACGGCCGTTATCTTCTAAGGCTTCTGTCAGGCATCTTCCATACGCTTGTGCTTCATCTGCTTGAGTCCAATCAAGAGGTCTTTGAATTAAAGCTAGCTTTTCCTCAACCATACAAGAGATGTGGAGTCCAAAGTTCATATTAGAAGCCTATGAATTGTGGTTAGCATAAGATTCAGCTTAAAAAATAAATATTGTTCATAAAAGGATCGAAGATCCCTTTTAGCGGGAAATGGCATCAATGGCGTCGTGGTGGCTTACTTTTTTGACTATTAAAATATTAGCGAATGGACTTCAAAATAGGATCAAGGGAACTTACATTTTCCTTTCCTGGTGAAATTGTCCCCATGCTTTGGTCGAGCAACCCATCCAATACTGTGATCAGCATAGAAGTCAATTCTAGCCTGGCGCTCGTCTGCATCAATGATTTGAAGACCATCATCATTAATGAACATATTGGCTGAGCCACCCTGCAGTTCATAAGTAGAAATGGCTTGTTTGATTGATTTGACAGTGGGTGCAATAACGGAATGCAATCCCTCCTTGTAAACGGGGCATTGGATTGTGATATGCGGAAGGTTTCCATCAAGAATACGTGGTGGTGGGTTAGCAGAGTAAAACTTGGAATTAATACTCATTTGTTGCACAGGCCCAAAGAGCTGAGACAGACAACCAACGATGACTTGAGCAAAGAAGAGTGTGAAAAAAACTTGAACGGGGGTTAAGACTAGTAGTGCAAGACGGGTATAATCCTGGTCGACCTCAGTCTCAATGGCTACTTGACGAACACCAGCACCCAGAGTTGCAATAATCAATATGATCGTAAGAGAAACCAGAACTGTATTTTGCAAGTGTAATCCACGTGTCTCTGGAAGAAATCGACCACTCTCTTCATCGACTTCCCAGGTGGCAGCATTTGGACTCTTCTTTTCATCCTCTATTTCTTCATCGGTTTTCCACACTAATTCCATCAGTTCTGATTCAATGGCCTTGGCTCGTTGGACTAAATGTAATGCCTCGTCGTCCCATACAACCAGTAAAGCTTCAGATGCGACGAATGCAGCGTACTGTAGTTTCCTTGCGCGCGGTAAATCTTCAATTGTTGGTAAGATCTGTATTCTGAGGCCATTTAGAAGCGGAACATCCACGGCATTTGGCGAGCATTGTAGGAAAGTCTTGATGACTCGGGAATTCACTGTCATTGCGCACTACCGAAGTTAGCTTTCGAAATCAAGAACACATTGCTTAAGCTCTTACATGAACGTTAAGAGCTGCACATGCTGCGGCAAAGGGAGAGTTGCCTAATTGTGGTGGACAAGCCATGTACGTGTTTCTCAATTTTCTGAGCAAAACGCCTTCGATTTCGCCACTTCCATCACTGACCCAGAGATGTGAGCACTGTTGCTGGTAGAGGTAGTTAACCATAACCTCATGTCTGATGTCTTCCATAAAGTTTGAACTGGCATGTGATGGATTCGAGATTGAATTCTTTGATGATGAAGGAGCCAATCGGTTAATGGGTGGTTGAAGTGCCATGGCATCAAAGTCTGATTGCGGAATCATGGCAGGAACTTGCCTCTCGGTCATCATAGGTGGTGGTGATTCAGTCTCCTCCTCAGGCTTCTTCTTCTTCTTGAAATTGATGCCCAAAACCATGGCAGCTGTATTATTGGTGGTAAATAGTTGTGCCTGTGCTGATTTTTGAAGGAGGTTTATACAATTAGGGTCGGGTTCGACTTGATGTTGCAAAAACGTGGAGAGGTGTTACTTGTGAGACGAGTGACTATTTTTACTATTAAAAAAGGCTGAGAAATGATGAGAAATGCTCCCACAGGCTGTTGCATCTGACTTGCAATAATTCAGAATGAGGTCTAGATGTGAATACATACAGAGCGTGTGTCAAGGGTGCCCGGCAAGTTGAGAAGCTGAGAAGCACTTTGTAAGTATTTGAGATGCCCTTGCACGATAACACGGGTATAATGAAGGTGAATTGATTAATTAAAATGAGGAATGAGGAATGAGGAATGAACCATGAGAAGACACAGCATGCGATGGTCTTCCAGAACGAGCATGTACCGGAGAGATAAATGAGTAGAAAGGCTGAGGGTGATGAAGTCGTGGATTCTGTCAGATACATGAAGAAGCCTTGGTCACAGTACATGTGTGTGAGGGGTACTTGCCTCTTCATCTAGAAAGCGATAGGCTTGCTTGAACCTTTCTGGTGTGACTTTTAGTGTAGATCCAGTCGTGGGGGAATTCTCATCCTTCTTTCCAAATCGGTTGAAAAGACTCTAAATCTTCCAGTTCAATAGATTCGGTAAAGACGCTATTGCTATTCAATTAGAATTATGAAAAATGGCTTAGCTCACATTTTCAATGAGACGGACCATTGTTGAGCTCACGGTAGACTTGGGTACCTCGGATCTTTTACTCTTGTTGTGATCAATATAAAATCTTCTTTTCTCCAGCTAAGGAAGGAAATACTACTACCACCACCAAGATGTTTGTTTACTTGCGAGGATCCTGCGCCATCCTTTCTAGTACGACCAGGGAAATATGAATCGGTAATACTCTAGTATTCATTAGTTTCCTCCTCCAGGAATCAATGGCATCTTGCTTGTGCTCTCTGACATGATAATTCCTCGGCCACCTTTGAACTTTTGTATCCACATGAAATCCAGATGTCATGTAGTTTCGGTGGTCGTCATGAGAGTCAAATCAAGGATGACGGCTTAAAAGGTAGTGTACACTAAAAGACTGGGCGTCTCTCTTGGCATAAGAAACCGTTGAATATGCATAACACTTTAGCATCGAACGTTCCTATTGGTAGAAAAGTCATTACCCCGAGTACATTCTTATTTCAATAATTACTCATATATTACTCTACGACGATGCTATTCATAAGTACAATACCACTTTGGGAATAACTGTGTATCCCGGTGATCGAAAAAGGTTACCCCAGAAAAAAAGGAGTGGAGGATCTCGAATGGCGCAAGATGATCAGATGCATGGATCACAAAAAAGCAATAAATATCATTGCCTAGTGCTAACCTTCTTTGAACGTCTACTTAGACAGGATAAAGCACTGTTTATTTACTATCGAACATTTCTATTCCAACACAACATAATATACAAACTACACACATCTAGTTTATATCTCTGTTGGAACACAAGAGATAAATCCAAGATATCTTGCCAACTTTTACTTGATTGGTATTAACCACACGTTTTGTATACAGGACATTTCAAATGTATTCTGTTGGGAGTACCGACAATACTCTGGCATTTTTAGGCTCCTTATGGCAAACACAACCATCGTCATCCAACCTATGAATCGTGACTCTAGCAAGATACCAAACCTCTACACGTGTACATAAGAATCTTCAGCGCCTCAATACTTCATCGCCATCCGCGCCAAAACCCCACATTTATCTCCTTATCCTACCTCAAGAATTCAAGATATAATTAAGAGGAAGCAAGCAAGCGATCTATAACAGATACCTAAAATTGAGCTCTCCAAGTTCCCAAGTATATTTGTACCTAAGCATAAGTTAGCTATGCCAAGCGTAACACTACCGCAGCCACATCCGCAGTAAACTTTATATCAGTGCATACACAACATATCATCCGGATCCCGTGTCTATTTAAAGATAATATGTACCGATGCATTGCACAGACTTTGCAGAAAATATCAATATCGATTCTGGAGTTTGATGCTCAGAATGCAATGTTTCAACTTGTTGATACTCTATGTCAGATGCGAGAAAGGTCACTAGGTTCTGCAACTGAAATATTACCAGCTCAACACCTCTCTAGGTAATAAGTAGTAGTTCGAGTTTTAAATAGTATCTAGCTAGGTATATCATCTGACAAAAACTCCGGACTAACCTAAACTAATGAGCATAAAACTACTTTGGCAACCAACTCGACTCAACAAGAAATACCAATAAACAAGTTCTTCACAAATCCAGATCCATTACACTCTCTATTTTCCACTCCTTCATCACTAATCATATCGCTTCCAAGAATAAAATATTACTACTTCCTCTCCATACCTACTCGTACAAACTAAACCCTTGATCAACAAATCAATAATCAATAATCAATAGCCACACTTGGCGTACTACTCCGTACTCCCAAGTAGTACTAATTACAGACTAGCTTAACAAGCAAGCATCAGTAACGCAAACCTTTCCCTGATATTCAAAAGCACCCCCAGCCACTTATTCTTGGCTTGAATAAAAGTAAACACTACAGAAATACATTCACATTTGCATTCGCATTTCTATTTCTATTTCTATTTCTGTTTACGTTTTCCTTCTAGACTTTTTGATTACCTGAATTCATATCTAAGAAGAAGAAATTGAAAACTCATACTATAAAAGAGATAGTTCGAGATACGTGCATCCCGATAACATACTGTGAAGAGGCTTAGGAGGAGAAGGCGGAATGGATTACACTGTAATTAATACCTTTTAGTTAGAGAAAATGGGTTTTACAATTGGTTTGGGGTTGTTATAATAGGGTTATAAAATAGTATATAAAAGGTTGATTGTCTACAGAAAGAAGAGAGTAAAGACCTCTTTTTATATCTAATTATAAAAGGTTACATAATTAAATTAACGAAAACCTCTATGTATATAACCAGTAATTCCGACTTTCTTTTAATACTAGCTAATAATAATAGATAAATATTATACTTGATTATCTTTTTAATTTTCTGGTTTTATAATCAAAATCCGCTCTTTTATCTCTTTATATTATATATTTATTTATTTATTTAAATATTTTTTAAAAGTTTGATATTTTCAAAATTCAAAATTATTAATTAAAAAAGAATGAATTCAGTTATCAGTTAATTATAAAATTATAATTAAGATAAGATTATTAAATTTATAAAGAAATAAATATATATTATAAAATTATTGTTATATTTTAATATTATATTATATTCTTATATTTAATCTTATAAGCGTATATATATCTCCGCAATCCATATCACCGTTATCCTCATCTTGTAAAGTCGTATATATTGTAGTGTAAATCCTTCCTTTTCCAAGTGAAAGTACCATTCGGGGAGTAATAGTCGGCTACTGGGAAGGCCGACTAAAGCGAATTGTCCCTCCGCTTTCCAATGTCAAAACCCTATATTCAACATTATAAGATTGAAAGGGGACAATTCGCTTTCCGAGAACATTCGAATTCCCCCATTACGAAGTAGTTGGCTTTCCAAGTAGCCGACTATTATGGATTAATTTTTTTCTTTTGTCACCACTTCTGTTGAAAGTCGTAAACAAGGAAGGATCTTCTAGACTTTCAAAATGGAATGTTACCACTATAAACGTAGTCCATGTATGGTTTCCACGTGTGTTCATTGTGTATCCTGCTCAATTTCCTCGCTGTTCATTTCAGTTATGACTGCTTAGGGTTGGAATTAATTCCGACACGGGTTATGCACCAGTTTTGAATATACCGCAACTGCAAAATTCAAAAAACTTGCTGTCAACTGGTATTGCTACTTGAAGCACTTTGCGTCCTAAATTAGAAAGAAATGAAATCAGGCATGAACTTTCAGGTACTGACTGTGATGTTCAATGCGACGTAAATATATGCTTTAAGGCCTCAAATACTTTTCTTCTCTACCTATATATTTTAGAGCTTCAGCATCCAGATTTCAAGTCAATACAGGATCATCAATTGTGATGAGAATTTCGTCGTACTCCGATATTATCTTTCTATAAGCAGTGTGAATTTTACAGACGCGTTTTGGGTAGTTCGAATAGATAGGCTAAAGCGACAGCAATAACGCTCCAAGATCTCAAATGGCCTAACTACCTTGAATCATTCTTGTTTCGCGGTATAGTTGATAGGAAAAGAAAAATGACAATGCTTGAACTTACAAAGCAAAGATATCTCGGTATGTGTACGCGTTCGAATGGACAAATGCGCACTGATATAGCACGTAAAAGTGTGGTGGACCAAGGAGAAGATTGAATTAACGAAACAGGACAGTTGCGGTCAGAGAGGGGCCTAGTGCTTTTGAGCATATTGCGCACGTTGCCCACCAAAGCTCATCAAGCTTGTTCTTGCGAATGCCACAAATACGAAATGACAGCAAAGAAAGATCCCATCGCTTAAGATAAGGGCAGGGTCTGTGCAGAATTCTTCTCCACTGGCTGGTTGAGAATGGCTAGAATCTCATCATGTGACCTTGCAGAAGTTCGGAAGTTTTGACTTTCATTGAAATGGAGATCGGGTAATTACTGAATTTTCCGATGTCTAAAACAAAAGCGAGGATGGGTATGAAAAGAGCACAAGTAAGAACTTGTTGATAACGATATAAGATCGCAGAATAGAAGATAGAGAGCTCTCAGCTGTGAAACTATCGAATTCCTCAAGCTGCAACCTGCCTCGGAGCCTTTACCTTAGATTGGTAATAACAACGAGAAATTCCTTAGCTGAAGACTGGGATGAGAAGAATTTGTGCAGTAGCTGCTTTTTTCCAATCCGATGTTTTGGTAACTTTTTGCTGTCCGAGCTATGTAATTCGTCAGTCTGAGCGCAGGAGTGCTAGTCAAACTAGTCAAAGGCTCAAAGCTGTATGGTTTGACGTTCGTGAGTGTATGGATAGCAAATCTCTTGGCAGATTTTGAGCGGTGTCCAACATGTTACATACATCGCGCCTTAGGGACCACAGAAAGATCTGCAGATTTGATAAAGCGAAGATTTGTTTATCAAATGTGCAGACGGAATGGGGTCTGGATTAAGAAGTATATCAATGTTTTTGTGGGAGCATATGAAGTTAACCTCAATAGAGTTGAGGTATTGGCTTCTGGGCAGTCGGAGAATAATGTGATGTTGATGAATTTCATAACTTTTGAACTTGGACAAAATTCTAAAACACGAAGGGAATGAATGAGTGGGCGGCTGGAAAAGCAGATAGTACTCAAAGTGGTTAGAACCTTACCAGATAAGGACTTTCATGTTTAGATTGTCCAATTAGCATCTTACGAATGATCGGCGCGGAAAGCCGTGCGGGAGGCTGATGGGGCATTCGGTTTCTCCGGTTGTGGCTTCAGCTACGAGCTTGGCTTCTCTGGTTCATTGACTAGTTCCTGAAGCTAACTCAAATTTAATGAACTAAGATGAAAACCTACTGATTTTCCAATGGCAAAGTTGCAAAATTGGATGCTGCTATCGTTTACCTACGAGCGCCACAGCCAACCAACGCTGGCGTGGCTGGCAACGTGGGTAAGAATGGCTCTGTTGCGTCGAGCAAATGAAGAAATCTTTGTGGCGTGATAAGAGTTGGCAGAAACCCTCTTCGAGGCCAATTGCAGGAGACTCGACGTCCGGTTGATAAGGATGGGAGCTGAAAACCTGTAGAAGGATTTTGGGAGCCACTAGATAAAGGTTTAATGGCCAAGTAGCAAAAGAGTGCCGGTATGGTTACTCGCAGGTTCGGAAAAAGACTGCAACGAGCTTGAGCATGGGCATGAGGCATGAGTACGTGCGAGTGTGAGGCTGAATGAATCTCATATTTTCGAACATCCGATAGGTAGGTACTCGATAATCTTTTGGTAACAACCGATATTCAAGAGATTATTTGGGGGTTCATCCTGTGTAACCCAAAACATGCATATGATTTCTGCAGGTAACCATCTCGTACCTCTGTATTTCCTTTATCTACTCTTGCTTCAGTCAATTTCCACATTTACCGATTAAAACACATACTGATCAATTGGATGTACCTAGTAAGTGCCAGGTGGTATCGACTACCACCCGAGTACCCAGGTAACAGGGATGGATGGATGGATGGATGGATGGATGGATGGCTTTTCTCTCTCTTTCTCATTCTCATTCTCTTTCTCTTTCTCCTTGGTGCATTTTGCATTTTCCTTAGTTCGTAACTTTGGACCTCGATCATTTAGATTTGGGTTTATTTATGGATCAATAGATGGTTGGTGCTTTTCCTCTCTTTCCTTTCTGGGTAAATGATCACCCACGCTATACTCCATTGATCCCATGACTTAGGAAAGATTCACCTAGATGGTCATGCCCAAGGACTTCGTACTTTCAAATTATCTTTTGCGACACAACAAGAGAAGTGAAGAGAAAGAGAAAAATTGAAAAATCCAAAAGAGAAAAAAAGGGAAGCGGAGAAAAAAAGATGATGAAGGAAACACCCAATCGGCCGCTACGGTCTGCACACTTTTTTTTTTCCGCTATCAAAGCTATGATCGACTAATGCAAGGTCCAGATCAAGCTGAAGAAGTCGAGAAAAGTTCCCGTCTTTGATCCATCCAATCATCATCCAATTGAACGTTCGGCCATCATCTTCATCACTGAAATTATTCCAAGGACATGCTCAGATGAAAGCGAAAGCCGAGCTAACTATAGTCAGTAGTCAGTCTATACCAGAGAGAGCATAACGTTTGTTTCCTCCTAATATAGCTTGCCAAGTCATCTTTTCTTTCTCAATCCTACATCTTTATTTCTGCATATTCAAGGACAAGATCATCCTCCAAGAAATACTAGTTTCTCTTCTCTTCTCTTCAATCCTTCCTTCTATCTATTTTCACTTTCCAGACTTGATTTCGTTCGTTTCGGAAAGTAGTTAATACTGTTTTTTAATTATCACTGCAATACCTTTCCATCAATATCTTAATACTTAATCATCTGCAGCAAATCCCTTCCCTTTCCGCGCACTCAAAGATGGAGCAACAACCGACATTTAGAGGTCATACACCTGCAAAATCTACTGCCACAACACCATCATACCGACCTGGCACACCGGAAAGCAGAAACTCTCCTTTCAGCGGAGAGGATAGTATACAACCTTCTCCATCAATAGAAAGGGCCAACCCATTCATCACTCCTCTTACTTCAAGGCCAGGTTCTACTTTTGGAGCATCATCTTCTTCGATAGGAAGGACATACGGCACAAGATATTTTCATTCACGGAGAGTAAAGAAGGGAGATGTTGACCAGCCATGGAGAGCGAGCAAGGACCCAAAAGAGAAATGGGTCACAATCATCCCAATTATTGGCATACTGGTTGGGCTCGGAATTGCGGGGTTCTTCATTTATGATGGTATACGTTCCGTCACTCACCATAAATACTGTCCAGTCATGAGTGATGATTTCTCATCTGGTACACTCAATACCGATATTTGGACTCAGGAAGCAGAAGTTGGTGGCTTTGGGTATGTGTTGATTTCTAGGGTCTGGCAAAAAACTTACTAACTTAATCTACAGTAATGGAGAGTTTGAACAAACTACACTTGACGACGAAAATGTATTCATCAAAGATGGAAAGCTCATCATTAGGCCAACCTTACAGGATGCAAAACTCATCGAGTCGAATAATGTTATTAACCTTACATCTGCCGGAACATGTTCGTCCGATGTACTTTCAAACTGTGTTTCTGTCACCAATACTACCACCGGCACAATTATTCAACCTGTGAAATCAGGAAGAATCAATACCAAGAAAGGTGCAACCATCAAATATGGACGTGTTGAAGTAACTGCAAAATTACCTTCTGGAGATTGGTTATGGCCTGCCATTTGGATGTTACCGGTAACTGATACTTACGGAGCATGGCCCGCATCTGGAGAGATTGATATTCTGGAATCTCGAGGAAATAATCACACATACGGACAAGGAGGAAACAACATTATCTCGTCTACCTTGCATTGGGGACCTGATTCTGACAATGATGCTTTCTGGAGAACAAATGTTAAGCGTGCCGCTCTTCACACCACTTACTCTGCCGGATTCCATAAGTATGGTCTTGAGTGGTCCCAAAAATACCTTTACACCTACATCGACTCCAAACTTCTTCAAGTACTCTACAACACCTTCAATGAACCACTCTGGCAACGTGGTGATTTCCCAGATTCCAGCAGCAACGGAACTAGAATCGTAGATGTTTGGTCTCAAACCGGTCGTGTCAACACACCTTTCGATCAAGAATTCTACCTCATCCTTAATGTCGCAGTTGGTGGTACCAACGGATGGTTCGCCGATGGAAAGAGTGGAAAACCTTGGATTGATGCTTCTGCCACTGCCAAGAATGATTTCTGGAATGCGAGAGATTCTTGGTATCCTACATGGACTGCGAATGATAATCAAGGTCAGATGGAAGTTAGCAAAGTAGAAATCTGGCAACAATGTGATGGAAATGAGGAACTTTAAGAACTATTTAGGTTTTTGAGGGAAGATCTACGTTGATGTAATTAATGGTTGTAGAAATGGTCGGCGCTTGGGAATACATCGTCTTGGTTTAGAGGGAAGATATATAAGATTACATGGTCGGGATATGAATGGCTATCTTTTCTGTTACAATTTTTCCTTTTTCAATTTGTCATTTGAGTAGAATAGAGTACTGGCTAGATGTGATATGATTGATTGATTGATATTTGTTCATAGTTTAGATAAAATGATATTATGTTTATATTGTTGATCTAATTATATAAAGTCTACTTTGTATTATATTCTTTATAGAATTTTCATTCTCCCCCAAGTGGCAAGTTCAAGACTCATGAACATATATCTACTATTATAAAAATATGTTTATATAAATTATTAAATACATTTTTCAATTTAATTATCTAGTATTTCAATATTCTCTGTTTATTTTCTTCAACTATCCCACCCACCTGGAATCTTTCTCACGGGTAAGGTTAAATCTAACACTATCGGAATTCAACTCGATATTCCAGCTCCAGTGTACAAAATCATCTCTTCTTTTATAAAGATTCAAATTAATATTATATTAATTTTGTCCTTTCGTTTATAAGAAAAAGAAAAGAAAAAGCAGAAGGGGAGATGAAAAGAAGTTCATAGGGTATTTGTTAGTGAGTGATTGAAGGTCTATGAAAGAGAACTCTAGATCTATTTTTGTTTTTGTTATTTTATTATTTATCTATGTCACGGAATTCAAATAGATGGAATAGAGTTTAGACATATTTTTATTGTTGGATTGTTTGGGGTGGTGATTAGAGCTTTTTCTTGGGGAGAAGAGGGGGTGGTAACTTTCAGATGGACATTTTGTGGATATGCCGTGTTGGTAAAATCTAGAATTGTAGAGAAATATTGTAATGAGTTGATATCTCTATGGATCAGGACGGCTGCTGAGGTAAATGGCCCAAGTTTCGTACTTGTTTCATGGCTGCGGGACTTCTTTTCCTTTGGCGAATGGAAAATTGGTTGAGGTGAAGCGAAGGTTCGGACTCGATCAAGTAGCAATCTTACAAAAGCTGTCTCCATACCCTGGATATGAAGGATATATCGAGGCAAGTTGAAGTATATCGGCTGGTCTCAAACGGGATTTGTGCAAATGACAGTGTAATGGCTCATTGCCTATTCCCTAGTCTCGTGGTTAATATGTAGGAGCACGGGGACATTGATATCTCTGCACCTGGCCACTCGAATGGGGAGCGAGGTATAGACCGAAGCTTTGTAACCTGATATCGACCTCTGGCAAGAATTCCTCAATTTTTAAGGTCAGAATTATAAATGATGATGATCAGGGGACCTTTGGCAAAATAGTAGATTATGCTTCGAATGATTACTCCGTTGGAAGTTTTGGGGAATATCTTACCCAGTGGCATGTCAAGAGTGATTTGGCACGAAATTTTGGGTGTCTCCTTTAGCAATAATCATCTCCGTATGAGTAAAGTACATAAGCTCGATATACAATAGTGAGCGAATACTGTGGAATCCTTGTCAAGTACCACCTTTACTGCGATTATGTGGTCGAGGTGTTGTGTTGTGTTAAACTCTGAGATAAAAGTCAAGAGATGGTCACGATGAAGATGAAGGGCGATGCTTACCAAACCCAAATTATAACATCATAAAGGAGGGAGTGTGGTGAGCCTACTCTTAATATATGAGTGATTCGCCTCTACCCAGAGCTGAGGGTAAAGGGGTTCGCTTCTTTTCTGATTCGCATTGTAGTGAATCTTACCTCGTTTCTCGAGACCTGGAAACATGACATCACATCAGAATGAGAGCTAGAAGGCTTGGAAAAGTCTTTATTAGTGACAAGTAGAGTAGTAGTTTTGCTTTGACCTCATCACTCTTTCCTGTCAAAGATTGCGCATGAAATGAATCTGATCATATATTGGTTGGTGGAATTCATAGTAGCTGACTTTTTGGTATCTGGGTGGAGGTTATTCAGGATGGCTAGAAGACATGATAATTCATGGATGTAGTGGGAAACTGGGGTAAAGGTTGTGAAGCGGTGTATTGCTTCATTATTGAAAAAGTATATGATTGCCCAGGCATGGCAATCATATCAGATTTAAGAATTTGCATTCATGATGGATGAAGTTAGGTTTGCCGGCAATAGGATAATAGTGGGGTTGCATTTAATTTCAATGCGCCCGCTTGAACAAATCCCAGCATCCTGAGAGCGGTGAGGCAACGGCAGAATAATTTACAAGGCGGGGCAAACCTCAATTTTATACAAGTCCTAAATGACTCATTTACCACCTTCACTATAGTCTTTATTGAGATTTTTGGTGACGAGTGATTTCTTAAGTCATACATCATCATGTCGAAAGTCTACCTTCTTGATTACGTAGCTGGAAATGTGCGTAGTTTGGCCAATGCCATCGAGAAGGTGGGATACACTATTGAATGGATAAGGTCTCCAGAGGATGTCCCAAAAGCAGATGTAGGTTTTGCCAAAAATACGGCTCACAATTACCGATTAAGTCATTATTCCATATGTTGTATCTAATGCGAGAACACTCAGAAACTCATTCTTCCCGGAGTAGGTCATTTTGGTCACTGCATGACTCAATTCTCTTCAGCCGGTTACCTCCCCGCCATACAAAAACACATCGAATCTGGGAAACCTTTTATGGGAATTTGTGTAGGCTTACAGGCTCTGTTTGAGGGATCCGTGGAAAATCCGGCGGTTCCTGGGCTTGGAATTATCAAGGCGACTCTCGATCGATTTGACGATAGCTCAAAATCTGTTCCACACATTGGATGGAACAGCGCGAATACATCGGGTGAAGAAGTTTACGGGCTGAGACCTAGCTCGAAATATTATTACGTCCATTCATATAAGGTTCCATATAAGCAAGGAGAATTGGAAAGTCAAGGTTGGACTGTCGCAACTGCTCGCTATGGTGACGAAGAGTTTGTTGGAGCAATCGCAAAGGGGAATATATTGGCGACACAGTTTCACCCTGAGAAGAGTGGTGTTGCTGGACTAAGAGTTATCAAGGCTTTTTTGGATGGAAACAATACAAGTAGCGCGGTTGAAGGCTTGGTGGCTGCCAAGGAAGGTCTAACTAGAAGAGTCATTGCATGTTTGGATGTGCGAACAAACGATCAAGGAGATTTAGTGGTGACAAAGGGTGATCAATATGATGTGCGAGAGAAGACAGATGGAGGAAATGTACGAAATCTCGGCAAGCCAGTCGAAATGGCTAAGAAATACTACGAACAAGGAGCAGATGAGGTCACATTTCTTAACATTACGAGTTTTAGAGATTGTCCTCTTGTAGATGTACCGATGCTCGAGATATTACGACAGACATCAAAATCGGTCTTTGTTCCATTGACAATTGGAGGTGGTATTCGTGATACCGTTGATACGGATGGTACGAAGGTCTCAGCATTAGAAATCGCAAAGATGTATTTCCAGAGTGGAGCAGATAAAGTATCTATTGGATCGGATGCGGTAACAGCTGCTGAAGAGTATTATTCGAGAGGAAAGAAGTTGTCTGGAACTACAGCCATAGAGCAAATATCCGGCGCTTATGGCAACCAAGCAGTGGTCGTCAGTGTCGACCCAAAGAGAGTATATGTATCGAAACCTGAAGAAACGAAACACAACACAATACAAACAAAGTATCCAGGGCCAAATGGGGAGAATTATTGCTGGTATGCATGTACGATTAAAGGTGGTCGAGAAACCCGAGATATGGACGTGGTTGAGCTAGTGACTGCAGTCGAGGCAATGGGAACAGGAGAAATCCTCCTAAATTGCATAGACAAGGACGGAACAAACAGCGGTTTTGATTTGGAACTTATTAACCAGGTAAAAAATGCGATTAGCATACCAGTCATTGCTTCTAGTGGAGCTGGAAATCCAGGCCACTTTGAAGAGGTTTTTTCAAAGACTTCCACAGATGCTGCTCTTGGAGCTGGTATGTTTCACAGAGGAGAATATACGGTTAAGCAAGTCAAGGACTCTCTTGCTGAAAAGGGTTTGATGGTTAGACAGTTTGAGAGCGATCTCTGACTAAAGTACTTAGAATAAAGAATACCCTTACATCATCTTCAATGTTTTGAGCGTGCCCTCGCCTGAGATAGATTGACTGACCCGTATCATTGGCCTAACGTTTTCTGTCTAATTGTATGTTCGAAAGTGATAACATAACTTAACATTATTCGGAGGGAGCTTTTCCAATGCTATTGTTGGAGTGCGCACACATCGTTTTGGTAATATCTGACAGTTCCCGAATAAAGTTTGGCGTTATAGAAAGAGAATGGATTGGTTGAACATAAAGGTAATGATGATATGAAGTATATTAAGATTCGATAGAGTTGGGCTTTGCTAGGGGATGGTGTAGCATGTAGTGGGGATATGTATATATATATATATATGAGCAAAGCAGAGTATAGCCTTTAAGGTCTAATATGTAGTAGGTACTAGACATTAGGTAGGGAGTAGGGAGGCATTGGGTGGAACTTGGAAAATGTGATGGTCCGGGGAAGAATATCATGAGAGATCTATCTAGATGGTGTTGTAAGTAATGTGTCGAAATCTCTTATGATTATGGAATATTCCCTTTTCGGCCGGGAGTTTGTACTGTACATGATGGGGCTGATTATATATAGGTTGGTGATGCTCATTATGTGAATGTACTGTTGAATAGGTAATTAATTAATGATGGCCAAATTTGATGCTAGTTGTAGGGTCAGGAATCAATCACCTTGTATGATAAACTGCTATTACTCTCCAAGATTTACAGATGATAAAAACTTTATGAAACGGTTAAAATCTAAATTCTAAACTACGAGAAAGAAAAGAATTCTACATTCCCTTTAGATATTTGTGATTTTTTGTGGTTTCCCAAACCTCAAATTTCATCCCTACAGCAATAGGTCCATCGGATCTAGGCACGCTCAACATTCCAAAGCACGGCTTAAACTTGATTCCTTCATCTACACGTCTATAGCTCACTAAAGTATCCCAAGGTTCATGCTGATCCCTTTCCGCGGTTTCTGGGTTCACGTTTGGAACTAGACATCTTGCACAGCGAGCCTGTACATCGATATCTATCCCAGTTGAGCCCAGGGCCGTGGACAGAAATCCGGAGTTTGGCTTGTTGATTATTCGTACTCTCTTCCATTCATCCTCCGTCCATGCTGCTGGTGCTGCATCATCTTTATTACTCTCGTCTTTACCCCTCACAATGATATTTGGTCTGAACCTTTCTATTGTAATTTCTTCCGCGCCTTTCTCGGCTAGTCTTTGGTTTAACTCTTGAAGAGAAGCTTCATTTGCGATCAAAATGGGCATGACATCTGGAAAATTTGTGCTCTCCTCCCTACCGAGTATCTCGGGTGCTCCATTACCACTCAGAATTCTCGGAGTTGGTCCCTTGAATACTAGTTTAACATCTTTCTTGAAGAATTCGCTGAAGATATGGTTTATCTCATCCTTGTATAAATATCCATCTGTCTTGCACCCCCAGATCTCCACCTGTGCCAAGTTTGTGTTTTCTTCCAGCCACTGTTCGGTAGGTCGCGCGGGCATCATGACTTTTTTGTCTGTATTCCTGATACTGATGACGAGGTGTTCGACATCTTCATCACTGGATTCGGAGGGAGATTTGACGGTGGTAAAGGCAGTGTCAATTAAGGTCATGTCAGAAAGGTCGCGGATGGTAATAAATTTGTGGTCATCACCAGAGACGAACATCCAGCGTCGATCGAACTCGAGTCCATGAGTGGTGAGGGAGGATGATTTGATTGAGATACCACGACAGGATTTTATGGGATAGATGCGAAGTTCGGTGACTTCGGTAGTGGTGGAAGGAGATGAAAAGGGATTGAGATTGCTGAACATGATGAAAAAAATGAATGTAGATTTTGTTGTATTCCAAGGTTATTTATTGGTGTTGTTCTATATACTATGTTTTTTGTTTTTTGTTTTTTGTTCTTTGTTCTTTGTTCTTTGTTCTTTGTTCTAGGCTCACGGACGAATTTGGGTCAAGGGAGAGGTTCTTATGGTGGGGAACACAAGGTGGGAGGGACTCGAACTGCTACTTGAGTACCGTAGTTAGTGTCTGAGTGTACGGAGTAGTGTTCAAATGCCAATTCACCTACTGATTGATACGCTTGCAAAGCTTGAATGCTACCTAATAAATGTACAGCAACAGAGTCGCGTCCAGAAATCTCTGTATAGCATCATAAATTCCCACTTTTGTGGAGGGAGGAAGCGAGTAAATACAATAATCTTGTTATTCTATTGATGTTTGTGTTTGATGTCCAAAATACCCGAGTAGAGGACAGTACAATCACAATGGCATGGTAATTCCCTTGCATGATCGGTCGCTTACGTCATCATTTCTCCCTCAATTTGACCTATCCGGTTGCTCTGCGCAACCGCCAGACGCTGTTTCCCACAATAAACATAAACCTCCAAAGGGCAGAGGGCCAAAGATCAAAGACCAAAGATCCCCCCCCACCTCCCTGCCTACCGACCTTATGCAAAGAAGGGGAAAGAGGGCACTTTATTCAAAATAACCTTACTATGACTATGCAGTCACAATCGCAGACCTAGAACATTCAACAATACAATCAATCAATCAATCAATCAATCAATCAATCAATCAATCAAATCAATCAAATCAATCAACCTTCATATTCAACTGAAGTATTGAAGTGTGCATCACCCGTTCTGCTCTTCAATTCACACTCGTTCTTTCCCTTATTAAATACCTACATTCTATTCTCATTTGACTTTTACATTTTACAATAACTTCATTCTTTTTACCCTTGGAAAGCCCTCTGCGATTTCACAAAGTGATTCGCTCGCTCTCTTGACAGTGCAGATCCGCGATAAGAAGTCACTGTGCATAAACAATGTCGAGCTTCATAACCAACCTCTTCCCCTCAGTGCAAGCTGGCAAACATGACAACATTTTGCCGGTTCCGCCCCCACCTCTACATACTCGGTCCAGTCAAAATGAGGGTCTCGTCGATCGGCCCAGCACTCCTGTTAATAAAAGCAATTTCATCAATCCTGTCTCAACACCCCAAGGAAGTCCAAGCAAGAATCGCAATCCACCTGGAGCAAACGAGTTACCTACTGCTTTCGATACTGCTATGAAGCTTACTCCTGCTAATTTGAGCAGTCCAACCAAACTTGGCCGTGTTCCGATTGGCACACCACTGACTCCAGGGAAGGGAGCAAACGCCAACGCTGTCGACGAGTACTTTGGTAATTCTACCGGAAACACCGACGAGAGCATTCTACACAAATCTACCATCCCTTCGGGAAGTCCTGTGCGTCGACAAGGTAAAGAAAATAATACCCCTCAAACCACAAGACCAACAGATTCTCCATCGCTCAACCAGGCAGCAACCTCCCGCGATTCTCCTTCTCTCAACCAGGCAGCAATCTCCCGCCAGGAGCTTTATCAAACGCGAGAAATCCCACCACCGCCTACGAGAAAATACAATACCCAACGCGGATTGACGGCTGAGGAATTGGAAATTTTGCATAAGCCAAATGTCAAGCGTCTGGCAAATGTAACTCAGCTTTGTGAGTACTCGTATCTGCGTGATTAACCATCACTAATACTCAGCAGACTTTCTTGATTACTATTATGATCTTTTGAGCTACGTTGGCGCACGACAGACTCGACTTAATCATTTCAAGGAACAATATCCGTCCCCTCCGGGGACTCCCGAAGAAGTATACATTCCCGTTTGGTCAAAATATGCTGGTAGGGAGCGGGCCAATTTACGCAAGCGTCGAGTTCGTTTACGTCAAGGCGATTTCCAAATTTTAACACAAGTTGGACAAGGTGGTTATGGACAAGTCTTCCTCGCTCAGAAGAAGGACACTAGGGAAGTCTGTGCCTTAAAGGTTATGAGCAAGAAATTGTTGTTCAAGCTGGACGAAGTTAGACATGTTCTTACTGAACGTGATATCTTGACCAACGCAAAAAGCGAGTGGCTTGTTAGATTGCTCTACTCATTCCAAGACGAGAAGAGTATATATCTAGCCATGGTGAGTTTTACTTAGCCATAGCTATTTGCATACCGTTAACTAGTTTTAGGAATATGTCCCGGGTGGAGATTTCCGAACCTTGCTCAACAATACTGGCGTACTTGCTAATAGACATGCTCGATTCTACATTGCCGAGATGTTCTGTTGTGTGGATGCTTTACACCAACTTGGTTATATTCACAGAGATCTCAAGCCTGAGAACTTCTTGATCGACTCGACAGGACATGTCAAGCTTACTGATTTTGGGCTTGCTGCAGGTTTCCTTGCTCCAGGAAAGATCGAGTCTATGCGTGTGAAGCTTGAAAAAGTCGGAGAGACATATGTTCCATTCGGTAAACCTATTGAAGAGCGTACTGTTGCCGAACGTAGAGAAGGTTATAGATCATTGAGAAATAAGGATGTCAATTATGCCAAATCAATCGTTGGTTCGCCCGATTACATGGCACCTGAAGTTTTGAAAGGCGATGAGTATGACTACTCTGTTGATTATTGGAGTTTGGGTTGTATGCATTTCGAGGCTTTGACAGGCTTTCCTCCATTCGCTGGTGCTACCGTCGACGAGACCTGGAAGAATTTGAAGCATTGGAGAGAAGTATTAAAGAGGCCAGTTTGGGAGGATCCAAATTACTTTATTAGTAATCGTACTTGGAACTTTATTACAAGGTAATTTTTGATTCTGCATACCACACAAGCATTTGCTAATACGAACAGCTGTATTACTTCCAAGGTTAAACGTTTCTCCAATATTTCGGAAGTTTATGGACATCAATATTTTGCCGAGGTTGACTGGAACACACTTCGTTCGCAACGTGCTCCATTTGTACCAGAGCTGGATTCTGAAACTGATGCGGGCTACTTTGATGATTTTAGCAGTGAAGCTGATATGGCCAAATACAAAGAAGTCCATGATAAACAAACTGCTCTGGAGAACATGGCCGATCGAGAAGATGCTATGAGCAAGAGTTTATTCGTTGGATTTACATTCAGACATCGTAAACCAAACACAGACGATGATGGAACCAAGTCAAGCCCAAGAAAACCTATTGCAACCGACGGTACTTTTGGGACTATGCTATGAGCATATTATGATCTTGATGATTGTCTACATTTGATTCGATATTTGGTTTAGGGACATGAAAACGGGCGGGTTGGGATGGGATGGGGCAGGATGGGAAACACTGGATGTGGCTATGGTGGCTATGGAAGGATGGTAATGTGGAGTAGGCGGTAACAACAAGGCATATCTGCGGCGTTAAGAGTCAGATTGCTTGACTTGACCCTGTAAAACTATTCCTGGTATCTTGTTTTTTCACGCGTTTCCTGCGGCATTTGCTTATCGCGCTCGATTCTGGAGTTATCATTTGTCGCACCATAATATGGGTGGGGTTAATTATTGATTGTTAGCACAACGCAGACGCAAAAAATGTAATATTACTATGAATATGACTTTTTTTTGGTCAAATTGGCCGTTCATGTTTAATTTTTGAGAGAAGAATTCTCTAACTGTGGAAATGATGCCTAACACTCTTATGCTATTAGTCATATATAATGCTGTATATATTAGATATATTATATATTACTCAGTAAGTAATATAAAAATGAATGTTTATTCTATTTTATTTTTTATGTCTTATATATTGTTTATTGTCTATTGTTTACTGTTTATTATTTTTTATTTATAATTTCTTCAGTATATTATATACAGATATATAATAGACATATAACAGGATTCATCTTCATTATATAATATTTTTATTATATAAAGTTAATATTAAAAGTTATAGAAAGTTTATTTTTGAGGGTTATTTATTCGCTTAAGATGGTTTGGTTTGAAACTTCAATTGTTATTATTATATTTATATTAATTACTACTATGTCTATATTATACTATATTATACTGTACGAAGGTTAAAGTTAAGGTTATGTAATTAATTGTTGGAACTGGGAGGGGCGGATTAGATTTCTGTTGTGCTGTGCTGTGCTGTATCATGTATTGTGGTGTGGGTTATATAACCAACTGTTGGATACGGAACGCGTATGGTGAGTGGATTAGATAGCATTTCTGCTTAAGGTTTCTTCGATGTTCATGTAATGAAGTTTATATTATCGTATGTATCTGACACTTTTGACAAGTTGACGGTGTTGGTAGGATAGGAGATAGTGAGATAGTGATGCATTAGAAGGAAGAAAAAGCTTAATTTATTTATTTATTTATTTATTTATTTATTTATTTATTTATTTATTTATTTATTTATTTATTTATTTATTTATTTATTTATTTATTTATTTATTTATTTATTTATTTATTTATTTATTTATTTATTTATTTATTTCAGAAGAACATGTCATGATCAATGACAAATTAAAACAAGTAATATATTTATCTTGATGGCTTTGGAAAATAGAATATCGACGTTTGTATTACATATACTTGGTATGTACTCATATATTAATCCCATCTATTATTGTGGAAGAAAATATTAGGTTGACATGTCGATTAAGTAGAAACGGTGAGAAGTGCATGCTTGATAGCAAAAATCGGAGAAATAAGATATTTTCTGAAAAAACATTCGATGCGGAGGATTAGATCGAAAATGGGATGGGTTGTTGGGATGGATGGTGTGTGGGCTTTGGTATGGTTTTAAAAGATGGTGGAAATAGAAAGATGCTGAGGAGGCGAGTGAGTATTGTGTTTTATTATCTTTTGGGGTCTTAGAGGGGTGTCTTGTGGTTTTTGTGGAAGAGTATGGGTTTTAGGAGTTCGGGCTATGGCTCTGATATTGAGACGGGGAAAGGGGAAGAGAGGCAATTATGGTGCGTTGCTAGATGAGGGAAGAGTGGTGCGATTTGCGGTATAGTGGCGATAGAGAAAGGATGAGAATGCTAATATACATTTTGTAGGACAACGACGAGCTGGTAGATATGATAATCATATGGTTAACGACGAGGACATATGGTCATGATTGGATGAAGATTACTCGCGGCTTTGAATGGCTAGATATGAGACGAAAGAAGGAACGACGTACGAGTGGGAGAACGACCAATGACAAGTTGGACTTTATCGGTCAAATATTTGGATCGACAATCTTGATTTATGGTAGAGTATCAAGAATTTCGGGCTTTGGGTCGCGGATGGAGACATGGGATATTTTATTTATTCACAGTTTGCCAATCGATAGGAGATGGTTAGGCTGTTAGATAGTCAATGTCAATACTAATGCCACTAGGCATATATACATATCTGTATTTCATTTACTGAGGTCCAGCCCCGACCTGATTATCTTTTGGGCATTTTGTTGGAACCTGATGATGAACTTATCACTAGAAGATTCATCTTGCGTCAGGATCTTCAAGGTATTCGCAGTAATTGGGCAAGCTCCCGAAACACCGAAGTTCTTTGTGTTTTCACCAGAAGACATTTGCGGGGCATTATTCTGTTTGAATCGTTAATAGACATGGCAAAGAAGAAGGGTATTGGGATGAGGGTTCTGCCTGCGATTGAGTCATTTGGATACGCGAGCGGAATAATCATGGTAAATATAAATTATGTAAATAGTCCAAAGATAGTAGTGGAGAGTATATTCCAGATTATTAAGTTGATCTAATGATGTAGATATCATCAAAACTTCTTTATCCACAAGAGTCCAATCTCAGTGCGCTAGTGAAAGGCTGACAGGAGTCTAATGATGAGCAGATTCATTCTCCTCTCCCTTCTGTCTTCCATTCTCAATTTAAGCAGTGCATTCACTCAGTACTTTCGGCGCTTCATATCGCAAACTTTCCATACCCATGGCCGAACTTATGGAAGGATATGACTCTAACAGGTAAAATTTTAGTCGAACTCTTTCATTGCTGACTCGAGTTAAACTGTTCTCAAGTAACCGCTTATTCGTGTAGCTTGTTCCACGACACCATCTAATCCACAGATATTCCTGGAAAAGATCTAAAAGACTATAACTCTCCACGGCACCAAAGTTTCGAGGCTGAAATTAGAGAAAGATTGTAATTATCAATAACGGGGTACAGTACTAGACAAAAATTAAGGGCCATTTCGTGCATTTGCATCAAAAAAGTCTAAGATAATAAAAATCTTAATAAATATTTTATTTATTTTTTATTATATTTTAAAATTATTAATTTACTTCAATATTCATATTAATTGTTTACAAAATTTGTATAAATATTATAAATTCAAAAGTATAAAAAATGACTTTTTTTAATGTGTTTTCGTGTGCCGGCCCTTATTTTTTGTCGGTCACTGTATGTTTAACAAGAAAAGAATGCTATGTGGTACTTCTAAATACGCACACAACAATTAAACCCAAGAGCGAAATTAGATGCAGGAAAAAAATCATGAAACTCGCAGCTGCTCAGCAGCCTTTACTATTCATCGTGTACAAATTAGCATGAGATTATAAGTAGAGATAAGTAATTAGGATCTGCTTAGAGCACTCTTGTTGTCCGGGAAACTTAATTATGGACCTACGGGTGGTAAATCGCTGAGATGAAGGCCCTGAGATATGAAAACTATGTTTTTACATTGGGGTGATGAAGAATAACAATTCTGGAGAAAGGTAAGAAAGTATGCATTTTAGCAGAATGAATGGAAAGAAAAGTGGCTCTCATCTACCTCAATTATGTGCATTAGTTCTCAAATCTTGATTCCTGCTAGTAGGTTGATTAACTCCAAAGGTCCGTATGTATGGCGATGAGACTTACAATACACCAAATCCTGATTTTTAAAAACAGAAATTTGTTATGCTATTCGGCCCATGTATGATCAGCGTCCATACCGGCCGATATATCCAAAAAAAAATATCAAATATTGGTCATGCGGTTATCACCCGTTAGACATCGTATACCAAGTCTCTGGAATCGTTTTATTCCGGTGTAGCGTGGAAAATGCAAATTAGAGCCGAGATAATACATTATAAGGACTGAAACTCTGTAAAGAATACCAGAGTTTGCCGAGAAGTTCGAAATTTGTTTTTAGGCAAAGTAATATGAGTGGCTGCCAAAACCATTCCGCGCAAATGAAAGCACGTGAGACAATTAACATTCACAAAATGCTAATAGCCGCAATGAATGCCTATCACCGGAAGGACTCCTATCTAGGATTTGAGGATTACAGTATCGCCCGGTCGAAGGACTGCATGCACGATTATTATATTCTTATAAATATGCAGCAACTAATGGTGGGATAAGAACAAAATGCTGCCAGATCATGCCGCCACTGGGAGAGGATATGCAACCCGCAAGCAACGGTAACATTTCCCGTCGAGGAACTCAAGTAAAAACACACAAGACGAACGGTGAAAGACTTTCTCCCATGGCTGCCTGCTTGTTTGGTACTCTGGCGCGGCATGTGGTTGCATTGCATTTTTGAGGAAACAAACTAGTCGTTTTCAAAATCCTACAGCGACGAGAGTGTTACAGCTACAGTTACTACTGGCTAAACTCATACCTAATCCGTGCGCGAGGGCTAGCCACGGGGTAAGAATCAAAAATCCTTAGAGTATATGAATCTTTTGCTTGGTCGCGTTGGTGTGATGGTATTGTTATACCGGCTTCACCTGAAGAATTCCTCATATTTGTCTCGAGATAACGTACATATGCAAGAACAGACTATGAGATTGCCGAGATCTCAGGAAAGAAAGGTCACTAGATCATGCCTGGGACCTTCCCGCATCATAGATTCCATCTTGAGATAATCAGCCCAGCTTGTGCGATCTGGTTTCGCAGACAGCAAATTACCTTTTCATAGGGCTTACAGTGTGCTTACTCTTTAAGGCCTAGCCACAATTGTCAGAAGAGCGTTCATTTCTCTTCTGAGCTCCGTGACTTCCCGCGGCGCTGCTGAATGACATATTGATGGTGGGTGAACTTGAATAAAAGAAAAGGAAAAACTTCAACACTCATATAGATCCATTCGGATTAGTGCTGATGTTTCGATCTCGGGTAGTCATCGTGCATATACTTTATCTCGCCAAGGGCGGTGTTGGCCGCGGTTCATTGCATGTCTTTTTCCCATGCATATCTTAAAACCCCTACTCATCCTCGGCTTCAGGTGGCTGATAGCTTTGTTATTGGGCCCGGATTCACTTGCGCTGAATTGAAAAATGCCTCCCGAAGCCCCACGAATCTTTTGAATGTCCGTACATTGATGATAAATTTTGTAGATGTGTAAATTGTTACAAGTCTTATAAAATGGAAATACAGTAAATCGACTGCCAGAAGGCGGTGAGCTATTAAAACTGCTATTTTGCCAACCCCAATAATTAACCTCCAACCTTTCCAACTTTTCTTTCCTATGGATCTCAATCCCTGCCGTGTCGTTAAGGCTAAATGACAACGAACATCTCCTACTCTCATCGATAAAGAGCCTTAGAGACACGTCAAATAATGATCTATGATGCAACGATACTGCCGTGGCCAAGGTGAGCTCCTGGAATGCTTGCTTGCTATCGACGCTCTTGCATTGCTAGTTGACCCTGAGCGGAATTTATTAGGTTTTTATGAGAAAAATTTCAGAAGTCCCAATACTACTGTCTAGTGATATGTAGCTTATTCGACATATTAGCTTTAATATTGCTGGTCCTTTTGGGTGAGGGAGGAAGTCTCACTTCAGATTGAGTGTCGAGGTACAGCTGTATATAAAAACTTTCGAGTGCGATACTGTCGAATATTTCAATTTTAAGTCATAGATCCACGGTATTCAATAGCCCGGATTAGCAGAGTAGATTCCAAGTTTCAAATGTCTCCAAAGCTGTAATCGTTGAATAATTGTTTAATTCTTGGAAGGAATTCGTTTCCCCAAGTAGATACGATTTTCCAAGTGGAGATCATGTTACTTCTTTAGATCATTTTGGATTTCTTCAACGAGATGAAGAATCAAAATTTCTCGTTGTTAAACAACTGCACAAATCAACACAAATTTTGATGCAGGAACACTGGCCTGGAAATTGTCGGTTTTAACTTCGACTAATATTCATCCCATGCATACTTGGTTGCATAACCCACCACTCCCGATCCACAACACCTAAACTTGTCCCGATATGTATATATCGCCGTTGCGGGACGAGCTGAAGAAAGCATGATGATATCAATCTCTAGTGGCGGTAGGCTTCAAGTGAATGTCACTCGATCCCAATTGTTCGAGGATATTTCACAAATTCACACCTCACTTCAAATGTTCTCAACTTAACTTCGGTATTTAAGATTTTCTTATATACTATTTGCGCCGTACAAATTAAGGTCTTTTTTAGATTGTGTATCAATCCAAGCAACATCCGAAGGGCGCTGTCGCGTTGACTAAAGCCTTATTAGGAGTCTAGGAAAACACACCTTTTGGAGATAACTTTTGACGTTATACTCATAAATATTAGCTCACTGCCGACTGAAGACGTGATAATTTGCCCAAGCGGAAGAGCTTAGATTGTGTCTCTGTCAGCTTTTGGTGTCCAAAATACATATGGCGATAAGTCCAGAGACTCCAGAAGTTCCTTCAAATTGTGGAAAGCGATTGGCTGCCCATTATATACATCAAGTTGCTATCGATGATCCTCATCGAATATGCATATCCATACCATTGACTTCGGAGCCACGTGATGGATTCGAGGACATTACGTTCTGTCAACTTGACAAAGCTATAGATGTCGCCTCGATATGGGTTGAAAAAGAAATTGGCATAGGGAAAGACTACGAGTCTATTGCCTACATTGGTCCACATGATCTGCGGTATATAGTATTAATGATAGCTGCGATCAAAACTGGACACAAGGTATACCATTTTCTTTATCATCATTTTCAATAATGACTTACTTTTGACAGCTTTTTGTACCATCCCCTCGAAACAGCCTAGAGGCTCACGTCAAATTACTAAAAGACTACCGATGTGAGAACTTTCTGTTTGCAGGGGATTCACCGTCTTCTCGCAAAATTGTAAACGGCATTCAAAATCAGATCGATCTTCGAACCACAGCCGTTCCTACCTTGGATTACTTTTTCCATCCTTCATTTGATGTCCCCCATTATGAGTATACCGCAACCTATGATGAAGCGAGGTTTCAGCCTTTCGTCGCAATGCACACATCTGGGACCACAGGGACACCCAAGCCAATTGTAATCCCTCAAGGTGTTATTACGGGTCTTGATGCTTCTCAAAAAGCTCCTTCACTTTATGGCATTCGCACAGGTTCTGATTACTGGCGAGGCTTACGATGCTTCTTACCATTCCCATTATTTCGTAAGTATCACCTCTTCTAATCTTCAGCTCCAAATTGGACGTTCTGATTTATGTTTACGACTGAAACATCCGACTGAAACATCCCTTCCTCCAAAGAGCTTGTATGGATATATTTCTTACGTATTACCATGAACAGATGCCGCGGGAGTGAGTAGGGTTATGACTGCTTTATTCTTTAATCAGATAGCGGTATTTCCACCTCCTGTTCCCTTAACTGCGGAAATAGCGAATGAGGTTCACATGCATGGTAACGTGCAGGCCGCGGACCTGCCTCCTTCAGTTCTAGTTGAAATCTCAAAGGTTCCTGAATATCTAGATAACCTTCGTCATCTCACCCACATCATGACAGGTGGAGGACCATTGCCCAACAGAGCTGGAGATATCATCAACTCTCATACCCGGTTATTTGTGAGTTTTGGATCGACCGAGACAGGGCATATTCAAGGTGCTGTACCACCCAAAGAGAATGTAAGCATTCGACAGCAGTATTCTCTTTTCGCGAAGGACTTTTTGTAAAAAGCTTACTCCAAATTTGATACATCGCTAACAAAGTCATATTTAATCAGTGGGATTACTTCGATTTTTCCACGGCATTTGGTGTTGAAATGCGCCATCACTCAGATGAACTCTATGAATTCGTCATCATTCGTGATCCATCAGTAGAAGCTTATCAGGGAATCTTTTATACATTTCCTAATCTTTTAGAATACAAAACTCGCGACCTTTTTTCAAAGCACCCCACAAAGAAGAATCTCTGGCGTCACGAGGGCCGTTCCGATGATATCATCGTCTATTCTACAGGAGAAAAGTTCAATCCAATCAGCATGGAAAATGCTCTGAACTCTCATCCAGAGGTCAAAAGTGCTATAGTTTCTGGTACTAAGAAATTTCAATCATCCTTGTTAATTGAGCCAGCCGATCCGAAGAAGTCTAGGGACTCACTCCTAGATGAAATATGGCCAACGATAAAAACCGCAAACAGTAATTGTCCCGCGCACGCACGAATAATGAGCAAAGATTTTGTAACGTTTACCAAGAAGGATAAACCAATTCCTCGAGCTGGGAAAGGAACAGTGCAGCGAAAGCAGGCTGAAAAGCTATACGAGACAGAACTCAATGATCTTTATGAACCGAAGAGTGCTGGGCACCACGCGAACGGAAACAACACAAATGGGAACAGCTGCGCTCCTCAGGAAGCCAGTTCCGACCTGCAGAGTACAATTCTTCAGACCGTATCAAGTTTGCCAGGGTTCGAAAATTTCTCTTCATCTGATGATTTCTTTGAGCAGGGTTTGGACTCTCTAGGTGTAATATCCTTAGCGAGAGCATTGAATTCGGCATTCGAATCCCAGAGTCCTCCACGCAAATCAATACCAGAGTCAATGATATATGCAAATCCAAGTGCAGAAAAATTAGCACGCGCCTTATCCGGTGGCGCCAAAAATGAAAATGGAAATTATGATGAAATGAAGAAAGAATACGAACGTTTCGTATTTGACCTACCTATTGTTGCTCGACCAACGATACCGATTAAGGGACCCAAGGTATTTCTATTAACTGGATCTACTGGCTCCCTAGGCTCGTACATTCTGAGTACTTTACTTGAGGAAGATAAGTCGTGCAAGATTTACTGTCTGAATAGAGGCGAGGACTCTGAGGAACGCCAGCATAGATCTAACACTTCCAAAGGTCTGTCTACAAATTTTGAACGTGTGGAATTCATCAGCATGGCAACTGGTCCCGCGGAGCCTTGGCTAGGTATGAAAATCGCACAATACAAAAAGTTACTCAATGAAGTCACGCACATCATCCACAATGCATGGCATGTTGACTTTAACGTATCGCTTAGTCAATTGAGTGCTACGCACATCCGTCGCGTTCGTCAATTAATTGATTTCTCTGCACATTCCAAATACGGTTGTTCCATCCACTTTATTTCCAGCATTAGCACAGTTGGAAACTGGGATATTAATGCTAATAAATCAAGCTCGTCGATTAAGGGTGACTATCTAGCACAATCGCACCAGAACCCGGAACAAACATCCGCGCAACCCCTTGTGCCGGAACTTCCATTCGAAGATTGGTCACTCCCTCAAGGTTTAGGGTATGGACAAGCGAAATTTATCGCGGAGAGATTATTCATCACCGCATGTCGAATTTCCCAAATCCCCATCTCCATCTACCGCGTAGGACAAATCGCCGGTCCCATTACAAAAAACAGCAAAGGAAAATGGAACGAGCAGGAATGGTTCCCACTAATTCTAAAATCCTCAAAATACATGAAAGTACTCCCATCTACACTCGGACCACTAGAAACCATCGATCCCGTCGATATTCTCGGAAATGTAATATACGAACTTGTTACAACGGCGTCTTCTAATTCCAACTCCCAATCTCAAATATCGGTCTCCAATAATTCTACGATGGCTTCTACTTCTACATCTACACTAAACCCAATAATCTACCACCTCACAAACCCCCACCGAACAACTTACTCCCGCACCATCCTCCCACATCTCAAATCCCTCTTCGAGTCCGCGCTCCCCACAATATCTTTCAGTGAATGGGTACAACATCTTCGAAATACTGCCGCCTCTACGAATAAAATTTCAGATGAAGAAATCAGAGATAATCCCGCTGTGAAGATCCTTTCATTCTATGAGGATTTGGTGCAGAGGGAAAAAGAGGGGAGAAAGCAGGTTTGGCTTGATACGAGGAGAGCGGTGGAAAAGAGTAAGACGTTGAGGGGTTTGAGGGAGGTGGATGACGTGTGGGTGAGGGGGTGGTTGTGGCAGTGGGGGTATATTTCTCAGGAGGGGGTTTTGTAATCTTATCTTGAGACTTGCTTGAGATTAGATGGTTTATTTGTGTTTGTTTGATTGATTTCAAGAAGTCGAGTTAAACAGCTTTTGATTTTAATTTTGGTTTTAGAGGTTTCGATTGAGCAGAATGAGTGTATAAAGGAGAGCATATATGTAATCTTATATGGTTCATGGTTCATGGTATGCCGGAATATTCGTTTCGTAAGACATAACCTTACCATTTTCATCCCATTACCTAAATAAGATTATTTATATGCATTTAACAAGACTCAGTTACAATCTTCCCCACATCACGCATGTACCCAGTTAAAATCATGAGAAATAAGGACTTGAAAATGTGCAATCTATTTCCATTAATCCACCATAACTCTCCACCATTATCATCATGAAAGCCCCCCCTCCCCTTTCCCAATGATGAAAATAACCACACAAAAGAAACCTATGCGCCACAAACAACATCCCTCTAATTATTGCAAAAGTAAAACTTAATTATCCCTTAGTCTCCCCCATACTCCATATCCCATATGCCAAACCCCAAACAAAGCTGGTAGCCTCATCCAAATCCAAATCCAAAACCTCACCTACGAAGCCCAGAATCAATCTCATCCACCTCCCCCCCAGCATCCGTATACGCATTCCACCCCTCACAAGTCTCCCTCACGACCTGCGGAATCATCCCCCTCTGATCCCTCCCCTCGGCCACTAAATCGGGCCTTTCAAAAATATTAACCAATAACCCCGCACTAACATGCGAACTCGTATGACAATGAAAAGGCCAAACACCAGGATTATCAGCCACGAATTCGAGGACTATGAAACTGGGATTGGAGGCTGAGCCGGAACGCATGAGTTGGGTGTCTCGACGGAGAGGGTTGCTCGGGTTCGTGATGCTGCCGTCCCAGGTTCCGCGGCCTTCGGCTAGTACGAAGAAATCGTGTCCGTGGAGGTGCATGGGGTGTGGGGTGTCCCAGAGATTGGTGATGTGCAGGCGGATGGAGGGGTGCGTGGAGAAGTTATAGATGTTCCAGTCGTGGGGGAGGGGGGAGAGTGGGGTTCCTTCGCTGGCGAGGAGGAGGAGGGGTGTACTGGGTGGGGTTAGTTTGCGTATGGGGAGATATGGTACAGTATTAAGCTTACTTGTAGTTTGCTCGGAATGTGGAGTTATTCACCGTGAAGAGCGCATTGCCGGATCCGTTTACACCAACATTGATTTCCATGTGCTGCGTGATTGATGGAGCATCGGGCGGTTTTATCGCTGTGTAAGGCGTGGTTAGATACAAAGGGTCCTGCATAAGATGTCAGCATATCCAATAATCAACATGTGAAATGATAAAGCTGACATTAGCACAATCATTACTGTCCCACGGTACACCTGTCGTTGTCGGGGCAAGTGTTGTGTTTGCGTTTTCATAATAAATTGCTGCCAGACCATGAGGATTTGTGCAGGTTAGATGCATGCATGGAACATCTAGATCGGATCGCATCCAGACAGCATCAGTCGATTCTCCTGGTGCCGTTACCACTACATCTACTCTTTGACCAATTGCAAGAGTTACCACGTCAGTAGTATAAGGAATGATTGGAACATAATCGACCGCGGTGACCTGAAGTTGATGTCCATCAATGGAGAATTTTTGCGTACCTGCGCTGCCAGCGTTGATAAGTCGGAGACGGTGCTTTTTGCCTTTCACAAATTTGAATTTTGACAACCCAGCACCTGAAGTACAGGTACCACCCATAGTGGAGTCACAGTTGTAGTTTCCCTTTCCGTTGATTAGGTTATTGTCGACGTTTGGAAAGACTGGTCCATTCGGAACTTTCTCCGCCACGCCTTCAATCATGCTACGATAGGATTCGTGAATGTAGTCAGACTGCCAGATATTAGTATTATAGCAACGGTGAGAAAAAGAATGACTAACCAACATGACTGGACCAAGGTCGATATCATGATCAACATGGTTGGGACTATAAAGAATTAGCGGGCAACTTAGACATGTGACTGGTGAGTGACAGTCTCTTACCCATAAATAACCAAGGGGCCAAACAGACCATCATTATACTGAGCACTGAAATGAGAGTGATACCAGCTGCTGCCAAAAGATTCGGCTCGAAATTCATATGTGAAACTAGTACCGGGTGCAATGGGACATTGAGTAACCGATGGTACACCATCAGCCCAAGGACTGAGTTTTTGTGGTTGACCATGCCAGTGAAGACTCAATCCTTCTTTTCCGTTGTCAGTAATATTATTTGTGACCCTGACATTGATTACATCTCCCCAATTTGCTTCGATGAGTGGTCCAGGAAATTGATCATTTATTAGGATGACACTCTTGTGATATCCATCTGGTGCTTTGATGGATCTAGATACTGTGAGATCATAGTACCGTGTCTTTCCAGTATTAGGTGGTATGTGTCCTGGTTGTGCATTTCCCCAAGGGTATGTGGAGAACGTCTTAGCGTATGTTAGCTATAAATCAGGGTGTTCGATACCAAGTGAACATACATTGTCGTCGGATAGAAATAGAGGAAGTGTTGTTGCATTCAAACATCCATATGTAGATACCCCTATGAGGACAGTCAGTATGCTTAATCCCTATAGCTTTAAACAACTCACCGTTAGTAGAATACTGAGATAGCGAAGCATGCAATGATGCTGCCCTCGTAAGCAATCCTTTCATCCATGCCATCTTGACGTTCAACGGTGCGGGTGTGCAAATGCTGTATAATTATTAGCCAGTGGCTGTTTAACAAAGGGATAGAATAGGGAGAAAGTAGAGAATTTATAAGAGAGCTGCAGTCTGCTAGCCCTATAGCTGTGACAAGATCTTTTGACGTAGATAACTCAGCTCGGCGTTGATTTGACTCTGATGGAGGGTCGAAGAAGAAATAATTTTAATGCGGCTGAGTGAGAATGGAGTCAACTTGGGCTTCGTGTTCGAGGTACCTGTAAATATATGTCTCTAAATCATAGAATTTGCACTCAAACAACGACAAACAACACTCGTACGATTGTGCGTGCAAACCAAGGTCGTTGGGAAACAATCTGCTATTCTCAAATACGACATGGTAACCTAGGCAAAAAGACGGAAAAGCGGGTAAGTCATCAAACCATGCAGCAGATCACGCAAGACTGACCAAGTCTTGAAAAACTCGGTGCATTTCTAATTTCTTCCTATTTTGATTATCTTATTGCTTTTCGTTGGCATAATCTTGTGTATCTCACAGCCCTTTGCGCAAAACATTTCCAATCGCGAGCTCAGAACAGTTTTCTGCCAATACCATATCAATATCTTGGAATATTGCAGCCTCGATGACGAGAGTATTGTCATGGAAATTTTGGTGGTGGCAGCAAACTGAGTACGTTTGCGTTTCGGGAGAAAAACGACCCAATCGCATTGTTAAGTCGGCGTTTAGCTGAATCGTTGACAGAGAAGACTTAAAACAAATCTTAGATGTGGTAAAAAATCGCCAGTCCTGCAGAGGAGGCGTTTACGACCCGTGTTCTTGGCTTTCGGGATTTGGGAATATTCCCATCAGATATGTTGCCATCGCAACTATGCGACTTCGGAAATTGTTGAGATCTTGTTTCCATTACAAGTTGCCAGGACGATCAAGAATCGACGACATAATGCATTGCTCTGGGAAGTGGCTGCAGATTTACAAATGAATATCGGTTGTTGTCCCACGTCGGCAGGGTAGGCATGTGGCCGTGTGGTCTGTAAGACTACGAGGTCAATACCGAAATGCGGAGGATTATTGGCGTGCGGCTGGCCACCATCAGCTGATACCAATGTTCTTATCTTTTTGGTGTTTCCATTTGCATGATGTGGCACTCACAAACAAGTCTCTTTCGATGTGGGGCTAAGCACAAAATACACAATTTTAGTTGGAATTCGCCTGCTCGACTGGCGCCCTACATGCAAAGCCTCCCTCATCCTTGCGCAGATCATCGTGCGACAGAAATAGATATGTATTACTCAGCTGGATATAATAAATAAATATTCTCTGCTTCAGAATTCTCAATATTAGAAGACCAATTGTATCATTAAATCCCTCGGATTCTAAGTCACAAGTGTAATGCAAATAATCACATGAGCATTGATCTCTCATGCACCAATAGTATTACTAGTAAGTCTTAGCACAGATAAACATGTATCGATCCGTGGAAGGAGTTTATTTCAAGCCAATACTGTACGTTTCACCTCCCTCACGCCTACATTATCAATAGAAATGAAAGACAATGTCTCATTCGCAAGCCGCAGACCTCACTCCACGTGGCTCTTGACCAATATTTCGCAAGAATAGCACATGACCACTAAGTGTCTTGCCACAAGTCATCAAATAATGTCCAGCTCTCATGAAATTTCAATGAAGAGTCCATCATTTTTTAGTTCGCAACTATAAGATCCAGCGTAAGATCTTGGGGACGCGCGGGGATGCGTCAAAAGTTTTATGACAAGTCGACTTCTAAATTCTCTCAGTAATGTGTGAGAAGTTCTTCCTCAAATCTATATGAAAAATAGTTTATGTGCTAGACGTCAAGTTTGGTATGAAGTTCCTCGCGAAGGCATCTGATTTCTCTAAAATGGAGAGTGGGTATGCCAGATTAAACCATCAGGCTTCATACCAAAAGTAGTCTGAGTGCAATAGCATCAACTCGAAAAATGATTTCTCTTACTTGTTTGCACATTTCACCATCCAAGAGATTAGATCCAGAGAGAATTCTCATCTTGTATTTCCTTTTCGGGTTTTTCTGCTCATAGGAACAAAAACTTCAAAGCTCCTTTCCTCCTACCTCGTCATCCCAAACTATGCCCAAACCAGATTTTATGATTTAAACCCTTTACTTCCCAAGTATCTGCAGTATGGTTTGCCCATCTACCCACCGAATCTTGTTCATTGCACCTAAGTATTATGCGTCGCTGCATTTCCCATTGCGTTCATTTATCATGATCATACACATTCTCCAAAACTGAACAGAATCATGACGCACCAATCCTTAATCGACGCCCAAAACTCCAAAAGGTTCCTTCCGAATCAGAGTCCCCAGCTTCCCACTCAAAATTGTAGTGAATCCCCAAGCCCAGCCCATCAAACACCCGCAACCATAAGAGCTACTGTTCCACCCCATTTCACCAAACCATTCGTCGATGCCAAACACGAATATATTTATACAAGAAGACTCCCGTAACCCTTCTCATTAATCGACAATCATCCACCAGATAGTTCCAATGAAAGCAAGCAACACTACAGTAGTAAGAATTCCCGCCCCGACCTTATCACCCGTAGTAACTGGCTTCGTTGATGAAAAACTACTTGAGCTCTTCCCCGACCCAGCGGTCGGATCCCCTTTACTCGTTCCGCCGGTTGTATTAGTTACTGGTCCTGCAACCTGCTCAATGAGATTACTCTGAATAACCTCTAAAGCCGACATCTGTTCTCCTACACCATAAAAACCATCGAATCCGCCGGTTCTCCAATTGAGACCACAAGTACGTCCGTTATCCCCTCCAACACATGATGCGGCAGCCGCTGCAGCTGATGGACGTAAGTAGGCCATAACGGCATCGTAGGTAAAGGGAGCCATTTTTGTTGTGGCAGCTAGCCAGCGAGCGAGGTATGCCTTGAAAGATTGTTGATCAATATTGCATTTCCCATTATTTTCACAAGCTACCTCCATCATGATGTTATTCTGGAAGAACACATGGGTGCCATTCAGTAAGCCCTCAACACGTCCACGCCAGAGATCGCTTCCGTTGGTGTAGTTATACATGTTTGCTGCACCGAGCAGAAAAGCTCCGGCATTATAAGTCCATTGTATATGATTAAGCCTTGTACAGTTTATCGTGTCATCAGAGCCATCGTAAACATAGTAGCTTTCATCCATTAGTCCCACATTTTCCATCCAGTCCCAAGTTCTTTCTGCCCACTGCGCATATGTATCATTGCCGGTATATTTTGCAAGTCGTGCACCCAAATTGAAAAAGCAGCCATTGGAGATGGAATTTTTGTAATTATAACCATTGTTGAACGTAAAGATTTGCCATCGTAAGCCACCGCCACAGGTACTATCGTCCCATCGAGGGGCTTGAGTATTGAAAACCGCCTGCGCAAGAGCGAGCCATTGAGGTTTATTTGAAGGAGGGTTTGGAAAGTTCACTTCCGCAGCAGACATGGCCGCCAGTCCCCAGAATCCCTGGTCGTCATTTCCCTCGGTTTTTGTTTGATTCGGGGTCATATAATCATTGTCGGGTCCCGTCTGCCACAGCATGGCTTCAGTGATAACATCATTATATGATGAATCACCCGTATAATACCAATAGTCGATCAGCGAGCCAAACATTGCTCCTGCTTCCCACCAGTAATACGGAGCTGGTAAATTTCCAGGTATGCCACCCGTCTTATTTCCTGTGTAATAGGTCATCATGTCGTACGCGATGGTACTCGCCGCGCTCTTGATAGAGTCTGGATGCACGGTCAGTAAAGAAAATATGACGGCATAGGAGCAAGATACATACCCGGAGAAGTAAGATCTATTTCTATTGCATTTACTACATGACTTCCAGCTATTAAAGCTGTAGCAAAAGCCGATGAAGACTTCGAGAGCTTCATGATTTAGTATGATATTTGTTTGTGCAATTTTGTGTAATGTATAGGTATTAATAGGTATTGAGGCTGGAAATGCGCCGAGGTCAATGACGTCGAGACACCGGGGGGTGAATCTGGTGGAGTACGCAGAAATAAAGAATAGTTTGAAGAATCTCCGATGGGATTATGTCCTGGTAATCGATCAAAATGCGATAGGAGAAACGATGGAATTATTCCACTTTGGTCAGTTTTCCAAGAACCAAGATCAACAATGAACGGTTGAACGATTGAAATGATTTTCGAGGCAGCAAAAGTCCAAAAACTTAAGCCAACGAGCGATTTGATTGTAGCAAAGTAACAACCATCACCATATTAAGATGGGTATTATGGAATAAAATGTTGTTTTGTTGAGGTTGTCGAGAAGGATGGAAAAAATCATCAAGGGAGGAGGTTCTTGAAAATATTGGAAATATTGGAAGCTAGCAGTATGATGACTCTGTGTGTGGAATTCTCTCGTATTAATGGAAAGCACAGATGTGGAGGTAAAGTTGATCTCGCGGGGAATGAAGTTGATAACCTTAAGGTAAGGATGTGAGGCGAAGCAAGTCTTGGAACTCAATTCCAAGAATGTAATCTAATAAAAGAAGAACGAACTTTCGTCGGTATTTAGTTGAGCAGAATAGAGGAGAGGAGAGTAGGGTAAAGCACATTACGGTACAGTAAGTAGTTCACTTGAGCAATAGGGTAAATAAAGTAAATGTGAAGGGCTCGTGTATTCCATGATCTTGAAAGAAACATTGAAAGCTTCCAAGAGCAGAGGAGAAAAGAAAAGAATGATTGAAAGCGATGAAAGCGATGAAAGCGATGAAAGGAATTGAATTCAAGCCTCGTATTCGATTCCCCGGTAAACAAAAAGGCATAGAAGGCATTTACGAGTTTGTACAGGTATCCGGTATTGACCTTGTAGTATCTAAATGTCGGTAGAACGCTACAAGGTAGATCGCTCATTCAGCGCTGTCCAAATGATTATTGAATGTCTTGGTCCTCTCTTAACTACCTAGGTACTATAGTTCATCAACTCAGCCTGATAATACTCACCCGTTTGGTTACAGCCATGGGGGACGACACATGCAGGTGGATTTAGCATAATGTCTAGGCCAACAGTAGGTAGCTGACTTGGCAAGGAGTGATGTGATGATTCGTTGTATCTCGGCGAGCTTATGGTGAATCGTGATGTGGCCGGCGCATTATCTTGTCCTTGGACTGAAATTGCTAACTTTTAAACTTTTGCTCTAGAAGGTAGGTTGGAATAAAGTTTTGGTCGGGTTCGTTTCGCTCTTTCTTCCTGGAAAGTTCGGTGGAGAAGGCACAAAATGGGACGGGAGAACTCCTCGGTGCTGTGTGCGGTTATTGGTCGCTGCGTTTTTGTATCGTGATCATGTGATCGATGCGCACATGAGCGACAGTGGGGTGAGATGGCTCGGGCTTTTGAGGCCTGTTTTGTTGTGCTCTGCTGCTGCGGAACATTTTCTATATCCTCATGCTTTATTTCATCGATATGTGGCGCGTTTTGTCAAAATCAAAGAGTTAAGTATAGAAGTAGGAGAAGCCAGGCAGTATAATATTGACAAGACGCAGCTGTCAGTTTACGTAAACAGAAGATAGTAGAACAAGGTAAGGAAGGGTAGATAATTATATCCTTTCCTTGATTAATCAAACACGTTGAACAGCACATTGAAGATTGCTGTGTTTCGAGGCACAGTGCTCTTCAAAACGGGAAGTAAAGTAGATTCCCTACCGTGGAAGACCTACCGGTAGTCCGAGCATGCGGAGAATGGTATGCATTCCGTTTCAAGGCGAAGAACGAACGATGTGAAGATAGACTCAAGAAATATTGACGGAATCCTATGAGATCTCCCCTTTCCTCGTATCGACAATTTCAACCGTAGTCGGGTCCTTCATCCTTTATAACACCCTGACCTCTACCTTAATTTGCACGATTACTCCTCAAACTCTGGGTGGTAAACTTCAAATAGGAACTTCAGCCGCTCCTCTCGTAACTATGAGTACCTGGGCAATATCTTCAAATAGAAACGGGATTTCATTCTCCTCCTTCTCATCCTGTGGTATGGGCACATTGGCACGGATCACATAATTAACAGCCTCACTGGTGTTGAAGGATTTTGCAACTTCCTCATGCAAGGCACACGGATTCAATCGTCTATCCCACTGTCGCGCGTTTAGAGGGAGGAGGGAGAAGGGGAAGGGGAAGAGGAAGGAGAGATAAGATCTGAACGAGGACAGATTAAGGATAAGGTCAAGGATTAGAAATAGATTCCTTAAATTTGATTGGAAGATATATTGGTCATTAATTATTGAAAATTACCTAGGTAATCAATCACCCTTGGATTTAGCCCAACTCTTATCCAATGATAACCTTCTGTCACTTCTATTTTTAAATATAGTAACAAAATATCACACTTGGAATCCACCACACTCCACACTCCAACAACCACAACAGCAACACCAGCAACAACAGCAACATCATCTTTTCTGCATCGTCAACATGATTACTGTGATTACCTACTGCAAATAATACGCACCATCAGCGGGGAGTATTTAATTTCATCCACAGCCCTATCTATATGGATCTTTATCTTTTTTATCCTTACCGCTGTTATCTTTAACCGTTACCGCTCTTATCCCTTGTCGCTGCAAATTTATACATGTTGTTGATTTCTCATCAAGGAGCCGGATCTCCTAACGCTGACCTCGAACTCTTACTCTCTCTCCTTTGAACCTTCTGCGCGTCTAAAAGCTTTGGCACTCTTCAGTCTTGCTCTCTGATTTTCTTTCTCTATCGTTCTAGCCTTTTTCCTCAGGCTAGAATACCATTTCATAATTTCACATTTTCACCTTCTCTTACTGGGCTTTTCGTGTTTTCATACTTAGAATCTCATCATTGCCATATTCTCAAGATGGCAATGACCTTTTCTTCAGAGTTTACATTGGCAGGATCAACTGCAACTTCTAAAAAGACACGTGCTTGTAGGCAGAAGTCAAAGACAGGGTGTACCACTTGCAAGTGAGTAAAAGTGGTGAATAAGACATCAACTGGTCAACTTGATCACTTGGGTGTCTTATAGTATGAAGTTTGTGGTTTCTTTCATCATACTAGATTTCATATGTTGAAAGTTAACCACATGGAAATTTGTTAACACATATTCTACTTTTAGAATACGGCGGGTCAAATGTGATGAGACCAAACCATCATGCATGCGATGCAAAAATTTCGGAAGGAAATGTGATGGATATGAGTATAACCCTAAGGTATGCCTTGATATGGTCTTAATTATGACTTTGCTAATACCCATCATAGGATAAGCCGGCCTGGTTGATGGGCCCAACTATATCTACTGGGATATCTCAAGAGGTTATAGAAACTCCATCGGTTGCAATACCCCCTACCATTTCCGTAATAGACTTTGGAAATGAGCAAGAGGCTCAGTATTTTGATTTTTTCTGTAAAGAAACGGTGTTTGAGCTTGCTGGAGGTTCAGAAAAGAAACTATTCAACGTCATCATCCTTCAGGCTTGTCATACCGACACGTCCGTCCGACATGCTGTTACCGCAATTGCTGCCCTGAGCAAAGCTATGAAAGCCTCGAAATATCTCGATCAGAGCGAAGGCGAAGCCGGGTTTCAGAGAATTTGTGAGTCTTAAATATTAATTGATAATCTGGTGCTAATCAGGTCATGCTACAGCCGATCAAGTAGAAATGCACCATCGATATGCTCTAAAGCAGTACGGAAAATCGCTTCGGTATCTTCGTAATCTCGTCCAGACAAGTCAAAATTTCTTGCGCATTCCTTTACTTGTTTCTCTTATTATTTTCTGCTTTGAAAATTTTCGTAAGCTTTATTTTTCTTAAATATATCTCCTAGGAGGTAATCACTGACTCTTCAATCTTATAGATGGCAATACTCAGTTGGCAGATAAGCACATTTACAGTGCACTGAAAATGATGCATCATCATGAAGCATTTTCAAGTCATCCTTGTCACAATCTCTTGTTAAGTTCTCCTGCGCCGGATCTGGTAGAAAATGAGATTGTCACCGCGTATCTCCACCTTGCCTTGGCGATTGTGACAAGACCAGATGATCCGGATTCATTGAGCCGCAAAGTTCTTGACCTTATCTCCGTCGATATACCACCGCCCAACATTCCCCAGCAACTTTGCAATCTTGAAGAGGCCGAAATTCACTTAGAACATGTGCTATATCACTCTCTCCCGAGTATACCTAGAGCAGACCTTGAAAAACGCTTGGCATCACCAGCTCTATCCCCTAAAGGTTTGGCAACCAGCTTCTCAAAACTTCAAAGGCTTCATCTGGAAGCATCATCTCCAATTCTTACTGGTTTCGAATTTCCTATGTTCAGTTCCATTTTTCAGGATTGGCAGAGAGCATTCCAGCCAATCATTTCTTATGCACAATCTCGTCTGGGCAATGCACATTATGTTGCTGCAACCACTCTTCACATCAAGGCTCTTGGCATAGAGCTTATGGGCCAAGGTGTCTTTCTTGACTACCGAATTTCTGATCACTTCCTTCCCATCTTTCGTCAAATCATTTCTCTCAGTCAAAAGCTTGTTTCTGATCCTCGGTTCTTGAAGACGTTTGTCTTTGATGCGGGGATCATTCCTTCTCTTTTCGTTGTTATATACGCATGTCCCGATCAAAACATAAGAAAAGACGCGGTAATGATCTTGAAGGAAGCAGCTCCTAGGCGTGAAGGTACTTGGGATGCTCTGAAAATTGCTACCATTGGACAAATGCTCCTGGAATCCGAGGAAGTTGGACCCATCATTACGAAATTGACCTTTTCACCATTGGACGATATCAATGTGATGTTGCCGACATCATATGATGAGATTGAAACACCAATAATTCAATCTCCTAGACCAAGGCGAAGATCTTTACTTGTTTCTCCGCCTTTATGGCAACGTGGTCCAGAACGAGGTTTTGGCATCGACATTTCTTAATAGATTCTTCTAAGCATACTTGAAAGTTCACATCGATCTGTTCATACCCACCTTTTTATCACTATCTTCGTGATCATGACAACAACATTCACTAGGACCTTGACTTGAACACTATAGATTATGCAAGAAATATTTCGGCGATTTATCTGTCTGATGGCCTTCATGGAGTTCTCTTCTCGATGTGCTAGTTTGACAGATAGATGTGGCTTATCAGAATGTACGCTCATCCAACCATCTTACATCACAATTCATCTGTATCTAACTATCCACAGATTTTTGAATCCTCATTTCGTTTCCCTTGATACAAAAACCCAACAAGAAGCTAATACGCAATACGACCTCACTACCTTATCAATGCCGATTCGTTGGGTTTCAATTCAACTTCTGCATTTATAAATCTATTTATAAATTTACTTCATTCATTCATTATTCCTCCTTTTTTCCTTTCAATTTATCACGATAAACGATGACATTTCCTCTTTGTTCTTGAGTCCTCATGCTTACGATTTTCATTTCCTCACGACGATATTTCTTTGTATTTTTATACTATTTGGTTCTCTTTTTTAGCATATTACATGGCATAGCTCCTGGAGGCAAGAATGCATTCGGGGCCGATTTGGTGTTACCGGGTTTTGAGCATGAGATTGGGGGATAAAAGTTGAATTGCATCGCTTTTTTATCTTTCATGGAATCATGGTACGGAAATGTGGATAGCGATATTAGGTATGGAGTTGAGGAAGGAAGGCGGGGTTGTTAATGGATCTGGAGGTCTAGTTTTTGTAGATTGTTGGAATTTTGGTAGTCTTCTTTTATTTTTCGATGTGTTTTATGAGTAGATGATTGTAAGATCTTAGATGTCTCGACTTTACGAATAAATTTCGATTGATGTTTATATTACTACATCTGTTCTCATTTACTTATGAAATGAATTGAAAAATAAAAAGACATTGTAATCTTTCTTATATTCAAGTCTTTTAATACTTTATCTATCTACACTCGTTATTGCTCATTAAGAAGGAATATATAGATTTTGGTTTTAGATCTAGCTGGATCTTGAGGATATCTCTATTCGTGTATGTAATATATATATTCCCGTGTGGAGCATCAATATATGATACAGCCCGCAAAATGAAGCGTGTATTGTGATGGATTTTGAATAATCCGGGGAAGAAGGTTCTTATCTATTATATAACTCGGCCCCAGGAATAATGTAGTTGTTAACCACTGTGTAAAACCAATGCATAATATATCCTCGACGCCCAAAATATAAATGATTCGCATTGACCAAATCGACAAGACAGCATTGACATAGCACCATCACATTACGAAATTGATATTTCGTTCCGCATTTGTTTCTTTGAGGTTTCGCCACTGTGACACAGCCATCTTTTTTTGACTTTTTTTAAGCAGCCGATGTCACAACGACAAGGGTTTTTCCATAGAGTATCACGTGGAAGATAAGCAGGCGCATGGTGATTTTGATGGAGGGCGGGCAGAATTGATTGCGTAGACAAGTTGGCAGGCAACTGGAATTAGAATGGATTCCGACGAAGCCGTTCGTATTTCAGGTCCAAGATAAATAAATAAATTATATACTAGATACCTACCCATTCCCATTCACTCTGATACCGCAAAGTGCTTCATTGTTTTTATCGTTTCAATTTCTTTTCGATGCTCAACTGAATTAAGTTTTGGAGCTATTTACTACCTACTATTGATTCACTCCTCAAAGAAGGCAACTTAGAGTATTAACCTTGAAAAGCCCCCTGGTAGATACCAATCACGTTTGGACTGCACTTATTGTTTCGCTTCTAAACGTGCTCCAGAACCCCATTCAAAGCATTTCATTACATCTTCCTTATCTCCAACAACAACCACAACAACTACTACTACTACTACTTCCTACCTACACAACTCAAATATTCACGACGCAAACTCTTGCAGAGCTATTTATCATTCAGAGAGGAATCAAAAGCAAAATTAACGACTAAATCTTCACGAACAAATCAATCCTCATACCTACACAAACGACACAATGGCCGACCACAGAGAACCTCAATATGACCCTTATATCCCAAGCGGAGGAGCTGCTGGTGCAGGTACCCAACAAGCAGGAGGTAATCAAAGGACGGCGGCATTACAGGCGGTAAGTTACATATGATATTCCAAAGTGTAGAGGAGTTGTCTGTCGATGGAGAAGAGTTTGGGAGCTTGATGGAGACTTTTGTCTTTCTGTCATCATTATGCATACGATGATTTTGCGACCGACCTTGCGATAACGATTCAACAAACGATGGGAATAAATATTGCGCTCAATAGCCACGATTCCAATACACAATTTCGACATGCGGAAAGGATAAAAGGGCGTGTCGATTGTGTTGGTAATCGATCAATTATATTATGTTGGTCTCGTCGTGAATGTGTTTTAGCCGCCGCCAACACGAGTGCCGACATAAATTTTACTTTTCTGATGTATACTCGGAAGACAGCGTCACAAATAGTTGCGACCATATCTATGCAACGATCTTCGAGAATGATGTTCAGACTGCAAAACTTGTCCAAATCCTAAAGTGCTCCAAACTCAACAGACAGCATTGGCAACTCGCGGGTAACTCGGTTCATGTTGCAGAGCCTTGACTAACTATTGTTTCCTCCCTAGACTATCGATGATACTGTTGGTGTAATGCGCGAGAATATCAACAAGGTCTCAGAACGTGGTGCCCATTTAGATTCCCTTCAAGATAAAACCGACAGTCTCGCAGTTTCAGCACAAGGTTTCCGTCGTGGAGCCAACAGAGTCCGCAAACAGATGTGGTGGAAGGTAAAGAGCTATATTCGGTGGCAATCAAGAAGTTTGTGCTAATGTTCGCTTACAGGATATGAAGATGAGGATGTGCTTGATTATAGGCATCATCGTCTTGATCATTATCATTGTAGTTCCTGCTGGTAAGCTCCTTTAACTTGATTTGGAGTTTCACAACTAATGCAATTCTAGTCGTTGCTACAAAGCATTAAGTACAAACTGGGAATGGGAACGTGACGTGAATGATGGAATGCTTGGGTACAGAGATTATGAGAGAAAAGATACATGAACGCTTGTACGGAATTTCATGGCACGAAACGCTGGACACGAAATCTTCTTGAGCTTTTGCATGAGAAACTCGCAAAGCTGGGAGAGCAACGAAAGGGTTTTTAGCGATTCAGGAGTTGACATTTTGAGATTTTTTTTACATGATCGGTCCTTTGTTTTTTTTTTCGTTTCTATGAAAGGCGTCACTTTGATATCGTTTGACCTGATGAATCTTTAATCCTTTTTTTATGATCTTACTTTGATTTGACTCTGGTCAACGATCTTCAAATAGATTACAAAAATGGATGGATGGATGGATGGATGGTTGTTCAGCTCGAATTGGAATTTGTATCTTGTAGGATTTGGTGGATGGTAATTGAATGAATGAATGGATGGGTGGATGAATGGAGAGATTTATGACCTTTTATACCTATGACGTATGGAATGAATGGGTTCTTTGGAGTGCTTGTGAGGCGTCAGATGTGAGATTGGGATGTGAGAGTGATATGATTGTGAAAGTGATATGATTGTGTTGTTTTTGGTATAGTTAGATGGGGGTAAGTGATGATGATGGATGGTAGATGATGGATGGTAGATGGTGGATGATGGAAGATAGGTGGTGGATGATGGGTGCTATGTTTGATTGATATAATCATTCTTCCTCTTTGGCAGACAGATAGACAAGTTAAGTCATGTTATGTTATGTTATGGGTGCTGGATACTAGAAATAAGACTTCAGATCTCAAGATCTTACATTTGATATGTACTCTCTATTTGCAATGAATAGAGATAGATAATGGAATGGACTCTAAAAGTACGCAGTATAAGTTAGTTACGAAATGATTACGTTGGAGCTTCTGTAGCGTAGCTGAGTCTGGTCTTTGGTCGGAGCTAGGGGGGGTAGATCGAGTAGACTAGGACTGCTTGCTAATGGATTGGATTGAGTGAGATCAGAGCGGACGGATCTGATAAGATTGTGGTGTGTGTGGTGGTGAGGTGAGGTGAAGTGGATGATGATGGGGATTCTGGGGGGCTGGTGGGTGGAGGATAGTGGAGGGGTGGGTGTGCTTTGCGATGTTGGAGAGAACACGAGAATTGTGTTTTGAACTTTTAATGTAGGTAATTATGAAGTGAGTGAGTAGATGCTGTGGTTTTTATTTGGCGGGATTTTATATTCTTGTACTTATGTTAGGTATTCTTTGATAATGTCGATTTTGTTAGATACTCTACTCTACAGTACCACTACCATGGTGGTACTAGGTTTAACTGCATCATGAAGACTTTCCCTTCATCCCACTCACCTTTTAGCCATACCATCCGTGCTTTGAGTGAAGTGTTGAAAGGTAAGAAAAGTTTGACAAGATAAAATCGAAGAAAACTTTCTCTACATGTGGGGTAATCCTCTATGCCAAGATCTTACATCCAATCAATCAATCATCGCAATTGGGACAATCCATCCATTTCAACCAATCGCAGAACATCGGCGCCTCTCCACATGAACTTTGCAAGGGCACAAGGGCAATGAATTGAATTTATTATCAGAGCATTTTTGAACTATGACTGTCACTTTGATAGCTGACTGTTATTTACTTACAATTTATTGAAATTGTGAAGAAAGTTGAGGAAAGGTATGATATACAACTTCAATTTCCTTAGTATTTTGTCATTCTCTTTCACTGATTCTTGTATGAAGCAAGAGGATTGAGATAATTAAAGAAACTGAACCACTCACAAAATTATATACATCTAGTCTGCGTTATTTTCACTTCATATCACCCTCTTCAACCAACATCTTCAAATCCCCGCCTTGCATGAGATAACTCTCGGATCAAACGTCTGTTTGGCACTGAATTGGATCGGATTCCTCTTTCATAAGCTCTGCAAAAGGAGCTATAAGAAGGAAGAGTTTTAGTTCCTCAACAAAATTTACATCGAATATTCTCTCCCCTCTAAATCGATTTTACCCCCACCATCATGTTGGCACTCCGATCTAGAGCAGCTGTTGTTGCTAGAAGAGCACGCACTGCTACTAGCAAATTCCCTTCCTCTTCGACCGTGAGATCTCTTCCACAAGCTACCACCGCCGTAGCTCTTTCGTCCAGACGACAATACTCGGCGCCCGCTACAGATAGCTTTTCAACTCGTTCGACTGTGGTTCAACTCCTCAGTAACATTGGTTCCAAGCGCGAAGTTCAGCAATACCTCTCACATTTCAGTTCCGTGTCCTCGCAACAATTCGCTGTTATCAAGGTTGGTGGTGCGATCATCACTGAACATCTCGAATCTCTTACGTCAGCCCTTGCATTCCTCAACCATGTGGGTTTATTCCCCGTTGTTGTTCATGGCGCCGGACCACAATTGAATAAGTTATTGGAGGATGCAGGTGTGGAGCCACAATTCGAAGAGGGAATTCGTGTTACAGATGGAAAGACATTGGCGGTTGCGCGAAAACTGTTTTTGGAGGAGAACTTGAAGTTGGTAGAGAAGTTGGAGGAAATGGGAGTTAGAGCCAGACCAATTACTTCTGGTGTTTTCGGTGCAGATTATTTGGACAAGGAGAAGTACAATTTGGTTGGGAAAATCAACAAGGTCAACAAAGGTCCAATTGAAGCTGCTATCAATGCGGGATGCTTGCCAATCTTGACTTCTATGGCTGAGACTCCTGAGGGTCAAGTCTTGAATGTCAATGCTGATGTTGCTGCTGGAGAACTTGCCAGGGAATTACAACCATTGAAGATTGTTTACTTGTCAGAGAAGGGAGGACTCTTCAATGCGGATACTAATGAGAAGATATCGGCCATCAACCTCGATGAGGAATATGATTCTTTGATGTCACAATGGTGGTGTAGATATGGTACAAGATTAAAGATCAAGGAGACCAAACAATTGCTTGATCTTCTCCCAAGATCTTCTAGCGTTGCTATTATTCACCCAGCAGATCTTCAAAAAGAATTGTTCACGGATACCGGAGCAGGAACTTTAATTAGAAGAGGAAACAAGTTAACGACCGCCAGCTCCCTTTCCGATTTTGAGGATATTCCGAAATTAAAGGATGTTCTCGTACGGGATCGTGAGGGCCTGGATGCACGAGCTACTGTTGACAGATATGTTGATGGTCTCAAGAACAAGGAATTCAAAGCTTATTTCGACGAGCCTATGGATGCCCTCGCAATTGTTCTCCCACCAAAGTCACCAAGTTCCCTTTCCAATTTGGCCACTTTTACTATTACCAAGGCCGGATGGTTGACCAATGTTGCTGATAATGTCTTTGCTGCTATCAAGAAGGATCATTCGAAATTGGTCTGGACTGTTAAGGAAGACGATGAGAATTTGACTTGGTTCTTTGATAAGGCTGATGGAAGTTTGTCTAAGGATGGAGAGGTTATGTTCTGGTACGGAATTACGGATGGTAATGAAGTCAAGGACCTCATGACTGAATTCGTCACTCATGGTAGATCTATGCTTGGTGATGCAAACCTAGAAGCACGACTTCACCGTGCGGCTAGAGCAGCTACTGGAATGAGTGCTGCAATGACCGGTCAAGGTGGCATTAAGCAACAAGCTAGAGCTTTCTCTACTTCTGCTCGTAGACCTGCTGTCAGATCTTCCCGGGCTTCGCGCTTCACAACTTCAGGCCGAGGATATGCTACAACAACCAATCCTAACCCTCCTTTTGGCAAACAAAACTCATCCAATACTCAACCAGCTAAGGTTGCTTTGATCGGTGCTAGAGGTTATACTGGACAAGCTTTGATAAGTCTCCTTAATGCTCACCCAAATATGGATCTCAGACACGTCTCATCAAGAGAACTTGCAGGTCAAAAATTGAAGGGTTATGAAAAGAGAGATATCACATATGAGAACCTTTCTCCAGAAGACGTTCGCAGAATGGAAGAAAAGGGAGAGATTGACTGTTGGGTTATGGCACTACCAAATGGTGTCTGCAAACCTTTCGTTGATGCTGTCAACGAGGGTAAGGGTCCTCAAAATAGTGTCATTGTTGACCTGTCTGCCGATTACCGATTTGATAGCAAATGGACATATGGTCTTCCGGAATTAGTCAGCAGATCCGATATCGCAAAGGCCACTCGAATTTCCAACCCAGGTTGCTATGCTACAGCAGCTCAACTTGGAATCGCTCCATTAGTACCTTTCCTTGGTGGCCAACCAACCGTCTTCGGTGTATCAGGTTATTCTGGAGCCGGTACCAAGCCATCCCCAAAGAATGATGTCGAAAACCTTACTGGTAACATCATTCCTTATTCTCTCACAGACCACATCCACGAACGTGAAATTAGCACCCAGTTAGGTGTTGAAGTTGCCTTTATTCCTCATGTAGCAGTCTGGTTCCAAGGTATCCATCACTCAATTTCTATTCCTTTGAAGGAGAAAATGACTAGTAGAGATATTAGAAATCTTTATCAAGAACGATATGCGGGAGAGAAATTGGTCAAGATTACAGGTGAAGCGCCAAGTGTTAAGAATATCAGTGGGAAGCATGGAGTAGAAATTGGTGGTTTTGGAGTACATAGCAGTGGCAAGAGAGTGGTTGTTTGTGCTACGATTGATAATTTATTAAAGGGAGCTGCGACACAATGTTTGCGTAAGTTTTATCTTTTCATTCATGCTTTGATTTGAGATGGAAGAATTGAAAGCTAACGCATGACCATAGAAAACATGAACCTCGCATTAGGATTCGCGGAATATGAAGGCATCCCACTTGAATAAACGCAAAAGCCCAAGTCCCTTGAGCAAATGCATACAGGTAGTTTGAATTCCGTGTGTTTTTGCGCCCGAAGATAAAAAGTTGAAGGAGGAAAGGAAGCGAAGAAGGGTTAAAGGGAGAAAGGGGCATTTTGATATCAAATCTGTGGAGGGTGGAAGTAAAAAAGGGAGTATGAATGGATGCGTTGTATATAGGAGGATTAGGCGAGGATGGCTGAAAGAGCCAATGATTAAGGGTAGGGAAGAGGAGTGGTAGGCTAGATATTTTTGCTAGGAGGATGAATAGCTTGTATGGTATTGTCGTGAGGGAGAAAGGGAGTGAGGGAGGTAGGAGAGAAGTAGTAATGAAGCTAGTTATAAATACCATTGATTGTCTGCTGTTTAGTTGATATTCATTCATCCGTTCATTCATTCATTCATTCGTGTCATCAATATCTTTGAACCTTCCCCCTTAATTACATTACGCTTCTATTAGGTGAGATGAGATGCGAAACGGGAATCCTTGTGATAGATTGATACATGGTCTAGAAAGGAAAATTCTAATAAGATCCCCAGTTGGTGTTGCGGGGGTTCGTGTCGATTGAAGCGGAAGTAAACGCTTAAAATAATTATATAATATATGTGCGTGGATAGAAATTACCTTACTAATTAACCCAAGATGCAAATATCTCAAGAACATATATATATGTAAGACTTATAAGGGTCAAGTCAAGACCAAAGGAACACTTTATTCATATGATTCAAACCAAGTAATTCTCTAACTCTAACTGTAACTCTACCTTTAATCTCGGTTTCGGTTTCAGTTTCAGTTTACTCGAGTATATTATATTATATTAGATTAGATTAGATTTAGATTACATTCATAACGTCTCTTCATCTAATTACGATCGAGTGAGTCATTTTTGAAAAAGATCATATAAGATCTTACGAGAACCTTGAATAACTTTTCGAATTCCTATCTAGGTATACTATGTTTACTTTCTCATTCTATCTATCTAATTATTCATCTAATGCTGCAGATGCTGCTGCTGCTGTGGTATAACCTTAAGGTCCTCGACGCTATTACAAGAATTTGTAAAAATCCCCATGTCTATTTCTCCTGACCAATTGTCATACCTACAAAATTTGAGAAATTCATCGCTTTCTTCCTTTCCAGTCATGCTAATACGTAGCTCGTTGTCTAAGCTATTACCAGACTTCGGACCTGTACTTTGAAATTCCTCGCTCTTCAACTAGCTACTAGGTACTTTACAGATAAGCTATCCCTCGAGAAGACCAGCCGCTGGTTTACAACCTCACGAATCCTCCACAGACTCTAACTCATTCCAATCCCAAGAGCAAACTCGAGCTCCTAACATGCATAAGAGATTTCGAAGACTGAGGAGCCAAAGTGAGCGATGACGAGACCGGACCCCGCCGCATATCCTCCGCCGAATTAACAATAAACTCCATAACCCTACCACCAAACTCATAAACAAGCTCTCCATCCTTCTTCCGCTTGTATAACATACATTTCTCATCTTCCCAATAAATAACCTTGAACGGATATTCCAACGCATCGTAATCATTATCCGACCATCTACTATCACGAAAATCTTTCCAGGTCTGCTCGTCAAATTGTGATTGTTGTGTTAGATGAACCAAATCCCATAACTGCGGTACCATGGCTATATCATCCAAAGTATCGATTTGATCAAGTGTTCCATGTAAGTATAAGCGCATTGAAGCCCATGGTGCTCCAGAATGATATCGCGCTGCGGCTAAAACATCAAATAATTCGTTCCTAGAAATTGAACTCAGATTTTCCGGCGCAAATCCATCGTGGACCCGGATTTCGATTTTGAGATTCATCTTGACAATATTCTTCGGCATTTGCGATCGACAGAAACTATACCAAGCTTGTTCCCTCGTCATATACTTAATACCTGTCGTATCCCCGGAACGAGTACCAGACTTGGCACATCGATTTCTAAATGTGACGTGAGAACCAGAAACGGTTTTATGTTTGAATACTTTATTCCAGCGATGATCAATCTTTAACACGAATGCAGTCTGTGAGGGCTTGAAATAACCATATGGGAATGCATTGATGAGATCTGGTCTTTTTTTTGCCCATGCTTTTACTTCTTCGCGGAGACTTTTGGTGGTGAGTCGAAGGGCGTGGAAGCTGTCGATTGTTGAGGGACCGATTTCTATTTCTGTTGTTTGGGCTATGAGTTCGTCGAATATAGTCCAGCGTAATTCTCGGGGTATTCTTAAGAGGGGTGGTATTCTTGCGGAATGGTCCTTGTAGTCAGAGGAGAGAGGATGAGGATGTTTGGTTGTTTGTTTATGGGGTGATGTGAATTCGAATTTTTGCTGGGGGATTGACTCGTCGTCGGTTTCTTCGTCAATGTGCTCAACCTCAAGGACTGAGAATCTGGATGTAAAATTTAGAATTGAGGATTTAGAATTTGTGAAGGGATTTTGTCAACACCAGAAGGTACTCCCATTGGTACATTCAAGCACGAGCAATGCACATATACGTACCTATTTGAAAACAAGAGCTGCTCCATCATAACAATCTATACATGCAATTATGATCAGCAGTAGCACAATGTTCTTTCTTTCCACCTTCTCTCGAAATTGACAATGGAGGGCTGACTTACATATTATCATATGTATGAATAATGAAACGAATGTCTGAGTTAATGCTGGTATTCCTGATGTTACATTTTTACTCTGGTAAGATGTTTTAATTAATCTTAGAACGGATATGAAGTAAGACTTGTCTCGATATTGAACTTTCGCTTCTGTGAGAATGTCGCAGGAAAGAACGAACGAGCGAACGAACGAAACAACTAAATGTTTTTGATATGGAGGAAGGACATAGAGATGTGATTTATTTACTCAATTACTCGAATATTGTAGATATAATTAGGTGTTTATCGGAGCTTTGAAAGGCTTTAGGATTCGATGTCATACAAGAAGATGGGAAGAAAGAAGTCAAAGGATATTTGAATATCCAACCTCATTGCCTTTTTAGAAACGTGCAACTTCTGATAATACTTACCATTACAAAGGGCAGTTTCGAGAACTACTGCGGCTTTATGATCTTATAAGAGGGTACATATATTATTTATGATAAATTATAATTGAGAATCGATCAAGGCAATCCACATAAAACTTCTTAATTCTGTTATGCATGTGGGAGTTTATATGGAAAAATGTGGATTTATATGAGAAGCTTTTTGATTACTTGTTCTTTCCGTGCTTTTCTCTCATGATCAGAGTGAGTCTCAGTGAGAATGGATAGCAGTTGATGATATACTTATTGGCTACTTATTATCACTCATATCAATAAGTACTTAAATAATTCCATACATGGATGCAACGGCATGTTGTAGCGAGAAACGCACAACCACAAGCTTCACGGCCTAAAATCACAATCACACAAGAGAAAAAGCCCCAAAAATTATCATAAAGCAATTAATATCATTTCGTAATTCATAAAATCCATGCCTAGTAGAAAAATATCCCCCATGCCACCACACATATCCATCAACCCATCCCTATCCATCCATCATATAGAAAACCCTAACCCATTAGACAATCGGTGTGAAGAGAGAAAAAACCCCGTTACGCGGGTATGCCCAATCTTCGGGTATCGCAAATTCATGCCGCGTGAAGCAAGGGTATCATGATGCATATGATTTAATGGTAAGTTTTGTTTCCTCCAAAGGTCTTGGAACCATCGAGATCGGCATCGACTCTGGGGTCAGCCCTGCGAAGAACTGTTAGTATATATATACGTTTGGAAAGTTAAAAGATGGAAAGAGCTTACTTGTTCAACAAATCACTGTTATGTGGACCAGCAGTATTCTGAGCAGTTCCTGAGCCTGGAGTGGCATGGGAACCCGAAACTCCGAATGCAGAGTGTCCTGTGGAAGCTCCATGGCGGTTTCCAGTGCTGCTCAAATCGCTGTCGACTCTTGGGTCAGCAGCGTTAGCGAGGTTGGAGTCGTGAGGGCCAGCATTGGTGCTGTGGGAAATTCCTCCACTGAAGCCAGTTCCACCAACAGTGTTACCAGCGGTTGTGCCTTGGTGGTGGTGAGTACCGGTCGATCCAACACCAGAACCATAAGCATCTTGGGTACCATAGCCGCTGGAGGTCTTGTTAGGAATACGGTTTCCATCCAAATCGGAATCGACACGTGGGTCAGCAGCATTGGCGAGAGAGGAGCTGTGGGGTCCGTGAGAGCCCTCAGCGTGGCCAGTGTTGGAAGTTCCTGGAATATGTGTACCAGTGTGTGTACCAGAGTAAGTACCAGTATGAGCACCGGTGTGAGTGCCAGTATGGGTACCAGTGTGGGAACCAGTGTGTGTACCTGTGGTACCGTATCCTGCATCTTGAGTGCCGTATCCGCCAGAGGTCTTGTTAGGAAGACGGTTTCCGTCTAGATCGGAGTCGACTCGTGGGTCAGCGGCATTAGCCATAGACGAGGAATGAGGTCCATGGGAACCTTCGGCATGGCCAGTACGGGCTGCACCACCAGTGGTGGTTGTGCCGGTAGTACCGGTCGTACCAGTTGTGCTGTGGTCCTTATTTCCACCTGAAATTGTTAGTGATACTAGATGGGATTTGAAAAGACGGGGGTTGTGCATACCGACGTGGAGGGCATCCTTCACCTTTTGGATAGTAGATTCTCCTGTCATTTTGAATATGGTATTGATTGAAGATTTGAAGTAGAAGTGTTTGAGGTAGAAAGTTTATTGTGATTTGATGTTGGTTTGAATGTATTATTCTTGAATTGTTTGTTGATAATGGAAGAGGGGAAAAAGAGGACTTAGGAGGTAGCAAGCTCTCCTTATATAAAAAACAGCTTCATAACCTGGTGAACGAAGAGGCGAATAAACCTGGTTGTGACGTCATGTTTGCATAGCATGGTAAAATTCCAATAAAGAATTCACTTTCTCCTTTGAAGGAAAATGGGATTGTAAGACCGATATCATGGCTGGCGTCATAACAGGGAAATCAACGAATAGAAAGAAGTATGCAAGTAGGCAAATTCATCTGTTCCTGATTTCCCTTACCCCGCAGATCCCACCCGTATCCATTAACCAGACAGGTTTTCTGGAAGGGGCCAAGACATATTGAGTAACTGTTGTAAGTTTATAACCTATGGAGTCGACGGATTCCTTTAGCCGAGCGGGCCCATATGTAGGCAGGTAGGTTGGAGGTGAGGACCTAGTGCATGCTTCAAAGTTCACAGATGGTGAAATCTGCCTGCCTTGGTTACTTCACGCATCGTATTCCATCCTGCAAATGGTCTATGATCTATGATCTCCACCACAGAGTACGTACTCCATACACCCTCCGGGGAAAACCCAAAACTCCGATCCTCCCTCCCTCTTCCAACGAACCATGGAACGAACCATGGAACCATAGAACCATGAAACTCCACTGTAAATGCCAAACCTAATCCAAAGTCGTCATAGCTGTGGCGCAAGAGCCCACGTCATAATCTTTTTGTGGCTGTAAGGCGGACCAATCAAATATGCAGATCTGTTGATCACATGCCAGGCTATCCCGGAATTTGTGGCTAACGGAAAAAGAAAACCGGTTTATGTGGCGGTGCAATTCCGAAATATGCTCAATTTATGCAAACGTTCACATTGATCACTCCACTCGCAGCTTGATGTTCAAACTTCCTTGTGAATTTTTCCGATGAAGCATGACGTTTGAGTTGAATGAAAGGGGAATCGAATCATCTCATTGTGCATACCCACCCGTGACCTTGCGAGCGCAATTCCGCCATGTAAAGATTACTATGTTGACAATTGCATCATATCTTTGCCAGCACGGAGAAAAAAGACTACATCTCGCACGTGAATAGGTACCCATCTCGATAAGCTCCAAGTGATTGTCAGGTGACTAATAGGTGATTATTAGATAGAACTACTGCAAAGTCTATAAGACGTCCGCCCAGCCAAGATAGTTTCACAATAGGCCACTGCGGTATTGAAAAAAAGGTAAATGTTTTCATCACGTGATGATGGCGTTTCATGTTAAGTTGCCATGACCCATCTTGTTTCACTGATTGCTGCCATCTAGATCTTTCATGATTCTTTTCATTCTTTTCAATGTAGAAAGTGTTCATCCCTATATTGAAGCTTGTCCAGAAGAGGATGTTTTTACGAATGATCAATCTGAACACCCGTCCAAGCACACGGATGGAACTTGATCTCCTCGACCATTATCCAGTCAAATTGTGCTTGGGATGATGTTCAAATTGATTATTCACCAAGATGTAAAAATTGGAAAGTCGCCAAGTTTTTCCATCTTCACGAATTCACGCAGCATCGCCTGGCTGATACACAAATTTAAGGCAAGATCGTTGGGAGATATGAAGATTAGTTCACCCTATCTCTCTGCCAAATACGAAGCCTCGTTTGCCCCTTTTCCCTTTTGATATTTGCCATCCACCATCCTTTATGTGTAATTTATTGGCATGAGCAACAAAAAGTAGCTCATATCAACTCTACCTGGCAGCGAGGCGGATCTCCTTCTTTCGAGCCCCCTAGCCAGATGTCATTCCAAAATGCCGAATAGACTCAGTGGCCTTCGGAGCTATTTTTATCTTTATTTCTCCGGAATGGCTAGTCTTCTTATACCTCAGCAATTGAACATGGAATTGCACATTGAAGTCTTAATTTGCTAATTTCTTCTCATATCTATTTTCGTGGGAAAATATTAATCCGAGAACTGCATAGTTACGCTCAGACATTCGCAACGACCACCGTCTCAAGCTATATTCGTCTGGTCATTGTCTAGAAATGGAAAAATAGTAGTACCTAAGGTTTCCTCAGTAAGAACAACCTTATGGATTTCCTTGGCTGCTGCTAGCCGTTTCATAGGGAGTTTGGTGTAGAAGTCTATTTTACCTCACACCTTCGAAGAACCACCCTAATTTGTTGGCAAAGATTAACACTGCCTCTAAGTACAATTAAATCCCCATATTATTGATACCTACAAACTGATGCTTTTTCCTTGTCTATCTCCATGGTTGCTTGATTAGTCACGCTTGAACTGATATATGTATTACCAAAAAATATTATTTCTTAATTTACTGATAACTTATTTTCCTCATGGAGTCGATGGACAATGTTGAGGATATTTCCATAGGTATGTGTCTCGATAGCAATGGTTTTGCACACAACACTAAATAGTTTTAGCTTCAAGAATACTTTTAATATGTTGGCCTCTATACGCAATATCTGGAATATTAATAATGCTGAGATTGATCGCTAAGATGAAGATCCATATCCCATTTGCTTTGGAGGATCTTCTGGTTATACTTGCTATGGTGTGTGTCAATTATATTCTTCTAGTCATTCACTGACATCTCAAAAAGATTTTTGGAATCTGTCATATATCACTCAATACTTGGGGAATAGGCTTCGGAATAGGAAGGCATGTTATGTTCCTCACTGAATCCCAAACTGCGATGGCTTTGAAAGCCGAATTTATCAGTCAACCTTTTGGTGAGTTTGTCAAAGATAAACAATTTGATCTATGACTAAGTTACCGCAGGTGTAATATCACCAACACTCGGCAGGATATCATTCGCTGTTCACCTTACACGATTGCTAGGACACAGTCAGAATATTAGACGATTTCTCTATTTTCTCATTGCTCAAAACGCCTTGATAAATTTTCTGGCACTCATACTCATCTTCTTTCAATGTTCCAACATCTCGTACAATTGGGATCGTGTTGGACATAAAGACCAATGTTGGAATGTCAAGACTGAAGCAGCCATTGGCTATTTTCAAGGATCATCGAGTTCCTTGACGGATCTCGCTCTCACAATCCTACCAGTTGCAATGGTATTAAATCTACACATCCAATTACATTTGAAATTCCTCTTGACATTCCTACTAGGAGTGAGTCTTTTGTAAGTTTTTGCCTAAATATCGATATCTTAAAGCTTGGCTGATATATATTAGCGCTTTCATCGCTGCTGTCATTAGAACCTATTGCACAATGGGCGATAACAAAGATCCTACCTGTGAGTTCAAAACCCCACATCCTCACAATATTCCGCCTAATCATATAACTAGATAACACAGTAAACTTCATCGTATGGTGCGCAGTAGAAAACTGCACCGTAATCATAACATCTTCAATACCCTTCCTCCGACCTCTTTTCCGACCAGTCCCTAAACCATACATTGAAGTAAAACGTCATCCGAATCCAGTTATTTTGCGTCACAAATCAATAGAATATAGAAATTCCATGGAGATACTCGCAGTATCTGAAACTAGACAGGTAGAAATGGAGGATAAGGAAGATAAGAAGAGTATTTTTCAGGTCGAAATTCATTCGCTTGTGTAGATGGGAATTGGATTGTGGGAATTAAGAAGGAGTTTTCTGGGGGGACATATGATTAGATGATTTACGATTGGATTGGAGCTGCGCTGGCCGGGAGTTGATGGAGTTTGGCGTAAGGTTGTTTTTGTCTATCGGCGGAGTGGAGTTCTCGACATACTGTACGCCAGGTAGTGTCCATTGCTGTTTGAAAGTTTTGGAGGTACATGGTCAGTTTTTCTTACTCCAGATGATTCCTTGATATCTAGACTCTTCCGCAACATGGAGAGTACTATTTCATCAGTCCACCAGCGGTTTCTGGAGGTGGAAATTCGCAACTGTAATATAAAACTTACAAATATAATTTAAATATGAAAATATTCAAACTAAACCTGGAGTTCAAAATGTTGATCACGATATTAATCTTTCGTGTATTATTCATCCTCCAAGAAGCAAATGTTCAAAGAATGATACCCAACATTCAATGGCCGCTTTGCTATGAGAATAGTAAGTATTAAAGACCACTTATGTTCAACTTCTTTTCAGCGAGTTTAAGCTATAGCTAGCTGTGTATTTCATACAATTGACATACACTAGGTTGTGATTAGTTCAATATCATTTTAATCAATACTTTGTTGAGTGAGTGTTTTATTTCTTTTATTTCTTAACTTCTAATATACATGTATATAATATATACTAGAACCTCTTAGAGATCTTTATACAATTCTCTACTTTAATAATTCATCCAAGGAAGGCCTTGGAACTATCCCTGTCACTATCAGTATTAGTTTTTATTTATGGCTCAAGATGGGATTTCTAGGATGAGGCTGATAGTTTAGTCTATCAATCTGGTCGGCTGAAAGGAAGATGAATTGACTTGGCTGTCTTCTGATATCTTACAACAAAGACTAGTTCCTACGAGGGATTCTAAGCTCGAGGGAGGATCATCAATATCTAGCTAGTAATCTATATTGATGGCGAAAAGTAGTCGATTTGCGAGATGCGGATTAATAGTACCCTTATCATTCGCCATCAGTAGTTAGTCCAAGACGACTCTGCAATAATTGATCTACTAGGATTCGCTGCCGAGGACTTTAGTTACTTAGCTGGATATAAGTGTATCTATACACTAATCCATCGCAAATTAATAGTACTATTGGCTCACTCGTGTTAATATTTATCTAGTGTCTTCCGTCTCCTTCTAATTCGTTATTGAAATATTAATATTGAAATATATATATATGATTTCTCCTAAAATTCACTCCTCGGGGAGTCAGAGTACTGTATGGTAGTATAATGAGGGAGCTCTTATATCTATTGCGGTGATTTTGATAGCTGATCTGATATTTCTATAGGTAGGTTTATATATATATTGCATACGCATACCATTGATCTTGGCTACTCTATTCATAATCACTAAATAACTTGAACGTATGGTTTCTATTCCAGCACTACTTTGAAATCGAATTCGGGTTTTGATCAGAGGGAGTTCATGATATTAAAAGACTTTTCAGTTGTGATTTTACTGTGATAACTCATCAACATTTCTATACTAAAGTCTTCTCATCATTATCCTCATCTCAATTCATCAAACATACGAATCCAATATGCTCAGATACCTCACCTTTTGATAATCTTAGATTCGCTGCACCTGTATCGTCCAAAGGTCGGAATACCAGCGTAAAAATGCAAGCGTGATGCGATCTGTCTATGAGGTATGCCAGGTATAGAGAGAACTTGAAAGATATTTTACTGGCGAACTGACTATTCTTAACCTAGGCGCAGCTTGGTCAAACTTTGACTCTGAAGACCTTTTGGATGATTACTCGACCGAGTAGAATATCACTGATTTTATAGTTCCAGCTCGTCGGATGCTTACGGGATGTATTGTGCTGCTAAAGAAGATTGTCCGTTTCTTGACGTGATTATGCCCGGAGATATCAATAATCCATAAACACCGGGATCTAACAGTTGGAACATCACGTGACTAGTCCCACATCTGGAGCAGAGATGACACGATATAAAACCACAAATAAGAAACAAAAGCCCCTGCTACTTCCATTTCCATGACTAACGGTATGGAGAACCCTAACATATTTCTCCGGCAGTGGAACACGTGCAACTGACCTTCCTCACCTAGTAAACCTAGTAAACCTACAAATCCGACCCATGGATCTGGATCACAGAAGTGGATACCGGCACATTTCTCTTAGTAACCTTAGACATGCTCCGAAACCCGGCAATTCAGGGTCCCCTCATACATAGCGGTAAGACAAGACTCAGACTCACCAGAGAACGGGGGAAAAACATGGGATGATTTAAGGTTAAGGTTATGCTTGTTCGTTCGGGGTCCACGAACTATCGACCTTGATAGATTTCTCTGGATGTTTTATATCTTCATGCATTAGGCAGGTTACACCGTTCCTGGGAATGTGTTGGGAGGATTACATAATTGAATTGGGTTGTCGGGATGGGGTTGTAATTGAGGGATTTTCATATATGGTTGGTTATGTGGGTTTTTGGGGGATTTGAGAAATTTGAGAAATTTAAGGTTATTCCTACCGTTCGAATTCTCGGATATTTTACGGTTGAAATTGTAAGTCACTTGAGATTTGGATCTTCCAAAGGGACTTGCACTTTCAAGTGTTGATGTGGTAATGTCTGGTGAATCAGCTTGTAATGTTATTATGGATAATCTACTTTTGGCGCAGTCATTGATAGATCATACGTGACGGCTTTCTGCCACGATTGTGTCCTCAAGGAGTTTATGACTATGACCTTGGTATCTCAGTTATTCATATTTCCACGAATGTCTTCTTTCAATGTGCAAACCCAGAATTTATTCCGTCTGTAGAGCACGCCGTGTGCGACATGGGTTGGTGCATCGGTCATTTCGTGCAATTCGTATGCTCTACTTGCCCTTACATAGCAACTACACATCACCTACCGCACAGCTTGCTCTTACTTCACCAAGTACTAACTAACATGTAACACTTATTATCCTCGTACCTACACATAAAATTCTCCATTGTCTAGTATTCCTTGGAGAAAAGCCAAGTCGTCTTCTTCGCCTTCCCCGCCTCCTCCTCCTCCTCCTGCACCCTCTCCTCTACACCTATCTCTTTTCCACCTCCAACCCCCCCGAATTCAAATCCGCGGCACAGATACCCACCCCACCAAACATTCTCCAATGGCAGTACGTAGAACCAGTAGTTCTTACACCTAAATTCTAATTGCATCTATGTAATCATATCTCCAACTCCTATTCAATAATAATAATATATACATGATACCAAGCCATCACAACCTCGATCTAAGAAAATCCGACCAATTCCGGGATCTTCGGATACCGATCTGGAGATGTGATATTGAGAGGTGTTATGCTAAGAATTAGACAGTTATGGAAAAATGAAGGGATCCGGATGAGATCTAGATATCTTAGGGATGGGATCTAGACTCTGGAGGCTGGTTGTAAGTCTTAGATGTATTTATTTACTTTAATTTCTGTGTCATGATAACTTAACAAGTGATAGCAAACACTAGGGCGGGTCTTTGAGGGTTTCAAGAATATGAGTGAGCACGGTGAGCACTTAGCAATGAATTCTCTCAATTAGGAGAGTATAACTTGGAAAGTTTCAATACTTCTTCACGAATTTATTCAGAGATAATTGAAAATGTTTAAAGCTTCCACGACTACCATACTGAATTATCAATTAGATCATCCGACCAATGCATCCTGCGATAAAATCTTCCAAATCCCTTCTCCCGTTGAATGTATTCACAAATTCCTCCACAAAAGCGCGTTAAGATATATGAATTGAATGAAAACTCCACTTCTCCAGCCAGCGAACACATATCTTGTCTCCAATTTCAGAAGTGTGTGTTTAGTTTGCCAAGGATGCGCCAGCTCCCTTTTGCTTGCAGTAGTATTCCCACTGTTCATCATGTTAGTTTCTGTTTTTATACTCTTGTCAAGAGTTCTTTTGTGTATGTGGAAGAGGTTTGGATACTTACTTCGTCACCTCCCATGTGGAATCCGTTGGTGTGGCAATGAGGAATGTCGACTGTGTCCATGTAGCAATCTGGACAAGTGTCCCATTGCTTGCTACCCGTGTTTCTGTTCTTGTAGGCAGTGCATGCTTGTTGGGTAGCTTTGCTGTTGTATACGTCCTAAGTGGTTTATTAGTATTGATATGATGGGAAGTGTTTGGTGAAAGGAGAGTAAGCAATGGAGTGAAAGGTAGAAGAGGAATAGGTGTGCTGTTTGAGGAAGAAGATATGGAAATTGAAAACATACTGCGCCTCCCTTGACATCTACGCAAATACCGAATTTGTGGAGGTCAGCTACTGAGAAGCCGACGAGGGAAAGGAGAGCAACGGTTTTGAGGAGTATGGAAACCATGATGATGTTTGAATATTGAAAATGAATGAATGTACGAGATAGATATGAGAATTGAGGATCTGGTTGAGGAGGATAGGCTATTGATGGATTGATGTAAAGAGAATGAATGAATGAATGACTGATGTTTGCAGCTTCTAGACTGTGGTATATATAAATATGACAAGACTGATATAAGGTTGCCTATAACCCTGAGGTACAGATATCTCATTAGTCACAACATTGCTGTCTGTCTATAAACAATCTAATCTGAAATATACAGAAGCATGACGGTGAAGAGTTGAACATACTCTATCTGCAGTCGTATCAACCAAAGTTTAAAGTGCCAAGAGACTGGAGAAATGTTGGAACAATCTCGGTGGCGTTTTCCCGAGATGACTTTGATGATCCTAGCACGGGTATTGTGCATCCTTAAGGCTTGTATTCGGTGCCCTATGAGGCTATTAAAGCGTCAATCATCCCGCATAATGCTATCTTTGGGTACGCTAATGGCGCTTGCGTGGGAAGGTTTAAGGTTCAAGGTACCATGGCCATCATGACATAAATTGAAATTGTGATTTACCTGGCACTATAGAAATTAGATGTTGAACCTTAACTCTATATGGCGGGACCCAGAAACGGCGATGCTTGTCATAATGTCATGTCATGTCTCATAGCCTGGCTGGGAAGCACTTACACCGTTTATTAACTCGTTAGTCAAATAAAACTACCCTAGAAACTCAAAAAGGAATGGTCGCTCGCTTTTATTCCTTAACCCCGTCACCCGCTTAATTTTGATTCAAATTTAGATCACATGCCAAGAGAACGACAACCTTGAGCCTCATCAATAATTGAGTTCGATTTGTTCTATTGTACACCCCAAGTCCCCACGTGCAAGGAGTGACTAATTAAACTTGGTATTTCGGATGGTTTCGAGAAAAAGCTTATTCTCACCCAAACGAATGTCATCGAGTATCATTGGTCTATTGGTGTTCACATTGGTAATGGCCGGTGATTATTCAAGGCATTGGGGGTGTCGGGGGGTAAGTGGTTACCTTATCTCCTTTGACGATCATCCCAACCTTGAAGGCTGGTATGATTGATTGTCTAAGTGGACTAGGATATTCAACAAGTAAGCCGTCTGGGGAGAGGTTAGGGTTACCCTCTGAAGTGAAGAAGTATATGAAGTCTTCGATTTCTCGTCCAAAGAACTTCGAAACATCATCCAATCTCAGTCTCTCCTTCTATCCTATTGCCTCTTCTTTAAGTCATCTTATCTCAGTCTCTCTTTTTATTCCATTGACTTCCTCTTAAGTCCCCAATTCATACACCAAGAACTTCAAAATGCTTATTACCTCTTTCCTTACCAGCCTCTTGATGGGCTCTTCCATCGTCGCAGCTGCAGTTGTTCCTCAGGCAATCGACGAATCCAAGATCATTCTCTTTGGCGTCGATGGCCGAACAGAAGTCATGGACAAGGCTGAATTCATGGCCCTCCATAAGGGAAATCTTACCGCTGCACCTGGTCCCCTCAAACTCACTGATCGACCATTGAACGAGACCATAGCAATGGAAATCGAGGCAGCTCAGCTCTCCAAACGTGGCTGCAAGTCCTACTCCATCGTCAGAGAGAACGCCGATCAGAAGTTCTTGAACTGGGACATCCAAATGTCCGATATTCTCCATGCAACAGACCGCGATGCCACTCTCGGCGTCACCCAAGGTCACAGCGTTGCAAATTCTATCGGCGTCTCTGTCAGCTTCACGGAGTCACTCATCAAAAATTACCTGTCAGCAACCTTTGGCATTACCTACACAGAGACTTGGACCAACACCTATACCACTGCCTATACATTCACTGTACCAAAGGGCAAATATGGAGTTGTCGTCTCAAACCCTTGGACCACCAGAAAATCCGGCAATATTGATATTGGATGTATTGGTGTACGCGGCCAGAAATCTACTTACCAAGCTGATAGCTACGAAAGCAACAGTTACCAGGGATTAAGCTGGGTTTCTGGCACCATCAGTCTTTGCACCTCCAACAGCCATTCAATCCATTACTGCATCGGCAACGGATACCACAATTAGTAGGGAGATGGGATGTTTCTGTTGGAATGGCATTTAATGCTAAGGCATCTCTCCTGGAGAGTTTTACCACAATTGAGTGTTTAGTTTGGAAAGAAAGGTGCGGATTTGGCAGTTTGTGTGTGGATTAAGTAGTTTGGATAATGCAAGGATCGGCGAAGAACTAATAACAATACTTTGTTTCAACTTTCATTCTCTTACCACCGTGCATTCTTGTCCTCAACTTAACTGTGTAAAATTTGTAGACACATCCCAAAGTATGATGAGAGTCCAAGATACTCCAAGCAGAGTTCACCCAAACACCATATCGTCCCATCAAGAGTCCTACAGGAACAAGGACAGCCCAAATAGAGTTTATCATAAATCCAGCAATCCCAACTTTGAAGGGACTCAAATGTGAACCTTAAAAACCTTCAACCAACTCCATGCCTATATACATAAATAACGCCATTTCGCGCAACCCAGAATATCTAAACGTAATCATGAGAAATGCAATCCTTCCTCGTTGAATGCAAATAGCAATCTGAGAAAGTCGTTCTCATCGCATTTCCCGGCACGCGTATCCGCTAACTCAGTTACATCCTCCAAAACTTTGCGTATTTTTTCTCGAACGAGTTCCGCCACTCGGGTTTTGGGTACTTTGCTTTTAGTTTTAGGCTTGTTGGTTCCTTTAAGTTCCTGGAAGAAAGAAGGCACTTCATCCTCGCCTTTATCGGTATCCATGTTTCCTTCCCACTCTTCTTCTCCTTCCTCAGCAATTGGCGCATCATCCAGATCCAGATCCATATCCTCGTCTTCTTCATCAACTGGAGTTTCATCGAGAGCAATGTTGTTCGTTGAACAATAAACTCGGTAGTTTCTCTCACACATCGCAAGTACTTGCTTCATTCCCAACCAACTAGCCCTCATAGTTCTATTCTTTCGTACGAAGCATATCCTCAACATGCCATCCCATTCTTCCCAACTGACCCCTGGACGCTCTTTGCCTGTTTTGGGTTCGATCCGCACAACAGAGGATTCAACCTGTGGAGGTGGCCTGAAGTTATTTTTACCAACCTTCATTATGTGTGTGATCTTGGCGAAGAACTGCGCATTGACAGACAACCGACAGTAGAGTGAATCACCGGGGCGTGCAGTAAGACGGAGAGCGAATTCGCGTTGAAACATGAGAACACTACATCGGGGAGGGTTTGGCAAGGATAGCAGTTTGAAGACAAGTGGTGACGAAATCTGTTCGACCATTAGAATTTTATCCATAAGCACAGGAAGAAAATCGAGAGCGACATACCTGATAAGGAGTATTGCTTATGCACACGTCGAAATGTGGCAGTTCTGTCTTTATGACATCGCCCAGGAGAACTTCCAATCTTTTCTGTTCCGGTTTCCCCTGCACTCTCTTTGTGACTTCTGCAGCCATTCTAGGATCTACTTCCACGGCTATGACTTTCTTTGCGCTTTCCAATATCCTTACAGTCAAATTTCCTGTACCTGGACCGACTTCGAGTACTGTATCCGTGGGTTTGAGGTTCGCCTTCTTCACGATAGCTTCTGCCACTCCAGGATTTTTAAGAATATGTTGTCCATAATCTTTATTGTGCTTGAATGAATTGGTCAATGCAGCAGCTTTTTCATAGGGTGTGCCAGCAGCGGCAGTGTTGCGCTTGCCAGTCTTTAGTTTGGGCATGTTGGAAGTTGGTGGTGAGGATGAGGGGGAAGATATTCAGATTCAGAATTCTAGATAAAATAAAAAATATTTCTTTCCGGGGTCGCCTTGGATCCCCTTATCAGACTGATAACAATCACGTGCTGCGGAGAAGATGGACCGTGCCTCAGGCGAAGTATTTACAGAACTTTCATTTTATAGTACAGTGGTTGCTGGCGAAAGTATTGTAAAACACACCAAAAAATGACCGTGCTTTCCCCATTTACAAGGGCGTTAACCAATCATATCATCACGCTGGTTGAAAATTTGTATAGTGCAATCTAAGTGAATAAAGTATTGTAAATTTTCATTTTTCTAATCAAAGTCAATCAAAGTCAATCATTTTTCATTCAGAATTTTATTCTAGAACGATTAAAAGAGGTTACACAAACTTCAATAGTTTTAAAATCATGAATTCGTTGAAATTTCATTGAAATCATCAAAATTCGATCAAAAACCTCTAGATTCAAAGTTTTGGGGGGGGAACAGCTCAATATCTATTCGGGTTGTTTAAAGCAGCATCGGAAGACAGGAAAAACAGCAATATGTGGGTAAAAAATGTCTTACAATACTTACCCTTCTAACCTACGTAGTTCTTTTCATCTACAACGACATCTTCCCTGTCGACCAGCTAGAATTCTTGGATGGAAACTCGCTACCCGTGCCCACTGAGTAGTGTCTAGAAGGATTGATAGAGTCAACGGCGCAAACTCTATAAATGTATGGTATTTATTAGCAAATGATTTATGAAGTGTGATGTTAACGTTTGTTAAGTTTGTTCCACAAAGTATTTGAACAATTTCTATACCTCAGATAGACATGTTAGCACTCAATAGCAGGTCACCCTAATTGATATCACACTGGAGATAGGTTATGTAGCAGCGAGCACTGAGTCCAGCTCGGGGTCATTGGACTTCCGTCCACGATCCTACTATTTAAAGGCATCGGTACCCTCGATTTATTTTCAAAGGATTGAGTTTATTAGTTCTGAAAAATGGGGATCCTGAAAACATTCTTGAGATTTGATGCATTTGTTCTTGTATCTTCATGAACAACATACAGCGAAAAATTTAAGGAGATTGCTATAAAGAAGGACATTTAATCCATCTATCCTCATGTCCAGAGATTCATAACTTCATTCGTCCAAATAACCCATTGAGCCGATACTCTATCTAAACTCCATCCAAATACCTGTAGCAAAGAAAGTTGTTTATTCCATAGCGATGTCCTTGTCCCCTGCCAAACGCTCCAAAAGTCCATCTGAGATAGGGTCCCAAGTCCTCGCACTTCTTGGCCACATTCTCTTGTACAAACTAACTCCCACGGCATCCTGAGGATTGATTTTGCCATCGAACGTAGCCTTGAAATATCCATGGGTGCCCAAGCTCTCCTTGATGAAGCCACTTCTTCCTCTCTTAGTCCATAATTGAAGTGCTTTGAACCATTCGACATCTTCACGATTAAAGAACATGTAGCGTACAGTAACGAGCCTCTTGTGAATTTTGTAAGGGTGTCCAGTTAAAATGATACGTTTAGCAATAATTCGAGAGGCAGACGGTGGCAATGATGTGCCAGTACCAATTAAAAGAAGAGGTGCGGAAGATGGTGCAGACTCGGAAGGTCGTTTGAAGAAAAGAGTTGGTATAGAGCCCCATGAAAGGGGACCGATGAAAGAGGCGACAGTCGATTGACCAGGGTGGAGGAATCGATCAAATTTATGAACGTCATTAGGAGTGTTGCCACCTTGAGAGAAAAGGGGGTTGGCAACGAAGCGGCGAGGTCCGCACTGCACAATCATCTCATCCTTGGATTTGATGGGAGATGGATAGTCTGAGCTGAGAGTGAAGTTGATATTTAGAACAGCCCGTTTGTGCTCGTGACGCAGGAGTGAGAATGCGCTTAGAGGCTGAGAAGCATTATACGTTGATTGTAACGAAGTGGCTACGTTGCGAAGGTGGATATGAACTCGAGTTCCTGCAGCTACTCCACCGACCAATGCCTCACGAGTGACTTGACTACGAGATGATTTGTAGTCAGGCACTTGAAGTAGGCGTCTCCAATCTTCTGGCTCATATGCTCTATCTTCAGCTTCCTCCCATGGACTAGTGCGCAGACTCTTTAGACCACGGAATTTAGCAAGACGTTCACGTGCTAAAACATTGGGGTGGAGCTCGATTTCATCTGGAAATTCACGATCTTCTGCTGCTTCGTCAGTTTTACGGCCTCTGAACGCGGCTAGTTGTTCCGCCTCGGCTTCATCATCTGGATTAGGGTCCAAAAACATTTCAGATTGTGGGTATTCTGATGGCGCAGCTTCAGTAGGCTCTTTGGGCGCGAACCCTTCCGCTCCGTCTTGAGGGAGGGCTGGAGCATCCATCGTCATTTCTTCTTCAAAGTCTTCCATATCAGAGCCCGAATCTGAGAAATGATCTCCGAGGAACCATGCTGATTGGTAGTTGGAAGTACCTTTGGGAAGTCGTTTTGGGACAGCGGGTAGATGTGTCTCATCATCAGAAAAGTAGTGGTGATCATCAAGAAGTACTCCTCGCTTTTCCGTTGGGGCTAGCGACATGGTGGCATCCTCATCGTCCTCCATCCTCACCTCCTCAGGTGCAAGTTCTGCAAGATCATCCCGATCTTCACCGGGCGTTTCAAGAATGATCTCATCATTAGATTCATCGGTAGCCATTTCATCCGTGCGTCTCTTCTTGGAAGCCAATGGTGCGGCCGTTATCTTCTCGATCTGGAAATCGCCCCAGTCGCCAACTGAGATTAATCTATCTGCTTTCAGTCCCTTGCCTCTGACAAAACCAGTAACTACCACATTTTCCTCTTCGTTCGTCGGCCATTGAACTTCATCAATAAGCATCCAACTTCTTTCTTCTCTCCATCGAATTCCTTTGGGGGCCAATGTGCACAATGATCTCATAAGATTGGCACATTCTTGCCTCGAGTCTAGGTTATGCACTTTTTCTTGGTCTGGGTGAAAATGCTGAACGTAGGATTTGAGTGAGGAAAGAACTCCTGGCCTTCGTTTGGGTGGCTCAATCTTGTCCAGTCCTTGAACGACTGTCAAAGTAGTCGACAAGCCTTGGCTTTCAACACTGCGGATAATGAGTTCCCCCAACTCATCCACTTCTTGTTCTGCTGACAGTATGAAAACTACGAAGTCTGCCACTCTACTAGCATTCATACAGCTGAATAACTCCTTTTTGGTAATAATGTATTGAACTTTCTGCTTGAATCTGTCGATATCGGCACGGATAATACCTTCTTCTGGCACATCAATCTCAACATCCAAACTACCCGTTAAACTTCGTACTGCGGCTGTAGCATTTGCGTCATCGCATAGTGGAATGAGAGCAACAATTCTTGGTGCGCCGTCGCGACCTTGAAAAACATTCAAGTCCCTTTGATGTTCCTTATGTTTTGTATTTTGCTTCTGGCGGGCTTGATTCCGACGGTCAAATTTTGACATAAGTTGTTGGTGAGGAGATTTTCGATGACTTAAATCTTGGACCTTGCCTGGGAAAATTATTATTTATTCATTTTAGGAAGGAAACTGCGCTGACCTTTTGACAATTCCTTCAATGCACCTTTCGAGGCCTTTCTTGATTTGAATGCTTTATGGGTTGTTTTTGTTGTACTCCTATGGGAGTGTCCAGTAGGAGTTGGAGCCATATTACCGTTGCCTCCGGCTTTGAATCTAAAAGGAATAGAAGCCAGTTTGGAAAATTCAAACTCCTGGGTAATTTTCCAATTTTCCAATTTTTCGACTCATCAAATCAAATTAATTTGAATTCGGATCGAAATGTTTTAACGTGGGGGGATTAGGGACTTTTTTTTGTGCGCTAAGTTGTTCTTATCGTTTATCGGAAGAGTCTTGGCATAGAAAAGTTCTAGCAGAAGTCACAAATATTTCATTTCGCGCGCTCTTGGAACAATCGAAACACCGACAATCCTAAAGTCAACTTGTTACATCAAAATGGCAGATACAATGGAATTGACAGATAAATCCCATTTTAATGGGGGAGTGCCAACCAAGCGAGCGAGGACAGAGCTAGTCACGTCAGAATCAGAATCGCAATCACAGCTACGCCGCCGCAAGGAAGCCAATAAAGCATATGGTCGGGGAGGAAAGATTCCCATACACTCGATCAAGGATAAAAAGCTACGAGGAAATCTCAAAAAGCTCGAGGCCCGAAACAAAACTGCAATACTTAGAGCAAAGGATGCCGAAATCCTGCTCGAAAATGAAGATGGATTTTTAGAGCCGGAAAATGATTTGGAACGAACATACAAGGTCCGACAGGATGAAATCAAACAGAGCGTACCTCTTGAGACAGCCAAAAAAGGCTTTGAACTTAAGTTGGATCAATTAGGTCCTTATGTGTGTGACTACACAAGGAATGGCAAGGACCTTCTATTGGCTGGCAGAAAAGGCCATGTCGCGACAATGGATTGGAGAGAAGGGAAATTGGGATGTGAATTACAACTGGGAGAAACTATCAGAGACGCAAAATGGCTGCACAACAACCAGCTATTTGCCGTTGCGCAAAAACAATATGTTTATATATATGATGGAGCAGGGGTAGAATTGCACTGTTTGAAGAAACATATCGAGGTTACGAATATGGAATTCCTTCCTTACCACTATCTTTTAGCTACTGTGGTATGTAACAACTAGCTCATTTAGCTGCGCATAACTAACTCTTGCAGGGCAATGCGGGACACTTAAAATACCAAGACGTCTCGACTGGTCAAATGGTAATGGAGATGCCCACGAAGTTGGGGTCGCCTACCTCTCTTACACAAAACCCTCGAAATGCGATCCTTCACATGGGTCATCAAAATGGAACAGTCACATTATGGTCACCCAATTCCACTACGCCACTAGTCAAGCTATTGGCGCATCGTGGTCCAGTACGATCATTGGCTGTTGACAGAGAAGGTAGATACATGGTTTCTACTGGGCAAGACATGAAGATGTCTGTCTGGGATATTAGAATGTTCAAGGAGGTAAATAGCTATTTCACGCGACAGCCGGCTTCGTCAGTTGCGATATCCGATCGAGGTTTAACAGCTGTCGGCTGGGGCACCCAGGTCTCAATCTGGAGAGGCCTTTTTTCCAAAAGCTCTTTGGAACAAGAGAAGATACAAAGCCCATACATGGCATGGGGTGGTGAAGGAAAGCGAATTGAACGTGTTCGTTGGTGTCCATTTGAGGATGTGTTGGGAAGTTCGCATGATTCCGGGTTCTCGTCGATATTGGTGCCAGGTGCTGGTGAGGCCAACTTTGATGCTCTGGAAGTTAATCCATTTGAAACCACCAAGCAACGACAAGAAGCTGAAGTGAAGTCGTTACTCAACAAGCTTCAGCCCGAGATGATCTCGCTAGACCCTAACTATATTGGTAATCTGGATCTGAGATCGGATGAGCAGAGGAAGGCCGAGAAAGACCTGGACAAAAAGCCAGAAGATCCTATGGCTAAAATCAAGAATAGGGGTAGAGGAAAGAATAGTAGCCTGAGGAAGTATCTAAGAAAGAAGAGCTCCAGGGGTATAATCGATGAGCAGAGGGATAGGATCGAAGAGCTGAGAAAGAGTCAGATGCAAAGGGAGAAGAACAGGTTAAAAACAACTGAGGAGGAACTTGGGCCAGCTCTTAGTCGTTTCGCAAAGAAAAGTGCTTAGAATAATTTGGGACATGCTGTTGATATCATACACTACTGTACAAGGCGCTTCGATGTATAGTACAGTCATGGGAAAACTCTGTGGCGCTTGGCGTTTGAAGGCATTTGTAAGGCGTCATCCGTTACTTGTAACGGAGAGTGAGATTAGTTCAGTTGTCAAGTAATGAGATTTTATTCTGCTGAAAACACATATGGGCTCATCTCCCATGGCAAAAATGAATACCTACGGTTTATCTCGAGTAGGATAAGGTTGCCCACATTCGTTCGCGATTCATTTAACTTTCTTTACTTCAGTTGCTCCAAGCCCTCTGTGGCTTTTGGGCCACCCCTTTCTTTGCTGACTCTCTCCGCACCACTGCCCCTCCACGCACTCTCAATTAAGCCCAAAATGTGTTCCATTCCGACGCCGCTCTTGACCTGTGCAAAAACAGTTGGCCCTCCTTCCCTCATTTTCCTGGCGTCTCTATCCATAACATCCAAATCTGCACCCACGGCCTCCGCCAAATCTGTCTTGTTCACCACCAACAGGTCACTTTGAGTAATTCCTGGACCCCCTTTTCTAGGAATCTTGTCACCACCACTGACATCAATCACATAGATGATGTAATCCGCCAACTCTCTAGAATAATTTGCCGCCAAGTTATCACCTCCGGATTCAATGAGTAAAATGTCGGAAGTGAATTCACGGTGCAGATCTTCAAGAGCAGCAAGGTTTGCTGAAATATCTTCACGTACGGCGGCATGCGGGCATCCACCAGTTTCAATGGCGCGGATACGTGATGCAGGAAGAGCTTTGTGTTTGGTGAGGAACTCAGCATCCTCTCGAGTAAAGATATCATTGGTAACGGCTGCGATTGAGTATTTCTCTCTGAGGGCATTACAGAGTGCTAACATCAATGCTGTCTTGCCTGAGCCTACAGGTCTGCATCTTTGTTAGCAGGTTTATAATCTATGATCTCGCGCTGAGTACCAGAGCAACTTAAGATGCCATGAAGACATCCATGGAAATAAAAATGATAAGGGTCAACACGTGATTTACCCTTCCGGCTCATGGCGGGGTGTTGGGTGAACATGAGAATTTCACGAATATGGGAATCAGGGAAAACACGTACCCCCCAATACCAACAGTAAAAGCTCTTTCAGACCAATTTCTACCTTCTATGATTGGCATTTCTCGACCCATGTAACTACCTGGTCCATCAAGAATCTCATGAGTGTGTCCATGGTCACCAGCTGGTTGATGGTGAGAGTGGGATGGACCTCCGTCGTGGGAATGAGACATGATGAAATTGTGGGATGAATAAATATCAGAATGGGACGTGAAGAACACAAATGAGTAATATGATAGTCTTTTTTATGATATTCTCAAGAAATAGAGGTGTTTTGTACAGTGTAGTGACCTTTGACAATAGCCAGTCTGCAGGAATGTATAGTTTTAAGATCTTACAATGCACCCCTCTATCTTTCGCTTGTATTAATTACGATTACTGTACAAACGGAATATAAACAAGTCAACTACCTAATAACCTAAAACCGGCGAACCGCATGCTTTCATTTATTGACAATATTGGGGGTACGACGATCCCCATATTTTGATATGTCTTACCTACTTGATCTGATCCATAATTCTTATGTATGATGATACCTACTAGCAAGTTAATGGATGGATTATTTATTTCACGTGATTTGATTTTGCAATGACTCAATATCACACGTTGAAAAAAAATGCCCCGCCAATTTAGCGTCATGACACGGATAGAGAGTGATATAAAACCCCCACCATCCAACACCATTTAATTTCTGTTCCCTTAAGGTGCGTTCCGTCTCCACATCACTTTACTCATAGAGTGTGGGAAAGTCTTCTAACAGATTATAGGCATACAAATTCTTTTCGAGGAAACGTATATCTACTTGTTGCTTTCATCAATTGATCCAAAATCTCAATTTGAACGCGATTGCATTCAATCCTAGCATTCGGCTACTAAATTAAAGGAAATCCAGCGGATAAAGATGGCAACTGTTGTACTCGGTGCTCAATGGGTGTGTGCATTCTGCGAAGATCTGCAGAGAAAAAACACTAATGCGTAAGTCTAGGGCGACGAGGGAAAGGTATGGCACATTGGGTTGAGGAAATTCCATATTCGGGAATTCAACTGAGGGTGAACCAGGGAAAACTTGTCGATGTTCTTTGCAGTGAGGATTTAAGACTGTGCTGCCGTGCACAAGTAAGTCTACGATAAATTTTCTAGCAAATACTCAAGCAAATATGTGACTAATATCTCATGAAATAGGGTGGAAACAATGCAGGGTAAATTGATAGGACGAAAGATGCCGGTGCCACCCTTTTACTAACGATATCAGGCATACAATTGTGGCGGATGGAGTGACATAGTGGGTCCCCCTCAAGAGCATGTTATCCTGGGGACTTGATCGGATTTGTTCTGGATAGTTGACTGAAAGATTTCGAACAGTGACTTTCACATTTTACCTAGCGGTCTCCTCAATAAAAAATGTCAGAATCTTGTAGGAAGTGGATGCGTCGTCCACATTCCCGGCCTTTTGAAAGAGCTTGCCGCGATCGAGGACAAGATTCCAGACGCCAGAGAGAGGCTGTCGATCAGTGACAGATGCCAGTGAGTTTTACGCTCTCGAGCATGGTTGTGCAACTCTGACAATAAATCACAGTGTCGTTCTTGATCTCCACCAGAAATTGGACGGACTCGAAGAGGCTGAACTTGGTGGTGGTAAAATTGGTACCACTGGTAAAGGTAATATATACTTAGGCTTACATTGAAAATACCTTATCCTGATAAATTCTAGGAATTGGCCCTTGCTATTCGACTAAAATGGCCAGAAGTGGTGTCAGAATCGCCGATATCTTCCGAGAGCGTTACTTCGAAGAGAAGGTTCGAAGCATGGCCGCTGGTGCTAAGAAAAGATTCGGGGACTTGTTGCAGTATGATGTCGAGGAAGAGCTTACTAGATTCAAGGTATTTCTGGCAACCCCTTCTTCACTACACCTTTGTTGACGTCTTCCCAGACTTACAGAGCTGAACTAGCGAGTATGGTTGTTGACCAACTGCCCCTACTCGTCTCTGCACAGCAATCGAACGCGCCTATGCTTATTGAGGGCGCAAATGCTATCATGTTGGACATTGATGCCGGTACATATCCTTTCGTAACAAGTTCAAATACAGGACTTGGTGGTGTGTTTACTGGTCTCAGCGGCTTGAACCCATTTAAGGTCAAGAACGTTTACGGAGTAGTCAAAGCCTATACTACACGTGTTGGTGGTGGTCCGTTCCCAACAGAAGATCTGGGGGAGGTCGGTAACACATTGCAAGAAGTCGGCAGAGAGTTTGGTGTGACAACTGGTCGTCGGAGAAGATGCGGATGGTTGGATCTAGTGGTTGTCAAATACTCGACGGCTATCAACAATTACACCGCTATCAATCTCACAAAACTCGATATTCTTGATTCTTTCTCAGAAATTAAGGTTGCCGTCGCATATCGTGATCCTGCAACAGGCGAGAGACTAGAATCATTCCCCGCCGATCTCGAAAGACTGGAGACACTGGAGCCAGAGTATGTTACCCTGTCAGGCTGGAACAAGCCCACTACTGGTTGCCATAATTATTACGATCTTCCAGCTGCATGTCGCAAATACTGCGAGTTCATTGAGAAGGAAGTTGGCATTCCAATTAAGTTCATTGGAGTTGGTGAGTGCTTCTGTGATTATCTCCTAAATAATAAGATCACTAATCTAAAAGCTACAGGTCCATCGAGAGATGATATGATCACGAAATAGATTATCTATCATTTCCTCTGCCTTTCGCGACTACCCTTGTATATCCTTGATGGTAAAAAAAGATAGACCTTGGTAGCAATAGATAAACACTGCAATTTTAGCTTCATTTCAAATTTTGTTCATTTATTCTGGTCTAGATATGTCCTAGTCATTGCAAAGGCATTACGTCCACTTCCAGCAGAAGAAGAAAACCGAAGAGCATGTCAAAAGTTTTCCATATAAAGTTTTGTTCAAAAGCAGTCGTTATTTTAGATTAAAAGTGCACACATGATTGGCTCTTCACTGTAATGTTCAATTACAGTCGGAAATATCATAAATTTTCTAATCTTTCGAGTATTCAAACACGTTCTGCTAGCCCTACTGGTGGATACTCTACTTGGCATCCACCTAACTATTTAACATGCTTGACGACGAACTTGACACCGTTCTTACTTTCTACAGTCATAGCAACGCGTTCAAGGTATTCGAAGACTTGCATACGTGGTTCTCATGGATCCTGTATTATCTTGGTCATCTCTTCAAGGGGGACATATCTTTTGAGATCTGTACCTTTGTATGAGTTGCACTGCTTGTCTAAGGCTGATTTTTTACGTTTGCAACGAACGCGTGGACATTGGTGCAGACTTCTTTCCACCAAGGATCGGAGTAAAGTGGTCATTGAATAGGTTTAAAGATGAGAAGCAATGCCAGCCTCAAAATAGATTCGTTAAACGGTTTCGTGAAAATGTCCGTCTCAACAGGCGTTTGCTGAGCAAGGCATTCTGTTGATGTATCAAGGAACTACAAAAGTCGAGGCAGTTTGTTTCTTGCTTCATCTATATTTGATTCATGCGGGGGTGTCATCAGAATTACCGACCAGTTATTTTAGGAGGGGGGCATGTTAAAGGCTGAGCCGTCTTTTGGGATGTGAGTCAAGAGCGCGCAACGTGCCATTCAAAATCATCCAAATCCGCAATCTCAGCTCTGCTGAAGGTCGGTTGAACGAGTGACCTCGAATGCTTCCAGAGACCACCGTCTTCTAGAATTGATTAACAGTTAGTCATTTGAGCACAGACATTTCTTTACCCTTTGTTTGAAATACATGTAGAGATACCGGGACCAAGAAGAAGGGGTCCAATGGTCCCCTCATGGGACCGACGCCCCAGGCGTTAAATTCTATTGTACATATCCCTTGGATAATCTCTGGCTGGGATGTTTCAAGCTCATTACCCAATGAATCCATCAAGAAAGTTTGTCCATATTTTTGACGAAGTGCTCTGTATACATCTGAACGACGTCCTGCGGCGTCCGTCTTTTGCACTTGGATAAAAAAATCAAAGGCCAAGATTGGGTTTCGGCTTAGGATCCTGGGGATGGGCGTGCAACCGTGGATTCTAATCGCTTCCGCTGCTTGTCTGCTTCTATTCCATGTGACCAGAATATAGTAGCGGGTAAACGTTGCAAGAAAATTGGAGATAGTAACCGTCAACAGGGAATTCATCACGACTTACCTCGCGGAAATACTGCCAAATAGTTCACCGATTTTGACGGCGACTCTGCTTCAGTGTGAACGCACACGGATCACGGACTTCACTTTCTGCCAAGTGATGGGTTGTCTACAAAAAGGCGGAGCCTTTATCAGCAAAGATGTGCATGCGTCAAACTCCAACTGTTGGCTTACGGACGTCGCTCAGTAGAAAATGATACCATGTGCATGGCGAGTTTCAGTATGGCTGGCTATCTATCATAGCAATCTAAAGCTAACATCTTTTTGTACAACGATTGAGCCATTTTTGGGGCGTTCGTGGTTCGGCTCGGTAATTATAGAAGAGGTGGTTTGGAGGAATGAAATGGAGGGGAATTTAAGCGAGAACGGAGGGTTCTGGGAATGAAATGATTAATGACACCGCGAAAAGAATGTTTGGAGGATGGCGATGAGTGTGCATTTGGAGGAAGCTAGGGCAAGAAGAGTTGTCGGACAAAAGACGGGGTGGAGAATTGAATGGTTAGTAAGAGTAGGAAACATCAAGAACACGAATTAGGATATTGGGACGAGGAAACTAGAGGGAATGGTAGCAATAGTGTTGGTCACGAGAGAAGACGAGAAACGAGAATGAGTTTCTCGTTCAAACAACGTCAACACACTCAATATCTACGATATTGATTATCCCCTTCCACACATTTCACAACAATATCCCCGCCACAGTTATCTGCCACAGACTTGCATAACATTATAATCCAAGACCTAGATGCAGCCAGCATGAAAAGTATACTAATATTGGACATTTTAAAATCAATCTAGTTAGTTCATGCAAATACTTTTTGGGCAATAATCAATGGTTTTTACTGGAATACTGGTATTTGAATTCTAATCCTTCGTCTGTTGCATTTCGTGGCTCGTTGTAGTTTGGTGGCGATTATTCCAGGTTTTGGGGTTGAGTGTGCTCACCAAGAGGAATGCATGGATAATAGTGAGGCCTTATTAACCGAGGAAGGATTAATCTGGAACTGCTGTTGTTGGTGCTCCAATCTCTTGAATGGGAGACGTTCGTATGCGCATGCGGCGGGCTGGATTGGCTTGGTGGTAGGTAAAAGTTACTTGAAATGACACGGTGAAATTTTCACTCATGTAGTCTCTAGTACTGAGCGTAGATGCTTTCTATCTGACTGCCGTGCATAGACTTGATTTGAGGCGAATGATACATTACATTATGAGTTCTTAGCAGCGGCAACTATCATTGAACTTACAGAACACTGCTCAGGTATAATGCCTTCCTCAGACATCTTCAATATGGCTATCAAAACCAAGGAAGAAGATTTACAGATAAGTTTCAAGCACAATCATTGCTACTCGAAAGATCTATATTTTTGCATACTACTGACTCGCAGCATGTATGTATATATATATTTAGCTGATAGATACAATAATTTCCAGCTATCATGCCCGCGTGCTCGTCTGGAAGAGTAATAGCGAAGTTGCTTAGTGCTCAGTTCTGAGTTGACCTACAATATGCGTCCTTGCTACTCATTTCCTATAGATAGAGAATTAACTTGTTGTTTTATTCTTATGGCTATTTAGTTTTAGCTGTGATATTTTCATTTTGGGTTATCTTCTTCTCTACTTTTCATTTATTAAAGAGACTCCACCTCACCAGCCTGGCTTTGATGTAGTTTCTTTCATTATGGCTGTAGTAGTAGCTGTCATGAAAACTGGAGCTGTAATGATTGGCTGAAATAGGATATAATAAGTTTTGGTACATAAATATACGCGCACTTACTCTTGAATGCGCATTTCTTATGTGTAAGTTTGGATACAAACTTCACATATGTAGTTGTCACTAAATGTCCCAGCTACAAACGTCGTAATCCATGATCCATTCAGCGCTGGATCAGAGCCAGATATGGGGTTGCCTTCGTTGTGTTTGGTAAGTAAAGATCGGACAAGCTGCAAATTCATCTCACAAAAGAAAATCGCGATATTTTAAAGGTCAAATACTTGCTTGCTCAGCTCTTTGTCTATAGCCGGCACACCGTTTTCTAACTCGGCTTCTCATACCCGGAAACGTCCTACCCGATATATTATTCAAAAGTCTCAGTTAGCTATGCTAAAGACTAGTGATGATCTTTTTGCCCCGCTACATCCGCCAGTACTGTGGGAGCTTGTCCATTAGTCACTCTTCTTCTGTATGAAGGTATAATCAACACTTTCGCTGGTTCTGAATCTTCAAGTCAGAAAACCATAATCTCTAATTTTTCATTAAATACATCTTAATATACGTCCTAGCTGTATTAAAACCCGTCATTGGAGACGTTAATGAATACCGACGCTTAATCTGGTATCACGAATGGCTGCCTAGATGTATCGTTTCTTCATCGCGAGATATTGACATTGTATGTTGACCATAGCTCGCTTTTGTTTTGATTGTTTTCTCAATTATTGATTCGGAATTGCATGTAGAGTTGGGGAGTTCGTAGGTCCTTGGTCCTCTAAAGTGATAACTTTCTTGTTTGATTGGAATAGGGTTTGAGACACTTACGGTAGAAAAGGTAGACGACAAATCCATATTTGTACGACGTCGAAAGCTATTGAGATGATACAAAGAAGAAACTCAGGCCTGATCATGCTGGATATCTTGGATTAGTCTCCGAAGAGAACTCTCGAATTATTTTGCGTGGACTTTGTAATCCGACCAAAAACCCTTCCAAATTTGTTATGCATATTCAGCTTATCCCCAAGTCCTTGGGAGATCTCTTTTTGGAAAGATTTCCGAGCGTGCAGATAATCTGAAATTGAGGATAATGCCATACCTGAGCGATAGGAAAACAGCAAATTCTCAAGTATTGCATTTTATAGACTCTTTAATATTTCCAAATTCTCACCGGCTTCGATTACCATTGTCTTCTCCTAATGAATGTATTTCACCACCGACCATTGTAACAGTCAAAACATCCAATGTACACCAATTTCCCCCAACTCAAAGGTACAGTATGACAAAATGTCCCCTGCTTATCAATATGTCACCACAACATGATATTCTCTCCCGGACTTGGCACACACAATTCACCGAAGCAATCCAAGTCCAATGGAACGGTTCGAACCCCTCATGATCATCTAAAGATGATGAATCTAAACTAACATGCGATTATGCTCCCTGTTCCGAACAAAACCACGACTTTCTATGCAGCCAAGGATACCAAGATCTAGTGTATGCGAATAGGAAATTTCCGTATGCTGTGTTAGCGAGGTAAAGCCCGAGGTTACACATCTATTTGTGCTGTAATAAATATATTCGTGTACTCATCTCATGTTCCATAGGTTATTAGTATGGAATTTGCCATCTTTGTCAATTCACTCTCCAGTCTATCAATACCCCCTCTTCTGTCTCTTTTGACGAAGACTTTCTATCCCCATGTCTTCCTGAATGATTATATGCTCAGTCGATTCAGTTTCAATACACTCACTATATTGTGCATAATGAGTAAAATATCTACGCCTCCATCTGGCAGTACCGGTGCCATGGACCCCGAGAAAGTCGACCGCGTCGCAACGCAGGACAAAGTGCCTGGTCATAGTAATTACTATGAGGAGAATGGTCTGCGTACATACGGCGATGATGAGGATCATGATCACGAACCTAAAGTATGTTCATCACAAAAGAATACTTTGTCAGTTATTGAGGACGAGTAGATGTCGTCTCGACGTTTTATGAGTCTGGTCGCAATGGCTTTTTTGTGGACGGGATCGCAGATTCCTGTTTATATTTTCGGTAAGTTCTGTGCATGCAGTTCAGGGCGTAAGTGCTAAAGTTATGGATTCAGGCGCCATTCCCCCTTATATCTATTCTGACCTCGGTGGAACCGATCGGTGAGTAATCCGATATCTAGATCTAAATCTCATATGCAATTTTTTGAAACGCCTTGAGTTGTTCATAACTCTAATCGGAGATATGTAGGTGGATATGGTTTGTACTCGCGAATCTCCTTGCTTTAGCGGGAGTGTGTCCATTTGTCGGGAGTCTCTCTGATCTCCTCGGGCGCCGTTATGTTGCGCTTCTGGGAGCTGTTTTTGTTGCCATCGGTATGATTGTTTGTTCAACCGCTCAAACTATGAATACATTTATTGGTAAGTCAATTGTGGTCGGCTAGCGGGATTTTATAACTAAGCCAATGCGGAAATATAGGAGGAATGGCTATTGCGGGAATTGGAGCTGGCATTAATGAGTAAGTCTTCTAGCCGCACGTTTTTCCGGTATATGAGAGAGGTAGGGAAGGCACAAGCTTATGTTGGCTAGACTCACTGCTCTAGCTGCAACATCTGAGTTAGCACCTACCTCAAAACGTGGAACCTACGTCGCCGTCCTCGTATTCACCATCATTCCATTTTGTCCCTCGGTTTTGTGGGGCCAGCTCATCGCCTCGCATGCAGGATGGCGGTGGTGCGGATTGCTATGTGGAGTGTGGGCTTTCATCGGCTTTGTCCTTACTCTCGTATTTTACTTTCCTCCTCCCCGAGTCAACTCGCTAGGTCTATCCAACAGAGAAATCATACAACAAATTGACTTTGTGGGAGGTTTTTTGAGCATAGCGGGAATGATCTTATTCATGGCTGGTATGCAATGGGGCGGCTATCAATACAAATGGACTTCAGCGCATGTCCTGGTCCCTTTAATCTTAGGCGCCGTCTTGCTGGCTGCTTTCTGTTGCTGGGAGGTATATGGAGCAAAGTATCCTATGTTTCCATCTCGTCTGAACAAAGCACCGAGAATTCTGGCTCTGACACTTGTCATAACGTTTATATCTGGTGCTAATTTCGTAAATATGACCTTTCTTTTTTCACAAAAATTCTTTCTTAACATATATGCTGACTAATCTTAGTTTAGCATTATCATGTTCTGGCCTACTCAGGCTTTCAACGTATATGGGCATGATCCTGTTGGTGTGGGCGTCAGAGGAATACCCGTTGGTTTCTCAATTCTAGCCGGAGCTTGTATTGCGCTATGGTTACTAAGTGTGCTGCGAGGAAGAAATAAGGAATTGATGATTGCAAGTTCAATATTGATGACAGCCGGTATGTCATTCTCAAAAGGGTATAATGATGATGGGCGACTTCAGCTTGAATTTCGCTAATCTAAACGACTTTTAGGGTGTGGTTCCCTTGCATGCGCCAACAGATACAACCTCTCAACATTGTGGGCTTTGCTCGTCATCGCTGGGTTGGGAGTAGGTGGAATCGTCGTGCCAGCTTCGATAATAACCACAATAATCTGTCCCGACGACTTGATCGCAACTGTCACTGCCCTTACCCTGTCCATCCGAGTGATCGGTGGCAGTATAGGTTATTGTGTCTACTACAACATTTTCGTAAGCAAATTTATTCCTGCTGCAAAGCTACATATTGGAGGCTTGATGGCTCGAGAACTCCATATCAAAAACAGAACTCTTATTTATGAAGCCATCGAGTATACAGCTCATGCTCTCCTGCCACTGCTCAAGACTATTCCAGGTATTGCCGGGAATGAAACTGCGTATCAGATGGTTGTGGTCGCAGGACAGGAAGCATATGCTGAAAGCTATGTTTATGTATACTATGCGAGCATGGCATTTGGAGCTGTGAGCATTTTGGCAGCGTGTTTTCTAGGTGATATCAATGCATATATGGATGACCATGTAGCTGTGGTAATGCATTGAAACCTTGTACAAGTCCTGGAAACGGCGTTAAAGGGATAAAATTTGGACATGGGACATAACTGGTCAAGGCATGGTTCCATCGCGTGGTGAATGTAATACAAGCTGGTTGCATTCAATCGTGTGAGTATCCAACAATAGTTCCGAATTCAGCCGTTAGACTTGTAGAATATTTCGATTTTATTTGAATGTGAATATTGTTACTTGACAACCTGAAGATATAAGGTTCAGTTTTCATATAGAAAATGAACATCGAAATACACCCTGATCAATAAAAAGGTGTGTTTGTAAAGAATGTGCGATCCTATATCTGGAAGTGCAGATTTTGACTTTTCCCTTGTTCTTCCCCACTTCGCAACAGCTTTTCCAAGATTTCCAAATCAGCAAGAGCTTCCTCTGGAGATTGTCTAGTATCAGGCTTCTTATCCACAATGCTCTGCGCCCAAGCAGCAACCTCCTGCTTCACTCCACTTCCCTCTTCCGTGAACTCAACCTCCGTAAAGTTCTTTTCTCTTTCTTCGCCTTTGCGTACAATGACCTTGCTTCTGATGACCGTAACGCTACCATCCTCACAAGCTACTGTGTATTCGGGACCAGAAAGAGTGGTACCGAAGGAAACACTGAATGTGCCTGATATCCCAAAATTTGTGAGCCATACTGAATTGATCGTGTCAACGGGTGGCAGATGTTCCCGAAGAAGTGTACTGAATGCTACGACGGATGTCGGTCTTGCAGCCCCACCTAAGAGCAATCTGCCGGCTGCCGTGGAATGCACACCCCCATCGAGTAAAAAGCCGCCTTGGTGATCCGGCTTCTTGCGCCATTCAGTTTCTGCCATACCTGTTAATTTATGCAACGACATCGCTGAGATGGAAGTGGCATACCGTAGTATCTGGATCCTTGCTTAACATTGCCAAAAGATTGCATACGAAACCCCAAGACTCTTCCTAATTTTTCTATTTCCTTCCTCGCATGGATGAACGAATGCAAGAATCGGAAATTTTCGGCCACGCTCCATGTAGCCCCATCCTTCACTTTATCGCTCTTATAATATTCTAGCAAGCATTGCGCGCGCTCTAAGTCTCCTGCAATCGGTTTCTCGGATAGAACATGTTTGCCCGCTGCGAGAGCTGCTTCGATGTATTCTGGCTGGACGAGAATTGGAAGGGCAATTATCACAGCATGTATATCACTACGAAGAAGGAGGTCATGGAATGTTTTTCCAACACCCGAGTCGTCGGAATAGAGAGGAACATCGACATTTAGTGACTGTGCGGATGAAAGAGAACGGGAGTATATAGCTTTGAGGGACAAATGAGGGGTAGATTGGACTGCTGGCTAGACCGTGATATTAGTGAGCCGTGTAAGAAAAATTGTGCAGGCGGGGTATACCAGGTGTTCTGTCTGAGCAAATATACCAGAACCAATGATGGCGACGCCGATTGACATTTTTGGTGTATGTTCTCCTCTGCTGAGATATTTGCACACTTTGGTAAGTCTTAGGAGCAGATATTATCATTTACGTCATAGTAAAGGTAACTCCGTGCCAAGCAATGGACGACACACCATCTTTTGATAGAAATGTGACCCTCAATGGACGATGATCTATGCCACTACCTAGAAAAGTCATCTGAAAATGCAACCAGATCAGCCCGGGCACAGATTCTCATAGCTCACCTCCCGCAAACACCAACAAATGTTTCCAAGTAGCTTATTCATCTTCATCAATCTGAATGCAGTCCACTCAAAAAATTAATTCCAAAAGTCATTTCATTTCTTAAACCCTTTTTGTCTCGCCGTGGTTCAGTCATGATCTCAAAATGAGAACTTAAAATCCCGTACCCAGTCTTCGTTCTAAACTCAGATCCATTGTAAGTCTTAATATTTTATCTTAAGCCATCCATGGTAATTTATGTTTTCCAGGTCAATTAATTGTCTTTATAATTTGAACAAATGAATGATAGTTGTTTAATTTTATTAATTTGTAATCATTTCTCTGTTAATCCTTTTGTGTGAGAAATTCAAGAGATTGAATAAATTCAAAGTATTATAATAAATTATAAATAAAAGAAAGAAAAAAGAGAAGCTTTTTGTTTTAAAAACATAAAATAGCTAATTAGGGTCTGTATTATTAGGTATGTTTTTTATCAGTATAAAAAAATCTTATCCATTTATATAATAATTATTATAATGTCTTGGAATTTATCTAGCTTGTTTACTTTTGAAAGCAACGACTATTTAACCATCACTATATCCTAGCTTCACAAGAAAACTCCTCAAGTTCCAAAATGCCATTCCTTCAACCATATCTCTTTTTCTGCTCACTTGTTGTAAATTCTTTAATGACTTGGTGCCTCATTTGCTCTAACGCATCTAGAGCCTCTTCGTATCGGTCTGGTCTTACTATTCCTTGCTCAGGAAATAACTCGCCAATACTCTCTTTAATTGACTCCATCGCCTCCATACCACGCATTACTCCTTCGACATTAGCCTCCATTACTTGCCGCTCTTCTGTTGAAAAGGAGGACGGATAAGCTGAAGTTTTGGCTCCTGGAAGTGTATCCCATATGGGTTCTAACCCGGCTACTTGTGAGAGATATGATGCCTCGCAATCGATGAGGAGATTGCGTGCTAGGAGTAGGAGTAGATAACTCGTTGTTTGCTGGAACTCAAGCGCAGCGTAAATTTGTGGGTTTTTATGGTGAGTTAAAGTGTTCTAAAGGGAGCACAATGATTTCTGTAAATACAAAGTCTGTGCGTGTTTCCTCGCATTTGCGTCTAGCTGTTCTATATCTTTTGGTGGCTGAGGTCGCTCTAAGCCAAATACAGGCGAACCGTTATAATCGATAATATGAGGTTGGCGGGCTTGGAAGTAAAGTGGGGATAGCTCAGTATTTTGCCAATCTATAAGCCCTACAACTTCGGTATGTTTGGATGGATTTACGAATATGTTAGCAACGTGTAGATCGCCATGTCAAAGATGCGATGATGCAATAGATTGATCTGTAGGAAGGAGAAACTCGATCAACTTGAGATAGCAATGTAAAGCATCAAGCTTTCTTTCTCTTGTTGGTTGGTAGGTTACGGGGCCACAGAGGGTTACTGGAGACTTGGGTAGGCGAGGGAGCTGATTGACGCAAGCTATTTCTCAAAGCCCGATTGCGGTGTGGTACTCCTTAAATTACCCCCTTATACTCATTAGTTAGATAAGTCCTGGCTTCAACATAGAAAATCTTACATGGACCGCTATCAAAGCCAACGTTTGCTCTTCCGTTATCAATTAATTCGCGTCCTGTAGATGGACCAATAGCGAATTTGGCATTTGTGATATCAATCCCATTTGCATCGGTATACAAGGGCTCATTTCCAGTTCGTTCCTCTAGATCTTTGGCGTAATAAAGACCCCCAAATTTCTTAAAGGAAACCGAAGCCCAGGCTTTCTGGAAACCAGTAATGGCTTTGACAAGAGTAAATCTGTCTTCGATCCCCATACTTGGCCAAACATGTTCTAGCTCGATTCCTGGAACCTTTTCCATGATAATATATTCTGCACCAACGGGATTTTCCTGGGCTGTAGAACTCCAAGCAAAGACTTTGGGAACAGGGGCTCCAAGAACATTCCTTGCCTAAAGTATATTTGTTGAAGTATCTGCGTACATTAATATCTAAATCCAACATACATACAAAGTCCATTGTTGCAACTTCGCTTGCAGTAGTAAAATGAGGCCTACCAGCACTCGGTTTTGGAACTTTCGCTACAACTTGAGTGCCATTGTCCATTTTGAGAAGCATAGCCTTATTGTACATGTCGTTAGGATACTTTTCAATGCTAACGCATAATTTTTCCCCAACAGCTTTTGCCGCGATACGAGCCATCTCATTAACATTGAAATGGACATGGTGCTGTGACATCTCATATTCTTCATCACACACAAAACGACCCCGAGTATAATTGAAAATATCGTCGCTGTACTTCAAATCTAATTCGATGAATAGCACGATCAAACCTTTCAAGACGGAAAAAACTGACCAGGGAGCAGCGCTTGTGAGGCCAGCCGAGTGGACTGCGTGATTTGGTGGCCATTGTTCTTCTGCTTAATACCTTGTAAAGGCGAGTGTATCTGATTAAAATAGTATTCATTTCATGTAATCCCCTATAGCAGCTTTTGACCATGACTCGACTGAATTGCAAATGAGTGAAGGAGTGTATCAAATAAAGCTTCGTTGACATACACATGTGACTGAGACACTTGTTTGTGGTACTGCCACGAATGTCACCACCGGAAGAACGTGTATGGAAAATTGAAGCTTCAATAGATATGCCATTAGTATTAGTATTGTCTTGTAATCGCTTGAAGAACTAGAACTATGAAATCACCAAAGTATATAAATAATTCGGTTTCTTCGATGTTGAGGCACTAGCGTCAGCACTAGTGATGTTTCACGTGATTACGCTCAGGATAGATTTTGAATGAATACACCGGGTTTTATTTCTCAATAAATACTTCAAGTAATGCCACAGAGAATACATGGTCTCCTGTAGCGTATAAGCTACCAGGAAAGTGATTCTCCTCTTAGCTAAAAAGGGCTCATCTAGATTTTGTCGATCTCTATAGTAACCTTAAACCAGATGATCCTGGTTTACTACTACTCAAGACTTAGTCTAAATAGGACTAAAGAGAAATCATTCAATTTCATCTAGTCTTTATAATCATGTATATTATACCTTCCCCGATCACCAAAAGTGCTCTATAATTATACTATCTTACAATAAAAAGTAATTTTTTAATCTTCGGTATTCTATATAAAATTCTAAAAAATTATATTTATAAATAAGAAATTTAAAAACACGGATTTTAGTGATATTGAAGACAGATTAGTATCACTGAAAAAAGTAGTTAACTTATATTACAAATTATTCCTGGCAATATCTAAGTACTTTTATATTACGAAGTAGAAAAAACCCATCGTTATTCCTACCGTAGGTGGCTTTTAAAGTAGAGTAACACTGACCTGCAAGTTGATTAGTCCTACCAAGTAGTACGATCATGGTCGCACTATTACTGTTCATTTAATCGGCCCTCATACCGAGCTGATTAGAATGTATTCATTATATAATGCTCACCAACGATTTCAATTTCATTTTCTCTTCCATTGAGTATTATTCATCATCTATATCAACTTAAAATCATGTTTAAGCTCTGCGTCGTTGTCATGACGGCTGTCTTAAGCCTCACCTCAGCTAAGACTTGCACCAATATCACTATTCCAATCTCCATCAATGCTCGAAATGGCATTTTCAGTATTCCAACTCTTTCCGATGCCATTGCCGTGACAAAATTCGCACAGGATTTCTTAAGAAATGGGCAAAATTACAGCGCATCTACATTGTCTGGGTTCACCACCGTGACTGGCCAATATAACATTGCTGCAACGGTATGCGTACCAAGCAAAGCAAGTAATTACTCCAGTACATGGCAGTTTCTTACTCATGGAGTTGGCTACGATAGGACGTGAGTACATCGAGTGAGCCATTTCATAAATATAAGTACTGATGATACATATAGGTATTGGGATTTGCCATTCGATAACCACAACTACTCATATGTAGATGTTGCAGTTGATCAGTATGGCTACAGCACTCTAGCCATTGATAGGCTGGGGATAGGGGAATCCTCGAAAGCTGACCCGACTTCGATCATACAAGCTCCTGCCGAGCTTTCAGCCATTATAGAAGTAACAAAACTATTACGTGCAGGCAGTTTGCCGGATGTTATCATCTCCAAACCTAACAAGCTTGTCCACGTTGGTCATTCTTTCGGCTCAATCCTATCATATGGACTCGTTTCCGCACACCCAGAAATCACAGATGGACTTATACTCCAAGGGTTTTCCATCGATAGCTCAGCTCTAGCTCAAACAATCGCAGGATTTAACATTCAATCCGCGTCCGTAAATCAACCTTATAAATTCGGTCCGCCATCTTTTGAACCGCTATTCGACGCAGCATTATCTCTGCTTCAAAGCGCACTCAGCAAAATAGGATCTTTCTATATCGCGGGCTCCAACCAAAATAACGGTAATATCTACGCACAAGACCTTCCCAACGGCTATATCACGTGGGCCAACCTTGGCTCCAACCAATTCGCCTTCCTCGCACCACCGTACTACGATCCCGCCATTGCTGAATACACAGAAGAACACAAAGAGCCCTTTACGACCGGCGAGATCCTAACAATAGCCGGTCAGCCATCTTCCGCACCTGAATTCACCGGACCCGTATTGGTATTGACGGGAAATGAAGACCAGATTTTTTGTGGAGGAAATTGTTCTGAGACGGGTAGTGCTAATAGTGCGCCGAATATACCTGCGCAGGCTGCAGTTGTCTTTCCAAAAGCGAGGACTTTTGTTCCATATGTTCAGCCGAGATGTGGACATGCGGTTAATGTTCATTTTAATTCTTCGGGGGCGTACAAGGTTATGAATGAATTTTTGCGGGAGCAGGGGTTTTAGGTTGGTGAAGGAATGGGGATGGGAATGGGATTGGAAGAGGAAGAGAAATGGAGAGAGAGAGAGGAACAATCTTACTTTATGGTGCTACGGATAAGTGTTTTAATTTTGGGCCGGTGGGGGAAGCGGGAGAGATTATTGCTGGTTTCTTTATTACTTACTAATTTCCTATCATTTTAATAGCTTGGGATAGTACTAAGATTAATTTCTTATTTCCTTTCTTAATTTTGCTATTTGAACTCCCTCTACAACTTAACTTCATTGGATTATTCTTTCATATCTATGAATTATAAACAAGCAGCAGCTCCCGCGCACCATTGATGGTTTCTCAATCCGTATTTGAACCATGAATCCGAAGACATTATGACCTGAAGTGCACAAAGGAAAGTGTATAAAGGATTAACTAAATGCAATGAGTACTATTGAGCCTTGAGTATCGATGTGAAAGATAATAGAAGTAAGTTTTGAACGATCATATTTTCCATCGTTTCACATACAAATCTACGCTAAACTATAGCTAATATAGAACCCATCCATGCATCTTGAAAGGTGATCATTTTCTCTATTTCACAACCAACAAGAAGGTTGTTCATTATTCGCCGTATCCACATAGCATGACGGATCATCACCACATTCCCTCACTTGAAATCTTAGAACTCAAACCTTGTACCTAAATCCCCTCTGACCCGCCGCCACCGTACCCTCATTGACCGCCCCATCTACCATTTCTCCCCTATCTAACTTCTTATTCAACCTAACCAACATCGTCCTCAACGTAAGCGCCGCACACATGGCCATAAAAACCATTGCACAATTCACACTCATCGCCACTATGTATCTCGGACCCGCACTACTGGGATACATGTAACTAGCATAAATACTCGACGAGTTAGAAACCGCATTGATGAACGCGAGCGCGACGGCTCTCTTAGCAGGGGGTCTAGGCAGTGTATTGGAGATCCAAGCAAGTGCGACGACGAAAGCGGTGTAGCAGCCGGGAACCATGAGCATCATGGCGACGTAGCGAGGAGCGGTACTTGTGGTTGCCGCGGCAAGGATGAAAGATATTAATGCGATGGTGAGCGGAATGGCGATGTGCAAAAATCGTTCGCCTGTTTTGTCAGCGTGCCAGGCGTTGGCCATAGAGGTTATGAGGGCCAGGACGTATGGAGGTGCGGTTAACAGAAGTGATTGAATTCTGTTGTATTTTAGAGTTGCTACGACGGTTCTGAGAAGTATTAGTGGTTTCCTTGGATAGATGAATGATTGGGAGATCTTACGGGAAGAAATTGGTAACCGAAGCAGCTGCAACGATACCAAATAGGATAAGCATGAGAATGTAGGTTTTGATGTCGGCAAAAGCGAGTTTCAAGCCATGCATGAAGGTTTGTTGATGGCTATCAACCCAATCGTCCATACCGACATCCTCTTCCAAACGCCAAACAGCCAGTTCACGCTCCTGCTCCGTCAACCAAGCCGTGGTGCGCGGAAAATTTGGGATGATAAAGTAACCAGCAGCAGCAATCACAACCGTTAGGGAACCCTCGATAATAAAAAGCCATCTCCAGGCAAGAAGTCCTCTCACTCCATCCATTCCGTCCGTAATACCCGCGGCTAGGAGACCAGAAAATGCTCCGCTGATCAAGGATCCGGAAAAAAGAAAGGCTGTGCGCAAACCTAACTCCTTGCGGGTATACCAGCATGAGAGGTAGTAGAGACATCCGGGCTGAACAGTATTAGAATCCTCCTCTGGCATATAAGAAAACATCACATGCAAAGAAAACTCACAAAGTATGCAGCCTCGACGAAGCCGAGGAAGAATCTACACATAAGAAGACCGATGAAACTGTGGGTTCCCGCTGTTGAAGCCGATATCATTCCCCAAATGATCATTGCTGTTGGGAGATAGGTGGCGGGAGTGCCGAGTTTATTCAAGAATAAATTCGAGGGGATTTGCATTAGGAGGTATCCGACGAATAGGATACTGACGCAAGTCTATAATTATTAGCTTTTAGCATTCATAAAACTCTGATAGGTATCTAGCTACATACCTGGTATTGATCTCCTACTAGTTTCAAATCTTCCTCCATTCCTGCTAATCGCGCTGCTGCGATGTTGTTCTATCATGAAGTTTTAGTTGTGGAATATGTAAAATCAGAGGAAAGACGTACTCTGTCCAGATAGTTCATGATATACATTATGATTACCATTGGCAGCAATCTTATATCAATTTTTCTCTTTAGTTTAGATTCGATACTGATACGTTCTTCAGGAGAGAGAGCCGCGATCCATTCTGGTGGTTGAAGAACTCGAAGACCGGGAGTGATTTTGGACGCTGAAGCTGTCGAACTATCCTTGTTGTCTTCTATATGATCTAGCTGCTGTGTCTTTCCAGCTAATGAGGCCATATTGATTACTTCAAAGCTCAATCGTTGTGATATTTATGGCTTGGAAGGATATTTTGATTTTGTATCTGGGGTTATAGGTATGTTACACGTATGTTGCACCGAGGACGGAGCAAAATATTTCTTGTGAGACTTTACCACTTGCGACGAATGTTCGACGCCAAGACCGACTATGATATCACAGACTGACATTCAGTATTGAAGCTTGAGGAAATGAAGTGATGATGATAGCGATGATGATTTCTAACCATTAGAATTAATTACTTTCGCTGGGAAGAAGCAGTGATATATATATATCGGACGGGCAAGAGATGACAATGACAATCTTGATATCCAGATATTACTAGGTATTCTTATTATTCCTTCCTACTACAGCAGTAAGTAGCATTGCTTACCTGTCAGTAGATAGGTAGCATGATGTGTCATCTGGAGAGAAGATTTTGCTGGGGGTACTCCATATACAGTGACAGGGGTTAGTAGCGCGGGCAATAATGCGGGGGAATGGGAATTTACTGGGGAAAGATATCCACGAACTCTCTCAAATTAGAACACATGACTCTTGTTGAAGTGAAGCACACTTCTCAATTTTCTATCATCTCTAGAATCCTATCCTATCCTATCCTATTACAGTATACCCCACTGCCAAGTTTATGAAACTAATAACGAGCATAAAGTCCCTATCAAATCCACATTTCGAGCTATTGATGCAAAGAAATGACGACGTTGTTGATGGGAAAATTCTTTGACAATTGTAAAGATTACCAACGTCCCCACGAAACCATGGACGGTACATGTGACCATGATAAATCGTTTCTCTCCTGCCAAGTCAAAATCACACATAGAACTGCTTACCAGTACATTTATTCTTCGTCCTCAGGCGATAATTCCGTAGTCTTTAATTGGCGTGTGCGGCCGTTCTGTCGCTCCTAGCAAAACGTGCAACCTTCCCCGAGGCAATGCAGACAAGTGGATACCATCATACGAGCGAAGTTTCCCCGAAGTCGATGCTCGGCAGTAGTGTCATTGGAACGAACATTATGCAAAAAGCGGAATTCCCGTTTTGGTTACCCCCTCCAAGCCGTGCCCTCATCTAAATACAATCCGTTGATCTTGTCATAGGCAACGGGAGTGTGTCGGAACGCTGAATGTTTAGTTTCATTGGACAATGTCTCGAATTAAGAAAACGGAATGGCTCTCGTGCATCGTTCGCACTCCACGAAACTGTGACCCTCGGCACGTTTGCCCGACCAGCCAGGAGAAATGGATGTGTGGATTGAGGTGACGTTGAGAATATTAAAGTTTTGATAGTGGTCTGAGGATTTTTTGGAGCCCTTCTTTGATTGTGTCGCTCATTCCTTGCGCTGCTGGCCTGCTAGTCTCTCTTTCAACAAATACGTGGATGATTTCTCCTACTGACTTGACTTCTTCAGCTCCTCGCTCGAATAAAGCGATCTCGTAAGTAACACTGCTTTTCCCAAGCTTGTTGACACGTAAAGCTAGATCAGCGACAGCCGGAAATGCAATTGAGCCAAAGAAATCACCATGAGAGTGCACTACTAAGCCGTATTGGGATGAAGTGGGAGGATGTAAACCACAATGCTCGATGAGATAAGAGTTTACGATTGAATCGTACCTTTTTGAATCTCAGTCACATACATATTTCAGCAGATTCAGATAAGCCTTACAGAAAGTTGTAGATGCTATTGTTCATGTGATCATACATATCATTATCAGACCTTTAGATCTATGTCAGCTCATTGAAATTTGCCCTGAAAATATGTGAAGATGTCATACCAGCGTGTCCTGTACTCTAAAATGTAGCCATAATCCTCTCTCCTCCGTTTCTTAAGCTCTTGATGAGACATATCGGTTGGTCTTGGTGATACGTAAACAGATATCAAAGTGAATATAAACTGTGAAATAGATTTGGAGGAGAAGAGTTAAAGGTCATAGGTCGATATTGGTAGAAAGATCTGGTTTTTGCCGAGGTGTATTTGGAGTTTCCAATAACCTTAGGGCCGAAGCCGAATTCTGATGTCAGCAAGGAGAAAGTGTAGGTTATTCACCAACCATGGCGGTGTGTTTGGCAGAAAAAGTGTTTTGCCAGAAGACGGTGTAAAAAGAATTCCCCCCAGTTTGCAACTCCCAGTCAAAAATGACTCGTACTTCACATCACAATTTTTAAGATTGTTATCTTGCACTATCTACCACATTCAACGTGAAATCCGACTCGGTGGCTCCTTCACCTCGCATTGTTGCGCTTTTGGCCCGCAGGGCTGGAATGCTTAATTCCACCATGGCACTAGTCGAAACTTCCGCAGGATATGCGCCCGTGAAAGAGAAGAACCCATTTGAAGAACCCCCCGCAGTTGTGATTACCCCTTCTGATCCATGGCCGCGACCATATTATCTAGAGAATGGGTTGCGCAGAGTCGCGCCGTACCATTTCACCTACAATACGTACTGCAAACAAAGATGGAGGGGAAGAGAAATACTAGATATATTTTCAAGTGAATTCCGAGATAGGCCATTGGAATATTATGTACGTTAGGAATATTCGAAGCAAATTGGAGCCCTGCTGACAGGCTTAGAAAGATGCCATGGAACGCGGAGCTATTGCTGTGAATGGCAAACCCGTCGAATCAACTTCGCAGATTATAAAGAATGGAGATGTTATATCACACACCCTGCATCGACATGAACCCCCTGTTACAGCTCTTCCAATATCAATTGTGCATGAAGATGAAGATATCATCGTGATAAACAAACCTTCCGGCGTTCCGGTCCACCCTGCCGGTCGATACAATTATAACTCTGTAGTTGAAATCATGAGAGCTGAGCGCGGTCATGGCTGGAATCCTTTGCCGTGTAATAGGTTGGATAGGTTAACTAGTGGCATTATGTTCATTGGAAAGCATGCCAAGGCTGCAGAAGCACTAAGTTTACAAATATCAGGGCGCACTGTCAGAAAAGAGTATATAGCACGAGTAAAAGGAAAGTTCCCGGACGGAGAAGTGGTTTGTGACATGCCAATTCTGCAGATATCGCCGAAATTGGGACTGAATCGTGTTCGGGCAAGTGGTAAAGCCGCTCGCACTGTCTTCAAGCGCCTAGCATATTATCCGCCGGAAAACCTCCTAGAACAAGTTGATGGCAGCTCCGAGCCGATGGAGCTAGACAAGTCGGAACCATCGATGAACAAGGAGGGCTATTCGATCGTTAGATGCCTTCCAGTCACAGGACGTACACATCAACTCAGAGTTCATTTACAATTTTTGGGTCATCCTATTGGCAATGATCCTATATATTGCAACCAACGCGTATGGGGGACGAGACTTGGGGAAAATGATTCTGATGCAACTCAAGATACGGATGAAGATATTATAACTCGTCTTTCGAGGATGGGCAAGTCAGAAGTTGCTGATGCTGTAGCCTACCATGATGAGATGGTAGACGAATACAACAAGAAAAAGGCCGAGAAGATGTCTGGAGAGCTATGCGACGTATGTCAGACCCCTTTATATACTGACCCAGGTGAGCAAGAGCTGTCTCTGTGGCTCCACAGCCTCCGCTATGAGGATGCCGGGGGTTCTTGGAGTTACGTGAGCCCTCTCCCAACATGGGCCTTACCTCCTGCCGGTATGGATGGACCGACAGAAGTTGGAGGTATGGAAGAGCTGGTCAAGGCCGTCAAGGAAGACAACCCTGAAATCGCATGAGCCCTGTAACGTCCTCTGTTTGATACATTCTTCTGAATGTACTTGACAGCCAAAGGCATAGTATATAGTTCATCGGAAGTAACGACCTTTTCAGTTCATCGAATCAAACGCCTTCGTTACAGCATTTTGGTGGCAGGTATTAGCGAGGCGAGATAGTCAATATTTCTGTTAGAGCCCGCTCGGCATCCGACTCATATAGACGGCAACTTTACCAAACAAACCACAAGATTTACGGGTTTGACTTAATGGTTTATCAACAATTCAATATATACCTGTCTATGCTTGAAAATTTGAATTGATAAATGTTTCACGGAATTTGATCCACCTATCTATCAAAAATCCAAATTTGATCCTTAAGACAACTATTTCGTATTGACTTGAATTTGGTTTGAGTTGGAATTTGAGCTTGTGATTTAGAAAGTGGATCGAACATGTCGTGATGATTGATACTCATAGTTCCGGTGGGGTTCGGTGTTTCCTTCGAAATCCCAATCCATTCATTAGAGATTAGGATAACAAACCAATCCACCCTAGAGGAGGTTTGCGGGATCTTCGGACGTTGTTAGGCTACTATTAGCCTAACTAATACAGCAGACACTTTGTATATAGTTTACAGAATCACACCTAAGCTTAAAGGAAGTTGCCTCTCCATAAGAACGATAACACATCGTACCTAGGGATATTTTCAACGTCTAGATCTATATTTGATAATATCATGTCAAACAATGATATCAAATATAGTGCATGTCCTGGATTTATCTTTTAAACCAAACACGCTCTAAATTGGACGCTAACCAAACTCTTTACTCTTCCGGGAACCTCCTCGTATGTACTGTAGTAGACTGATGATCAGATCATCCCAATGTTCGCTTGAGAAGACGCATGGATCAAGGAGTTGTTGATCATGATTTCAGCACTAATGCCTTTTATGAAATCCTGTTATGGAACCTCTTCCTATCTGGAGAAACCTTTGGAATATAAGAGTTACGGTATATCCTTCATACTATGTTAATGCATATGCTTATCTAGTAGCTATTAGAGGTCAGGATCGTCATTCATGGCTGGCGGCACGAGCGCAGTGACTTGATAACCCTCAAGTCATGGATTGACCTGAAGCTAGAAGAATTCCCTCATCACCAATTGGCGGTGTTCTATTTGCTAACCATGCCTAGTATATGGAAGCAAATAAACACCGTTCTGGTACCGGACCATTGGTACTTCATATAGATGTTGATGTCAATGACCTTACCTTACCTTACCCTTACCTTCGCCTATTAAGTTTGTTCGGAACTCAATCAATAATATGTCTTGCCGTGTATTGCAAGTTCTTTGCCCCTTCATCTCCACATTGATTTGACACTCACTGCAACAGCTAAAAGATTCGTTGGATGATTAGGTAATGAGGTTTACCGGCTGACTGGCTGGTTCCAATACAAAAGGGATGGCATAGACCTTTTGGCGAACCTGGAAACTTCCTTTAGTCCTGTTGCTCTATCGAATCCTTGACACAATCATCCGGACCGAATTTCTAATAGTTTAAAGTTTTCTTCCCATTCATACAAAATCTGGTGTTTCGTATGTGAAATAGACATTTTCAATTCATCATCTACAAATTAATCCCAATTCACATGGCTTTCACTTTGTAATCTTGTGGCTTCCTAAATGTACCCCATACCTTAAAGTCATCCTTCCATTTCTCAAATATATCTTAGCTTCAATCTTATTAATCATTCTTCACAAGCTCGCACTTTCTTTGACATCAAAGTAGTTTGAAGCCAAATTCCTGCATTCCGGCATTCCTGCCTGGCAACTACACATCACCCAAACTTTCTTCAGCCTTCCTCCTCATTCATCTACCAATCTCACACATTATCAATCAAACTGTTTTGCTTAAAATTGGTAAAGCCTACTAGTCCGCAAGTTCGCCTCTCATTCCTCCTTAAGTATCAAGTTTCCTGCTGTGCCGAACAGTTCCGAGCAATTTTACAAACCTAGACAACACCTCAGTATCGAGGATTTTCAAATCTCAAATTCAAGCGGCCATATTACCGACGCTCAACATACCGTAGAATACTCCAGTTGGTTGAATCGGACTGTCTATTCCGTTCTTTATTATCCTCGACTCTTTTCATAGTGACTAGTCTTGTCTCACAGTTAGCCTTCACGTTATTGGCGCTCGATTTGGGTAGCAGCCGACCTGCCTCAACTGATTCAATTCGTGATGGCAAGAGAAGCCAATGAAAGATTTGTTTTATAGTAGAGCCTCCTTTCGCAACCATCACGGCGCATCCCATTATGTCTCAACTAGGCCATGGCCTCAACGAACCTACAGGCTCGGATGGAGAAGAATTGAGCCGTTCAGACTCGCTGCGTGCAGCTGACAAGAAACCCGGTGAAAAAAAGCGAGGTATGAAACAGCCGAGCAGGTTTTAAAGGGATAAATGTTTTGGCCAGCTCATGTTTCGACAAGTCATCTAACATTCACAGCATCGCGTGCAGGATCTCGCAATGTATCAACATTAAGCCCTGCCCAGTACGTATAATATATCATGAAGTCCCTGGGCAATAACTTCGGATCCGATACAACAGGACCCAAATACTACTACGGAGAAATATGTTAATCTGTTGTAGACTAGCAAGGAAAAGAGCCAATGATCGCGAAGCCCAGAGGAACATTAGATTAAGAACCAAGGTATAACAAACTTCTTTCCGGCTCCTTTCCTACCTATTTTAATAAGACAACACGATACTTTCAAACTCCGGAGCTCATTTGAACATTTTTTTTGACTGAAATTGTAGGAACATATTGAGAGGTTGGAAGCTCGCGTCGAACAGCTTATCAGTGGTAGTCAAAACGAAGCAGAGCTTGAAGAGTTCCGAAGACGAAACGAAGCATTGGAGCTGGAAGTAAGACAATTGAGTGAAGCCCTAGCACAGCCGAGAGACGATGATAGTTCAGGTATGTACTCATTTCCCAAAACTTCTTTTGAAGAGAGCCTCAGCAAAAGTTTTTAGGCCCTTTGCCGCTTGTTTGTGTATTCTGAATCGCCAAAGTTGGCCATGTCAAGATATTTGAGAGGACGAATTCCAAGCCAAGGACATCAAACTATAGTCATTCGGTCAATTGGTACAGCTTAAGCACCAATTGGATGTCTACAATTCTGACACCTCTTAAACGTTTCATCATCTACAATTAATGGAAATCCCACCGCTGACAAAAACCACACAAGGCCCAGATCAGCCTAATGAATCAACTTTTCCGAACAATGCAGAAATTTCCAGTCCGTCGACACAAAATATTCCCCAAGGAGCCCCCACAACTGGGTTCATGAACTCGCATGATTTTGAGGCGCCGTGGTATCACCCGGCAACTTCAATAAATTCAATTCATACTCACCGGCACCCGTCCGGCGCTGTATTTGAGCCTATAGATGGAGTATCACAGGAACCAGCTTCTGTCAGTTCCTTAGATGGGGATAGTCATTTTCAATGCTTTGGCCCAAATCCCTCTGCGAATCTCAATGACAGTAAGTTGCTGCGTTCTTTCAAATCCTAGGGTCTTCCTCGCACAGCCTTTTTTAAATTTTCGGGGTGATGACCATATTGTAGCAGGCAATTGGATTCCAACTTCTCTTCCATCAGATGCTGTTCAAAGTACAAACTTAGCTGCCATTTCAGGCCACGCACAACCGCAGCTGACATTACAACAAACTCCCAGCTCGGCGATTATCGTCGCCCCCAGCCAAGCGATTCCACCACACTTACCACCATTCGATGCACTTCAGCCTTGGGCCCTGCCAATACTGAATACATCCTCGCCGACATGTGGAGTTGACACCCTACTTCTAAACATTATACGCACGCAGAAAGAAATCGCGAGACAAGGGGCATCGGAAAGCGACATCATCGGACCTCCTCAACCTAGCATGAAGGCTCTCATTTATCCTAATGACCAAAATCAGACTCACCTTATCTCCACAATGATCTCGAGACTTCTTACTAACCTCACGATCAAGGGTCTTGCGGAACGAGCCGGTTGCCTCTACCTGATGTATCATATTTGTCAATGGCAAATCTATCCCTCATCATCGACGTATGGCAATTTGACAGACTGGACTTCGCCACGAACATCCCAGCTAATTACGCCTCATCCTGTATGGGTAGATTCAATATTTTGGGGCAAACTGAAGGATAGGGTCATTGAAAAACAAGAACTTTACGCCAACGAAGAATTTCAAAATGCATATATAATATGCATCAATGTAAATTGGCCACGACCCGACTTGGAGGCATTTAGGTTCGAAGGCAACGACATATTTATTACCGAAGAATTTGAGAATCACATCAAAACTCTATCGAACTGGAGCTTGGACGAGAGATTCGCCGCCAGGTACCCGGAACTAGCGCCTTTGGCCAGGATTTCGGGGGTGGGAGGCGTAGGACAACTAGGACTGCAAGGACCTTACGTATAGCAAGAGAACATTACACGTGGAGTATACCAAGTTGTTGTAGATCGGAATTGGTAGGATGAATAGCAATAAGGAACACCAGTGGGTGCACAGATCCATGAAACAGAGCACAAGTATCATACTCAGAACTTGTATTTTTAATATTCAATCAAATTTTAATATCCAATAAATTCACACTGAGATTTGGAATGTTTAATAATGAATATAAAATTTCCACATTTTTTTAAAACTATATTATAAAAATCTAAATTAAAAATTCTATAAATTGATTTATATTCTTTTGTTAAAAGATTTAAAATAAAAATTATACTTTTTAATTTCAAAATAAAAACCATTTAAATAGATTCGAAGTATATTACATTTTGATGTTTAAAAGAATATTCAATTCGAATTTTGATTAGAAATATTATAAATGAAATTTTTATTATAATTTTTAAAACACAGATTAGACGAAGAGAATTCGATACGAAGCTAGATAAAATGAAGAGCGCTGGCCTTCAGCTTCCCCCTGACTATTCTGATATATACTTTTCGGATGATGAACGCATCGCAGAGCTCGAAGAACGGCCCGATTTCCCAAGTACTGTAGAGCCATCAAGACCCTATGCAGATATAAATATGGAATTATCTAACGGTGTTATACCTGCATCTATTGCGCAGTATCTTCGAGATTACCAAGTAGATGGAGTCAAATTTCTCCATGAAAAGTTCGTTTATCAGAAAGGGGGCATTTTAGGTGATGATATGGGTTTAGGAAAGACTGTGCAGGTGGCCGCGTTCCTTACTGCGGCGTTTGGAAAAACGGGAGATGAGCGGGATGGAAAACGTATGCGAAAATTGAAGACTAAAGACGAAGGACGATGGTACCCACGAGTACTCATTGTGTGCCCTGGTTCTTTAATCCAGAATTGGAAGAATGAACTAACGAGGTGGGGATGGTGGCATGTCGAAAAGTTTCATGGGAATGTGAAGGAGAAAGAGCCTGTACTTCGCAGTGCTCAATCTGGCCGCGTCGAAATCGTCATTACTACATATTCAACATACAAGAATTACAAGGATGAACTGAATACAGTTTCTTGGGATTGTGTTGTAGCTGATGAATGTCATCAGCTCAAGGAAAGAACGTCTCTTACGACACAAGCGATGAATGAAGTAAATGCCTTGTGTCGTATTGGACTTACAGGTACTGCTATACAGAATAAGTACGAAGAACTTTGGACACTGCTTAATTGGTGCTCGCCTGGTAAGGTGGGCCCATTGGCAACTTGGGTTTCGACCATCTCAGAACCCTTACGGATTGGACAGAGCCATGACTCCACTAATCAACAGGTGAAACGGGCTCGGGAGACTGCAAAGAGGTTGGTCAATAATCTTATGCCTCATTTCTTTCTACGGAGGATGAAGACCTTGATCGCCCATCAACTTCCAAAGAAGACAGATAGATTGCTACCATGTCCCCTTACTGATCTTCAACGAGAAGCATACGAGAGGTTTCTCGAAAGTGATATAGTGCAGCTCGTCAAAAGTCATGGTGAACCTTGTGATTGTGGTAATGGTAAGAAATTAACACGCGGGGCATGCTGTTATTCTAAGATCCCTGGAACCAATATAAAATGGCAGGCTATGGTATTTCCTATCATGACCACACTCCAGAAGTTATCCAACCACCTGGCCCTTCTTTTGCCTAACGACGGAGATCCTAGAGAGAAACAAGAACGAGACTTAGATTTCCTCCAAAAAATGTTACCGGATAGATGGGAGGAATTATACAAAGCTCGAGATTCAATTGCAAACCTGTCCAACCCCGAGTTTTGCGGCAAGTGGAAAGTGTTGAAGAAGCTTTTGAAACATTGGCATGAGGAAGGAGATAAGGTTTTGATCTTTTCTCATAGTGTCAAGTTATTGAGGATGCTTCAACATTTATTTCAGAGTACTAGCTATAATGTGAGCTTTCTCAGTGGTGAAATGAAGTATGAGGATCGTCAGGATACAGTGGATGATTTTAATTCTGATCCTAATCAATTTATCTTCTTGATTTCCACCAAAGCTGGAGGTACGTTTCGTTCTTGATTTCATTATCTTCTCTGTTGCATTTCTTTGTTGAATTATTACTCGCCGAATGTGGTATTTGGATGGCAGCTCGATAGCTTGAAATTTGTGGATGTATAAAAGAGCCATCAAGCCTTATGATATTTAGGTTTTCCGTATACTAACAGAATCTATCAGGGGTCGGCTTGAATATTACCAGCGCTAATAAGGTAGGATTCGTTCATCAAGAATATCGCAGCACTTACTGACTTCGCAGGTTGTTATCTTTGATCCTAATTGGAACCCAAGTTATGACTTACAAGCTCAAGATCGAGCATACAGAATAGGTCAGCTTAGGGATGTCGATTCATTTCGACTGGTTTCCGCTGGGACAATAGAAGAAGTTGTCTATGCTCGCCAGATATATAAGCAGCAGCAAGCTAACATCGGATACAATGCTTCAATGGAGCGTCGATATTTCAAAGGTGTACAAAATGCAGTGAGCCAAAAAGGAGAGATTTTTGGGTTGGATAACCTGTTGTCTTTCCACGCGGATGAAATTTTACTTCGAGATATTGTCAATAAAACCAATGTTGCGGAGACAAGAGCAGGTGTTGCAATGGCCAGTTTCGATGTTCAGGCAGCTCTTGATGACGATGACAATCCTCTACGAGCAGATGATGATGATCCTAATGGTGCCATGAGTCAACTCGCCGCTCTAATCACCGAAGGCGAAGTAGATATCAAGCGCAAAAAGAAACCCACTCCCAAATCCGACCCCATCGCCGCAATCCTAGCATCAGCAGGTGTAGAATACACGCACGAAAACTCAGAAGTAGTCGGCTCATCAAAAGTCGAAGAGAGATTAAGTCGTCGCGCGGAAGAAACAGGCGGTGAAATCGGCTATGGTGAAGAAAGGCTTTTCAGACCCACATCAGGACACGCGGGGAATGGAAATATACGCTATGAGTTCCATCCGCCGGATGATGTTATGAAGAGACAGTTTTGTACGATGGCGAAAACGTTTGGATTTGCTAATGCGACGGAATTTGCGCTGGTGGTGGAAGGGTGGACGCAGAAACAGCGGACGGATTTTTTGGAGAGGTTTTATGCGAAAAGGAGGGAGAGGTTGGTGGAGTTGGATGGGGATAGAGAGGGAAAGGAGGGGAGGGAGAGAATGGAGAGAATGGAGATGTTGAGAGAGGAAGCGAGGGGTGATATGGATGGTGAGACGGAAAGTGATGAGGATGAATTGTAATGATACCCTTGTTTGGAGTTTGGCTTGTAAGTTGAGACTTGGGCGGATGGACTTACGATATTATGTCTAGGTTGTAGGTATAAGTTACAATAGTTCTGTTTATTATGTATGGAGTTTGAAGGATGAATATACGCTATCTACTGCGGACCTATGATTATCTGACGCTACCTCCTACTATCTAGAGATTTTTAAAGTTGCCCAAGTGGCTCAATTCGGAAATAAGGTACATTAGGTAGAACAAGGGAGTTCTTCACAAATGACTTCGAATCATCCATTTCGTAACTTTGGTTTACAAGGCAAGTGTAGGTAAGCGATCTTGCCTCACTTGTTAGATGTTTTCTTGATAATCGTGTCTTTTTTTGTCTTAATACACAGCAGGGATATTGAAGAGACGGAAACTCACCGTGCCAGTTGATCATATCAAAGGTTTTTACTTTGATATCTTTTCATACTTCTGATTTAGGTTTACTATTTAATTTTTCGATATCACTATTTGGATTGCTTGATAACAAAAAACAATATCATATACGTGAGCGAAGATCTAGTTGATTCTAATAAGTATTGGGGTAGTTCCAGCTTTCGTGTTGTCATGTTATATATGAAAATGTTCTGAACTCGAAGCCTTCCGGTCTCTCGTGTGGTTCTATGTTCTGTGTTGAGAAGCAACTCATTCCCCTGAACAGTAGGAGGTTGGTTGATATTCATATACTGTGCTAATATAGCAGAGTAGCGTTAATGTTAATTGAAGGATGAGAGAACAAAGTTTTCAGAAGGAAGTGAGCTCCGCGTAAAGGTGGTGTTTCTCTACTCCGAGAAAACGATGAGTTGCACATCATATCATGCTGGTTGTGGTCTTCTTTAGTGTAAGAGAATGCATATCCTTATATTTAGATACTCTTGCACGATTTCCCTCGTGGTGGGTCATGTTTAGTAGATCGATTTTTAGAACATCACTATTCTGTTGAACTATTGATATAGTGAAGAATATTTCAGGCCAAAGTACCCCCAATGAGGTAAATCACTGTGATTAACGTGGATTGATTAGATAATATCGAGGTGATTTGACAATGTCACAGTTGGACGAATATCTCATGTATATGAGAATAATATGTTCTAGTATCTCGAAATAAGAGATTACGGCCAATGTCGGAGTAGTGATGAGTAGTATCGTAATAGATAGTTAAGTTTAACACTTGTTAAATAACTAAAGGAGTGGAGGTTGATTTCCTAGAAGAGAAGAGGCATCAATATGCCCTCAAGAGCCGGGATACCTCCATTTCATTTCCACAGTTACTTGACTCACTTTCGGTATTAACATTGTAGGAGGGATGCTTTTGGGGTATGTTCACTAAACCTTTGGTTTGGAATTATGAATATGGTGTATGCATGTGATACGAAGTACAGTAGCTTAGTATGTCTTGTGATGTGTATTTTCATAGCAAATATTGATCTATGTGAATTTGCTGGAGATCTATGCTTTGAGAAACTGCAGCAGTGCAATGTGTGTGATATTAAGCAGGGTTGTTCGGTATAACAACATCTTGTTAACTCTTCCAGAAATATTTTTATTCCATTCTGAGCAGGAAGTAGATTGTGTTGCGCGAGTAAAATACATGAATTACATTCTAGGTATCAATGAAGACTAATTACAAACCATCTAAGCTCTACCCACCCATCTCAAGCCCACCTTCTCAGGACTTCTCATCTGCAACAACAAAACGACAACATTATCCCTAACCACATTCATAACTCTCTCCTTTGCTTCTTCCTCTGTTTCGCCCTCCTCGCGTACAATCTCTACCCGATTTCTCTTGAATAAAGCAACCATCGCTGCGACGAATTCTACTTGGCTAAACTTCATACCTGGACATGCTCGGATTCCTGTTGACCATGGCTGGTATGATCCTTTAGGTGGGGTACGAATATATTCTCGTTCAAGCGGTGATGTGTTCGTATTTTCGGTTTGGGATAGGATCCAACGCTGGGGACTATAAATTCAGGAAGTCAGGGTTGCTTATCAAGCAAATAGAAGAGAGAGAAGGAGCCATGTTTGGGCGGGGGGAGAGAAGGGGAGGACATTAAAGAACTGAAGCTCCGGAAGAAAATCGAGAGGATGCTTATAAAAAACATAGAAGTGAAGTTTGGGATCCGAGAATAAAATTGGGTTAAACTTACTGCCATTCGAGACTATTTTCACCCCAGTATCGTGGATGCGAGTGCAGTGCATTGCTATTAGGAATAATGCGCGTATCTGGTGGAATGATGATCGTTCGGCCATCAATTATAAGCGGTTGTGGTTTTTCGAAGGTAGATTTGCAGATACCGATCAATGGATTCCAGAGTCGCACAGTCTCTACCTATTACACACACTCACTATCAGCATCACGTTTTCCACCTTCCAAGAGAGAGATTGTTCACCATTATAGCAAGACACCGGTTCAACTTGGGGTATATTTCCTTAAAGTCCCATGTTGATGGCATGTCGTTCGTTAGAACAGCGTTAATCTCTTCGGAAATCCAGTCTTGAACTTCGGGGTGAGCCGCAAGAAGATAAAGTGTCCAATTGAGTACAATGGCAGTCGTATCGTGCCCAGCAAAATTATAAACAAAGATATTTCCATATATTTCCTCTTCTGTGAGTCCCTGAAAGCCATTTGTGACATTTGAAATTGAGCCGTCTGATGATAACTGAGACTGTTCTTTGGAAGCTCGAAGTAAAGAATTGGTAAAAGTTGCGCTTCTGGTTTTCCCTTGTGAAATAGCAAGCTTTTCATCATTGAGCATCTCTGTCATATAATACTTGAAGTCAACTGTTGCTCGCCCAACTCGCTCCCACTTTGGCGGCCATGGCAATTTAGAGAGAAGTTTAGGACCGAGCACAAGAATGAGAAGGCAGTTTTCCAAGACGATAGCGAGTGAGTCTCTGTAGTTAAAGGTATGCCCTTGCTTGGGCTGCTCGGTCGATCTCTCGAACGAGTATGATTTCCCAAATCCAGCCCCGGACAGTACATGGAGCGAGAACGTGCGGGTATCTTTATCTGTCCGGGTGACAGGTTCTTCTAGAGACTTCCAGAATTGCAAAATCTCGTCTGCCTGTCTCAACGCCTCAATCCAGACTAGACGGTTGTTCTGGTCATTAAATGGTGCGCTGGTGATTTTGCGCTGACGCTGCCAATCTGGGCCTACTGCCTAAAATCGTGTTAACCTTATTAGTTCATTATTCCAGGACCATCTTCACGCACTGTTGAGATATTAGGCCCAAAAACCGCTAGCACCGCTAGAAAAGTTGTTAACTTATCGCAGCATGACAACGTGATATTTCTCTTACCCAGCAAATCCGGAGGTCTATCAAAGTCATCCTTTCTTTTGAAAACTTCATTCACCGCGTTGGAATCGCAAAGATATAACCAATTGTGCCCAGCTGATACATGAATCACTGCATCGCCAAGCTCTTGGTGCATTTTGTACTTATCTTTGAATTCCCAGCCCGGCTCGCTATATTTGGCGATGTCACATTCGCCGAACACAGCCCTTACAATAGGAAGCACGATACCTGATACGAGAATCCACTATCATCAACATATCAGCGGATGTCTGTTGCTAAGGGGTGAATAGAGAAATTTGCAGATTCGAGAAACGGTTATCTGGGACTCACTACTGGGTTATCACCGCTGGCAATGAGGATCCTGATGGGAATTCCAATCTTCTGAGCAATTCTGTAGTTTTTAACCAGGCAAACGAGGTTCCAGATTCCGAAGCTTATGGGCATAAGGATCAGCAGTACAAATAGCAAGTAAGCCATAATTTTCAATACCGAAAACAACGAACTGGAAAAATGCGTGGGCAATGAAGCTGAGGACTGATCAAACAATTATTGTCCTGCTCCGTTGGTTTAAGTACACTAGTACTAACGGTTACATGGGTACAATGGCGCAGCAACAGTTGGAAACAGGATAGGCCGGCGTAAGCGTACTAGGTTCTTATAAATTTCTACCAACATCTTATTAATGCAGTTGGGACTTGGATGTAGTCGGATGCAGTTGGAATTATTATTAGCTTTTTGCGGCAGTCTAACTGCATATGCAACAAGCAAAAATACTCTCTCCACTTTGAAGAGCCATAAATATTTACGAAGAAAATATTCCATAAATGTTCCACAGCAAGCAATGAAGCTTTCCTCCAAAGATAGGAAATTCACTTGCATCAAAACGGGAACATTTACAATGGTCCCCTTTGAGATCTTTCAAGTACATCATCCGACCACAGCTCAAATACTTGGATTGCATCTCAATCATGTATGAGCTCTAGTTGTACTCCAATACCTATCACTCTCCTCCACAACCACCTTATCCATCCCCTCCACCGGCCCAATAATCTCAATATCCTTCTGCTGTCCCTCCAAAATATCCCTCGTATGCCACTTCAACGTAAAGTTTTCTCTATTCCCCGGTCCCGTCAGACCTGCCAATTGTTCATTCGTCGCCGCATATACAATTCGTCCAATATGTGCCCAATAAATCGTCGCTACACCATATTATGAGTTACTTGAACTTCCAACTTCGATATGGACAACAACGTACCAGAACACATAGCACAAGGCTCCCACGTACTAATCAACGTGCATCTCCACAGATATTCTTTCTTATAATGCGAATAGGCTAGTCGTGCCAAGGAGCTCTCGGCATGATTTACTTGATCGATGCTTTGATGTGAAAGAAGCACAGTTTCGTTATCTGGCCCTAGGAGAACAGCAGCAAAAGGACGTTTTCCTTGCGTGACGGCACGACGCTGTACTTCGAGACAAGCGTTAATGCCCGCTTCGATTTGAGATGGTGTGGGAGGTGTGCGGAGTGGGAAGAGGTCGGGAGCAATTGCTTGCGCGGCGGAGGATGTAAGAGCTGCTTCGTGGGACATTTTGGGTCTGGGGTTTCGTTAGTGGGGGAGGAAGTATAGATAGCAATTTGTTGAAATACCTGCGACGCTATCGTACTCTTATTTGAGCCTTTGTCATGCGTCGCAGGTATTTTTGTGGAAGAATGATTATTTATACGCTTTTTTGCTATGGTCAGTAAAGGAGGGGTTCGTTATTATCTCTAGCTAAACGAGGCGAGCTCCGCTAGCACCGGGTGAAGCAGAAGATGGGATGCCCGCATGAAGTTGTAGTCAGTCTTACAATAATTTCAGAATTGTAAATCCAGCAACAATTTCATTCTACAGAATCAGAGTCCCTTGTTATAGTCTAATGATAATCCAATTCTCGCTTTTTAGGCCTTCACTTCATCTGATCGCCTCCCACTTTTAGACGTGTTGATGCGGATCCGAAATATTGCTTTTCTTTAATGTCCCAAGATTTCTGTTCAACTTCTTATATGGGCAACGAACAAAAATAGGACCTACTTCTCATTTCATCTCATTTCGTTCATATTCATTATTCGTAGGGCTGTAAATAAAGTAATCTCCAGTTCCAATGCGTCTGAGGTTTTTTCGCCCATGTGGCATGCTTTTATTCAATAGTCAAGATCCATCCATTATCTTCACGTTCATTCTTTCCATTCAGACCACCCCACAAGAGAATACCTCTGGAGTCAGCATCACCCATAGAAGAGCTTGCGAACCATCCTCGCTCGCCGGGCACAAGCTTCCTAACATCATCACCTTCAAAACCCTCGGAATCGGAAACGATTATTTGGCTCCAAAGACCTTCACCAGTTTCTTGTCCCAGTGCTTGCCAAGTAGCGTCTTTGAAACTTGCCGCAGTCATGCCTTGCGGGGGACATTGAAATGCCCAGACATCACTCCAAAATTTGCCGGCTCCATCATGGCCTTGGCTACTTGGATCTTTTTCGCCAAGCAATAGAATTAAATATTCTCTGCCCATGCCTAAAAAATGTCAGTAATTGCTCCATAAACAGTATAAATCGACCGCCAACACTAAACATCGAGAAGCATAAATCAGGAACTAACCAGTATTAATGGTATGCATGCCCGCCACACTTCGATGGCCAGGGTGTTTCATACTCTCTTCTTCGAAGTTTACGGTTTCCCAATCTCCCTTCGGAGCGACTCCCAATTCACCCGAACCAGATTTGTCGTTGAAAGTTTCTAAGGCCAATTCCAAAATATCTAGATAGCCTCCCTCCTCACTCTCACCATTAAAACCGCCATATCGATAGATCCTCTGTTTTGAAACTGCAAGCGATGTGCCACCTATGGGCTTTCCTGGAGCTGAAGGAAATTGCTTCCATGTACGGCTTTGAATATCAAATGCCCAGAGATCATTTGTTCGTCCAGAAACAGGACATCCTGCGTGGACAAATAATGTTCCATAACCTCCTTGCTCATCATCAGTCTTAGCTCCCTCTGCGATTATTCCAATCTTGGTTTCGTCGATAGCCTGATCGAAATCCACATTCTTCGTATTTGATGGCTCGGGCTTTTCAATAGCAACACTCGAATGGTAGGATCGGGCAGCAGGAAAAGGAGTGCCAGAGACTGGATCTAAGAAAGACCATCTATCTGTCCTCGTATCGTAGACCCAAACTCTGCCATTTTCCTCAAGAGGTTTCATATCTTTGCCACCTCTTCCACCAAAGATGAAAATTCGCTCTCCAATAACTCCTGCCGTATGTCCTACCCTCTTCTCGGGAACCTCTCCACCATTATGCTTAGGCTTGGCAGGTATAGCTCGATAATCGGCGCTGGTGACCGTACCAGAAGGAAGAATGATGACGTGCATGTCATTATCGACGGGTTCGCGCGGATTGATTTCACCTCCAAATATGTATGCTCGACCGGCGACAACTGCGACAGAGTGAGATGATCTCGGGAGCTGAACTCCATTAATGCGATTCCATTTCGCCTTGAGGGGATGTGTGTTCTGGAAGAGACCGTGAGTGATCTTTGTAGCTGTTGCTCCGATTTCCATCATTTTGAAATTCAGATTGTGATTGCGATCAAAGAAAGAAAAGGTCAAGTAGCTTGATCAACGTGTAAAACAAAATAGTTGAAAGACAATAGTATAAACTCGAGGTTTATAATAATTTATGTCAAAGACTTACGATATCGAGATAGATAGTAAAAAACCTGAATGTAATTGTGTAAATGATATGATGTGATATAATATTCATTCACCATGTCAGAAGGGATGGCCAAGGAAAGTGGTTCGAGATGTTGGGCTATAGGTACGTCAGTCCATGTGCTCCAGGGTATTTCTGGCGGGGAGGTGGGGTACCTAGGTAGCTCTAGCTCAGCTCTAGCTAGCTTCTTGATCCCCTGATGACAGTTAGTAAGGCCCCGCAATTAATAAGCCTCGGTTTTTTTAACATTCGAAGGAAAGCTCCCGTCTTGTCAATTCCCTCTGGTGCCCCATAACATGTAATAGGTCTTAACCTCACTGTGTCACATAGCTGGATGGATGCCATTGTGCTATCATGCTCTAGATGTTATCAGGGTGACTAATCCGCTTAGGTAATGCTCAGAGGAGTAAGAACATTCGGTGATTCATTGGGACACAAACTTTATCTGAATTTGTACCACATACCCATATTATTACTGTCTTCTGTTAGCAAAGGACAGAAATGATATCCAGATCTATCTTGCGAAGTTCACCACTTCGTAACACCATCTTGCGCTCAGCTAACAAGTCCCCACTGCCTTTTACCCAAAATAAGGTACCAGGATGGCCATATATTCTTACGTCTCTCAACCCACCCTCTTCGCGCGGTTATCAAGGGCGCAGGCAGAAATACTACAGATTCGACCCTAATGAAGCTCAAAATGCACGACCCCTCATCTCCGATGAACATATCAAAAACTTCTCCAAACATCCTGCCTTACACTCATTCATACTCATATTAGTTGCCGGTGGCGTAGTGGTTTATATTAGCAATATCGAAGATGTCCCGGTTTCTGGGAGGAGACGGTTCAACATATACAGCCCACAGGACATGGAAAGGGAAGGGCAAATGATGTATCGACAGATTTTGCAGCAGTATTGCGGACGTATTCTTCCCGACTGGGACAAAAGATCCATGATGGTGCAAAGAGTTATGAGTCGATTAATACCTGCGAGTGGCATCGACAACGTAAATTGGGAAGTGAATGTTATAGACTCCGAAGGTGCAATACAAGATATCAAATGACTTTTTAGATATTTTGCTGACCCTCTCTGCACAGAAATGAATGCCTTCGTCATACCTGGTGGTAAAGTTTTCGTTTTCACTGGAATACTGCCAATTGCTTCAACGGATGACGGTCTTGCTACAGTATCAATCCCCTCGTATCTTCTTCTTATATGAAAACTCCTGACTTACCGATCTTGCAGATTCTTGGCCATGAAATTGCCCATAACATCGCAAATCATTCGGGGGAAAGGATGAGTAAAACCGCTGTGTTTCATATACCCCTGCGTATGTTTTTCCGATTCCTGGATGCTACAGGATATACTGGAGGTCTAGGGGAAATATTCGGGGCTCTTGCACTTGAATTTGGGATCAATTTACCCGCGTCAAGAAATCAGGAAACAGAGGCTGATCATATTGGATTGATGATCATGGCAAAAAGTTGTTATAATCCTCAAGCTGCAATTGGCGTATGGAAGAGGATGCAGGCGGCAGAAAGGAATGCCCCCCCTCAATGGCTTTCGACCCATCCATCGGTAGGCTCTCTGATATTTTTTCGAAATTGTAGCACTGATTCATACCAGAATAACAATCGGATAACGCAAATGGAAGAGTGGATGTCCAAAGCAGAGGCTGCAAGAGCCGAAAGTGGATGTGCATCCACCATGGAAAATTTCAATAATTTTCGGACTACATTTGGTGGACTTTGGTGATGAGTATAAATGCTTGCTAGCCACTTGTCTGAGGACGCAGTAGAAAGAGGGCAGCACTGGGGTTCAGTTGCCATTCTATGTGTGGAGATAAAACGTGAATAGGAATCGCTCTACTTCATCTATCAATAGGTTCATCACAGTGAGTCTTTCTTTTACTGTACTTCATCATGCCCGCAACAAAGGTATCGTGAGTCAATCTACGCAACTTTATCCGGCACCTGATATATGTCTCATCAATACAGACTACACCGTACCGAGAAATCATATTCTAATTCGTTCATGGATGTTGGTTCTAGACTTGGCTACTCGGTACCCATTTAGGCTCGAAGATTCTCAAAGATTGACTTTTCAGGACGCCCGAAATTAAAATCACATTCGAGTCTGTATACAAAGGTCTCATGCACAGGTAGCAAGTAACCTAATAGGTAAAGGCATGCAATTCTCATCTCTGCAGAGCTAGTGCCACGTATTGGCCGAGATGCATGCTTTCTATCGTAATCACGTCCAAATTGATTTTCTGAACAGTAATACGTTCCGCCCACACAAACAACCTCGAATTGCGCTGCAGTCGCGAGATCACGTGCAAGCCAGTGATACACACCGCTTCTAGCCTTATGGACGATTGGACCCAGATAAATGCACAAGATCATGGCTTGCATTTCATTACGGGGCGCGCCTCTCCATTCGCAAGTGGTCAATCATTTTGGGGTTACATAGCTTGGGTCCACACCGCTATATACCATTCCCCGCTTGTTCCTTTCAAGGAAGCTTTGAGCTTATTGCAAGTCCCACCCCCGCCATATAACGTAAATCATTCGTTACAAATGATGCAGACGAGGAATATGCGATAGACCGATAGTCCTCCGCCTCTCCAGGGTTGCGCGTTTGGCAAATAAGTACGGCATGGCCAAAATGATATCTTCTAGTTGAGGACGTGTCTGCTATGTTCTCGTGAGTCTCCAACCCCTCTTAAATATTCCTGTTGTCCCCTTCTCTGATAAATTATATGCCCTTTCTTTCAATATTTCACATTCGTCCCCGTTTATTCTTCTACAAATACCAACTGCTTTCCTTATCCTTCGTTTGAAGTAGCATAATTGCGGCTGCCGTCATGCAACCACTTTTAGCTATGTCTCCGGATAGAGAGATTATGCCCCCTTCTCCTATTTCCAACAACCAATCTAGACATGGTAGAGGAAAACATGGGGGAAGCGTCTCCAGCAACAAGAAGAGTCGTCAGAGAGGCTACAGCATTATCGCGGAACGTGACTCTACTGTCACACGGGCCCTTGCCAAGCTTCTCAAGCATTTTGCAGAAGAAGATAACGAGCTTGAAGAGGGTACAGAGAGGCTTCTCGCCAGTCCTGAGGGCTGGTTTAGTTGTGAGAAAGTTGTAAGTAGAAACCTCGAGGATTTGAGGCCTGCCATTTCAGGATTTGGTTTTAAGCAAAGAAGTCATTTGTCAAGCAAAACAACCTAACATCGAGCTTCACAAACAGCTCGAGAACCTCGAGACTCTTGATCTCACTCTCCTGGAACTTCGAAAAACCTTACAATCCCCTTCCGCAAAGGCACGGTTCACCCTCAAATCAATTTCCTCATTCGAGACTGAGTCAGACTCTCCATCCGACTACCTTATTCGTCTCAACACTCCTTCTACCCCCACAACTATTACCTCAAGCAACATATCCATCCCTTCCCTTGAATTTGTCACCATATCGAGCGCAGATCTACCCGACTTCGTCGTGTATGAAACCTCCTACGCAAACTACCCCCTCATCCTCGCTTCAGGAGGTATCCGGAAAGCTGGCGGGCAATCCTATTTGTCATTCGCTAGTATCTTCATCTCAGCTGATGCAACCGAGACTCGAACTCGTATATCTTCTAGTAAGGATGACGCCGATGTATCTATTTACATATCTCTCAAAACCACCATGGAATCCGACCCACAGATAAAATGGTATAGAAATGGTAATGGAGGAATACTCAGTGAAGGAGATGAGAATGGTTACATTGGGAAGAGCGTATGGAAGAAGGTCATCGCAAGGAGAGCGGATATAGGAGTCCTATTTGAGGATGGGGTGGTGAAGAAGGAGGTTCCAGTTGGGCTGGGGGGAAAAGGTGTCAAGGGGAAGAAGTTGGGAAAGGGCAAGGGAAATGGTTGGAATAAGGAGATAAGAGCAAGGAGTGAGGATGAGATGGAGTCAAATGAAGATTAGATTTCTTTTTCGGTCGTGTGTAAAAGTTTGAGTTGGCTCATTTGGATATCTTGGGAGTTAAGGCTAGAATGGCATATCTTCACATACAACTTCAGCATAAGCATTTCTATATATCACCAGTAATACATTTTGCAGTATCAATATGAAGTAATGCAACAAATTTTAAGAAATTTTTAGGGTTGCCTCGAAATGCACTGACATAATTACTTTTAGCATTTCTTCGCATATTGAATTTCAAGAAGCTATGAGATGTATATGTATATATATTATATATGCCTTGACCATAAGAAGTACTTTCAATCATTAGAATACTCCAAACATACATTACAACACTCGAACATTATTTATGGGCGTGTTTTTTATGTTGGATGTTAGGTGTTGGATTGTACGTAGAGTGGCCAGTATGCATTAGATCTTGACGAAGGGGTGGTGATGGGATGTTAGCGTTACTAGGGTGTGAAGGGCTTCAGGGCTTTTAATGTTCTTTTCATGATAGTAAATTATAGTTGATACATTGAGTGTATTAGGATATAACGACTTTATATACCTAGGTATTTAGACAATTTACAGAAAATATGTTGCAAAGTTGCCAAGAAAAAAATTGTAATGACAAGTGTATCGACGTTATTATTGTGTTAAGTATTAAAATATAGCAATGGCGTTTCCATGGCTAGATACACCTCCCAGGCAATTATTCGGAGCACTTGTGACGAAGAAGCTCCACCTTCCTTTCTCCTTACAGGTCTTTGCCAACTTCTCCAAGTCAAACATTTCTCCCAGAGGCATACCCCACAATGCCAGAATATATTCATGTAACATGTAATGCTCTTGTGATGGCCAAGCTTCAAAAGCCGGGGCATCACCAGCTACAGCCGAAAAGTAACAATCGTGCAGCCAATCAAGCATATCTTCATCTTGTTTGAGACCCGCCCATCGTTGGCCATCCTCAGGTCCGATGCTATGTGGCCTGAGAGCAGCAGCTTTTCGTGCTTCTGGAGATTTGGTATGGTATGTAGACACGAAGCCCGAGCGAACGAAAAGTAGATCTCCAATTTGAATATTTCCACCTTGGGAGGCAGGGCGGATGTCAATTCCTTGAGCCTTTCCAGCTGCTTGCAATTCAGCGTAGGATATAGCGTGATAATCAAATGGATCTACATATAACGTCAGACGACCAAACAGTACAAATTTATGGTGATTGATTACCATAGATAATTCCATTCTTCTGGGCATAAGTCCAGTAGTCAATCAAGACACCGCGACCAGCAATTCCATGTTCAGCCCAATGATGAATACCACATTTATTATCATCCTTTTCAACTCCCACTATATCTTTCCCATTAGTCCCATTGTAGAAGTTGCCTGTTGGTATGTGTGAAATATGCCTGAATCCATCCCATTGTGTACCAGATTGCGTATTCAATGAATATATATCGTCATAGGCCAACCCTGGAGCTAATTCTTTGATTTTATGCTCAAATGGTTCTCGATTAAAAGCTGGTACTTCTGGCACGTTCAGAGGGAGGTTCAATGGAACTATCTCGCCGCTTTGAATTTCATTGGATGCAACAGTAACTCGACTTGGAGTGAGAAGATTCAATCTTCCAATCTAGGTAACAATTAGCGGCATTGAAACGCATAGGATAAATATTACCTACATAATCATCACTTCCCCAAACCCACGCACTTTTAGAAATCAGTCAAGGTTCTGGAAACTTCAAGTGCTACTTACGCTCCTTCCGGTGCATCCTCTCTTCGCGGAACGTCCTTTCTAGATGGAAACTTTGTGGAATTCGGATCGAACGGAATAGTCGTGGCGGTTTTGTTGCCGGTCAAAAAGTCACTGACTTGTGTGAGTCGGCTATTAACTTTTGAATGTATATCTGACATCTTGAATAGTAATTGTGAAGTTGAAATAGCTTTTGAAGAATATGAGAGTTCTCAAGTTCGAGTATGACACCACATCTTAAGCTTCCCCGCTTTGTCAACAGGGCGAGCGAAGTTAGCACAAGTTATAGGCCAATCCCTTGCAAATATGACATAGCAACCGGTAACAACTCGGAATAGTTGAAAAGGTGTGTTTTTCGGATTGTGCCTTGGCCAATCCTACTACCATGGAGTCATGGAGGGGCAACACTCACTCGAGCACTGGCACCGATTGGGAAGACAAAAAATACGGTAGCCGAAACAGAATCATCATGTCAACCTAGTCAACCGCAAAAAATGCTTTGATTTCCATAAGGACTTGTCGGTCAAAATTCCATCAACCCTTTTACCATTATGCCTTCACCCCAAAGGCAACCAAATGACATATTATCAGAAACCAACTCTACATCTCGGAAACCTGGTCGTCCTCCTGGTGTGAATTTGGAACCTTACAAAGACTTCATAGTGAAACTCTTTTCGGAAGACAATATCCCTATCATCGATATTACAAGAAGACTAAATCAAGAATTAGCTTTAGATGTCTCGGAACGTAAAGTCTCTCGATCTTTGGCAGCATGGGACATTCGCAAAAGAAATCGTGGACCCGTACCTCAAGCTCTCCAAGATCGATTAACCTTTCATTACAATCAAAATCTAAATGATGACCAAATCGCCGATGCATTGATTTCTGAAGGGTTCGAAATTAAAAGATCAAATTTGGGGCGTTTAAGGCAAAAGCTTGGTATGCGACGAAGGTCTCGATATTCTGAATTTCGCGAATATTCCCAAGGCCCCGCAGTTGTCAGCAATCCATCATCCACAACGGTTAAATCGAAACCAAAGAATACGAAACCAAAGATGGCACAGAATGCTGGATTGATCGTGCAAGTTACAGCATTCGTCGAGAAGTACATGAGCGCGTATGACGGTTCTCACGATTTCAACCACATTCGACGCGTTGTCGGACTGGCACATAGAATATACAAGGAGCTTGATGGAGAGGGAGTGAATGGCCCGGAATTGGACTTGCAGGTTTTGACTTTGGCCGCACTTTTACATGACGTAGGGGATAAGAAATATCTTTTGCCCGGCCAGGATCAAAATACTTTGGTACTTTCAACGCTATTGGGTTTTGGGGCAGAAGAAAAATTGGCCATTAAAGTGCAGAGAATTGTTCTCGGAGTTTCGTATTCGAGTGAAATTAAGGATTTGGCATCAGTGAGGGGCTTGATTGAAAAATATCCAGAGCTAGCTGTGGTGCAAGATGCTGACAGGCTCGATGCTATTGGTAAGAAATGCATACCAGAACTTAACAATAAAAAGTCAAGCTAACTTTTCTTCTACTGTAGGGGCTATCGGAATTGGGAGAACATTCACATTTGGCGGAGCGAAGGGTGCAAGGAATATGGGAGAGACTATTCAGCATTTCGAGGACAAGCTGGAAAAATTAGGAGGGATGATGAAGACAGCTCCTGGCAAACGAATGGCGGAGGAAAGGACTCAGAGATTAATAATGTTCAAAAACTGGTGGGAGGAAGAACAAAAGGATGCTGAAGGTTTACTACGACCTCAATCCTCATCTTGATGTTGTGGAGCTTGATGGGTACTTGAACTTGAGATGACAACTCCCCGAGCGGGAAAAAAAGATTTGATCTACATGACATTGAGGTTTGCTTATTCGGTCAGCTAATATTGGACTGGTTTGCTCCTCACCTGGGTATTGATACCAAATGCCACAACGCTTCGAAAGACCATGGCTACTCACGATTTGGAACCAGATTCTTTTAACTTCCTATTATCACTGAGGATGGATGTATGACGCTCGAACGGCTCTGCCATATACTCAATTACCTTACATATCCCCGATGCGCTCATGCAGCTACGTCAATAGCACCTTTTCTACCATTACTTTTTTTCTTCTCTTTCCATATATACCCAATTGGTTGATTTGCAACACATTTCTTCGTCCTCTCGTCTCAATTGCTCATGACGCATCTAATAGGCCTGCATTTGTCTGGTTTCCTCGGGCAACAGTTCCAAATGTGCGTGTCGAGAGGCTACAAATTATTTGGAAACGATTTATGAATCTTAACAATGCTGACAACAATTCCTTTACAGTTTCAATGATAACCGCTGGAAGATCTTGGAATGGATTCCCTTGATCGAAAATTAATGGGGATCACATGAGATATTTTGTACACATATCCTTCCAGTACCCACCTACATGGCTGAAATTGGATCTTTCTCCGAACTAATTTGAACCCTGGCAAAAAAGAAAGAATTCCCCTTGAAGTCGGTGCGCGTGTTGTCGAATTAAAGTAAGGCACTTTTGCATCTGTGTGCACAGTGAAGCCACGAAAGAAAGCTTTGTGGAGGTTTTGGTGTGGATATAGCTTCAATTACCCCGCAAAGGAACGGAGGAAAAACAATCGCCATCTTTTATTCCTCGTATTTTCTCTTTTTCTCTTTTAAAGTTTGAGTAGGTACGGACGGGTACCGGTACTCTCCTGTATACCTCGGGAAACTTTATTCGTGAGTTGAGTAAAAGGCTATGGTGTTTTAATTTTAATTTGCCCTCTTTCACCAGGGGACTTTCCAAGAAAATTCTTTTTTGCTATTTTACCGTAATTAGTTGATTTCCTCTCTGGATGGAGTTATCTATCCAGTAACTAACTCAATTGGATTGATTATTGGGCTCACCCAAAAATCTAAAGCCTTACATTTTCAGCAAGGCTGATTGATGAACTTGTCCACCTCGGTATACTCTGTACAGAATATTTTCATGTGCAACGCATGTAAGTTGGAATGCATGTAACGTTGTCTGGGGTAAGAAAATCCTTGATCATCTACATACTTGCCAATTTGAGCCTTGACTTACAATTCAATGCTCGATATGGATGTTTTCTATCTATCAGGTGCAAGGGATATCAGACATGGTTGTTTTATTGGCCAATCAATGACTTTGTTGGACCGAAGTAAATATGAGATGAGAGGATCGGAAAATGAAAATGTGATTGTTGATGATGTTATTGTTCATAACGTGATTGGCTCCCTTTGCTCTACCGTAATTCCTTTTTCCGGGGTTGTGGGTCGGGGTAACAGAAACAAGAGTGGTATTTTCAATGATCAACATGCAAGGATAAAGTGAAAAAACTTACACGATGAAATTACTTGATGCAATTAAAAATGTTCAAGGTAAAAGCTGTGCATTGTAAAGTGTATGTATGTATGTATGTATGTATGTATGTATCATGTACCGGTATTTAAGCAGATGGTGGATGGTGGATGGTGGATGGTGGATGGCATCTAGATTCTAGACATACCGCTACTTTACATACAGGACAGGACAGTACCGTAGTCAACGTTTACGCCGGTCGATCACACTACCACAGTTACATACATACATATTCCTGCAGGGAAAGGCCATCCCGCCACCAAAACTTAATGACGGAGCAAAAATCTCAATTCTGTAGTCCGGCCGATGCAGATCAATAACATGAATATTTGACTGATAATTCCCTCAAATTAATTGGTTCCCGACTAAGGTTCTCCTCGATGCACAGAACTCCGCTCGGTCTAACTCACTAACTAATATGTATCCGTCTGCAGGTAGGTAATTGTATGCGCTCATTCAACCTATAAGAGAAAGCTTGTCCCCCTCCCTCCCCGTCTCTTCTCTTCAATTCAATCGCACATTTCAATAAATAAAAAAACATCATCAGTTTTTTCTTCTCCACCACCAATTTCATTACTTCACAATCACCTACGTGTTTATCCCAAAGTAACAATCTTCATCTCTTCAATCCGCCAAAATGCAGTTCTCTTACGCAACTATCACCGCTCTTCTCGCTTCAGTAGCTTACTCCCAATCTGTCGCCAGTGAAGTCGCTCAACTTCCTTCTTGTGCCCTTACTTGCTTAGCAACCGCTGTTCCGGGTGCTGGATGTGGTCTCGCCGATTATGCTTGTCAATGCGGTGCTGCCAAAAATGCTATTACCCAGGCAGCAACCCCATGTATTGCAGCTGGTTGCTCTACTGAAGATGCTTTGAGTATGTATTTCTATTCCTAATTCTTCCTTCTATCCAATCAACGATTCCTTGAATCAAATATCCTAACAAACTCCCCCAAATAGAATCCCAACAAGTCACCAACCAAATTTGCGTTCTCGAAGCCGCAGCTAGCTCATCTGGTTCCTCATCCGCAGCCGCCTCTACCACCGGCGCATCATCATCTTCCGCTGCTGAATCCTCCTCTTCATCTGTAGGAAGTAGTATTACTTCCGCCACCGGTAGTGCTATTTCCAGCGCAAGCAGCTCGCTCTCGTCTGTTGGAAGCTCAATTTCGTCATCTGCTTCCTCGGTTGCTAGTTCAATTGCATCTTCTGCATCTTCGGCTGCTAGCTCCGCTAGATCATCTGCGTTATCTGTGGCTAGCTCTGCTAGATCATCTGCTTCATCTGCCCATGCTTCGGCTACTTCTTCTGCTGCGGCTACTACTTCTACTGCTGCTGCAAACCGTGTCGCTGCTGCTGGAGCGGTGGTTGGTGCTGGTTTCTTGGCTGCTTTCGCTTTGTAGTTGTTTACTCGTGGAGTATCATGATGTGGTAATTCGTGTATGTGGCATTGGAATGGGGATGGGGATATGAATTGGATGAAGGGGATGATCATGAAATAAAACATCATGGATATCAAGATGAATAATGTCTTTTAATTCTTTACACAACTTTGTTTTGCTCGGGTGGTGTAAGATGTAGGATGGAAGACCAAAAGCAAATGGAAAATTAATGCAGGGTTGTTGGACCTTTTTTATTAGTAGGACTTAAGATATACAATACTTTTTATAATGATATCATAAATAAATTATATAAACTCTTGTATTATGATTGTTGTTGATGTTATTGTTGTTCAATGGGTTTAATCATTAGTTGGATATAATGTTAACATTGAAATGAAATATATATTCATGTATACACACATCTATATAAATCAGGATCAAATCAGAATCACAGTAAAAACCCACATTCCAAATCCTCAAATGGTAATTCATCCCAACTTCTCTAACTCCCGTACATAATACCTCATAATATAATATAACGTCAGACGAGTCTAGGCTTGAAGAGATGAGATGAGATGAGATGGGATGGGATCAGACCTGCCTAGAGCAGTGTAGATCAGGACAAAGCAGATCAGAGCGGGACAAAGCAGAGTAGAGTAGAGTAGAGTAGAGTAGATCAGAGTAGATCATGCCAAGGGGACTATGATGGTTTTTGGGGGATCCTGGTGGGATAGTGGTGGGATGGTATAGGTGGTCTTTGGGTTCGGTTGCTTATATATTTTATTGTATTGTATTGTCTTGTCTTGTATTGTATTGTATTGTATTGTATTGTATTTGTATTGCTTGATTCTGGGTTTGATTCTGGGTTTTGAGGTTCGTGGGTTGTGGGTTGTAGTTTTTGGGTTTGGGTTTTGGTTGGATGCTAGATGTTAGATGCTAGATGCTAGATGCTAGATGGATGTTGATGGGAAGAATTGTGCGTGTGTGTGTGTTGTTGTGATGGGATGTGAGGTGAGGTTAGGTGGGGTGGGGTAAGTGGCGGGGTTGATGTTGAGGGGTGAGTGGTGAGTGGTGAAATTGAGGAGCAAAGTTGGAAAAAATGGATGGATGAAGTGCTTGGTGGATGGATGGGTGCTAATGGTATGGCTATGGATATGGATATGAATATATAGGGTAGGGTAACTAGAGGAGATTTGTTGATTTCTATATATATATATATATCTGAAACTCATGACTCGAATAATGAAAATAGATTTTGAGATTCTGAGATTTAAATATTGAGAAATTGATGGGATGAGGAAGAAGAAATGAGAGAATGAGAGAATAACGAAATGGAAGAGATATTATTGATTTTTTATAAATTTGAAGATAGTGAGATGGTGAGATGATGAGATGATGAGTGGCGAGTTGGATGGGTGAGAGAGCGGAAGATAGATTTAGGATTTTGAGATTTTGAGATTGATAGGATGGGATAGAATTGATGGGAATTATAAGAATTATAATCAGAAGGTGATGGAGGTAGAATCTTTATGATTATAATTATATATAATTATCTTTTTAATATTTATTTTATTTTATATTATATATATTTCTATCGATAATCATATAATTAATACAAAAAAAATTTAAACGTCTCTTTTATTTATAATATTGAATATATTAGGAAATTCTACTTCTTTATAATAAACTTGATAAAGTTCTCTTTTAAAATAATAATTTAAAACTCCTTCGTCACCTCTCTTTCTTCTGCATATAATAAAAACCTCAAAATTTCTACACCATTCCTGTCAAATTCTAATCACTTCCCCAAAGTTTATACTGATGTTCTCTCCAATGATAATCAGTGGCTCAATCATCTAGTATTAATTCCCCTGTACTTTTCCATCCCCTTTCCTCTCCACAGTCTATAAATCATCACTTTTGATTTATATATCACCAACTCTTTGTATCCAATAGGAATTATACCAGCCGGATATTTCCAGGGTAATAGCATAGCTTCATGCCTTTTACTAAACTCGTACTAGCACCTCATACTCATAGCTGCGATACAATTAGTTCTATAAGTAGCTGTCATGAGAGATGAACTGCTATATAATTAGCCGTCCGATTTATATACAAAAAAGCTCAAATCAAATATAATCTATAATCTAATTCTCCTTGTGCAAACTCTATGACTATAGTGATGTAACCTAAATAGCGAATTTGTATGTAGCCTATCCACTTGGAATGAAAGCCAGCATCGAATGTAAAAGTTGAAAGTTTAAAAACCCCATTCTAAATTCCCCCTCATCTAACATCCAGATAAGCGACACTCCATCCATCCCCTTTAACAAACAACGCAATTCTACCAAACTTCAACAAAAACAACTGTGATATCAGAAAAGAAAACAAAAAGTTGTGAAAACAATCAAGAAGAGGAAATTCGTTTGAAGAGGAATAGATCTCGAACCGGCTGATCTTTTCACTGGCCTATAAGGAATCATTTCATCAATATTTTTGTTTTCACATTTCAATCATATAATCAAGAGACATTGCAGTATTTCAACGACTGAGACTCAGAATTTAGGCTCTCGTTCCTATACTACTTTTTAGAAACATAGATGCATAAAGTCCTTCTTACAGGCCATTTAGAGTATTTTGTGCTGCTAATGCATTTCCTGTTTGATGTTAGGTTTGAGATTTTATGGAGAGGATGGAGGATTTTAATTTACCAGTGTCGAAATAATCGAGGAGCATTACTCGGGGTGGTCGACCCCAGGTTGTTGTGCAGAGATCGGCTTGCGCCCCTATGCTACCTACGCCCGTCGCTGCGTTCTAAATGAGTAAAAGTTAGCGATTGGTTTGTGAAAGGGTTAAAGACTTATCACTTACCGTCGTTGCAGCTGCTGACCTGTCAGGTATGAGTATGCCAAGAATATCGACATCCAAATAATGGTTTATCAGTGGCAAGAGTCCATCTCCATTAGATCCTCCAGGACGATCGAGTGCGCATGTGGGAAATGTAGAAGTAGTTACATCGTATGCAGTTTCGAAAAAGTAGGAAAATTCCGGTAGGATATATGGAGCCACATTTGTATTTGCGTCATAGTCTTCACAAAGTTATTGGTTGTGAAAAAGATTGGTAGGACTGACTACTCACCAAGAAACATAACGAGTCGATCTCCAGCCGTAATCATTTCTTGAAGTGTAGGCCATTCGTCTATGGCTAGTTGGTGTGGTGGTGTATATGCATAGTTTGCTAGACCAGATGCCTCCATTACTGCGCTGAAATTTCCCACAGGAACATAATCTCCATTCGTGAGTAGTAAGGTTACAACTTCGTTGGGATTTGCATCAAGCCATTTCTTGATATCTGATAGATAATCCACTGCTGGCCCAGCATCTGTATCCACACTGGGTTAGTAATCGCTCATCGAGGAGGAGTTAAGGGCAAAGCAAAAGAATCGCATTGGGATACAAAATAGATAAGCCTAAAAGCGGAAACAGAGATTGATCAATGGATATAACTGGATTTACAACTGACCTAGCTCAAAGCATGAAGTATGGCAAAGCGTCAATGTTTTGAGGAAATAATGAGTTTGCGCTTGAAGGAACCGAACACCAGCATTTAGTTGAGCCGTGACATCGATATTTTGATTTTCTGTTGGTAAATCCCCAACGAAAGCGCTATCGTGTGTTCCAATCTGTGATATATTCGACCATTTTCGATCACATAGCTCTGCATAACCATTACAGACTTGTGCAACAGTGACCGATACGCACACACTAAGATATAAAAATATGAGACGCATTTCGTAGAATGATCCTTGTCAAAAGTCCCTAGGGAGGATTGTGTAGAGAATCCACGAATGCGGAAAGGAAATCAACTACTTTTATAATACTGATGCTATCGAAATATAGTAGCATGTATTAACATATGATCCCGCGTATAGCTCGTGGATGGTTTTGTAGCTTCCATTTTAGATCATCGGGCCCACCAGCCGAGTCATCCTAACCAAAGATTTTATGGGTCATACACAACTTAAGGTTATCTAACCTTCATATAACCACACGCCGTGATTATTCCAAGCCATACAATCTCAATGAAGTTTATGATGGAGTTTCAAAGAGATAGGTTATCTACGGTGTATCAACGGATCTGGATTATTTTGTGGAAGTTGGTATTAGATTGACAAATGAAATTTGGCAGAGCTTACCCGTGGATAGGGAAGGATAAGTAGCAACTGCCGATGCGGGGTTAGCGCGAACGTCAAGGAGCCTATGTTGCATCGCATATACTCCATAAATTGTCCTTAACTAAATGCCTCAAATCCTCCCATCTTCTGCGCAATATTTGTTCATTATATTCAGGCACGCGTGTTTTCAGGGGAGAAGTCAGCTATTCATTGAAGGTTACACGCCCGTCTTCAAAGAAGTGTCCATGACCGGACTCAAAGACAACTGTCCGCATGTGATCTCATTTGTTGAAGAGATGACGGGGAACTCTGGCTTTGCCTTGGGTTCGTAGGATTACGTTATAACTTCCTTATTTGATCTTGTTCATTGCGAATGATTCGGGTCTTAGAATGTCATTTTATGTGGCCATCGAAAAGCAAACTTCATCTGATGACCTGAGAAAATCATGTACAAATTAAACTGATTTCGAACACTTAAATGTCGTCCAGTGGAAGTCCAATACTGGCAGGATTTAAGAGAGATAAATTTGGGCTTCAAAGCATAGAAGTGCAAAGACCTGTCAAGTCGATCACGGGATTTTGCTCAATCATCTATGTCTTCTAGCAGGATAGTACAGTCTAGCCACATAGCTGAGTAGGGAAAATCTACTATTTATTGCTCTTATGTTTTACTTTAATGCTTTAATTTACCATCAGTCTTTGCGCTTATACTCTTAAGATTCCATCTACTAAAGTTAGGAATGAGGAAAGGAGACTTTACTAGCATCAAAACTAGTACAACTTTGCTACTTTAATATCGCCAGGATCTTTCTTCCCGCTCATACTCCCACGACTACCACCCACCGTTTCCTGGTGTGCTGAAAAGAACGTTTGATAATTGTCAAAGGTTCACGCTAGAAAAGGGTTGTCGCTTGCTAGGGGGAGGCAATGCAGGCGAATAGAAAACCGGCACGGAGCGGAAGCGAGGAAGGAAATGAAAGTTTCAGGAACTCCTCCTGGTAAACGAGCTAGCTTTCTTATTGCATATTCACGAACAGTCATTCACCAGGAAACGATTCGCGTGACAACTAGGACGGCCGGAAAAGGAGGGTCAGCCGGGTCTTCCTAGTAAGAAGATGTAGGTGCGCCTCCACTACCTGTAGGATAATGTCCTCGTGCGTAGGCTCGAGATGAATCGGCTATTAAGGCGATGAAGAAAAAGGAGAGTGGAGCCAAGCTTTTTACCGATCTGAAGCTCACATTCCCTGTCTTCATTTCAACCACATCTTCCTTCCCCTCGCTTCTCCTCGACGCCTCTCCTCCCGCCAACCTTATAGCTTTATATCGCCGGTCTTCCTACTTCTTTTCCCCTCTTTCTATGTTGCATCACGGTTTTTGTTCAATTAGACATAAAAATCGTACTGAATATAAAAACGGTTGGAACGATAAAACGACGAAAGTATGAATTAGTGCCACAAAGCAAGGAAGGTCGGGTGTATGATAGATCATGCCAAATCCATTTTATTTCTCTTATGTAGAAAGCGTTTCTATTTTTAGTTTTTTATGAACAGATTGGAAAACAGATTGGAAAACAGATTGGACTGGAAAGTACTTTTTATGAATTCGAACTCCGTACATTGATCATAAAGGGGTTTGGAAACTGGGTTGGCCACGAGGAAATCTGCATGCAGGTGTATGTTAGTAAGGGGGCTATTGTCACTACTTTAATGGCATCAGTAGTTCGAGGTCTATAAAGGATAGCTTATTTTGCGGGAGGATTTTTCTTCATGAATTGGCTCTATACCTAGTTAGGTAAATCACTTTTCCATTTAGTTAATTCGGTAGTTAAATGGATGAGGACTATAGTTTTTTAATGGGAGAGCCCACACTCTTCCATTCGTTGAAACACAGCAAGCCGTGGAGCAAATAAGTGTTATCAGATTCTGTTATCTTTTGCTCATAGTCCCCTCTTAAATCATATACATCCAGCTCTTCAGGCTTTTTTACTGGGGCTTCTCACTTATAGATTCTCGGTCCAACAGAAACTTGTTTTACATTTACTCCTATAAATAGTCCTGGTTTTCGCAACTTATTCATTTGATGCTATTGTTGTTCTCTCCCTCCCCCTTTGTTCTTCTTTTCACCCCCTCTCGCTTACCTTGACCTCTTCGTATTCCATCCACACTTCAGCTTCTGGCTCCAATACTTCACCTTTCAAGTAGTCTACGAAAAGGCTCCGGCTATTAAATCCCGGGAGTGGAACATGGTGGGGCGATCTAAGAAGGAGGATATGTATCGTCGCCCATTGGAAGTATTCCAGTGGCGCGATAAAAATGATATGCAAGAAAAGTGAAATGAATGATAAAGGCAACGTGACGAATTTGAGAAAGATACATTTACATGGACATTGTAGCAGCAAAGAATAAATCACATAAGTAAAGTATGTTTCACTCACCTGCTTAGTTGACATGCAACTCGAAAGAGTACTGCATTCATGTTTTTGTTTACCCTAGAATATTTTTCCTTATTTCTCCAGCTTCGATTCAGCAAAACAACAGAGAGAAAGTGAACATACAATACAATACTGCAATAATGGCTTTCTTTACTCTCTCGTACCTCCTTGCTGAGCAGATCTATCATTCGAATCAAGAAAACCCTGCTTCCTCAGTATGTTCTTCAGTCGCAATACCTCGATCTACAGCTTCTACTATGGCTAGTACTTCTGCAAATCTCAAGGAAAAACAATTGGATCCATCGTTGCATTCTTCACATGCAATACCACCACAATACGTACCTTCCGAAATTGAAAATACATCCAAGAGCCTCGATCGCAAGCATCCAGCTCCTTCGTTATATTCCTCACATGCAGCTTCACAATCCACATCTTCTGTTGTAGCAAATATCTCCGAGGGTTTCGCATCCAGCAGCTTTAAGCTACAGCGAGATGTAGAAAATACCAAAGAATCGGACAAGAAGGAAAGTCTCCAGCAACTACCAAAGGTAAGTTTTCCGTAAAGATCCCAGAACTGGTGCTATAGTGGTAAGGTTATCATGAATGCTCATCCTGACATACATATAGGACGAACCTCAAGTGGCAGTCCTTCTTTCAATAGACATATTGTCGCGTTTGCTCATCGAAATCAAGGTAAGTTTTTAAGAAGGTATCCTCACTACCTGGCATGTTTCTGAAAATGTAATCATTTATTTTGCTAATTTAATATATAGAAGGAACCTCGACAAACGCCATATCTTGCGCCATTTGTCAAAGCCCCGCCGCTTGTGAAAGTGGAAGTTACTAAACGAAAAGTTCACTACAGTGTAAGTTTCCTGGAGCATCCCATGACTAGTTGATGTGATGCTAGTACAGAAACCATTCCTTTTACTGACCTCAAGTCATATACAGAACGAAACTCAAGCTCCTCCTCCTCCTCCTCCTCTTTCCTCCGCCTTCGCGATACTCAAACCACTCCTCAAACGAACCAAAATCAAGCACATCCGCACCGACCAACACGAATACCATTTCTACGGCAGCACATCCCCAGAAATCATTTCATCCGAGGCCGCAAAATTCATATGCGGTAACTCTCGAGCGTCCAAATCATCCATACAGAGAATCCTCAAGCAATTCCTCGCCATCACGACTCAAGACTCTCAAGATAACTGCCACGTCCGTCCCGAAGCTATATGGTTCTTAGTAAACATGACGAAGAAGTCCAAGGACTTCAATACAGCCCGGTGGCACAGAGACGGAAGAATGATCGAATGCACGGATTCAAATCACGTCCTTCATTGCAGGTATGCGACCACACTATCTGGACCTACGACTCTCGTTCTTCCAGAGACAGATAGAGTTTCGAAAGCCATGCGTACATATGCCGGGAACCGAAGGAAGATATCAGAAGTCCTAGCCTCGGAAGAACCCATAAAAATATCCCGTAATCAAATCATTCGGTTTTCATGGGGTAGGGAGGATAGTCCTGTTCATTCTGAACCGGATCTAATCACCGATAGAGTATTTATCTCTTGTATTTATGGAAGTATTTGCGAAATTCGGGATATTGCTTCTACTCGTAGACAGGTGGTTGGAGATCCTCAAGCATTTTTTAGGGTAAATGGGGAGAAATAAGTTTAAGGAGAGGGTAAGCGTGTAGATTTTGAGATCTTGACTAGTTTATATAAGTTTATCAAGAAAGGATGATTGAAATGGCTATTGAAAGTTATACATCGGGTGATGATTAGTCTAGAATTAGAGACGGGATAGGATAGATAGGAAGAGTAGATCATCAGAGATAATAATAGGATAGAATGATTTGAATTGAGGTTTAAGGATGGAATAGAAAGAGAAGTATAGGGATTAATAAATAACCTTTGAATGATATTAAAAGTCATGAATCAAATGAATACTGTTTATCTTTTTTCCGGACTAGAGATGAAGTTCTTGATTGAAATTTATAATTAAGAATAAGATAAATAGAGATATAAATAAGATAAAATATAATAATTAATTTTAAATTAAAGAATGAAAAAGAATAAAAGAGTATAATATTAAATAGAAATTGATGAATAAATAAAACAATTTTATAAAAATATAAATCAAATAAATATAATTTATTTCTTGAAATTAAAATAATAAAATTAAAATTAAAATTAATAAACTTAACATAATCATTTATTTATTCAAATAAAATTTTAAGAAAATTAAATATTATTAAAACAATTAAATTTTTTTTAAAAAAAATGAAGAACCAAATATAGATTTATATTATTATCGGCTTACCGACATCAAAACCTTGCTGTATACAAGGTTTATGTCACGATTCACGGATTAGATTATAGTAATAGTATAGATATCAATAATTTAATTGCCGATTATCGGGGGAGTATGATTTAACCGTTGCTTACAAAAGGGTCTTAATCGCTTTCGATTAGGAACCCAGGATTCCTGGAATAAGTATTCTAAACAGCCATATTAGATTAAGACAAGTGTCCTAAATGATCAGATTGAAATAGAATAATAACCCTAGAGGTTATAGTATCCTAAAACAATGTTCCTAAAGGAAAGTTCCTAGAACAAGTCTCCTAAGAAAGAGAAAGCTTCAGGATCAATCACATAATAGGGAGTTTTAGTGTCACGGATCGTGAACTATAAGGATCATTATGTGATTCCTTTACCTATCGATGAGTTGATGACTTATGCACCTGGGATCAGATTTACTCAATTTAGTATAGGAATATAGTGACCTTAAAATCAGATATATATAATCCGGTAACTATTGTATAGGTATATTATATATATATATAGATACTCTTTACAAGTTATAGTTTTTCAATTGTAGATTCTTTCTAAGGAATATAATTGACCTTGTTTATTTAGCTTTTATACAAATATTATATATCAGAATAAATAATATTAAATAATATTATAATTATTATTTTTGAATAAAAAATTTTAATTTTCAATTATCAAAAACAAACCGATATTCTACCTGCACCCTAATATATATTTAATATTTAAATTTATTATAAACTTTTTAAAATTTAAATTTTCATTAGACTTTCTCGAAAAGCCAGGGGTCCAGGGGGCGCAGGCCCCTGGTATATATAGGGTTAAGGTTCGCTTGATAATCTCTTTAAGGAATCTTTCTTATCTCTCTTGCTTATATCTTACTTAGGAAGGTGATTTCAAGAAAATATCATATAGGATCTTAGCTTATCGATCTATTCGTGTGGGTCCTCGATAGTTGATACTATGAAAGCGACCAATCTGACTGTAAAATGTTGTGCAGGGACCTTGTTCTCCATTTTTTAGGCCGTTTAGGTGCAGGTTAACATAACGACAACCAAGAATTTTCAACCTCAACTTTCAAGTACCAGTATAGGCATCAACTTGCTTCCGAAGCCAGTCAAAAGCTACCCTCAAATTATAGCTTGGCTTTCAACTTTGGTGCATCTAATATCAAACAGAATGAGGGCTAGCGAAAAGGTGATGTTATATGATGTCTATTGATTAGAGTGGGTATTTAGACGTCATGTTGTTCCTCGATGAACTTGAAAAATTAAGAGCTCACTCCCACACCTTTAGCAACACAGAACATATTGATACCCTGCCAGTTAACCATGGCTGTACTGATTCCTTCGAGTTTCGACATGCATTTACATAAAAATTTGAGGGTCGTCCATGTACATTCCAGCCCCTACACGACGAGATTCATATGTTTTGATTCCTTCCGTACTAACATAATTCCTTTCATCAGACAGTAGAACGCTTTGCGGCTTGATTCTCTCTACGGCGAGTGATCCATCGAGACAGCTGAAGGCCGATAAGTCCAACTGCAACAATGAAGACCACGCAGAAGACGACAATGACACCAGGCTCACGAGCCGCCCAGTTCTTTCTCTTAACAAGATGTTGTGTAGCCTCGGCGATCTGGGTAGTTGCCATTTCGATCGATTACTGTAAATCAAGCCATCAGTCAAGAGCTCAGTATCCCATGTTGGAATGTTCAAATCAAATCTTCAATTGAGGAGTTATTTCGTGCGAATCATCGAGAGCTGCCAAATGGATCACCAGGTTGATAATCAAGACTCAAATCCACGGATCGGGAAATGACAGCTTGGGATAGTGGGCTTTTGGTCGCAAGTGCTGCTTGAAATGAGGACGGGGTATCTTACTCGCTGGCTTGAAGCTTAGGATTGAGGTGAAGTATGCTCTTTGTAAGAATTAGTAAAGCTATTGAAGTCTAAAGAGTATCTGCGAAAGTATCACTCACGTTGATGGATGATTCGTAAGGATTTTGATAGTCAAATGTTCGTAAGTAAGAAGCTGCTGTACGACCAATTGATCTGTTGAACAGTCAATTTTTTGTATGATGCCAATTACTGCTTAAGAGACAAGCCAGAGACGAGTGTTCACAGATATAAATGGGCAGAGGTGTTGCAATGCGAGATTTCTGCCAACCAAATTGTGCAACTCAAAGTTTGATCATGTACAAAGATGATTCGCGACAAGCTGATGTGCTTATCTTTGACGCGGGGGAAATGCGGGGAAGGAATGAGGAATTGAAAATATGTTGGATTGGATATGACTTACCAGATGGTCGTGGTAAACTGCTGGAGTAATATTTATTTCGGGTGAATGATGAAGATTGATGAGAAGTCTTTTTCTGGTGACGAGAGAGAAATGGGGGAGGTAAAGACACCTACCTACCTATCTAGAGGTTGGTTGGTGTAATTTTCGGAAGGGATAATGAGATGAAATGGTGAATGTTGAGGAAGGTGCAAACGAGTTGAATGCGATTGGCGGTGCAACTTCCAATCACCAACGTCACTGCTTTCATAGATGAGACGGGACACCAGGAACAAACCACAGCAATAAGAACAACAATCCGAATTATTGGTAGAACTCGCGGCATTTTCATGTCTCTCACAACTTGAGTGTTGCTTGTGATTCCCAAGGGGCCAATTGATTCTCTTATCTGATATATAAACAAGCCGTCGAAGTCGCATTACTACAGCGCATATCAGCGGTAGCTGTAACTGCTAGTTACGTACATATGCATCGAACTCTGTGGTATGCTATACATTTATATCCGTTTAATTTATTAACCATCTACTAGTCATCACAATATTTATTCTCCAAGTTCTCGGGGTCCCGAGTTTCTCAAAGATCTAAACAATCCTGCTAAACATTTAGAAATTATCATCCACGCGTCGCAAGACTTGCCTCAAGACTTGCCTATAGCATGCCGTCTTTTGATGTGTAGGACGCGACGATTAACCTCGAAAGGCAACTGTTCGACATTTCATTGTCAAACCTCTTCAACAAACTTAATCTCCAACTTGGGAGTCGAAATCATGTGACATAAACAATCACATGACTCGGTACTTGAGTACGTAGCGCATGACGTTCCTTGTGATCATCACACACCCGTGGGTATATTTTTGGATCTGTTATCTTGCCCCGTGTCATCAAAGCCAATCTTATCTTCAACCTCGATATTTTTCAAATCGATAGAGGATTTGAATCAGCCTCGGCTAGTACATACGTCGATGGAAATGTAGCAAATGATACGGATCAAATAACAGATTTGTTAACTTCGAATTAGAATACTCAAATCTAAGATATGTTCTGACAATCTAAAGAAATTTGAACGACAAGAAGCTTAATCATTTGAGCGGTAGAAGGGGGAGGGGGCTTCGGGATTATAGAGAAAAAAATTTTGATTGCGGAAAGATAAGGATTCAGATTGCGACACTTCGGGTCCTTGAAGAAAAAAGAAGCAGAAGTGGATATGGAATACTCGCTTCGATCATTCTTTCAATTGTTATGGACAGATTTACATGTGATGTTGATGTCAAAGTTGTATGATACTTCATGATCGGTGTCTGATTCATCATCATGGGTAAAACGTTTACATCTGTGCTCCTTTAGACAACAAACAGCAGGCTCAACGGATACTCCCTGGACCTTGAGCTAACAGGATGCAATTCTCGAGAAGATGCTTCGATGTCGATGGTAAGATTTTATCGTCCATGAACCTCGCACCTTACAACTGAACATCTTTTATCGAGTCTCCCCAAACATCTAATCACATCGAGGGGTACTGAGAGAGGGTTTTATCCCATCTGCACGTGTGATACCGAAGCACATAAAGAGTACCATATATTATTGGCTTTTGAATGTAAAGCATCAGCAACCAGCAGGCGGCAAAGTCGCGTCGCTAAGAATTTGAAGGATTTCCAGCCCGACATAATATCAGCCAAGAAGTCAACACCATGCAAGACCTTCTCCAGATAGAAGATATCGACAACTAAGGTCGATCGATCTATCAGAGAAGGCTTTTTTCCTATCTACTAATCTATTGAGGTCCAAGATAGGCATAACACAGTTTGATATCAGTTCTCCGTGCATTCTGCATGTAAGACTTCGTACTCGTGTACAAGAAGGCTTTGTGCGGAGTGCCTCGGAATCGATAGAAACCCCGGACTACGAAAGCACATTAAGACCAACTTTTATCTTTGTAATCATGACTCTATGACTTTATAACAATTTACTTTGAGTATAGTGCGAGTCTATTTCAGCAAATTAAAACCAAGATTTCGGTGCCATGTTTAAACGACTGGGTTTCTGGGCATCGGCAAAATACAATGAATGGTGGACAAAGAAAGCAAAGAGACCAAAGGAAGCAAAGAGAGACCATACAGATCCTGGTATATCACGGACTTTTGCATGGCCCGAATGCTGTGGCAAGGATAAAAATTGCGTGCTGCCAGCCTTTCTGCGAACTTTACCGATATCTAATATTATCGATGAATAAGAAACCCAATCACCCATCTGAATCGAAGAATTCGCCATTATTAAAAAGCTAAATGAAGCTAACTCATACATACCCATACGCCTTGACGGCTTAACAGTTGATAATGATAATGTTGGCGACCCATCTCTATCTGCCTAGGTAGCATATTGATTAGTGGTTACTAGTAATATATGCGCTCAGTTATTACTCACCTCTTTTAGAATCTAGATAGATACTACTAGTCTACTACTACTACCAGGTCCCTCATCTACCTCGACTGAGCTACCTCCTTTAGGAAGTCTACCCATCGCTTTCCATTTGGCTCCCCTGCCATCCGTAGTCCATCCATTTCCTGTCTCTTTTCTAGCTTCCATACGCAGCTAGAGCCCCTTCAGACAAGCACTCCGGCAATATCCTTTTGATTAGACTTTACACTATCTGGAGCCCCTCGATCATCGATTTTGAAGTGTGAAATCGGATCCTTATCCACCGATTTATCAACTTTATTAAGACATTATTTCTAAGCCAACTTCCAATGCGCGGCGCTTCTTAATAATAACTTCTCACCTAACGGCACCCCTGCAAATTGTTTATCAACAAACTCGATTAAAGGTATTTCCACCCCTCCACCCCCACCAAGTATATCCACAACATCGGTTACGCCAACCTTGTTCGGTCTCTTATATTATTCAATCACTCGTCAACGATGCTTCCACAATGATCTGCAAACATCAACTCACTTCTTTTTCTATCTGAAGCATCGAAATCTCACGCTACGTGGAGCCGCCGTATGAATATCTTGGTCCAAATCCTCACCACGCTATAGCCCCGTTCAATTTGGTATAATACTAGGTACCAATCTAGAATATAATAAGCATCAAACAATCTAGAAGGGTAACAGCTATCAAGTCTACATTCACTTCTTCTGGCTAACATTTTTCATGAAGACCCTTCAAATCACTTCATCTCTTCAACCAATTACAAACGTTATTCTAAGCAGCCGAGCTGTTTGAACATTTACTTTAGCATCAATCGGCTCTGGAAGCTTAATATCACGCTATCACGCATCACGCACTGTTTATTCAGGTTTATACTTTTTCCAAATATCAACAATGGCGTACGATCACCCGGTCCAAAACAGTGAGGTCTACCTTCTCAATTCGGCACCTCATGCCTGCCTTCCTGCTTCGGCTCCACCATCACCACCAACTCCTAGTACATCATGCGACGAACTTCCACCCCCACTGGACGACCTCATGTCATTGACTCCTCCAAAGATAGAAAAGGGATGCCCGCCCTTTAATCAACGCTTGACAAGAGCAGTTCATGTTCTTAGCACAGAAGCAACATCTCTCTCATCCTTAACTATGCTGTATGACACTGATCCAGTCGCAAGAGATGGATTCAGCCATGCTGTAGAAGCTATCAAAAAATCCATTGGGGAGAGGGGAAAGCTTGTTATTTGTGGTGTAGGAAAGAGCGGACACATCGCCCAGAAACTTGTTGCGACAATGCGCAGTCTCAAAATACCCGCAATTTTTATTCACGCAACAGAAGCTGTGCACGGGGATGTTGGAGCTATCGGAAAATACGACACAATTCTCTTGATAACTTTCTCTGGTAAAACCAAAGAATTACTTGACTTACTTCCTCATCTCGATCCGTCACTTCCAATGATCGTTTTGACTGGCCATAGACATCGATCAAGTTGCGAAATTATTAACCTTCGACCAAAGACGATTCTATTACCCGCGCCGATTCATGAATCAGAAACGTTATCATTTGGTTGTTCAGCTCCAACGACATCTACCACAATGGCTATTGCCGTAGGAGATGCTCTTGCTTTAGCTACCGCTCGAGAACTTCATTCAGACATCGCCGCCGTCTTTTCCAAAAATCATCCCGGTGGTGCCATTGGTGCTGCATTCAAGGCAACTCAAACTGTTTCTGATATCGCGGTCTGTCTGGCCGATATGCCAGACCTTGGTAATGGGCCAAACACAGGAGCTGATGTCCTCATTAAAGCTTATGGGTCAGAATCTGGTTGGGTCAGATGTGGAACAGACACCGTCATACCACCAAGTTGCATCAAACAGCTTGGAAAATCTGACATGAATTTGCCAGCGACTTCTATTAATGGTTTAATGATATCCAAAAAGAATTGGGTCACCATTCCAGCCGATACTGAAGTTTCGGCAGCAAAGGAATTATATGGCAATTTTAGTTCAGAGACTGGTTTCACACATTCCGACGATACCATTCTGGCAATTATGGATGATCTTGAACTGATAGGAGTTTTGCACATTGGTGACCTAGTCTGAAAAGAGGGCTCAGTTTTATGATATGTGGCGTTTTCAAAAGGGATGGAGGATACAATGATTTTTATGTTTGGAAGGCCCAAGCGCTTTTTGGAATGGGCATCCAATTTGTATATCGATTGTATGTGTTTGCTCTGGGGTACATAGATATTCTTCTGTTGGTTTTCATCGCATGATGATGATGATACTATGTTGAGGCTTGATTGGTAACCTGGCAATGGTTTATGGTTTGGGACGGACGGATGGAGTGATGGATGGATGGATGGATGAATTATGATTAGCATAGGTTGGATGCATGTATGCATGTATGCATGGATAAGGGTTTGGATTCTCCTGTCTGAATAGGGAGGAATCATTTGGATATGATACCACAGCGATCAATACTACCTATCACCTCCCTCATCTATCTTCTCGTCTGGTCTGCCTGCTATGGTGAATGACATCGGGATCATGATCGGAACGAAGTCTGTACTGCATATCATATCGTTTGTCCACTGCTATACCGGTAGTAACCGTACATCAAGCGACCTCGACCTCACAATCTCGAACCCGAAGTGACAGTCTAATAACTTTGTGACCCTGAATTAGAGTTTTAGAGTTCATTAGTAGGTAGGTACCTAACATATACCATACCATGCCATGATATACATAGATAAGATTAGATCACCAGTAGATTAGATTAGATGGATCTCCATTCATTCATTACATGCATAAATCTACCGGCGGGCAAATCTACTTTCTTCAATGTCATCATGATTCTTATGATTCTTATCTATTCAGTATTTCAAAGTTCAACAGATGGATGGGACGGGAGCACATCTTCTTATTCTGGTACCTCGGATTACCCTGATTACTGGGTGGGTAGGTAGGTAGGTAGGTAGATATGCCGCACTGCCACTATGCGGTGATGTATGTTAGGTATTGATGCTATTTGATGCTATTGATTCGGAGCAAATGTCCTTGTGCTTCTGTGGCTGTGGCGAGTGCGATTGGTTTTTATAAAGAGGGGAATTTCAAATTGTGGCTAGGTAGGTAGTTACTGACTACTTACTGATTACTGACGTCATTTGGGCGCATCGCCTCATTCAAGCTCCTGTTAAGTTCTTGAAGCTCGATATATGGAAGGATGGATGAACTACCAACCTACCTTTTTATACCTACATATTGGCGTTTCGATTTCAATCCTAATCAAAACACTTTTTGAAGCAGACTCATCGTACGAAAACTCTCGATAGTATTTTATACGACCAGTGAAAGTACCTACCAAAATACCATATTCACAACCCACCCATCTATCGAACATGTCAACATCCGAACCACCACCACCCTACACCGAAAGCGCCATCTCCAACAATCCCACCCACAGAGCCAGAAATGGAATTCCCCCTCAAAGCCGTCGTTCCATGGAAGACGAAGCTCGTTCACTCCCAGATGGTTGGATCCGCCAATTCGACCCAGAAACTAACCATCAATTCTTCGTCGACACGACCCATAACCCCCCTCGATCAATCTGGCGCCACCCGTACGACGATGAACAATACATGAACAGTCTAACTCCCATCGAGCGCCAAAAAATCCAAGGAATCCACCGCGTACCCAGCAACGCAGACATCGAAGCCGAAAGCACAGATGAGGAATCCTCTCACCCCAAACCACCCGTACAACACGCAAATAACACCGAAGAAGCACCCACAGGCATCCACAAACTCGGACGAAAAATGAAAGACAAACTCACGAATTCCACGCACGCAGAACGGGAAGCCCGTCGTCATCAACGCGCCGAAGAAGAAGCCGCCGCCTATCGTCGTCATCAAGCTATCCGCGAAGCGATGAGTCGCGCCATTCGTACAGGCGAACCTCAACTCATTGGTAAAGATCGCAATGGGAAGGATGTTTATATTGAGCCACCGTCGTACTCGCAGTCGCCTTTCATGGGCGCAGGTGCAGGTGCAGGGAGGACGATGTATCCTGGGGGTGGATATGGATTTAATCCGTTTATGGCTGGGCCGCAGGGTCCATTTGGTATGAGTCCGTATGGGAATCAAGGGATGTATAGGAGGCCTTTGACGCCGTATAATCGGGGTTATTATGGTGGGTATGGGGGTGGGGCGGGATTGCCGTTGGCGATGGGGTTGGGTGGGGGTTTGATGTTGGGTGGTTTGATGTGTTAGGGGTTTGGTGGTGATGATGATGATGATGTTGTGCTGATGGATGTATTATGACTATGGAGATGCATTTTTTGCGGTGGATTATGGGATACGCTGTGCTTACGGATGGATTACACAAGTGACTTTGAGGCTTTTGTTTTGTGCTAGGGAGTTGGTAGGTATTAATAGTAAATAGAATACCCAATATGATGAATCTTCAAAACCGAAGATAATTACTCGCCATGTATAAACCTAAGTGCTTTTCATTATCATGCTCAGGCTCAGCTCCTGGATTATGGCTAAATGAATTGTCTATAATGTTCTTTTTAAAAACGTAGTCAATTGCATCTGCTGTATTTATATAGTATCTCATCTACGCAATCTAAACATACGATCTTTCTTCGTATCCAAATGCACAACCACTCTCCATCTATTCTCTCCCCTTTCTCTTCATCAATAATACCCATTATCTATCCCCAATTGACAAAGTCTTCTGCCCTTTCAACTCCCGAAGCAAATAACATTCCTCATGCACATCATTCCGCGCTCCATCTACATCTACATCTATATCAAAAATCTATAACTTCGCCTTTTCCCCCACAGTACCAATCTTCAATTTCTCCCCATACTTCTTCAACACGCCCTCATTATGATACTTCCAAAATTGTTTGGAGGCATCTTTTCCCGCAACACGTTTAAGGATTTTTGCTCCGCCGGGGTGTTCTTCGAGGAAACCTAGTAGAAGAGGAAGGAGATGGTTAGTAGGGATTCCTATGTTGTAGGTTTGGATGAGGGATAATAGGTGCGCCTTGTGGAATGGGATAGGGGGTTAGATGGGAAGCGATGATGAGAGTAATAAAAGGGGCATAAGGCTAGGGGTGATGGAATTAATCAATTGAATTAAGAAAAAAAAACATACTGGCAACATCATATACACCCTCGTCGATGATAATATACATTCCATTCTCAACGTCCTTATGAGCCGCTACTTCAGAGGGAGAAAAAGTTTTAGACATTTTGTTTCGTGTTGTGGTCGTTCGATTCGTATATATATCCGAATTCACGTTCGTATGATATTGATATCGTCTTTGATCTTCTGTATCTCGTTTCGCTGCAATGACACTTCTACTCTGTTCTTCAAGATAATCTCCTCCTGAATTACGAATTCGTGCCTCCTGGACCGATTGTTGAGGACCTTGCACCTGTACTTTCCCGCGTTCGCGTTCTCGCTCTTCTTGATCTTTCAGTAATGTTTTCTGCTGATGTTGATGTAATGCGATGAGATAGGCGTAAAGTGAAGATGTAGCGAGAATAGCTGTGAGATTTGCGGTTCCGATGTTGGGGATGGAAAGGGAGGAGAAGGAGGGCATTTCCCCGGATTTGGGCGGTTTATGGTGTTGGATTCGGTCATGGTGGTTTTGGACCGAGGTACTTTGCTTTTTGGTAGAGGATTAGTTATGGGGTCAGCGGGATGGGGTGGGCTCTGATTGGTTGGATGCTCGGGGTTTCTGTTGGTGTTGCCGATATATACTAGGTAGTTCTATGCGAGGTTTGTTTGGAGTGATGTTTGGGCTTGGTGATGAAATCAATGAATGGATGGATGGTTGGGTTGCTTTCAAACGTAATGTATATCTTCATTTCTTCAGGAATTTGTATCATGTAGTGATTTTTATCTTACAGTATGCTTTCACGCGGTTATACTACTGCTACCTAGATAATCATCAAAATACTCAACTCAACAGAACAGAACACCAGTATCTATCTACCTAGTCTGCATTAACACATCGTCATAACCTACCTGTAACATCAACCAAAACCCCTGCTATAAAAAGAACAACATACATGTACCAATCAATCAACAGCAAACCCATTCAGGCAACATCCTTTGGTACATATTCCTCATGACGTTCATTTACTCCACCTGTTCTTGTGAGATTTTTTCATTTACGAAGTACGAGAAACCAGATTCGGTTGTCAGATTAGACTGGATGTGGATAGGAGTATATAATTAGATGATGAGTTATCTCGTATTATAGACACATACATACATACATACATATATATATAGAAAAAGTTTTGTTAGTTTTGTGTTTTAAGAACTGAGACACAGAGATTTCTGTAGAATATCTTTCATATCCTTATCCAAACAGTCATTAACGACATAAAAGCCGCGTTTGATCTCATCAGGACCCGATATCTGGTAACTTCAAGCTGTGTTTATACACTTATCTCGATCAACGACGATCTATTGCTACAAGATGTATTTCATACCATCAATACCATATAGAGAGGAACCTTATTCTCCATATTGGGGTACAATTAACTCGCAAACTAAGTAACTATAAGTCCAAATACCATTTCTCATACTTCACATGCTAATACAAAGTAGTTTCTGCGAAGAGGTATATAAATCCTCTATTTCTGCTGGTTCAAGCTGTGCATCAATAGACTGATGAAATCAGGATCATATCATAACTACATATATCGCCGAATTTATAAATACCCTCACAAATATCACTTATCGTACGTTCTTCTCCTCATAACCCTTCCTTAATGTTAAATTACGAGAATTGCTCTCTCGCTCAATAGGCTATAGCAAGTTAAATGCTAATATCTGGACAATAATAGTATACTACGCCTACAAAGGAATCCGCGCCAACGCCAACCGACCAGACGCCATCATCCGAAATCTCCCCTATCTTGGACTCGCAGGAGTAGGTATCCTAAGTGCACTTTTCCACTCCACAAACAAGTACTGGACACAATGGTGTATGTTAAGCATCTCCGCATTCTCTCTTCTCCTGACACTATCCCACATCTCGGATAAGTAGTAACTACTCGTAATAACTCACCCGTACTGACAAATCAAGTCGACGACACCTCCATGTTGATCGCTACATCTGCCGTCGTCCACCGAGTATTCACTTATGATAAACCATTCAAATACACCGTTATTCATGGATCTTCTTTATTTATATTCATGGTTGCGTTTATAGCTTGGCATTGTATTACCGATGAGACTTTAATCCATCCTATTCTTTTCGGTAAGAGGACATTCTCAGCTCCTTTCCCTTGACCCCGCGCCAAAACATTGAAATAAGTAACTATAACTAACAAACAATAGGCATTGAAATAGCATTCGTAGGTATCAAAACACGCAGTATTATTAATCTCCGCGTGGGAGATAAATTAGTACGGAAACAAGTCAAAAAATTAGTTACATATGGTGGTGGTACGTCCCCTCTCATCCTCACCCTCATCCCATCCACATCCCATTCCCATTGTCCATATCATCCTCCATCCCCCTCCCAACTAACCACCAACCCACAGTAATCTTCATAACCGGCTTCATCCTCTGGAACATTGACAATACATTCTGTCCCTCCCTCACACAAACCAAACGATCCATCGGCATGCCGTGGTCTTTTCTCCTAGAATTACATGGCTGGTGGCATGTTCTTACGGGGATCGGTGCTTATATTTGTAAGAATTCTCTCTCTCTATATATAAGTCTATAAACATCCCTCTCCACTCCCCGCCTCCACCTCAAAACCGCAAAACCAAATCACTCCTTCAATTTTCCCTTTCCCCTTTTTCCAGAAAATAAGTAATAAATGACAACAAATCCGGGGAGTGTGGGCGGGGGAAGGAGTATATGAAGGCGTACCAACTACAGAATAAACAATACCTACCTACATCCTACATATAGCTAACACCCCTCACCAAAAAATAGTCATAGCACTAGTAGAATACCTCACATCCTCAGAAGCAGGCCAAGAGCTAGGAAAAAGTTTCGCATGGCCTGTAGGTTTGATTTTGGGAGGTGGAAAGACGCATCCTACAAATATGGTGGGTGGATTTGTGAATGGGAGTGTAGATGGGAATGGGAATGGAAAGGTCCCGTATGAGTCTGAGTCGATTTATGAGAGGACGAAGAGCGACTAGATGGTGTAGATGTATAGATACATGTTCAAATATTCAGATGTTCAGATGGATAGATATATAAATAGGTCGCAGTGGTATTCATATGTATCTCATAAAGGAATTTAATGAGTCCATAATTATAGCTCTACATACCTACCTCAATATAAGTCTTACATCACTCATTAGATAATAGATTCCAGATTAATTATAGAGAATTAAAATGTAAGTTTTACTAGACTAAAAATCACATCAATCAAATCAAATCAATACCATACTATATTATAACATCCACAACATCACAACACGCAATATCTTATACATACCTAGATACACAAATCCAAATATTAATCTTCCAATTTGATTTTAATTATCCACTGCTTTCTTTGAGCTATATATATATATATATATATACAACCTCTTCATTTATCTTTTTAATCATCTGTCCTCTTCATTTATCCTATCCTACCCAATCCTATCCTATCTGATTCAATCCAATCCATTCAGTGTATTCTATCTATAATATCTTTCTCCTAGTATCATCTGAATCTCAATCACAATCTCAATCACAATCTCAACTTCACATCTCCAATGTACTTTTACCATCTATCCATCCATCTATCCAGGATCCCACATCCCACATGCAACCAAATAAACCACCACCACAAGAAGATTCAAAGAACTATAAAGACAAACAAAATAATGATCATATAACCTATAAAAACTCCCATACACCCACGCTACGCTACGCTCAAATAACATCAAAGAAATCCCATATTTTTAGTTGAGAAATGATGAAAAATCATAATATACCCTCATCTTTCCCATATCATCGGATCATATCTCATCGGATCATTTCATTGTCTTAACCAAGTTCATCCTCAAAATCCTCATCTACATGGATCTGAAAAATGCTTCTTTTAATATAACCACCAACTGGTAGTGTGCTTGGATATTCGGATGGTGTATCACTACTATCACTTTCATCTCCATCATCAACCATGGACTCTCGTGGGCGAAGGCCAGCCGCACTCATTTTGATAGTTGACTGTGAGTCTTGGTGTGGAACATTATCAGCCATACCTTCCCATACATCATAAGGTTGATGGTCTTGGTCAGATGCGCCATCGTCGCTCAATGCACTCTCATCAAAGCCTTCATCCATATTGATTTCATACATCATGCTTCCCTTGTCATCTTCCTGCATCCGGGAGCCCTTCGCACGGAAGTTCGCTTCAACATAAGGAGCATTGCTATAAGGTGTAGCGTATGCGGATGGAGTGATCCCTCTCTTGGAGTCGATCTCTTGCATTGCAGAAGGCCCCAGGCTAGGAGGGTCAATGCTCTCGGTATCACGTGGACGACTAGGTGATTTTGAAGTACGACGACGCTTCAAACCAAAGATATTTTGAATGGGTGATGAATGTGGTTCACGATCACGATTGAAGGAGCCAATCCCGCGTTTACCCATCTGGGATGTGCCAAGTGGAGCAAGGGCGGACATGGAAGCCGTGCGAACTGGCTTGAACGGATGCCGGTCTTGTTTGACTCTAGAAACTGCGACTGAAGTTGGCGTAGAAGATTCTACAGGTGTGTCGACAGCGGAGGATCCGTCTGACGGAGAAGTAGGTTCGATTTCAGCATCCTCGGCCTCTTGGGACAGTCGAATACTCAAAGATGTGGAGAATGAGCTATCGTCCTCAGCCGGATCGAGACGTTCATCCCACTCCCAGCAAGCCTCAGCTGCATCAGCCTCTGGCGTATGGCTTTCTACTGAATCTGCATTACGAACCCGAGGTAGCTGACGTAGTTTATGCCAAGTCCATCCTGATGAGCTGTGGACATAATGTTGAAGGTAACTATCCACTTGTGTTACATAAAGTCTCCGCATAGTCTTTGTACGCATAGCCACACTCGAAGCAAGAAATGGCACAGTCCACAACGCAGGAGTAACCATCTCTGAAGGGTCTAAAAATCGTAAGGTTGACGTTTTATGTAATTTCCTCAATGGTATCCAGGCAGCGCGTAGTCCAAGAAAGTTTTCCATAGGTGCAGGAATTTGAAGTGGAGTATGTCTGGACGATGAATAGATATCCTCAGAGAGCCTTTTGGGAAGATCTCCAAAGGCTGACATGAGAGCTACTTGTACGTCTCGAGCATCCGGGCCTTTGACCTGTACCACCTTCACTAAACCCCTGCTCTTTAACCGTTCATTGATCGTACTAGCAGCACTACAAGCTTTAGGCATGAGAAGAGTGCGATCGTCAATATCACTCTTCTTCAACATCCTCTCCCAGGATATAGAATAGTCTTGGTCACAAAGTGAGGCTTGCGCAGCAGCCAAAAAGTTCTTTTGGGTCTGAGTCCAATCTTCAGACGCGCAACTATTAATCCTTGAGCGTTGAGACATTGAGTGATTTGTAGACCAAATTCCCATCATGTCAGGTCCATATGGTAGAAAAACTACCTCAATCTCCCAAGGTCGAGCCCACGATGGTGGAAGAACAGCTTCTATGCGAGTGAGTCTATCTTCAAGGCTTCCCACACGGGAGACAAGATTAGACTGGTCGATTGCATTCGATACGAGAGCAGAGGATGTCTTGTTTGTCTGAGAATCGAAGGACTCATTCAGGTTTCTATTAGTACCTATACTGCTCTCGTCAGCTACAGCATTAGCCTTTTCAAGCTCCTCTACTCTGCTCTCAAGCTCATAGACACGTTCATTATAATTAATCATATCCACTTGAACCTCCTCATAACCAGTGTTTGAAAAGGATGCATTCTCAAGAGCATCAATTCTTTCCTCATAGTTGCGCTTGGTGTCTGGATAATCTGTAACGATCTCACGAAGTCTAGGAATGAGGAGGTCATCGGGCCCATCGAAATCATTCAGGACAATAGCTCCTTGATCTTTTAGTGCAGGTCTAGTCTGAGAAGCCTGGAAAGAGGGCAACCTATTGGGGTGTAAAGGTAAAGTAGCATCTTGAGCTCTGATATTAATATTTGCTAGCGTTTTATCCATAGCTCGTTCGTCCGGGACACCTTGAAATGGCAGATCTTGGGTTGACAACAAGGTTGGCGTCATTGACAACACATCCGTAAGGCTTTCATGAAATGTCCGACCATCAGAGGTTTTGTAAGCCTGCATCGGTCGTCCCTTACCTGGTTGAACAGCTTGTCCCTGGGTATTGAGTCGTGGAATATGACTCAAGGTATTAAGCCCCAAGCCATGAAAAGGCCGTCTAGCCTGGCTCGAGGTCATTGAAGCAGTCTCTGAGGGTAAAAAGCACTGCGATGGAATTGGCGGTATCTCTTCTGGGTTGGTTTCAGACTGTACACATCGGCTCCATTGAAGTGTTTCTGGGAAGTTCGAGTTCTTACTCCGTCGAGCAACTCCTGGATTGTCCTTTCCAGGTATGCTCATATTTTGTGGAGTTGATGGTCGATGGTTCACTTGAGCCCTACGAGCAATAGAATTCACATTCGGACCCGAGACATTACTTAAAGCTCGCGATCGCTGGTCTTCTGTTGGCTGGGAAGATTTAGGTTCATGAAAGCAAACATGATGCCCGCATGCGCAGACTTCCGCTCTAGAGAACCCCCCATCCTCTAATGTCGCGTTGGCTATAGATTTTTGAGATTGGCCCCAGAATTCATAACATCCACATTTTGTGCTAATATCCGACTGCCTATAATTGCATGCTCCAGGCAAGTTTCTTCTCCCAATTGTATTATTGATACCGCTGATTCTATCTTGATCTGGTGTATTCGGAATCGTCGTACTGTGGGAGGCAGCCATAGGAAAATAGTTGCCAGAAAGCCCAAGTAAGGAGAGGTCGCATCGAGGAAATTAGAGCACGGAGTCGTAGAGTTGCGGCAGGAATTACTTCTCGAGGTGCCAATCTTTTAAGTTGCAATTGAGATGAATGCGACGAAATCGAAGAATATTTGAGCAAAAAAGGACTCGAGCTTTAAATAAACTGAAAAAATATCAAGGCGCGCTGGGAAAAAAGGAGTAAGGCTGTCGACGCGTCGCAATCAATAAATTTCAACGCATATCAAGCTTTATCTGTGCCCCGATATTAGTTAGGTACCGTATCACCATGGCAATGAGGGAAAGATAAGATGGCACTGACTTGAACTCGGTCGCATAGTTGCAAATAAACTGACAGACTCGAAAAAAGCTAACAAAAAGAAAGAAAATGAAAAAGTCAAGAAATTCGTCGATTGAAATAGGGAAGGAAGAAGAAGAAAAGGCAACAGGAAAATATTGGAGATGGTACGAAAGTTTACTAGGTGAGAGGTTTGTTGCATGGATTCAGATATCGCACATTCATATGGATGAAGGTACTAGGTAGGTAACATACCGACGACGTGTGGGGTAAGAAAGAAAAGAAGGGAAGGAACAGTAAGTCGAATTGATGAATGAAAACGCCTAAATTTCCATGAACCATGAGCCCAAGCTCTGAGAGTCATATTTTAATCCTTGTATTATGCATAGATAGTGTTTTTAGTGCACCATCAATACAATTATTAATATCTCCAGAGCCAGTAGAAAAAGTGCCACATTTGTATAAACCAAGAAGCCCGTTCCTACCACAAAAAGGTTGGGTGAACGCTTGTACGCCCTATTTCCTGCAAAAACTTGGGGGCGTTGTTCTGCAGCTCTTCTAATTGGTGGTGTTACTTGCCAGGGAGTGCATCCAATATGTATACTTTTGTTTGCCTCGTCGCTGCTTAGAACTCGACGAGAGATGCATGCATGTGATTGGTTGAAGTTCCATTTATATTTTCGGGAATAGCTTCAACTTGACAACCTTTCCGGTGAACGCTTTTGTACAGCTACGTTTAGACTACCCTTAACTTAACTTTGGGAGGGCCTGGATTCATGGATTTCAATTAATTTATGCAAATAGTTTCAATTTCGACTTGGTTTCACGCATTGTTGCGACAGTTGGTGGAGATATATATGAACTAGGAACACAATATTGCGTGCTAATTGGGGTTTGAGCAATAGTCATAGCAACATATTGCTAGTTGGCTCACCGAGGTGCTTAAGATTAGCTGCCCCTCTCACATCATTGTCTTTAGATCCTCCTGCTTTACTCCTTAGCGCCCTGGATCATTTGCCATGGTGCTTCTGATGACTATATTAACTCACCTCATCACTTAAATCATGATTAATAATGTGGAACTGATTTGGACAACGTATCAGCGGCCGTTCATGCGGATTTTATCATCTACAATCGCTCGTAGGGTTAGATGATCGCATTTCGAAACGATATGACAGCATCCATGTACCACTTTCATGAGATCTGGGCGTTTGCAAAAGAGGTCACAGTAAAGTCGCCGGAGAGAAATTCGGTACACTAGTATTGAGGCTGAGACATCGGGCAAGGAAGAAACTATCTCGATCGCCCGTAGTAGTCATTGTAATCTTAGGCTGAAGCTAGAAGAACGAGGCGAAGTCCTACCTGTATAGACTACTAACCATAGTACTGATAGTAATTAATCAAGGTTAATTATCTGGGCGTTCTGCAGAGAATAAAAGAGTGCACAAAGACAAGTACCAAATAAATCAACTGCCCTTCTGGATAACCCATGCATTCACAATGCCCTAACTTTCCTTCTTCCAGCCTTCAAATACTGGGATGCAATGCATTACCTAACAGTCCACTTAGTAATAAAGCATTGTTCTTGCCTAGCTGCCCCTGACGGAATCGTGAGCCGTTTGTTTCTACCTGCTACTCCCGTTCAAGTTTGCATTTCTCTGTTCTTTACTTCAACCTAAGTTTTAGTGCGAATTCAAGTTCAACCTCGCCGGCACGTCCCGGTTGTATAAATAGCTGGGCTGGGTCAAGCCAACGACCAAGAAAGTACCCGCTAGCTGCTAGGAAGTTTTGGCAGCCTGAGGGAATAAGGAGGGCTCCTTTGTAGTAACTATTAGCGGCTTCTATGACGACAGCTTTTCGTGAATGCCGAGACTTAGTAAGGGTGCGTAACCTGAAAGATTTTCTATGTTTCTCGGCTGAAAATCCTGATGTTAATACTAATATGCGTCAATTGATCCAATTGCAGCTCGAATTTTCATTAGCGATTTCGAACTGTGAACATATAACGTTTGACCTTCGCTGTGTTGCCTATTTTTCTGCAAATAGTTCAACGGTAGTTTCAGAAACCTTTTGAACTTTTTTCCCTCAATTTCGACATTACTTTCGCTCACCATGCTTATCGATGAATTTGCCGCCCGCTGCTTATATTTTGACACGCTTTAGCCTTGCACCGCACTTCCCTCGCTAAGCAACACCATCGTCGGCAAGCGAAGCATGTCATTGTCCTCTGCCTTACCGGTTTTGCTCATGGGATCCGATATCAATGGCTTACAGGAGGTCAAATATAAAGCCAATTGCACTGATTTTTAGCGGCAATATTGGACTGTTGCTATGAACGCAACCTCATTATGGTGCTTGTACTGGAACTCAAACGCAGTTTCGATGGATGGGGCATTGCTCAGAGCCTTGATTCCCACTGCAGAGCGAAGGTGAAGGAAAGTTTTTGAGAGCAGGCCTGGAGATCTGGAAGATCAAGATTTTGAGTAGATATTGGTGGTGGACCGTTCGTTCATAGTGGTGGTCTTTGGCGGCGAGTGTTTTGTGGGCGGATTTCCTGAGAGCTCGAGTCAGCTCAAGAAAGATCGGCATCTTGTCTCTGAATAGTATGAATAAAAGAAGTCAATCATTTGAGGGATTGACTATAACTATCTGATGTCTTGACTTGTAATGGAAATAGTGCTTACTTCAAACAACACCTGGTATCGGTTATTCAAGCGTGAAAATTGAAACGGCATGGCCATGGGAAGGTGTGGCATTAATTGCAATGCAGATTTGGATAGCCAAACATCTGTTGCTTGTACCACGTAACCTTCAGTTGGCCAATTCGGTGATGATACAATCATCGGATTACCATAATTGAGGGGTAAAAATCAGCTCGAGCACCTCGAAGTAAGTAAGAATTTGGACTGTGTTCATTTACTGATACCGTGCCAGTTATATCCTTTCATGATGGGTGGTCAATATCAGGGAACAAACGGTACATTTCGGCAAAGTACTATTTGCTTCTTCTCGATCAGCACGATTTACGACCTTGAATTCGAGTGGGTAAAGTACTGGGTAGGCTTCGTTACTGGAAATATCAAAAAGAACCTGGCCAATTGTCTCTAGTATCGCATTGATTTGTGACTGCATTAAAGGGTCGACAACAGAGTTTATTTGATGAGCTTAAGCCTTAAGACCTGCCAGGGCTCCCCGTTAAAAGTTTCAAGAATATTAAATGAAAAAGTTTTCGTAAAATTTATCGCCGTTTGGTGCGTATATATGATCGGAATATCTGAACTTTCCCTCTGTGGGTCTCCAGCACTGGCTGGGTAGGCATGTACGATAACAATGTTGGATGCGAGAAAGATGACAGCGCGTTTGAAAGTATACTGCAATAAAACTTAAGAATTAGGCAAGAGAGCAAAAGCGGGCGAAATACTAGATCTCATAGTGTTTGTAGCATCAAGATATCAAACCGCAGCTAGAGCGTCAAGTTCGAGCTGGATACAATCTGAATGCCAGATCAACGATGGAGCGTTGAAAATTGGGACAGGAATGATACACAGGAACAAAAGTCGAGTCGGTTATCATCCGAATTCCATGCTCCATGTAACTCAAGTGAATTCTATTAATAATCGAATTGAAATATTGCCGTCGCATTGCATTGAGTCGATGCATGCTACATTTGTACACGGACATCATTACGAGGTGTAGATTAGGAATGATATGCAATAGCCATCAAGGTATGCAATTGACAGCCTTCTTTGGTCATCCAATAGTATACATGTCCTTTCAAACTTGCCAGGATAACAAAATAGTCGCAGTGTTTCCTGTTCCTGACATGGTGGACTGAGAAGTGTTCTTATAGGTTGATGATCACGGCGGCTCGAGGACAAATTTGGCACCTCGGCGGCAAACATAGGGCGTGTTGACCATAGATATGCTCCCATATATAGTGTATATCACATATTGAAATAGGGTGTGAGACAAGTAAGTCTTTGAAAAGAATAAGTTGAACCTTCGCCTCTTCATGGTACTCGAGTTATCATATTTCTTTCCCCAAGAAAAACAATCAGACAAGAAAAGACGACAAGAAAGCTTTGCAGAGTAACAAATATTAATTATGGTTCGAATGATTCTGGGAACGGCAGCGGGTATGTAAATGCTAGGGCTTTCGGTTCGGCACTTGACAGCCCCGAACCCCTCACCAATCATCCTCCTTTGTGAGACCCACTGACACCTTCTGAAAAGTATCGCTAGTCCTCTCCATGATCAATGCTGTATCAGCAACAGCAGGATTCGTCGCCAAAGATGACAGCATTTCATTTGCTCTGAACATACCAGAGAAAAATCCAAACAATGATTTATATTTCAGCATATCAGGTCCGAGCAGCTGCTCCTGGATTGTGAGTCCAAATACCTACACAAGCAAGCAAATCAATTCGTCTAATCTGATGAACATAGGCTGTGGGCATGGGATCAGATAAGATGAAAAATTCCCTCATGTTTATGATGTATGCCGATTCGACGGGGAACAATGTAACTCTCAGCCCTCGAATAGCTACCGGTGAGAATGAACCATCGCATACCAAGGATATCGTGGTTGAAGCTTTTGCCGGCACACGAATTTTTAATGATACTTTCACGTGGAATGGGAGATGTCGCAATTGTACCTCGTGGAAAGGAGGATCCATAGGTCCTACAAATATGGAGGCAAACTTCATATGGGCCACTGGACCACCTGGAAACATAAATTCCAATTCGTTGCATGCCAATATCAAAAGACATGATACGTATGGAGTTTTTGCCATGGATTTGTCGAAAGCGATGGGTGCTGCAGCTGTACCTGCGGTCCCAACTTCGAATTCCAAAGGTTCTTCCCAGTTTTCGGAGAAAGCGGATGGTAACGTCTCGTCAGCTGCCCATGCTGTTCTGATGGTGTTGGTATTCGTAGGCCTTTTGCCGTTGGGTCTAGTTATTTTGAGGTTCTTTAATTGTCCCAGATGGCATGCTCTCAACCAGACTATATCTCTTATGATCGCTCTCATAGGCCTTGGAATAGGTGCTCAAATGGGTACACTTTACAATCGGGTATGTTTGATCTTCCTTGATTTCAAAACTGCTCCTCTAATATAAGTTACAGACGAAAGGTTTCAAATCCGGACATGAAATCTTTGGCCTCATTATTGTGGTAGCCATGGTCGGACAGTGGATCCTCGGATTTCTTCACCACCGAATGTACAAGAAAACCTCAACCACTACCAAATTCGCTCCTATACACGTTTGGTTAGGTCGTATTATCATCCCAGCTGGAATCATAAACGGATTTATGTAAGTATCCTCAAACAGTACATCCATGATACCCAACCTAACACAACAACAGTGGCTTCCCTCTTGCTCTTAACCCTAAATTCGACTACGCACTCCTAGCCTGCACTCTCCTCATTATAATAATTTTCGCCCCTCTTCTATTCTGGGGCTACAAACGTCGTCAAGCTAAAGAGATCGAAGCAATCACGAGCGAGACAGAAGGCTATCAAGCAGAGCCTTGGAGAGCCCCTCAGGCGCAGTATGATATTAATCTGAATCATATGAACATGGGCTCTAACTATGGAGTACCTCCGTCCTACAATGCAGCCGCACAACAAAATATGCAGCAGCAGCAACAGACTCCGGGTCAATCGTCGCATAATCTTCCAATGCAGCAAGGGATGCAGTTTGTTTAAGGATCAAGTTCAACTCTACAGAACTCCTGGGTTTCTGTAAGGAAGTCTCAGCGATCGATTAGATTAGGATGAAATCTTTGAAATATTGAGCATGGCAAAGCGGATATACATATGATTCGAGTATTTATGGGCAAAAGGAACAGGAACTCCATAGTCATATCGGATTAGGATTTTAAGATTTGGAATACCGACCAAGGTCACCAGGGCATAAAGGGGCGTTCGGCGTGCGTGATAGCGCGGAGGAAAAATGGACAATTTCTTTATGTATGGCCTGGTTGCCAACATAGGAGAAATGGCGTTTCAGGTTACTTTTCCCTTTTATGGATACCATTAATTAAGATACATTCAATGATCCGAAGTTCTACGCAATTTGGAAATTTTAAAGATTATTTGAGATATCTGACTATGTAAGAATAGAATGGATCATTTTAAATGATGTAATTCATTCCGGACTTTTATTGTATCTTATATAATGTGTAATTATCATCAATTCTCCTGGGTATTTATCCGCAAAACCTCAATACTCCAATTTCGTCTTCTATATCCAATATCGTATCCTATATCATCACATCAAACATATCATCTTCTACCCACCTCCACCTCCACCTCTACTAAAAATTAAACATTAAACCCCAACTCCCTATTCCTAATTCTCGCCTCCTCTTCCGCCTCCTGATCCCCCTCCAACCAAATCTCATGTCCATCCCCCTCCCCCACAAACGTACTCGCCAAACACGTCACGCCCGCCATACCAGTCAACATCCAAAACACCAATCCCACATATCCGCTACTTAGCCCCACTCCATAAAGATAGCCGCCAAGAGCAGGACCTACCGTTCTCGCTGCACTACTGGCCGTTTGTCCCATACCGTGGATAGTACCTAGGACCGATGGGTGGGGCGAGCAATTGTTGATTAGGATTGTCGTTGCTGGACCGGCGAATGTACGGGAGATGGTTTGGATGAGGAGGACTAGGGTTAGGGAGATCCAGATTAGAGGGCCGGTTTTTTGGGATGGTGGGGGAGAGAGGGAGGGGATGAGTGAGAGGAATGGGGCGAGGGTGTAGGCGATTGGGAAACCGTAGAGGAAAATGCGCCAGCTGCGGATGGTGCCGAAACGAGTGTTGACTATGGGATACAGGAATAATTGCATGGTTATACCGATCACGCCTAGAATGGACATGGCGAGACCAACATCGCGAGGTGGAAGACCGATACCGCCGGTGAATTTTAGAGGTGGGTGTGGGGTGTAGTCCGCGGGGAGAGATTTGGAAGGGTGCGAGGGATTGTATGCGGGTGTGCTGAGGAATGAATACCAGATGCTCTGAAATGTTCCCATCGAAAACGCGAGTAAAGCGTGAGAGACTAGTGTGCATACCACATTGTATGTGAAAACTTGACGGAATGGTAATCGATTTTTATAGCGAGGTGCAACGCGCTTAGGCGATTTAGGTGTGATAGGGGTGGAACCGACAGTAGGCGACGAATTAGTGCTCAAAATAGCAGTGTATTCAATTTTACTAGAACTTCCCTTGCGGAGGCGACGAAAGAAGTGCTTGATAGCACGGCCAGTTTTGATGCCCCAATCCTCTTTATGAGCATACATTTCATGTGTCTGTACAGGTTAGCATGACTTAACATTAGGTAGAGAAATTTGAAGGCTCACTTCCTCAAGGGCAAATATAACCGCAAGACAGGCTGAGGCAAGAAAACAGGCACTAAGTAAGTTGGGAGGTGCATATGGATACTTTTCTAACCACTTGATACCTCCGAATAAACTTGGGTAACTTCCTGCTGGATCAGCTAAAAGGCCACCTAATATGGGTCCAATGATAGTTCCAATATTTCCACACATCGGTAATAACAAGAAGGCACGGCTCTGGTATCTAACCACCGTTAGTCTTTCATACATTTAAGGAAAGATACAGTACCTTACTTCTTTTCCTTCACAATCTCACTAATCATGGTTCTCATGACGCCCACATTTCCATTGAGTGCACCACCAATCATTCTGAAGACCAGTGCCTGCCAAAAGTTTTGTGCGAATCCAAAACCCAAACACGAGAATGCGGTACCACCTAGACCTATCAGTAGAACCCTCTTCCTACCTGAACGATCTGAGAATCGTCCCCATAACATAGCAGTAGTTAATTGGGCCAATGCAAAAGAGCCCGCCATGATACCAGCTTGAGATGCAATAACTGAATCTGGTAGTGAGGGATCAAAAGATTTTAATTGGTAGAATAGATAACTCTGTCATGTGCATCAGTATGTCCCTTTGTAAGCTTATAAATTTGGACTTAAAAAGATGAAAATATATCCAAGTAGTTGAAATGGATTTAGCACTCACTCTCAAACTAGTCTGCACAAGGGGCTCGGATAACCTCGCACAAGTAAGGATAGCCAACTGTCTCTTGTGCGGCAAACTACTCCAAGCCACAGGACCTTCCTTTTCCGGCTCTGTAGCCGGAATTTCGATTTGTAGGTCTTCATTGTTTTCTTCTTCTATGACAGATTCCCGTCGTTCTAGAGACGGTTTCCCGTGTGTTTGTTCTCGGGACTTGATTGGTGCATATGTAATAGTTTGCGACACGGTACCATAAGAACTTCCATTATTGTTAGAAGTAATTATTGATGTTTCCTCATTAGATTCTTCTTCTCTAGGGTTTTTTCTTCTATTTCGGGACTGATTTGTCGATACATCTGAAGTGTTTGAATTTTTAGAATTATTGCCAGGCATTGTTGTAGTCAAGGTGCAGGTTAGTGGCACATATAAAAATAACAAGGATCTTGGCGCACCTTAGGATATTTGCAGAATTTATAAAAATACTTATCGGTTACAGAAATGGTTGACCACCAAACGGCTACGGCAAACCATTCAAATAAGGGGATTCCCGCGATGTTCCGAGGGTCGAAATTGTCCGCGTCAGCTTATGTGATTGGTTGGTAGGCAGGTTAGTGAATGCAGCGTCATAGAGACAGGTATCAAAGAGAAAAACCCTTGTTAAACAACTGACACAGCCACAACGGCCTTGATCTAGAACAGGACTATTTCGTACAGATTTCCTTCGCCGGTGATATTCTTGCTACGGGGATATGCTTCAACGAACTCATAACCGTAGACTTTCAGCCAGCTGTGTCGAAATGGTGTGTTAAGTAAGTAGTATGTTGACCGATGTGCGGTTTGCTGCAAAGGATAGCAGTAGTTGTAGGGGGTAATCTTAATTATCCAATACAGCTATTGAACTGTGGTGATGGTAAATTTGAAATGTCAAGTTCTCAATTTAATTCACCAGTGTGAATAATTGAGATTCAAGTATACCTACCTCAAGTGCGGTGTGATTTCCGGGGCTACGCCTTTGTCGTTGAGCCTGATACAGCTGCCCCCGCATAAGCAGAGCATTGTGATAGCACTGTGTATGGTTCAAAAATGAATCCTAAATATGGATAATTTCTTACTGTTTTCATATTAATCGCCCTTTTGGTGTGGAAAACCAAGATGTACTTTATGGAATAGGGACGTGGTGTTGGTCTAGGGGGCGAATTTCAATCCTAATATGAAGTCGAACAGGAGATTGATGTTTAGCTTGCGGAGTTCAGTCATGTCGACTCAAAATAATAATCGATTGACCAAAATTTTGAGTGAAAAGATTCATTAGACCTGCTTGTTAGAAAAGTGTTCGTGTTTACCTATGACGCTCGTACATGTCTTCAAATGTTGCTTCCAGATATGGGCTGCTACTTGTATCGCACCTACCTATTTCGAACCCTCGAAAATTTCTTCAATTGCCTACGATTCATGTTGCTGTGTTACGTTCTCCAAGGAACTACTCCATCTCATCATAAATCATAAAGTACAACCATCCTTACAACCTCTTTCGGGTCTGCTATTATCAAACATTCGTCAAAACGACTAAAAGATGCTCAGGAGTTCCCCCATCGATTTTAACATCATGCCAAACAAAAAGCCTTTTCGTGTGTACGAGGATCCTGAAGACAGAGAGGAGCCGCAATGTTGTGATGGCGATGGTCTCTGTCCACCCTGTATTGAAGGAAATACATCTCGCCGTTGCTGTACGCCAGAATGCAAAGGATGTCCGAATTGTGGTGACCTTTTTCGTCAAAGGTTGGAACAGAAGCCAGGTGTATTAACTGATGGTGCTATTATGAATTTCACCAAATCAGCATCGACATCAGATTTGCTCTTCCAGGTCTCTGCAAACAATGAAATCTCGAACGCTACAAACGGCAGCCAACCTCAATCTATTAGGACTATAAATGCGGCTACATCTTCGTCTTTCTCAAAACTTTGTGATGATGAAAATGTTACTCCTTCAAAACTTAGATATCAAACGTTATATCACTTGTCTACCAGAGGCCCTTTCGATCAACAACACAGTTCGGAGGCTTCTGAGCCCGCTATGCAAACTCAGCAACCTTACCACAACATCAACAGCCCATCTTTGACTGGCAGCCAAGATTCGCTGATAGCAATTTCACCAACCAGACCATTAAGGGATCAACAACGTAGCCGTAGAGCTTCTAAGGCCGCTTTGAGAACGCATGCTGAAAAATTAAGAGCTGCCTTGGCGTGTCCTGTCGATGAACTTGCCCCAGAAAAGCCCATGTCTTCGAAAAAGGCTCCACTGAAAAACAAGATAGAATCCCTTTGGAGGAAGATGAAGGTAAAGTGGAATATTGATTTAATGCATGACATATAATACTAACCTTTTTCCATAGCACGAGGTTAACGGGTATTTTAAAGAATTCCCGCGCGATGATCAGTTAACAAATGGGAACGCGGCAAAGGTAAGTTTCCGCCGCTTTTTTCTCCAGAAACACGCCATTCAATATTCCAGTCTACGATGTATGGTTCAAATCCCACGTCCAACTTTCATCGCCATAGCATTTGTCAAATATCAAACTTGCTTCAAACCCCCGAAAACTCACAAACTAATATCCGCATAGTCGCCATCTGCAGATAATAAACCAGGCCGGAATTAAGTGAGGAAACATATTGGAGCAGGAGGAAACCTGCTGTTTATACAGCGATTACTTTAGTGGAGCTTGTTGAAGGAAGAATAGTGTATATAATGTACTCAGCCAGCGTTTAAGCTTTAATAGTGATGACGGCTCTTTCTTGACTCTTTTCAGAACACCACTGTAGTCTTCAGGTGCCATCTGGGCTACATGCGACATCTGTGTTAAGATTTGAGCCTGTACAGAGGTTGGTCTGTATGTTCCCTTGATTGATATCAGATGTGACTATAAAAGAGATTAATAAATGTCTACCACTCGCCACCGCAACGATCTAATGATAGATCTCGCCGCAGAAAATCACCCTTCGGAAATTCAAAGTACGAAAGTAAAATGTAAGTATGAAGGACAACTATAAGTAGACTGGATGAGGCTTCAATGTGAACACGTTTCTAAGCCTACTCATTCTTATATATATTTACTACTTGATTATCCCGAACGCCAGCAATGCTACGCTTTTATATTCCTATAATTGGGGTTCATAATTTCGGTATCCTCTTCATCTTCGTCATCATCTGTCTCGTATCAATAGATACCTCTTCCGCTGGTCTTCATTCTGAAGATCCTCAAGCTTACGCTCGACGAGCATTCAAAACTTGAGCATTCCAAATATTCATTTTAAGAAATCTTCTGCCTTCCAAAGCCTTATTCATAGAATCTTTCACCTTGTAACCCCATCCTCATCTACAACAACTTCAAAGTACCAGTAATCAGATCAATAACACTCTTTGGCGCCGGACCAATCCCTAACACAGTATGACTCCCGCTTGCAATCTGCGTTCTCCCCGCATCTGCAATCTGCTCAGCCACAACGCCCAAACTAAGAGCTTTTGCTTGTAGAGTATCCAATTCGTCTTCCGACTTCACTTGTAGCGCGACCTTTGCTTGGCCTTCCCGTTCCCAGCGTCGTAGAATTGAACCATTGGGATCTTTGCGGGTCATAGTTTTGTAACAGGCGAGAGTTGCATGGGAACATTGTGCAGCAATTTTTCCTAGAAGAAGGAAATCTGTCAGATCTCGAAATGCAGTGTAAGTACCGGGAAATAGAATAGATTTCATACCTCTCGTCATTCCCAAATCCGTTCTCACAACCAGTACCATTTTACATTCTTCCTTATCATCCACGGGCTTGGCCTCAATCTTCTTCTTCTTGTCAACCTTTTTCGGCGCACTCCTCTCCATCACTCTCAATCCATCTCTTTTGTCAGCCTCGAACCCATTTCCCCAATTTGGCGCATGATCTAATATGGAAGCATCAATATCCTCTTCTGCGCTCTCTTCTTCGTCGTCGTAATTCGCAATTCCTCGTGCTTTGGGTGCCTTGGGCATAAAAGGGATCGGGAAAAATCCAAGGCTCGACGCAATTCCAATCATGTATCCGCTGAGACCGGCAATTATAGCAGTGCCTATTAGCATAGCCGTGGGACTTGGTGGTGCGCGCATATCTGCCATGGTTTTCTGGAAGTTCCGCGGTTGAAAAGGGTTTATGGTGAAGAGGAAGTGGATCGTAGATTCCAAAATTGAGGTCGAGGGAGGTTGAGGGAGATAAGTTCAGGTAGCTGCGTGGATTAAGCTTTGTGGTACTTCGCACACTACGTTGTCATGGTTTCAGCCTTAAACATCAGGTACTATGTTCTAGAATCCCGAATGGAACTTCACATATGGACACTCACCATAATCTGTGAGCCTCAAATTTCGACATTACAGGGCATGAATTCCGCCGTGTTGCCTGGACTTCAGGGCTCGAAAGTTGCGACGTGCAACAAAAATCATTTCGAGATACAAGTGTCCGGGATTCTTCATGCATGGAGGCCATGAATCTGGTTTTCAAGGCTGCAATTATCTTTCTATTTGTTTGCTTGTTTCTGTTTATGACTGCAAGACTGCAAGTGCATGAACGGCATTTCAATCTTGATGTATCGTGTCGCCCATGGCAATTGACAAAGATTTCGATGCTCGGCATACTGGAAGCCATATGGCGAGATCGGATTTAGTACACGGTCGAGTGTTTTCGAAATAGGGGCAAGAACTCCCATTAGGAATGCCTATGTTCGTTGGACCTGCTGAGGAATTCAATTGCATCGGATACAAAACTGGTACTTAGTGATGATATAGCCACATCGTGCGAACTGAACTCAGCATCAATACATTTCTAATAAAAGACCAGAGTTGCCTCAATCCATAGGTGTTCTTGAACTTGCTCTTTATCCGACAGAGGCGCTCTAGATGTTCTCATCTTAATCATTATTATATTGAGCGGAACCTGATGTTTTTTGTTGGGCTTTCTTTTCTTCTTTCATGTTCTATCAACCAGGTTGGATAATACATCTTGACCAATAAAGTTCTTTAGTACTATCATCATCTTTATACACTTTTTGTTATCCATCATCATCTGGTGGTACAAAGGTGGACCATGGCTCTTTGGATGGCTTCTTTCTGTTCAAGATGTCTCTGCAAACAACCAAATTCTGACATGTGACTAGCAAGATGGACTATATTGAGCATTATGACAGTTCACATGTATAACTAGCCATAAGGACAATGAGCTAATGTCGTCTTGTGGTGATGGACGGGATTGCGGAAAAGTCCTATTGAGTTTCAGTCGTCATCAATGATATATTCAGGTTTGTTACCTTCGCTAATTAACAGTGGTTTACTTTTCTCTACTTTTCTCATTGTAGTATAAAAACATTGTATAAATGATGCAAATGCATTGCTTTCAGGATATTATAGTCTAAGCGTGAGAATAAGCTGCAAGAGTTTGCAACAAAGCCACCTTCAACATGTATTGAGAGCAGCTTTTCCATAAATCCATGGCTCCAGGACGCTTCATCCACCGCATCGATTAAATAGAAGCTGCCGGACTTGGTGCTTACACTTGATCATCTCTCAACAGAGTAGGAGCCCGTTTGAATGAGAAGAAACAATCTGCACACCAGCCTCGTTTGGTCTGGTACCTACTAGCATAGCCTGATCCCATTTAACTCACTTTTTGGGTTTGAAGATCGCAATGGATCAGGCAATAGTTATTGATGATGATGATGTGGTCATGATTGAAAAAGACGACAGAGATGAAGTATTTCTTCTGGAACGAGGTAGATTATCCTGCTTTTCCTTTGCTTGATCCACCCTTTTGTCTTATCGATATATTTATGCTGACAGGTCTCAACAGAGCCCAGTAATTCTTCAAAACACTTTCCCATTGACGACACGATCCGGTATCGAAACTCTCAACCCGTGCCCAGAGAGGATCGTCCCCAAAAATCAACGCATCGGTCTCATTCGGGCGGTTCTGCTGATCCCCGCTATTCAACCCATCTCCCTTCCATCGACCTGACGACTGCTGTGACTTCTAGTAATCCTACAGTCAACGATAGCAACACTCTCAAAGACAGAATTTGCAGTGTCTTGTTTAACCAGCTAGAATTAATGCCAGAAGCTGGTGGTTACGAATTATCACGGTCCTGGAATATCGCTCTGGGAGCCGGAACCAACAAAGAAATGTCAGACCTTACTGACCTCGCTACACATCCTACTAAGAGAGAACGTGATATAGCCGCACTCGACGAAGTGGCTCCTGAACCCCGGGATATCTCTTATGCTTCTATACCTGAGCGTCGCTATTCGAATACAAGCTTGATCTCGATTTTGGATGACGGAGATGGGGATGAATTAGCTGCTGCACGCGATGCAACGCGGCGCGCAGATGACGAAATAGTCCTGATCGAAGACGACGACGACGGAGATGAAATATCTATCGCACACTATGTGCCGTTGCGCGCAGATGATGATATAATCCTGATCGAAGACAACGAAGACCTTGAATTCAAGCTCGAAACGCAACTTCTGGAACAGCCTGAATTCTACTACTTGTGCTCAGCAACTGTAAACGAAAAGCCTAAACCCAAGCGAAAACCTAAAGTCCATCCATTACGCAATCCACCAATCACTAATCCTTACTTTGAATGCGGAACTTATCTACACGAAAATTTCAATTTGAGACCAAAGAAAACTATAGAATTAGAAGACGGCGATTTTGTCTACATCAAGCACATTGTGAAGTATGTTAAGCCTGAAGATGGTCGTGGCACTAGTGTTGCTAGCGTCAAAAATCCTTCTATCATGATTCGTGGTTTACGATTGCAGAGATGCAAATTTTTGAACGGCATGTTGGAAAGGAAGATGAATGAAGTCTGTCTATGTTACGAGATCGACTTGGACGACCCACGTGAGCCTGAAGAACAAAGTCTTGTCGAGGTACCCTTGACCTCCATTAAAGCGTTGCGCGGCCTTCATTGGACAAATCACAACTACCCTGAGCATCGCAACCTCAATCGTGACGATTTTGCAAATGATCAAGATGCATACGACAAAGGAGGACTCACTGTCCGTTGGAAATACTGTTGTACATATGCTTCAGCCTCAGCTAGAGAACAGAACATATACGCCGAGCGAACTCTAGAAAGAATCACGGAAGAATGGTTGTCATCGGTACATGGAAGCTCACGCACACACCGGGTATCAAACACGCAATTGAGGACGGAATGGCGTGGAGAAACGATTCCTGGTGGTACTTACGTACCAGAATGCTATGAGCTTAACGAAGAAGATGACTCAACAACCCAAGTAGAGCAGCCTCGAGATTCTGCCATGACTGACGATATTCAGAGTCCATTCAAGTCAGTCATAATCCTCAATGATGACTATGATGGCGCTTCTCCACCTCTGAGATCTCAGCAGTTTGAGACAGACGGTGTTCAAGTCAAGCGCAAGTCAGATTTCCCTTCATCTTCAGATATAGATTCCGATCAAGAAAATCAGCCAGCAAAAAAAGTCCGTCAAGTTTCCAAGGATAGGGTTGAAATGATCAGGCAGCGTCTAGGTCGCGTAATGCTTTCATTCAATGGTAAAGATTATGTGAAGCAATCTTACAACATAGGGACATCCTCAGGGGTAGATATAAGCAATAAATCCAGCAAATTTCCGTCCCCTAGAAGGCAACTTCGTCATACAGGTAGCTCAGCTAGAGGTACTGGATCGAAAGGCAGCATTCGTCCAAAAGTAAGGAACCTTTCAACTTCACAAAGGTGCAGCCCTCCGGGATCTCAAAATACCTACTCCGAGACTAGTCTTTCCGGCATCTTCTCGTCAATTCTCTCTCCAAAAATTCCACGTCAAATTGACATTACTTCCTCTGAGTTAGCCTCCCCACCTCCCATCGGGGTTATCGACCTATCGTCCTCAACCAACCACTCTTACTCCTCTTCATTAGTCCAATCTAACGTCTCAATCTCACACTCACTAAAAGAACCACGCACTCTCTCCCATGGTCAAACTCTCACCTACGGCGATGCATTCTGCGGAGCAGGCGGTACCACACGCGGAGCAGTCATGGCTGGTCTTCGCGTAAAATGGGGGTTTGACTTCGATCACCACGCCTGCACAACCTGGCGTCTCAATTTCCCCTACGCAACCTGCTACGAAATGTCCTCCGATCGCTTTGTAGCTCTCGCTACTCCTTCTCCATATTCATCCTTCATTCCTAATGATGTCAAAGTTGATGTGCTACATCTTTCACCTCCATGTCAATATTTTTCACCAGCGCATACACAAGAAGGAAAAAATGATGAGATGAATACCGCTAGCTTGTTTGCCGTTGCCGCTGTTATTAAAGTGGCCAAGCCAAGGGTTGTGACGTTGGAACAGACGTTTGGGATTTTGTATCCGAGGTTTAGGGGATATTTTTCGAGTTTGATTTTAATGTTTACAAGTTGTGGATTTTCGTTAAGGTGGGCTATTGTGCCATTAGCTCAATGGGTAAGTTTCCTCTCCATTTTTATGTACTCAGCGGACCATCTTGCTAATTTTCTATCAGGGAGTTCCGCAAAGACGATTTCGTTTGATTATTATCGCATCATGGCAAGTTTCCACTCAAACCCCTCTTTCATACACTTTAACTAATAATACCCTCAGCCCAGGTGAACCCCTTCCCCCAATGCCACCACCAACTCACTCATCCCCCTCTTCCCCGCTCCCAAACACCCACCCCTTCAAAACCGTCTACCAAACTCTGCGCGAAATTCCACCTTACGCCGCCAACCACTCCCCTCATCTTCTTCCCGAGAAAGACCTCAAAGCATACAACCCCCACGCCATTCTTTCCCACACAATGACCACTAGTGGCAGTGAAAACTGGCATCCTAGCGGAAAACGAGGATTTACTGATCGGGAATTTGCGTGTCTACAGGGATTCCCATTACAGCATCGCTTTGAACCGAATGGGATTAAGAGACAGATTGGGAATGCGGTGCCGCCGGTTGTAGCGAAGGTGTTGTTTGAGGGTATTAGAAGGTTTATGGAAGGCACGGATGGGATTGTTGGGAGTGAGCATGGTGGAGGTGGAGGTGGAGGTGGAGATGGCGGGGCGAGTGATGCGATGGATGTTTGTGAGAAGATGGAGGGGGTTGAGACTGTGGATGGTGATACTGGAGTGGATATTCTTGTTAAGGAGTCGAATAAGACGGATGAGGATAAGCTTGCCGGGATTAAGAGGGCCGTAAAGCCTATTGTTATTGATTAACTGGTACTTTATTTCGATGGGACTGAATTAGGATGTACGTCCAATGCGGAATGGTTCTTGAGCTGCGTCTGGTCATACCATAGGTACGGTAGGCCGAATAACTCATTTTGTGAGCACAACAGGAAGGAGGATAGTGTATTGTCATGTTGTCTTGTCTTGGTGTTGACGCAGTATTTCGAGTTACAGTAACACAATCCGCAGAAGATGAACTGTAAATCTGCACAAATCGTGCGAGTAATACTTGATTTGAATCTCTTTCCCATAAGCTTTTAGTCCATCAAAACAGCTCCCCTATAAGTCAACTATCTCACTTCCAAAAACTTTGTTGCCACCTGTATTTGCGATACAGCCTCCCTACTCCAATATTTAAGGCAACTAAAATATAGCAATGATCATCTGAGTCTTCTCTTTTGAATGGTAATCTTAGTAGGTATGCAATATTTATTTCAACGTGAATCTTAATCTGAAGCGGTAAACTAAGCTAGAAAATCCAGATTCGGGGAAGGATTCGGGCATCGGATTAGGCTTTATGCTGATTGAATAGAGAATAGACAATGGTGCTAGTGCGGGCTATTCAAATGTTTCGTTATTAGATTTGTAGTCTTCACTAACATTATATATAAATCGGGATGGATATCTAGCTTTAATCATGCAACGGGGGGTGGCTGAAATATATTTGATCCTTCACTAAAAGATGCAGTCTATTTTAAAAAGGAATGACGGGGGATTAACGGAGCTAGATAGCACTTGGTAAGATCAGTGGGGTTTTAATTCTGTAGCACTTTATGAAATTTTTCGGGAACTTACTCTTATACCCGTGGAATTGAACCCTTTTTGCTGTTACGCCCCTTAGATTTTAAGGATCTATGATGGATACTATTCCTAGAAGCTAGATTATTTAGTAGAATCTATGATGATGGGCATATGAACATTAGAGTACAGTAGAATATGTTATCCCCTAAGTCCCAACTAGGCTATACAAGGCCCTAACCTCGCCTAACTTATACAATCGAAGATATTATAAAACCAAATGAGTTGTGGTTAAGAAAGATGTGTTTTAATAGGTACTGAGGACTATTTCTATTTTAATTATCCATCACCGAAACCGTTTGATTGTCCTTAATCTTAGATTTCTGCTCTTCGATGCACTTCATCTTCTCCACTGCCTCTTTTGCCATATTCCTGGTCTCCTCCATCAGCGCCTCACAGTCACCAAAAACTTCAAATCTCCGCATCCAAAAATGCCACCGCTCTAACAAAAGCTTAGGCTCACCCTTCCACAGCGGTCCTCCTAGGCTAGCATAGCCACCCATATTTCCTCCATTCAATGGCATTAACTCCCCAGCCTTGATGATCCACCCCGCTGCTATCGGTACGAGATAGTCGCTCGAAAGCACATGGGATGCGTCAGAAGCTTCAAATTCATACTCCAATGCATTTTGCAATGCAGTCAGTGCATACAACATATTACTGTCCTCAAACCCAGCCTTCGCCAACCGCGCCAGAAAACTCGATAAGTTTCGAAATTTGAAGAGCTTCTCGTTTTGATCCTTCCGGACTGTTATAGCCCGCACGTCGTAATCTACATACCTGTCAGTCTTGTACTAGTAATGATCGTAGTTCCGATCGAGTCTTAAATTTCGGGAATGTAATAGAAACAAAAATTTACTCACGAGACCACTCCTCAATGGTGGCTGGACCCAATCCGCTCCCTATGAACAAGGGTAGCTTCGAATCTCGAAAAATAGTTCAACTAATCTATCCATCTCTGGTCTTTGATACGGGACCTGTGATGCAAACTTAACATGCATATCGTCCAACTCGAGGAAAAACGATCCCGTGTCTTCGCGATACAAACCATCCTCCTTCTCATTATCTGGGTGAAGCATGTTGATTTTCTCGGCAGCTTCGCGTGGGGAGATTTGCGAAGCTGAGGGTTGAACAAGGTTGTTGAAGACGTTGAAGAGGTGCACACCTATGTCCCAGGGACTGTCATCGTCGAGAAATTCAAGATGTAAGGGGATGAGAGTCATTGTGAATAAAGTGAGTGGGTATGAAGAGGAATCAGTATAATTCCCCTTAAGCTTGTTTGCACAGATATGTTGCTGTGTCCTTAAGTGGTGCCTTCTGCAACCTTGTTACGTACGGATTCAACAGTAGCCAGGTGATCAACTTACTGCTGCATTTGTACCTAGGTATTTTTAAATCATTGGCCAAACTGTGCATATAAATCTTTTGAACGACATCAGGAGAATATCAGCTTATCAATGAGTCAAGACTGTATGAGCAGCTTGTACGCAATTCGATCGCGAAGCTTGCTGTGTCTACCTAGTGATCAGTGAGTCATATTCCCGTGGATTTTTGACCCATAGACGGAAATACTCCCGCATATGTTCTTCTCCTCCCTACCCAGTTCAAAAAGTGTTTGAAAAAAAGGGGAAAATCACTGATTTTGGTATAATTTATCAAATGTGCAGTGAATAGATTTCAGAACTCTTACTATCTATTCCGCAAGCTGGACCGAGCGGTCACGGCAATGTTTCACACGGACCGGGAGGCATCCAAATTTTTAGACTCCAACACTTCCGATACTAGTCGATAACCATTACTAGCCCCTAGAGCTGCAATAACTTACCCTTCTGCCTCCACGGCACCGCAAGCCCAACGAGTCAATCACAACCGAGGAGACTTTTGATCGACAATTTCGAGCTATTTTTGCCGTCGCTAGCACCTAGACATAGTATTGGAAGGCTCTCGAGGGGAAAGGCGCAAATGTCGCAGATTTTTTGAGCATCTATAACTGCTCCATTGAGTGTCCAATTGTATATAAGTGCGCATCCTGGCAAAAGGAGGTTCTGCAGCGCATAAACAGAAGGGCACCGAAACTAGGGGTAGCTTCAAACCACCAGAGAGCCAAGCAGTCTTTGAACTGCCGGTAGAATAGGTCTTGATATGATTGAGAATTTTAAAGAAATCAAACGTAAAATAGGGAGAGGAATATTAAGCGAGGGTTGACAGGTACGGGGCGTGAAGGGGTTTGAAATATGTTTTAGCATTTTATAGTTCAATATTTCTCACTTCTTGCATTCGATTCTGCGTTTGAGATACACACTCTTAGGTCTTCTCAGTTGGAATGACATAGTGTGATAAGCAAGTAAACAGCATACAAAATTCAGAATGCTGTCACAATGACCATGTCTTGGCTGATCTGACAAAGTAATTAACCTTTATCATGATGTTTTCTCACTTTGCTGAGCTTTATGATCATGCGTTACGGACGGTATATGTGATGCAGAGAAGCACTGAGTAACAATACGTCCAGAGGAGAAATGCGCTCATTTGAAAGTCCAACTCATCGACGACGGGATTATGGATGCTGAGATAACACGAAATTGAGGTTTTAGAGATCCGCGAAGATCATAAGTGAGAATCTTTCCAAAGTTGGCATTAATCTTACTCAACCAGGGTCCAATTTCACAACAATCAAGATATTGAACAATCTCTTCCATTACTGACTAGCAGCCATTATTAACAAATAACCATCACTTGCTGGTATTATTGTTAATGAATGATGATACGATAAACGCTTATATTGGGTATTTTGATACTTTAGTTCTTACTTGCATCTTCATGCTAATCTAGGCCCTTTCACAATGAACCCAATTGTACCATCCTCATTAGCGATCCAACTTCCTTGAACTCGCGAACTTTTCTCTATACACCAATCCAATATCATCTCGGTTCCCTTACTCACGCTCTTGTAAGTCCCCACATGAAGATCAATTGCACAGGGTATGAGTATATGAAGAGAAATTGTGTCCTTCGGCTCTTCTGCGATCGTGCTACTGTTTGCATAGTACCTCGCTCATCGGTGGTATTTTCGGGAAGGAGAACATATTTTAAGGATCGTAACTGTTTTTCCTATGTTAGAGCCTTATAAAAATGAAATTTGGGAGGTGAACATACCAGAAACAAGGCGTTGGCGAGGAAAGTGTAGCTGAAAACAGTCCAGCCAATCCATCCGCCAGTCCCCTTTCCACCGTTGATGATCTCACTAACAACCAGAGTAGCGATAACTCCAACGAATTTGTATCCAGAGTAGGCGACCAAATCAAGTAGCTGAGACTCGTTGGAAATGGATAGTAGGTAACATCCGAGTTTCAATCCTAGAATTTCAATAAACACAATAAAAAATGCCCATCCTGCCGTGGATCCAAGAAGTTCTGGTTGAAAGGCGCCCCTGAAACCAGCTAAAAGTGTGGAAAGAAGGATATATGTTACAAGTGCCATTACTATAAGGAGGTTAACTTATGGCTTTGACGTGTGTGACAATAACCATACCTGGAATATACATATCTGGACTATTGAGATCATCTCTAGGAGGCAAGAACCAACCTTCTTGGCCACTTGGACTGATGGACTGTTTTCTCGACCAAGGCTTATGTCTCCATGGAAATAATACCAAAAATAACTTGTTGACAACATATCCATTTGAAACATTAAAGTAATGTTTTAGCGCCGAAACATTGACATATCTATTGAACTAGTTAAAAAGTCAGGACATCATCTCCATCTAAACCTCGGATACTGACGTTTTGTTCCACGTATTCTGTTCCATGTTTAAAAGCTGTTTGTCCAACTTGGAACCCCATTTGCGCCGTAGGATCATTTATAAAGCCACCATATGCGCCGAATGTGCCAGCGCCCCCCGGAGCCTGAGGCTGATAGGGATTTCCATATGATTGATGTTGTTGCAGTGGAACTGGCGGAGGCGGTGATCGTAGCTGGGGGACAGTAGAAACATGTTGAGGAACGGGGTGATGGAGAGGAGGAGAGTTCGCCGGGGGAAAGTTCCCATAATTTGGCCGTTGCATATTGGAGATCTTGCAGAAAAAGGGAAATAGTAGATGGTCGGGATGATAGTATGAAAGTTAGAATATTAAGGCGATGTAATGCAGTATAGTTGTCGTAGAATAAGTGCGAATCGCGTTCAGGTCGGTCGAACACATTTCCATAAAGCATTGGAGTTTTGGATGGCTGCTATAAAAGATGAACAGGGCCGCTTTATCAATCCGTCGAGCTTTATCAGCTTATCGGTGATGCTTGGCGCATTTACATTGTACTTTTAGAAGAAAGTGTCCATTTGGATCCATAATCTTCTTTCATGGACTTCTTTTAATAGTGCGGTCAGGACGGAGTTGTATTTATATTCTACAAAGATATTATTACGATTATTACGACTGTTACGATTGTTACGAATTACGGATAGTCAAGATGTTGGATACCTTTGAGATTCTTACTACCTCTGGAGTTGTACTCTGGTCGAAACAATTTTCCCCCGTCAGCCCTGCGGTTATTAACAGCCTTATTACGAATGTCTTCATTGAAGAACGTACTTTACCTGGCGCCGGAGTTGCAGATGATGTTTCGGCTGCGAGAAATCCTCCCTTTAAACACGATCAACACACTTTAAAATGGACGACATGCAAGGAATTAGGCTTGATATTTGTGGTGCGTTAAGCCAGTCCCGTGGCGCAACTTTTTGAATGTCCGTAGCTTTTCATACTGAATTATCTCGCAGGTTGTGTACCGGTCATTGTTACACCTCTCATGGATTGACAAACTGGTGGATAACGTTAAAACAATTTTCGTGGACCTATATGGCGATCAATTGAAAAAACCGCATACAACTGTAGTTGAATGTCCTTTTGATGAATATTTCGACCAACAAGTGCGAGAATTGGAGAAGAATGCCTTGAATCAGGATACTAGAGTTGCGGAGGCCTCCGCCTTTGAAGAGTCTATTCCCCTGATCTCTACAATCTCAGATGATGAGGCACCACCATTGCCCGGATCACTGTCGAGAGGTATGCGCCAGCGGATCTCTTTAATGCAAACTTACTAACATTTTCTAGGGCAGTCTAGGAATAATGTTAAAGACCTCCCTTCGCCCGAATTGACCCCTCTTGGAACACCCAATTCACGGCCGAGTACACCTGCGAGCCACATATTGAGCGCGAAAGCAGGACCCGGCGGAAAGGTTTCTCGAAGGGCTAGAAAAGCTGCCCAAACCCCTACGTATGCTTCATCCGGGGACGAATCCCACAAGAAGGTTAGAAACGCGAAAGCTGGGCCAAAGAAGGGAAGAAAGTGGGATGCAGAAGGAATGGTAGATGAGGATAGTGATACCCCACTCGACTATTCTGCGCCTGCAAATGGAGCAACTTCAGGGGAAGATGAGGGTCGTCCGGGTGCCGTGGAAGGAGTCGAACAAACCTCTTGGGGCTCGAAGACTGGGAAAGGACAATTCGTATTGAAGGATCTTGAAAACGAGGTCCACTCAATCTTAGATTCCGCAAATGCCAAAAAGGCAGTATCCATGGCCTCATCAGCTGGTCTAGTAGGATCTAGTTTCAGTGCTATTGGAGGGTTATTTAGGAATGTCGTCGGGGGAAAGACTTTGACCAAGGAAGATTTGGATAAAGCTATGAAAGGAATGGAGGACCATCTATTACGAAAAAATGTTGCTCGCGAAGCGGCAATGAGATTATGCGAAGGTGTAGAGCGGGAATTAATAGGGGTAAAGACCGGAAGCTTTGAGAGTATGTATCACACATGTATTGACATTGAATTACCACTAACTATCTTAAGGCGTCCAAGCAAGAATTGCAACAGCCATGGAATCCTCACTAAGGAAAATCCTTACACCTACATCATCTCTTGATCTTCTTCGAGAAATTGACGCTGTAGTCTCACCTCCAGCTTTGTCATTGAAGAAAAAAAGACCATACGTCATGTCTATTGTCGGAGTCAATGGTGTCGGCAAATCCACAAACCTTTCGAAGATTTGTTACTTCCTTTTACAAAACAAGTACAAGGTCCTCGTTGTAGCTTGTGATACTTTCAGATCTGGAGCCGTGGAACAATTGGCCGTGCACGTCCGAAATTTAAAAGAGCTCACCGCGAGAGAAGGTGGCCAGGTAGAACTCTACCAAAAGGGATACGGAAAAGATGCCGCAAACGTAGCTAAGGATTCAGTTTCATTCGCCGCCCAAGAAGGCTACGACGTAGTTTTAATCGACACAGCCGGTCGTCGCCATAACGATCAACGCCTCATGTCCTCGCTTGAAAAATTTGCCAAATTCGCTCAACCAGATAAAATTCTCATGGTAGGCGAGGCACTTGTAGGCACGGATTCAGTAGCGCAAGCGCGAAACTTTAACGCGGCCTTTGGCCAAGGGAGATCGCTGGATGGTTTCATCATTAGTAAGTGTGATACTGTGGGAGATATGGTTGGAACCCTGGTTAGTATGGTTCATGCTACGAATGTCCCGGTGCTGTTTGTGGGTGTTGGTCAGCATTATAGTGATTTGAGGAACTTGAGTGTTAAGTGGGCGGTGGAGAAATTGATGGCGGGAAATTAAGCGGATGGTTTGTTCTGTTCCTTCTTCTAGGTCTAGGTCTAAGTTTTAACTCGGGTATGTGCTATATGAATATAATAGTAGCATGCACCAAATTCCATTTAATACCTTCAAATATTGAAAACCTCTTGAAAAGTACAACCCGCACAGAATCGTGAGTTGTAAGATATCATGTCATGATGAATGGGAATGAGATATATACCTAACCTAATCCTAACCTAATCGAATCTACTTATAATACCTGTTACTCAAGTATACCCATACCTGCAAAACTCGAAGAATAAAAGAGTACGATCGAGGGGGTTGGGGTTAGAATTGTATTGTACTGTAATGTGTATTTTATATAATAAGATTAAAAATATATAATTTGTTATATAATTAAAGCGTGATTAGAATGAGTTGATGAGTTGGAAGTTGATGAACTGATTAGATGTGATTAGTTTGTTGGTTGTTTTTTATTCGGATTGGAAGATTTGAGGAATGGGAGAATAGAGGAAAGGGGTTTGACGAGAGAGATATTAGCTTATTGGGACTAGCTATATATACGTGAGTGATGTCTGTGTTTGGGTAGGCACCTAGGTAAGATTACCTAGTAGGTCAATACCTAGATAGTTGAGAATTATCGGGTGAACGTATAGATAGGTAGATAGAAAAGATGAGATGGGATGAGATATTTATACATATCAAAATTTATCTGATTATTTTGATGATCGCTTGGTAAGTCTTAAATTCCATGGCAGGTAATGGATATTGAATAATTACTTAATAAATTCATTAAAGTAGGTACCTATATCATGCGCACATATCCCACAAACGCATTCATTGCACACAAATTAGCAAACCGCCCTATGCACACCATGACTCATTGGTCTTTCACCTCCCTTACCCTGTCCCTTTCCATGCCTATGTCCCAAACTTCCATGATTTTTCTCCACGCTTCCATGTCCCTTACTCAAATGTTCATTCAACATGCTCAAATCTTGCTTATCGTTATCAATCAAATTCTGCGTCGTCGAGCAAATATCCGCAATCAGTCGATCTAGAAGATCGAAACTCATGCTTTCTCTAACGACTATTCTTAAAATTTCAATATTGTCTTCGTTGGGAGGAAGTGGGTAGTTCGGGATGATATATTGTTTGGCGCGTAGAAGATTGGAGACACTTTCTTGGTTGATGTGAGGGAATTCTTTCTTGAATTCATCTGAGAAGCGGAAGGCGACGACAGGGAGACCGGCGTTATAATCAGCGGATGTTTCATCTTCGGCGAAGAAGACGGCAGCGCTTTGGCCTTGAGCTTTATGTTCGCCTTTCTTGCGGTGGATATCAGAAACGCATGTGTACCATCCTGTGGCTTCGAGAGATTTGGATAGGAGACGGGCGTTGCTCAGACAGTTTTCCATGATTTGACGGTAACCGTTGAAGCCAAGGTGAATGAGGTTATAGTACTGAGCAATCACCTGAGCACCTGGTCGAGAAAAGTTAAGAGTGTAAGATGTCTCTGTTCCACCTAAATAATGGAGTTCAAAGATGAGATGTTTGGGAAGATACGACTCGTCGCGCCAGATAATCCATCCTACGCCTGCATATACTAGACCAAATTTGTGACCGGATACGTTAATAGATTTGACTCGCGGGAGCTCGAAGTTCCATTTTGCACCATCAGCTTTGGCATGTGTGAATGGAGCTACAAATCCTCCTGATGCTGCGTCGACATGAATTGGAATATCAATGCCGGTCTTGGCTTCATATTCATCCAGGATCTTGGATATTTCTTCGACTGGTTCGTAGTGGCCAGTGTACGTGCTTCCTAGAATAACGAAGATACCAATGGTATTTTCATCGATATTTTCTCTCACCAAGGCTGGATCAAGTCTGAAATTCGACGCTTCAGAGACTGGCAGGATTCTAGCCTCAACCTCAAAGTACCGGGCGAATTTCTCAAGAGCTACCTGAGCATTGGCTCCCATAATGATATTGGGCTTGGATTTATCCTTTCCTTCAGCATCACGTTTTTCTTGCCAACGTCTTTTCATAGCTAATCCACCAAGATGGATGGCTTCTGAAGAACCAGTTGTTGCAGAACCAATCGCTTTCTCTCCCTTTTGCGCCCCCCAGAGATTTGCGATAATGGAAACGCATCTTGCGTGCATTTGCATCATTGCTGGATATTCATCCGCATCAGACATATTTTTGGAAATATTTTCGAACATCAATTGTTCAGCATGAGATTCCATGTATGTACCGACGAAACTGGTGGTGTAATTAGTAATTGTGAACTGGCTTTTCTGTTCTCTGGAAAGTCAAACGGGGTAACAAACCTTGCCAGATTCAAATTAGGCCTACCGTCAAGATCTAACTCATCCTTCAAAATTTGATGAACAGCATCGGCTGGTGCACCGTCTTGTGGTATTTGGAATTTGGGTATTTCTTGTTGGGAAGCATATCGAGTAGAGTAGGGGGTGATATGAGAGGTTCCTCCTTTGGTATGTATATGCTTTTTACCAGCTTCTTTCATGTGCATATGTTGAAGACTCCCAACAATCTCATCTGGGTCGACCTGAAGTGGAGATTTGGTCAGTCTGAGATAGTTTGGAATTTGACACTAAAGGGGGTATTAACATTAACTTACATGGCGTGCGAGAGACATGGTGAGCAAATTGAATTAGAAAGTTACAGTGGGTTATACTTAGTATTTGCAGTATTCAAAAGGGACGAAATGGGTATGTTAATGTCAGCAGTATTGGGGATATTGAGAATATAAGTAAATAGATGATTGACATGAGATATTCAATAACTTGGCTGCCATCAGAAAAGCTTTATGACGACATTCGATGATGTATTCTGATTTATAGCTCTAGGAGCTCCCAACTGCAAGCATTCAGCCACAAAAGCCACATAGAGAGAGTTTCTTTTACCTGATGAATACTTTCCTGTCCAATTGATATTCACGTGCATGGCTTAGAGAAACATGCCGTTGTGGAATCGTGGTCATAGTGATTGAAGGTTGAAAGCCTCCGCCAAGTATCATGGTGGTTCTTTGGAATGTATGCTAAAAAGCTTGTTTCGTAACCCTGTATGAGGTCCTGAGTTGTGGAGCTGTTCCTTGAGTGGAGTTTCCAAACTTGAAGCTTGAGACTACGGGAGAAGCTCGACCTGCTCCAGCTTGGAATGATCAATAAGATCTTTATAGTTTACGGGATTCGTATCGATTTCGATCTGAGCTAGAACCCGGAACCTGGAATTCGGAACCTGGATGAAGCTCAACATACATGGAGAGAGGAAGGAATCAGTCATCGGTACCCGTCGCGTCGTAATAAACGTGTTGACGGGAGAGGTGTTCCCCACAATTTCATCTTCTTATCGTTATCGTCTCGATGACGACGACTCGGGCATCAGCTCCAACCAGCTTTTGCAGGACTTTGGCAGCTTGGGGAAGGCGAGAGGGATATATATCTAGGATTTATGGCAGGTAAAACGATATTTGCATTGTTGGACCCCGTAATTTCTCGGTTCCTTTCCTCGATCATCTATTTGGATTTTCACAAGAATCCGTCTTTTCTATAAGTCTGCCGCTAGCCGATCAACCCTTTCTACTCCGTACACAAAATGCCACCTTGTTCTTGTTACAACGGTTCCACGGACTTTCATTTACGCCTTGTCCTTCGGTCTTTGTTACCTCCGGTCGAGGGGTAAATCCAAAACGACCAAAATCATTGGCTGGTAAGCTGCATAACTCATAACTAACAATGCAGCATAAACGCCTGCTTGGATCGATGATGTTATTGATTTCGTCTTCTTACAAAGAAACACGCAAGCATTCACCACCTCCGTCTCTTCCCTCTCTTGTAAGCATGCGTGGATTAATGGCGACATTTGGTCCACTGTCTAACAAATGGAAACTCATTCTCTAAGCGGTATTCGAAGTATAATAAAGATAAAGATCAATTAACTCGGTTTCTGTGTCCCATTCCGGTTCTCCGTTAGTTTTCTCTTCAACCTTTACTTCACATCGAATCAACAATTTCAAGCTAATCCATTTCCAAATTCTCCTGTTTCGGAAACTAATTGAATCCGAGCTGCCTCGTATCAGAAAAGCTGTCTGTGTTTACGCGGCCAGCCAGAGAAGGCGTCATTGATTACTAGTATCTTGGCCCTGATCATCATTCCATTTATATACATATCTACCTAAGTCCACGCCTGCTCTCTCTCTTTTTCTCATCAAATTATTTCAGTATGAAGTTCTCAACTACTCTTTTGCCCCTTGCGGCAGTTTCTACTGCTTTCGTTATTCCTGATGAACAGATTACCAATCAGATCATCATTGAATCTCAGACAAGTTCAAAAACATGGCTCGACAGAATTTCAGAGACTAAAGACAATGTTTTCTCCCATGCCGAAAAATCCTTTAAAGATGCAGTTGCATTCAGCGGGAATGCTCTCGATAATGCCATCGATAGCCTTTCCGAGGCTGGTGAAAAAGCCCAAAATGTCATTGAATGTCATCACTCAATGACAAAGTTTGATATATCGGGCTGGTTAGACTCTGCCATTTCTGCTGTCGAGGATATTGATATCTTTGACCACCCCCACGAGAAGCCTCCCCATCACGTAAACCCGCACCACCCGAAGAATCCACATCATGGTCATGAAGAGCCTAATAGGACTGTCTATGAATTAATTGCCAGTAGCAAGTATACTACCAAGCTTGCTAAGCTCATCAACGAATATCCGGATATCGTTGATGCTTTGAATGGCACAAAGGCAAACTACACAGTATTTGCACCGACTGATAAAGCGTTTGAGAAGATCCCAGATCACCACAAGAAACCTTCAAAGGAATTGATCAAGGCTATCCTTCAATACCATGTATCTCCAGATTTCTATCCAGCTGGTCGTGTCCTCGTTTCGCACACTATTCCAACTACATTGGATGAGAGTAGACTTGGGGATGAGCCTCAACGTCTCCGTGTTGGTTTAGGTCTCAAGGGTTTAGCCGTCAACTTCTACAGCAGAGTAGTTGCTGTCAATATTGTACTACTCACTGTCTCTTCCTACTCAGAACATATTACTAACATCCCATAGTTCGGAACAAACGGAGTAATTCACGGCGTCGATTCACTTCTCCTCCCGCCTCCCCCCGCTCTTAAAATCATCGAGCTTCTCCCAGGCGAATTCTCAACTCTTCAGCTCGGTCTCGAGAAAACAGGCCTCTTCGATTCCATTGCCTCAGCACCACATACAGGAGGAACATTATTTGCACCAAGCAACTGGGCATTCCAAAAGCTTGGCCCTAAAATCAATGCATTCCTCTTCAGCAAATACGGCGAAAAGTATCTAAAAGCCCTTCTCAAATACCACGTCGTTGCAAACCAAACTCTCTACTCGGATGCTTTCTACAAAGCCAAGTCCGATGATAAGAGCCTCAACCTTGTTGATGAAATCGATGCTGCGGATATCCCCAAGGGACATTTCCACGTCGACCTCCCTACCTTGTTAGAAAACAAGAGTCTCAGCATCGACATTGGAAGATTTGGTGGTTTGATCACTATCAAGATTAATGGATTTAGTAGCGTTAGTGTTCAAGATGGCATTGCAAAGGATGGCGTCATTCATGTTTTGAGCTCGGTTTTGATCCCACCCAAGACTCCAGGTGGAGCAATGTGGGCTGGAGAAGAATTGGAAGTGGAGGATCTAATGGAGAGATCAATTCCTTATATGAATGAGGAATTGTAAGATGTAAGATCTTGGGATAGATAGTGTATAAATTCCGAAATCCATAGCTTTTGTCCAGTATTCCTATTTCACTATGGTTACGTATGATTGAACACATAACAAAATGGCCCCCCAACTAAATGACGAATTCCGCGATGATTACTTTACCCTGTCTGTGTTTGTGTGCATTGCAAATGTAATGTTTCTTTCCACTTCACTTCACTTCACTATACTTTGTTTGCCGGCCCCAAATCTTACATGCTTCCGTTACCTAACCTTACTTCTCGCTTCTCGCCATATGTGTCATAACGAATAAAATATCACAGGCATATCTCTACGTATCTCTAGGTAGGTACTAGTTAGATACCTAAGAACACTAATCAAATATTCAGAAGTTGCTCTTTACTCGTACATACTCGTACTTATCATCATAATCGTAATCCTAATCCTAAATCTAAACATATACATAAAATCCCCCATCATCATCATCATCATCATCATCATCATCATCATCATGATCCTCTGTCCCCCATTCCTCTCAAGATTAGTTTAAACTTTCTATCAGATATTAAAATAAATCGCTAATTCAACTTCTCTTCATCCCCACACTCATTTGTTGATAATACCTACCTACCTACCTAAGATTACCTACATTATGGAGTTTAATAATATCGAAACCCAGTTCCAATCACAAATTCCAGCTGAAACTGAAATTAAAACTGAAACCGTAACTAAAATTCAAAATTCTCCCAGAAATCAATCGTTAAAATTAGAAATATTAACCATGAAAGAACATCTGGATGATTTTTGGGCATTTTGGAAAGAGGAACGAGGGGTTCTTTGGTCGTATGTTATTTTCCTTCCTTCTCTTCCCTTCCTTGTACAACTCCCTCATCTCTTTCCTCCTTTTCCACACTCTCCCTCTTTCTCTTAATTCCAAGTCCTCTCCTTGCTATCATCCTTCTACCTCTTTACTAACTATTTCCGCACTCTCGTCGACTTTTCTAAAATATGTATATATATATATATATATACATATACATAACAAACTAACAAACTCCAAGAACCAAAGGTACTCAAGAAACAAGAGAAGAAGCGCTAGAACTTATGAAATTTATCTTGCCGAAAACGGAAGATAATCCTGAGGGGGAGATGAAAGGAATTGATAAATTTGCTATTGTTTTGAAAGCGGAGGGGGATGGGGATGGAGAGGGTAGTGAGTATTTTCTTTTTTGGGGATTTGTGGGTTTCTTTTTTTGTGGAAGAGGGACGATTTAGGTCGGGGCCCGCGTGGTGAAGGAAGAAAGGGAGCTTAGGAATGGAAGTGACGGCCCTCGGGTGATTGAGATGGTTTGCACGTTGCATGAAGAGTATACGGGGAATTCACCTGCAAGTTTTTGAGTGGTTTAGCTTGTGACTCGCCAGAACGCTGCTTATGGGTAGAGGGAATTTCTTGCGCAGCATTGAGAGTCTAGCATGCGTATGGATAATATGAGGGGGCATCTACAACCTTAGTAGTGGTGACGTGCGCATGCCACCTCTATAGTCAGACCGAAGCAAGGTGTTCGGACTTTTATTCTGACTATGAACATCTGCAAAGATGGCTCCAACGCTTTCGAGCTTGTTGAGTGGTTGTCTTTTCCTACTTTTCATCGCCGCTGCCTCGTACCTTGTTTTTTTTTTGATTTAATGTTCTCTCTTTCCGTCATTTCATTCCTATGCTAATAAGCACTCCTAGAACCGTCCAAATGTGTAGGGATGGTCGGAACTAACCGCCATTCACCGCAGGGTCTTGAATTAGGCTATATAGTAAACCCTAACTACTGGAGTAATGGATACGCTACATGGGGTTTAACGGAGTTTTTGAGGATATTTTGGCGGATGGAACGTATGTTTTTCGGTTCTTCCTCTTGACCTTTGGTTACCATCCCTTTCCATTGCGGGGATAACATTCAAATCTAAAGAAAATACCACTAAGGCGAGACAGAAGACAAATACAAGAGCAAAAGATGAGGAGGATAAACTAATGCAATCCTCAAAATAGAAAAATCTCACATTCCCCACCTCGTCGCGAAAGTTGATCCGAGGAATAAAGCAAGCGAGAGAATAGCAATGAAAAGCGGGAGCAAGAAAAGGAGAACTTCTTGAAAAGGTAAGTTTAGGGGATTGCTATATCATAGATTTGGTGAAAACTAATGAGTTTGCAATATTTGTAGTATTATTCAAGAAGAATAGACGAAAGAAAAAAGAGTGATGCATATTGCTGGTATTTTGATAGACCTAGATCTAGTAGTGATGAGACAGGGAGTATGGTGAAGGACGGAAAACAGGAATTCAGCCACGCATAAGATGGCAGAATCCTCGATACTTAGACTAGAAATAATGAGTGATAGCTGCATTGACAAAAGATACGCTTCCTGGAGCTCTGCTTGGTCGACTGAAACTAAAAACAAGTGAATTCAATCTTATAACAGCACCAATTTGGTGGTAATTCACCATTTACTAAAAACGATCCTTTAGGCTCCTTCTTGTATAGTCCGCACCCTGACGGTTGTCACAATAAAAGAATCGGTTTTGACCCTCAACTTGACTTGCTCGACAAAAGATTTACCATACGACGAACAAAAACATGGCATCAGGAACGACGGAACCCACCTTCTATCCCTTCCCAAGACTTCCGCTCGAGGTTCGTCGCAAAATATGGAGATCATCGCTTCCCGGACCTCGATTAATCGACATCTCCCTTAGAGGAGAAATTTTCATGAGCAATGCCACCATTCCTATCGGCCTGCAAATCTGCAAAGAATCCCGAGATGAGACTCTGAGATTTTATAAGCTTTGCTTCGCCGCACAGCCGTCACAAGCTCGCATATACTTCAACGCTGATCACGATGCGATATACCTCCTTACTCCGCATTCCATGAGGTTGTCTACCTACTTCAGCCTTTTTTCCTTGGCCACTGCCACCATCAAAGATGATATCAAGGTTGTTTTTGTGGGAAATGGATGGCATTGGGAGCATACAGACAAAGCTTCTCTTATGCCTTGGCCTGGACCAAATTGCCGGGTAGTTTTATTCCGGAAGCGTTGTCAAGCACTGAGTTTCTCAACATTTCGCCAGGTAGTAGACTTCGTGGCAGGCTGGTACGCGCAAGACACCCCGTCCTTTCAAGTGATATTTGGCACTTCCAAAGTCACAGCCGGTTTTTGCTACGACAAGTCGGAGGGTGTAGAAAATCCCGATCCTCATGTCATTGAGACTATGGGTCATGGGTTTGATGGTGTTGTCAGGCAGTGTATTGAACATCTATTGCTTGAGAAGTGGAATATCAATCCCATACACACGAGAGTCCGAGGTCAGCCATTGGATAGCAATCCATTAGCTAGATGGATGGCTATGCATTGTGTTGAAGGGGAATCCGCAAGATAGCTGAGAAATCAAATCAAGATCAACGTCTTGACCTCCTTAGAACGAATCTATATTAAAAATGGTAGATATACCAGTGAGGAAGAAAAGACCGATCGATTAAACGTAGAAGTGCAGGAAAAGATGGAAAAAATATTTGTATGTCAAGTCAAGCATGGCCCGTGCGCAACCCTCTTATCTTACTACAACACAGCAACAAAACACTACACGGAAAAACGTTTCACATAATTTGAAAGCTAAGGAAAGCAACGACAGTAGTCTTGTCACTGTTCAGAAGTAAAGCTGCATAGTATCTACAATTATCGCGCAAAGAGTGTTGTAGCAACTTAGATCATCTCTCCTCCTGCCTTCAACATCTACCCCTCCATTTCTCTTCACACCTAAACAGGCCATTTTGTGCACGACCGCATGCTCAGACATCTCTACTTTTAAGCTTTCCATTGTATTTCAGCCTTACTGCCCTCCAGGGCCGATTTCTTATCTTTCACACCCAATTCGTACAACCATGACGTCCCGACTCCCTGGCGGCAACGCACCACGTCTCTCGACGGCACCAAGTAGTAGCACCAAGCCTCGACAACTGGTATGACACTCAAAAATCTCTTATCATCTCCAAACTTCAACGCCGCAGTTAGCAATCCTGACTAATTTTTCTAGTACCACCTGCACGCACAACTCGCTCAACTCTCGGCCAATCTTGGAGATCTTGAGAACCTTCTACGAAATACTAGTATACAAGCTGAGTCTATACGAGGCTTGGGTGCTTTTCACGGAGGACTGTAAGTCTCCTTTTTGAACTCGAACAGAAATCTCGTGGCAAACAAATTATCTAATGATTCTCTCGATAGATTCATGGCAGCAAGCAAAGTTTTAGGAGAGGAGACGATCGCGGGTAGCGCACAACAACAAAATCATGGACAGACACAGGGACAGGCAAATCGGACAGCAGAGCGTAGGGATGATTCCGATTCCGATTCTTGAACGTACGTTTTGGTATGGATAGCAAAGTGTAGGAGGCAAAAGACAGGCCGCATATCTATTCGAGCATGGAGGCAGAATACCTAAACCACACACGCAACATGATATGGAATGGCCGATTTTCGACGTTGCCCAAGAAGAAAGCCGTCCCAGCTAGCACCACGATTCCCACGAAGGCTTTCAGCATGCACACCCTTATTCTTTTCCCCTACTCCTCTGTGGCTTTTACCGTTCTAGACCACGATCCTGCACGGACGAACAAGATAGCAGCCCTATCTATGGAAATAGTAATCTTTATGGCATCCTAGGACAATCAACGTGCTTCTTTCTGTGCCGAACGGCCCAAGAGCCACAAAAGCAAAAGGCATATCTCCCTCGCGTGGGGTCGAACCACGAACCTCTCGATTTATCTGCAAGCTTGAATTGCTTCAAGTAACAGTCGAACGCGCTAGCCAATTGCGCCACGAGGGATATTTGATGGTGACCAGCCAACATATTGCATTCTATAAACACAAGATGTCAAAAGACCCACATTACTTAAGAAGGTGGGGGACGACATGACCAAGATATCAACGACCAACAGCTGTGGATGGTTGATCATGAACAGAAGGTAGAAGTTTATGTGAGGAATAAAATACTGCCGTTAGGAATTGTTACATGCAGAGCATTGCTTCGCCCGGGTTATAACTCTATCTTGTTGTCAGGGCCCAGGCGTCGGATCTGTAGTGATCGCTGCCTAATAATAAATATCTACTTGTTCTGGCATATGACTGTGATATGATCAGTAGTCAAGAGCTTCTTGCCCTAGTTTCAATGGACAGGCACACCAATAGCCTGTCAGTTATGAAGATAGTCTAGCAATTTCAGGTATCTCTGCCGTTATCATTGTAGCCTGCAATGTGAATGCCAAAGAGGTATGACAGCGACTTGTGTCATTTTGAAACTCGCATGCACAAGTCCCAGTTAAATACACCAAAAGCCAAAAACCGAGCAAGTCCTTTGCACTGAGCAGGTGCTCTTTCGAACTGCTCTTTCTACCCTTTAAGTTCTTTCCAATAGGTCATAACAATGACCCCTTCAACAAGGAGCCAGAGGCCTTTTCCCGGTGAAATATAGCAAGACCTCATTCTCCAGCTGAATCTCTTGGTTCGCAACATTCGGTACTTCTTTAGTATCTCGGTATACTCCAGAAATCCACAAAGGAACGAGGCAGTCTCCCTAATTGTCTACTGATTCTGCCTTTGTCTCTCAATATTTAATAGGAATGGCCTCGTCGGCCCCACATGTTGATAGAAATCATATGGCCAGTATTAATTAGTCTGATCTTGTTTCTTCGCATCATGATAAGCAATGCTATCGGATAGTGTTATTAGTGTTTGATCTTTTCTTGAATAGTATGATTATTCAATCTTTGTGTATTGGGGGACGTGATTTCAACGTTAGGAATACGCTCACGGGATGGATACGTCAATTTCATTCTGGTATCTGAAGTCCTTTCTGAATTGTGAGACGGATACATAGGGGTTTTGTTAGACTACGGAACGCGTGCGCTGATGGTGGTAAATTAGGGAAACATAGGGGTGGTGCTAGATTGAGGTTTTATGGGACCAGATGAATTATGCTAGAGAATTTCCTACTTGCATATGGGTAGGTAACGACGGAGGTGTAGAAAGTGGGTAGTTGACTGTGAAGTGAGCCTCTCCAGTCCAGTGGATAATTTTGTCGGGAAGCACACAGGATAAGCTAGACTGTATATAACACTCGGCTCAGTTCTTTTAAATGAATACTTCCAATATATAGGTAGCCCAATCAAGCTTCTCTTACCCTGAGCGAAAGGCATGCGAGATGTGGGAGTATAATATACGCAAGTCCTGTAGTAACTATTTATGAGCACGCGAGAAAAGTGCAGAACCTAATGATAAAGTCGGTGGGTTGTGAACATTAACCTTATAACTTATCCGAAAAGATAGATAGCAGTAAAGCAACTGCAGGATCTCACTCGAATGTTATTTTTAAAAGAAGTACAGCGTGACTGCCCCATTTCCACGTTCTTCCACGCAATCAGCGCATAAGGTCTATCTCATATATTTTCTAAAATCGTCCGCTCTGACACATACGACCATAGACTGAAGAGAATTGGGCATCCCGTCCGCTCTGCCATACACAAGCTTCAGATCGGTAGATTAGTAGTTGGGTGGGTGACCACCAGCGAATCCCTACTGTTGTATGTCCTTTTGTTTTTAGCATCGTTTTTCGAGTTTTTACATTTTAGTATCTTCAGGCTTCGGAGGAAATGTGAATCTATAAGAAGTAGAAGTACCCGTATAAAACCTTCAGTAAAATTTTAGGAGAATACTGTACTGGTACGTGCTTAAATTTATTTTCTCCTTTCCCGACTCCATCATTGTCTCCACCTTTCTATGTACTCCGCGCTCATTTCCCCGCATTCGCTGTACTCGTGTATAAGTTCACCAACAAGAGCTTCCGCTACACCCTCAGCAAGCTCGGACATATAGTCTGATCGTGGAGATCACGTGATGGACCCTACATATACAAGGATACGAAGATCTATATAAACCAGAGGGGTTTCCTGTATATAGGAGCTTCGTGCTCAAGATCAATCATTTAGTATACTCTACTATTAGTTACGAATTGCAACCATTGATATTACTTTAAAGCTCCTGCTTGACGCCTAGTTATAAACCATTCGAGGATCCAGGCCACTTCCACGTGATCTAGATCGCATCCCTCGTAACAATCGAATAGATCTGAGATTTCGACAAAAAATCTTTCAAATAATTGTAACTTGATATCTTCGATTTAACTGACAATAGCAATATTATAGTTTTTCAGAATATTATAAATATAAAGAACAAAATCGATTCATTTTATTATATTATTTGTCACGATTTACGATTAAGATTATAGTGTATTGAGAGGCAACAGTCAACCTGTCCATATGAGCTTGGACCTCCTTGAAAAGCAAAGCAACTTGTATACAAATTTGTATGGCAACCGCTTCATATGGTCTCCCCACCTTCAGCGAGCTCGGACATATAGTCTGATCCTAATCACGTGATAAGGAGCCTTGGGAGCTTCGAAAGCTCCTAGAGCTCCAGGAGCTTTTTGGAGCTCTAGGGCTCCACAAAGCTCTTTTACATTCATTAATATATAGTCAGAATAGTTTCATAGTTTAGGAGCTTCGTGCTCAACTTAGTTATCAATTAGTTTACCTACATTCCAATTGATCTAGTAACGTATTCACCTTCGAGTGGATAACCAGTGATTATTAGCCTTAACCATACGAAACCTCAGGCAGCCGCTGCCTCGACCAGATCGTTACAAATATATAAACGATTATTTCAGAAACAAAAAAACATTATATATATATAAATAATTGAATAAATACAAATCCCAAAACAAAATCAAGAAATCCTATAAATGTTATTAGAAAAACGATTTGTTTTAAAAGATAAAAATGTAGATTGAAGAATAGAATTAATAAAATATTTATATTTAGATCAATACTAGATCTAAATTAAACTAGTATACATATAACCTGATAAAATTACTCTTGTTACAAAAGGTGCCTTATTTATCCTGGGCCTATGCGCGTGTGTGCTTGTGTCGGATGGGACGTGTTGAAAACTATAACGAAGAGAACTTGATACAGTGATAGTACCAACTTTATTCTACTCTCGTCGATATTCTCTTCACTCTGACCTCTATCTAGTAACAGCTTCAGACAATTAACATTACCCATTCCATTTGCCGTGTCGTATTACATCGCATCTCACTAACATACTCATTTAATTCTGCCTTCGTCGTCGCTCAACTCTGCACCACAATTCTGCAAGCAATAGAGATACATTCAACGAGATAATCGGCTTTGTGCTCTGCTGTGCTGCGCTAGACGCTTGCTCTTCTTCGGTCATGTCATGGCCTAGCCGTCGGGATTTAAGGCGAGAAATGGGATTGAACGATAAGGACTGGAAACAAGCATCATTTCTTGAGACGATGCTCTTATATCTTGACTGTCAGCGAAAGAATGGGATCAATGAAAAACATGCATACTATTCTGCTGTGGCATGGGAGATGTTCAAATATGTGTTTCGCACAGGCGATGGTCATTGGTACGATGCGAGTCGCAAGGCGATGTGGTGTTTAGTGGGCAAGGTTAGTATTCAACTCATTCAATATGAATACTTCGCTCCACTTCTTGCATAGCACCTTCTTCAAAATTCGCATCATTCTAACAACCATTCATTCACAGTCACCAAAACGACGACGATCCACCAACCTCGAAGTCCGGATAACGTATTATATCTTGCAAGAACGTCGCTATTTGTACATCTTTTCAAAACTGAAAGGAGAGCCGGAAGAGAGATGCCTTGAGATTAATATGTTGGATCCCCAGCAGAGAAAGTTCTTTGTAGACATAGTACCGTGGGCAGCAAAGAAACATCCACTTGTTCCGCCGAAACATGCCGCAGTGCGAAGGGTTATGGAACTGGATATCAAGAAAGAACGGAAACACAACAGATATCTTCGGGCGAGAAGAAGAGCACAGAATACGAATGGACCGAGTCCTCTTAGAAATATATTGAATCAGGCATAGTTTCTACATCGTTTGATGTATCTAATATGTATGTATTCACGGTATGAGCATCCGTTGTGAAACGAGGTGTTTTTGCGCAGTCTACACTGTTGGGACAGCCCCAGCGAGCCTAGCGTAATATTTACCTCACACTCTGGAATGTATCTAGACTTACTGATCACGAGGCCCCCATAGTCCAAGAAATTTACCCACATATGGAGTATACTGCACATCGGCTTCATTGCCGGGTTCTTGTAGGAGAGCCGGCAATTGTGCACCTGGATTTAGTAATTAATTGCACGACATAATCTTCCAATCAGCTTAATTGTATCCAACACTACCTGGAAGTGACCTCGACTTCCATCCGCGATCTCACCTATCGATTGCCTTGACATAAGCCATTAGTTGCCCGACAAAACTTACGAAGTCTCTGGTTTTTCTCCACTTGGAGTGTACCGTGACAGAAAAGCGGAATGACGATTTATAAATTGGCGTTAGAAACAAGAAAAAACAAGCAAGAATCTCAAGTATCGTTTGCGGAAGTTGCATTTGAGGAGGTGAAGAAGTTCGTTCAAACTTCAACTTTAGTAGGGCAGCTATTGAGTGTACAAGCGAGGATGTGCGAGGATGAGGTTATTACACCGCTAGGCTTGTAACTTGGCAACTATTGGTTGCTAAGAAACCATTCTCTCAAATGGAACTTCACTACACCAGTCACTTTTATGGGTAGTTGATGCGTAGGTAGCTTGTTGTCCATCAGGGTTTTAAATAGTAGACTTGCTGTTCCGAATCTCTTGATAATATCTGATTCTCACATAAGGGCACTGATTTTCTCGAAATATGCATCCCAATCGCATTGCTCCAAGCTCGTGGCATTCTTCCAATCGGCACAAGTGACAACTTCACGACCTGACGTCTGGAGAGGTAAGATCTCCATTAACCTCAACTTAAAAACCAGATCTACCGGACCTAATGTTCCTTGTGTTGCAGTTTGACATTCAGACATCGAGGTACTAGATATAGTGAGCGCTGGCGTCGCGAACATTCCAATGGGACGTACAGTGGAAGTGGATGGTAAGCGATGCTTGATACGAGAGGGGTAGGCAAAAGCAAATGCTACCACAACCCCCTAAAAGCTGCAAAGTCAGCATAAGGATTCAATGCAAAATCTATGTCTTCGTGGAAGTGAGCTGTGCTCCGAGTTTGAGAGCAGAAGAACTAATGTAGGTTGCAATTTTCACAGTGTATTCTATCTACTTGGAATACACCTGATGTATTGGCCGGATTGAATTTTCTTAAATTCCGTATCAAAATCTACACTTGGCTCATAAGCATACGGATTGGGAAGTGAGAATCGTTTTGAGGTGTAAATGAATATCAAGAGATTTGAATATAATCGCATCCCCAGCTGTCAGTCACGTTGAGCTAGAGTCTTGAAGGACTGAAAGCGAGCCGACCTGCGGCGTCAACGTTAACCACTACCACATATACCCGTCTGATTGAGGTGATCCCGTGCTTGTGGGAAAATTAGATCAGATCATGACACCACACGTATCATTCTAGATTATTAGTTACATCAATATTGCAATCCCCAAGAAACCGTTTATTTTACTCTAGTCTTTATGCTACAGCTTGCCTCAGAATTCAAAAGCTGAGAAGGAATCCTCACAAAGAGTGTAAATTAATAGCGATGACCTGAATAGAGGAACTTTCACTTATAGTTGTAGATATTTATCGATATAGAAGAAATATTGATATTGACAATTAGCTCAAACAGGTTTCTAGATGCTAGATTTTATGAGTGATTCAGAGTGAGGGGATGAATGGGGATTGATATTTGATGTTTGATATGGAGGAGTATGTTTGTCACTGTGATTCTTGCAGTGTAAGACATGTTTATCTATAGGTGCTGCTTAAGAGGAATCTGCGTTTCTATGAGCCCGCTAGCTATGATATATTTATCTATCGAAAGTAATGTTTACAGTGCCTCTATATGTTTCTCTTCTTGTATGTGTCTAGTGTAAAGAAATCCTCGATCTACATTGTCTATTCAACCGTACCAGTTGCCGAATCTCCTTTCTGGTCCACTCTTTTCTCCCATTGAAAAATCAAGGGGAAAATACCAGATAGTGATTTTCCCGTTTTCTGCTCTTCCACCTCCAGCCATCTTTCTTCTCCCTGCTCCTCGATTGGCGAGACCATATATTCATCGTGATCATCTTCAACTGATGCCTCTGCACCCTTTCTGACTAATCCTCCCTCCTCATTAGCCTCCGACACAGGCGCATCTTCTGCAAGCTCATCCAAAGAATTTGAATACCCAGTCAAAGGGGTTCCACCAGTAACATGAACTTCGCTCTTCCCAGCTACATGATCCGAGTCGATATCAGGCACAACCCCTCTTTTCCATGCCTCAAATGTATACCTCCTCACTCTCTTCTCATGCACAACACGTTGCAGATCCCCTACTTTATCTAGTTTTAATTCGTAGCCGCCAATGAAAGCTGGACGGTCTGGATGGTGTTTTGGATGTCTGCGTTTGCGGCGCCGGAGAAGACAAAAGATTGCGAAGATCAAGATGGCGAGAGATAAGGCACCACCAATGGCGGCTCCGACGTAGACAACGACAGAATTGGATGAAGAGTGGCTAGAAGTGGTGGGGGTGGGGCCGTTGGTTGAGGATGATGATGACGATGATGACGATGATGACGACGATGTCGGCGGCGGTGGTGTTGGTGTTGGTGTTGGTGGTGGAACAGAGGACAATGTTTCTAAAGTGGTAGGATCAACATATGACAGCGTTAGAGTTGAAAAGGACGTTGATGACGTGGAATCTAGCAGGGGAGGAGCAGTAGGTGGGATGGTCGGGAGTATTGTAACAGAGGGGGCGATATCTATAGTGCTCAAGGGTGTCACGGCTACAGGAAAACCGCAAATGAGGGAAGTAGATACGGGGACAGGTTCGACATTATCAGCGGTTGGTTGAGTAGGAACTTGAACAACGGGATCTGTGTATGGGACAGTTGTGGTTGAAAAGGTAGTAAGTACGAAGACGTTAGGATCTGGTACCGAGTACGCTGTTTGAGATATCGAGCTTTCACCAGCAGCTAGTGTACTACCAGTCAATGTGGCGATGCTAGCAGTATCGATCGAAATGACCAAATTTGGGTTTGCTGATGTCAAAATGCCTACCGGGGCCGAGACTGCATCGCCAACCTCTTCAGAATAGTTCGGGGTCGTCATATCGTATGAGGTTGTCGTATTGTATGAGACAGTAATGTTTGTCGAGTCGGTAGCCATAAGTTAGCATAGCTTTCGCGAAGGGTAGATATTAGAGCCATTTTGACTAGATCGACTTTATCAAAGGAACTCGATGTTGAACCTTAATGTGTGTGAATGGACGGACAAAGCATAAACCCCATTGATTCACACCCTATTTTGGGAATCATGTGAGGGACAAAGAAGGTGAATCTCGAAGTTGCCTAGCCATAGTCATAACGATAAATTATCGTCATCGTTGAGTGATATAAATAGCATTGAAGAAATATGTGCCGCCATCTCAGTAGAGAAAATGAACGCTGCGTGAACGGTACTTTCGATGACTTATCGATGTCCATTGAAGGATAATTCAAGTTGTGATCATACTCCATGCTGTAGACCAGAAACTAATAATCTATCGGAGCATTCTTGTAGTTATTCTGTACTGTATGCTGTAACTAGTGAATGGTGAATACTTGTGTGAATGCGAAACCCCTAGGCTGACAATCCGACCCCGGATTTGAGGGAAGAAAAACTCAGATGATAACTAAACAGCGAACAAATGTTACAATGGAAGTACATGAAGTAGCCGACATTTGAGAGATAAATTCTAGAATTGGTGCCATAGATAAGGCAAACAGAAGATGCTGCGTCGGGTCGATTTTACCCTATCAATCCACCTCGCACATGGTACTTTTTATCCACAGGACAAAGTAGAAATACGGCAAACAGGACGGTAGAATCAATGTAATGGAGATTTATTTATCAAGGGCTTCCTATCTGCTACAACATTCCAACCCCCTGACAACTATCAGACGGATGTATAGGAAGACAACGACATGATACTGAGCAAGATAAGGTTTTATAAGGATGAATGACTAATGCCTGAGTCTTTGCGTTTCCTTAAACATTAATATGGACTTTGAGAGGGCATAGAGGACATAGGGAAAGCCAATGAAGGGAAAGGTTGAGCTGCCTATTAAGGTTGTTGTATCTTGAGGGAAAAAGAAGGAAATGATCTCCAAAGGTACTGGGGACCCACGTTCCCGATCTTGTGCGACCTTCCCTCACATAACAGCAAATGGCCAAATAGAAAGGCACATATTCACTTATCTCTTCTCGATATGACCATCTATCATCATCTATGTTATCAGCGGAATGAGAAATGGGTACAAGCGTCGTCGTGAACCGAATAGGAGGCCAAGATATAATCAATCAGCCTTTTCCAGGAATGCAAAATACCTTGTCGGTCATGATTAGATTGTGCAGGATGGTATCATTTGTAGACCCGATGTTGAAACCGACAAGAAATAGATAAGGCGTGATGCAGATGTGATTAGAGTAGGTAGTTGGTTATATAAGATGTCGTGTGCCCTCATGTTAAAAGTATTATTGATCATATTCCATCATCGAGTGATGCGATGTACGACTTTTCAACTAACTGGAACTTTTCATGAAGAAACTCGAACTCGACTCAAATCAATGGACGTCACATGATATACAAAGAACATTGAGGCATTCATCCATGGGCCATCTCTTTCGACATAACCGAACATAACGATCAATACATACGTACATACATACATACATACATACATAGAACACAAGACTTACAATTACACACCTATACTTATTCGCAACTACCGTTGATAATTGCCACGATAAACGAGATCCATTATCGACATATCATTATCAAGGCATACAACTCGATCTTTTATGAAATCGATCTTCACGACCATCAAACAGACCAAAGGTTACACGAAGCTTGATATTCAAAGGCAGATTCCTCCTGAGTCCTTACATCGGGAACCTATTCCTCCTTTCCTCTATTTATCCAACGGACGACATCTCCGAACTTTCAAAGCTAGCTAGGAACCCATCGAGGACATCAAATCATTTCCCTTTTTGACATCAAATATGCCCTTCCGTAATTCGCATTCATTCATTGTTGAACCCCCACGCAAAGGTCGCAACTTTATCCCATGGTTTATCTCGCCTACTTTTCGCAGCCATTCGTTGAAATCCTGACGAGCATTTTCTCTAGGGTACGCAATCCCAGTTCCAGTCATCGCCCATCTTGCCCCCGCATATGCACCTCCAATGCTGAGCACATGTTATTCCATGGCCGTGCAGAATATGCAGAATAGATCCTTGGTGGCTGGCTGTTCAGTGTTCACCATTTGAACTTTTCATGGTTCCCCCACGAAGAATCGCTAGCAATTAATTAATTTCTAGTCGTTTCGCTTCCCTGATACTCAAAGTAGCCTCTGCCCCAATAGTTACAACGTTTTTGCGATCAATACACCGCGGTCGCTCCGAATTCGGTGGGCCTAGCACGAGGTATTCCTGGTGTTTGTCTCAAAAGAAGGCGGAAAATAGAAATTATTAACTGCATGCAGGTCTGCAACGCCTAACGACCCGATATGGATCTCTTCACATGCAAAACGAATGCGAAATGAGTGGATTTTCAATCTATCCCCAAAATGGGGGACGGCGATGTCCACTTTGAACCCGTTCAAAAGTTGCTCCAACTTGTTTCTAACAAACGGTCAGTGATTTGTCGCGTGCAAACTACGCAGAAATAAGTTAGGTCTATTTTTTCGCTTGTAAATTCTTCCGTCTTGTCGTATTGGTTGTCACTGGTGAGTTCTCAGGTTGCCTATGGAGAGCTGGACATCGGATCACGAATTTACACTGCAGCCGCGACAACCGGATTTTAAAACGATTTCAAGTTCCTTTCAGAGTGCAGTGCACAATCACATTCTTGCCAAAATTGTAGTATATTTAATCTCATAATGCCGTCAACCGATTTACAAGAGTTCCAATTAGCATATCCTGCGATCTGAAGTCTGCAATAACAGTAAGATTAAGCCTGCGTCTACATCCACTCACGCACGATTCATGAAGCGAAAGACAACAAACAGTTACGCCGAAGGGGCTCCAAAAATCCAACCCTGATATTAAGGGTCCTAAGATCTAGATTGCTTGAGGCTCTTCTTGTTAGGATTTCCCGGTTCAATATTCCATATGCACAAGAGCCGTTAAAGCATTTATCCATGCATGAATGGTCTTCGGCCGAGCGACTACATCAAAATAATGACAATTTTTGGAATCATCGAATCTAACGACCATGACATTCTTGACAATGGGCAGGCTTACGACGTCGCATCAGCAAATGGGTCCAAATCGGGAATTCCCGTACGGGAGTACTCTTCTAGCTGTGATTTGTGTGTCGAATCATCGGGAGCTTTCGGAATTTCAGTCGGTTCTTTAGTTATACACAGTTAGACTTGTTGCTGCGATCCCGCTCCGGAAATATGGTTCTGGGAAGGAAGTGTGCATCCAAGACTCCAAGCACTAACGGTAAGATCCATCAACTAATGACTGCTCTCCTCGAGATATCCAATTATCTTTCTTAAAATACTTGACATGAACGAAGTTGAGGTATGGTGAAGTCATCGGTCCGAGATATGTGACGAGTAAAGATACATGAAATCAAATGAAAACATTACCAGCTGTGAATGTCACTTTGAGAGTTGATAGTGATGAAATGTCACATCGCTTTTGGTCCATCTGCACGTCAAGAAGCATGATCAACAATCATGGATGGCATCATGAGCGTAAAGCTTCAGGCTGAATGAAGTCTGTGTGTATGGATCAATTGAATCCGTTCATGGAGGGGGGAGGTTTCACCCCACTATGCCCCCTACACCTACGACGAGAACCCCGCGAAGGGGCGAGGGAGAGAACCGCTTTCGCAACCAGGTTGATAATTACTGATACTTTCGCGTACTGTGTACTGACGTCAAATTAATCCTGTAAATTGCTTTCTATATACCGGATATGAAGTAGATTACTATTCACACTTGATATCACAGTCATCTATGGATGATCCAGTTCTTAAAGAGAATTAACGCCGATAGTCGAGAACAACCCATAGTCGATCTACGGAGGCATTGTCACATACGCGCAACTGGGAGGCTCACAAGAGACAAACAGTTTGCGGCGATCTTGAAATGCATGCCTCTCAAACGACTTGTATACCAAATCCGTTCGACCCGTCGGCTTTCCGCTGTGATCCAAGTTGCGCCATACCCAACGATAGAACTATGTATGCCATGCACGATTCAAGTGCACGCAGTGAGCACGGAGATTGAATTACTTGTATAAGGTACATTGTCTGTATGTTTCGTACGTACTTAGACTTGTTGCACTTGCATATTATATTTTATATTGAATGTTTACGCACCAAGACAATCTAGCTTGTCTTCGTCGTCCGTGCAGAAAGATGTCGAGCTTTACAAACGACGAGGGTTTGTGATGAGGGGGTAGCCGAGAAGGGGAAGTTGAAGTGGACAAGGCTCATGCACCAACCACAATGGTCAGACCGGATGAAATATCAATTGATACTAACACAGCATTGCCGTATATTACAGATGCTAAATTGTTAATTATCAAGTGTATGAGTACAGTTTTTCCAAAATTTGGTACCCCTTTATCCTTTAGACCATAATCAAAATGAAAATACCCGCGAGCCCTCGCTCTTGAATTCGAAATGTGATGGTTTCTTTCCCTCACTTCTCCTGCAGTCATACGGCGCACACATTGAAACAGAAGCTCTCTTCTCCTCTTCTCCTCTTCACCTCCCCAAATATCTCGGGGATCTTCACAAACCTGACGTTGTCTTTCAAATTGAGTCTCCATTTTCACAAGTCGGAATCCCACTTTTGTAAGTTCGCACATCCCAAATCAGAATCTTGTGTCCGATGTCAACTAGACAAGGACCACAATTTTTAAAGTTGTCAGACATGCTTTTGTTGCCCAATCACATTTCAGTGCAATGGTATCCCAGAAAAAGGTGTAGAACCCTGGATACACATATGGATGAAACTACGACTGAAAAGGAGATGATATTCGGAAAAGTGATGCTAATGATCGTGTTTAATACTCAATTTGGTGTAATCAAACTTTATAATCATCCAAAAGTCTTGACGAATTTAATTGATGAATGCAGGCTGGGAAGTCCTGGGGAAGCACAAAGTCTATTCATTCACATTGGCGATGTTCTGTCGAACATGAAACGGTTAATTCTCTTCTTGGAGTGAATCCGAGTGATACGGACAAATACCCGTGCTGAAGTAGTGAAAAGTAGCAGTTACTGTTGCCAGCCGTGTGGCTTCAACAAAGTCTATTCCCGCCGACTTCTTCCAAATCACACCGAGGTAGCTTCCTTTGTCGTCGCCATGTTTACTTGACTTTCACATATTCAGTTACACTTACACGCCCCACTTTGACTAAGGTCACCCATGGTGCCGCGATTCACCCACACAAATTCAGCCATCCAGCGGGACAAATACAAGGTAATGTCAAGCTCCAAATCCTTGCCCTCAGCCATTCGATCATCTGGGAATAGAACTGTCCGCCGTCCGCCGTCAGCACTCAGCACACAACACACCGGATATGTTCCATGACCTGAGAATCTTCAAGGTAGTTTTGGTAGTTTTGAGCTGTGCATTCGATTGACATTTACCGACCTCTGCTATGCTATCCCAAATGCTAATTTCGTCGCTCCCTAGCCCCGTAACTTGTGGGCTTGGTAACCTTACTCTACCTATGGTCAAAATTTAATATATGAAATTTGATATTCGTGTGATCCGGCCTGCGTTTCGTCGAACATGGAAGGGGACAAATTGAGCTTGGCAATGACGAGAATGCATTTTAGTTTTATTCCTTTACTGCAAGAGCGTTGATAGTAGTTGTTACGGTGCAGTAGGTGAAGGTATCTTGCATGAGTTGAAGGCTTGAAGCCCGAACAAATATCGAGGATAGGAAGCGAAGTATGAGAGAAGGGGGGCAAGCTAACGCGGAATTGTGGTCAGGATCGGATTGCGTCGGTGATACAGTAGGCAGAGTCTCACCCCAACCCAAGTAACCAAGCTACTTCTTCATGCAGCAACCTTTTGTCTTTGTCTGGCAATCACAAAGCAGCAAAGCACAAGGTATCTCAGGATCCCTAGCTATTGCCTTGCAGCCCTCGCAGTACATTACAGCATACAGCTTAGGGCATACAGTAGTAAAAGCTTTTTCGAGGTGATCCTTGAATCCTGTTTCGGTCTCCAATGTGGGGAGGATTGGTTTCGAGGGAGTCTCCGTTCTTTCTGTCTCGTGAGTAAGCTGAGGGAAGTTTTGGAGAGTCGGTGATGGATCGATCAGATATTATTTCTATTCTCCATATTGTATTGTAGCCACGGAGTAACCCTCAATCAGTCTTTGCCACTTTCTTCATGGATATACCGGATTACCTGAATACTACAAAGCACAATGCTGTCGTCGATAGATAATTAACGTGGAAAATATACTCCGTGCTAGCATTGCCATGAAGCAGACCAACTCATGATGGAACTCCTTATTTTCTATACATGAAAGGGGTTCCCTACGCAGTACAGACGATTGAACCTTCCTTACTCATGATTCTGGAAGCTTTTGGCTTTTCGATTTCACTATTTAGCCTTTTAGTTTCTCCCATCAACACGGCAGCCAACAGCTACCATTTCCCTTGTTAATTCCTGACGCTAGATTCAAAGTTGCATTGTGATTCGTGACATTTCAAGTACGCAAATCCATCTTGAGCCAATCGAGGTGGTGGATTATCAAGAGACAGGAGAGCTAATGTGTGCCTTCAATTCGGTACCATCTGCTCCGTATATTTTACATCAGTAGTCAGAACCCTGCTGGCTGAGAGATGTAGACAATGTAAACTATACTGGATGAATACCAGAACAGAGCACTTATGTCTACATCACCATGAAAGGCATAGTAACCACTTAAATCGAACGATTTGACATTTCGTAGGTCGTTGATCACATTTTAATCCCCGTCCATCCACCCACCTACCCACCCATCCATCCCTCTATCCATAATCCACAATCCATAATAATCCAATTCATCCCATCCCATCCATCCCATCCATACTTCAGTGATATCCACAAACAAGCAAGCATTCGAGGTCTTTGCTCTTTCGGTGCGACAATCTACTTTTTTCTTAGTGGAGGGGAGCAATTTAGTTCTACTCCACCATCATACGCATACAAGAATAATACACCCGGATCATACAACGGTACAGTAGTTTCGTATTGAACTACAGACAGAACCTTGAACATTCACTCATCTACCATAATGATAATAATAATAAAACAATTCCATCCATATGACTAGAATTGATTTCCTGTTACTTTACCGCATATCCTCGTCCCCGTCGATATATCTAGCAACCAATATCAATTCGAAAGCCAAGAATCCCCAGTCGGAGCGAAATCGAGAAAGGGGACAGAGATTGTGTGTATGTGGGATATAGAGAGAGAGCGGGCAGGGTAAAGAGAGACGTGTGTGCGTGTGTGTAATGCACTGGTAAAAAAGAGAAAGGAATTCTAGGAAATTCTCTTTGGACCCAAAGAAAAGAAATCGGAAGCCTCGTCTCTTTTTACACTTTTACCACCTCTGAGAAACTACCTACCTACCTATTCTCTATCTGACTTATCGGTACTTCCTCCTCTCCTCTTATTACACTACCAGCCGAACCACCTAATTTTACTACCAACGCACAAAATCCATAATCCACATTACAAATTTACCTTCATCGGCTTTCCACCATAACAAATCATTTCCAACATCCTATCATACTTCGCCTTGGATATTTACATATACCATCCTGTACCCGTATATACATATCTGGGTATAAACATCGAGACGTTCCTTCAAACCTTATCGAACCAAGGCTTTGGAATCCGACGGCCACCAACCTCATAAGAAGAAGGCTCAAGTACAGTACAATACCAGAATACAAGTACATCCTTGAACAATTAACTGTCATCCACCAACCCTCGGCCAAGGTTTCCGAAATTTGCGACACCAATTACATCTGACTTGCTCGCTGCTCCTGGATCTAGAAAAAAAAAAAAGAGTACAAAGTCGAGAGTACATACTGGGAACGACTTCTATCTTTGTTCAACCCTCGCTCTATCGTCGCAAATTCGGAGAGATTAAGTTGATCAAAAAGATCGTTCGATAAAACAAATCTCCAGGGAAGAAAAAACACAAATATCCTCGAAAGAATATAACCAACCATAAGCCCATTTCTGCAGGATCATTCTAGGATTGGATTCGGTTACGGGTTCTCTGTCATATTGGGTGAGGACCGTCCGAGAAGGAGGTGTGTCGCTCCAACGAAATGCCTGGAACGGCGCAATACCTTGAGCGTGGGGGGCTCCTCCAAAGATTCCGCGACTCATCTGAGGACTGGCATACGACTGGAGAATCACAATCAAATAATACTGCATCATCAGGATCGATAGGCACACAGCACGATTTTAGATTTCCTCGAAGGCCCGAGAATCTATCTACACACCCGACATCTGCGAATCAATCAACGAATAACTACAACAATTCCGACGACCAAATAAAGAGCCCCGCCGCGAGCGCAACAGCTCAGGAAGACAAACTGGATCACCCAGTGTCAAGCCGTGCGCGCGATGATTTGCTCGGTGAGAGTTTCTTTCCCAACTGGAAAGATGGCTCCGCCGGCGAGGAGCTCGATGACACGGATGAGATGCAAAAGAAAGATCCTTTGGCAACACAGATTTGGAAGTTATACAGTAAGACAAAGAAGACTTTGCCCAACCAGGAGCGATTGGAGAACTTGACATGGCGCATGATGGCAATGAATCTGCGAAAGCGCAAGCAGGAAGAAGATAATCGGTATGAAGTCGATGAATCTCATCCTTTGTGAAAGACAAAGTTTATCTAACAGTGTTTCACTAGATCATCTCAACAGAATCAAATCTCAACTGTACCAAGTGGAATTGCTCAGCTAAGGAAATCTACAGATCAGGCGGCTGTAGATACTTTTGATGCTATGAATTTGGACGATTTCATATTTTCCGATAGTATATCCACGCCAGCCGGGCTCGCCACTTCGCCTTCGCCGGAACTCATGAAAAAAGAGGTCGAGAGGCCATCAAGCACTGTAGCTTCGGCGATTCCTATCAAAATGCGGAAGGAATCGACGCAGTTGCAGTTTTCTGCCCCACAATCTGTTCCAGTTCCTCATCACGCCCCTCGAAGCAACGATGAATTTAATTATGTGCAGAGACATGTGAGGAAAACAAGTATTGATGAGCGTCGTGTAAGTTTTACCACCTCTTACGGGTTCTAAATATGATCCGCAGGTTTTAAGCGCTATCAAGGTTGGAACTGACAAAACTAACAGGCCCGCAAACGACCCGCCGATTTTTCGCCTCAAGTCAACAGCATAATGATCCCCAACGACCCTGATCATGATGATCTCCCAGAATATTCTCTAAATCAACCTCATCCGCCATTTAGCAGCCACGGAGTGTCAGGAATACCATTTCAACTAGATACCTTCAACATGGACAATGACCCGATCATCACCTCTGCAGGTCCTTTTCAACAAAATTTTAACTTCTCCCCATCACATTCGCCCCTCGTCCCTCATGGACCCTTCTCTTCAATGTACAATAATGCTTCGATGCCATCTTCCTCTTTGAACTCAAACGACTACTACTCTCCTCCTGGAAGTGCCTATCCTTCTACAGTCTCTACTCCTCAACCCATCCCAGAGGGACAGGAAATGTACTTCCAACACGGGATGAATATGCGACACCAACGTCCTCATACTTTCAATCAAGGACCTTCCAGCCTCTCCAATTCAATGGCGCCTCAATACATGTATAACGGCAATGGTGGATCTATGTTTAGTGCAGTGACAACTTCCGGCCCGTCGCATAACTCCTATGCCTCCGCTGGATTTGGTATGTCGCAACATATAGATCCAGCTCAGGTCTTCCAATCCGATCATCCCGCGAGATCTCCTGGCGTCAAAATCGGCCATGAAAATATGTTTTCATTTGGAGGGGATTCCGACAACGAGGACGATGAAAGTCAAGCTTTTGCCGACCGAACACTCATGTTGCAACATGATTTTGGCCAATCGCCTTTGGATGACCAGAACATGGATATGCATGGAAACGGAGGCTTACAGTGGGATACGAGTTTGTCAGGACAATTTAACACTCAGGCAGCACGATATCCAGGCGGACCACCAAGAAAGCAAGTTACTATTGGAGGAACAGAAATGGTATCATCACCATTGGAGTGGGATGGATCTGGAGGTTCTCTTGGGAGACATCACGGCTCTACTCAGTCTGTTTCTGATAATCGCTCAAGAACCGATAGAAGACAAAAGATTCCCCGAACTGCCTCGACACCAAATGCAGTCCTCCTTGGCCAGAACAGCATGTTCGATAACTCTGGGCCATCTGGACCAAACTCGCCACCAGATGGAAACAACATGTCAGGATTCTCATCAGTAGCACCCAGTAGACCAGGATCCCCTGGTGGATCTAAACACGGTTCAACTACCAATCTTGCAGCAGCTGGTCAAGGGGACAACGGTGTACCAACTACTTGTACGAATTGTTTTACCCAAACAACACCTCTTTGGAGACGAAACCCTGAAGGCCACCCACTCTGCAATGCTTGCGGTCTCTTCCTCAAATTGCACGGCGTTGTGCGCCCATTGTCTTTGAAAACAGATGTCATCAAGAAGCGAAATCGCGGTTCTGGCGCTACGCTTCCAATTGGTACTTCGGGTGGTGCTTCGACAAGAGCTTCTAAGAAGCTAGGTACAATGAGCAGTGGACCGAATACTAGAAAGAATTCAATAGCTGCAACAACAAGCATGGCCAACACAGCACCCCAAACACAAGTAACTACACCTACTAGCAGCCATGGAAGAAATGCAAATGAGAGTGCCAGTCCTCCTTCAATTGCTGGTTCCTTGGGCAATGGAGGAAGTACTGCAGGCAGTACCCCAACTTCATACCATGGTTCCGCGGGTTCTTCCTCAGGTACAATTGGTGTCAGTGGAGGTAAGGGTGTAGTTCCTATAGCTGCTGCTCCATTGAAAGCAACACCAGGCCCTGGTGCAGCATCTACTATGCCTCGAACAAATGCAGTACCCAAACGACAGAGGAGACATAGCAAGAGTGTCGGTGCAATTGAGAGCATGCATATTGATTCCCCCGAAACTTCAACTGGTAGCAATGAGGCTGCAAAATCTATTGGTATGGGATTGATGAGTACCTCTAATGGAGCCATGGGCAACATGGGCCTAGGAAATGGATTTGGTATGCCAGGACGACCAATGATGGGACCAGGAAGTTCTGGAATTCAAATGAGTTTGGGAGGACCACAACATGGAATGGCTATGAATGGTCAGAATGGGCCTAACGGTTCAAGTGCCGGCCCTCAAGAATGGGAATGGCTAACCATGAGTCTTTGATCGAGTATTTTGGCATTCTTCTCACACGCGACGCCATTTGGCGTTCTTTACTACCTACGACATTTTCTGGGGTTGGCGGCTACATTTGATTGTTACTTGGAGCTACTTCTACTCGACCTTTTATGATACCAGCGAGATTTCGCCTTTTTACATTTCGAGTTACAAATGATACGATGATGATACTTTTTCTTTCTTCAGTGGATCAAATTAATCTAGTGTATCTTGGTCTATACCCCATACCGGGGTGGGAAATATCGGGAGGCTATATTGAAACTTGCTTTTTCTTTAGTTGACTTGTTTGCATGAAGATTTTTGATACCATTTTACTTCTTCTTCTTCGCTCATCTATTTCCCGTTCTAGTTACTAGGGGAATGGATGAGATTTTGACCATGCGAATACGGCTTTTGCTTCTTTTGCATTGGTGTTTATAAGATTTTTGAGAGTTGAGAGATTCAATGGTCATTTTATTTGCGTATTGTGCGCAAGTTTATTTTGCTTAAATATGGATGATGGCTTATGCTGGGTTGATTGATGGATGGATATGATGGGGGTTGGCTTTGGCTTGGTTGAATTGCTTTTTTTTTTCTTCGCGAGGTTCTTTAACGACATGATTTGATATCCGGATAGACGGGATGAGGGTAGTTTTATGGATGTGGAGATGATTTTACATGTGTTTTCTTGAGATTTGAGGGTCAAGAGGAGTGTCAGACAGAGTTATTTCTTGAAGCGAGTGAGCGTATTGGTTTTGCTGGATGGATTGAATTGAATTGAACTGACTTGACTTGACTTGGATTTGGTTTCGATTTCGATTTCGATTTGATTGTCCCGTTTTAGCGTTTGGATGTCTGAGAGGAAATCGGAATGAAGTAGAGTGAGTGCAGCGTGCAGAGAACACAGGAGATAGTGGAGAGATAGTACTGAGATAGTTGGAGAATAATATCTTGTGATTCTTTTGATTGATTTGATTGTTTATTATTCTCTTAATCAAGTATTTGTGAACTTTTGAATTTGTGAATTTGGGATTTGGGATTTGTATGTAATCTGGTTGTTTTCGTATATAGAACATATATATATGTGTGTGTGTGTCTGCTATTTACTTGGTGGTAGTGGTAGTTACATTTCACTCGATCTTTTCATGCTTCTCTATGTTTTTATTCTTAATCGGATATCAATATAAATATAAACAAATGCCTACTGTTTTACATAGTGGTGGTAATTACATGCCATTCGATCCCCTCTTTCTCCTCTTTCTCTACCTTGATATCCTTAATCTGATATCATCCAGGCTTTTAATAAAAAATACCTAGAAATTTATCCTGTATTTCTTTTACTTGAATCTTTATTCTGAGTACAAGCTGTGAAATAAATATAAACAAGCATTTGTAAACCTCTTTTTACTATATCGAGATATTAATCTTTTGGGATTTTAAAGTTATTAATAATATAATTTCATTGTTTATATTTCTGAGATATATATTTATTTATGTATAAAAGAAATTGAGGCTGTGGGTCATTATATAAAGAACTAAATGTTCTTGTATTTATAGATATAGATATAAATAAATGAAATGAAATGAAATGAACAGATTTATATTCGGCTTTTTGAATTAGGGCAGAAATTAATTTATACTGTGTGTGCTTTACGGGGATGATATGATAGTAAAAAGTTGGACACGGTGAAAGAGGATAGGATGGGATGGGATGGGGTGAAAGAGATCTTTAGGGGGTTAGATAGTTGACGAGATTGGTACGAGTTGTGGAAGTAGGAGGGAAGGGAAGAGGAAGGGAAGAGGAAGGGAAGAGGAATGGAAGAGGAAGGGAAGGGAAGGGGAGGTATCGAGTGTATCAGCAAGCTGAGATGAATTGATGCTTTACAACGGGATATCAAATACAAAGTACTTTTTATTTTCAGAAAATAATAGATTCTCTCTTTACGGCGAAATACTCGTTGGTTAGAGATTCTCAATCAGAGGTGAAATCTAATATAATATAAAACCCTTTAAATAAATATTAAATACCTAATTAATACTCCTATATATACTATTAACATCTACTCGAAAAATAAAGAATATAAAGAGGGATTTCTGAAACTATTATCAGAGTATTGATTAGATATTATAATTATAATAATAGATGAATTTCTATACTAGTAATAAAAAACTCATCAATATATGAAGTTATCAGCTATATGTATCCTTGAATACTTGATTAAAGTCTACAAAGCAAGATTATCTATTGTGAAAGATGAGAAATGTATAAATTATCCAATTCATCAATATTCCCCTGTCACCCGAGCAATCGATTCTACCGAGAACTGAAAGTATAATAGAATACTCGCTGTCAATATGTAATGAATTGAATGAATATATATATATGAGCCTTTTAATTTGTTTGGTTTGGGATTGAAGGATAACACCTAGTTGAATATATATATAGATATATATTGATTGATACAGGAAAGAAAGAAACTTCTTCCAATCCTTGATATTCTGATAACAAAATACCAACTTCAATTCAATCAAAAATCTCACCCAAAAAGAAAAGAAAAGAAAAAGAAACAGAGGGAAACGCAAGAGAGAATAACAAAGCAAACAAGGAATAGCACCCAGAAAACCAAAACCAATATCCCAATTTCATATACTCGTATCAGACTCGGAATAATCGCGTCCATGGCGTATTCACCAACTTGGAACTTCCACAAATGAATTACCAATCACTCAATACTCAAGGAAAATACAACAAAAGTATAAATTACATGTAATAGATCGTCTCCTATTATGAGGTTCACATTAAACAATGTAGCTTCATCTATTTGATCATGTAATGCGTAATGCGTAGAGTTGTTGGGGTATGGTGGAGTTTGAGTGAGGTGGATTGTTCTTTTGCTAGGGGTAGCCTCTATATCAATTAAGATTGTTGCCGAACACAGCGTGGCAAATGAAATGTAAAATATAGTTGAAATAAGGGTAAGACGTTGTGATTTTTGAAATCTGAGTTTTCCCATTTTTAGAATTCGTATCCAGGCTCTTATATTCCCCCTAGGTCCATAGACCCTTCCACTCCCTCGAACGACCCTCGAACAAGTAATCCACCCGGTTCCTAGCTTCTTGAACATTCCCCAGCGTAAAAAGTATCGTTATGTCACATCACATTTGGAGAAACAAATGAACAAGTATTGGGACGGAGAAAGATCAAGATGACATTGATCTTAATTCAGCAGCAAGCCACTTCCTCAAATGTACAATTATGCCCATTAAAGAAGATTGCCTTTCCTCCAACGGATGAATTCCTGTCCGAACTCGAAGTAGATATTCTCTATTCACCGAATCGTAATCGTAAATCCATCGTGGTGAAATTCTTGTGTATAGTAACAAGCAACGCCCCTCTGGTATTCCATTCATCAATTTCTGGCTACTTATGCTCCTGGGTTGGGGTTCATCTATTTTCTGTATTAGCAAACTATCCGGGTATCAAAAAATTCGTGGTATTTTCGAACCTTTCTCTTGCCACCGGTCATGGTAACGTTAACGAAACGACGAGTGAACTTCTCTCTCTTGGCGGCACGTCCCTTAGGGCGCTTCTTCTTCTCTTGTGGCTCAACCTAATCGAGATGATGCGTTAGCATGACTTGATTCACCAAGATCATGTATTCTTTCAACCATCCCATTTCCATATTCCCAAAAGCATTTCCTAAGTTCTTGCTTGCCACCGCATCGCCCATCCCAAATTCCATCCTTTCCGTCGAGAATTGTCTCAAAAGAATCGTACCTTTGGTGTTTGAGACTTGACCTTTCCGGCACGAGCGAGGGATCCGTGAACCTTTCCCATGATTGCGGTTTATCGGGATGTGTCGATGATATTTCCGATAACTGTGAGAGTGGCAAATGTAAGCTGTGACGTTCTTCTCTTCAGGGTGCGAATAAATCGGTTTGGAGGTGATCAGAAAATCAATTTATGAATCTGCGAGCGATTTGATAGATAACGACACCGTAGGTTTGATGAAATTGATGGGTATACGTACGCGGTTGCTGAGTTGTGGGTTGTCGATGGATTCGTACAGTTGCTGCTATCCTCTTTCCTCTTTCCTTGCGATATCACTAGCGCGTCGCTTGGATCTCACACAGGGCTCACAGCCCTTTAAATTTGGATCACGTGGTACTAAATTTTCGGAGTAAACTTCTCTTCTTCCGCTCCTCCTCTTTTAAAACACAACACATGCACACATGTGTTACAACATATGCAAGATTTTAACCTGACGATTTCTCTCCAAACCTTCTTATTATCTCCACGCTACAAAATCTTTGAAATCAACGACCTTCTCCAGCTTCAATAACCCCTTTGACATCCAAATTCACAAAATATCATGTCAAACATTCACGTGAACGTTAAGAAGTCTTATCGTTATCAGAGTGTATTTGGTATAGTGCATTCCGAGTTTCGGGAATAGTCCCGATGTCCATTCATGAGTTACTTTGTCCCATCTATCCCATCGACGGTAAGGTACAAACTTTCTTTTACATAGTAAATGTTTATCCTATAAAAATTTCTACATCTATCCGGCATTTCGCTATAGTGTCATTTTGTTGTCTTCAACCTTTCTCAAAATGTACATACCCAAAGCTCCCTTGGGAGCATTGCTCTTGAGCACGCTTCTCCAACTCACAAGCAGTTCATCTCTACCAACCGACGTCCCTTCTCCTGATCAAATCATCATAAACCCACCCTTTTCTGAATCTACAAATCGCATACCTACATCCCGCGAAAGCGCCATCCTCGCCCGCCGCATTCTCCACCTCACACCCCTCGGAACCCTCTCTACCATCTTCCCCAACTCATCATCCTCTCTCGAGAACCGACCCTCTAACCTCCAAAACATCCCCATCGGCCTCATAGATTACATAGCCGATTGCGAACCCACCACTAATAACCCCACGATCCTCGCAATCAGCATAGCCACCAGCTTTAAAAACGCTATCTCCAATCCGAACATATCCCTTTCACTATCCTGGACTCCCCAATACCCACCTAAATCCCGCATCTCCTACTCCGGAAAGCCCGACCCTTTCGCATTCTCCGCGGCAAACCAACCGCGCTTCAGTATACTCGGATATCTTGAAACCATCATAGCTTCACCGGAAGAGGAACAGGATCTAAGAAAGTGTTTCGTCGATACTCATCCAGATGCTAAATACTGGCTACCGGGAAATCGTATCCATCATAGTGAATGGATGCGCTTAGTTGTGCAAGAGATATATTGGGTAGGAGGATTTGGAGATCGTGCCTATATTGGTTGGATACCGATTGAGGAGTGGAGGTCCGTGGATAAGAAAGAGTGGGAGGAGGCTAGATTGGTGGGAGAAAAGAAGGGATGGAAGGAATGGGCTGTTGAGGGATTAGGGCTGGGAGGCGCTTGGGAGTTGTGATACCGAGCTATTGCCATGAGAGTGTTTGATGATAGGGTGTGAATATGTATCCCGAGAGTCTTACATTTGTTTATACTTTATTTGGTGTCTATTTGTAGGAGTAATCGCATGTTATGATACTAAATTGTTATACATAGTTTATGATTCTAGAATAAATTTTACTCAGCTCCTCCATTCACACCTATTCCGTTCAAGCACAGTTTGGTATCTCTACCATACAAAATAGCCATATTGTAAAGCCCAACCATATGCACCTCCCAGGTATCCCAAAATCACCGCCACGAAGATCCTCAAAGTTACCCAATTCCAACACCCGCGATAGACCTCCCCGTCTAGCATGCGAGTATTGAGTATCATACAGAACTCCTTAATGATATAGAAACAATCCTTCCTTTCCCCATATAACATATCTCCCTAAAATGCAGAAACCATACGTAACGATTTATAAGCACACTCCTTATGAAAACATTGTAAACATTAAAGCAAAATCATATCTTCACTTTCTTATAACACTGATTCTGACTGCCGACAAAATCTACAATATCTCTCTTATCGACATCGACACCGAAAGATTACTCGAGAGGCCATCACTCGAATCATCATCATCTAATTCTAAATCACTCTCAAACAACGAATCAAGAGAAGAGAGTCCACTAGATTCCGAGCCGGATCTTGCACGCCCAGACGCATGAGCGCCTACGAAGAGAGCGATCTCAGATTTTTCCCGGTGCGATTGTAATCGAAAAGCGAAATTATTTACTGGATTCGGGTTCACGTGTTCGGAAATGAACTCCCATGCCGTAGCCCAGCATTGAGTGTTGACTCGCAAGTCTCTGTGTTTTAATCGTAAGAAACGACGCATGGCTTTGATGTCTTCGAGCAGTGCGTCGTTTGATCGTTTATCTTTGTGATATGAAATTAGGATACCGGAGGTGACTAACTCCAATGGCGAGAAGGTGCGGACATGATTGACGTCCGACTCCTTGAGAAAGTCGGGGGCGGGATCGAATACCGAATCCTTCAGGAGTTTGCACTGATCATCTGCTAATTTGGAAGAGGATTTCTTGATCAGTGATTCGAATCTACCGAATACGTCTTTGAAAGCAAGTTTGAGACCCATCGATATTGGTTCTGGATCTTCTAGAACACGCATAAGTGCTTGAGGACTTGCCTGGAGCGAAGGCACAGCTTTCGCCTTCGACTGCTCGTTTGTCCAGAAAGAACTTCTTGAATCATAGTAAATATGGTGAGAATAAGGCGGAACCCTAACGCACGACTTTGCTTCGATACTAGTTGTTTGTAAGTCAAGTTTTAATGTCAGTCTCAAGGGACTTATAGTTGACCACTATAGCATAATCATCCTCATATATTCGGGTGAACCTAGCCCATTCAGTGGACATTGCTCTCATTTTCTCGGCTGGAGATAAGGCAATTCCTTGCTGCACAGGCTGGAACATAGTTTCTTCGGTCTCTTGAGTCAGATGGTCATATTCATAGCAACAAAAGACTTTCTCATCGAATAATTTTTTCAATCGGTCTGGACAAATGTTTCTGTCGCTAGTTCGAGTCACCCACATCGTTGATAGTTGGATCACAGTAATACCTATGATCATGATTAGATGTTTACTTTAATCGTAAGCTCATCCTAGCCCAAGCTCTGGACCAGCCTTGGAGTCAAGTCTGTTCAAATTGGATATTTTCCATCTCCAGCTTATAGATTCAGTCAGTACGTACCATTTTTCGGTGGATGGAACTGTCCATGAAGCCGATCTCCCCACTCATGAACTTATATAGTGATGTCAGGCGTTGCTTGCCATCGACGCATATTCTCATGTGCTTTATCTCCTTCTGGCCATCTCTCAGCTTGTTGACTACTGTTTTAACATTAAGAACGATGGGAGGAATAAAGTAGCCCACTTCATGAAGTCAGTAAACTTTACCATAGAATAGAATGGGCTAGGTTGTCGATTACTTAAGACAGATGTAATAAGAGTAGAAGCACGTCCTTCGTCCCACACACTCGCTCTCTGATAATTTGGATCTAATGCTAGATTGCCCTTCACGATGGTATCCGGTTGAGGTGAGCATCGCGAACACTATAGCCTATGAATAACACTAACTATGGAGCATTTTCAAAGATCTCTTCACGGTCATTAGACTAGGAAGTTTCTGAATCTTGAACCCTTAAAAACGTCTTTGTTAGTGGGCATCAACATAGGATATTGCCGGTCTACTCACCTGGGCAGACAAAATGCTCTACACTATTAGTAAAAACTAGGCCTTCAAAGTTCCCATCTACATATTCGAAGGCTTTATCGTCTACATCTACATCATCGAAAATATTATCCTCTGTGATATCGGGTGAACCTGGTGGGACCATCTGATCTTCGGAGTCTTCATCCTTTACTTTGTTCTCAGCAAGCGAGCCAGACTAATTCTTATGTTTGCCGCGATAACAGCATTAGAGAAGCTCATCTAAAATGTTTCACTCTGCTGCAATGTTGTTTTGTAAAAGTCCTAATCTAACACGACATTCACATTTGGCGTACAAGAGCTAATGCAAGAATGATAACTCTAGCAACCAGCGCTAAAGAGCCGCCAACCAGACGCGCAATTCAAGAAGAGAAGAAATACTAGGTAGGAACTATATGATGTAGTCATGTGCTGTTGTGCCAAAGGTTCCGGACAGCAAGTGGTGAGATGTTTGAGATGGACTATGAAATTAAACTAAAATGACGGTTAGCCGATACAACATTATCACGTGGAAAAGGGGCAAAGTGATGAGAGTCTATAAAAGCCCAACGGTCTGCAGCACTTGCATCCTTGTCCGTGCCGTACCAACACTGGTACTACTCAAGCTATATGTCCTAGAGTATCGGCTAAAAAGCTGACATTAATAGAGTAGTCATGAGTATATCTAGTCAGCTATGTATATAACTAGCTGATATCTAGAAACAGCTGTGGCAGCATTGTGATGCACACATCCACCGCTTAGCATAGTTGTGCGCTGATGGAGACAGACCTAGAGATCTGGACAAAGGTAATATAGGATAGGGAATGCCATGTATTTTGGATAACTCACAACCTATCCTACAATTCGCGATGACCCTTTCATTGATAACATTTGGGAATTGATTGCCATTATAACATGACCAAAGTGGTGGGTCTCCGAGAGGTTAAGGAAGGTGGGGTGCAATAGTCTAACTTTGTTTGGATTAGTCCTATGGCGGGTCTAGATCTCCAGATTTAGAAATCACTGATATTTATTGAACATTCTAGATGGATTTAATCTTCCAGGTAACCTGGATGATATTTGAATAATTCTAAGCCCTCAAGGGATGCCGGAAATCATATGGTATGAAAGATTGAAATTCCTTCATTGTCTGGGATGAAATCCAAACTTTTCAGATCTCTGAGATTAGCAGAACACCAGAAGTTCCGCATTGCTAACGTCTCAAAGATTTCGTTACTACTACTAATACATTTTATACGCCCAGAGTACTAGATACAAAAGAAAGATGCTTGAAGGGCAAATCTGATTGTACTTCTGACATTCCTATAGCTCCTACCCTAGTATTGGCGAGCACAATGTACAAGAGGAAGTGGCGGTGATACGCCAGAGCTCAGGACGAGATATGAGACAAGTAGATGAAATGAATCGAACAGCATTGTATACAATATTCTGGTAAAACACCTTGAACTCCACCTTGAAGTCCTTTTATTGGGTATCATCAACGCCACTATAATCATCCATACCATCTCGTAGAACTTTTGTGAGGACTGCTGCAGCTCTGCCAGCTTCACCTGCTTCTCTTTTAGCATGTTCTACTCCAATGACCACGTCTGCCTGAAATCTTTTGTGAAAAACTCTTTGACGATCTTCCCGGTCAATATACATTTCTCCTTCTTCGTCTCTGGATGATCCAAATAGATTGAGATGTGCATATGCATTTGCCCTCGAGGGTATCATATGTCGCTCGACATCAAAAAGTGGAAAGTGATTACCACTCGTTGTTGGTTGCGCAGCCATATCTGGTTCCATAAGGCCAGCCTTAAGAAACTGGGAAAGCACCAATAATTGTCTTGGAAGAGTTTTTCCCGACTTCTCAAAGCTAGTCCTACTTATTCCAAAGCTAACTCTACTTGCAGACGACCATTTTGACGTTGCGCTGCTCGTAGTCCAGCCTATCATTGACATGAAACTTTTCAATGTTTTCACCCACCCACCTGGACATGAAACCACGTCATCACCCGCAACTTGAAGGAGCCATTCTAACACAGCTAAAGCATCGACACGAATCTCTGTAGCCAAATGCGTCATACCAGCTCTTGTATATAATAAGGCAGATTCCACTCGATCACCAATATCCGCAGGTGGCAGAAGTCGGAGAAATTTGAGGAGCTGTGATCGTACAGAGGCATTTCCATCAAGGATTAGAGGTAAGAGTTTCGGGAGGATAACAGCGGTTGGGAGAGGTATTGCTTCGTTCACAGGCTGTGAAGAGAGTTGCGTTGTGAGAAATGAGAGCGCATCCTTTCGCTGGGTGTCCGATCTTGAACTGGATGCCAGTGAAAGATAATGAGTAAACTGTACAACATTTGAAGGCGCAGAAGTTGTGAGAGATTGCTGGTTTACAACAATTGATTTGGATTTGAAACTGGTGTCCGTAAAGTTGTCGGCCTTGGCCTTAGTCTTGCCCACTCGAAGTTTTACTTTCTAGGAAGATTGGGTTAACTATGTTTGAGAAAAAAGAGTGTGATGCATACCTGGAAGTCTTTCTTCTTTTCCTTCTTTTTCCTCGCGCTTGAACCCATCGCGAATGACTTAAATTTACAAGAAATGATGTCTTCCAAATGCTTCGGAGCTTGCGAAATAAAAAAGTTCCAATAGCGACGGAATTTAGTTATGCCGGGACCCGATGAGTGGACCCCTTGCAAATGTGTAGCACCAGCTCACTTCAACTGCATCGCAAATCCGCATTAACAAGTATGGCGCAAATGACCGACCAACTTACTGTACGTTACATTCAAGCTATATTTGAGAGAATATATCCTAACAATATTATAAGGGCAGCGGCGCAGAAGCTTTGGCAGAGACTTTAGCACGGCTATCCAAGAAACCGGGGGTACAGGCGACACTGGTGCTTGAAGCCTCTAGTGGTACAATTATCCAGAATTCTGGATCGTTTTCAGCGTTTCGTTCAGCCTCTAGACCAAACAATGCTGGTGTTTCAACCGAAGATTCGAACGCGACGGCCAGCACAGAGAGCCAGGGCATCGAAGAGCTGGCTTCTATGGTCTGGAGTTTTGTGAAATCGGCAGGGGGACTTGTTCATGGGCTGGATGTTGAGGTTCGTCAGAAGCAAGTTATGATACATGAATGGCGTATTGATCTAGCTCTAGGATGAGGTTAGACTACTGCGCCTTCGAACGAAGAAACACGAGCTTGTGATTGTTCCAGACTCAAAATACATACTCGTTGTTGTACACGAAACACCTCCAGCCTAGAGGAAAATCGCAGATGGAGTTTGATTTCACGGATATTGTTGTGGAAAGGCGTTCAATACCCACGGAGCATTTTACGGCGTTTTTATTACGACGAGATAATGTTTTAATGTCATTAATTAATCATGCGAAATTTCTTTCCTCCTATTTATGCCCGGCGTGTATGTGTGGTTCATTTCAAGGCTTATTTCCCGAGGTCTACTTATTTTAGAGTCTCGCATGTCTACGAAGCTATGGACGATTTGGCGGAGGACGATTGGTCATTCGAGATTTGTAATTTGAAGTCAAGAGCAATCTATAATAATCCACCAACATACAAAATTTCTCACGGTCATGAGTTCCTACACTAGGCCTAGGAAATGTAGTCTACGGGATAAGCACCGAGAAGTTTAGCTCTTCAGACGATACACACTTGATGCTTGGTACGCACTTGAAGATTGGGGTATCATCCATCAGAATTTTCAAGAATCTTAATAATATTGCTGTGTACTGAACAACGAATGATATAATCAAAATCGAACAGACAGGATTTAAGAGAAGCTTCCCCATCATGCTTTACAACTTTGCATTTTTATTCCCCAGAGTCTGATCAATGTGAATAGCTATTTTTGCTTAATCGTCGACTCCCACTGTGGACATCACCGAAGAGTGACATGATCATTTTTTCAAAATTACTCTCTCCCAAGAGCCCAGATCGATGAACCCAGATTCAATCCCAGAAATCGCATCCTGCAAGCTCATCTCTCCACAAATATCTCCTCATAAATCATCCGAAGCACTAAACATCTCCAGCACCGTTAAAATAAAGACGTCCTAGGTAAGATCTTACTTAACATACCATATTTCATCCCCCACTACCTACCCACAAAGAGCCCACTCCACCCAAAGGTGTCCAAATAAACCAATTTCAATCAAGCAGAACAATCTCTCCGTTTATAAATTTAAAACTCAATAATTTTCCATCTCTATGTTTCACCAAATCAATGGTAGGAAGTCAGTGCATTCTAGTTGTACAATTGAACGCATTGAACGGAAGCTCCTCATTCAGTTCATGTAATCTTTATTGCATCTTGTTAGAAAAAAACTTTATCACTATAATAAAACGGGCTGAGCTTCGCGACTGTCAGTTGTCGAAGTTTGTATGGTTGGTAAAGCATTAAGGGCATTAGGATTCAATACAACATATGCATATGCGTCAATTTCCACATCCTTAATGCGTGATTATAGATACGGCTCATGTAAGTCTTCATTCGACATTCGACATGTAGACATACAATACCTAATATAGATAAGAATACTATGCTCCAGATTTTTACAAAATTCCCGGTGACTCTTAACTATTCCACATTTGTAATATGCCCGTAGAATTTTCCAACCAGACTGATGGCTATTGTGCTATTGTATTTCGTTGCGTGGTCTGTTTTAACTTTTTGTTATTCTCCAGTAATTGACTTTTAAGCTAGCAGTAGTTCGCATTAAAACAAATAACCCCAAATCACAGCACTCCCAAATTTAAATCGTTCTTTCTTTTTTCGGTAATCCTACCCCATGACAACTTCTTCCAACTTCTCATTCTGGTGATCTTTATTCTCAACAGTGACAAAATCTGCTCTTAATAATTAACACATTCAACTCTCTGGCACTACATCGACCAACACCATTGTTTTCCTCATCTCCTCGACCAAGAAACCGAGCATAGCTCTACCAACATGTAAACCAGTTGGATATCCTTGCCGGATTGTAGTATAGTCAATAAATGCAATATAACTGCGCTACATGTGTCAGCTTGTAACAGCATGTCTAGGTATTCTCTTTCATGATCTTTATATTTTCTGGCCTGTGCAAAAGGAGGTGGGTATGTTAGCTTTTATTCTTGGATTTTTACAGTGGTTTCTTTGAAAAGGGAGATGAATGGATGAATGAATGTAATGGTGATTGCAGGATACTTTTTCTTTTTGCTATTCTGGTGGTGATGGTTCATTTGATTTGGAGGGGAAGGTGTAAGATTGTGAGTGGTGAGGGGACCGGAGGGAAAGTGGAGGGGACGAGAGAAAGGAGTGGAGGTGAGATGGGGGTGTGCGTGGAAAGATAGTTGAATTTTAGAATTCGAATGATGGATGCAAGGTGTTTTGCAATGAAGGTTTAATCCCTTTCTCAAAGTAATCTCATGAATTAGAATCCGGTATCACCATTCCACAAGTACTCATTTTTTATACTGCAAAATACATATTTGATTATTAAGATTGATATGTTAAATTACTATTCAAACAATGTCCACAAACATCTGATCTATGCTCAAGTATTCAGTGACTCCTATCCTATAACAAAAAAATAGAATTAATATCCAATCTGGATTGCAACAACTAGAAGTTCCTATCCAGAAGCCGAGTGAGTACCAAGCAAATTTTAGTCTGAAATGTAAAATTGGAAGGATCAGAACCGAATAGTGGAGCGGATATAATCTGATATCCTACTTGAGCTGAATCGGTATATTTATGTTCAGCGCTGAGGCTGGCTTGGCTCTGATGGCATTGAATTAGCATCGTTTAGATCTAATACTACTAGATGTATTCGTCGCATGTTTGGGATAATTGTCCATGGAGAACACCAACTGTAATAACTGAAGTTAGAGCGTGTATCCTATGTCCGGTTTCGAAACAACTGAAGAGAAAATGTGAGCCCACTGACAGACTCAATGTCGTATGCCTAGGTGGGACTGGTTGTGAGACCTTATGTAACCGATGCTTTCGATGGCTCCATCATTGCAGACTGCTGGAATGAAGATGGTACGTTCTCCACAAAGTTCATTATGGATCTGATACTATGCGATTGATACTTGATCTATCAGGGTCTCCATATGCATATACCCCGCTGAGAGTTTCATGATGAGGCGGTGTCATAACCGCAATGGGAACGAAGACAGTTCCACCACGGCTAGCGCTTGCTAGATGAAGAGGTATCACCAGCATGGACACATAGCAGGATCTTGATTGGCCAACTGTCATTATCCATGGGACAATAATAGAGGATTTAAGATGTTCGGAAAAGGGGGTACACAATGAGAGACATCGTGTGAGATTGGAAGTGAAATGGCAGTGCCAAGCTAAGTGTCGGTAGGTCTCTAAGACAGCTCCATGGGAACTGTTTCAGCCTAACTAGACTCAAAGCTTCATATCTCACCTCACGCTGTAAGAGCTACTTCATTATTAAGTATGCAATTTCCTAGGAAGTCTGGGGACATTGTAGGGTGTCCACGAGTCTTAAGAAATACAGCTTCTCTGAATTTCACTCTATGGATGCAGTCAGATGATAAAGCAGATAATAAAATGACGTTTCACAAATAACATATTATGATTATATTCGACTCGGGAAGTGGCAGTATCAAAAAGATATTTGGTATGCTGAACGAGAGGATGCTAGATGATGTTGTAAATTGTGGTGTTGTTTTGCCAACTTCAAAACAGAACCGAGGATTTACCAGAATGCATGCAAAGGCTAGAAATCGATCATAGCTTCAAGACAATCCACTCCCAGCGATAGAGTGAGATCTGATTGTTTTGTCTGATAAATCAATATAAAACAATCTACGAACCTTGAAGGTTTATAAGCTGACAGCAATGGAAAGATTCTGAACTATGCGGCATAACGTCAGCATTTTCCGAAGTAATGGGTACTACTCAGTTGGATGGAATAATCCCTCAATTAAGGGAGGCTGGCAGATGGTGCAGAGTGGCTTCTGCAGACTGAGCTTCTACAGACTGCTGTGAGTCAAGTCAGCTGAAGCCTTATTTACTGCATCCTCTGTACAAGCAGAGAAAAGTTCGTAGGAACAATTAAAAGTAAATAGAAGATAAAAGATTGATAGTGGTTATCAAAATAACCTTGTTTGAGGCTAGAACTACAGCCCTTTCAGACGCCATGCCATTGGAAAGACACGAAGTAACCTTAAGTCGTTTGTGTCCCATGTCTTAAATGAAACATCGAATTTAATTTTCCGACAAACCAAAGTATAGACAACAATGGTAACAACAACAACCACAACAACAACAACAATCAATAAACGCGAGAATCGAATAGGCTTGTCAGAGACGAGATGCGTACAACAATTTCTAAACACCATATGCATAAACAATGGTCGGGACCAGTCAAAATGGATCAAAGATGCAGAAGTCCCGAGTATTGTTTGTTTATGGAGCATTGGAGAAAGCAGGGAAAGCCGTAAGCTGTGAATGAGAGCACCCTTGGAACTACACAACCCTTATTTAACCCCACCTTCTTTGACGACCCTTTATCCACACGTCACTCTGCTTGTACTAGGACGCACACATACAACTTCTCCCTCATCACAGCCATTCATAATGTCATTCCATACACGCCAATGCGGTCAATCTATAATCTATATATACACACACACATACACATCCATCCACATACAGAGGACTGTACATCAGTGGTATTATAGTTTATTATCATGCACCGTCACCGATACAGACCGTCAATCCTTGCCCAGCCATGCATTTTCTCATCCACCACCTTGGAAAATTGGAAAAAGAGAGATATGATTGATGCATAGCTTACTTACCCTTCCTCTACTACCTGCCTGCATGCTGCACTACATAACAAATCTGCAACTGTTATTGCAGGATTTTGGGATTCGGAAAACATTCCGAGCAACAAAACCTTCTTGTATCTCTGTTATTTGATACATACATAAGTACTTTTTATCACATTAGTTTGCTCACCTTACTCTTACTATAACGCTCTTATGTGCAGCGGCCCGCATATCAAGTGGTCAACATAACTGGCTCCTCATTTGTGTCTAATTCTATTGCTTCCTACATTTATCTTCTGCTATACCTAATCGCGTTTGCTGCATGCTGATCGATCTGATGACCATTAATATATTACTAGACACCAGCTTTTCTTTTCACTTCCCAAGATGCCTTCACTATCTTCCCTCTTGAAGCGTCGAAGGGAAAGTCAAAATGATAACCGCACGAGCTTGAGTCTAAGCGTTACTCCAGAGAAGGTACAAAGAAACTCGAAGCGTAACTTCCTTCGCAAGCTTTTTAAAGTCTCTAGTGCTTCCTCTCGAGAGAAGCGGGAGACAGAACAGGCCGTGGTAATTTAATTTTCCGTTCTTTCATCTGTGGCTCTTTAGTACTTTCTTGGGATACCGCTGATATTACCCGTCATTATTCAGATAGTTCCAACCCCAACTTCCCCAAATCAACCTTCAAGTCCCATGTCGAATCATAACAAGCCTCTTCCCCCTCCACCGCCATCAATCAAGGAGTCTGCATCTCTAACAGCGATACCTTCGAGACCTTCCAAAAAGCTCGATAGGATAATATCACCTCTTACCAATCAAGAGCTTCATGAGCTATTCTCCGGGGCTCCCCAGTTCTATGCGCGATCCGAAGGCCATCACGCAGGCGCACCGCATCCTTCAGTAGCTTTCCCTTGGGATTCGAGTGTGCAGATACGAGATCTATCAGATCATGTGCAAATACAAGATGAGGCATGGGGATGTGTCACAGCGTGGCCGCATATCACGAGAGAAGCTCCGATAAGTTTGGAAGGCATGGAAGTTACTGGGAAACAACCGCGTGCCTGGTTTATGCCAAGATGCCGTGAACGGCCGAGTATGCTCAGTATGCAAGGCATGGAGAGAGGAACCGTGGGATATCAAGCGGCTTTGGAGCTAGGTGTGGCCGATGCGCTAGAAGAACCGGAGGATATATTGCCTGATTCTGGCCCTCTTTCACTATTTGATAGGCGAAGAGAATTCTTAAACGGCAAGGATGGAATCAGACCTCTTGAAGAGCACGCTGTTTACGAACATCTCATGAATATTGGCAACTCATACCATGAAGGCCTGATGCATATGCGGACGACTGTCGAGTTATATTCGGAACTATTCACGCAGATCCTATTTCCTCCTTCTAGGGTTACTGACGCAGACGATCCTTACAGCTTGCAGGTTCAAATTGAGGTTCTCGTGAAGGTTCTAGCTGAACCTCATATTTGGGTTGATTTTACTTCCGTTGAATGGAGAATTCGTCTAGGACAGATACTATGGGGCCAGCCGCTCGAAACTGATCTGAGGGACGACTTTTCTACCAATAGCGAGACATCCAATGAATCTGGGGATCAGAAGTATTGGCTGCTGTTGCAAATACTGCTTTCGTGTGAATTGTTATTGCGACTCGATACAGTATCTCAAAATATCAATAATGGTTTAGAGCCTGCCAAACCTGCTGACGTCAAGAAACTCGAAAAGAGCATGACATCCAGTGTTAAATGGTCACTTATTTTAGCACGATCCTGGCTCGAGAATATCCGCATCGAACAGAATGTGTCCGAAGTAATTCCCGAAAGGAAGCCTTCTGGATGGTTAGCAACATTAACTGGAACATCAACTTCTGTCGATGATAGTGCACCACAAGAAAGCGTTCAAACATATCAGTTTCGAGGACGACATGAAAATCGACAATTGGCCGGGCTAGTACACTTTGCCCAGAAGTTAAAATGGCCTCATTTGGATAAATTGACCGGAAAGGTATTAGCTAATGATATAGTCATAACGGAAAGTTCTCAGAATACTCCTGCCTCTGGAACACCTATGTCTGTTTCGACACAAAAGTCATCCTACTTCATGAGCCAAAGACCTGTTTCGCGACGAGGTTTAGCAAGATCAACACAGAGAATGTCTGCACTAATGCATTCATCCGGATGGTTGTCCAATTCTTACATTAGTGGACTTATGCTACCGGGTGAAGGCTTGTGTCATTTCTTAATTTCAACGTTACTAGAAAATGATGATGCTGCAGTCGCGAAGCTAGGAGACGAGGCTAACTTGTATGGAGGGTTTTTATTTGGTGAAAGAAGCTTCTGGAGCACGGCTTGCATAGTTGGTAGAGTTTTGGCAGCTGGTAAGGACTCATCTGAATGCATGGGTTGGATATCTTCGGAAGTCAAACCCAGGGGTATTTATGGCGAGGCTTGGGTCAATATTGATGTAGAGCCAGCATCACAGGAAGGTAAGGCTTGCCCTTCCAGAATTCAACCAATGCGACGACTAACAAGGAAGCGATAGATTCTACAACCGAAATTCCCAGGATTCTGCAGAAGACTGTCATCGAAAGAGATGGAAGTGTCATTGGTGGAGCGGATCCTTCATCAATACTTCCAGGTGATTTTGTAGCAGTTTACGACGCGCCGGCTTTACATCCTCCATCAATTATTTTCGAGTCGCTAGATCTTTTTGCTGTCGACTCTGATGAGACGACCCCTACTGAAGAAGAGCCTACCTCAGAAACAGACGTGACTACAGCGCCAAGTATTAAAACATACTCTGCAATGATGAGATTCTTAATGGATCTTGACGGAGATGAGAAAAGGGAAATCAATGTTGCTCTTACTCATGATGTGCATTTCGTCACTGCTCATCCATGTGTCAAGTCTCACAGTATCGAAGTACTGAAATCTCCTACAAGCCCGTCATTTCAATTACAGGACGGTAGTGAGGATGGTGAAGTTCCTAATGCAGATATGGGTATGTATTTGCGTTCTTTTTCTGTGTCATGTGCCTTGGAAAATTAATAGAGAATAGGTCATCCTCTCCATAAAGCTTTCACTTACACAATCATACCCTTACATCATATCCTGACATCTCCCGCCTCTAAATCTCTCTCCTCTCTGCTCCTATCACCACCTATCTCGCCAATCGAAAGTTCTTCGCCCATACAATCGAGCGCCCACACTACCACGAGTAATATACGAAAGGTCCTAGTAATTGACTGTAATAGTACGCTGATACTGCCGGCATCACCTCCAGATGATGCGGATGTAGAAGATGTGAATGATGCGACGAGTAATGAAGTCAGCGGTGAAACCCCAAGTAAGAATAAAAAAGAATTTGGCAGTGATGCGGAAATGTTAGCCAGGGCGTTATGTGCGGAAAGGGGATGGAATGCTCTGGTTAGTAGGAGAGGAAGAGGATGTTTAGCTTGTGCTATTAGAGAGGCTGGTGCTTTAAGGTGGGAGGTCGTGGTGAGGGTTTAGTAGTGAGGAGACGGTAGCAGATTTGTATACTTTGTAAAGGAGAGTGTGATTTTATGAATAATAAGGGTCTGGATGAGATGGGATATATGTGATGGGATAGGTTGGGATGGGATGGGATGGTATGGGATATGTTTCATGATGTTATGCATGGTGTGTTGTGTTGTGTTGCGTGTCGTTGTTTGTTATTGCATGGAATATTAAGTGATACCCGCCGTTTAGGCATTTAGTTTATGGTACTTAATGGATGGATGAGTATATATATATATTATAACTTTTCATCTGGGGTATTCAAATATTTTTATGCCATTGTTTTAGATGGGTAGTGGTGAGATCACGGAACGTTTTGAGGGCTCCTGACGCGTAAACCTTATGGAGCCTGTATTTGCTGCTGGCTCTGATGGTTGATGTTGATATTGGTGTTGATATTGATAGGTGGGTAGGTGGTGGTTATCGTCTTGTTCTTTGGGCAACTTTGGGCAAGGTGTAAAGGCAGGATAATGAGGTACGAAACGATAGTTGGAGTCTGTGGGGCTTTTAAAGGCTTAAAGGTTTCTGGGTGAGTGGTCGCTGTGATTAGAGGAAGGTGGGTGGTATGGGATTGCGTTTGAAAAGAGGGGTGTGGAATGGCTATGGGTAAGAGAATCTTGGGAACGGACATTCTGATTTCTATGAATTTCTGGAAATTTCTGGAAATTTATTGATATCTTCTCCAGGTCCAGAGTGACTACGCTGCTGGAAGAAAGATGTAGGATGTAAGATGTACATGACAGAAGAAGAAGTAAAGATTACCTTGTAATTCTAGACTCTATGTTAGGTTGAATGTAAAGTTTGAGCTTACTAGCTACCTGTTAGTATTAGATAGTTACACCAACACGATGGGAAGCATACTGGCGAGACAACACAGAAATCCCAAGTTGAGTATCATTATTTTTTTTGTTTGGAAGGCTTTTCTTTTGTGGGAACGAATTGTGTGATTCATAAGATGGTTGGATTTCTTCTTTCAACCTTTAGCTAAGTCAAGCCGTAGAAGTCAACACTTTTTGATGTCTGTATAGGAAGCTAGCAGGGAGAATCATCAGGTTCAAAACCTGTAGTAGGGCTGAAATGAACTGTAAAATACTGATCTCTCGTTGACCTAGTCTTGACAAAACGTGGCCTCGCACTAGCAGGAGCCACTCCAAGAGGCACTATATTTGCGGGAGTATCAAAACAGCTCTCTGGAATTATGAGCTCGATTTAACTTGAAAGGAGCGTCTCGTTGACGCCGAACCCTGGTGTACAGAATGCGCTGAGACTGAAGTTCTTTTAGTTATAGTCTCTGAATGATTGGTGGTGCCTTTCACGGCGGGCAACTGGTGATATCATGTGGTAGTAGAGACTGTTAGGGGGAATTGCTTTAAGTGTTTGGAATGGTTATTTTTGTTATTCGTTCAGGATGTGACAAGCCGGTAAGAGCTAGTTGAATGATGATATGTGGTTAGTGCACTTAATAAGGTTACTAGCATTGCCTACTTTTTCGGTCTCTCTGAGGGACTAATACGTGCCCATAGTGTCTGTTTTATACAGATCTGGTGATAGGTGTGTGAATGTAATGCTTTGTATAAGAGTTTGTTGATACAAATATTTTGAAAATCCCACCAGTTCTCTGGGATAGAGAGAACTATTAAATCCACAAAAATAGAATTTGGCCAAAGCTCACCGGGGATGCCCTCACGGGAGTGTCTTTGATGACCTTATCGAATCTCTTCTGCAACAGGGTGATCGTGTTGTTCATTTGCTTATTCTAATATATGATTTGATAAAAGGTTTATAAAAAACTGCAGGATTGATCGGTTTTGATATTTGCCTGAACTGTTGGCCAAATCAGCCCAGTGTATATCCGACCGGGGAAGCTACCTAAGCTTCCGTCCGTGATCCAACAGAGCTCCCATAGCATTGGTGCAGCCTCTACCCCAATAGATATTTATTGACCTTGTGTAGGTTGTCTTGATTGAATTTCACTTTTTCTTGTCTCGAAATCTCATGAATAATTTCATGAACTCGTTCATTTCCTATTTCTCTCTCTGACTGCAGCTTTAAATGACATCATCCCGGATACGAAGCACAGTTCAACTTGACCTAGCTACAACAAACCTGCATTGAATCGAATTCATCCATGATCCACGATGGATCGTAGCAAGGAAGCAAATCAGAGTCGTGAGGGACTTCTACGAGATTATGAGGATAATGGACGGACTCCAATTCGCAAATCATTCGAAGATACCTATCGACATTCCGAGGAATCTGATATCGACGCGACTGATTACCTCGATACGAACCATCATCAAGCTTCCGTTTCCGCATACAAAACCAGTACTCAATTGAGTAACCTACGACGTATCTTCGCTCGAAGGTCAAAATGTCTGATAATAACATTTGTCGTTGGTGTAATCTTCTGGTCGGTTTTTGCAGGAGGAGGGGTCTGGTTATACAAGAAAGCACCAGCGACTGGACAATCGCCGCCATGGTATCCAACACCACCTGGAGGTACAGTATCACAATGGAGCGAAAGCTACAAGAAAGCCGCAGCACTGGTCGAGAAAATGACATTGCCGGAAAAGGTGAACATCACCACAGGCACCGGATGGCAAATGGGACTCGCTGTCGGCAATACTGCACCTGCATTGAATGTAGGTTTTCCTGGCCTTTCATTACAGGATGGTCCTTTAGGTTTACGATTCGCCGATAATGCGACGGCTTTCCCAGCAGGTATTACTGTTGGAGCAACATTCAATAAGGAATTGATGTACAAACGAGGCAAGGCCCATGGCCAAGAAGCTCGATTGAAGGGAATAAATGTGCTCTTGGGACCTTGTGTTGGTCCATTGGGTCGTATGCCTGCCGGTGGAAGAAACTGGGAAGGGTTCGGCACGGATCCATATCTCCAAGGTATTGCAGCAGCGCAAACCATAAAAGGAATTCAAGAAGAAGGCGTCATCGCTACAATCAAGCATTTTATTGGGAATGAGCAAGAACACTTCAGGCAAAGTTATGAATGGGGTCTTCCCAATGCTATGTCATCTAACATTGACGATCGCTCCCTTCATGAACTGTATGGCTGGCCCTTCGGAGACAGTGTCAAAGCTGGAGTAGCTAGCGTTATGTGCAGTTACCAAATGGTAAACAACTCATACTCGTGTGGAAATTCGAAGCTCCTCAATGGTATCTTGAAGGATGAACTTGGATTTCAAGGGTTTGTTCAATCGGATTGGCTTGCACAGAGATCTGGTGTAGCAAGTGCACTTGCCGGACTCGACATGACCATGCCAGGAGATGGCCTTATTTGGGACAATGGTAAATCATTATGGGGTCCTGAGCTAAGTAAAGCAGTCCTGAACGGATCGTTACCTGTTTCGAGGCTTAATGATATGGTGACGAGAATTGTAGCATCCTGGTATCAGTTAGGACAAGATGATAAATCAAAATTTGATGGCGAGGGTCCTAACTTTTCCTCATGGACTAATGAAGAGAAAGGATATGTCAATGCTGGTAGCCCCGATGACAAGGATGAGAAAGTTGTCAACAAGTTTATTAATGTCCAAGGCTCGGGAGCCGAAGCACATTCGATCATAGCACGTCAAGTGGCCACAGAAGGAACCGTGCTATTGAAGAATGAAGACAACTTACTACCTCTGAATAAAAACGGCTGGAGCTCGGAGGAAAAGCATGAACTTGTATACAGAATTGGAATTTTTGGTGAGGATGCAGGAGAAGGTGATGGTCCAAATGCTTGCCCAGATAGGGGTTGCAACAAAGGTACTTTAGGCTCCGGATGGGGTTCTGGCGCCGTTGAATTCCCTTATTTGATTTCTCCAATCTCAGCACTGAAGAAATCGTTCAACGCGGAACATGTCTACATTACAGATTTCCCCACGAACTCACCTCCGTTACAAAAAGCTCCTGCAATCATCAAAGACCAAGATGTTTGCATCGTCTTCGTTAATTCTGATGCAGGAGAAGGATTTATTGCCTATGAAGGTATCCGTGGCGATCGTAATGACCTGAATCTACAACATGAAGGTGACAAGCTTGTGAAGCAAGTCGCTGAAGGTTGTGGAGGAGGGAAGGGTAGCACAATTGTTGTCGTCCATGCTGTAGGGCCAGTTGTCATGGACGAATGGATTAATCTTCCAGGAGTAAAGGCTGTACTGATGGCAAATCTTCCAGGGCAAGAGAGCGGGAATGCAATCGCTGACATCCTTCTCGGTAATGTCAATCCAAGTGGCAAGCTACCCTACACTATCGGAAAATCTCTCGAGGATTATGGCCCTGGTGGTCAAGTTTTGTATTATCCAAATGGCCTTGTTCCACAGCAGAACTTTACCGAAGGATTATACATTGATTATCGTCACTTTGACAAATATAATCTGGATCCTACATTTGAGTTTGGCTTCGGACTTTCTTATACTACTTTCGAATATTCAAACCTCAAGGTTGATGCAATCTTACCCAAGTCATCTTTCCCTGCCACTCGTCCAGATGCAATTCTCCCACCTACCTTTGATGACAAGATTCCGGACCCCAGCGAAGCGCTATTTCCATCAAATTTCAGGAAGCTATCTAAATTTATCTACCCGTATATTGAAAAGGTCTCGGATATTAAGCACGGAAAATACCCATACCCAGAAGGTTATAGCATCGAACAAATTCCATCACCCGCTGGTGGAGATGAGGGCGGTAATCCCGATCTCTGGACTGTTTACGCCACTGTATCTGTCGATATCAAAAATACTGGCAGTCTCACTGGTAAAGAAGTAGCGCAGCTATATCTCGAATACGATAAAATTGGTGGGGAAGCTGCGAATGTAGATTTTCCAGTTAGGGTCTTGAGAGGATTTGAGAAAGTCGAATTAGCAAAGGACGAGACGAAAACTGTGAAGTTTGACTTGACGAGGAGAGATTTGAGTTATTGGGATGTGGTGAGGCAGAACTGGGTTATGCCTACCGAGGGAACTTTTACTATTAGAGTGGGTGCTAGTTCGAGGGATTTGAGGGTTACGGGATCTCTGTGATAGAGGTTATAGGGAAGGTGTGAAAATAGCGTTGGTGATGGTGTTGTAACTGTGCTAGGACTGGATATAAGTTTTGTTGTGACAGTCAAATAGACAAGGGGTTTCAAAGAATTACATTTATGATTTCCAAGTATATATACTGTTTAGGCTTTGTGATTCCATTGCATTTCTCTCTTTTTAAAATGAAGCCTTATTCTGTCTCGAAGAAATTCACTCACCATTTAAGGATGGGATGGTCTTGCAGCTAAAATTGTATTCAACACTGAGAAAAAGCTAATAAATGTTTGATCAGGCTATGTTTCCCTCTGCCCCCTTCCACTCAGGTTAATGGTCTGCTTGTTTGCTTGTACAACTCTAGATCTGTCGTATCGCCACGTATAAAAGCCCCATCCTCTAGTTTTTCACTTTTGTTTTTTTAAAGAATTCATCTCGTGCTCATGATTTCATCTGAATACTCAAACCTTTGGCTTCTCAATCAAATTCTACAAAGGTTACGTTTTCACGCGAAAATATTCCCCCGTTTCACACACGTTGCGCTTAATTCTTTTCTAAACGGATTGATTCCTTCATAGGAGATTCACTCTAACCCAAGTTCTAAGATTGCATCTACTTTTTTGATTACGGCAATTTAATTCCATCAAGTTCTTTAAAAGAAATCTCAACCTCTCCATCCGTCTCAACCACAAACCACAAACCAGAAAAAACAAAAACCACAATCCCAAACACAACATGCCAGTCTTCGTGCACAACAATGCCAGCAGTGCCACAGCACTAATGGAAGCAGCCCAACTCAACAACCAAGCCAACCAGCTCGGAGCTCGTGGAGATTTAACCGGCGCCGAAAAATTATTCTTGCAATCTCTCAAGTTGAAAATTGAAAGTACGGGTGAAGATTCGATTCAGAGTGCTCTATCGAAAAATGCCCCTCGGAGAGTTGTATTTGAAGATGGAGGGGAGGTGGGAGGATGCGAGGAGGTTTTTGGAGCATGCTGATGCGATTAGGGGGTGTATGTTGCCTTTTCTTTTTCTTTTAGGAGGTTGTGAAGTGTGGGTATGAGGATGAGAAAGACAAGGACAAGAAAGAAGAAATGCTAATGAAATGGTTTTTCGTGCGGTAGCTATTGATGATTTTGACGCGGCTTGTACTCGCGATAATCTCGGTCAATTGTGGGAAATCAAGGGCGATATGGTGAAGGCGAAGGCTGCGAGAGAGAGAGACCCCAATAGTATAGTTTGTTCGAACTTCAATGTAAGTATCTCCATATTCTCCGCACGATTCTAGAGAGAGAAGCTAATCTGCTGTGATAAGTGTTCACTCAGCAGCGCAAATGTCAAGTCAGAGAGAGAAAATCTTAAAAATTGTGCCAGATGCAAGGCTACGTGGTATTGTAGTGCGCAGTGTCAGAAAGTGGATTGGAGATCGAGACATAAGAAGTGGTGTAAGGAGCCTCAGAAATTGAGTGCTGAGCAGACGAGCACCAGTGGCTAGAAGGTGGTGATTAGAGGATAGAGGGTGATGGATGGTTTTGGGTGCATTAAGTTAAAAAAAGATGCGGTGGCTGAGGGAGCCCAGAGACGAGCATCGGATGTCTTTCGATCCATATCAGATCTATGACCATGGTTGTGCTGTGAATTACAGTATATTGATGAACGTTTCCCTGAATAGAAATGACATTTAAAAACACAACAATATATGATTTCCAAATGAAAGATTTAGACATGACTTATTTTATTTCTATCGTGTTTTATAATTTGATATAATATTTTAAATATTGAAAGTCTTTATTATATAAGTTTAAAATTAATATAACTTTTTAATCTATAAATAATGAATTAATATATATATTAATTCTAAAAATTATTTAAAGATATCTCAAAGAATTATAGTTTTATCTTTAATAAATATATCAATTAGTAATTTAAATAAATTAATTATATATAAATCGTTCTAATTATTCTACGAACTAAATCCAAGTCACGGTTATGTCACAGTAATATCACGTTTAGCTAGTACAACCACTGATCTTAAAGAGAAGTTATACAGATCAATTTGATCTAGGAGCTAGAAATAAAGTTTGTTTATAAGCCCGTGGATTCTATGACAGCTGGATAGTTTCTAGACGGGAAAAGTTTAGTTTTTTATTGTCTGTATGAATAATACCTACCTACCTACCTACCTACCTGTCATTACCTCTTAAATATACACCCAAAACCCCAAGGACCATCTAGAAACCCCCGCAAATTCTTCAACTTAGCTTCCTCCTTTCAAAGTAGTCCCATTTTTCGTACCAATTCGACGATTGATCAACTTCGTCCTATGATCAACCTACATACTGCAATATTAATTCAAGGCCCAAGCTGATGCTCTAGTAGATGATGTTGAGATATAGTTAGCCCAAATGGAGCGTTGCTCCTAGTTGTGACCGTTTAGTGCTTTTTGATATGGGGATGAAGCAACTGCGGGACTTTGGGACTAGCTAGTAGCTACTATGATGAAACTGTAACTAGGTATAGTTTTGAAAGTATGAGGTTGTCGTGTTTTTACGTTTCCTTTTTCATTTTTCTAATTCTTGTATATCATCGTGTATACCTTTCTTCGGCAAATTGGACATTTAACTGGAGTTTGACTTGTCGATTTTGCACTGGCATGATCAATAAGATATTTCTTTCATTGAAAATTGGCGGCGACAAGTAGTCACATGCATCGAGTGTATGATCAGTTGAAAGTATGAATTTGTATTCCTAGGTGTTTTTCAGCCACACACTGTCAACAAAATCCCGTCTCAACTCAAATCAGATTGACCAGGAAATCTTCACTGGATCAGTTGGTGTCCATTCACGGCTCTTAACGCAAAGCCAAGTCCCCACTTTATGCTCGTAATCAGTGCCAGCGTAAAAAACTCGATGGTAGCCAATATATAAGACCCAACCACGTTCCTCCAGCCTTTCCAAGATTCTCAGAATCATCTTCTTCTTCTTTGCCTGAGTACCCGCACGGAGAAAAGTTCCTTTGATACAGAACTGGTGCCAATTTTTTGTAGTATCAACGTGCTCCTTCTTGAGCTTCGAGATGAGGTTCATTTCTTGCAAAGTGAGTCGAATAGTGTCAATGAGTTCGTCTGCTCCTCCCAACAAACTCAACACGTCTTTCAGACGCCACTTGCCTGCATGTCCGTATGTCATAGCAAGCCAATAACATTTTGGGAAAGGCTTTGGAGATTTTCGGAAGTTCAACGTGTCGTATGTGTTTAGGATCGATGGAACGGGTTGTGCCAACCAAGACTCGGATGCCAGATACGCAATCATGTTGCGCGTCATGCGAGTTGACACATATGTGTTTCCACTGCTGAATGGTCTCATTTTGAGTTTGAAGAAGTAACTGTCCTCTTCATTACATGGCCCCTCTTTCTGGATGCCCTGTTCCCAGCCCTTTTCCAAGAGGCTTCGAATACCGTCTTTGACTCTCTCTGGAAAGTGCGTGAGGGTGACGCGATTTCGATAATCAAACCCGAAAGAGGCATACGAGACAGGGCTTGGGAGATATGCACTCTCCATATGATAAGTGGAGTCTCCAGCAAGCTCTTTTCCGACGCTTCGACTGCAGTTTCGCAGAGACTCCGTATCTAATTTGCCTTTGACAATTTCTGTTCCGGCTCTTCGGTTGCCAGACTGCAGAGGCTTGACATCAGAATTGTATTCAATATCCGTTGCCTGGTCAGATTCACTCAAACACTTTGATCTTATGTCCGGGCATGAACTTGCACTTGAAATCGAGCTTGACCGAAAAGACGCGGGTCGAGCATTTGCTGGATTTGGAAGAACTGGCATAGTTTGGGAGTTCGTTGTTTGCCATGATGTTGCAGGCTTAGCTGCCAAAAATGGAAGAAACTTCTGTCTATGTTCCTCTGAATTCTGTGACTTTTCCTTTCTTTCCTTTCTTGCCATATTCGTGGCTAATGATGTTCTCTACAAGATTCTAGGATCCGAAAGAGTAGCGTCCACGAAATAACGAAGAATGAAGTGTTTCGATCTCGCTATTGCTCGATAATCACTTCGTGAATCGGTTGAAGACAGATTTGAGTAGAGATAGAGTCTTGTTTTGGATGAAATTTTAGGATACAAATACAGCTTGAGATAAGATTTGTAAGAGTGAGTGACAGGAGGTTATTTCAACTACAAGCAATAGGGAAATGATGTGAATGATATTTATAAAATAATGAGAGAAGAATAGAATTCTTTTTGCGAGAAGAAATAGACATACACAGCATTCAAATGGGAAGGGGCGAGTATAAGTGGGTTTCTGTTTCGAGTTCTCAATTTGCTTGATAGTGACTTGTTACTTCCAAAATGGTTAATGCTAAGAACCACATTGAATAAATGGGATGTCTTCGTTAGCATTTAATTAATGACCACAGTTTGCAAAAAGGTTCATGGCTACGCAAATAACGTGAACCGACAACTTCCAGCCCGACTTGCACCATGTTCTTGCTCCAGAGAAAATGTTCAAAATTTTTTCAAAATAAAGCAGAGCATGATTGCTATTTCATTTAACTATAGCTGCCGAACGCCGTGAACTATTCCTGCAAGGAGATCTCGTCGCTGAGATGAATACGCTGACGGCAAAAATTAAATGACTCCTTCAAAATGACCTTGCGTATTGATACCATTATTGCCTGACACCCTCATTATTCTTGCTACAATCCTGATTCTCTTGATCATTCACCATGCAAATTATAAGGTCTCGGCGTCCTTGGTCGAAACTCCGGCGCAATATCCTCTCCCAACCCCTCCTCCTCCTGTGTCGCACTCTCCGCTGCACTGTGACCCACCCACACCGGCCTGCTATCCTGTGCTGCTTCTCCCGTAGCTTGAGTACCCTCATGTTTCACCTCTTCCCACGATTCATCGCTTCTGTTATCCTCATCGCCCTTTTGTTTCGCGCGTGTGTCCTCGTGAGGACTGACTGGTTCCGCAGTACCATTACCTTCGCTACCAGTTTCGACTTTCATGCTGTCTGGTGTAGAAATTGGACTGTCGCGATGCTCATCGCCGACTTTGAGTCGGTGAACGTCAGGCTGTGAGGGTTTGACCCTTTCGGCTGAGGTGAAATCACCGGGCATGGTCTCTCCTTGAGGTTTGGAAGAGCCAGTTGGCATGGGCGTACTATCTGAATCTGAAGACATTCTGCTTGGATGTCAGGTTTTTTACTTTTATTCTTGAATAGATGGAGCAAGTTTGAAAATTTCGTGTTGTAGAAGTAATTTTTCGAAAACAAAGAATTGCAGAGATGGCTTGGTGAGGGGTTATGACGAAATCGAAATCAGGTCACAACAAAGGTTGTTGCCTCGGATCAACTATATTAAAGCCAAGAAATAAAATGATTGGATAATATTCGCTAGAACCTCAATTTGATTTGCTAAATTTGAAATTCTGCAGCCACAATAAAATCTCATGACTACTCCGCAAAACATTCCTAAACCTTCCATAACCGACATTGAATTCGAGGACATAAGCACTTATCATATCTTGGAAAGTCACGCCACTTCCAGAAAAAAGTATACGTCGCCGTATCCAAGCTATCCAGTGCGCGACGGAAATGAAGAAACTACCAAAGGATGTATGTTCGAAGCAAGGAGGTAGGTAACTCGACGGTGCCAGACCTTTAATACTAAATTTTCAGGCTCCGACTGTAGTGCGTGCTCCGCGTATAATCGATTTTCTTTTGAGTCGATCCAAATGTAGCATAGGGATCAAATCGCATGTTGGCTGAGGTCGAGTGGCCAAAGTGGTGACCGTTGAAACCCAAATCATAGGACTCTTGAACCTGCTATTACGTTTGGCCAGTAGCCAGTAGCAGCCGGGGAACAGGATGAATTCAGATATCTTCGTTCCCGAAAATGCCTGCTATGAAACCATGAAGTCACTACTGAGCTAGTCACCGATAATCCTGGTAGCATTGTATCTCTCTAATTAAGAAATACGCCAAGTGGTGCCTGGCGGAACTCCTTCGACATGCGTCCATACTCATCAATCCTAACAGTATTTCGGGGGAGACTGCATGTGCTAGGGATTGGCTGGGCCCTGCATAAGCTATTCCCAAGTTCCCAGCTCTACCTTTCATGCGCCAGTCCTATTGACCAGGAACGTTGCTGTTTGTCTTCACGATTGAATCGCAGGCCACCAGGTATTACCAAGTGTAAAAACCTGCATATGCGGGATCAATATGAGAAACACTTCGGAACGCCGCTCTAACTTAATTTTAGCATAGTACATCACTGTAAGTCTCATTTATTATCCAATTTAACCTGTAGTAACTCGCCCGGATACTTGGGCACTGGGCCTGCCTTGTGTTCTAGAATATGGTGAGATGGCTCATACTCAGTGAAAACAGCGTTCTGGAATTGCAACTTTGCTTGGCTTACGATAGCAGTCGCTGGCCAGGAATAGCACCATTCGCATTGATGGCATTGATGAATATTCTGGCAACCCCGTGTCCAACCACTCGGCGAAAGTGACAGGAACCGGCACCACTACGCCTCACATAGCTGAAATCCACATCAGGATGAAAGGAGATGGTATCTGCCCTGACTGTCTGGAATACCATAGAGAATTTCCGAAGCAAATGGAAGATAGATCCGATACTGGTGATGATATCAACAGTTTTAGTTCCTAAAATATCTTGCTCTAGATGATATTTGAGCCATGGGCATTGGCGGCTGAAAGAGATACAGTATGCCGCACTCCATAATGGCCATCGAAGAACAGCTTGTCTTTCGCGTCTGTCCTGTCCTCAAGGCTTTGGCATCCTGATTTTTTTATATATAGCATTTTCGGGCAACAATGAAGAGCTTTCTCCGCCAGTATGGAAGATCGGAACGGTGTAAGATCTATGAATGACTTGGCTACCGTTCGCTGTAATCTTGCCGTTATTGAGCGATGACCCCGCCATGCGATGTTCACACAATTACCCGGAATATCCTTTACCCCATGAATTAACAGATCGTCTAATTTTCACCAAATAGCTTTACGAATGGAACTTTCCATACAAAACCATTTCATAAACACAGCAAATAGTTCCAGGGGTTCCAGAACCAAAATTCTTTTATCCTTCATGAGCTACGGTTGCTCCCTCGCAAATCCACATTTTGACAACGCTCTTGGATTACTCGGTATGGCCAGCAGACCTGTCTGCACTTTATCAGTCACTTCTAGCACATTGACACTCGAATAATCGCTGCGGCCTGCATATAGACAAGATACGAGGGGAAACTGCCTATGGACATCCCAAATCTGCAGATGTATAGTTTGGCAATGGCAATTGAGATGTGCCATCTTACCTGCAAATTCCTGCTCGAAAGGTCAGGTACTTTCCCGTCTCTCGGTTTTGCCATTCCCAGAAATATTTAATTATTTCCAGTACTTCACTGTGGATTGGACTTGTTCTTTCTATCGACCCATTGCCACCCGCTAGATCTACTTGCAATGGAATGAACAGTTTCTTTTGCAAAAAATTGTTCAAGCTCGTACGCGGATCATTAAAGTCCCCATTATCAAGATGTATTAGACTATAAGAGAGTGACTTCCGCTGTTTGTATCGAGTTTGAACATGCAAGCACCTTGGTGGTGAAGATTTTGTTTAGTACGTGTTCTCGTTTTGCTGGATTAGTCATCCATCTTTCCTTCCTCCCACCATTGGATTAATAGCTTGTCTCTTAAGCTTTCAACACCAAACTAATGAGTATGTCTATCCAAAGACTAGAAATAACTCGAGACCCATATTTTTGGAATTATTTAGACTTCCTTATCTTTAAGGACCTTTCTACGTACAATTTTCCTGCGACTCGACAAGGATATCAGCAAACTCGACTTCGGTTCGATTGATATCCGACATGGGATTTCTATTGATACATGATCAATTGTTTGGAGAACACAAAACTGTATTCGGGACATAGCATCTCTTTGGATATTCCTTGTTGATCAATCCACATGTCAAGCTGATCATCGAACTCCATTTCGACCAGAAAGAAGCATTATCGATTTAATGAACTGGGACTACAGAAGCCTAAGCTCTGCAATCAACTCAACTTTCAATATTCATAGAGAGTCCTCATGTCTCGATTATCATCGTCGCATCATTTGCAGAGTGGCAATCAAGCTTCAAAAATGCTTTCCCATAATGTGCATTAACTGGAATACAATATATACGTCTAATCAAGCGAGGCATAATTATTAACATCTGGGCGCGAAACCCTTCCTTCGGAGCTCAATTCCCCTAGGGAGCGTGGCCTGCCATTCTAGATCTGCCCTCTTGTTTCGGGCTCTCCACATAACCACTCCCCAACAGGCTAGATTTATTCCACCTGTATAAGACATTGCGTACGCCAGCGCCAAAAGTGCTCTTCCCCTATGCGCTTGTATCCCTGTTGTATCATCCGCTGATGTAAAAGCTTCGTAAAGCCCCCGTTCCCAAAGAAAGTTGCAAATCATACTGATCAAGCAAAGAATCGCTATTCCCTAAATTTTTCAGAGGCCAAAAAGACTGGAAGATATGCCACTCCAAGGGGACATCTCACCATGATTGGAATTGCAGTCCACTCCTTCAGAAAGTTTCTGAGATACTTAATGCGGGTTACAGATGCTCTTCTCATTTCTGTACCTGATCGCCTCAAGATAGCAACGCATAGCTCGGCACACCAGTTAATGATTGCCAAGTTGACCAGGATATAGATGCAAATACTGGCAATAGCAGACGAGGCAAGCGCGAAATTCAAAGATGTAGACCTGCTGCTCCTCTGTAATCGATTCTTCAGATCTTGAGGAAATTGGATTAAGGTGTCGTTCTTGAGCTTCGAGAAGTCTCGGTTGCCAGATGCCGCAGAAAACTGTTTCGTGTCCGCCAAGTCATCAGATTCCATGGCGTAGTTCTCTGAGTAATAACTCAAGTGGTAAAAGTAATAGAAATCGTGGAGAGAGCCTGCTTCATTTTCTGGCAAAGCTTTGAAGGCTCGCATATCGAGAGTTAGAGCGGGAGGTGCCCAAAATGTCATCATCAGAGTTAAAACGAACAAAACCAAAGTCATTGCAACGGAAAAATGATAAGACCTCCTGTCCAGGTATGTGAAAAATGACGATTGCATGATGGATAAACGCTCGTGAAATAATAATGCGATGCCGCTGTGGTCGAGCATGAGAGACGTTCAATTTGAACCAAAGAGATATGAGTTTCTGTCTGATTCACATTCCACCAGTGACCCATGGGAGATTGTTTTGTGGATTAATCAAATAGTCGTATAGGTACCACAAGGTAATGCTCAAAATCGGATGAAAACAAGCTCTCGCATATCTGAAATTTGAACGGGCTTTGTGAGTGTTGGAGTAGCTTTTCAAGAGCGTGATACTCGTAAGACAAACAGCTTGTTGCTTTCCAAGATCTATAAAACTGATAATCTAGGCCATGATAGGAAATGTGGTGTGTACTCAATCCTCAATGTCTATCCTGAGTTTGGATGGCCGTGCCTCAGTGGTTCAACTCATCTTAACGTCGATAGCTAATTATTCAGCTTTATCTCGAACAAAGGTTTCAGTACAGGCTGTAAAGCTAGCATCTTCTGAATGTTCACATGGAGCAAGAATCGATGAGAGACAGCTACTTCATCTCATGCCAAAGTGATTTCTCTGGTTTATTTTTGCTTTTATAAGTCCTCCCTCAAAACGTTGCACGCGGAGCGAGATTACTCGTCTGAGTATGTAGCTGCCAACTTTAGTAACCTTCCTAATCTAGGGTTCTTCCAATTGGCTGTATGGTTCTGTCATCCGTATGCTCAAGATTTGACAGCAGGATAATCCGAGGCCAGCGAATATGCTAACTGTCAAGATGGATGTATACCTCTGTTATATTCAAATCCATAACGTCTTGATAGAAGTCATGGACCCGTTACTAAGTTGATGTGGCGGTTTGCTCTCCACCAAAACGCCTAGTATCAATGCCAATAAATTTCTGAAGAAATATACTTGGATGGTCCCGTGTAACTAACTCTACATTGAATGATTGGAGAACGATATATAGGTATTGGACCAGTAAGTCTAATTGTTTCAACCATGAAAAGCTCTGTTCAGTCGTGTTGTATGCCGATTTGATGATGATGATGATATTAAGAAAGGCAAGTCTCGTTGCTACAGGGTTCTACTCCACGACTTGAAGTTTCGAAACGTTCGCAGAGCCCGCTAAGCCTAGATAGTCTTAGCATGAAAATCCCACCACTCACCGCCAGCTACGTTGACAGCAGACCCATCGTCGACAGCCCATTTTTGCATAAATCACAAATATGTTCACATAATGGAGTTAATGCTATTGATAACTTAAGAGGGGCGACTTATCAATAATCTTCACAATCATCTATCGGGGCTGTGAGGAAAAGCACCTCATCACGGGGACTGCCAACCTCAATTGGACTTTTTATATCTCTCACCAGAACCTTTAAAGCTCCCACCGCATCATGATTACTTGATGACTCTTCATAGGGGGGAATATTAGTTCTGCCACTTCCTCTATAGTATTTTATTCGATTCTTCTTTGCACTCACTTCACACATATATATCCGCCCTGGAGGTTGGCCGTGAGTCTTACCAGTCCTCGAACACTCAATTGATATTGATATTGATACCTAACAGTACTTTTTCATATTTCTTTCTCAAGATACCCTTACGTCCTATCTACTTTCATTCGTTTACGACAGAATATCTTAAGATAAACGGTTCACAAAGCATCGCATCAACGCGAGTCGAATTACAAGATGGGACTCGAGAAGCTCTTCGCTGTCGCAGCGCCTAAGAAAGCATCGTCCAAGCCACCGTCCAATGGAACATCCGTAGCGCCAATGTATCTTGAGCAAATATTCCGATTCCCTGGAGTTCTAACAGAAGTTTCATGCGTTGTCAAGAATCTATCAGAAGGCTATACAACATATCAAAATGGGGCGGCACTTAGAAATCAACTCGAATCCGTTGTGCCGGAGGTGCAAACGTTTGCGTCGGGGATGAACCGATATTTGAAGAATAAAAACTGGTTGGACTTATTTCAAACATTCTTGGTGGGAGCAAATGTTGTTGCTGCTTTCATGGAAGTACTACAGGGTTCATCTGGTCTCGAAGAAATTGGATTGAAGATTTACGGCGAGCTTGAAGCGCAGACGGGTCTTGCTGCCCCAGATAAGTTTGCGAAGCATGTCGACAAATACATCCGAAAAGAGGCCTCGAGTGTCTATGGAGGCGATGCTGAGCATCTCTATTTCCTCTATCACCCGGATACTGATTGGCACGGCGAGTTCCACGATATCGTTCAGAACAAACCTGTGCCGAGCAATTTTGTTGGCATGTCTGAAAACCTTCACGCTCTGTGCACCTGGATGTTATTTATGCGGAAGCGACTCGACAGATCACGAATCAATGCGCATTTTCATCTTCTGATTCCTGCATACAGACCCATGGTCGTCAGAACGGCTTTCGTCTTCCCTGAAGAATTGTACCCTTTGACAGTCCGCGGACACATTCACAATTCGAAAGAATATGTCTGGCTAAATCTTCCTACAATGAAAGATGTTCCTGCTGACTTGTTCGAAATGTCAAACGTGGGAAATATTGCAACTTTGCCCAAGCCACCTGCATTATGGCAGCATGCTCTGACTTGGGTTGGAAGTATGATAATGCCGAGAAAAGAGCCACCTCCGATAATTCTTGGAAGGGGAAACGTAAATCCAAATGCTCCTATCTCGTTAGAGGACAATGAAGACGAAAAGGTCGCAGCTCCTGAGGATATCATCATTCAACCTGAAACGCGACAGGTGATAAGAGGGGAGAAGAGGCGAAAGCATCGAAGTTCACGACCGAGGAGTGATCTCAAATAGCATCCGGATTTTATGGCTACGTGAGGCACTGGAATACGTTGCCCATATTCCAATTGCATTTTAAATTATGTTTGGGGCATTGAAATGATTTTCATGGGAGGAAATTTGATATTTGTGGAGATACTGATGGGAAGAGAAAGGATGGGCAAGAGTGATCAATAGGATACCAATATAACGGAATGGATTAGGATGGGAGGGCATTTGTTGATTTTTGCTTGGATAGCTGCTGCATGGTGGAATTGGCGCTGATTTGGAGTATTAGACGAATGAAATAAATAGATTCATGAAATGACCCTCGTAATATTACATTTTTGATATTCTGCTACATGATACTATGCCCTATTAGCTATAAATTTACTAGATAATATCCCTACGCAAGTCGAATGTTGATGACATATATACGCTGAATGATGATGTCATAAAATGGTAATAATACAACGCATGGGAAGTCCCCAATAAAGAAAATATACTAGATTTACTTGAAGATTGGAAGCCCTGTATAGAAAGGAAAGGAAGTGAAGTTTTATCCGCCCAACTAAAAGTTTCATCTCACTCATAATGAAAATATTTTTCAGCTCAATTTGGTAGGAATTGGTCATGGGAAGCTAAGCAAGTCCTCAAGGAGTTGTATAATTTTTGGATTGTTTGTGTCTGCCATAGGCTAGATCATGAAATCTATTATCTATTATCTTAGATATCTAGATGTTCGTTTATGTTTGTATAGATGAAGCTATATTTATTGTATATTATATAGATATATGTCTCTCGGGAAGTGGGGAAGTGGGGAAGGAGTTTGTTTATCTTGGAAAATGAATAAAAGGGTAAATAAAAACGTGAATTAATAATGTATGCAAAGTTAATCCCTCTCTTTTTTTTTTGGTAAGGATTAGATCATTGTGATGTTAGGGATATTGATGGTGTCGTTTTCCGTGGTAGATGGAGCGATAGATAGAGTAGTTGGTGAATTATAGACTAGTAGTAGAAGAAAATGGTTTTATTATTTATGTTAATGTAAGATATTAGAGTCTATGTAAAGAGAGCAATGGATATAATGTAAGATTAGCTAGCTAACAGGAATCTTTTCATTTATTACTCAGAAGGAGAAAAGAGGAGATTGCTTTGAAGTGTCATAAAATAATACTCATTCCTCCACAAGGTATTTATTAATTGAAAGAGGGGTCTGGATTTAGGGAGATCGATACATCCTTTTATTGCCCCTGATAATTAATAGAATGTGGTGGAACGGATGAGATTTATCGAAAACTGTTGGTTCCGAATATATAATTAATTAAGCATTTACTTATACTTGTTTTAATTATATTGAATGATTTATCTATTCTGCAAGTATTGGCATTGTGCGTATATCCATCATTTTCAGACGTTAAGGTTAGATTTGTTTTTCGCTTACAGTAAGTAGTTCAGGAAATTTTACTTAATTAAATGGATTAGACAAGTATTCAAAAATATTTGTGCTATTGCATTCTAGTATGCTTTGGTTTGCTAAAACTACTATCCCTTTACGGAGACTACTTCGAGAGCTAAAGATGTTTAACTGTTCTTGACAAGTTTCTTGACATAGTCGAGTGACTAGTAGATGGCTATCATGATTCTACCCCCCAGGTGGTTCTGGACAATTTACTTTTTTCACAAGGCCATGGCACAAATACAATGAACATGGTTTTTGCAAATGCTCAAATGCTCATTATGCTTTGTTCTAAACTACCCTCGTCTGACACACCTATCTTTCCTTTCTCGTGCACCCTGAATCAACGATACCTCCTCTACTAGGGATGTCATCACCGTAGCTAGTATATCATCGCTGCTTTTTACGTGGTGATCTCCTAAGCTCCCGTTTTCGAACACCCTCAGGCTCAGAGGCTGAACTAGGCTGAAGATTCGGCAGTCCAGAGGTCTCAGCATTGCCCAGCTTTGCAAAATCAGTAGTCCCGCCCTTCCCTTTAGTCTGTTTCTTTGGCGAATCTTGAATACTTTCCGACTCCATGTCTTCAATACTCTTCAGATCTTCTTGCATAGGAGAGTGGACAATTCCCGATGGTTTTCTAGTTGCTGTAGGAGTACTACTCGTCTTGGGCTCTTTCTCTTCACGTTCTTTCTCTTCTTCCGGTGCTTCGTCCATCTCTGCGTTTTTGAGTTCGTAGAAAATCTCCCTTGATAAATTTGACATCAGTACGATGAAGCAATGCAGAGTTTCGTTTCATATTTTGAGAGGCTAGATGCTATCTCGACTTGGTTGCAGCAGTGCTAAACTAAGGTCTGAGCCGCACTAACAGATGAAAATAAATCTAAATGATCACTTACCTCACACACTCCTCACAAATTCTAGACTGTATTTTCCGTAACTCAACTTCTTCAAAGCCTATTGCGGCGCTATATTGGCAACTTGACATGTCAACTCCTTGCTGCCATTTGTAACAAGGGACACGGGTGCTGAGTTTAGATGAATCGTGACCTCGTGCGCACGTCTCAACCTTATAGTGGCACATGGTGGCTTGATAACGATCAGTCGATTTTTTTGTAGATAGAAAGTTGGGATATTATGATTGGGAACCAATGCCAAAAACGGTGTTTAATATATACTTTACTAGGAAGAAAGGAGATATGGGATATGGTAATTTCTCGAAATTTTATTCTGTTTTCAAAGGTGTGACTTCAAAGATAGAAAGCCAGCCGGCGTTTTCTTTATGTCCATTCAGGATTGATTTGTGCGAAACTTTAGAGTTGAAAGCTACTTGGGGGAATATCTCATTCAAAGACCATATGCAGTAGTAGAATGGCCTAATAATCATTTATTCTAATGAAAATAATATGTTTAGATGGATAATTGCAGTCTTTTTTCATTTTTCATTTTTGCCTCAATGAATAGTTAATAAGAACCTTCTCACCCGCTATTACAATGAAATTCATGAAACTATTCAGATCCCTTAGTAAATCTAGTTCGTTCTATCATTTGAAATAAGATTTCAAGACTTACAACCAGGTCTCAGGATATTTTGCTCAAGGGGTTCACTAAATCATTGATTAAGAAGCTAATGATTATTGCGTTGAGTTTCGACTTTCCCAGGAGTTCGACGAGCGGTATTAATTACCTTATAGCGAGGAATGATGCAGGGTGGAAGATCTAGGAATTGGTAGAACCTCACTAAATCACTCCTGGACTACTCAATATTACCGCAGAACCCTTTCAAACTATAATTAAGGCTTTCATTCTTCAATAACAATTCTCTATCTAATTTGTTCGAAATAACCCCCCTATACTAATCTATATATCAATTTTCTTTTACTTTTAAATTATTGATTAACTATCAAAAAAAAAATTTCCCATTGATAGATGTACATCCATTCAACGAGCGAAAAAGGAGAACTTTGATACTACATAATAACTAAATGAATATTTTACAATTACCCCAAATTAGTATCTATTTTATATTTTGGAATGATTCGGATTTCCATATCTACTGTTGTTTACCACTAGATAATATTTGCTCAGGTCTATCTACAGTACGTCTAATCATATTCGTTTTTCTTGCTACTCATTCCCCCCTATCAACACTTTCATCAGATTCCCGAACCTTTAAACGTTTAAAAGTTTGGGACCTGGATGAAAGATAACATTGATGAAATACTGTGTGTCTGTAAATGTACAATAACCTTTCTATAATACCTTCCCATACGTTGGTTGTCTTGCGGCCAGAACACCAAGGCATATTTTGAAAGTGGAGATGGAGTTTAGCACGCCGATACGATCACAGTCAAATCCTCGCCGTTTCGATACGGGGCGATTACCTCCCCATTTCTATGCCGCTTGTGCTACTCTGCTAATGTCTTCCTGTTATTCCATCGGCGAAAGACTTTATATAAGTAGCTAATTTTCGAATAGTTAACATGAAGATGCCGGCTAAAATCTTTCGTCCCTAGATATTCCTCGCACCATCTATTCAGATTTACGCTTTACTAAACTATATGAAGCCATAACCTAGATTCTCCTCTCGTGATGGAATATCTAGAATTCTGTTAGATTATTCATTATTATGATTGTTATCTCCCATGACATTATCCCCTTCAGAGATCTGTACTACCACTGCTGTTATCTCAATAGTGCCAGTCATCAAGCATTACAATTTCCTATCCCCAGAACTCTATAATGGCATAAAATAACTAGCAGAGATATTAATCAATTGAAATCTAGACATTTAGGCCCAGCCACCGGTCGGCCCACCATTCCTCTCGGTATAGACATATCTTCCTTCCAACACCGACCATCAATACAGATCTTATACCCTAAAATCCACCCAGCACATCTCCCCTCATTAAGAACTAGGAATCAAGAACTAAGACAAAAAGAATACAAATATGATATACATAAACAGCAAGGATACCGCCCACAACAAATTGTCATCCAACATAAATTCCATTCCATATCTATGGTAAGGACCAATTCATCTCACGATATTGCAAAGATAGGATGAAAGAAATTGCTTTAGTAAGATCTTCTAAAGATTCGTTCTTATGAGAACGCTAAGGTAAGATTAGAAGCGCATGCGCAGAACCCGAGGTGGAAGTTGCGTATTTTGTGAGATATTCTTTATTTTTCTCTCGGGAAGTTGGACATGGGAAGATGGAGAATGATGATTTGTGAAATAATAGATAATTAAATGATTATTGATATAAATAAACACATGTTGATTTGAAAATTAATACTAACGCACGACCGACCATACCAATCTCTCCAAAGAATAACACAACATAATAATATCCCAAGGGCCAATATTATAACTCTCAATTATATAGTCAAAATCATGTTCATATCCGCGAACCATAGAGCACTTGTCATTATGTAAATCTTACACCACAAATACATTTCCAGCTCTCAGCCTCCTACTTTCGATACCCAATCTTTCAATAACTAAGCAGGTTCAAGCTAGTCTGAGTAAGAAAATGGAAAATGTCAAACTTTAAGCTTTTGAGGAAGATTATGCCTGTATATCATGTGTGTCTGCTTTTGTGAGGTTGGCTAGAACCGTAAACGACAAAACTCTTCTTCAATTAAAGAGTGGTGGGAATATATATCTGTGAAACATAGATTCCATATACAGAATGAACAGTGAAATGAACTATCATATCTTGATTGAGTAACAACAGAAGTGAGAACTACTCAGCCTCTTGAGAAGCAGCCGTGAAAAGTCACCAGTTCATAGTTGATCACCAGAGGCTGAAAGACATCGGGACTTGCCGATTACCTTAGCCCTGTTTCATAGTGGAGGAGAAAGCAGATGAGAACTCATGTGGAATGCCTCACATTCTTCATGATCAATGGGCAAAGAATATATCGATAGATGATATACGACATCATCCTGACATGACCGACCGTGTAGCTGGAATTTAAACTGATGTTTCCGCGAGGCGGAGTGAGTGGTGGATACAGTACAGTACAGTACCGCATGAATTTCCCTCCGTAGGCGACACAGAATCCATCCAATGAGATAAGGTTATACTTATCCACAACAGCAAGCACAGCCTTAAGCACTGGTGCACCCAAATCCCGAGGATATCTCGAGGTTAAACCAGCAGCCTTATTATACTTTTAAAGCAGGAGAGAGAGTACCAACATTGACATTGGGCATTGTAACGAGAGTAATTTTATCAGGTCATATGTACGCTAGTTTAGTTTAGATCTAGTGCTGATCCGGGTATAAATACCCTGTCAGTTCTATTCTTCAATCTACACCCTTACCCTCTAAAACTACTCGCTTTTCTGGCATATATCGATCTAAAAGCATAAAACTTTAGGTTCACTGGTAATTAATTACACGGATTGCTCGCAGGCTATGGTTCTACTCGGTCTTCTCCCGATACTGTTCTATTTTCTATCTTCTGAAACTTAGCCTGTGAATAGGTATCATTTATGTGCAATCTTTCATAGGTAGGTAGGTTTCTCAAGCCTCGAAACGCCTTTTCTTATTTGACCGCTAAGGTGGCGGGTGAAGTGCTTGGTTATTACATTCTAGCTGGGCATTGGGGTGTGATTTGTTATGCGATGCGCTTGTTCCGTTTGCTCGTGGCGCAGTTGCATCAACTAACTACTTGGTATCTTCACATACGGAGGATGCGGCTCTGTTGGAGGCTGAGGGATATATACGGGAAACTAGTTACTCATGAATATGACAAGTTGTAAGATAGATAGGGTTGTTGGATGATTTTGTACGGAGGAGAGTTGTATAGGAAGTTGGATGGAAATACAGATCAGAGTGCTCTGTAATTGTTTGGTAAATGTACGAGTGCGTCATCGTCATCCATTCGGCTTTTTTGGGCCAAAGTTGGTCATTTTTTGCAGGGGTTAGCCAAAAAAAGGACTGCTGCAACATTATGATAAGATTAAGGTTAATATGTGAAGAATGAATGATTGATTGAACATTCGAGAGGCTGGGAGAAATGAAAAGAACAATATAATAAAACTTATAGTCAAATATTAATACAATAACTGATTAGCAGATGGGATTGTCCAGTCAGTACTTGAGTCATACTGATCAGATACCTACCTACATAGTCATCCTTTTGAAATCATCATTCATCATACCCAACATTCCTCCGAGGTGACTTGTGTATTGATGCAGTCTTAAAATGCTTCATGAGGTGGTATCACGCGTCCTTGGAATTTCGGAATGGTTGTCACGGTTCCCTGAAGAAAATAACCCAATGACAAACCAATCCTAGCGCTACGAATTGCGAATTATCTTCCAATACGAAGTAGGTAGATAGCTAGATAGGTACCCAAGGAGGAGTCTTAGACGCCCGAGAGACATCTCTGATCTCTGTCTGTCTGTGATTATGGAATTTCTTTCTGTAGAGTTGTGCATTCCAGAAAAAAAGCTTGACTTCGCCCAAGTCCATTTATGTACACTGACGCAAATTTCATGTCCACTTTCCATCCAAAGTCCCCGCAAATCATAATCGCTTGACCCTCCCCGTCCAATTACTAGATAATTTAAAGAATCACCCCTCACTGTCGAACGATTCTGATCAGCGTCATCGGAAGATTTCATTCTTCATTCCCTAGCAAATAAACCTATATAAATATTCTTCCGTGCCACGGGATGTATTCTTACATATAAACCCATTGGCGCATGAGGCGGTGGAACCAACCAACCACACACACACAAATCCTAATCGCTGCAACCTATTCACTCGAAAGGTCGTGTCAGGAGGGGCAACAGGAAGACAGCGCCCAAAGCATCAGCAAAGCCTCGATCGAACAGGGCTATTCTTCCCATCTTCCAAGTAATCCTTCAACTCCCCCCAACCCCCACCAACAAAAAACAACTTCTTTTCTTATTATTTTATCAATTTTTTTACAACCTACGAATCTAATCACAACACATATTCACTTGTCTACGAAAAACAGACACAATTTACCCTTACTTTTTGGCAATAACAACAGGGTAGCTAGAACAAAATGCCTGAAAGAGTTGTTCGCAGCTCTTATCATGACCGAGAGGTCGACTACTATTCCTCCGATGAAGACCGGTCTTCCTATGGTCGGTCCAAAGCAAATGGTAGCACTTATCGCACTGTCCAACGCTATCGAGTCGCACCAAGTCGAGGTGAGGAAGTAGATGATACTCGATCCGTTCGTTCTTCTCATCGAGAGTACGAAAATCGACAAGGAGATCGAATCGAAGTGGATCGTCGAGTCGAAATTGATCGCGAACGTGAACGATATGATCCAGAGCCACGACGAACCGAGCGCATCGAGGTGGACAGAAGAGTTGAGGTTGATCGCGAGCGATATGAACCCGAAAGACCCCGATCATCTATCGATTATGACCGAGCTGTCGAATACCAGAGAACTACCGTTGAGCGAGCCAGAGAACCCGAGCGTGAACGAGACCGCACTAGAACAGTAGTTTATGAGCGGGAGCGGGAACGTAGTGGTAGCCCCTTGCCTTGGGAACGGCACCGCAATGATAGACCATGGGAAACGGAACGAGATGTCCGGGAAACCCGCGAGACCGATGTTACAGTCGAGAAAACAATAGCTCGACGTCATAATGAACCATATGAACTCGAAAGATACTCGCGAGAAACAGAATACTATGATATACCTGAACCTACCCCGCCACCAATTATCATTCGTCAAAGAGCCCCGGAACCTCAACAAATTATTGTTCAAGAAGCGCCAAGCCCCGCCCCAATTATTATACCACAACCTGCATCAGAACAACAACGTATTGAGGTTATTGAAAGAAAGACGGAAGTGCAACAGGAAATTGTTCCACGACCAGACCCACGCAGGGAAGAAGATGAATACTATTATCGCAGAGATGTTCGTGAGATCAGTGGAAGAAGAGACAATGAAATGGCTGCTTATGATCGCCGAGATAGTCGTTACGATGATGGATACGAAAGTGAAGACTATGTCGTACGAAAGAAGGTTGTCAAAAGAGAAGCGCGCAGCCGTAGTCATAGTCCTCATCATAGAAGACATTTGGCCGAAGGTGCTCTAGCTGGGGCTGGTGCAGCTGCTTTGTTAGCCAACCATAGGGAAAAGCAAGGAGTTGAAACAGCTCGTGGCAGATCAGTCATTGGTGGGGCTGCTTTGGGTGCGATCGGTGCTGAAGTAGTTACAAGAGCACGCAGCCGATATCGCGATAGTCGAGAAGATCGAAGTAGATCAAGATCAAGCAGTCCACATGGTCATCATAAATTGAAGACTGCCCTTGGTCTTGCTGCTGCTGCGATTGCCGCTGGAGCTGCTGTTAAGTATGCCCAAAATCGATCTGCAAACAAGGAAGAGCTAGTTCGTGGTCGAAGCCGACAAAGAAGTATGTCTCATGGTCGACGATATTCTGATGGGGATGAATATTGGTCCGACGAGGTGTACGAAAAGCGTACTATACGAACACGGACGGGAAGCAGGAGCAGGAGTAGGAGCAAGAGCGTACATGCTGATCCAGCACACCGTAAGAAGTCTATGGCAAAGGCTGGGGCTGGAGCTGCTATAGCCGTTGGTGTTGCTGAGCACTTCCGAAACAAATCTCGCAAACGTAGTGGGCAAAGATCTCAGTCACGAGTACGAACTGCTGCGGAAATTGCTGGATCGGGTCTAGCAGGTGCTGCGGTAGCCGGATTATACGAGAATAGAAAAGCTAAGAAGGCAGCTGGCGAAGATGAGGAGGTTGTGAGACGAGAGAGAGTGAGGAGTAGAACTAGGAGCAGAACTAGAAGCAGGTCGAGAGCCAGATCTACTGGAGTATATTCTGATCCAGGTGTTGACCCAGAATTAGGCATGGTTCAGTACGGTACTGAACCCGTACACACGCACCAGCAGCCGGCACCATACGATCGAGCCAACGAACACGATTCAGCTGTCGCGGCGGCCGCAGCTGGAGCTGCTTACGGTGCTTCCAGACGTAGTCGAAGTCGATCCCGTCAACGAAAACGAGACTCATCGAGCGACGATGAAAAACGACCACGATCGCGAAGTAGAAGCCGGAGCAGAGTCAGAGATCTAGCTGCTGGTGCGTTGGGTACGGGTGCGGCCGCTATTGGGATCGATCAATACAGAAAAAGAAAAGAGAAGAAGGAAAAGAAAGAGAAAGAGAGAGAGAAAAAGGACGCAGAAAAGCATGAGCGTGAGCGCGAACGAAGACGTGAGGACCCCCAGCACTCAAGATCAAGTTCCCGGTCGGTATCACCGTCGGCAATAAGATCGTCTTTATCCAAAAGATTTTCGAATCTCATTCCTAAAACCCCTCAATGATTATGTATTTTCATTTTCATTTTCATTTTCATTTTCATGTCTCTAGGTACTTCAAATATTTGTCAAAATCATTTGTTCGAGTGGCTCGACATCATGTATCTCTTTCTTTCATACTAACATACATTTTTTAATCAGGCTATGAAGACGAAGCATCACCTGAAAGTTACTACACAAATTTCCGTGATGATACATACTCTCCTTCGCCGCCTCACGCTTCCGGTGGTTCATACTATCCTGACAACAATCAATTTCCACCGCCTCCTACCTCAGCCCCACAGGGTTTTACCCGTCATGGAAATCAATCTACACCTTTTGTTAATGAAATACCTCCTATTCCTCCTTACAATCCTCAAGATTATGCAGGTCGACGTCCTAGTACTCATGAACCTCATGCCAATTACCCACCTTACCCACCTTCATCCAGAATTCCTGGTGACAATGTGAGTACTTATCAATCTTCGAACTCTGAACCTCTTATGACAGTACCTCCCCACACAAGAGATGAATCTTATTTCCCTATTCATGAAACCTCTCCACCTAAAACTGATCATGTTTACGACCGGGAGGGTGCGTCTTGCTTCTAATATCTCTTTCCTTCCGTACAGCATATGCTCGTAAATTCATCGATGTACTAATATATATGCCTCAACAGATCGTCTAAACAACTCAACGCCTACACCGCCCGTGACCCCAATTGACGCTAACCCTTCCAACAAATCCGTCATGTTCGCCCCTCTATCCCCTACCTCTTCCCGTCGCTTAGAACGTATCCGCAATTCTAAAGCAGATCCATCGACCTCCACTGTCAATACTTATGAGCAACCGAACCCATCTTCTGACCGTCGTTATCGCAGGAGAAGAAGGAACAACTCAGATCCTTCGTCTGATCGTCCTTCAAGGCCCCGTAAACATCCAAAGCATAGGAGTGGAAAAAGTAGTGATCAAAGTGCTAGTGAGAAGAGTGAGGCAAGCGATGAGGATGTTGAAGTGCTACCGGAAAGGTATGATAGAGAAGGGAAAGCTTTAGATAGGGATGCTAGTAGAGAGAGGGATATAGCGAAAGAATTTGGTGGTGGAAATGAAATTGTTGAGAGGGTTGTGAGGGGTGTTGGTGAAGTTGTTGCGGGTAAACAATCGTGGGGAGATTTATTGATGGGGTTTGTTAAGGAGGGAGGATTAGCTGGTGGTTCGGCTACGGATTTATCGGCTGATGAGAGGGAAAGGGAGAGGGGCAAATCTAGGGATCGGGGAAGGAAGGACAAGAGGAGTAGGAGTAGAGGGGGAGAAAGGGATTATTAGTATCTCCTGGGTACATACACGGGTTGGATCTCGGAGTTGTGATTTCTTTTCATATTTTTTTTTATCTTTTTCTTTTTTGATCTTTTCATTCCCCCGAGATGAATGATATGGCTAATGATTTTACGGCCGAGAAAATACCATACATACCATCAATATTTTTTTTTTTTCTGCTTTTGAGTTTTAGTTTTAGTTTTTTTTGTTTGCTTGTTTGTTTGTCTCTTTCTGCATTAGTTTTCTCTGGTTGGATTTTATGGATGGGATTTTCTGCATTGGATTTTATTTTATTTTTTCACGCCTTTTCATGATTATGGTTATGATTATGAGTATGATATCTTCATTTCATATTGTTTCATTATCATTTTGGTGGATGGATGGATGGGTGGGTGATGGCCTATGATGTGATGCGGAAATGGGAAATGGGAAATTGATACGAATTTTTTATTTCTTTTGTTGATGGGGATACCCCGATTGGATACGACACGACGGGTTGCAATAGGATAGGATAGGATAGGAGGAGAGATGATATAGAATACCTATGAATAATGAGATCTTTTTGGCGAAATTGGATGTTTGGATGTGTGTATGTGATTTAATGGGTAAATTCTGAATATATGGAATTCGGTATATGGGCTTTTCTATTATTCACTATGCAATGCTATGATATGATATGCTATGCTTTTTATCTATTATGTTAGGTATCTATGTATATGTTTGACCTTTGGCCTGGGTATCATCGCTCAAAAAATACTAATATAAAGACTGCTTTTCTAAATGGACTAAACCGTTCGCTGGCTGCAAATAAAGAGGATAGTTAGTAAGTAAACTTATGCTTTAGGATAGAGATATCTAGATTGAAAATGAAGGTTACAACACAACATACCGGAATAAACTGTCTTAACTTAACACCCGCCTGTCCAAATACAGCTGCTGTTTCCGCATCCATACTATATCCCTGACTATAGACCACTTCCGATATTCCTACTTGTACAATCTTGATACTGCATGTTAAACAGGGACATGTGTCGCAATACAGTATAGCGTTTTCTCGAACTCGTTCTCGACCGGCTTCTAATAGTGCGTTTTCTTCTGCGTGCAGACAGAGACATGTGCCTAGTCCTACTCCGCAGCTTTGTCCTTCGTTACAGCGGGCACAACCTCCTTCACCGCAGTTTAGTAGGCCTCGTGGTGTGCCGTTGTAACCGGTTGAGATGACTCTTTTTTCGCGGACGAGAACGCATCCCACGCGCCGTTTCATGCAGTTGCTGCGCTGGGCGGCGAGGGATGCTAGTTGCATAAAATATTGATCCCAGCTTGGTCGGAGACGCTCCTCGTTTGTGAGATCGAGTTTTCCGAGGGTAGCGTAGAGATGCGCGAGATCGGATGAAGTGTTTAGTAGGCGTATGGTAGCCCGGGATATGAGGGATTGCAGGCCGTGTTGGGGATCATAGAGGTGCTGATCAGAGCGGAAGAGGAAGTCTTCGAGGGTTAGAGGTGGAGAAGGTGGGTTGGGTCGTGTTTGGAATCTTTTCCAGCGGATGGAAACGGGGGCGTCGACGCTGACGAGGATGAAGAATGGGCGTCGGAGGAGCGCGTCTAGGATTGTCTCCGTGTAGATGTTGGTTGTTACCCAGCGTTCGCGCCAGCGCTTGGTTACGAACTCTAGGAGATCGGCGGTGCTGGTGAAGGCATATTGGGATTGCGATTGAGGGACTGGTTTTCGGCTTACGGTTATGCCGTTTTCTTCAATGTCTGATTCTCCGTTTGTGATGCTGTTGCCGTTGCTTATTCTTTTAGAGCTTTTGTTGGTCTGCTCTGGTCGGAGGTAAAGGTGAGTAAAGCCATGGTGCTCTACGAGATATTGGGCTATTGTGCTCTTGCCAGCACATATTCCTATTGTAAAGTTGGTGATTTATACTTCATACGTGAATTAGCTTGGGATATTCACTTACCTCCACAAAGACCTATTAACATGATTCTAAGCCTTATTTCTCCTGCCTCTAAAAATGGAAGTTTCTGCACAGCTTGAGCACAATTGTAGCCTTTTCCCCAATTGTGTGAAGATGTGTGGAGGGAGGTATTGTCGATTTTACTGGCAGATTGAAATAGCAGAGGCAGCTCATCGGGAAACAATTAAGAATCTACCGGAGTTTCGCCGATTGGCTGATTATATCAATTCTGAGCATGTGAGTTGCATCCTTGTCTTATACAATCATCCCCACCACATTACCAACCCAACTGCCCCTCAATCTATCTCATGATTTCAACCTAAGACTGTTGAATCACCCTTCTTTAACTTTTACTTAATTCATAAAAGATCTTCACCTCTCTTAAGCTATTGTCTTAACTCCTACAAAACACCAACAAAGCTGACCGAATCCCTTGATTCAAGAGCCAAGACTGTACTCAAGATACCGACGTCTCCTTTATCGAAGAAGGCTGCTGGGACGGAGAGGTAGAAGAGCTAATAACCTCATTCTCTACTATCGAAGAGCTCTACGAAACCCTTCGCGTCAGAAACGATAACAATAAAATCGATATGGCTTTAAAGTTCGCCCCATTTGCTTCTGAAATAGAGCTACCGTTTTACACGGCTCTTTCCCAGTTAAAGATCGATCATGATAAGTTAGATGATTCTGCAAGACCGGTTCTCGGTTTATATGAACCAAGAGCTACACAAAGTCCTGATCAGAGTTCTCGTATGAGAGTTCTCGGTAATGCTTTGAGTAGTAACGAGTAGGATTCACCATCATGTTTGGAATACGCGTACTGATTCATTCATAGAGTTCCTCTGGGTCATATTCGAGCTGAGGGTATAATCAAGAATGTCAATACCATCGAGGACTTTAAGAATACGGACAAACAAGCAATGTTACAAACTTCTGCCAAACAGGTGAGTCTCGTGATTTTCCGGACTACTCGCTTCAATACAGTTCTGACAGGAGTAGATTTGGGATGCAATTAATGATGGCACCATTTATTCTATTCCTTCATTACTTTCTTCATTCACTATTTTGTCTTTTGCAAATTTGAAAAAATATACTTTTACTTACTGGTTTGCTTTTCCTGCCCTACATTCGGAGCCGGCATGGAGGAAAGTTGAGCAACCGCCCAAATTCAGCGCTGAGGAAACCACAGCGCTCACGGAGGAGCTTGGTACGTGGCGTTACAGCCACGATAATAGGGAACATGGATTCTTTCTAGCCAAGCGAGTATATTCTTCATCGAAACAGCCCCAAGATCCGGAAAACGAGTCGCACTCCGATTTGCCATTCAAATGGGTTATTGGATCATTAAGAGAATTTGAGGATGGTTTCTTCAATGGTGTAGATGCAAAAGACCAATACGTATCTTTCGTTGACCCATCCACTTACCTCGAAAATCCAGGGTGGATGTTACGGAACCTTTTAGTTTTAATTAGACGCAGATACAAGCTCGACAAAGTCCAGATACTTTGCTACAGAGATAATCACGCAAAAAGGCATGTGCCCCAAAGTTTAATCTTAGTTTTGGAGAGTATTCACGACCCAGAATATCAGTCAACTGGCCCTGATGAGACACCTAAAGTCACGGGTTGGGAGCGTAATAGTCTTGGGAAGCTTACTGCGAAAGTCACCAACTTGGCTCAATATATGGATCCAGCTCAACTTGCTGATCAAGCGGTTGATCTTAATCTCAAATTGATGAAATGGCGCATTGCACCTGAATTGGACTTAGATGCTATTAAAACCACAAAATGTCTATTACTTGGAGCTGGAACACTTGGGACATATGTTTCGAGACTACTTATGGGTTGGGGAGTGCGCAAGATTACCTTTATCGACAATGCATCGGTTTCATTTTCAAATCCGGTTCGGCAGCCATTGTTTGATTTCAAGGATTGTATAGATGGTGGTGCCAAAAAGGCATACCGAGCAGCTGAAGCTCTCCAAGAGATATATCCCGGAGTTGACAGTACTGGACATGTAATGTCAGTGCCCATGCTTGGACATCCAATTACAGATGAAGCTGCTACAAAAACGGACTTTGAACTTTTACAAAAGCTTATTGAAGACCACGATGCAATCTTCTTATTAATGGATACCCGAGAGAGTCGATGGCTTCCAACTGTTATGGGAAAGGCGGCTGGAAAAATCGTTATGAATGCAGCTTTAGGATTTGACACGTATGTCGTGATGAGACATGGGGTTACTCCAGAAGATGGTGGACCTGCTGCGCTTGGTTGTTACTTTTGTAATGATGTTGTAGCGCCATCTGATGTGAGTACTTGATTTTTTTCTATGAACATATCATTCGCTAACATTAGTGTCACAGTCTGTGAAAGATCAAACTCTTGATCAACAATGCACTGTCACTCGGCCGGGTGTAGCTCCTGAAGCATCTTCCAAACTTGTAGAACTTCTTGCTTCAGTTCTTCAACATCCATTGCGAGGTGCCGCACCAGCTCCAAAACTCTCGGCAAACCAGCAATCAGGCCAAATGGAATTCGATCGCGATCCACCCAACCATCCTCTAGGTCTTGTGCCTCATCAGATCCGAGGTTTCTTGTCTGCTTACAAGACCATGCTAATCAGCGGTCCTTCGTACGATTGCTGCTCAGCCTGCTCGCCGAAAATTGTGAATGCTTACAAAGAGGACGGATGGGAATTCATCAAGCGCGCGTTAACTGAGAAAGATTACATCACAGAATTGAGTGGACTAGCTGAAGTTCAACGTAAAGCCGAAGAAGCAGCAAATGATGTAGAGTGGGATAGTGAAGAGGAGGGAGTAGAGGATGAAGAGGCCGAATTACTTTAACCTTGAGCTTTATATATGTTTTCGGACATTGGAGTGGCGTTTGCGCTTGCGCTATACCTGGGATTGTTAATGATGGTTATGATTTATGGTTGTATCGGCGTTTTGTAGTTAGTGGTGGAGGTCAGCTTTTGGTTAGCGGGTTTGTTTGATAGTTTAGATTGGTTGTTGGTCTGATGATTACAGCTATTCAGCTATTCAGCTATTCAGGAATTCGAGGTTCTGGGGACTCGGCATAATGAAATGGGTTTTTGGAAAGAGGATCATGATATTATGATACGTTTTTGTGAAGTAAAATGTGACTGTTTGGCATGTGTACATGTTATTCTAGCTGGCCTTTGCCATTAAACTATTGATTTTCTACAAGTAATGCGACTTGGACAATAAATTATCTGTTTCGGGATCTAGATTGAAGTATCTGTGCATGTTTTGTGATGATTGACTTATATGTTCATGATCTATAGATGTATTAACGTTATGCGTTTTTGAGATCGTTGAAGCCAATTTAATTCAAAATTATTGCAAATATTTCGCTTTGGGCAAATCTAGAAAATAATCTTGGATTAAGAAATTATTATTATATAAAAGAAAATCGAAATCTTTATTTTAATTTTATGTAAGCTATAAAATCAATAATTTATTGGTTTTAGGAAGCGAAGGGTCAAATTACAATCAAATGGAGATTAATTTAGTGAGGGGTAGCTTCCTCATAGCAATGATTGGCCAAATTTTGGCGTAAGTACTAAACGGGAGTTGCCGCACATTTTCCAAGCTTCAACTGTCAATGGCAAAAAAGTTAATGAACACCTTGAAGCTTCATGATTCGTAAATCCTCTCATCATATCGTAAGTCGGTGAATTTTTACTGTTTGCTATGCTCTGCGCTAATTTTTTGATTCTCAGAATCTGTATAACTCATCACCATTTCTTAATTATGCGCTCTCAATTAACCCGCAGAGTCTTCCGTGGACTTTTGTCAAACGAAGGCCTCATATTACCATGCGCGAATAGATCACCAGCTCTATTAAGGCATCGTCGTCGAAATGTCATTCCCACTTTACCATACACATCCCATCGCTCTCTCTTCGGATTCTCCCGGAAACCTCCTCGACAACCTAAAGAACCGGAATTGGAACCGGGAATGAGAAAGATGGCAGAGTTTAGCTTGATGACGAGAATTCATGCCAGAACTGCGAATAAGGATGATATGCTGAAGGCTTTTAATGAATACTTCAATCATAAAGTCGATACGGAACGAGCGGTTAATAATATTGAAGCGGGGCATGCTTTGAGGACTTTGAATTATCTTATTAGCTGTGGATTGGGAAAGGAACATGTCAATGACCTGAGGGTAGCGTTGAGGGCATTGACAATCATTCCTAATGATGACACGAACGATTTTCTGGACTTGGCGAGACTTCTCTTCCAGGAGATCAAAAATTTGTCTGGGTCTAACGAGGATGCGCCGAGTTTTCAATTTATAAAGATATTGAGTGGGGTTGGACAATCTTCTGAGGCGAGAGAGCTCTGTGAAGAGGTCACTCAACGCTTTTTAGAAGAGCAAGAAACGGCCTCTAAAACCGGAGTTCAGATATCTCGACAACGACAAATGCTGAAAATGAACTGGTATGCGGTTTTATCTGGTTTCGCGCGGGAAGGTAACGAGGCTGAACTTTTGAAGACATATGAGAGATTTGAAGAGCTGCCGTTAGGGCGTGGGAAGACGAGCAATGAAATCGTCATAAAGTTTTATACCTCGAGAGATCGTGTTACGGAAGCACAAGCATGGTTTGAAAAGGCTGCACATGTTCCAACAGACCTCAGTCCTAGTATATTACAGGACATATTGAAATTCTGTCTTCGGCATGAGGAGCTGCTAGATTGGTGCAAAGGAATCTTTCGTAAGGTACTGGACGCAGGTCGAATGCAGAAAGGGAAATGGGATGTCGTGTTTCAATGGGCTGCGAGTGCTATGGACAAAGGGGTTGAAGATGTGGAACGCATGATGCATGTTATGGAAAAACGCAATCCGGACGATCCATCTATGAGACCAGACATCGACACCATCAATGGTTTGGTCGAGTACGCAATATCAAAGAACGATCCATATCTTGCAGAACGTTATATTGCATTGGGACAAAAATTCAATATCCGTCCAAATGCAAGAACATTTATTCTTCAGATGGACTACCGGGTCGGTGCAGGCGATCTCTCCGGCGCCCGAGCATCTTATAATTCGCTGCAGGCAGAGGAGATTATCAAGGACGAGGACTTGCCTGTTATCAATAAATTTGTCCGAGCTCTCTGTGCTTCAGAGATTCTACCTTATAACGAGATTTCATCAATCGTTTCCGACCTGGACGAACGTAATGCAAGGTTAGAAGCGGACACGGTTTCATCACTAAGCAAAATGTATATCACCCGCAACGAACTTAATGAAGTAGTGGATTTATTACAAGTTAATACATACCACTATACCCTGTCAGAGCGAGCTCGAATATGCGATGCATTACTTGCTTTTGTATTTGACAAGAATAACAGCGAAGACCGCATATGGGATGCTTATCGTGTTGTTATTCATATCTTTGACGAGACTGATGTTCCCACACGTACGCGAATCATGAATGAGTTTTTCGATCGCAAAAGATCAGATATGGCTTGTCATGTCTTTGGACATATGCGCCAGCATATCAATCCCAACAAACGTCCTGTGCGAGACACTTATATCGATTGTTTTGTTGGTATAGCATCATGCGCAGATGGCGAGTCTCTTGATATGGTTCACAACATGTTGAAATTGGACAGCACCATTGAACCCAATACACGTCTTTACAATTCTTTAATGCTGGCCTATACAGCTTGCGAAGATGCTAGTCGATCTTTACATTTCTGGGATGATATCACGAATTCTCGTGAAGGACCTAGTTATAAGAGTTTGGAGATAGTATTTCAAGCGTGTCAGAGGAAACCTTTTGGAGATCGACCGGCGAGAGAAATCTGGGATAAGATGAGGAGGATGGAAATTGAAATCACCAGAGAGGTTCATGCTGCTTATGTTGGGGCATTAGCTGGACAGGGCAAGCTCGATGAGGTTAAAGTGTTGGTGGAGGCCATGGAGAAGGATTTGGGGTTTGGTCCGGATATTTTGACGTAAGTTATACTTTTATGATTTTACTCGAGAATTGTGACTAACATACACAGTATCGGTACCATATACAACGCAATTCAAGGTTCAAATAGGAAGGACCTGGTGGCGGAATGGACAAAAGAATTATATCCTGAGGTGTGGAAGGAGGCGGAGAAATTGGGATTTTATGAACATGAGGAGGGTCATATGGTGTTGAATATGCCGGAGAAGAAACTTAAAGCCTAATGCTTGGGGTGGATCTTAGATACTTACTTGTCCAATATTGAAATCCTTGAGTAGATGGTTGAGAGTTCTCGGTTGGTGATTAGTTGGTTAAAGTGTACTTGGTAGCATGCAGTGTTTGCAGATTTTGCTTGCATTTTTTACACAACCAGGTGGTGGTGTATGTTAACGTCTTTGATGTCTATCGTTCTATGATCCTATCACCAATCCCAACTTCCACCTATTTTATATGTCCATTACCAGGCCAAAAATACATGGCGAAGAAAATATACCGCAAATACAGGCAGATATTCATCTCTACCGTAGGCTCATAAAAATTATCAAAATGAATACAGGTATTCCAATCTTAAAACTGAACTCGGACTCGAACTCGAACCCCAACCCGAACTGGAATTGTGCCAGAAAAGTATTTTTAAATCCAAACAAATGTATGCACAAAAGTTGGGAAGCGGGTGCGAGTTGCATGTAAGGGTACTGGATATGGGATGAAGGGGCTTTATGTACCTGAAGTTTTTTTGCTTTTTGGTTTGTCACGCGGAGGGTTAAGATTGTGATTTTTAAAGTGCATGAAGAGATTCATTGATTTTATCTTGGGTGCTCTTTCTTCTCTTTGAGTGGTTTAATTTTCTATTAAGGAGGGGTTTGTAAGATTAGCTAATTTTGGGTTTATTTTTGGGATGGATCATGGAAGTGCAGATGATGAGTTCAGTTTAATGATACACTGTTGATAGGTATAAATAAATAAATAAATGAAAATGAAAATGAAAATGAAAATGAAATTCAAGAGGGTACAGGGAAGATCTTATAGATGCAAGGTTATAGGAAAAGAAGGAAAAGAAAGAAAGAAAGGAAATTATTAGATTTCAGATGGTTTTAGGATGGGAAGGCTGGATATGGAGGAATGAGAGATTTGTGATGTGTGGAAAGGGGAAGGGGAAGGGGGAAAGAGGAGAGTATGTTAGGTAGATGGGGGAAGTTGGAAGTTGGGTGGATGGGGTGGTGGGAAGGTGAGGGGTTTTGGTGGTGCTGGTTCTGATGATTGTAAGGGCGCAATTGTTGATTGAGGAGGAGGAGGTAGAGATAGAGATGGAGGTGGAGGTGGAGGTGGATGTTGTTGATAATGACAATAAAGTCCCTAGACTTTCCAAGAGATTAAAATTTCTTTCTTGTTACTAATCGAGGGCTGAAATATTTGGGGGGAAGGTGCTGAGGGCTAGTTAGTGGGTTAGCTAAGTTAGTTATTTAGGATTATATCCAGCTAATTTGGAGCTAAATGAGAGCTAATTGGCTGCTCATTAGGGATAGTAGATATTCAATCAGAATATTGAAATTATATTCAGAAACTTAATAATCTATTAGTCTATCGATTGCTACAATTCTTGTCTAAAGATTCGTGTGCTATTACTGTTTATTTTATCGGTTATTTTTTGACACTTTCACCCCTTTTATAACCTTATTTCTTAAGCGAACTCGAGATTTTTTCTAAATCGTGATAATAATATTTGGAATAAAAGTTAGTTTTGTTTGATTAGATTAATATCACATTACAGAGTATCTTCGAAACCATGCTAAGCTTTCTACATTAAGACTTAGAAAACATCTTTCGTTTTACGACTTTTTTGTAATGGAAAGTTTGTCTAGAACCTTGCTTTTTTTTCGTTAGTAGCCTGATTATGTTCCGTTTTTGTGTCAGGAAAAAAGCGCAAACAATGTCAACTGGTTTATGACAGGAAGAGAAAGGTTGTGACTGTAATTGGAGCTCAGGTTGTTGTATCCTCAAAATATTCCATAATTCATATTGTAATTGAGTACTAAGCCGGCTGTCTCCTGCAGTACATTGATGAATATGGGGGATTTCACAACGGGGCCACTTTTCTCTACTACACTCAGTTTGATTTAAGAAATTTGCGTTATGTTATGGACTGGTGTTTCTTATGGTATTTGTAATACATAGTCCAACGCTTTTGTAGGAAACCACGCACACAGCTTGACAAATTCTTCGCCGTTCAGGTCAGCACGATTGAAATCTATGTGAAGGCAGTTGTGGTAATACTAGCAGCGACAAGGCAAATTTGGATTCTAGATCTGAGCGCAGTGGAAGGAAGCACTAAACCTAATACCCTCGAAAAATGCGGCAATATCTTTTTAGAAAAAATATCGCAGATTAAATCATTCTACGGGGGATTTACAGAAGTATTACGTTTATAATAACTTAATCACCAAAAATTATACAGCGGCATGTGTCTCTTCGATGACATTGCTCAAAACCAGAGCTTCTAGACACGAATGTTAACTTAGTTGCTTCAAATTCGAAAGCAAAAAGCTTTATCCCCACCAAAAGCAAGATACGGGAAATATTGATAATATTCGAGTTTCTTTACAAACACATATCTCATTTGTAGTCAAGGTTCTACTATGCAAAGCAAGCCGCATATTCTGACAGAATGGGTAACACCCTTGAGCTTTTAAGATTGGTCGAGTAAAGCCTGGCAAAGGCGTTACTTTTGAACTAAGGTGGACAAATTCAAGTCGACTCTAGGATGTTTTTCAACGAGTAATGAGACTTATATTACGGTGGTAATGCCGGAAAGTTGACAGCTTTCGAATTCTAATGTGAAGAAATTGGGTATCCAACTCAGATGGACTAATCTTACAATGGTTTGGTCTAGCAGTATCCAATAATTAAAGCTTCTGGACTGGAGTGACAAATACGGACTTGAAAGTATACAGTGCAACGAGATCTTACCTTCTGTCTGGCAGGATTCGCCGCGGAGTGGGGTGTTACTATGCCTGTAGCTAGCATTCCTTGTGAATAATTTTATGCCTTTCTCGTGTATATATTCTCACAACCTTCCTCTCCTGCTCTCTGAACATGTTTCTTTAACCGAGTAGTGACCTTCCGAGGCTATCTCCGTATGTCAACGTGGTGCTTGTGACAAGTCAGAACTTATCAGTTTTCAAAACTGAGGTAGTAGTAACCCAATAGCATCATCTCTACCATTAGCAATCAAGCTAGCCCATCACAAAAGAAATATGGAAAATATTGATACTATATTACTTTTTTTTTTTTTCGCAATCAATGTAACCCATCTCAAGATACAGTTGGAAGGCATAACCACGTGTTATTTCTATGGTAATAACCATAGATATCTATCTAAGAAGTACATAGACAAGCCCAAAGTACTCCAAATCCCGCTTAACAACCTCTTATACCTCTCCCAGAAACATTTTAAAACGCCCAATCATATGTAATCCTTGTCTTAGTAACCAAAAGTACACATCGTAAAAGAACGCCAGCGAGCCCTAAATTGTACTAAATCTACCCTAATATACAAAAAAGCTACTAAAGCCGTGTCTAATTTGTGTACAACTATGCTGAAATTTTCCCATCGCTCAAAGACCACTGATTGTATAATGCTGACTTGATATAGTACAACTGGCTGTGACACTTAGTACGAAGATGGTCTGGCTGGATCTTAGGTTTATTAGTGAATCAGTATATTTGCAGATCAGTGAAGAAGCTGACCTTTTTTTCCGCTTTCGTCTTCAGAGCTCTCTATTGTAGCAGCAGAAGCTGCTAGAGCTCTTCTAGCATTTCTGCTGGCAAGATCAGCTTGAATAGCTGCTATGGTAGCCTGAGCAGATTGCAGATTTGCAAGAGCAAAAGCTTGGCTTCGTTAGTAAGGAAAGAGAGGTAGTCAGGCGCAGAGCTACTTACCAAGATCCCCAGTTATTCGGTCGATATATGCATTTGTATTCTCGATTGCCGGCTTGCCTCTTTTAGACGGTGAAGCTTTAGACTTTTGGATCCCAGAGTACTTGGTAGAAGAAGCCGACGAATTAGCGCCACCTTTAGATTGGCTCTTTCTTGATCTCTTGGTAATGATACTATTATGGACAGAGACAGCTTTGACGTTATCCATACCACTATCAACGGCCACCGCAGCTCCTGTTGCTTGGAAGGAGTTGCTAGAGAACCCATGATTTGGCTCTCTAGTGGCTCCTCCAGTCGGATACAGTCGCGCGGTGGGAAGAGGGGTGAAGACAGGTAAAGCTCTTCTTTGGAACATACTCGGATTGAGTTTTGTGGGTGGGGAAAGGGCAACTGGAGGATGGACTGGTTGCGGCGCCCAGTAGTGCGGAGGAACAGAGTCAGACTCAGCGCGCCTAAGGAGACTTGAAGGGTTTGGCTGAGTTGCATTGGTATTACTGGCATTATCCGGTGTTCTATTTGAGTATTAGATTACAAGTGAAATAGAATGGGGTTACTAAACCTACCTAGTTGCTTGCTCATGAGGTTGTTTAGGATCATTGCCTGAGGAAAATGTTAGTTAAAGTCAGACTAAGATCTACAAAAGCATTCCACGGTGGGGCTAGGAGGGGTAAACCTGCTGGACTCCGCAGAATCATCTTTTTGAGTACCCATCTTTGCAAGAATGATAATAGCCCTTGCTTTGCCTTCCACAATAGAAGATTTGAATATGTAAATTGAAATTTGGCAGACTTGGTGAGATAAATTCTTATTAAAAGAGATGATTGTTTTTATGGAGAGGAAGAAAACTAAGATATTGTCTTTGTGGTAGTAATTTCCCAGCTTTTCGTTGCATCTTTGCAAGCTCCGAGATTAATTGAGGGGTAAATCATACGTTGAACGCCACCAAGATGTTGCTGTATGAATAGTTCAGATCGACCTCTGACAAGGGAGACTAAGGCATTTTTATGAAGACGCACAATATTGAAATACTAGGGAATAGATCCATTGGCATTTATTGGAAGTAATGATCATGATTTTATTCATATGAATCTATATATTGAATCTTATGCTGCTAGGTTCTCATAAATTTCCACAGAGATCTTGAATACCTTAGTTCTACTGGCAGAGGCCAATGAGACACACGGGTCTCTTCTAATATCAAGTCAGTTTGAATCAAGAAGGCAACATCTACTTTGTCATTTGCAATTTTTTATCCCTTATCCTGATCATGTCTTGGGTAGATTGTAGACATCTATCAAACATTTCTACATGTTTATTATAAGTAGACATTATGAACTCAATATTCACTTGCTCGGTCCTCCTCGGCAATATGATCTCCTTCCTTAAATCACCAATGCTCGAACCCCTCATGATATTCACCTTGTTGAATATTAGACAAAAACAAACATATGAAAGAGAAAACTGATTTGACTAGTGTACTATTCAGGCTTATTCTCTAATTTCCCTTAAACCTTCCTTCCTCTTCTGTCCTACCTTTTATCTTTTTCTAGTTCCGAAATATTCAATATATCTCCCGTCACTGGCTCCTATTCCATACACTATTACGATAAAACCAGGGTGAAAGCACAGTTGACAATTTGTTGACTTCAAAATGTTTCCTTCTAACTTCAACATGCAGCTTCTGGCTGTTGTGACTTTACTTTTGGCCAATGCATTTGCCAACCCGATAAGGCGCAGTGACGACGAGACTACAGGTGCCAGACTTCCTGGTCTCTTTGGACTCTTTACCACTGTTGCTACATCTGCCCTAACTACTAGTGAACTTGTAAGTCAAATACTGTTCACCATGCCTTTGACTTTCCTACTCTCACTTGAAAATGATTTCCTCAAACTTGAGCAACACTTGAACTTGGCCACTGGTCTTTCAAAAGGGCACCATAGCTAATTCCAAGTTGTTCAGGTTGCCATTGTCGTCATTTCAAGCTCAACCATCTACATTCAAGAACCCAACTTCTTTCCTACTACCGTATGGAGCGTACCTGAAATGACTCCTTCTGGTACAGCTGACCCTATTACTACCGAGTCAAGTACACCATACAGCTTTTCAACACCTTTCCTTAATTATAACGCATCAACAACACTACTTTCTTCTACTGATACTGTTTTTTCCACTTCGGCACCAGGTATAACAGATCAGGCCCAGATAAAAGTAGTGACAACTTCATCTTGCAACACTGACATCGCTGGCGTGACCATCCCTACCAGCGCTCTCACTACCACAGAGTTCATTGCGGTTGAAACTCTCTGGTGAAACAATCTACATCCAGGAGCTAAGTTATTATCCCACCAAGACATATTATGGCATTCCCGCATCATCAACAACATCGACCCTGTCTTGCAATACAGCTGTTGCAAATGTGACAATTGATGTTAGCAATCTTACTATCGGACAGCTCGTTGCTACACCTGTTATCTGTGGAAGCGTGGTATACATTCAGGAGCCAAACTTCTACACATCGAAGACTTATAACGGCATCCCTGTTTCTGCGAAAACAACTTCCGCCGTAGTCTCGTGCACCACTAGGGCGGCTATTAAAGCACGTATGCCGCAAGCACGTACTGGTCATAATATACCTTTCTTTGATCAAAAGAGACCAACCTCGCTCCACCAAGCCGACCGAAATTGGGTCAAGAGTGTCCCAAGTAGCGTTGCGGGAAATCAAGGTGCGCGGGCTTTCCGGGAAAGGCAGGGATAAAAATGAGTATAGGCTGTTTCTACACGGTGTCTGTATTTGAGCAATCGTTTGATATAAAATTACGATCACCCTTAGCTTCAGGTGATGAGCTAGTCAATATACTATGCTTGCCGGGTTTTCTGATCGACTTCCTAGTAGTCAACCTCGCGGTCATTGCAGTCCTCTGGAAGTTCCATGTAAAGGATAGACTGTTCCTACTTTCACATGCTCATCATAAAAACGATAGCAGATGTGATGATTGTATAGACCCGAAAATTGACCAAACTTTAAAAAAAAAAAGCTTCTTCTTTGCATCTGAAATGACTGATTTATCACAAAACTGTAGAGCATATTCAAGTCATTGATGACGCTTGCCATGTGCATTTTTGCCAAATAGAGCGCTAATACTTGAAATTGCATTACATGAAAATTGCGGTTCTCCCTTAGGCGGGTAAGATGGGATAGATAGTCAATAGCTAAACACTATAAGATAATGAGCATTGCACTCCTGAAATGATATCGAACAGCAATCAGATCCCTAGAGCCTCTCCCAAAATCCATGACCTCCCGAGGATATATAATTTGTCTATTTTAAAGGGTTAAGAAAAAAAAACAGATGCCTCCGGGTTGCAGGGCTTTACGCAATATGATTGGATTCCTGGTGCAAACCCAAAATAGTTTTGTTTGGCGTCCCCTTGGAATTTATGCTCCACCAAAGTTTTCATGCTATTGAAACATTGTTCAAGGTCGAACTAAACATAATACTTCAATACTCCTCCATGTCATGATCTTAATACCATGAGGTTTCATTTCTCCTGTTTTTCCTCTCCTGCCGTGCTTTGATGACCGATTTGTTTTGCACCTCAGAAAATTTGAGATGATTGAGATCATTAATTCCTTGTTATACTTTACAGACTACTTATCCATGAATTGTCTTGAGGTATCCTTCTCATCTAATTCTGTTGCCCACCAAACTCCAGCCAAGCAAATTTTCCAGGGACCAAAACTCCAACCATCCTTATTTTCATCTCTCGTGATCCTTCACAGTAAATCGAAATCATCCAACTTCTCTCTATATTTCAAGATGTTCCGCTTGATCTTCGAACCATCCACCCAGGTAACGAAATCCTCCATACTTCTTGTAACTAGAAATGCTGTATCCGTGATCGTTTCCGTGCCCACTCTGACATGTCCTTGCTCAATGATCTTATTCGCAGCCTGTACAGTCTCTGCCATCCTTAACCTAGTCATTACTACCGGTAAACGTCTTCGACAGAATGCGGAAACAGTAACGTGCGATTCAACTGAAGAAAGTTTGGACGTGGAAGCGGTTGAAGGAAGAATTCCCATATCGTGAAGCTTAGAGAGAAGGAGCTGTTCGTGCTTTAGACGGACTGGGGAATCGGGGGGAAGAAGTGTAAGTTTGTGGGCAAGTTGGCGGAGAGACTGTGTATACAATTAATATTTGAAAAATGCTTTAATGGAGAGAAAAGAATCATACACCGCATAGTCTATTGTATTTCTGATAATCTCCAGGTTTCTGGATCGCATATCTTCGTATAACAGCCGCATCTCGATGATTATTGTCCGATGCGTATGTTGTGAAATCTACTTTTCGCAGAAGCTTTTGCTCATGATGCTTGAGTTTACGGACCATTCTGTGAGATTTCGATTAATTGAAAGAAATAAAGTTGTTGTTTCTGGCGCGAATGTTTGAAGCGCATCATTAGATATCAAAATAAATTTTTGCGGGTCATCGGAATAAATGTCTCCGAGGCGGGGATTCGGCCCGCATTGTGACATGCTTCAAGATTTTGGGTAAGTTTAGCAACGTGAAGTGGTTTTGATATTGAATCGCCCAATTATACCAACCATGCCTCCTCGATTACAATGTTTAAACGCAGCGCGAGATGCGCTCTCAATGTCAGCTCTCAGAATGCGATTTTCAACTAGTAAAGTTGTCTCGGCTGGTAGGCCCAATAATCTTACATTGATCAATGCATTTGCTAACCCGCGCCGCAGAACTTCCCTCCGCCTTCGACACATCGTCCTCGGATGTGCCTGGTATGGGTGGTCTCATCTCACTTCTAAACAAAACTCAGGAGCGACGTAGGGCGGTACAGCCCCCCCTGAGAGTGACTGCACAAAACTCCGCCCTGGAAAACGGAGCATGGCAGACAAAAACAGACCTGACGAAACAAATACATCGAAGGTGGAAGGCTGGAGATGTTTATGCACCGCATGATTTAAGTGGGATAGAAATGTCGAAATGGAAGAAGAGAGGAAAGGTCACTAGAGATGTATTTGATGTTGTTGCATTTGATCCTATTGCTACGGGAAGTTATAAGGTTAGTTTTCTCTTCGTGGAATGAAAGATTAGGATGAGTAGGACTGGTTAAGGAATCTAGAGCTGTACTAATGAGAAATGTAGAACTTTTCGATAATGTCAGAATATGTAACTCCCATGGGAAGGATCAGGGGAAGTAAGGAAACTGGATTGAGACCGGTCAATCAGAGGAAGATTGCGAAGGCAATCAGAAGGTCTATTGGTATGGGCATGATGCCTAGTGTTCATAGACATCCCGAGGTTCTTTATAAGGCGAGAGAGAGAGATGAGCAGAATGATAACTACAAACGAGGTGTACTCGTTTGAGAGGTTAGCAGAAATAGAGGAATGTATGATATATATGCACCGGCTGGCTTGCATAACCGCGCCCAACTAAGTAGAATTGTTGGCATATTGAATTCAAGGATGCTTTATTTTTGGCCACGGAATGCTGCCTATTAACCTGGTTTCACTTGAGACTGCGCCAGGGGATGTGTCAGTATTCTACCAGCCAAAAATGAAGTCAGGAGGCACACTCTGAAGTAATCTCAGTTAAAACTTCGGCAAATTAAACCAATATTGGCTGCTGAAGTTTCTCTTATTCAACCTTAGCCCCAGGAAATCAACAAATTCCGGCAAGTTAAATAGTGTATGACGAAAAGGGCAGCAGAAAATATTCCTTTGTAGAAATTAAAATTTCGGAGACTATGGAATATCTCCTTACATCCCATTATTCACGGCGATGATGGCCTCAGAATCCAGCTCAGGGATAGTAATGTATGAATTCTGTAAGACACCATCTGCTGCGAACCATTACCTACATTCGGGAAGTGTTTAGCTTATGGCTATGGAGTCAGTCCGAGAAGAAATTAGGTTGAGGGCTCGGCCACGAGGACTGGTCATCTCAAATCTAATAACAAAACGGGATCACCAATACATTGTATAGAGCGGGCAAGCTGGTACCAGGGTGGAATTTAAGCAGTTGGGCATCTGACTATCAAAATCTTAGCTTCTTCCTGCAATGGCCAGATGGCTTTCACTCTTCGACCGTGCAAACATCAATTTATGTCATAAGGAATGCGTAACTTCATTGTCGGCCATCGGCAAGCTGGTATCGGCCACTGTATCCATTCTATCCTAAAGCCACCTTGTCCCCGTTGTATGCCGAGGTGAGAACCCCGAAACCGGCTACCTTCTAGATTATACCAAATACACCACCGCAATTCGACGTCCCCCAAAGATCCCACTGCTCCCTGACATAAATTATTTAAAATATAGAGTTTGCAGCAAGCTTAAAGGGGAAAGCAGGGGAGTCAAGCTGTCAGTACAGTTCGACTGAGGCTTCCATGGGACTGAGATTTAATTGTAACTGCGATTGGTACCACCGAATCGCAGTTTTAAATTTTGGTAATTTTCGTGCATTGAAAGAATATGCGCATCCGGATAAGCTTTGTCTAAACGCCGACGAGACCTACAACCATCAAGTATCATTGCCGGTCTACTGAACACCTTAAAGCTTTCACTATTTTCCCAGGTAGAGTCCTAAGATAGCATTTGCATGAGACTTATTCTCCTAGCGTTACTGCATCAGGCATGCATCAGTATTTTCTCCCACTAGCCGTCTAGGCTTACAAAAATCAGATGGTCAATTGGTAAAACCTAGCCTTACACAATTTTTCTCCTACAGAGAAAAGGAACCCTGGAGTACGGACTATGGGAGTACCATGCGTTGATTAATCCACATATTTGCATTCACTTGGTAATGAAATAATAAAGCTGTAACAGATTCCAGACTGTACATGCCTACAGGTGATTCAGGACGGCGACTCTATCGGCTAAATCTTTCTGAATTTGGGAGCAGGCCACAGACACTCGCCTGAAAATGAGCATCCAGCTTCTCCTTTGGTAAACGCGAACTTGAACCTAAACCGATCGAAAATTTGATGTTGACTACCTACCATTTCTTTCTCAAATAGGGGAAACATGAGTTCTACTTGCTAGACACTGAGTAACCTGACAAGCGAGCTGATGCATTATGTGTAATGTAGACCCGTGCAAAGCCCTGGTGTGAATGTTGATTACATAAGTATTCATTCGAACCAGCGAGCTATCGCTAGGCTACCCCCGGATTATATTTACTCTCAGCCTTGCATCTTTTTCTCGAGGTTTCATCATTTGAGGCTCTGAACCTTGGATCTTTAAATACAATAACTATCGCAATTATGTCTGGTCGACGCGATTTTCTCAGTCAAAAGGCACCCGAGAATTATGTTGCTGGTTTAGGTCGAGGGGCCACAGGTTTCACAACACGATCTGATTTAGGTCCTGCGCGAGAAGGCCCAAGTGAAGATCAAATCAAGGAAGCTCTTGCAAAGCGCGCTGCTCAACTTGGTCAAGCAGCTCCTACAGCATACGGAGCTACCGAAAAGAAAGAAGATGATGAGGACGATGAGCGGTTTCAAGATCCAGATAACGAGGTTGGCTTATTCTCAGGCGGCGTCTATGATCAGGACGATGATGAGGCAGACAGGATATACCAAGAAGTAGATGAGAAGATGGATAGACGGCGGAAAATAAGAAGGTTTGTCTCCCCCTCTATCATAATCCCAATCCTCCAATGCATTTAGTTTATCATGAAAATAGATGAGCAGATTACCGACGATTTTACCTACAGGGAAGCACGAGAAAAAGCAGAAAGGGAAGAATACGAGCGAAATAATCCCAAAATCCAACAACAATTCGCGGACTTAAAACGAGCGCTAGGGACGGTCAGTGATGAAGATTGGGCGAACTTGCCCGAAGTGGGTGATTTGACTGGAAAAAACCGACGAAGTAAACAAGAATTGAGAAAGAGGTTCTATGCCGTTCCAGATAGTGTTATTGCTGGAGCTCGAGATACGACTGAGCTGGGAACTACTGTAATGGATGATGGTGGGGAGAGTGCAGGAGGCGATGGTCCCGATGGGACCATGACCAACTTTGCGGATATTGGAGCGGCGCGAGATAAAGTACTCAAAGTAAAACTCGATCAAGCGTCTCAAGGCACCGACTCGATTTCTGGAAATGCGACAAACATTGACCCGAAAGGATATCTCACTAGTTTAGCCAAATCCCAAATCAACGAGGGAGAAACTCAGGTCGGTGACATCGTCCGTGTTCGAACTCTGTTGGAATCTGTTATCAGAACAAATCCGAAGCATGCTCCAGGATGGATCGCGGCTGCTCGTGTCGAAGAGCTTGCAGGAAAGACGGTAGCGGCTCGGAATATTATTGCTCGCGGTTGTGAGTATTGTCCAAAGAGTGAGGATATATGGCTCGAAAATATTCGACTGAACGACAATCACAACGCAAAGATTATAGCTGCAAATGCCATCAAGAATAATGATCGTTCAGTGCGGTTATGGGTCGAATCTATGAAATTAGAATCAGAACCTAGAGCTAAGAAACGAGTCATTAGGCTGGCTCTAGATCACATTCCACAATCCGTAGGCCTCTGGAAGGAGGCTGTCAACCTAGAAGAGGATCCCAGTGATGCACGTCTACTTCTTGCCAAAGCTACTGAAATTATTCCTCTTTCAGTTGAATTGTGGTTAGCACTTGCACGATTAGAAACGTCCGAGAATGCCCAAAAAGTCCTCAATAAGGCTCGGAAAGCCATTCCTACCTCCCATGAAATTTGGATTGCTGCCGCACGTCTTGGTGAGCAAATGGGTACCGCCTCTAAGATAAATGTTATGAACCGTGCTGTCAAAGCTTTAGCGAAGGAATCTGCCATGTTGAAAAGAGAGGATTGGATTACCGAGGCAGAAAAGTGTGAAGAAGAGGGAGCAGTTTTGACCTGCGGTAACATCATTCGGGAAACTCTGGGATGGGGCTTGGACGAAGATGATGATCGGAAGGACATTTGGATGGAAGATGCCAAAGCTAGCATCAATCGTGGAAGGTATGAGACTGCTCGTGCCATTTATGCCTATGCTCTTAGAGTTTTCGTTACTAGCACGAAACTTTGGCTGGCGGCCGCAGACCTAGAGAAGAATCATGGTACAAAGGAAGCTTTGTGGCAATTACTTGAGAAAGCCGTTGAAGCACGTCCCACCAGTGAAGTCCTGTGGATGATGCTTGCCAAGGAAAAGTGGTTGGCTGGTGAAGTTGATAATGCACGAAGAGTTCTTGGTAAGGCTTTCAATCAAAATCCAAATAATGAGGAGATTTGGCTTGCGGCTGTAAAACTAGAGGCAGAGAACCAGCAACCAGAACAGGCACGAGAGCTCCTTAAAACGGCACGACAAGAAGCTCCCACTGATCGTGTATGGACGAAGAGTGTAGCATACGAGAGGCAATTGGGCAATATTGATGCAGCGCTGGATCTCGCCAATCAAGGATTAAACCTATTTCCTGGTGCTGCCAAATTGTGGATGATGAAAGGTCAAATCTACGAAAGCGAAGGCAAAATGCCACAAGCTCGTGAAGCGTACAGTACAGGTACAAAAGCCTGTCCAAAGTCGGTACCACTTTGGCTCCTATACTCGAGGCTCGAGGAGAGAGCTGGCATGGTGGTCAAGGCACGTAGTGTTCTCGACAGAGCACGATTAGCAGTTCCCAAATCCCCAGAATTATGGACCGAATCGATAAGGGTTGAACGGCGTGCAAACAATACCGCTCAAGCAAAGATCATGATGGCGAAAGCTCTTCAGGAAGTACCCAATAGTGGATTACTCTACACAGAATCAATCTGGAATTTGGAAGCACGAACGCAGAGAAAACCTCGTGCGTTGGAAGCTATCAAGAAAGTCGACAATGATCCCATCCTCTTTGTCACTATTGCGCGCATCTTCTGGGGGGAGAGAAGGTTGGAAAAGGCTCAGAATTGGTTCGAGAAAGCTATTTTACTGGATAGTGATTTGGGTGATACATGGGCTTGGTACTACAAGTTTTTGTTACAGCATGGCACTGAAGTAAGTTCTCCTAGGCGTAACTCCGGTATGATGGTTGGCTTGACACTAATCAATTTGTGAAGGAAAAACGTGCAGATGTCGTATCCAAATGTATACTCAGCGAACCAAGACACGGGGAGTTTTGGCAAGCGGTGGCAAAGGATCCAAAAAATGCGGGTAAAAGTATCGAGGAGATATTGAAATTGGTTGTAGATAAAGTGGAATGAGGTGGATTAGAGATACTGAAGAAGGCGAGTGGTAATGATTGGTTGTATGATAATGAAATAAATATTCACGGGAAGGTTAGAGCTGTTGGATTTGGGAATCAAATAAGCTCGTTGCATTTATACGATTAATCCGCGTTCTATGTTTCTATAATGCGGAATAGTTGTATTTGTGTCAATTTTTATGTGATGTCATTTAGTTATCTGTGTAGAATTTTGGAAAGTCTCATGGATGAAGGAACTTTAAAATAATATTGTAGGATCATCTCGCATGGAGACAAAAAAAAAGAGAAGTTTTACATCATGCAGATTTCACATCCACAGCACAAGAATCGTCAAAAGAATATATGTATGTGAAGGCGTATTTATTCTCAACTACCAACACAAATGATTATTCCTAGCCATTCCTAGCCCTTCATTCATTTCCTTCCCTGATATCCATATCATATCATACAATCATAAAGTAAGCCATCAGGCAAAAGTAAAAAGTCCATTCCCAACGCTAAGTGAAATACAACTTCTTCCCAGGTTCATCCTTCACATTTCATATCCTCGTGCAAAAACAGTTTACTTTGTGTCTTTGTTGCCGGTGAGGGAGGATGCTGCGGCAAGGAGGTTGTGTTAGTTATATTGTAGTGAATGATGGGAAGTGAAAGGATGATGAGTACATACCTGTGTTGGAGAGGGTATCAGTCACAGTACTCGCGGCATTACCAGCGGTGTCCGAGACGGAACCGAGGATTCCCTTTCCTTGGTTTTGGGCATCGTCGGCGCCGCTGCGGGTCTTGTCTGTCGCTTTTTGGGTGGTGGATTTTTGGTCGGCTGGAGGTGGGGTGTTAGCATGCTGTGAGATGGAGTTTGAGGGTGGAAGAAGAAAGGAATATCGTACATGGTTGAACGGCGGAAGCTGCCTTGTCGGCTCCTCCAGAGATGTTCTCGCCGATCTTGTCGGTGGTGGATTTTTGGGAGTCAGGAGTAACTTTCTCGGAGACTTGCTCACCAACACCTTTGCGGAGACTGTCAGACATATTGATTGATGTGTTTGAAAGTTTGCTTTGGGGTTTGAAAAGTTTGTTTTGATTAGATTTTTGAGTGAGGATTTAAATAAACTTAATATTTTGTTGATGTGTATGAGAAATGTGAATGAGAGGAGGAGGCGATGCTTCTTATACTCAACACAGGATGAATGATGACACTAGCCACGGATCCAAGAAGGTAACAAGATAGAAAACCATGCCTCTTTCAAACCTGTTTTCAAAAGGGAATAAGGCAGGTGGCTAGTGAGTGGTCCTAATGGGTAGGAAAAGTCCTTTCAAACCTGCTTCCTACTGCTTGACTACATCTGCCTAGCACACTTGCCACAGTAAGGCAAATGAATTATGGATAACAAACGGACATCTAGCAATTGCAAAAGAAACGTCATTCCTTACAAGCCCACGCCACAGGATCGCATGATCGAACTTCGTGGCTATTTGGCTATTAATCCATTTGTTCGGATGAGAGCCTCCAATTTGTGCATATATGGCGGGGGTTATGGCCCCACGAATTGAAAATCGATTGTCATACTCATCCATGAGTTTATGTTGTGCCATATTCGCTTATGGGCAATTTGGAAAATGCCATGTGAAAAAGGGATCGCGATTCAAGGAAGTCTATTGATCCTTCCACCAATCATAATCACTTGATGTTGGGATGATTACATGGCTTTTGAAAATTTGGAACGAGATGATGCAAAAGGATTTACCCAAACATGCGCGAGATGCCGAATGCAGAGGATTTGTGAGGTTGCTCTTTCATCGTTTTCTTAGATTTATGATGTAATATGTAACAGGGGAAATATGTCGTCATTGCCCACTTCGAAAAATGGAGTTGGGGAATGGTTAGCTGTAATACCTAGGTAGGTAGGGAATCAATGGTGATACTTTGTGTGGGAAGGCGTTATCATACTTGTGATAGGGAACGGGTAGACACGCGTAGGTAATGTTTGATACAGCAAGATTTATATTGGGGACATGATACAATAATGACACAATAGGATAAATTGAAGAAGTGGTACACGTGATGAGAAGTAATCTCGAGAAATGGTATCTCCGTTTTTGAACATCGCACGCAATCATTGTACTAACAATCGTATCCTTGAAAAATGGGTGGATGAAATGCATGATTATGGATTTGTATTGTATAGACATATGAATTCGGATTTTATGATGAGAGGAGTGAAGATTATACTCATGATCACCTAAGGGCTGACTAATTAAGATCTTACATAAGAATTGGCAACAGCAACTTCATCCACGTGCTCACGCGAACGGCCAATTTTAATCATGTCATGTAACGTCGTGCCGGATTTAGGATTTAGTGCATGTAATCAATCTTACATTTACAGCACAACTACACTTGGTCCTTTTCAAACCTGTGATGGCCTCAACCTCCCGACTTCACACATCGTACTTGCCACTCACCATATGCGAAAGAGCTCCAGGCTTCAATGATCATTTCATTTGGTGGGTAAGACTTTTGAAAACATGTTTCCCGTGGCTTGCGGGTAATGTCCTGCCCAGATCTCAAAAAGACTAGCTGTACCAAGGATATTCAGTTCGAGAGTGTTAACCATCTTAGGCACCATAGACCGTGACCCTAACGTCGCGGTGTAGCAAGAATAGAGCGTGAAAGTGTGTTTTTTTTGGTTCTGGGAATGATGACAGTAGAGCGAGTAAAGAGTACGCAGCAAGTGCTGCATTATTATTACTTTCCATTAAGTTGAAGTGGGCTCTTTTCATTAGGTATATATACAGCGCGCCACATACATTACTATCATTTGCATCAATGGCATAGCTCAAACCTCCTTGACTGCCTCACCACTTGCGCTCTTTTCGCTGCCTTCAACTGGCACAACGACATGCTCGTCAATGTCTTTCCTTCTAATATCTTCATTCACAACCTTGAAGAGAACATCCATTTCTTCCAAACTCAAACCTTTGGTCTCGGGAAGGAACCAAACAAAAATGAATGCAACTGAATTAAATGTTCCAAAGATCTACTCATATCGGATTTGTTAGCTTCATCTTTCAACCTGTTGATTCATATACAAAAATAGACATACCATCCAAGTCTTCCATCCGATGTTCAACACGGCGATTGGAGTCTCTCTGGAGACGACATAATTGAAAAGCCAGACTACCATGACACTGATAGCCATTCCCCAGTCACGAATTCGAGTAGGATAGATCCTGAGATTGTTAGTTGGTAGACATCCACATAAAGTATTGTCGCAACTTACTCTCCAATGTAGACCCAAGCAATAGGTCCCCAAGACATGGAATAGAAGACTACGAAGAGGTAGATGATCGCCATCTAAGGAAGTTAGCCTGAATCTTAAGCGCTGTGGTGTAGTCTCCATACCATTCCCTTTCCACTAGGTGTATCATTTGTTGCGTGTCCGGTGGCTGGTGGATGTGTGGCTAAGACTGCACCAAGGGCAAACATAGTGATTGCCATGCCAGCACTACCAACACTCAAAAGGGTTTTCCTCTTGAAATGTTGAATCTAGATGATGTCAATGTCAGAATTATGTGGACAATCGTTTGAGGTTTCAAGATGAAGAAAAGGCGAAGGGTATGTCCCAACTTACTCCTGCGATCAAGAAAAGAGCAGTAACACCGACTTTGATACAGGTAAAGATTCCGCTGGCGAAAAGAGCAGCATTCTGAGCGGTAAAGCCAATCTGCTTGAATACCGTGGGTCCGTAGTACAAGATTCCATTATGCCCACACCAAATACTGAAGAATGAGACACCACATCCCCAAACAAGACGAATAAGGTTTCTTGATTGAAACAATTCAGTTATCGATCTACCAGAGGTCGCGGCAATCTCCTCTTCAATTTGCGCATGCATCTCTGCAATCTCAGTTTTGATTTCCAAGTCCTCGGACGTTGAGCCTCGGAGATAGCACAATGCGTGTTCGGCCTCGTCCCATCGATTTTGTTTGGCCAGCCATCTTGGAGACTCGAGGATGAAAAATGACCCAAGCATGATAATTGCGGCGAGGATAATCTGGATGCCCAGTGGAACTCTCCATTGTTTGCTTGTCGGATGCAGATGTAGCGAGCATCCGTATGTGGTCCAATAAGCCAGTAATCCTCCGCTAACAAGGAACATCTCGAAAAGTCCCATTAAGAACCCTCTGAGTTCCTTTGGTGCGGTTTCCGCAACTAAAATAGGAGTGAGATTGCTAACCATACCAACACCAAAACCGGAAATAATACGTCCGGCATAGATCATGGACAGAGAAGGTGGCTGCGCAGCAGTTTGAAGGATTCCACCGAGCATAAGAAAGGCTGCTGCAATAGTCATCGTTGGCTTCCGACCAATAAACTTTGTGAGAAAGGCTGGAACTATAGCTCCAAAGAATGCGCCAGCATTGAGCAGTGCTACTATGTTGGAGGAAATGTATGCTTTGTGTGCAACGCTAGTGGAGAGTTTGAACTCTGTGGAAAAGCTATTCAGTGGTCAGTCAGGCATCTTTCTCCGTGGCAGATCTTTCATAACTACCTTTGCAGTGCTACTACAGATCCAGCGACACCTGTATCGTATCCAAACAGCATAGAAGCTGTATTAGCCACGGCGGCAACAGAGACTGCGCCTCTGTGCTTTGACAGGAGTGCTAAAGTGGAAGACATGATTGATCTTTTGGGTGAGGAACATGCCAAAAAAAAGAAAAAACATCCAACATATATCTATTTTAGACGAAATTGTCTGAAGGAGAAATCAATACCGCTGCAAATTCGGTAATACTTTCCCACCTGCAGGCGTTCTCAAGAACAGCAAAAGGTCCGCTTCTTGCTCTAAGGTCACCCAATGAGCGACGCGAAGGAATCCCGACATAATGGTGCCCCGTGGGGCATATGCTGATTACAGTTTCTCCATGAGGTTAATACCCCGCTGGCTCACGAACCATGAACCCATGCACTGTCATTTCAAATCAATATACGACATAGGTTGAAGCTTACGATGCACGATATATAGCACTAAGGAAACCTTGCAAGTGTATTCCATCGTTTCATAAATTTTGTGTCGGTTGGCGGTTTATGGGGCCGTACTTGTCGCCATCGTCAAGCATGGATAACTACTGGTAGTCTGGTAATATAGCACAGGACTGCGCATCGGGTCAACGACTCGGCAAGTATGCACAACGTGTATTGGAGTTTGAAATTCCTCCGAGATAATTCCGCATTACAAGTGGGGAGATCATTTCTCGTCGACAGCATCTTTACAGATAGGTTCTCTGTGGCAAATTATCAAAATCCTGATTGTTCAATCTTGTATCACGTCCTGGGCTTTCAAGGTCAATAGGACTTCTTTTGCTAAGAGGTTTTATCATACTTTGAATTTGAGCAATAATGAAACTGGATACGCTAGATGGATATGGCGCCTTTGGTAAAACAATGGCAGGTTTGAGAGTTTGGCACCCAAGTAAGGTACCTGATTTAGGGGGTACTTGGTTAACAAAGTTATCTTACTCAGATATGCAATAAGATCCAATGAAACATTTGGCGCTAGGGAAGGCTGGTCAAGCCTCTCTTCAAGCATTGTTTGGTACAGTCTACTCTTATAACGGAAGTGGTAAACCGTCAATGGGATCCTAATACTATATAGCCTAATGTTTGAGTCTGGACCTCGCGAATTTTACCTTAAAGCTTTGTGTCCATCAATACCGGAGTAGGAAAGTCTTATGCGCATTTACTCCGTACAATCCAAATTTATACAATTTAAATTAAATTTAGACGAGTTACATGCGTAAAACACAGCATGAACTGCTCTCGGAAGCAAGACTGAAGGGGAATCAATATCCGACAAACGAACCTGGCCCCTTGAGTATTTTCACACAAAAACGAACGATATCATCCAAATTAGTGTCCGACGGATCCCCTGATTTACGTCCGTATAATAGATATTTCGTCTTATATTCGCGATCAATGAGGGTCCACCGTTGATGGAGTTATGGACAGACTTTAGCTCGGCTTGTGCGTGAACGGATAAAACGGGCCAGCCCTAGCGAACTCTCTTGGCTATAAATTATGAATGCGGTCGGGACTATCCGGCAGACTAATAATTAGTTCCGACCTTTCTTAATTTCTTATTACAACTTCAACCACTGAAACTTATTAGCTCGATCTTATATGTTCCTTCGAATTTTGATTCTGGCGAAGTAGTCAGTGAAGGAAAAAGGTAGGATTCATCATAGAAAGAAAATAAGAGTATCCTGGTAAAATCTTTGAAATCGCTTGGCAAGGGTCTTTGATAAGGGATTTCACCTCGGCAGATGTTCTCAAGGTATTCACATTTCAGAACAGGGTTGCAACTCACACCGTTTCCCTCAAACTACTCATTCTTGGTGTTTGGCTGGGGAATGCAGAATCTGCTCCGAATGTGGGGATTCATGTAGAAACCTTGTTCGTAACTGGGGTGTGGGAAAGTACCGCTGTGGGCTCACGGATCCTTCAACCGAATTGAGCTATTCGAATATGATTTGAAGTGCCAGCGATTTGCTGTTGATTGGTTTGCTTGTGAAATGATATCGAATTTCAAGAGGAACAGCGACACGGGCACAATCAAATTTTCAGCAGACCATACTGCTTCCTCTATGGAAGCGGAGGAGACAAGACCGAGTGACCGAGACTACTATCCATTGTTTAGAATTCTCTGCCCCAAGTGTAGGTATCGAATGACAAATGGTAGGACGATGGTCTGTGCCTTGAGAGAGGTTCTGTCCCAGAAATCCTTCATTTTCTAATCCGGCGACTGGAGCAATTATTATGTGAGATCTTCATCCATCTATGATATCAACGAGCAATATCAAAACCTCGAAGGAACACAATAATATAAAGTTATGACTCGGGTCCTAATTGACGGGAGGCTTGACGGGTGGCTGCACCGACTGGCATGTTTTGCCGTGGTATAGATGGTAATTTGGTACCGATTGTGCCTTTCCAAGCCCCTGTCAACAACAAGCGGGACATAAATCCTATTCCGTACCTGAACAAGCCACCATAGAGCTAAAATGACACACCAAGGACTTCTCTTCAAAACTTCGTGACATAGTTAAGTTTATAACGACAAAAGGTTTCAAAAGGTGAAGTTATATACATATCTCAAATCCGGTGTTATGGAGTTGGAGTTTTTACGGAATATCTTCTGGAACGTTTATCATCATGCCCACTTTGTGGGTCTACAACTCAACACCAGAGATTAATGCTCGATCAAACTATCCTCTGATTTTAGAAGCTTCATTCCCTTTGCTTGTGTTGATGCTCATTACTGTCAGTACGAGATTGTATGTTAGAGTACGTACTGTGCGAGGTATTGGTGCTGATGATTGGGCTGTTGTGATTGCTGCGGTATGTTCTTCGTCCTCTATTCCTTGACTTTATACTGATTCTTTACTAGACCTGTAGTATTGTTTACAACGCCTGCACTATTTCACGTAAGAAATATTTCAACCAAACTTGATCAAAGCTAATGGTGAAATAGAATCAAGATGGGGACTAGGTTTACCTTTGGCTCTTCGGCCAGCAGTCAATTTGGATGCATATTCTAAGGCAAGACAATCGTACTATACAGCAGGAAATAGCCACTGACAATAGCATAGGTCAACTACGCTGGTCGACCCTTTTATATGTTAGGCGTCTTATGCTTCAAAGTTTCACTTTGTTTCTCCTATTTGCGAATTCTCTCCAAAGGACAACCAAACTATCGTCTCTTAGTATGGTTCGTAATGATCCTCTGTATCCTAGGACACGTAGCCGGGACTCTCGCACTCATGTTCAACTGCCATCCGGTACATCAACCCCTCTCATCCCCTTCATCACATTACCTCAAACCCAATACTGACCGGACAATTTCCAGGTACAAAAATCCTGGCTGCCCAAGACACCCGGAAAATGTCTTCCCGTCGGCCCCCTTTTCTTTGGTCTAGCTATCACAACAATCATCTTTGATGTGATAATTTTCTTCCTTCCTATTCCCTTCCTATACGGTCTACGAATGAATAATCGAAAGAAATTTGGTATCATAGGCGTTTTCGCCCTTGGAATCTTCACAACTGTTTGTTCGATTTTGCGCATGTCGGAAATTCCAGTTATCACGAACGGAAGCGGAGATTCTACAATGTTGGTTGTGTGGGGAAATATTGAATTGAATGTTGGGGTACGTAGTACATTATCCTGCACTACCTCCTCTTTCTTTACGCGAAAATGAAAACCAAACTAACGATCACCCGATGCAGATCATCCTAACCTGCATGCCGGTCCTCGCACCGCTCTTCAAAATTTTCGGCAAAAAACTCACCTCCTCCGGAAACACAGGAAGTTCGAATCCATATGCTCACAATGGAAGTCATAATATGCAAGTATTTTCGCATGGGAATGGAAAGAGTGCCAATGGGAAAAGTGCGCATAGAACCACGATTACGAATCTGAATCTGAGTTCGAGTAGGAAGGAGAGGATGAGTAGGACGTTGAGATATCCTGGTGATGTGAGCGATAATGAGAGCCAGGAGACTATTCTAGGGAAGAGTGGTGAAGTGGGTGTGAGGGAGGGTGAGAGCAGTGTGAGTGCGAATGAGGAAAGGGGAGGGAGAAATAGGAATAGTGGGGAAAGTAAGGGTGCAGATGATAATGGAATTGTTGATGTAGATCTGAATACGAATGGGAATGCTAATGGAGAGGAAATAGAGGGTATAATGAGAACGGTACAGATTGAAGTATCGAGCGAGGAACGAGGAATCCATGACGAGGAATTCGCTGATGAGAATAGACGGTGCAATAGGTGATTGGGATTGCATCGCCGATCCTTGGATATCCTATTTCCTCGTCGGTTTATACATCACGCTGGTTTTACGAGATATATATATATATATACAAATCAACCGCAACTGCCGTTTCTAGGATATATAAAAGCACGACCTCGAGCCTGGATGAGCTATCTTTGCATTCTTTTCTAGAAAAAGATCGCATAACGCACTACATATTTGTCGTCGATGGACCTTGGGGTCAGTCAATTAGTCGTATAGGTGGAAAATTATGTATGATTTATTTACGAACACACACACTCGTTTAAAAATTTCATTTGTTATTTTTCTTTTTTTTAATTACTTTTTTTTAGAAGTAACTCGTGCTGCCAGAAAGTATATAAATCCTTCCTAAACAAACTTGAATTTGCAAGGAAAAACTCTAATTTGGCCAATGAAACTTATTACTTTCCTTATATTCCATTTTATTTCTAAGGATTTTCAGAAAATACTAAGAAAATGTGAATAGAATGCTCGCTTATACCCACATTTATGCGATCTAATTCACAACCTTGCTATATTGAGTATAGATATAAAAGTTCTATACCCCTTTTAATCAAAGATGATCCTATTTAGAAAGGAGTCATATACTTATTGGGCGCACGGGTAGAGATAGATATTAGCTTAGCTCGTTTAGCTCGCTTCGTCTGCTAGTGCATGTCACAAATGAAAGTATATATACACTGTAGAATTCAACTTCCTTTGATAAGGCTATTTTCCTAGGACTTCATATGGTTATCTGAGCTTTGAATAAATAAATTAAAGTTGTTTATAATAATATAAGATAGGATTTATAGATCGTATGGGTATATACTGAGTAGGTATGAATAATATTAGAATAGGGTCTGGAGGAAAGAGAAAAGTGGGGGGTCAAATTTTTCATGATAATAGATAGTAGAGAGTAATGTTGCTCGATGTGTAATGATTTAAGGAAGGATGAGATAATTAATTGTAAGTCTTAGTATTACAACCCCCAACCCCCTCCCGTTCAAAAATTGTCGATACTAAGCAAAGAGGTACGTCAAAAATCTAGCAAAGTGCCAATCACGAGCTTCAATGAGGACTGGAATGAAATTCATTTTTGTGTTATGGTACTCAGTTTTTCACTTTTGGGAACGGTATGGATGTAAAATACGAAATTGATGCTTAGAGATGCCACAAATGACCTAGAAATTGCCTTAATGGCCCTTTTTAATCATGTATGATGTAATTACGTGTAAGGCTATGGGTATAAAATGACCGCTGACCTTCTTTCATTTTTTATGAAAATGAATCATCTAACAAAACATTCGAAGCGATGGCCAGAAACAGATTCTGGAAAGTCCGTTTTAGTTGAAGGAAATGCTTACGAATATCGAGGTGTATTTAAGCTTTCATGTTGCAATTTATGGTTATGTCAGACTCGGTAATTAAAGGAAAGGGGAATGACAAGCGCAATTGGTAATGATGATGGAGCTATAAATGGAAAATATGAGAGAATGTGTTTTGATAGCGAAAAAAAGTACGAAGTGTAGGAAATAACAGCCATCCAAAGATATTTCCTTCTTACAATATTTTCCCTAGCCGCGTTGTAACCGTAAATATAGTCTGAGATTGAAAACAATACAGATTTTATAATGAGCGCTGGGTTGCGGAAAAGTGGTTAGCGATGAGATGTATTGATGGTCTTGAGACTTACCCGTAGGTTGTGGAAACCTAGATAAATACGCTACATTTTGCTTTCAACGTTCTCAATATAAATATCGGTAGAAGACTCGACTTATCTCCGTGGAAAACTTTTGCAGGCCTCCGGAAAGAATGGGGGGCGATTGAAGTGACAGATTTCCGGCTTTGACTTTTGTATCCAAATCTAAGATCTGTGACTGATTAGATCCGCAGGAAGTGACAGATATTTTAATACTTTAGCTCGTACATATGGCAGTGAAACATTAACTATACGTCAAAATTGGCAATGATTACTTAATTAAGGGTACTCAACAACAATAGCTTGCATTTGGCAATTAATTCAGACACATATGAAATCCATTACAAGGCTTGGGGAATTAAGCTTTTTTCTCTATTTGAAAAGTAACAACTCGATCTATCAATACCTAGCGGTATTCGAAAAAAAAAACAGCTTGCTTCTCTATTTTGATGAATCTTCCCGTAAATATGATTCAGATATATTGACATGCACTGGCAGTTTATAAAATCGCAGTGCTAATATACGACAAGGAACAGTGATCTATAGACGTTAAAGAGCTCGAGAAACCCGGAGATACAAGACCATTGATTTCAATGATTAAAAGCTGAATGATCTAGAGAAGCCCAAAGCAGCCAATCACAATCGAAAGCTAACAAGCGAGTAGCATCACGCTACACTAATTTCGGCAAAAGAAGACTTCAATACAAGGGTTAAGAGGTGATAGTATAACATCTCGATCACTTTCTCGAATACCTGTAGTGGGTAGAAAATATCTCCACCGTTGAACATCATCAATAAATTCTCACGAACCTCTCTCAAAAAGAATCACCTTGCAATTTTTACAAAACAACCTACTCCACACAAAATGCCCAATATACCTGGCAGTCCATCGCCAATAGCCGACAGAAAACCTCAAACATAAACGAGATTCTAGAAAACTCTGGATATCCAAAAATTGTACAATATCAAGTTATGAACCCGCGATTGTCATCTCTTCTGTGGCTAAGAAAGTCAGGTATCGATGGGAAGTCAAAATTACTCAAGGAGACACGATTGATAACTTTCACTCACAAAAGCTATAACAAGCGTTTATATAATTGCGCCATGACAGTTCCCAGTTTTATTCCTAATGCCCTGGAGGTTGACTAAAAACTTTGGAAATGCTACTGTTGGCATAGGCTCGTAGGGCACAATATTCAGTATTCAACCACTAAAATTGGAAACTTTTGGCGGTAAATACACTAGATTCGTCGCTTGTAATAAGAGAATTAGATCCGGGAATATCGGATTGAAATTGTTTTCGTCTGGCTTGACATAGACTAAGACGTTCTTCTAAAGTTTCGGTTTGCTTGCTGCTCCGCGCAGTCTTCAGTGTAGCCATCTGTGCAGCGCAGCTACGAAAACATTTAAATAGCCGGCGGAAGTTGCTTTGAATTGAAATCGGAGGCTTTCCAAAATCTTCAACATGCTCTTACTCAGAGCATTATAATCCACGGCCAACTCCTTCCAAGCCTTGGTGCGCAGCTGGAGGTTGAATACCCATGATATCCCGTTACCCTTATCTAAGAGTCCCTTAGTAGATTCATTTGAACCATGAAAATAGATTTCGTCCACTAGAGAATGTATAGTCGGAAATATTTAAGTCTAGTACCCTGCTTTTGGACCACCTTTTTACACCAAAAATCGCCATTTTCACCTATTAATATTTCAACAACCAATCAACTCAATCAATTGAAGTTTTATCATAAATTCATTATATAGTTATTAGTTGATTCTAAAAATTTCAAAATTTTCCCAATTTTATTGACTGAGATATAAATGATTGAAATCACAATTTTCAATTTGTGTAAGATTTATACACAAATTTGAAAAACTTGAAAAACTTAAATAACTCTTTAATAAAAATTATTAAAAATAAATGATAAATTTTTTCAAAAGCTTCAAATCAACCATTATATAAAAAATTAATTTTCGAATTATAAATAATACAAATGAATATTTATAGATTTTACAGAGATTAAAAATCATAATATTTTGATTAAAAGGATTTCTCTAAATTATTTTTCAAAATAAATTGAACTATTTGATTAATTACAATGTAAATGTTTGAAAAAAATTTCTAGTGTATTTTTAATTTTTTTGGTTGAAAAGTTATTCAAGATTTTAAAGATTTTTCAAATTTGTATATAAATCCTATACAAATCAAAAATTGAAAAATTTAAGATTATAGATCTCAATGAAATCAATTTCAAAAAATCTGAAATTTTCAGGATTCATTTGTAACTATACAATAAATATACAATTCAAATTTCATTAAATTATATTCATTTGTTGTAAAATTATTAATAAATGAAAATGATGGTTTTTGGTGTAAAAAGGTGGTCCAAAAGAGGGGTGGTCCAAAAGAGGGGTGGTCCAAAAAGGGGGTACTAGACTTAACTAATCTTATATATCTTCGAGTTGATATAAGACCTTGCAACTATATAGTCGCTCCTTGAATCAACCCAGCTACCTCACCTCCTCCAATTAGCAATTTTCGAAGGAAATCAAGCAATTGAACGCTGTTAACTGCCGCAACGTTAACAAGAGTAAAAGGACAGAATAGCCTGTGACTAATGACCATCAATGGAAAAGATGTGGATGTTGATGAGATATGGCAAAATGGTTTCCTAAGCCACCGGACTTGGACCGAAAGAAATAACAGAATTAGTCCTATTGCATTGCCAAACAATTACTCCCGCTCGCGTTTTTGATGCATTGGGCCACTCACGGCCTTGTATCACGACATGCTAGGTTTAGTACCTCCGCTTTACGCATTATCGCGTCACAAGCTGGATTCTAGATCTAGTGTTTTTGAATCATTCGAAGCATTGCAGCTCGAGACTAAAAAAGAAGAGCTAAAGTATCAGAGGTGCATTCATCTCATCGCCACTTTAGATACAGTTGTGTTTGTGTATACCTACGGCAATGGCAAACTTTGCTTTTTGGACATCAACTATATGAAAAAAAATGCAGTATGCCTTACTCTTAAACACTAATCACATCCGAAGCATAGTATTAAAGCACATTATCGAAATTTTCAAGGTGCCTATTAGAAATGCAGCATAGATCAAAAATGTAGTGACAGCGAGCGTCTAAAAATCATTACAGAAGAGAAATCCTATATACCCCCTTAAATGAGAGGTATACCCAGCTTGTTAAATTCTCAACTCCAGTCTCTGCCGGTGCCTGACATCTGTATAAGCTCGCTTAATTGTAGGTTAAGTATGGAATTGGATCGAATCAATCAACTTCCTTACTTTTTCTTTAAAGAATATGACAAGTGTGACGTGGTGTATAGACCTCGGACCTTCAAGTTCATATATACATATAAAAAAAAAGTAATTATCTGAGATTTGACACCAAACATTCACTGTTAATTTTGATGAAATAAAACAATTATCAAGATTTTCCAACTCCCACTCCCGACTCCCGACTTCCAATTCATCATATCATCATGTCAAATATATAATTTGCTCAAAAATCATAATATTTTTAACTTCTCTCGGTATATATAAATATATGGATTTTAATACATGTAAAAAAAAGAAATACATCTCACTATAGTGGGGAATATAAGAATTACACTGTGTACCCGTTCCATCACTGCGTCTTGGCGATATTCTGGAGTAGGAAGTTAA